TCTTATTTCACCAACTAGTATTCCAGATTTTTTTTTCTATTTGTTATTGCTTTTCTCATCATATATTATAATGGCTATATATTTGGCTGACCCTACAACGCAACATACAACTGATAATCTGGAGCACACTAAAAATATTCTTTTAGTTAATCTCTTCCGCTTTCATTATAAGTATATACCTGTATATTGAACTGATGAATTTGGGTAAAAACAATATCCAAAATCATCATATTTAGAGGAAAATCTCAAATTAACTAACCACAAGAATTAAGATTTAGGCCAATTGATTTTGTGTGTTTGATTCACCGGAAATAAACATTTATAACGAAATAATAATGTGATCTTGAAGAAATGTATGTTTTGCGGTGAGAAAGAGAAAAAAAACAGAAATGGAAAATTATACACACAGGAAGACTTTCATCTTTTTTTTAAAAAAAAGAGAAAGACTTCATTAACACATCGATTTGGATGATGATGATGATGTCAAGACAAGTTTTTTTTGTTTCTGTTCCGGATAAGATTCAAACAGTAGTAAAATATGTATGTGTGTTGGTGTGATACATGAGAACAACATTTTTCTAACCGTCTAATTTAAAGATAACGGAACGTAATAAAAAATCCGGTTTTTTTTACTTCGGGTAGTTTTATACACACACACACATACACACATAATCAATATGTCTGTAGTGTATTGTACATATAAGAGATGAATCCATTTGATCGATATTATGTTGAATATCGGATGAACAATAGACACAAATCTTAGAGATGGCCAATAGCGGTATTAAGTTCAAGTGCAAATCATCATTCATCATTTCCTAATTTTGTTCTCATTCAATTCAAAATCAATGATCGAAATAATTTAATTTATTTAGTCTACAGTTTTGTGTGCATCAGATATTGATTTTCAGAATGTTCATTGATATGCTTAATAGGTATATTTAAATTAAATTTTTTTTTAAACCTACCGTAATCATTATTGCCTCCAACTGGTATTACTTCATTTGAAGCTGATGTTTTTGTTGTTGTTGTTGTGGCTCTGTATGTTGATTGAAATTATTATTATTATTATCATCATTAATATTATTTGCCTGTTGTCGATCAATCTCAGACAATGGCGATAAAGGCTCCAATGATATTGATGATGATCTTGATAATGATAATAATGATGATGATGATAATGATGATGATGATGAGGAAAAATTATTAAGTTGTGTTTCGGAATTCTGGAACACTTTAGGTGCCATATGATTTTCAATAGATTCTTTAAAACTTTCTCCAGTCATTTTTGTTGTTTCAATCAATTTCGATATTGATTGTTGATCGACCGGTGTTTTGTTGCTGATTCTTCTTTCAATATTCCCAATGTTTTTATTACCGGAATTCTTGATACAGATGTTGTTGGTATAATGTTATTATTATCATTATTATTGATGACAACATTTGGCGGATTCCTATTAAACGATTGTTGTTGATCAGCCGATGATGATGATGATGGTGTTGTTGTTGTAGTTGTAATCAAAATCATTCGAACAGTCATTTGTAATGGCCGTGAGGGAAAAATACTTTAGAAACAAAGAATCGTATGATGAATTTAAATGGATCAAAAAGTCCTTATTTCAAGGTATAAACACTCGATTCAATAATATTATTATTAAAGCGATAAATTTTCGAAATAAATAAATGATTGAAAAAAAAATATTTAATGGCAATATGATTCTGGCAACGATGATGAAGACATGGAATTTTTTTTTTTTCTATTTTACAATTATTAATCAGTTTGGCATATTGGTAAATATATAGAGAGAGAATACACATATTATTATTCAAACACACAAAATTTGATTTTATATTTTCAGTTCATATCGATCGATATTTGTTTCAATTGATTTAGATGAAAAATGAATGTATGAATAAATGAATGGATGGATAGATTCTGGATGGATAATTCATATCAACAATCAAACATGATAGTGATACTATAAACATTTATAATTGACTTGCAGGCACGATTTTTATTGACGATGATGATCATGGGTTTTTTCTCCATTCGTTTTTTTTTAAATTTTATTTCTAGGGTTGTATCAATGTGATAATACAGGATGGTATATTATTATGTTTTACATTTTTCTTGTTTGAAGCATAATCATCATGATGATAATACTATGTTGATGGTTTTCAAACAAAAAAAAACAGACGACATTTATATTAGATAATATATTTGATAATGTTGGTGTTGATGATGATGTTGAGGATGATGATGATGATGAATTCAATATACATGTGAAAATGATGATGATGAATCCTGGTTTACCAAAAAAAAAAAAAAAAAAAAATGTGTGTGTGTGAGTATAAACACATGTCAAATATAGTAGGAATTATTCGTATTTACGATTCATGCTTTCATTCCAATAATGATACGCCAACGTACGACGATGTAACGCCTTATGTATCTGAAACGATACTAAAATATCGTCATCAGCATCGTCGTATTTGAATGAATGAATGAACAGTCGATGATGATGATGATGATGATGATGATGATGATGATTATTTAGGAAAAACATTGATGGAAACCAACCAGGAACGCATACTCATCTCTGGCACAAAATATATATATAATTTATATACACTACATACAGAGATATACAAAACACCAGATATCAAGATTATTTAAACCGAAATGGTAAAACACACAGATACACACACACACACACATAGACATATAGAACAAAGAACTACTATTTATGTGGGTGTGTTTTGTTGCTTTCCGTTTACAAGGTGATAGTAGTTGTAGTAGTAATAGTAGTAGTAGTCAAATTCGTTGGATAAATATATAAAACCAAAAAAGATGATAAAATTGATGACGAAAAAACCACCATAATCAAAAACATAAACTAAAAAAATAAAATAAAATAGGAATTGTGACAATATAATATTATACCCCTCACATGATGACGATGATAATGGTGTTGAGGAAGAAAAAAAAATTCGATCGAATTAATTAAGAATTGTTGAATTTTCACTTTTTCACTTCACCGGAAGTTTTGATGATTATTTTCAACCAATCCTAATTAAATCGAATTTATTGATACACTTGATTGAGAAAAAAATCATTATACAATGTTAAATAATCGATAATTGTTGTCGGTTGTCATTGTATTTACCAAGATATTTGCCAATCATCATCAACATCATCATATTGTAAGTGTCGTTCTGTTCCAAAGAGGTTTGGTCTTCAAAATGGAAAAAAATACAATTTCATTTCAAATCCTCCTCTTTTTTTTGCCTCATCCTAATCGTCAACATTATTATTGGATGTCCAGGCCACATCATCATCATCATCACCACCACATAAATTCAAAAAGATATATGCCAAATATTCAATACACACACACACACACACACACTGACATAAACATTCAGAAAGATTCAAAAAAAGAGCGCGTGTTTAAACGCGTGTTTTTATGCATTTGTTTTGTTTTGCTTGTTAGATCCATGATTCAATGAGTCTATCCGTCTGTTCATTTATTTATTTATTTGTTTGTTAGTTGTTTGGTGAATTCCAATGAATGAAAAAAAAACGAATCGGAAAGATATAAAGAGCACAAAGACAAACTAAAACGGAAAGCAGCAATGTATAGTATAGTGTGGATCCATATTGAAAAAAAATCCTGAAATGAGATTACTTGTATGGAAATGAAACAAAACGGAAAAATATGGCGCCAAGAGAAAAACTGAGTGAGAGAAAACGGGAATATTTTTTTTTTTTTTTGTAGAAAAAAGTCGGGCATCCCTATAGGGCTAAACATTGTTACTGTATGTATGTGTGTGTGTGTGTGTGTGTTTCAACAGTAACCGACAGTTTCAACATTGAAAACAAAAACAAAAAAAAAATCCATTTTTTCTCTTTAGTCACATTTTTCAACCATGTCCACGGTTGTTGCAAATAATAATCATTAGAAAAAAAGTATACTTATAATGCTGATGACGATGATATAGGAAGGGGAACTTGTTTCAAAATAAAATTTGGCCAAGATTTTCAAAATTGATTACAATTTTTTTTTCTTTTTATTTCTAACAATTCAATGAATGAATGAATGAATGAATGAATGAATTTGTATTGAAAGTGAATGAAAATGTCTTTCACTCTCCCTTTCTTTTCACTGTGTTTGTATAATAATTCGTTATATAAGAGAGTCAAAATGATGATGATGATGATGATCGAACTAAAGTGAACGACCAAGTTTGACATAGAAACCAAGGCTTTCAGATATCTGGAACACCGCTGCCACCACCTTACTAACTAATACTTATGCCACACACACACACACAGTGTTCTATCTTCAATACATCCATTTTCAAAATATCGATGATAAAAAGACGAAAAAAAATCGCAACCATTCTTATACGGCCGATATACTGTATACTCTATATATTGCAATCTATATGGCTATAATCGACGTGACATGATATAGTTTTTTTTTACTATTTTGTTGTTTGTATATACATTTGCACCATCAGCAGCAATCAAAGACAGAAGATAGATAGATAGATAGATAAATGTGTGACTTGACTTCATAGAGTTCATCGGCCTCGGTGCCAACAACGATGTCATCATATAGGCATCATTATTGCATTGTATATTGTATCAATATATGAATGGATGAATGAATGAATGGCTGAGATTGTTAATTATGAACGGACGGCAATGGGCCAAATTGAAACAACAAACGTTAAAGCAAATAAGCCTATTCACTATAGATAAGATATCAAGTGCGATAATTGTTTTGGATTTGAATAAAAATGAATTAAATGTTTGATGGATTAGTGGTTTGTATATTTATTATTGGTGGATTCATTGTGCTGTTGATAAAACCCAAAAAAAAAAAATTTCCTATTGTAACCGCTATCAATTGCTCTTGTTTGTGGTTGATTGTGTCGAGTAACAAAAAAAAAAAAAAGAAAAGAATTTAATTGTCTTTGGAATCCCGGAAGAATTCAATGAAAATAACTTTATTATAAATATTTTATTACCAAAAAAAAAAAAAAATCAATTATAGAAAGTTTTCAGTAATAGGATTCTGATCTAACCATGGTTTCCAAAATCCTCCATGTAATGCAGGATTGGCATGAGGATCGAATGGTTTATTAACAGGTTTTGTATATTGTACATTGTAATGCTCATAGATTTTTTTATGAATTGTTTTCAATAAATCAGATTTTTTTTCTGCCAAATTCGTTAATTCACATGGATCTTGTTCAATGTCAAACAGACACATTCCTTTTTTTGATTGACATTTTATTATTGGATTCTTATCTCGTTGACAATCTATTTGAACGGTGATTGGTTCGAATTTGATGCCATATTCTTCTAGAATTTGATATGTCGTAGTACAGTTATAACATATTCCATTGGGTGGAAATTCAGTCTGCTGACCGGGTGCTTCATACCAATTATCAAATTGACCTAATAATGATGTTCCATTTGTTAATTTATAGTTTCGATATCTAAGAGCCCAAAAATGTTTAGTATGATCAATGTTATGCAACAAGTGTTCTCGTATTTGATAATTATTCTTATTGTTTGGATTCTTCAACTGATTCCATTGATTAAGGCCATCGATATCACCTAAATCCGATGTATTACCACCGGCAGCTGAATACAATGTAGGTAGAATATCTGTTATGTGCATCAATTGATTGCTTAGATATGGTTTAGGCAACAATTTGGACCAGATAAACGCTGTACCTCGTACACCACCTTCCCAGAGTGTATATTTACCACCTTTTAGTGGCCAATTTGATCCTTGACTATTATCAATATGATAACCAGTAGTTCCGGCGGTTGCACCTCCATTATCTGTGCTGAACACAATAATAGTTCGCGACAATTGATTTGTATCGTTCAATGCTTTGAATACACGGCCAACCGATTCGTCTAAGGCAGCCACCATACCGGCAAATCGTCGACGACGTTCATTTTTTTGTATATACTTATAATCATTTTCATGTCGACGAGGTGGTTGAATCTCATCACCACATTCGGCACCATGTACTGATTGTTGAGCCATATAGATTAACCAGGGTTTTTTCGTGTTTTCATATCGATTTTCTTCGATTAGTTCCAAAACACGATCCGTATACATATCGGTTGAATATTGTCCTTGATATTTGGTTAGATTAGCAATATGGTCCATTTCATGAAGATCATAGCCTCGAAAAAAATCACCAGCTTTACGGTTGAAATAATCGGAATGACCGGTGAGATATCCAAAATAAGAATCAAAACCACGCTTAGTTGGAAGATATTCTGAACGAAAAAAGCCTTGATGCCATTTTCCAACTACATGTGTTCGATATCCTAATCTTTGAAAATGCTGACCCATGGTTGTATAATTCAATGGAAGACCATACGGTTGTGATGCAGCAATGACACCAACTTGCATTCCGGTTCTGATAGGATTCAATCCGGTCAATAAAGCTGATCGTGATGGTGAACAGAGTGGTGATACATAATAATTATTCATAATTACTCCACTTGAAGCCAGAAGATCAATATTTGGTGTTGGAATTTGCTTAGATCCATGAAAGCTTACATCACCCCAACCTAATCAAGTAAAAAAATTAAGAAGTGTTGATTAAAAATGAAATAAATTCACCTAAATCATCAGCTAAAATGATTAGAATATTTGGCCGACGATCATCGAAATGTGATAGAACATTTTCAAATTGTATGAAAATGTTCACCAGTAAAAACAAAAGTTTTATAAGTTTCAACATTGCTTGGTGGTCGATTGGATTTTTTTTTTTTTTTGCAATGAGCTGTTATCCACAAAATAATAAGTGTATCTATCGTCAATCGATATATTGTGGTGACGTGGTAATTTTTGTTTTTTTTAAATTTATGGAATGACAATGTTATCAATAATTGATATTTTAGGTACAAAAAAATGGACGCGTAATTTTAAATTTTTTTACTATCGAAACAAGATATCGATTAAATCGTTCATCTCTTTTAAAAACATGTGTTAATATTTAATATTGGACATCAATTGGTTAAATGGAAATTTGCTTTCACAAAAATGAATTCAAAATGGATTCGAATCCGACATTTATTATTCAATATAAATCATAAAAATAATCAAAAAGAAGTAATTCAAAGATATTTGTCCACAAAAAACAGCGATGATCCAAGGTAAGGCGTGAATTTTTTTTTCTATTTCATCATGGCCACTTGAATTTTTTTTTCCCAGAATAACAGTGACTGATGATGGAAAAACTATTGTTTGTTGGCATCCCGAACAATCGTTTCCATATGAACATTCATTGCCATATGATGATGAGTCGATTCGTTTGAATACCTCTTCTGCGTTGAAAGTTGAAACCATGGAAAAAGGTGAAAATATTTATCATAAAATGCCCGTTAATCGTCTGGAAATGGAAGAATTAAGAGCAATCACTTACACAAACAAACATAATTGGAAACGAAGGTTAGAGATTTTAAAATTTTAATTGACAAAAAATATTAACTTATTAAATTCTTGTCATTTAGACGGATGGAAGGATTACAATTGCGACCAGCTCATCCAAGAAAAGGAGTTTAATAGTCATTTTTTATATATAGAATAATAATTACAAAAATACATTAAAATAAAATAAATTGATCATTGATCAATTATGAAATGAAATAAAATGATTATTTTCGGTGATGTTGAGTAGAATGATCATCAGATCTGATTTCACTACGTATTTTTCTTATTTTAGAATGTTTTTTATCATCTGATGATTCGTCTCGGTCTGCCCTTTTCAGGTTCTTTTTCACATCATCAATGTGTTTTTCTTCATTTGATCGATGATGATGACGATGGCTACGATCTTTATCATTTTCACGGTTTCGTTCTTTTAAACGATATTTATCAGTATCTTTTTTGTCATTCGGATATCGTTTATGTCGATCTGAATTAGAATAGTCACGAGACATATCATGCTTATGTTTGTTGGTATCTCGTAATTTATGTAGTTCTTCTTTCCGATGATTTTCCCTTTCACCTCGATATTTGGATGGTCGTTGTTCACGAATTGATCGATGTTTTCTTTTATGTGACGTATCGTCTGAATCTTCATCTGAAGAACTATCGGAATTATTCGATGTAGAAGAATCAGATGATGAATCAGAGCTATCATCGGAAGAATCACTATCGGAACTATTATCTGAACTGTCACTACTACTACTAGTACTAGTACTATCGTCTTCCTGCTTTAATTTCTGTAAATTTTCTTGCAATAATGGCAATTTTTGTGAAGATGCCGTTTTTAAATGTTCACGAAGATCATCAGTAAGACCACCGAGGCCAATACTGGTAAAAAAATTAATAGCGAAACGGGTATATTCTGGATTATCTCGAGGAAATAATCCTTTGAAAGCTTCGTCTAAGGTTGGATCTTTGATTCGTTGATTAAGTCGAACTAATCCCATTGATTCGGCTAATTGTTGGAATAATATCTTTATGAATACACGACTAGAAGAAGACGTGTCGTTTTCATTCAATTTAATATGACTCAACACTGTCCAAGGAATCGAATCGGTATACAAAAGATGAGCAAATATTTTGGCCACATTTCGCAATTTGCATGTTTCAAATCGATGAATCGTATCATAACAGTTTTTGAGAATTTCCACAAACGGCTCAACATATTCAGGATTTATCTGACAAAATCTTTGAGCCAAGAGCCCAAAAAATTTTATATAAGTACGTTGTTGAGCACAGCAATCCACAATCATGTTACACAGTTCAGCGTATTGTGGTGGCTTAATGTCCAATTTCAATAATTTGTGTGCACATTCTTCAAAATCCAAAGATGATTGAATGGTCAAATAAATTGTTTTTCGAAGATTAATCAAATTAGTTTCAGTATTATCAATGATGGTCGTAGTTGCTCCTTCTTCATTTGCTTCATCACTAGAATCTTCGTCGTCATCATCTGATCCAGATTCATCGCTATCATCATCATCGTCATCATCACCGACGTCTAAAATACTTTGTTTAATCTCGTCATATTTGGCTTCATTAGTCTGAAAATCTGGATCTAATTTGAATACATTAAGTCGATCTTCAGTTTCATAATCATCTTCCAATGTCATCAAATGGGTAAATTGTTCATCCTCTTCAATTAAATCTAGTTCCTGCATTATTGACGGATGGTCTTTGAATTTATCTTTACGTATGGCATACATGACCTCAATCATATATTGAACACGTTTATTGAGTTCACCATCATGAAGAATTGTGCGAAGTCGTTCGAATATACCTGCAGCACCTTGGCGCGATACTTCTTCAAGTTTTGCTCCACATTCTTTCAAAAACGCAATGGCCACTTCAACCGAATCATTTGTAGCGTTCTCCAGCAACAAGACTAAAATCTCTAATGCTAAAATTTCATGCGCTACATTTTGATTGAATAAATGAGCAATAAACCGAGTGCTATTGATACAATTCGATTTATCATTTCTTTGAAATGAACGCCTAAATTGAACAATCAATCGTTTGAGTAAAAGTTCGCCGACCTTGGGAAACTAAACAAAAAAAAAAATAAAAAAATAATCCATTGAATCATTAAAGTGTAAAATACATACTTTTGTATTCGTTACGGCAATCAATGCAGCATAAACGTGTGTGAATGTTGGCGAAGATTGCTGAGCACGAAGAATAGAACGGCAAAGTAGACCTCGGCCACGAATTAAATTGATGGCAAACAATTCTTTCACGATAAATGCAATATTTGAAACGTTAACTTTGTTGATCAGACCATTGATAGACTTTTTTAAGGATTCCCATGCCAAACGCTGATAAGCTTCACTATTCTTATCGCTGATATTCTGTTGCATCAGACGTAATTTTGCCGGTGGAATATATGCACCACCGGTTTTAGTACGGATATCTTGACCTGGATCCATCGAGGATGGTTTAGCTCTTTCTTTATTTGCCATTCTAGATTCATCGGGTGAAGAAACCATTACGAAAATTTATATTAAAGAAAATCCAAATATTTATAAAATAAGATTCTTGACAAAAATCGTGTTGAGTCAATAAAATAATTGGCTATAACGACACAATCAAGTATACGTTTTCTATTTTAACCTTGGAGACATGAATTTATAATTTAAAATCTTTTTTTCGATTGCCATCAATCATGAATTTATTGATCAAAATTAAAATAATTAGAAAATAAATAGGCGATAAAATGAAATTGAAACACAAAATTAGAAGAAAAATATTCTATGGTTTAGTGTCCATAATATCATTCATTTAAAATGAATGAAAAAAAATTAAAGACCAGCCAAAATATAACATCATTATATTTTGATTCATCATCTTAATCAGAAAACCTGATTGTTTTACTGTCACGTTATTAAGAAAAACCATTATCAGCAATAGTAAGGGTGACAACAATAAAAAATTGTTTAATCATCCATATTTTTAAAATCATAACTTTGGCATCAAAGAAAACGACTGAGAATCACGACGATTTAATCAATGATGAAGAATTCGATGTGGCATTCTGATTATGTTGTTGACCATTATTTGAATTCTGTTGATTTACGTTGTTGCCCAATAAAGCTACAGCTGATGCACCTGAAGAACGATCCGATTGTACATCAGATGAAGGATCAGTGATTTCGATCCTTAATTTGAATCTCTCATTGGAATGGAGGCTACCAATCATAGCTTGATCGCTTTTATTATCATCATCATCGTCATCATCATCGGTGAATCGTTCTAATGGTGCCAGAGGAGGATTCAGACCTATCATGTGTATGGAATCCACATCACTTGATCTATCCAATTCATCCTCATCATCAATAAATTTCTTTGGATTTTTCATTTGTTTCATCGGTATCAATTCATCTTGATTATGATTGGAATTTATAATTTTTCCATTTGTTTCCAATGCTAATTGTTTTGAGGATTTATTCTTGGATTGTTTTCCACCATCTTTTAATTCTTTTAACATATTTATAACACCTTTACGTGGAGGCTTGGACGAAATTTTGGAATTTGAAACGTTAGAATTATTCGATTTACCAGCTGATGATAGAGGTGATGCTTCCTCGTTGATAGAATCCAATGATTTGAATGATGGACGACCATTTTGTTTTTGCTGTTGTGATTGCGATGATGATGAACGTGGCTGTAATGAATTTTTAGAATGTGCTTGTTGAGCATTCAAATTAGCGGCAGGTTGTGTAGCAGGACCAGCCACAATCGGAATATCGTCAGGCAATTTTTTCGTTTTGAATGAAGCATTTGTAATGGCAGCTTTACGGGATGAAACTGAGGTCATCGTTGTAACTGGGGGTGTGGCATTCAAACTAATCTCTGATTGATTAATACGTTTCATCTTGGCTCGATGATCTTCTCTATCACGATTGATTATTGCTTGTGTATTTTTGAATGCATTCACCATCTGAAACGATAGATAATATATTAAATATAAATTTGAAGATATTGTCAAATTTATACTTACCAGAATTACATCACCATAAAATTTGTAAGTAGAACGCTTACAAATTTCTTCAATCATTCTGATGCTAAATCTTCCAATTCATTATGATAACAAAAATAACTAGCTTTCATTAATTCTGTCAAGAATTCTGATGTAAATTGAACTTGGAGTGTTTCCGGTATTAAGACAGAGTTATTATCATTATCTTTGGAATTTATTTTATTGCTAGATTCATTCTGCAGAATTGCTTTAATTTGTTGTTTAAGTTCGGTACAAGTTCGCTGTAACATGCAACCTTGTTTCAAAAGTTCCAGATATAAACGTAACATTGATTGCCATGAATAATAACCTGCCTCTTGAATATGTTGATTGTAAAGTTTCATCAATACGGTAAATACTGATTGTTGATTGCCCGTATTTAATTGTTCTACTTCATGATATGGACCAAAGATTGTAATTCGAGATTCTTGTGGATTATTAATTTTGGCCAACATTTGTTCAGTAGGTATTGAAGCTTGTCCGGATGTATGAGCGCTTTGTTCATGATAAATAGAAGGCTTTGCCAATGAAATTAACCGAACATCAATTGTTTTTAAATCCCCGGTTTTTTGATTGATTATTTCAAAATTATAAACACACATCAATAGAATGGCTATGGAAGATTTTGGTTCAGATTTTAGGTCATTATCTTTTGTAGTAAAACAATTTCTATGATGACAGCGAATATAAACAGCGATCAATGTTGGTAGAAAAATTAATGTTTTCAGTCGTAATTCTCGATCTTGACTTTTATAAATGCTATAAAGCCGTTTGGTAATTGATTTGAACAACTGTTTCATGGAAAAAAATCACAATATATAAAATTTAAGTGTTTAATTAAAAAAAAAGTTTAAAAACAATTACCTCAATATCACGTTCTGGATGTTCTAATAAATCGAAAATTGCTTCAATAGCATGATCATCTATTTGAAATTCTTTAATATTTTCATCGGATGAGGATAGAAAATCTTCAATTAAAGTTCGTTTTCGATCACTAATCGATGACGATTGAATAGTGTTACTTGCATTGATCATCATCATCATATCATCATCATCATAGTATTAATTCACAAAACAAAAAATTATTCATAACAATGATTTCATATGATTAAGGCAAAATATGAACAATATACTTCAAGACAATCGAATTTTAAATCAAGTAATATACTGAAATTCAAATTAAAACAATTAGATGATTGTAATGATGACTAGCATTTTTGAATTGGATTTATTTTGGCATTTATGAGCGATATTTTGGACGAACAAAAAAAAATCAATAAAAATAGAAAAACGGATTGGTGATTTTCATTTAGCAACTGGAAAAAAAACAAACAAACAAAAATACACAGAAAAGAAAAGGGTTAGTACTAACCAAAAAGGTTAGCATTAATGGTTAGTACTAACCTTAAAAGGTGTGTGTGTGCAGGAATAATTAAATAAAACAGGTATATGAGACAAACGCAAACAAACTGGGAAATTTGAAAACGACTTTTGTCATTTTGAAGATTAAAAATTGAAAAAAAACATAGCTATAGCTATTGTTCCGACAGTAGCATATATAGCTATAAACGGTATCATATAGATAGGAGAAAATCTTATATTATTATAATATAGGATGTAACATATAAACTTCATAAATTGTTGCATTATTCAAATAATATAAAGAGGTTTGGTCCATTATACCTTTCATCATCTATCAGATATGAAAGTGTACATCAAATCTCAAAAAAAATTTGATAGCGTGGAGGAGTATGATGCATACACCTTTCACGGATCAATTTCTTGTTTGAAAAGAGAATATCAAATGAACACTATTAAAATAGCTGTGCAATTGGAATGTGAAATATGGATGTATTTTATTATTTCTAATATTTTAATAAATTAATATTTCAATAAAATCAATTAAATTTCAATATATATCGATTAAATTAATATGGGGGGTAAAGGCAATAAAAGGGGGTCAAAACTGCTGCAACAATCGTGTGATGAACGACACAATCGATGATTTCGATATATCGTTGCAACAATCGGCTGGCAAAATTGCTCATAACCCAAAAAGGTTAGTACTAACCGTAGAAGGTTATTTTTTGTCGATAAACCCAAATGGGTTAGTACTAACCTTTTTACTTTCTTTTCTGTGTATATAGCTATAAACGGTATCATATAGATAGGAGAAAATCTTATATTATTATAATATAGGATAAAAAAAATTTGATAGCGATCAATTTCTTGTTGTTGAAAAGAGAATATCAAATGAACACTATTAAAATAGCTGTGTGCACATGGAATAGGTGAACGAATTTCAGAACTATTTTTTATTTTGGAGTTATTTTTTCGGTCTAACGCGTTGTAGAGGTAAATATTTCCAAGTAGATAAAATGTCAAAGCTATATTATGATTCAGTTGATCCAAAAGAGAGTAAACGAATATCATGAAATATAATGAAAATCAATAAACATACTTGACGTCATAAGAATGTATATCTGAATCTATTTCTGGAACATCAGGAACTATAATAATATTGGCTATCATCGAGTTCTCTTGTTTTAGGTCAATCGTTGGGCATCTTTAGACACACACACATACACACGTTATATATAAAGATGGCAGATGTTTATAATGAATACAGAGATTGAACCAAGAATCATAAAGAGTGGTGATGTCATTCCATTCAAATCAATGCATAGTTGGAATAAAAAATGTTGAGCCATATACCAAATTGTATGCCGACGTTTTTTTGTTTTGTTGTCGTTTCATATTCCTATCTGCTGCACACCTATATAGACTCAACTTGTGCTAATCATAATTTCTAATTTATCCGGAAGATGGCATTAAAATAAAAGATTCTAAAAATTTTCAAATTCTAATTCAAAAATAAATTTAAACGGTACGTGAATTCTTTTTCATTTTAATCGATTTAAAATTTGAAATTTTTATTTTCATAAGAAAAACAACTTGTGTCAATAGATGTACAGAATTATAATTACAATGAAAAAAACAATAATGATTTACACATCATGTCAGATATCACAATTTGTTAAATGATTTGAAATGTTTTATACAATACACATGAAATGAGATTCAAAATTTACAGATAATCAAACAAAAATAATGAACAATATTGTGAAACGATGATTAGACAGATGATGGTTAGAAATGAACAATGATTCGACCAGATAGTCGATGAACCTGATTGATCATGTATCATATTCGATGAATGATTTGTGTATGCTAAATGATTGTTCAATGTGGTGAATTTTGGTTCATCGAATGATGAGGCAAATACAAATGGTAGAGTACTGGCTGCACCTTTTATCATAGTATCGTATAGGCATGCTAAACGATAATAACCGATTAGATTCTTTTCATAACAATCCTGAAGAACCATATTCTCATCTGTACTTTCACTGGTAATAACACCAACATTCATGTTACCACTATCATCTAATCGTAATTTTGATATGGAAAATAGATCATTATTTTGAATAGGATATTTTTCCAATGCAGATCGAAGTCGATTCCGTTGAGATTTACGAGCTTTTTCTTTGGTGATTCTGTTGTTGACGTTGTCGTGATCCGATTCTTTTTTCGGCCATCTTTTTTGCGTTTAGGTTTCTTGTTTAATGGTCGTTGTTGTCCATTATTTATGGCATGGCTATTACCATCATTATTTTCATGAAAATTAGCATCTCTTTTTTGTATCCGACGACGTTTACGATGTGTATCACCATCATAATCATCATCATCATCTGAAATGTCTTCTTCATGATCATAGTCATCATCATCATCATCATCATCGAAATCATCATTGCTCGAATCATAATAATCATTATTGTCATTATCTTCTTGTGCATCAAGATTATTATCAAAATTTGGCATCGATTGTGAATAATGTGAATTCTGTTGTGCTGTGGATTCTAAGCCAATATTGGCACGTTTTAATTCATTTTCAATGTTGATTAATTCACGATGGTGACAACCAGATTTACATAAAGAAATCGGATTGATTGCATTCAAAACTAGATCTTGACGTACCAAATTTGATTTTGATGTTAGAAATTTTATCACAACATTCAGGAATTTTGTATGAATAAATTGTGAGATATATACACGGGCACCAATATGTTCAAGATGAATGGTTACGACCATATCTTTCATCGATGTATTTATATAGACCATATTATTGAAATTATATACAGAACCATCAGTAAATGTTCCCGCTGGTGATGCTGATTGATTAATAAAATATAGAAAAACACAAAATTAGGTTATCGGACAATATTATCAATGTATATTACCTTGTGCTAATGAATCAGTTTCATAGATTAATTCATTGGAAATCATACACGGATTAAAACGACGAACCAATACGGTCACTTTGGTTACACCGGTTGAATTGAATTGATCTATGACAATAGGAAAATGGAAAAAAAATGAGAAAAAATAATAACAAATGTAAACAAATGTTTTTTTTTTCATTCTCTGTTTACTATCAATCAATATTTTGGAATTTTTTTTTAAACGTATAAAAATTCCAGGGAAACAGAAAGATAACAAGATCATTTTAGTTAGCAAACTATATTGTGTTTACATCAAATTGTTGTCATCTGGCAATATAATATTGACAATTATATTATATATATATTATTTTAATTTTAATAATGATGTACAACAATCGATAGCAATAATGATAAAATTATTACGATTATTGCTTTTCAACCTCTTTTGATAAAATAAAAAATTGACAATGATGATGATGATGATGATGATGATGATAATGTTTTGCCGATAATCCTATTTTCAGATAGCATGATTATTATTATTATCATGATGATCATATATAACAACTAAATTATCCACAAAAAAAAATCACATGAAGTACAAATGATCTTCTATCATAAAAACAAAATTTAATTTAATCATAATATAATCATCAACAACAATAAGTACAAGTCTAGTTTATTATAATTATGTTCGACTTTTTAATGATGGAATGATAATTTTAAAAATTCTAAAACTTACCTAGAATTCTTGTATTGGTAATTTGTACATCAAACAAAGGATGTTCCAACATGGATCTGGCTCCTAAACAATTACATGTCTGATATTGTGAATCAAATGTCCGTAAATGTGGATCACCAAATATAATACAAGTTAATGATGGTGTCATTGGATGAACAGGTTTAAATATCAGTTCTGATGCTAATTGTGCTGTCGTTTCATTTAATCTACTATTCAAATCATTCATTTGTGGTCGCTGTTGTCTTTCACGTTGTGGTTGTAGATGATGATACATAATATCGGCGACACGATCATTTTGTCGTTTATATCTTTGATGTCGCAGAAATGGACGATGTTCGGCAAGGTTCTTTTTATTTGGCAAAATATTCATGCCAATTGTATAGTTATAGGCAGCTTGTAGACAATATTGAAAATATTCTGGTTTGTTTGATTTATTATTATTAAATTTCACTTGAGTGGCAATAACAGGTGATGATGGAATATTGACTAATGAATCTAATGAAATGGGATTTTTTCGATGATGTACAGGACCGGATTTAACCATAGCTTCATTGGATGTTGATAATTGTTGATGCCACGATGATTCGGGAAACATCGAACGAATTGGTGGTCGTTGCGTTGATGATGATGATAATTGATGATGTTGAAGTTTATTTCTTTGTCTATGTCGATTTCGATGATTATTATTTTTTACTCTACAATGTTCCGTTGATTTACGATCCACTAACGAACTAAATGAATGATAATGAATTGAACCATGACAAATTTGTTTGAGATTATCCAAACATTGTTTCAATTCTTTAATTTCCGGACATGACATTCTATCTAATGATGAGAATGAACAATGTCCAATTTTTTCTGTACATGGATTCGATGTCATTGATATTAATGATTGTTCATTCGATGATGATGATGATAATAATGGTTGACTGTTAACGCATAGACATAACATTGATATGAAAATGAAATAATGAAAACTTTTAAATAATTTTGAAAACATTTTGAAATGGATGCGAATCTTATGATTCGTTGAGATCGATGAAATCGAATGGCATTGATGATGGTGATCATCATATGTGATAAACATCATTTTAATCATGGCAAACGTTGATAAAGTAATCATCATTCGTATAGAATGAAATTCAAATCATGAATGATTCGTGTTCATGATGATCCATAATGATTTTATATATCCAACAAAAGGATTATTATTATGACTTATCATATGTGATATTCATAAAATTGAACTCTAGGAATATTATTCCCATGTGCAGGTGTGCAAACAGACATATGCACATATAATAACAAATTTAAGACGAAAAATGATCACATAAATATTGGATTGAAGTTTTTTTTACGAGGATCGAATCGAATACACCAAACACACACACACAGGTGTGTATGAGAGACACACACACAATGTAATATCACTGCAGGTATTCTTCACATGATTGTCATCAAGTGGTGGTCGAATGATGATGATCAAACTCAAACACACCTGGGCTATGACAATTTTAACAACAACAACAACAACAAAAAAACGGTTGCCCAAACTTATGTAAATATAAATTTAGTTTGTTTTTTGGTTGGGGGAGGGAGAGATATTTACTTTGTAAACATAAACGCACGTACATTGAAGGATGAAATAAAATTACTTATTTAAGAAAGATGTATATGGACAGTAGCATTTTTTTTTAAATGGCGCGAATGGATTAGATTTTGTTATGAATGATGATGACCAGCATTGGATCGATTATTATTGAAAAAGATTTTAAATACATAAAAAAATGCAGTGAATTTCATTTATGAAATGATGAGAAAAATCAACACCAAACATTTTAGCTATTCACACAGATTGATTTTTGAAATACAATTTTTAGAGATCAGAATTTTCTATTTTGTGTTGGTTAGAGTTATAGCCATCAAACAAACAACCAAAGAAAGCAGGCGAGCAAATAAAACTTTACAAAAAAATATACTATCTCTCATCTTCATCGCTGGAATGGCAAGTTTTTTTTTCCTATTTCTCTTCTTCTTGATTGGTGTCTATGTGCGCTAGCTATGGGTTTATATCCAAAAAACAAGTTGTTGAATGTACACTCATACCCCGCTTAACGCTGCCCCGTTTAGCGCTGATTCGATATAACGCTGTATAATTACCCTACATTGCATTACATTGTTACATTGTATATGAAGGGTAAAAATGCATTATGTAAAGATAGCCCCGCTTAGCGCTGTTTCGCTTAACGCTCAGAATTTTTGGAACGTAACCCCCGCGTTAAGCGGGGTATTACTGTATGTGTTTGTGTATCTGTATGGTTGGTTTGTTGGTGTGGTATACAATCCAAATAATGATGATTTTCTGTTCTTTGTATGATAGAATGAAAGTCTTGTATGGTGGCCATGGCCACTAAAACTTTACAAAGCTAGGGGCTTTGTTGTTGTTTTCCCTTCTACAAATGGTGTTGACCATTATTCGAACATTATTCTCCCGTTTGGTTCATTTGGTTTCAAAATCATCATCATAGCAGCAGTTAATATTCAAAAGCAACAATTTTTCACACAAGTTTCATTAGTATTCTCATTCTATTACTTGGAATTGAATGGATGTAGTGAAAAAAATGGTTTAAAAATTGTTTGTCGAATAAGAATTTATTGAATTTCTCATTAAATATCGGCGAATAAATATTATGTACGGGGTGTGTACACTTTGTACATTTTTTTAGCATCCGATAAATTTCGGGATTATTTTACCTGTAAATTATTTGCATTTTATATGTGCAAACATATACCGAGCGAATGAGAAAAAAACAACGCTATTCAAATCAAAATACTCATATAATCGGCAATAAGAAAGTTTGGTTGATCATAAAAATTTTTTTTCACCATGTTTGTGCTACAACTACTATTATGAAGATTCAAGTTTTTCGAAATAAAAAAAAAACACTAAACTAAATGAATGAAAGAAACGATCCTTTATAAGCAAAGCAATCTATTTAGCTATAATGAAATGTGGACGAACACACATGGCAAAGGCTATAGAGGTCGTCGTGTCGTGTCAAACTCATCAAATGAACACGAGCGAATTTTTTTGTTGTTTAGTAGTTGTTTCTGGTTTCCCCAGCTTCGATTCATTCGCGATCTTAGCATTTCATTTTGAATGTGTGTGTGTGTATGTGGGGACCTCAAGCTGTTTGCAGATTTTCTTCTTCTTTTTTTATACCCTAAGACACAGACACAAATGAGCTAAATTTATTCTTCACGTTCTTTTGAAATTTTTCAAGAGAAATTATTTTTTTCGAGGTCGGTTGGGTCGAGCTTGCCAATCAATTCAGCTTTAACAACAACAACAACACACAGTACAATACAATTCCGTCGATCCGTGGTCTGAATGGCCATATGAAATGGAATGATGATGTAAAAAAAAAATGAAATGGAAAAGAAAACTATTGAACCAATTTTTTTTTTACTTTTTAATAGCCAAACATAAATACAAACACACACACACACACGTAAACAATAAGAACAACATAATTTGAAAAATAATTATAACAAGGGTGTAACAAAAAAAAAAGAAAAATGTTCGAATACTGATGATGATAATAATGAGAGAAAAAGAAAAAATCGATCAATTCTTTTTTATTATTATCGACGCGAAAAAAATGAATTTGAAAAAAAAACAGAAAATCGTCATTTCAATTTCAAATCAAAACCCGTTCAAATTTTTTTTTGTTCACAAATTCCTTAATCAAATGTGAGGAATATAAAAAGAAAAAAAAATTTCGAAATTATTGAATTTAACTGTGAACTGTGAAAAAAAGGTGTGTCTCTCTCTCTCTCTCTCTCTCTCTCTCTCACATCTTTGTGATTCTTATGAAATGTTTCATGAATATCTTGTTTTAATTAAAAACAAAAAACAAAAAACATTTTTCTACATCTTATCAACTGGTCAAGATGAAAAAAAAAAGATGAACGAGATTTTTTCAGGAGGTAAAAAAAAATCATTTATGATCATAGTTGTGAAGAGGAGGTCAAAATGTGATTACCATAATCGTCGTAAAATAATTGAATTTTTTTTTGTTACAATTCAAATTATAAATTGAATCATATCACGAATTCTTTATATCACTTGTCATTCAATCATTGTGTCTTTGTGTGTGTGTGTGTGTGTGTGGTGGGAGATTAAAAATATGGCCGAAAATTTACCGGAAATTTTCTACACAATAAAAAGATAAGAACCTGATTTTTTGTTTTGCATATCGAAAATCTTTTCTTACCATAATCATAAGATATTGATCAGGCTATACTCCCATAGCTTGCTGTTGTTCGTTAAAGTTCAATGGTCTCCCGATTGGGTTTTTGATTATAGGATAAGATCTTCTTTTGATGATGATGATGATGATATAACGTGTGTACATGTTGTTCTCACTTGCAATATTGCTGGTTTGTTTTTTTTTGGTGCCATTTAGGTGATGAGCTGTCATTTACGATTACGTTATTTCGATTGGTTTATATAATCAAATGAAACTATGTGGTTTTTTTTATAAGCAAAAAAAAACCTGATTAGTATAAAAAAACCTGGTTGTCAAAAGTTATGGTGTCAATAATCTGTGTTAATTCAATATTCTCCATTGAATATTTTTAGTATAACTATCATCAATTTAATTAAGTTGATTTTTCCTTTCTTTTCTTCTTCTTTGGACTATTTGAATTTAGCTTATTTAAATTTAAAAAAACGACGGTATCATTGACATCGTTGTTGTTGTTGTTGTTGTGGATCTTTATTACTACCCGTTTCATGTTACCTCGACCATGGTCATATTCATCTGACACACACTAACACATTGCCATTATAATCTAATCAAAAAAAAAGTGAACAAAAAATAATTTCATTTTGCAACAATTAGATTATAGCCTTTTGAAATCTATCCATACATCGAAACCGGGATACATATTGCCCAAAAAGTGAATGTTGGAAATTTTTATGAAATTTTTTAGAAATTTTTTCTTTAAATTCAGTAGGACACCAACAACAACAATAACAAAAAAAAATTATTTCATTCTTTTGTGTTGTATTGTGTGTGTGTTTGGGATATCAATCTTCGAATGTCAAAAGGAGAATTTTTTTTCTCCTCGTCTTTTTATTATTCAGAAGAAAAAAAAATCTGTAAAAGAAAATTTTTCCAATAGAATCAACTATCTTTTGATGAAGCGACATTTTTGACACTTTATTTTTTTTCCTTTTGCAATTGATATACATTTTCCGATCGATGGATTTTACTTTTTTTTTCTTTTGTTGTTATCATTGGTCATTGGTTACCATCACCATCACCACCATCGCCACCACCACCACCATCGGGGTGTCAAGCGTGTCAAATACGTGTTTCGGTACGCTTTTTTGATGACCCACAACTACCAATAATAAAAGCAACCAATAAGTTTGATGTGAGAAAAAAAAACTCTTTTACGAACAAAGATGACAACCAAGGTCAAACACAAGCATACACACACATGAATATATATAAATTCATTTTATTGTAAAGAACGGTAACAGAACATTTGGGCAAAAAAAAAAATTAACCCGTGACCTTATTGTATTAATTCTATTCCAACAAAAAACCATTTCAAATTATATCGAATTGAAAAAAATTTAGAAAATTGATTTCTTTTCACATTTTGTAAATATGTGGTGGGTGTGCATGTTGTGAAAGAGAGATATTTTCATTGTGTATTCAAAATTTAATCGTTTGAATACACAATGAATGAAAATGGCGAATAGATGAATGATGATGATGATGATGACGATTTTTTTCCATTATTTATCATTGTAGCATTTGTATTGAAAAAATGTTTCATTTGACAAATTTTTCGATTTAGAGAATTTCAGCCAATTTTTTGGAATTTTTTTTTCGAATCAAAAAACGAAACAACAAAGGTGCGTACAGTGTATATTGATTATGGAGGTCAGAGGTTAAAACGTTTGGTCAAAATTAATGGCCATGGGACTAGGAACGAACATATACATACAAAAATACAAATAATGTAACACATCGAATCTTCAAATGCAACACACCTACAGGTAAATAAGTAATTCAAAGACTATAACAACGAATGCCATCCATCGAGAAGAAAACAAAACAAAACAAAAAAGAATAAATTCGAAATTAAAATATTTCAATATTTTTTTTTTACTTTATTCAATCAATTTGAAAGGAAATAGGGAATTTAAGTTAAATTTATCAAACGACAAATTGTTTAGTATTGATTTTGACTTTTTTGACTGATTCGAATTCGAATTCAATCAGTCTGTTTTATTAATATAATGTAATGTGTATGTGTGTGTGTGTGTGTGTGGTAATTTAAATTATTTTCAATAAAAATTTTGATACATTAATTTGCACAAATAGAATGAAAAAAAAGAAAATATATAGAATTAGTTCATATATAAGAATTGAATAACACAATATTCATGGATTGAATGATATTCAAGTGAGAAAAGAAAACACAAGAATTCGAATCAGAATCAGCAATGAATAAAAAAAATGATGAACATGGATACTATATTCATATCATTGATATATCAGAATGTAATTAAATTCATTATGATGATAATTATTATCATTGATTTTTTTTTAATGTCACTGAATGATTATTCTGGTCTGTGAATATATATATGGCGGGGAAGCTGATTTATTAAGTTGTGTAATTAAATGCACGTGAAAAATCACTAGTTTAGTTTATCTTTTCGTGTGTGTGTGTGTGTGTGTTTTTGCTTTTTATAATGTTCGTTGACATTCGTAATCGGTTTATAAACGAGAAAATGAAAATGCAATTTTTTTTTTTTTGGAACACAGAAATCGTATTTATGATGACAAAAAAAATGAGAAACATGGGGATTTAATCAGAAAAAAATGTACAGATTTTTTTTTGTAAAATAATAAAATGAACAAACAAAAATAAAATGAGAGGCAATGGCAAAATTTTATTTAGATTTGGACTATGTTTTTTTTCAAAAAAAATTTGAATTTGATTGCAATTCAAACAAAGAGATAAAGCGAGAAAAAAAATAAATGTGTCAAATGTTTTTTATTTCATTTTTAGGTTTAGGCAAATATATAAATAATAATATCCATCAGTGTTCTATATATGATGATTGATTCCAAACGTGTGTGTAATTATATAACCAAATCGAATATTTGATTCTGTTCAATTATGGAGACATTAATGACAATTAGGCAACATTGAAGGTATTCAATTTCTTTCAAATGAAAAAACAAATAGGCATCATTTACATTTATCATCATCAATTGAGAATTTAATTAAAATCAAAGTCTCCACAAAGTTTATGAGTATGTGTGTGTGTGTGTGTGTGTATCAATGTATCAATCAATCAATGGCAATTTCATCAAACTCTATCAAATTAGAAGGCATGGATTTGACAAAAAAAAACAAAAATTTTGGAAATTCAAATCCACACATACTTTTATGAATAGATTCGAAATATTGCAAATATTAAAAATGAGATCTGAAAAAAAAGAAGAAAAAATTCACAGACAATTCAGTTTTTGTTGAGAAAAAAAAGTGGGAAACATGATGAAAGAGGATATATTTTTTTTCCAAAAAAAAAATTAAATGTGAAGCGTGTTCTTTTAATAATAATAACAACAACAACAACAACAACGATAATTGAAGGGTTCATTAAATTTTAATGATTGTTTTGTTGTTGTTGTTGTTGTTGTTGCGTCGACATTTTTTTTTTTTTGACAAATAACCAAAGAATGTAACTATATTTGTTTTAAATGTGTTGATGATTGTGTTTCAATATTGTGCGATTATGTCATCATTATGTGTATGTGTGTGTGTGTGTGTTTGTTTGTTTGTGTTTCATAGGCCCAATATGGCAGAATCTATAATAATAATAATAATTTTGTTTTGAATGATGAAAGAAAGAAATAGAAAAATATAGAGAAAAGATAATAACTGGATGATAATAAAGATAGGCGGAACACTTTTTTTTGAGATTAATTGAAATTTTTTTTTTTTTTTTTGTTGCTGGAAGATGGACGAATAGGATTAACAAAATGATTGACCATTAAAATGTGTGAATTGTAATTATGAAAAAATTCATTATTATTTCAATGAAAACAGAAAAAAAATGTTGAATGTTTTATAATGAACGCTAGAATTTGATTGTTTGTAAATATATAATAAGGGATTTATAATTTAAAAAAAAACTGACTGAATTGAATTACACAAAAATTCTCTATACAACTATCTCTTTGCTGTCACGGATCGATTTTTGTTGTTGTTGTTGTTGTTGATGCTGCTGCTGTTGTTGTTGTCGTAGGATGTTAGATCGTATCACAAGTTTCTCTCAGATGTTTTTTTTTTTGGTTTGGTTTGGTTTGGATAATTCTTTGATTTTTTCAAGGATAACCTAATATTAATAATGTGCTAAGTCCACAAATGTTTTATTTTGTTGGGGCACTTTTTTTTTCTTGGACAGAATTTCTTTATCCACACTCACACACACACACACACACACACACAGATACATAAACACAAACTGAATAAATCTAAATGGCTGGAATGTGAATGTAATGTAATAAGGACTATTGCAAAAAAATTTTTGTTTTGTTTTGTTTTGTTAGTATCGAGAGATGATGGATTGATTTTTTTTTTTTTTTTACTTCGACGTTTTTGATACAATGTCAACTTGTTGAGCATAATTTTGTTTGCTGGCATGTGTCACAGATAGAAAAAAAAACGGATAAGAAATTTAATTTGATGATCATAGCTCATTGAATGAATTTTTTTTTGGATATTTTCATAGTATAGTCTGTGTGTTTGTATGTTTATGTATGGTCGAATTTTGATGCTGTGTTGATATGAATGATGGAAAAAAATTAATTAAACAATATTTGAAGTGATAATAATAAGCGTAATTTTTTTTTCATCTCTTTCTCTCTCATTGTTTGATTTATCATCATCATCATCATCATACATTCACATTGAGAATAGAAAAAAAAAACAAAATATCAATTCAAACATGAATCAATACATATATATATAGCTATGTATGTTGTGTATGTTTTATAATGCAAATCAAGTGTAACCATTGATTGATAATGAATGAATGAATCAAATATTTAAATCATATAATAGTATAATAATAATAATAATAATCGATTATCAAGTTAGCAAATTAGCAAAAAGTTGATCGTGCATGTTCGTATTATATATTGTATTAATAATAATTATGATCAAATAATAATAAAATGAATAAAAAATATGTTTTTTTTTCTTTCTTTCGATTACAGAATACGAAATAATTTATTGGTATTAAATAATTGATTGATTGATGACAAATACGAATGTGAATAAAAATTGAAAAATTTGTCGTTGTTGTTGTTGTTGTTGTTGTTGTTGTTGTTGTTCCAAGACATTAAAATGTTTAGCAGCGTATGACGAATATCAGATTGATTGAAGATCATATTAGTTTTAACAAACAAAAAAATGAATTTTTTTTTTGAATGAATGAAACAAATAATTGTTCATGTCTTTGTCTGTGTTAGTGTGTGTGTGTGTGTGCGTGTGTATGTATTTTGTGAAGAGGAAAAGATCAAAAAAGAATTTTCATTTCAGTTGTTGCAACTAAAAAATAATTTTCTCTTTTTGTTGAATATAAATTGGTAAAAACAAAAAAAAATTTGAGAATTTAAACACGAAATTTTTTATAGATAAAAGATAATCACATCAATCATCACTTTTGAAAATGATGATGATAAGTGTGATAAACAACTTGAATGTGGTGTGTGTTGTTTAAATAATTGTTTCTGTTTAAGAAAGTCGGGAATTTCTTTGTTTTTTTATTTGGAACACCGAGAAAGCGACACACACAATTCATATATTCATATATTCTCACAACCACACGGAATACACATACAGGCACACGCTTATCGATAAGATGTGTGTGTAAATGTGGTGCGTGAGCAAAAGAGAGCGGGAGAGAGAGAAATAGAAGATAATAATATAGCGGTGGTAATTATCAGGTATTTTTTGCCACTAATTTTGATTACATGATATACAATGATTTTACGAATTAAATGATTAAATATAGGTAATTAATTTTAAAATGGAGAGAATTTTTTTTTGTCACAAAAGAGAAAGAAATGTTTAAGTAAAATTTGGCTGGCGTAAGTAGAGCTCATTATTATTATAACGATAAAGAAAAGAGAATTTCCAAAAAAAAAAGAAAAGAAAACAGAAATTTGAATGTTCGTAGGCAGGGAAATGTAGTGTTTATCAATATTGAATGGATTAACAGAAAAAAGATTGCTAATTCATGAGTTTGTTTTCCAACTGGTGGACCCAAATGGAATTTTTTTTTGAAAAAGAAAGAGATATCAAAAGAATTTTTTTTTGTTTGAAATACAAATGAAAATTTTGATTGTACAAGTCTGCAACTTGACTGTGTGTATGTGTGTGTGTGTTTGTGTGTTGAAATTTTCATCATTGTTTAGGGTAATTGGAAAGTGTTCAATGAGAGGTTTGTGGATGTTTTTATGTTGGTATGTGTATTAGTGTGTATGATGATTCAAATGAAATTCTTGTATGATTCACACGAAAAAAATTATCACCCATTATAATCAATGAAAAGAGAATTTGAATTCAGATTCAACATCAACATAATTATATCCACATTCGATGATAAGTTCAGATGCAGATCAAATTATTTGGCTAGCTGAGCACATAGAAAAAGAGAGAATGTTGCAGAAAATGAATGAGGGGGCCAGATTCATCATTCACGTGATTAAGATCAAGATCAAATTTGGCAATTTTGGCAAAAATAAAATAACAAATGAAAAGGAAATTCTGCTGAATTTGACGAATAAAAGCGAGAATTAAAAGCATCCAATGTGTTTATACTTGTGTGTATGTGTTGACAAGATCGATAAAAAGACCTGTTTGAATGAGAAAAAGATTGTTGAAAAATTGGTTGAAAAGACAATAATAAATCACTTACTTGAAAGCGTTGACTTTGACCGAATATTATGGTTAGTGAATGTGTGAATATAATTCATGTCTGTAAATGTTCAAGTGTGTATAGGGGCAATAATTAATGAATAATTGATTGACTGAGGGTTTTTTTGTTTAAAAGAATAAAATAATTGAAGAAATAATAAAAGTGAGAAAGAGAGAATAATAAACAATCAAAACACAGAAATCAAGCAAGAGCTAAATAATAAATGATCGAGATTTGAATAGATTTGTTTGATAGTATCATCATCATTGGCTTTTTTTTGTCTGTATGTAGGCAAGCGTGGGTGTGTGTGTGATATATAAAATTAACAAAATACTTGTCGTTCTTACACGTATTTTTGTGGTTCTGGTGGTGTGTAATGGTGGGGAAAGTGTTTAATATTATCCGAAAGATGAAAACAAAGAGAAAGAGAAATATCGATACGTCATTTATACGAAAAGGTAATTGATAATAATATAATTAATGAGTGTGAATGACAAGATAATGCACGAGTGACGAATCGACAAATGATTCGCAGAGATTATTTGAATGTAACACATTGTGCTGATTTGTTGATAATCATCATTTTTTTCAGAAATATAACAAGGAAACATTTTCGTTTGTCTGAGGTCAAATTTTGAATCATCATCATAATCATGACAAATCCAACAAGTAGAGACAACTTTGGAATCGATATCATTACCAGTGGCGAATTTCGTTAACTGGTGAAATCGATATTATAAGGACGAATGAAAGAGCAATTCTTTGTAGTAGATTGATACACATCACAATTGAAATTGAGAGAGAGAGAGAAAGGAGAAAGAGAGCCAAAAATGAAGTGAATAAAAGGAATATTTCGCAAAGCTTGATTATGAAAAATTGATACGATGAGATAAATGAAGTTGGTTTCTTCCTCGATCGACATGAATATTCAAACATTCATTGAGAATATATATGTGGGTAATTATGTCTAAAATTATTAATTGATTTAAATTAATTATTCTCACCGGCCAACAGATCGTTAGGCAAGAAACTTTGAATTGTTGGTGTTTGACGATCATTAGTGCCAGCTTGATTGGAAGTGAATCCGCCTGTACTCCAAAGACTGGCACCAGTTGGACCTAATCCCAATGTTGAATTGGAACCAGTGCTCATATCACTCCATCCACTCATCATAGCAGGATTGCCAACAATAGGTGCCGTATTCCAGCCACCGCCGATGCTGTGTTCAGCACCAAGCTTAGAATTACCATTGAATTGATTCTGATGGTGACCGAATGGAAGCGAATTAGGCGTTGAAGAATGAGAGGAATGAGTTGCACCAGCACCATAAGGCAATGAATTTTGGTGATTGGTTTGCGATGAGGAAGCAGCATTATTGCCATAAGACGATGAAGATGACGTTTGGACAGCACTAACACCAACACCACGTTGTGCAGCTGCTGATACAGAATTTGAATGATATGACTGGATTTGTTGTGGTCCGCCACAACCAGCAGTTACCACTGTGTGACTAGCATTTGTTCCATTTGACCAGGTTGCAACTGAAGCAGTAAGAGAATTCGATAGTTGGTTAGCTGTGGTAGTGACACCCCCAAGGGTCAAATATTGTTGAATTTCGTTATCAGTCGGAAAATCTGCAATGATTGTTGTATTGCCAAGAACACAATTGTTCAAAGCTGATTGAGCCTTGATAGCTTGATCGCGATGTGAATATCGTACAATGGCTACGCCATGATTCAACACCATATGGAAAAGACTCAATGGACCATGCTGAAGACAGAGGGTTTTTAATGTAGAGCCATCAATCTGAAAAATTTAAAATAAATTATAGCTAAAGGCTCTACATTGTGTTTGAATTCAATTCAACCTGAGCGGTAAGATTACGCAAGCGTAAATATTCTGATGATCCGGATGATGGACTACTGGTAGTGAGGCCCGAAGAATTCCAAACACTTCCTGAATTTGTTGAAACAGGATTTTGCTGATTCATTTTTCCGGATAATCCTGGAGGGGGACGCGGTTTATTGGCATTAGGCTGTCCGCCGGCTGTATGATTATCACCACCAGAAGCATGATTACTCCACAATGACTCAGAATTCAAATTATATTCTGGAGCATTGCTATTTAACCAACCTCCAGATTTTTTCTGTGAGCCACCACTGTGCTGTGAAGTGATTTTATCACCAGAACCAAACATATTTTGTGTTGCAGAGGCAGGCATAGGGTTGTAAGCCCATGTATTACTATGTGGCGAGGGGTTCGAGAATGTACCACCAAAAGAATCAGTTTGTGTATTCAATAAACCAGGTTTTTGATTTGCAGTACCACCAGTAGTTGATGAAGCAGATGACCACGAGAATGGATCCTTTTGACTAAATGTGTTCAATAATGAATTAGGAGATCGTGAATCCAAAGATGATACTGCGGTAACATCAATATCAACAGCTGATTTAGAACCAGTTTTCCATGGTTTGGTTTGGTAATAGCCATCAAAACGTTCAGAGAACGAATCTGAAACATCATAATCAACGATTCCACCTAATGGCGCAGGAAGTTCGTTTGAACTTTTATCAGTTCCCCAAGTAACTTCTTCAGAAGCAAATCCTGTCCAATTGTTAGAATTTGAGGCATGTGAATTTTGCTTAGATAGTGGTCCAGGTGCGCGAACAAAATCATTATTATTTGAAGATCGATCATCCTGTTTATATGGATTCTTCCAAGTGCCCAACTTGCTACCACCAACATGTGAAGGATTTTGCACAAATGAATCAAAGGCAAGATCATTGGTATTGGGATTCTGATTACCAGGATTTTGCTTGGCAAAAAAATCCGACACTTTTGGTGGAGTTGGAGCAGCAGATGGTGGCATACCAGGCACACGACCACCAGAATTAGGTGGCATCATCATGAATGGAGAATTGCTGGTCGTAGAATTGTGACCTTGAATTTGATTTTGAAGATTGCATATCATCTGCTTAATTTGTTGAATCTTATTTTGTGATGCAGCATCACGCGATGGCTGGATAGTGCGCAATAATTTAAGCTGAGACAAAAGTTCATTCAATATTTCAAGATTGTGCTGTGACATTGGTTGGTTGAGAATCTGAATGATAATAACAAAAATGTAGAATTCTATTTCTACTATATGAAAAACTGTAAAACATACCTGTGCATTGAGAAAGCCAGCATTGATAGCCAGGCGAATCAATTCAACCATTTGACGATTGGGGAATGATGAAATGTTTACATTGCTAGTGTTTGTATTTTGGTTAATACTGCCATTACCACCAGGACCTGAACCAGGAATGGCAGCAGCTTGTTGAGCATTGAATATATTCGAACGCATATTACGATTATCGTTTGTTAAGGCACGTCGATTCATATCATCATTTAGCTCTTCTACAAATGTAAATTTTAGATTTTTCTAAACTATATATCTATACTTTAATTAATTTGAATTAATAACTTACTTAAAGCTTCATCGAAACGCATCTGATTATTTCGCAATGCGTTTTCGATATCTTCCTTCTGTGGTAAATAAAAGATTGGCATCAGATTATATAATTAGATTAGATAGGTCATCAATCAAATACCTTAAAGCCCATGTTTTGTAAGGTTTTAAATTGAGTACTTGAATGAATTTCACGAGATAATTTTTGGCTGTTCATGAGACTGCCCCCAGAAGCGCCAACTATTCGATTTTGTAACAAAGGATTAGGTGCTGTCCAATGGCCAGTGTCGATTGATGCCGAAGGATGATCCATCCAATTTGATGAACTGGAAGGAAGGCCAGCCATCGAACCTGTTCCACCAGGTCCTGTTTTCGGATTATTTGGTTTATTGATATCATTTGCAGGCCAAAGTAGACTAGAACTAGAAGGCGAGTCCGAAAGCCATGATGATGTCTGGCCATTAACTTTGGCAGATGAATCGGCGGCAGTTTCAATTGTATTCCACAATGGCGATTTACGCTGTTGAGTAGTATCGGACGCCCATGGCGTCGAACGATTTGTCATTGTCATTTGTTGATTAGGCTTTTGTTGTTGCAGGATTTGATGACTATTGCTAACACCATTGGATATGCTACCAATAATACTACCGTTAGTTGGATTTAAATTCATTGTACCTTTGTTCCATCCATTAGAGCCATTTTTGTTTTGGTTGGACATAGCTGATTGAATATCCAAGAATTAGACATTTGAATAAATAAGATGCTTTACTCACAATTATTGCCACCGAATTTGGTATCTTTCCAATTACAAATCGGCTGTTTTCCTTGACGAATGGTGCTACTCCACAAAGCAGTACCATCATCAACAGGGCCTCCTCTTTGCGAATCTATGGATTCTTTATCCCAACCAGATTCTTTTTTGCATGAAGATGGATCGGAATTCCAAGTGCCAAAACTACTGTCAGTAGCGATTCGTTCCCAATTCTGTTCCGACTGGTCAGCATTATCAAATGAGCCCCATGGTTTACGGGGAACGTTTTTCGTTGAGTCGAAACTTTTTGTTTCATTGGTTTGATTCCAACCGGGGTTTGAACCGGAATCGTATGATGGCGTTTGATTTGTGTTCTGGCTTGGCAATATTGGTCCATTCGTAGATGACCAATTAATACTTGAAGAATGACCACCACCAGCACTGCCACCATTACCACCACCACTAGTAATGGGATTAGGCACCCAATGATTTGTCAAGTCAGGATCTTCATCACCCCAAGTGCCGCCAATTGAAGGAGCGCCTGATTGCCCCCATGGTAATTGAGTAGAGATGCTGCCCGATGATCCAGGAGTGGTTGCCGTGGGACCATTCATTTGTGGACCACCATGAATCACACCAGGAGCATTAGGTTGAATACCATTGTGATTATTGACCATTGATTGACCAGTTCCATTGCCATTACCGTCTTTTTTCTCTTTTTTAACAGCTTCCCAAATCTCGGTTCCTGAGTTGACTGGACAACGCCATTGTGACGTATCCTTTGGACTGGATGATTGCGGGGACGGAGGCAGATTCCAAGGAGAATCTTGATTTATCACCTGAAAATATAATAGTAATAATAATAATTTAATTTAATTAAATTGATTGTTGTAAAAAATGCTTACAGGTGAACGCCATTTTTCAGTCAACAATGTTTCACGTATTTCATCACTCAAATTACCAATAACATCTTTTATATTAGCAGTTGCTATGGAACGTTTACCACCCATGTTACCATTACTGCTTAGGTTTTCATTCGAAGATGAAGAAGCAACCGATGATGAATTATTATTGGAACTGTTTACGGTGTTGTTTTGCGAATTTGCTGCTTGTTGAAATGCTGAAATAGTTGAATTAGAACCGGTGGTACCATTCTGGGAATTGGAATTATTGCTGCCATTATTGAGGATGGCTACTGAGTACGACGAATCATGACTAAATTGGTTATTTTGAGTGCCAGATGACAAGGACGTAACACTTGTCTGATTTGGTCCAGAAGAGGAGGAAGAGACAGAACCGATGTGATTGGAATTGTTGGCGTTTGATGATGATGATGATGATGATTGAATAATCACATTGTTGACTTGGTGGGAATTGTTGTTTCCGCTACCGGTTGATTGATTCTGATTTCCAGAGGCCAAAAGACCTTTACCGGCAGCTTGTGCCCATGAGCTTGATAGTTTTGGTGATGATGACAAGGCTTGTTCGTTGGTTGAGACGGAAGTTGAGACCAATGATCTGGATTGTTGCCCACTATTGTTTTGCCAACAATTCGCTGTTGACGAGCCGCCGCCAATAGCAGACACGTTGGCATTGTTTGAACTTAAACTGTGATTATGATTATGATTGTTACCGGAAATGTTATTGGCACCAATGGACGACGACGTTGAGGACGAAGCGTTTCCCCAATCAGCACCGGAATTCATCGGTGGCATCATGCCCCAACCGGTGTTTGAAGTCAACGATGAATCATCACCGTTACCTAAAAGACCCATCTTGTGTTTTTTTAATGGGCGATAGGTCTTTTAAAATCTTGAAATAGTCAAGGACAATCAATCGTAAGGTGTAGTTTTTTTTGATTTTTCTTTGAAAGTAATGCAAAATTAACACCAAATCTGTTTTTCGATGATTATAAACGAAATAAGATGTTTGTGAATATAGAAGTTAAGAATAATTCATATATGATATCATTAAGTGGACCAGGCATAATAAATGATGAATGAATAAAAAAATGGATAATTTTGATCATAAAGCTAAATAGATACGGATTATGTATTTATGTGGATATTTTTTTCACTTCACTTAAATTATGAAATTATGAATGATATTTAGGATGATGAAACTTGTTTGTTAGATAGATTGATGAACATTTAAATTCGGCAATTTCTGGAATTTGTCTTCAAAAACTTTGACTTTGGAAAATACGAAACAAATAAAAACCAAAAAAAATTCGAGGGCCAAAAAAAATAAAAGCATCAAAATATATGAAATGATGTCTTTGTATGTGTTGATTTAAATGTGTATGGTATCGGTAGTAGTAAATAATAGTGAGCAACAAAAAAAAATCGAGTGCAAGAAAACTCCAAATATAGATACGACGATGCAAGACGATATTGGAATTGGTGGTTTTTTGTCCGTTCAATATCTTATCCCAATATTTGTGGCGTGGATCCTTTTTGTATGCAAATGTTGGTTGGAGAAATTTGTATTTTTTTTTCAAAAGCCAAATTTGATGAGGCAATTCGATATTTGTTTGGTGGTTAGCTCACAATTTGGTTTTCGAATGAGATTGTGATTGATGATATCGCATTCGTTGATTTTTTCTCAATCTAAACTTGAATGATAAACACTTTGGACGTGTTGAATGCGAATCATATTGTCAAGAAATAAAGATATTTGTTGTTGCTTTGTTCTTTTTAAGACATCAGTCGATGAATAAGTTTGTAATATTTGTCTTTTGAATATTATTAATATCAAGCGCAAAAAGATCAACTGATAAATGACTGTTGAATTTCTTTGTTTTGTTGTTTTAGATTCGAGAATAGTTTGAGATCTGTTTCGAAAATGAAAATAATATAATACATATATAATTAGTATCATAATTTATATAAATCAAAATTAAAAATATAAAAACAAAAATAAATAAAAAAAAATGTTTTGATTGTAAATCATCCAATGTATATTACATCTAATCAGATTTGGAAAAAATCAAAATGCAAATCGAAACGTGATTTTTTTTTCGTTTTGAATCAAATGGAATGGAATGGGCGTTTTTGAAAGATCCAGAAATGATAGAAACAATAGTTTTTGTCAAAAATAGGCACACACCTAATGAATGAAATATTAAATCGAGATAAAATGAAACAATTTATACCACCAGCCTAGTAAACATAATTCCTCTTGATCACAAAATTGTTTTAATGAACAAACTCTATAGTATAGAATTGAAAATTACATATTCTCGATTTATTATCATTTAAGAAGTGGCGAAAAGAACCACTAAAATTACGGAAAAACTGGCTACAAGACAAACAAAATTCAAGAAAATTTCAAAAGGGTGAATCGGATGCTGAGCTTTGACACACACAAAAAACAAACAGAAGAAAACAAAATGCTGAATTATATTAGTTGCAAGATGAAAGCAATTTATAAACTAGATTCTTCATCACTGTATATGTGTTGTGCATGAATAAAACGTTAGGTTAATGAGGATGATAATAATCACAAACTTTATCCAACAACCATAGTTGTAATAATCAAGAACGTACCAAAAGAATATCGTATTGCCATTTGTTAAAGAAAAAATTGTTGAAAAAGAATCAACAATATCATCATTTCTTTTCGTCATTTTCAAAATTCAATTTCACATTGAATGTGCTGCTGATGCTGATTGTTTATTACAGTATAGAATCATAGTCATGATGATTTCGTAGATTTATGTGAATGATGATGTATTTGCTTGCGAAAGAACAAACAGCAGTAGCAACAACAACGACAATGATGACAACAATAAAACGGGCGACAAATTTACCAATTATTTTTTCTGGTAAAAATGTTTTCTATAGATTACTTTTTCTCTATGTGTTTTGTTGGATGGATGGAAAAATAAATGGACGAATGCTTTTGCTTACTTGGCTTGGATGAGGTTGGCTAGATGATAGTTTTGTGGAAGATATATTTTTTGTTATTTTCTTGTTTATTAGCTCATCATCTCCAATATCAACGAAGACGACGACGACGACAACAACATCACAAAAAAGTCTATGTGTATGATTTGCTCGTCGGTAAATATACAAAGTTCCTAATCACAATATATATAAAACGAACAAAACAAAACCAAACCAAACCAGACCAAATCAAAAGTAATGAGAGCAAAACACAACATATACACATACACAATTATTACAAGTTGAGAAGCAGCAGCAGCAGCAAAAAAAAAAGAGGGAAAAAGTGAGCAGGATTGTGTGTGTTGGAAAAATGCGTCATTGTTAAGAATTGTTGCGATGGTGCTGCCAGTCTCACTGCATATCAAAACTTGCTTACTATTATCATTTTGCTTCAACTCTCAGTGGTGGTGAATTTATCATTTACGAGCTAAACTCATCCATCTATACTTCGTATAATGTACATACAAAAGTTAACTTAAAAGTATGTATGTATATGTATGTGTACCGATAGCTGATAATGGCTGACGTTTGTTTGGCTTACATTCAATTTCAATATGAAATGTCGTATTCCAGTGATTCTCAACCTTTTTTTTTTGTTGCGGTACAATATTTTAACGATTTCAAAATTTTGGCGGCACAATTTTAGAATTTCGTGGCACACAAAAGTGCCGCGGCACAGTGGTTGAGAATCACTGTCGGCATATTCAATACACCATACACACAAGTTGAGAGAATGTGCCATCGACGAGTTTTTGTTAATGTGGTCGTACTAGGTTCTGTGTATGTGGAGGATATGGCTGCTTGGTATATATATGAGATATAATAACGAGAAAAAAAACCTGCAGGTTCCATGGAACAAGATCATCATTACTGCTGGAAAAAAAAAATGCCTTTTGATGCAGAGATCCATATGTAATAACAACGTTAGCTCATTCTATACATACAAATCATATAAACAGCGACAATGTACAAAGAGAGATGTTATCCGTATTTCTCTCCTCTCTGATTATATAAATCCTGAGTAGCATAGAAAGGGACAGAGCAAGAAAACTCCTAAGGAGCGAGATAAACACGTCTACAAAATATCATTTTTTCAAAGGAAAAATAACTAACAAGCAAATTGTGGATAACAATATGGCTACCACCAGTTGTTATTTCCAATGTTGCCGTGTTTACAACGATAATGATAATGACGATGATGATCATTTGGTTAGATAATTTCCATTGAAATTATAATCAATTATTAAAAGATGGATTTTTTGAGTAAAAAAATTAAATTTTTTCCATTTGAAACTTTATTTTTTTTATTTTAAATGTAAATATCCTGACGACACTTGGCGGTCGTTTTAGCCATTTATTTCGTTAGTGAATAGTAGTAGTATGAATGAATGTTATGAAAAATATAGGTTCATTTTTTAGATTTACAATATTCGCCTGTTCATTCTTTTTTTTTTTTTTTTTTTTTGATAACATTTTACACGCATGCGTTAACCTTTTCGACTATATACACAAATATATAGTCGATATACTTGTATACAGAATATAGAATTTCTTGAATTTTCGAAATGATATTCTTAATCTGATGATGATGAGAAAATTCTAGCAAAATAGAAATAGAAAAAAAATATAAATATCATTCAATGGCTCCATCTTTTACACAAACTAGGAAACAAAAAATGAAAAACTTGAAAAAATGATTTTATATATTCTTGTATATTCGATGAACAAAAAATGGCAACTTAATATTATTGAACTACCAGTAAAGATTCAAATAATGAAAGCCAATTCCAAATGTCCAGATGGACATATAAAATAATTTTTATATCAAGTCTTTTATTTTTTCTTCCTTCCTTCTTTTCTTCTACCTACCCCTGAGAAATGAAAGACAAAACAATCATGGCCTATTTATAGATTTAACAACATATAAATAGAGAAGTATTTTCATTATTATCAATCAATATGACACTATAAGTTATTTTTTCACTAGTTGTTTTTTACATAAGTTGTTGTTGATGTCGTTAAAAGAAAAATTCGTAAACAGTTTTAAAAATAGAAAGCTGTAGCAGATTAAAAATTCTTGCATTTTCTAAGGGTTTTTTATCAACGGTGTTGCATTGCAAATATTTGTTTATTAAAGGAAAAAAATCGGCAAAATATTGGATATATGCAATAGTAATAAAATGAAAACAACAATCAAGATTAACAACGTGAATAATGAATATAGTCTGTCATTTTGCAGGCAGCAAGAGAATTGAATAAAAGATCTTTTTGATACGTTCCAAAATAAGAATGCAAAAACAACAGAGAAAGTTACAATCGTTCATCTTTTCTATAGAACACATGACACCTGTTGTTGCCACTAGTTAGTTTTTTTCTGAGCATACATTCGGAAATAAAAACAAGGAACTACTATATTAGCCAAACCTCGAACAACGATCTGTTCCTCAATTTTAACGGTTAAAACTAGACCGAAATGGCAATTAAAATGAAAATTAAAAAGTGGTAACAAAATTTACAACAATGTGCTACCGTTAGAATGAATCTAGTGAAAAATAAAACAAATCAGTGAAATTTACTCATTATTATCTTCAATGATGATGATGATGATGATAATCACGATCAAGATGAAGTCAATCCAAAAAAAATTTCAAATTATTTAATACTGACCTGTTGTAGATGTTTTATCATTTTTTCTCTTTCTGATTATCCTCCTTCTCATTATCATGACATGCTATTATCAATGCACCTACATATAAAATTCAACAACGAAATCATTTCCCATTTCGATTGTGATGAAATGTAATTAAAATGAAATCTAAATGCCCAATAAAAATAAACTTATCCATCATCATCATTATTTATTTTTAGATAAAAGAAATTCATTCAAAATAAAAAAAAACAATAAGCTATAAACTATAAGACGATGATATAAATTTATATATCAAATTCACATCATTGCCATATCTATTAATTATAAAGTGTATGTGTCAAGAATTGAAAAGTATTTTGGACACATAAAAACAACAGCTACAAAAGAAATTAATACAAAGACAAAAATCGTTCATAATGGTTGGGAATTTTTTCATGTATGGTATTGATTTTTTTTCAAAACAATTTTCAATGAATGACTTAATTCTTCATACTTTAAACATCAACATTCAAAATGATATCAACAGATGAAGATTAAGTATTCTATACTACTTTTTAATAAGATAGAAAAAATGGCTTGACTTTAATGATCTTTGATCAGATTGATAATGATACAAGATGATCTGATCTGATTCGATGTCAAATGAAAAAGAAACTGATACAATGTATGATATGAAAAAATTTTATGATTAGGAGATCGCTATCACAGAAATGACATGAAACTGACATAAGCAAATCGAATGATGTTGAACACCAATCTATCAATAGCATGAATGTTTGTCATAGTATAGGACGCAATCGCTATTATCATGGTGATGATATTCGAAGCTTGAAAAACATGGAACAACAAGTTAATGTGGGAAATCGAAAAAACATCATCATGGATACGATTTCATTTTACTATTGTTCACATTACTTATCAATGATCATTATAAATAATAAAGTTTTTTTCCTAATAACTTGATTACAAATTCATAATATAAAGCTGGACAAACCGTAATTATTCGTGAAATGAATACAAGGAAAACAAAGTAGAAACACGCCGTTAATTACAGACAGTAAAATGACTGGTCGATAAATAAATATATTGAAAATATATTGTTTGAGTGCAACTCGTGGTAGTAAAGTTATTATTTTGCCAAAAATATATCATTGACAAAATGGTACACATTATATATTGAACCAATTTGATGATTTGGCTTTGTCATTTTTCTTTGATAAATTACTCATGAAAAACTGTATATGAGTTCACACAGCCCAACAAAAACTAAATGAATTATAATTAAATTAACGGTTACACCACCATCATCATTAAACTATGATCGTAGATAGAAACCAGGTGAAAATCATTATTCGAATTTTTTGTTTTTTTTTCTAGCACATTCGTTCCCTTTTGTTTGCCTTCAATGAATGTCATCGATATATTGTTATGACAATAAAAAAATATGACAATAAAAGAGATAATGAAGAAAAAATAAAAGCAAAGAAAAACAAATGAAAAAAATGAATTAATATACTATTTATACTCACATTATCATTAGTATTTTTATTTAGATGAAATTTTTTTTGTTGATTATGAGGATGATTGTGAATTGAAATGTCGTAGTCTTAGAGATATATTGCGCAACAATTAATAAAAGTTTCAAGATCTTTTATCAATTTGAATAAAAATAATAATTTGAATGCCATATAATGCAAATAATGATGAAAGGTGGGAGAAGAGGAAAAGAATAGAACCAATGATAAATGAGTATATCACTTGATAGCTTTCACTTTTTTTTCTTTAGTTTGAAAATAAATGAGATACGTTTTACCAATGATGATATACGAATAATTAAAAAATGACACAACAAATTTAGAGTTGACAACAATTTTGGGTGGATTGCGTGTTTGAGAAATATTTAAAGGCAATTAAATGGATAATAATAATGAGATTGATTCGTATTCGGGTTGTTTTTTTGCTTCTTAGAATTAAAAAGTTCTATGGTTTAAAATCACAAACAATGAATTACATCCGTTATCTTTGTCTTTATTGTAGCTGTTGGATCATCATTGTTGTCATAGCCGTCGTTATTTATTAATTGTATGTTGTTCGATTTTTTTCGTAATTGGATAAAGAGCTGCCATAATTGTCAATGATGGACCAGGAGAAGGAATCAAGATTAATTGGAAAAGCTTAATCAATATGTTTGCCACGTGATTACCAGATTGAAAATTGATTAAGGGAATTCCTAAGAGATTGATTTAACTGAAATGAATGACTGATTGATCGAATTTGATGAAATATTGAACACTAAAAATATTTAAAAAATAATTTCATAAATTTTCACATAAGATATTCAGGAATCGAAATTCAATGAAAAACAAAAACAGTATAGAAAAAATGATATTGATTAGATCATATCAGGAATGTTGAAATGGCATATACACAACACATAAAAAATGGAAAAAAAAGACATGATAAGCGATTATGATTGAAGAAGGAGTGGCTGAAGGTGGCGTTGGCAAAGAGAATAATTTGTCAGGGTCTAAGATATACGTTCAATGGTGATTGTAATGATGTTGATGACGATGATGATGATGATCATTGGCCCTTTGAATAAATGGCGATGAAGAAATGATGTTTACCTTGATATTTTTTTCAGTTTGAAACTTGAAGAAAAAACCACGATTCAAATCTACTTGACTTGTTCCGACTATGTTTTGTGTTGTATGAGATACGTGTAGTTTTCGTTTTTTATGCCAAATGATATGAATTTTGGTGTGTATTGTATTGAAAACACAGTTATACACACATAAACAAAGAAAAAAGATTCAAACAACAATCTTGGAAAATTACATATGGAGTAAAGTCAAAGAACGGGACAAGATGTTAACAACTATACATCATTCAACCTTTCAATGATGATGATTGTTGAGAAAAAAAATGAAATGAGAAAAACAGAAAAGAGAACACGTTGAATTGGCTTAGATCCATTTTCATTTTCTTTCATGTTGTTTGGCCCAATGATGATGATGATGACGATGATTAACAAAGCTCGTGCACTTTTTTCTTTCAAAGGTATATGCAAGAAATTTCGCTATAACTGTGTGTAATGAAGTAAAAAAAAAAACAAAAACAAATACAAACGTTCGATTATTATTAGGTGAAATGGAGAAAAGTCTAATTAATAATTATGATCGATAGTACAAAGGTTTGTGCGTATGATTTCAAAAGGAACAAAATTAACAGGAAACAGAAAAATACAATTTCAATTTGAATACAATCTGAGATCGTTATATCATAATGAAAACCAAAACGATAATATCTCATTTTCGGTTGTAATAATGATGAAATGAATGAGAAAAATTTAATCAAAAAAAATCATCTAAAAATTGATTGATCACAATTTATAATAAATTAATATAATTCTGCAAACAACTAAACTTTCTACATCTTTTGAATCGATCCATTTGGTATTTGGATATATTTTTAATGATAATCAAAATACGAATAATATCGTTACTATTTCATACTTACATTCGATGATGATAATTACAGACCAATTCTGGTGATTACGATGATCGAAAAGAATGGCAAAAATTTCAATTATTATTCAAATAGATAAATTCATCAACAATAACAATCATATATATGCACATCTTTAAATTGTTACGATCCCAGTAATCGTAACACTATAACAACACTCAATAACATTCGAACGAATATACGGTCATAAACGAGCTATTTACTAAATATAAATGAACACGAATAACAAAAAGATACTGAAATGGAGGAGAAGCATATCTTAAAGTTGAATCCAAAGAGTATACATTCTCTCATTGTGTATATAATTATAAAGTAAAGCCATTTCAATTATCATTGTATTGTGCCACTACCATTAATTTCATTTTTATACAAAATGAGAAAAATGTATCGACTATTGTGAAATGGAATCAAATTGATTAAAAATTATGTTGGTTTTTATTTTTGAAATTGTCAAATTCATCAATTCAAATAATTCATCACATTAAAAGTTTTATCATACATTCGATATAATAATAATAACGAATTCTAAATTCTATAATTTTAGTTTACAAATAATAAATTCAATTTTATTTTGGCGCTTGAATTTTTTTTTTTTTTTTTTGCAACAATAAATTCACAATGATACATTTTTATATATTGATGCTTCTACCATCACAGTGGTAGTAGCAATATCCATAGTTATGAATTAAAACAAGAAAGAAAAAAAAATTAGGACACATGCATACAGAGGAGGGAGTGCTGCAGACTCAGTCAGCTCTTTTTGTCAACACGTATTTATATATATACGGTTTTCCATTGAATTCGGATTCTCTGTTACATAAATAAAAAAAAAAAAAAAAATTATTGTTGTTGTCATGCGATTAGATCGCATGCGCGTCAAATATGTTTTATTACATTTCCTACAATCTATTGGAACAAAAGCTAACAAAAAATTATATCCGGGATGTGTAATGAATTCGATAGGAATTCAATACATTGAATGTCGGTGGATAAGGTGTGTGTGTTTGTCTGTAAGAAGGTTTTAGAATTTAATCTCTATATAGATAGATAGATATAGATTTTTAAACATGTTATATGAATATTTGAAAAAATAGTCACGTTTCAAACGTAATTTTTTTTTTTAATTTACGCTCAATCACAATGATTTGCACAATTAGATTGATAGTGGAAAATTAAAATCAAGATTAAATCAAACAGTAGGAACATTGTGAAAATAACACCAATGCCTATTATATTAAATCAGGTGTCTGCGAATAGCAGCATTATTTTTATTTTTTTTAATTTAAGCAATTTATTCTTGAAATTGTTTACACCAACAAATGTTTCATGATACAAAATTATCAATTTATCCTTGTCAGACCAGAAACTAATCCATCTAAAAATTACAATTCAAAATTTGTCACCCAAATGATCACAGATAAATATATACAAAATTAAAATCAAAAAAAATCAAATTATTTTATGCTTTGGTAAAAAAAAAAAATTCAAATATTTGGAATGTGCTGCCATCTCCATTCCAATGGTGATAGTCATTTAAAATGTTCGTTGAATTTTTTCCTCTCTGTTTTCATTGTGATGACTAAAGTTGTCAAGTTTATTTTAACCGGCACATTTTCGATATTTATTCATCATATCGAATCAAATTAATCATATAATAATAATAATATATAACATATGATATTGAATAATGAATCGTCACTTTATTGTCGAAACTGGTGGACATTCTTTTTTGCGCAAATTACGAAATTGTCTTCAAGGTTTAGATGAAGAAATTGAAAAATTGGAAACAATTACCAAAGATGTAGATGGCAAAAATTTGCCACGATCATATTTTCAACGAGAAACTTTACTTCTTAATAATGTCGATAAAACACTGGTATGTTAAATTTGATCATGATTTTTTTTCTATTTGTTAACTATTATTTATTCATACAGCTTGAAGCAGAAGACTTGCATTCAGAAATAATTGATGAAAAGATTAATCTTGATTCTTATGAAAATCGGTTGCTCAATCTTCGTGAACGCTTATTAAGATATGAAGAGGATAAAAAACTATTATCTCAAAATTATCAACCATTTCGTCCCAAAGATTCTAGATTAGAAACTGATGACGTAACAACTGAAGAATTAACGGATGATCAATCAATTGAATTATCCGAAGTAATTGATAATGATTATGATCAAATGACCAAATGTTCTCAGAAACGATTGAATTTGGATGATAAAATAGATGGCAAATCAAACAATAATTGTGATAATATTATTTCACAAAATGACAGTTTGGATGTCTCAGCCGATAATGATTGCAGTTTTAATATTTTGTCAACAGCTCGAAAAGCAGCTGCCATGTCTGCTCAAAAGCAAAAGCAACTGCAAAATTCTGTTAAAAAATCTGCTCGAAAAAAATCTTCAAAAATCGATTGGGTCAAACGTGATAATCCAATGGCAGCACGTGCTTTTGCCATTTATAATCGTTGGGTGAAAACAGACCATGATGACAATGATTCCGATCAATCCATTATTATTGATCAAAATTTGCAGTTTAAAGAGCCAAAGAATGCATCATTCGAACGAAAATATTTATCCAAACTAGATGATCAAATTAAATTGTCCGGCAACAAGAATCGAATGACTCCCAGAGTTGCCAATAGTCGAATGGTGGAAAATTCTAAAAATTTACAAGAATATGAAACGGTCGAATTCACACCGGGCATGACAACCAGAGTACGAAAATCTACAGAAAAACGACATACTTGATTTTAATTATTTTTTCAAAGTTATAATTGATGAAATTCTTTTTAATTAAACTAATAATAAATCAATACTTTGATTACCCAAATAAAATTTTAAATTTGCGACTCGCGCTTCTATGTCACGTACTATTTGACGGGTCGAATTTTACTCCTCACGTGTGCAGCAATTTTGTATAATCATGTTTTCGATCGCTTCATTGATTCCAAAGATTCAATCAGCATCAAATTCAATAGGAAATAATTCAGACCATGTTCCTAAGCCTAATCTAACCCTAGCCTAATCTGATATCATGTGTTGAACATGGTCAAACTATTCTTGAATTGGATGCTGAACAATGGAACCGCCGAATTGATCTCGAACATAATCATCAATCGAATTTCAATTTGATGATTGTAAAATTTCAGGAACAAACCTAATAAAAAAAAGATAGACCAATCTTTATTAGATATGAAGAATGAATATGTCGACTTACCGAATTCCGACAATTCAATGCAGGCATGTTCTGAATAGACTTTTGAGAAATGTAAGTGTTAGAATTATTGATTGATAACGAAATTCCAAAGTTACCTGATGACGAATATAATGTTTCATTGGACATTGTACCATGTTAGTGACCAGATATCCACCAATAAATTTGTAATGTTCGGCATCATTACCATGATTGTTTTTCTAAAGACGGCATTATATGATTCTAATGACCATTGATTTTATGCTTCAAAAGACAAGGAAAATTGTTAGCATTTTCAATCAAAGGCAAAATGTAAATTACCTCATTGACCATGTTTTCATATATTAATCCGAATTCCATACATTGTCATACATCAAGTATAATGGACTCTGAAAAAGAAAACTTGAAAAGGATGTGATTGAATACAATTTGATGAAAAACAAAATGTCATAAATACATTTGAAAGTCATCGAAAATGGAATTTTTTCATGATTACATGATGACCGAACCAAACGATCTTCATCGATTTCGGGGCCAATTTTTGATCTTAGACCACAATAAGTTTTAACAACGATAATCTTGAATCGATTAATTTCTTTGTTCCAAAATTTACTGCAAAAATCCACGATTAAAATAGAAAAAAATGAAAAAATATCACGACATGATCACGAAAAATAGCTCAAAGTGAGGACAACCGTCTTCGACGACCGTTGAGTTCGAATGTTCGATTTTCCAACGATCAAATTCAAATTTGTATGGAGAATAGAAGGGGAAAAGAAGCGCGCGACATTTGCATTGAAAATAGTTAGCTGCACTACCACTATTTGACTATGCGCAGTTGCCCATTAGTTGTACTTTGAGTTGAAATTTTTGGCGGCAAAATGAATGCATTATTTTTGCCGTAGACTTAGCATGAAAAATGAATAAAAAAATCCACTCATGATATGATAGATATTATCATATCAGATGCATAATTGATGAAAAAAATTATGTAATTTCAATGGAAAGTAAAAATTGACCTTTATCACATATTGATCATTAGTGATTTGAGCCAAAGAATTTTCGCCACTGTTTGATAAATTGGTGTCAATTTGTCAGGATTAATTGATTGATGGACAGTTATTTCATTCAAAGTCGAGCTATTTATTTATTTATTCAATAAAAACCCCTATACCTCAAAAATGGGGGGAAGAAAATAAATTATAAATTTTTAAAATCATATTTAAAGAATTATAGCCAAATACATAAATTCTCTTCATGTAGATCATGTAGATTTACATCACATTGATTTTCAATTAAAGTTCGTTCCGCACAAATAAACAAATCAGATGAATAGAACTGTGAGCAGTATTACCACAAAAACAAGACGTCTTATAACGATAGCCAATGCAGGTAAACATTGAATTTTCCATGTCCCGATAAAAACTGAGAGAACATAAAATGTAGATCGATAAGAATTATTTTGCGATCAGATGGAAAAAATCTTTTAGTAACTTTGCGATCTTCACTCATTATTTTTTTTATTACGGAAAATGGGGGATAGTGTGGTTTTAAGAATATCGATATATTCTTCAGAATTCACACTATTGGAGCACAGTCTCAACTCTGATCTCCCACCATGCCTATTGTTAAGAAATAATTATTAAAACATGCTAAAAAAAAAATCTTACCATATGGCCCCCCAAACCATCACACTGAAACCGTTGTGCTTAACCGTGGCTTGGAGCCTCTTGGCTTGGTATGCCTGATTCTTCTTGCGATACACGAATGTGCGATAAGCATCGCTAAACTGAGAAAATCGACTTTCGTCGGAAAAAATTACTTTTTTCCAATAATCAAGAGGCATTTCAGCCATTTTATTGACCCATAAACGACGCTTGTTTATGTTTTTCTTGGATAAAAGTGGTTTTTTTCTTGCTATTCTGACGTTATATTCGGTCATCTTGGTGTATTTCTGTACCGTATTTCTCGACACATCAAGATGATTCGCCAATTCTTTGCCTTTTATTGCCGGTGTTTTTTCAATTTGACGACCAAGTCTTCTCAATGTTTGCTCTGTTGGACCAGGCCGACCTGGTGGTTTGATGGCATTTGTCTGCCCATTTTGACGATAAGTCTTGATGATATGTTGAACATTAGACTTACTTCTCTCCACTTTTTCGGCTATTTTGCGGATACTCAGCTCGTCTTTGTGATATTGAATCACCATCCGTCTCAATACCGTCTTTTCTAGTTGTTTATCCATGTTTTTTTTGATTGAAAATTAAAATATATTTTTAAATATAAATATATGAATGAATGAATGAATGAAAAAACAAATAAATAAATCAATTGATCAATTGATGAATAAATCGATAAATGAATGAACTAATGAATTAATCACTGAATAATCGTTGGTTTTCAATCAATTTATCCTTCTCTTTAGGTATGCCTGCTGCAGTGCAATAAAAGTTCTAAAATTAGAATATATATCATACAAAATTCAAAAACCTACAGCTTTGTGGCTGGTGAATAAGCGATGAGAATGGAATGAGGTGGCAAGCCTGATAGTGGATATAAAATCAGATTGATTTGGGGGGATGATTTTGTCTTTTTGTTTCAATCAAATAAAAAATTAATTTTTGGTAAATGATAAATGAATTGGCGGCGAAGATTTGTTTTCATGAGTATCGAAGAATTGAATTTGTCGTGGTCTTAATAAAGTTAATCTCTAATTTTATATATAAAAAATTATATAAATCCATGTGGACATATTGTATTTTTGATCATTTTATGATTTGAATAGTCTGAGCTGTGCTTGTTAAATTGTATTTTCGTTTTTTTAATTCTAACCAATAATATGGTATGAAATAATCGGGTAACGCAACAGCTAGTTTCATATCATTGGAATTTCCTTTTCAAAATGTTTCTTAACAATGTATTTGAGCCGGACATGGGGATAATGTTTGTCGACAACCTTCGTTGTTACAATAGCAACGACAACGAAAATGTTTGTCAACTTCTTTGAATGATGCAGTTGCCATTTGAAGTTCACCAAGACCATCTTCATCGTTAGTTGCATCGACATCCAAAATTATCATCAGAATTGCAAACCGATCATGTCTTATGAACGGATTCGATCAGATACAGAACTTGACAAAAGTTGCGCTCTCGATGTCAATGGTATCATAGTCGTTTAGATCGAAAATCGTTCAAATTATTCGTTGCACACAGCAATCATATTCAATTTAAAAATAGGATCGAAAACAAGAATAATATGTTTTGTTGATTTTTTCCCATACCGATAACAATCATTTTCGTATAACTGCCATTTGTGTTGATTACTAGGTGATTACTATTTCGACAGTAAACAATTCACTTCTCGAAGAATTGGTTGGTTTCTATACCGTTTTTTAGATTTATTAAAAATTATTTTTAATAATAAATTTTGTTTTTCAAGATTCAGTATTAAATTATGTTTGTTAAATTCAATTCATTTGATATGTAGGCTTCAATATGTATCGAATGTTCTGCTAAAGAACATGAAAATATTAATGTATCATCAAAATAAGCACCATAACAAATTATCACCAAAAAAGATTTTGTCTAATTCGAAGAAAAGTCGATAATAATTCCAATGTGATTCTAATAAATTGGTATAATGGATTTGCCATTCTCTGGATTCTGAACTCTTCGTGTTAGGTTGGACTTGCCATTTTCTGGATTTTGAATTCTGAACTGGTCGTGTTAGGTTGGACATTTGCCATTTTCTCGATTTGTCATTTTCACAATTCTGAACTTGTCGTGTTAGTTTGGACATTTGCCATTTTCTCGATTTTGAATTCTGAAAGGATTCTTTTTCATTTGTCTTTCTTTTTTTGGTCATTAGACCGTTTGATATTTTTATATTTGTACCATAAAAATTTCTGAAAAAATACATAAAATACAAATTCCATTTTTTTGCATCACAATTTAGTTCATTATATTTTTTGGGTAAAATTGGGTAATTGGCGTCTATTTTATTTAAAATGATGAGCATCGTATTTTTAGGAATGCTTGTCATATACAAGCAGTCGTTACTTGTTTCACAAATATGTTTAACGATTGATGTGATAATCGAAAGAATAATTGAATTCAATATCTTAAAGCTGGCAATCGAATTCGGATTCAGCAAAAATACGTTTAAGTCATCATCAAATACCGGGAATTCCTAATTATCGGGCACAAATGTGCCATTTGAATTCATAAGATTTCCTTAGTAATACTAAAATAAAATAAAATTCAACATTATTATTAACATAAATGTCTGCACGAAAATATCATATTCAACTTACAGAAAAATGAAATGTGAAATCTTTTTTCCATCACATTGAAGACCTTTTTGAATTGGAATAGTTGGATCGTTTTGTACCAAATTACCATTTTTATCGACATAATTCTAATCCATTAGTTTATGATTCGAAATAATTCCGTATCCAAACAAAAATTAAAATGTTAAACATCGAAATCAAATTAAACAATCGAAAACTTTTGTTTACACACGATTACCGCGAGTACTCGCGATTTTTGCGTGTAAACAGGCTATTTACACTTTATTTTGCTGGACTAATTGAGTGTATGTAGCCAAACAATCGAAACTTTGTGAGTACTCGCGATTTTTGCGAGTATTCGGCTTTAGCGACTTTTTGTGTGGATATAGTCGAGTACTCGCGAAAAATGCGAGTACTCGCAAAATTTCGATTGTTCTGTATATACACTCAAATAGTTTCCGAAATACTCGCCAAAATCGCGATTGCACTTTCTTTCTGTGTGCGTGCGTTTGTCGTGTGCTGCTGTTGAGTCAAATTGATTTATTTGTGGTGTAAATTCTATCAAAAAATGGTAATTGCTTTTTAATTTTTTTATTCAAATTCATTTATTTTTATAAATTAAATTGTAGGCTCCACCAAAACCAAAAGCATCTCCAGCAAAAGTTTCTTCTGATGGTGTAAAGCAAAGTAAATTGCCACGAAATGTTCAAAAATTGGTTTCTCATCGAACTACTCGTCATTTGTGGTCTAAATTGAAGCGAACAGCCGCAAAGAAAAAGGTCCCAGCCGATAAGTTGCTCCAAAAACGACCGAAATTTGTTGTCAAAAAAATCGGCGGTGAAAAAAACGGTGGTGAACGACGTGTGTTACAAAAACGAACCCGCCGTTATTATCCTACCGAACCTGTATTCAAGAAACGCCGATCTGGACATGTTTCATTCAAGTCTCATAAACGTACCTTGAAACCAGGTATGCTTTACCATTGTGAATTTTTCTTTCTGAATCTCATAAAACAAAAATTTTTTTTAGGTTTGGAACCCGGACGAGTTTTAATCGTATTGGCTGGTCGTCATCGTGGCAAACGAGTTGTTTTCCTTAAACAACTTGCTTCTGGTTTATTGTTGGTCAATGGTCCATTCACGATAAACAAATGTCCTTTACGTCGTATGCATCAACAGTTTGTGATTGTTACATCGACCAAATTGGATATATCATCGGTCAAAGTTCCCGAACACATTAATGATCGATATTTCAAAGTTAAACGACAACAAAAAGAAAAGAAAGGCGATGGTGCAAATGTGTTTGCTCAGGAGAAACAGACCTGGAAACCTGATGAACAACGTAAAGCCGACCAAAAAGATATGGACAAACAAATGTTGGGATTGATTCGTAAACATCCTGAAAAGAAAATGTTAATGTCTTATTTAGGATCCTATTTTCAATTGCGTAACCGAATGTATCCACATAAGATGAAATTTTAAAGAAAAGGTTTTGAAAAAAAATTTCTTTTTTTTTGGTAAAAATAAAAATAATAAATTGAAATTTTTTTATATTTGTACATTTTTTTCCGATTCAGTTTCATTGACTCTTGATTGATATGACTTTCATTTTTTTAACAAAAAAAAGTTAATATTTTGATTCAACCTTGATTTATTATTGTAGAGAAATGTAAAGGCAACAAAAATATCATCACTCGGTTAATAAAAAAAAAAGAATTTCAATGTTCAATTGCATCTTCCTTTACATCCGCCCATCAGGATAAAAACAATAATGATAATGTTGAATTATTCTACTCTATCGGTAACAAGATTATGATCATCGTCATCATGTATAGAATAAGCCAGAAAATCCATTATCATTTGATGAAATGTACTTGCTGGCTTATTCCATTTTTAGACAATAAATTAATTTGATGATTTCGTGATCAAGCATTCGATGATTGTCGCATAATAAACAACACAATAATTGACGGTTGGCCATTGATGGTAGTGGTGATGGCAATAATCCATTACGCCGTCCTTCATGCCAAAGTGTAGAAAGAAAAAGACAAAAACGATAAAAAAAATACAATTTCATTTCTTTCAATAAAACAGTTTTGTCCGGTGTTGGATGAATCTTTTTTTTGAGGACAAAAAGTGTTAATAGATTTATTTCAACACATTTGATCATTTCAATCATTTTTTTCGTCAACCTGTTGAGTGGATCTCTTTCATTTTTATTTTTTGATAATCAATTAATCTTTAAGGAAGAATGCCTGTTGAAGAAATAGATAAATTATCAAAACAACCGGCAAAATCAATAATACTGCAAAATGTTCCTAAAGAAAAACGTTCGATATCTTTACAAACTGGAAGTTCGACGATAATCATGCCTGTCGATGAAAAATCTAAAACTACATCCGTTTCGAATGCACCACCGATTCGAACTGTTTCCACAGAAACGGATCTACTACCACCAATGACTCAAATTTCCGATAATCCTAAATCGCTCCCTATAACTAAAACAGGTTTTTCATTGTTACCTGGGCTTCAAAATCAACCGCATGTCAACTTTGAAGAACAAAAAATTGAAAAAAACGAAAAATTCAAACCATCGTCAATAGCAATAGAAGTTGACTTTAATCCATCTCCGACTGAGGACCGAAAAACTATCAATTTTGAACAATCGTTGTATCAAGTACCGAATTCACCAATTAAGGAACCAACAATCATTCCCAAATTGGTTTCTGAAAGTAAAGTGAATCCACCTGCAGAATCAGTTGTTGAAAAACATGAATTAAAAACAAAATCACCACCACCATCAAGTCCAAGCAGTAGCAGCGAATTAAGCCATCGAACTGTAAGTCTCAGTGATCCAGATTTATATTATTTGAGTTTGCCACCGCACGTTAAAATTAGTCATCATCCACACGGTGATGATAAGCCATTTCAACCTTCACAACCGAAAGCTGAAACATCAAAAGAATCGACAAAAACAAATGTATTACCGCATAGAATTTCATTTCATAAACAAAAATCTGTTACATCTGGTCCGAGTGAGATGAAAGATTCACCCTATTCAACAGTTCGTTCCATCCGTTTCGAGCATCATAAACGAGTCACTTCGAAATCGATGAGAGCGTTATCACACACAGGATCACAAAATCAACACTCTATTGTGTCACCTAAACACTATCAAAGTGCATTATTGAAATTCACACCAGAAACGGCTACTCTTGTTCCAATTGGGAATGAAAAATCCCGTCATGATATACGAACAAGCATGCGATGGAAATCGACCAATCTTTCTCACATGCAAGTGACATGTCATTCAGACACGGATATTTCAGATACAACACCGGAAATAAATAATAATTATTTGGATAATAATAATGCCAGTGATAATGAAGCAATGGCCATTCTACCGATCGAAGCAAGAGAATTATTGATGCAGGAAGAAGAAGATAGAAAATCACGTTTAGCAAAAGAAAGTACATCATTACTGCGAATTCCAGGTTTAGGGACAAGACGTGAAAGTAAATTCTTTCCTGGAAGAATACGTAAACGTGTTATATTGAAAAATGGTAACATTAATCTATGTCCAGAACATGTGGACAAGAGAAGTAGACGATATTTACAGGACACGTTCACCACAATGGTTGATATTCGTTGGCGTTGGAATCTATTGGTTTTTGCAATGGGTTTCTTAGGTAGTTGGTTCGGTTTTTCTATCATTTGGTGGTTGATTGCATTTTCACATTCAGATTTTGAACATTTACACGATGAAGAATGGACACCATGTGTTGCAAATTTAAGAAATTTTGCCAGTGCCATATTGTTTTCAATTGAAACACAACATACAATCGGTTATGGTTCACGTTTTACAACTGAAGAATGTCCAGAGGCAATGTTTTTGATGATGTTACAATCGATTACTGGTGTAATGATCCAATGTTTTATGGTTGGTTTCATTTTTGCAAAACTTTCTCGGCCACAGAAACGTTCGCAAACATTGATGTTTAGCCGATACGCTATAGTGAATACTCGCGATGGTGAAATGTGTCTAATGTTCAGGGTCGGTGATCTAAGAGATAGGTCACATATAATTGGAGCAAAAGTTTCGGCACAATTGATTAGGAAAAAAATGACATCCGAAGGTGAAATGATACCATATTTTCATCAGAAATTAAATGTTAAATTTGATGAGATTGATGATGAAGTGTTTCTAATATGGCCTGCAATTATCGTACATATTATCGATAAAGATAGTCCATTCTATACGGTAAATTTAAGAATTTATTGATAATAAATATTGATTTTGTTCATTTTTAAATTTTTAGATGAATGTTGATGATATGACAAGAGAAAAGTTTGAAATAATTGCAATTCTTGAAGGAACAGTAGAATCTACTGGACAAACAAGTAAGTATATGTGAATGACAACTTTTTATTAACGAATATTTTATTTTTTTTCACATAGTCCAAGCACGAACATCGTATCTACCATCAGAAATATTATGGGGACATCGTTTTGAACAATTGATACGTTATCGTCATGATACTGGAGAATACCTTGTTGATTATTCAAAGTTTAACAATACATTCGATGTTGATTCACCACTATGCAGTGCAAAAGAATTGAAAGAAGAATTACGACAACAAAAAGTTCATGATGATGATGAATCGGATCAATTATGAAGTTCATGGATGATTTTGATTTTGAAAAAAAAACATTTATAAATTTATTTAAATTCATAATGATAAACAATAATTGAATATGATAATTAAACTATTGCTTGCTTTTGGATTTTTTCTCCTCGAAGTTTCGTACGATTTGTGGTTCGTAATATGGTTTAGATACTTCAGTAAATAATTTTCCATAAATATCCAAACGTTGGGTCATCTGAAAGTAAAAATTAATTAACATTTCCATTTTTTTTTGAAAATTCATACTCTAAATCCCCAATGATCTTTGACTTGACGACCAAGATTAAGATCTAATTCAACCACTAATAAACCATCGTGTATTCGCGATAATCCTGGTGTACGAGAACCGTCTGGTGCAGCTGCATAGCTTGAGCCATAAAAATGCCCAAAATCACGATGAGCTTTTTGACCATCACCGGAAGTGAATTCGTTAGGGAACACTTCTGTTCCAACACGGTTTATAGCAAATGTATAATAGGAATTTGCAATGGCAGCGTTGCGAGCTTCAATCGACCATAATGGTTCAGAAAGCTCACCAACTGTAGCAGAAGGATTGAATACCATTTCAGCTCCATTTAAGCCATATGCCATCCAATTTTGTGGATGATGTCGCCCATAACAAATGTTTACGGCAATGTTTCCAAATTCAGTTTCGAATACTGGATGTCCTATTGTCGACTCCATGTAATAAGTGGACTCGTTAAAATCTCCAACACGTGGAATGTGATTTTTTCTGGTTTTGCCTAAAACCTGTCCATGATTCGAAATAACAACTGCAGTGTTCCATATGACATCACTATTTGGTTCTCGTTCCAATATGGGCGAAACAATGACCATGTTGTATTTGGCTGCCAACTATTTAAAATTTCTAGCTACATAATAAATTTGTATTGTATTTAAACTCACATTCTTTAGAAATAGTGTAGTAGGTCCGTTTTCAGCACATTCAGCAAATTCACACCATGGTTTTCGTTCTCGAGTACAGAATGCAAATGGCATGGCTGTAAATCAAATAAGAATTATTAATAATTACAACCAAAAATTAATTAACGTACTCCAACATTCTTGAAAGCAACAAACATTCACACCACACATCATGGCAACATTCAATATTTCTCCAATTCGATTATGCAAGGATTGTCGCTGCTCGACAATAGGATCGCTTGTAGGGCGACATATTTTATTCTGGATTACACCGACTCGAACAAGACGAGCGGGACGTAATTGTTCTTTTGGACATGGAAAACGGAAAGCACGAAGCTCGAAATTACGCTCACGAGCAAGATTATAAACTTTTTCGGCAATGTTTAATACTCTGTATTGATGAAAAATGTTAATTAAATATTAAACATTAATTTATATCTATAGTGAACATACGGAGTTTCGGCTCCAAACAGAATTCGCTTCACTTTTAAAAGTTCATTTGGGGGCAAATATTTTTCAATCACATCCTCCAATCGTGTTAATTGAGTTTTTTCCGCATCCATCTTTTAAAATAATTCCGTGTTATAAAAAAATTCAATAAATCACTGTTGCATTCGGCCAAAATTAAATAATCGATTGCGATATCGATAGTCGAATATAAGTTTTAAAAGATTCCTACCCAAAATAGTGAAAGCCGAAAATAGCGAAAGCCGAAAATAGCGACATTGAATTTGAATTTGAATAAAATGAATTTAAATTAAAATTAAAAAAAAATTATAAAAAATTTAATTTCCGAATTAATATAGAAACTAATTATTCGAGAAAATTACAAAATAAATAAATTTTAAATCTAGAATAAATAAAATTTAATATACAGTGTGTCTGTAAAGTAAAGACACCTCGTAGAATAAAATAAAACTGAAATGTATCATTGGCCATGGCATTCGTATATTTTGCCAGTAACCTATATACCACTTATACTGCCATTTTTCCTATCATTTATTGATGGGTTAATTGGTGGTAGCCGCTCTTGATTTGCTTCATTTAACGTGATGGTTTTTCGCCTTTTACTAAAGACCACCGTGTTGCAAATCAATTAAGGGAGCTTTTATGGAAATTTTTGTACGGTCCGAACATATGTTTGGACTTTTTATTCAAATAAACAAAAGGGTTGCACACATTGAAATTTGGTTTTTAATGAAAATTTTATTTAAAAAAAAAATCCAGAATCCAGTGATGTAGATTTTAAAATTAGACTAGAATAGTAATTTTTTTCGCAACAACATGTAGTGACAAATCACATTTTTTTAAAAACCAATTTTATATATTCACACAAAAAAGCACACAAAAAATGATGACTAATGGTATGTAGAATAATATGTCTTATTATGATGGATATCTGTGTGTTTGATGATCAGTAATGTAGTATTGATTGATCACAGCCAATGAATGTTGGATAGGTGAAAAAAAATGATGTTTCTATGACTTGTGATTTGATATTTATACAAATGCATTTACCACCAAATGAATAAATACTTTCATTATAGGAACTTAGAAAAATGTTTGCTCAGATGCATGTTGCAAATGAGCCGGATGTGATGGTGAACGTTGTAATCGTTTTTTTGGTAATTTTTCAATATATTCATATAGTTTACTAAAATCGGGTCTACTATCCGGATTGAATGTCCAACATGTATATAAAAGATCCTATAATTGAATAAGAATGATAAAAAAAAATTGATTATTATCAAGCGATTCTTTGGATATATACAAACTTTAATCTCTTTGGATGCTTGAAAATTAGTAATCGGATGCTTGATTCCTTTGCCCACTTGAAAAATGATTACTTCAGGTGGCTGACCGGAAAATGGCCAACTACCAAATAATAATTCAAACCAAACCGTTCTATTATAAATGAAATATTATAATCAGATGTTATTACACCATTTATTATTCTAGTCAATAGCTCTTACCCGAATGCATAGATATCGGTACTGAATGAAAACGGTAAATCATCACCACCATCCTGTGAATAAACACTCAATGTCCGAATAAGTTCCGGCGCCAAATAACAAAGCCATCCTTTTGGTACAGTAAGCCGATCGCCTCTTCTATATAATGCAATGTGTTTGCGAATTAAATATTTAAATTATTAGAATATTTGAAAATTATCAATACATGACAGAACTAACCGATTAGACATACAAAGTTTGGCAACCGAACTAAGACCAAAATCAGTAATGATTACTCTGCCATTTTCGTAGAAAATATTCTTAGTCTTGAGATCTTTGTGGATAATACCACGAGCATGAAGATAACCCATGGCCAAACATATTTGTTCAGCAATCATGGTTGTACGATTTAGATTGAATTTGTCATGCCTAACATGTATGTGCGTATGCAATGTCAGACCTTTACAAAATGATGTTACAATGGCCAAATGAGGTGGTTTCATACAAGCGCCCATGAATAGCACTAGATTATCATGACGTGTTTTACGAAAAATGGCCACCTCCTGTTTGAAAGTTTCAAATGCCTTCTTCTCTTCACTCACATTTGTTTGACCCATGTTCAACCGCTTGATAGCAACAGTTCCATGCCATTTACCACGGAAAACAGTTCCAGAACGGCCGGTACCAATTTCTTCTTCGATTATAAGCTCATCATATGGTATATCCCATTCACATGATGTAACAGAATTTTGTCTCGGCCACGGTGTAGCACTGCCTCGATCATTTTGATCTACATCCGATGCTTGAGAATCTTGTGAATCCAACCGACCTGTAACGGTTCGAATTGAATCGCCTGAAGATCCACTAGTTATAAGCGCCGAATTGTTTGATTTATCACTATCAATAAGCGTTGAATGTTGTGGTAAAGTTGAACATTGTGAAGTGAGTGTTATGGTTGGAGATGCAGTTGAAGCTCTAGAAATAGCACCAGTTGTGGCAGCTTCTTCTTCTTCTTGAATTGTAGAAATAAAATTTGATGGTGTATTTTCAATTTCCATCTCAGTGGACATTAAAGTTGGACTAAATTGCTCTGTTACCATTAATGAATCATCATAATCGACAGACATTGTTGATGTAATATTGATATCGGGAGGAAATTGAAATTGTGAACCACTACAAGCACTTCCAGGTGTTTTCTGATTTGAATAATAAATTGGTCCAGTAGGTGAAATAGTTGTTGAAGAGCTTGAAGATGATTGAGCATTGCTATTGTATAATTGATGTTGATGTTGTTGATTATGATGCAAGAAAACGGCTGCAGGTGATGATGGATTTGAAGATGAACTATGGGAACCACCACCGATAAGATTCATCTGAGAACCACAATAATAATTTGACATTTGACTTTTTGCTCGTTGTGGTATCATAGATTGCTGATGTTGATTTTTTGGTGATGATGACCGAGTTTGATGACCACCAACATTATGTTCACTTAAGGTTTGTTTGAAAATATCAACCAATTCGTTTGGAAGACCGCACGAATTTGGTGCCTTATCCTGACAATCTCGATGGCAATAGTATTTACAATCACGACACTTGAATCCAAAAAACATTTGTTTCTCACAAACATTACATTGAATCGAGTTAATTTTCATTGTCGATACAAATCGATGATGAATGGAATGACTCATTGCCTGTGATCTTGGAGATCGTGGAACTGTCGAATCCAAAAAACAATTATCAACGGCTGCTGATTGTCTGTTGTTATTATTGTTTGTAATATTGTTACTATTAGAATTATCATGATAGGTTTGATTTTCCGGTGATATTGCAATAGGTGATGAACAATTTGATGAAGTAAGAATAGGTGATATTGATCCGATGCTTCCAGGCTCGGTTGCCAATCTTCGACGTTGTGAATGGTGAGGAAAAGGTGTTTGTGAAGCCATGTTTGTGGATGTTGGAACATGAGGTAAATTATCCAGCGAATTATGTTTATTATTAGAGGATTGATGATGATGATAGTTGTGTTGATGACAAGGCTTTTGACTTTTTCCACATATTGAGACCAGATTGTATTTTTTCAATAATTTACTAGAAAAAACGGGTCATTTCAAGAACGTAAAAAAATTGGAAAAAATTATTACCTGTTTATGACTGGATCCAATAGTTCAATCCTATTGGAGAGATGCTCTTCGTGAGATTTGCTTTTGGTGAGAGGAAAATTTTCGCCAATCCCGAATATATTAGTCTGATGACGCCGTATTGGCGGTGGGGTTGTTGGAAATTTCCGTTCACTAGAATTGCGACTATTTGAAGCAGCATTGTTAAAAAGAGTTGCTGAAGAGAGTAAAATGAAAGACTTTTTTGTTTGATGATGTGATACTGGAGGTGTTGGAGGAGGAGTAGGGCGTCGATGCTGAAGATTACCAGAAGATTGTTGTGAGCTACTATTAGAATAGGGAACGTGATTCGGGTCAATAATTAAATTTAGATTATGAAATCCTGATTGAATTATCGATGATGATGACGAAGATGTTGATCGATGGCTAAAATTCCCAGCTGATAATGGAGGGACTGGAGGTGATAAAGGACTCGAACCTGTCGATCTTGAATCACCATTGATGCGATAATTTCGTAAGAAATTTGCCTTTAAATCTGGAAGAGGTGGCAATGGTTTGGGTGAATGTTTTGCCTTTTTAAGCATTGCGATGGCTGAAGCAAGCGATGCTTTTTGACTTTCATCAGCTCGTTGAATCCAATGATCCCAGGAATCCCAATACAAGTCTAAAATGGTTGACGGCAATTCATCGAAATTTTTTATTGTATCCAAACATCGATGCATTGATCGGTGAGCTTTCCAAACGCGTATGATATAATCATGAATATACATCCGTAAATCTTGTTTAATAGTAGATTTTTCGTGATCATTATCTTCATTATCATCATCAGTTATGGATCCATTTCTGTCATGTTGGTTATAAAAGCCATACGAATCCTTAAAATCTTCATCATTGTTGCAAATGTCATCATCGAAATCCAATTCATCCAATCTCAATTGAAATCCACGCATTAATAGAATTTTCAATTCTTCTTCATCAGCGTTTAATAGTTCTTCTATGTCTTCATAATGATCCAAAAGTATCTGGAAATAATGGAAAAAAAATTAAAATGAAAAGACAAGTTTTTTTTAATAAAGTACAACCTCTTTGCATTTATGGTCTAATCCAATGGCTTGAAACCAATTCGATACGATTGAAAAACTATGCAAATCATCAATCTCATCCCATTTTGACCAATGTCTTCGGGCAAAAATCAATTTAACGAAATTTCGGACAAGTTTATTCTGAAAATAAAATCCATTAAAAACTGTCAACATTTTTTTCTATATTCAATCAATTACCTCTAGAAAACGTATCTGTTGTTTGATGATTTCATCGAATTCATTATATGAGCAAAGTTTTTCCAATTGATTCGAATCATGTTCAATCAAATTTTTCCAAAGTAAACATTCTTCACGATTCCATTGAATCGTTTGCAACCAATTGGCAGAAATGGTCGAAATGGATGAACATTGTTCAACACTATGAACATAATCACTATCTGGATGCATATTCAAAATATCGAATCGATAGCCGATACAACGATGATGACGATGAAATGGTCGAATGAACAATTATTGTTTTTTTTCTTTTAAACTTGATGATTTGTAATTAGCATGTTTTTATCGTTGTTTTTTTTTGCTTGATTTCTTTCAAATTAAACACCAAAAAAAACAACAACAACAATTAAAACAATAATTCTATTCCATGATGATGATAATAATTAGAGCATTTCATTCAGTGATATGAAAATAATTCTTATGGGACCCATATTTTTTTTTTAATTCCAGATATCCAGATATAAACAGGATTCTGGCTGTTTTGAGTTTATATATAATATATATAAATACAAAATAATATATTGTGTTGTGCAAAAAAAAAGGAATCCTGGCCAAGACCTCTTGTGTTCGATTTGAGTAACTATATATATATATTGTTATTTTTTTTATTATTGAATTCGCAAACTCGAATATATAAATAAAAAAAAATATATGGCTGAAATTAGTATCTAAAAAATTTTTTTCGTCTGTTACGTACAGAATGGATGGTATCCAATAAAAATGGATCGAGTATTTTAAAAAAATATTCTTATTAAAATGATAAATCAAAGTTTTATTAATTAAAAATAATAATTTTTCAATCCAGAATGTCCAATAGATTTAATTGATTTGAATTTTTGTTTCCACCCACATTTTTTTTATCAACAAAAATTATGTCTCTCCCTCTCTTTCTCTATACATACAAGCATATATATATTTGATAATGGCAAAATATATGTGAAACAAATATCTGAAAATGGCATTGAATTGGATTGAATTTTTGATTCAATCATAGTCATGTGTAAAATTTGTATTCAATAGATTCTGCAAATCACCCGATTCTAGATCACGATTACGTTTTTTCGCTTCACTAAAAGTGCTTGGCTGAATGAATAAACTGCAAAAAAAAAGAATTATGATTATTATAATATATTAAATCATGAATTTGAGATTTTTTTTAAATAATACATACACTTCTTCATCCATTTCGATTTCATCCTGTAATAATTGATAATAAGGATTCGATGTTGTCGGTTGAAAATGATATCCAGTCAATATGAAAAATATTAATGTGGCTGCATGTTGAAAGAATTGAGCCAACCATTCATAATTGAAAGGCACCGTTATCTTGACAAGATAGACAATAATTCGAGTGAAATATATATAGAATACAATCATCACATAAAAGAAACGGAATAATTGTAATTTTTTCAAATTAATAGCTGCTTTGCCATCGGTGGCAGATGCTTCATGTAAATGTCTTATGGACCAAATAACTGGAAAAAGTATTGCACCACAGCATATCATATCGACTAGGATGAATATCTCTCTCCAAACGGTGTGTATTAATGCACCTTCTTCACTTTCCTCAGTGATTATATCAGCAATATTGGCAATCACCTGTCGAAATCAAATGTATTCATCAAACAAGAAACAAATTCCACAATAATTACAAACCTGTAATGGAATGACAACCATGAATATTTTTTTATCCTTATCATTGAGAATATGTTTGATGAATGCCCAACCGGTGCCAATCAAAACGATAGTAATGAACAATAATGCACCTTTGAGAAAATGAGTTAGATAGTATAATACAGCCCATGTTTCAACTTGAGATCCTTCTTTAGCAATGAAATGATAGTTGATCTAAAGTATTAATTAATCAGAAAATTGAAAAAACTATTAAATCAATAAAAAAAACAGTTAAAAAACACCTACGCTATGAAAAAGTAGAGACATAGCTTTAACAAACACTAGGACACCCATCAAATAATGAATTTTAAATGTCTCTTCATAACGACTTCGAATCGAGACACACCAGATAGCTCCCAGAATAAAGAATATGATGGATAGAGCAAAGAATATTTGAGGTAATGGAATTTCACCTGCCGATAGGTAATTATCCAGATTTTTTTCCACAATTTTTATGTCCAAATCTACTGACGTATATTGATTTAATTCTTCCATGGTTTTCGGATAATTGAAACAATTGTGAAAATGTAATGAATATAAACCTTCATATTTTGGATCGGTAATGAAAACTTTAAACTATAGTTTTATAAAAGAATTAGAAGCCATAGATACATATATTCATTGAGAAAAAAATGACTAACCTCGAAATTAAATTCTAAACTGCCATCTTGAGCTTTGCCTATTCGTTTCATTTCGATAGAGTTGGTTAAACATGAATAAGGAGAATTTGCAGCATGTTCAAATTTAACATTGACAGATTCCATGTTTTTAGACTCATTTTGCTCAGAATCATGAACATTTTTCTTTGATTCAATTTCATCTGGTGGTTCTTCGTTTTGATCATTTTTTTCAGGGATGGGAGCAACATTATTATCGACTCCTTGAACTGTATCGAATTGTTTGGACTTGTTATCATTTTCAATTTTAGGTTGAATATCAACCTGTTTAGATTTTTCTTCATTAGAATTGATGGAACGTTTTGCGATTGAATGATCAGAGGAAAATATACTCAATTTGCTGAGATCTGAATTACATTGTAACAACACACTTTTTATAATTGAAATAAAATTTTTTATTATTATAAAATCCAAAATGCATACAATATTATTACCTATTGTTTTTGATGTCGAATTTCATCATTATAACACCAAGTTCATCCTGAAAATAATCCATATCTTGATTAAGCGTACAACTTAGTTGGCTATATTGTCCATCCTGTAAATTTAGTAATTAAAATTTTCAAATTCTTGATGATAATAATAATATTGGAAAAAACTTACGATATATGGTGAAATATTATTACTCAGTGTACGAGTCAATGAAAAGCCAAATTTTTGCTGAAATTAATACAAAATCAGAAAATGAAAATTTTATGATTAATCAATTTACCGAAACGGCATTTTCATCTAGATTTTCAGGATAATAACGAAATCGATTAATAGTAACTTCAAGCTGACCACCGGCAAAATAACCGAATGTTGATACAGGAAAATATCTTCGAATATCATTCTGTTTATCATAAAAAACATTTTTCATCATGATAATGGTCAATAAAATTCATTTAAAAACTCACATGTAATTTCAAATGATGTATACGACAATGACAATATGGCCATGTATAGATTAAAATCAAAAATATCATTACAAATAGTTGAAAATTTGTTTGAAACATGATGCTCATTGCATTAATCCAAATCAGAATTGTTCTAATTTTTTTTTGCAGTTTGAAAAAAAACAATCGAATCCTATATACAAGATGTAGAGTAAATTACATTACGAACATGATGATGATGATGATGATAATGAGCAAGAATCATACAGGAACTGAGCTTCAATAATGAAAATCATTCACATTGACACCGATTAATTAATTAAAAATTCATTTATGTTTATTGACGATGACGATGTTCATTTTGGCATTGTGAACAACACACACACACACACACACACATAATTCCGCATTCAGAAATAAAGTTTTATTTTTGAAAATAATTTTTTTTTACGATTAATAAATTGAATTGAATTAAACAATATATAATTTTTTCTTACATTGAATATTGGCGGAATCATCAATCAATTATTTTAATTTTAATAAACGTGAAAATGATATTACACAAAGTGTATAAATGAAAAACTCAGAATATATGATTGTTTATAGGCTATAGTATACTATGAAAAAAGTTATTCAATAAACAACATTCAACGTATATATTGTTTCAACAGCGGACATTTTAGCTACATATTTTGAATTTAAATTTTTTTTTCTAATAAATTGCTTGCGATAATATCCAATCATAATATGGCTGTAAAGATGTGTAGACAATAGGTTCAGAGCTATTCACACCGAATGACATGATACCAATTTGAATAGGTAATTGTCCATGTTCCACATGGACTAATGGTCCGCCAACTAAACTTTGATGAAATCGTAATGGATTTCTTGGTAGATAACATAGACTATTTGCCGGTAAACTGGCACTAAATTTTTGATAAATTTCTTTACATTGATCAAAAGAAATTTTTTTCCCATTCAACAGATAGGTGAACATTAATTTCCATCTAGCCATTAGAATAGTATCATACAATTGTTCGGGAGTCATTTGATCCTGCCATTCATAGCGAAAATCAGCATCGAGGCTAATATTGATGGCATTTTTCACACGTAAAAGGGCTATATTATCGGACAATGTACGACTATCATACGTAGGATGGATAATTACTTGATCGATATCAAATTTAGGTAAACGAATGAATGAAATGTTACGAAAGGATCCAATCAAGGCTTGAGTTGGCATTGAATTCAAATCATTTTCATCAATTCGTGAGGCACAAGTAGCGGCGGTTAATAGCCATCTTGAATTCAGGATAGATCCACTACAAAATGGTTCCTGTATGTAGCTTAAATTTTGATTATCCAATCGAAATTTCAATGCAATTACATAGGGAAAATCAATTGAATCGGCAATCCAAATTTTTCGAAATGGATAAGATGTTGATTGTTGTTGTGTATCAATGACAAATTTCTGGATCACAAAGACCATAAAGATCAATTTTCCGATTGTATGCATCATTATGTTTGGATTAGTTTTGTGACAAACAAACAAACACAACAACATCACCGTCAAATAAATAAGCTTGAAATTTTTTGATTACAAAAATCGTTTCATTTCATTTTTATTTATTGAACTAATTATAAAAACTTCGTCACATAATAAAAGTATATATAAAAAAAGCAATATCCAAGCAACATGAAAAATTAATATTGCTTGTTAAATGTTTGGACGTTAAATTTGTATATAAATATCAAAGTTTCCAATTAATTAGGAAGTTTTAAAATAAATATATTTCGTTATACCTATTTTACGCCATTCAATCACTTGACGACGTTCAATGTGATTCGATTCATTTTGTGACATTTCAATCAACAGTTTGTTTGCGTGTTGTATGATTTTATCCAAATCTGTATCTTTAAATTCATTCAATGATTGAACTAAAGCATTGGCGAAAAAAGTTCCTTGCTCTTCATCGCGAACAGATAAATAATCTTGACGAGAGAAAAAAAATCATTTGTAAGATTAAGGCTCAATTTTTTTTCATAAAGTAACACTTACTTTCAAGAGTGGAATAAATGACTATCATATCTTTGATTCCATCATCTATTGATTCTTGCCTTTCGGAACTTTGTTCATTGATTTGTTTAGCAATTTTATCCGTTATTGCTTCACGACAACAATTGTAAATTATGATTTTTGGTTTATTTTTCAATTGTGGACATTTTTTATGGCTAAAATTGTCTTCAATTTCTTTGTATTTCAAATATTTTTCATCCACAGTCATAAAATGTGAAGAATATCCATGTGACATAACTATCAACATGAAAATATCATAATTTTTTAATGAATCATCTTCGTTCAATTGTTTCATTAAATCTAACATCTCATCTTTACTTAGATTAGAACGAGTTTCCACTTTGAAATTTAAACGTTCGAATGCATCACAAAGTTTTGTAACATCTGTATTGGATCCGGTCCGATTATCGATGGTTTCAAATTTTTCATTATTGATTATCAAACAATAACCTGGACGTGTATTTGGATCTATAATGAATGGTAATTAATTCAATGAAAAGCATTCACATAAAATAGGCTATATACAAAAATCAATCGCAACTCACTTGTCATATTGTATATACTTACAATAATTTTTACACCAATGGTCCAAAAAATCACAATCGAATAAATCACGAAATATTTTTGACATTTTCTCATATGATGATGAATGGCGTTTAGTAATGTCGATTAATAAATTTTTTTTCAAATTTTCCGTATCAAGTCCATTGCCATTCTTTTTTTTTGAATAGAAATCAGAAATTAAACTTTTTTATTACAAGTACAAAAATAAATCTTTAACAAACTTTCATATGTTCGATATAAGTTTTGGGAAAAATATTCTCCTTTTCAAAACGTTCCCAAAATGCTTCATTTAGTTCAAATTTTTCGGCCAAGCGAGTCAAATTATCTAAAATGAATTGAGCTTTACGGTTATCCATGATTCTTAATTATCTATAAATCTATCTATCTAATTCATTATGACGCTTAAAGGTAAAATGAAAATTATTTCTCATTACAGTGGTGCCTCGATTGACGATGGCTCTGGTTAAGAATGTTGTTTCGCAAAGAAAACCAAAAATGTCTTAGTTTTCAATTGTAAAATGAGGAACCATAAGTTATCCAGATTGAATTTTTGAGATTTAGCCATTTAAATTTGATATCTTTTGTCCAAAGTTAGAACAAATTATTTATTATTAATTAACCGAGATATCACTGCATTATCTTTCGATGGATACATTCTATAATTGTGGAACTATCGATTGTATCGAATAGATTTAGGAATTATTTTCTGATGAAATGTTTATTTTCTGGAGCAAAACAAAATGATTGTAAAGAGCAGATCATTTTGTGCACAAAATCCATGGATTTAATATTCACAAAATTGTATATATGATAGTTGTGGCAAATAAAATTGATCATCATTCATCTGAAATGAAAAACTGTTAAACTATGCATTTGAATGAACCATGATTTGAATTATGAAAAAGGATTGAATACCATCCGATTTTTAAATGGAAAAAATCACCCTATAATATACGTAGAAGATGAAATTGAAAAACAATAAATCTACATACAGATACAGATGTTTGGTCGCTTTCTGAAACCATTTTTTCTCGTTTGACCAAATTATCGTATTATAATATTTATTTCTTATAATAATTGATTGATTGATGCCAAATGAATGATTATTTTGAAAAATTAAAATAATAATAATCGAAAACAATGTTTGATTCAGGCAGCTCAAAAAAATCTGCCGATCGTGATAAATTTCTTGAGGCTACTAGACAAGCTCGTGAAGAACGAGAACGAGATCGCCGATTGAATGGCGCAGCTACTAAAATTCAGGTAAAATTAAAATGAAAATTTCTTTATTAAGGATTAACATATTTTTATTCTGTATATAGGCTGCATTTCGCTCATACCATTCTCGTGATCGATTCATTCAAAAAGTCTACAAAGAATTAGATCAAATGTTGAAAACCAATGACAATGATAAAGACGAAAATAAAGATGATGAATCATCATCTCAACGATCGAAAAACAAAATCAAATCTTTAGAATTATTCTATATTCTAAAGAAACTATTGTTTGTCATTCGAAGTAAAACAATAAAAAATCAACTAGTGAAATCGAGTGAAAATCCAGTCATAGATCTTTCTGATCCAAGTTATCATTATTTTGAAAATATTTGCAAACAAACATTTTTAACGTCACTCTTTTCATCTGATCCACAATATTCATATGTTGGTATATTGATTCTTCATCCGGAATTGACGACGGATTGGAAACAGCAAATCATTTATATTGCAACGACGGCTTGTTCATTCCTAAAACAATTGAAACCTGAACAACCGAATCATCAAGGATCGATTGTAATCTTTTTAAACATTCTAGTTTCATTCACTTCCACTTCTTCGTGGCTAATTTTACGACAAAATGATTATGATCAATATCGAATATTGGGTGAGAAAATTTGCCACCAAGTAATCAATGAATTAGTATCGCATAATCTTTTTGAATGTCTAAACGATTTGTTAATGAAGGGCCTGACAAGAACGAAACCATCGTTGAAAAAACTTTCATTAACAGCCATAATAACCATATCAATACGTCCATTGCAGAATAGTTCATATTCAGACCAAAATATAAGAAAATTTCTATTGTACATTTTTTCTTTACCTGCCTTGATTTATCATCTGAATATTTTAGCACCCGAAGCCATACAGATCTTATATCGTGAACCGATATTGAAACGTTCTATAGAATTACTTAGTGTGGAAGAACATTCACGTGAATTATTCGCCCAACTTGAAGGCAACTATACCCTTTGCTTATTGGCTAATCATGTTAACTTGGCATTCATCTCATTTAAATCTATTCAAACATCTATGATCGAATTTGTGGTAAGTGACAATTTTGAAAATTATTTGCGCAAGTTAAATTGTACATTTTTTTTATAAAAGTGTATAATTAAAAAAATGTTGGACAGCTGTCAAAAATATGTAATAAGCAAGCAATCAAGTACAACACATTGGCATCCAGTATTGGGATGGTTTTCGCAAAACGTCGATCAAAAATTGCATGAATCTATGATTCATGTGAAAAGTCAATTGCAATATCTATGGAATCCACAAATGATTGAGATTATATTCACATCATTATTCAAACTTGTCTCACTTCAGCAAAAGAATTGTAGTGAAAAAACAATTACTCCAATTGTATCGAATAATAATAATGGCTCATTATCTAATGATTCGCTATCTACAAATACTGCAACTTCTTCGACAACTTTTTCTTCATTATCGACATCTTCCTCATTTTCATGGCGTAAAGGTTTCTTAGGCCGAGCGTTAGAAAAAGCGGCCACTTCCTTGGCTGTTCGTTCCAGTTCATCATCTGGTTTTTCATCATACAATTGGAATCCAGTTTATAGATTGGGGACGCCGGAAACTTCTTTAGTCGCTTTATATTGTTCGCTTTATGTTACTGCTTTAAATACATTAAGTCAAATGAAACATGATATATTGGCCGGATTATCCTACAAAGAATTGATTCTTCCTCATCTTTGGCGTTTTATAACAATGATTGGACCAAGTAATCCGTGTAGAGCCTTTTTGGATTATCTTAGCTTACACTCGAAAAGTTGTGCACCAGAATTTCAAATATTGATAATTTTCTGTGAATGTGCTACCCATCTTATTACGATTTTGGACGATATTGAACTTTATGAGAATCAAAAACCATTTAGATTAGATGATTTGATTTTGATTTCATATTTTCTCAATAATTTTGTATTTAAAATTCTGTGGCATAATCTCATTGGTAAGTTTTTATTTTTTTCTGAATGATTAATAATTTTGTCAAATTATTTTCAAAAGATATTCAAAATATGTCATCAAATACCTTGCTAAACTCGACTCATTCACTTTTGATGTTGCTGTATAAACGAGATTGTCGCCGACCATTTACTCCTCCTGATCATTGGCTTATCAAGTTAGTATCTTTCAGCAATATTTTGACAGTAGTATTAATCACCATTTCCTACAGGGAACTTCGAGTTTCATCATTCATGAAAGACCTGGAACATGGCAAGAAATCGGCTCAGACAATATTGCAGAAAATACCGCACATAATTCCTCATAAAGAACGTGTGGTTCTGTTTCGAAAATACATAGCGAATGATAAACAAATGTTGCAAATGTATCCAGCTACCTGTATAATTAATTCTCCTTTGATCACTATTCATCGTTCTAGAATCGTCGAAGATGGTTACCAGCAATTAAATTCCGTTCCTAGTCAAGCATTGAAAGGTATCATTCGAGTTCGATTCATCAATGAACAAGGATTGGACGAGGCCGGTATCGATCAACATGGAGTGTTCAAAGAATTTCTAGAGGACACCATAAAACACGTTTTTGATCCTGGTTTAAACTTATTTCGAATCACTAGTGAACAACGTCTCTATCCATCACCCACATCATACATTCATGAAAATCATTTATCATTGTTTGAATTTGTTGGAAAAATGTTGGGCAAAGCTGTTTATGAAGGAATAGTTGTCGATGTTCCATTCGCTTCTTTCTTTTTGAGCCAGGTCCTTGGACAACAACAAAGTGCACTATATTCATCAATTGACGAGCTACCTTCATTAGATCCTGAATTGTACAAAAGTCTCACTTATCTCAAACATTATGATGATGGAGACATCTCCCAACTGGATCTGACATTTTCCGTCGATGAAGATTGTATGGGAGAGATTGTCACTCATGAATTGTTACATGGTGGCAAAGCTATTCCGGTTACAAAAGAAACTCGCATTAACTATATTCATTTGATGGCTCATTTTCGCATGCACACACAAATCCATGAACAAACAGCAGCATTCATCCGTGGATTCCGATCGATTATCAATCTCGATTGGCTTTCTATGTTTTCGACACCAGAATTTCAGCGAATCATTTCGGGTGATAATACTCCAATAGATCTCGAAGATTTACGCAAACATACAAAATATTTTGGCGGTTTCCATCCTAATCATCGTGTAATTTGTTGGCTCTGGGATATATTACAAAATGATTTTTTACCCAATGAACATCGATTATTTTTGAAATTTGTCACATCATGTTCAAAGCCACCACTATTGGGTTTCGCTCATCTAGAACCACCATTCTCTATACGATGTGTGGAGGTAAGCGATGATCAAGATACTGGTGATACACTTGGTTCGGTTCTTAGAGGATTCTTTTCGATTGGCCGAAAAGATCCAGTTAGTAGGTTACCAACAAGTTCAACGTGCTTCAATCTATTAAAATTGCCAAACTATCAAAGGAAAAATACTTTGAAAGAGAAACTACGTTATGCAATCTATTCAAACACAGGTTTTGAACTTTCTTGAATATTCATAACGAATTCATTTTTTACCGTTTATGTTTGTCTTTCAAAGTGAACATGAGTATAAAACACCTGTTGGATTGATTGCTGAATGATTTTTTTTATACAAATTGCACTGTTATGCTTATAAATAAAAAAAACTTATATCCATCAATATAAAAATGCATTAATTAATTTTAGGTACAAATGATTCGTTTGAATAGAAAAAAACTATTAATATTATTCATTCTTTTTTGAGACGAATAGATGGCGAAGATTGATTTTTATTTGAAGATTTAGAAAACGGTTCAGTGACTGAGCAGACAATCATGGTAAAGAAAAGTAGAGATACAACGATGATGATTTGACTTTCAGAACTTTGAACAGGGGCGCGATTTCGGTTTTGTTCCGTTTGTTCACGCCGTTCTTGTTCCATGTGAATGTAGTATTCTTCATATTTTTTTTTCAAAGTCTCGTCCAGACTTTGATAGAATAGTTCTTCTTCTTCCATACGTTGTTTGAAACTTTTTTCAGTTGTTTTTGGTCTATAATGTTTGTTCGCCGATGAAGCATGAGCTTTTTCATATTCTTTTCGTTTCATTCGTCGATAAATATTACGTGTATATATGGTATAATCATCAAAATCATGGCTGAAAAAATACGACAAATTAAGCGGAATATTTTTCATAATGAGTTTACTCACTTTCGGAAAGGTGGATTATGATGTGTTGGATTTCGTGAGGAATATCCTCGACTTATATCATAATCACTACGACTATTTTCATTAGATAATGTTTCATATGCCGAACTGATTTCCTGAAATTTTAAATCAGATCCAGGTTCCTTGTTTACATCGGGATGATATTTCTTTGATTTTTCGTAATAAGCGTTTTTAATTTCTGCAGCCGTAGCATTCGGTGTTATACCCAACACATCATAATTACATGGTTGACTTTTTGTTTCGGATGAGAATCGACGGTAAACTATGAATTTTCAAACAAATTTAATTTGATAATTAAATCGTTTTAAAATAAATAATCTTACCGATTTTTGAAAAACCAAATGTTTTTATAATGCATGGTAATTTCGTATTAAAAGTTAAACTATTCATAAACAAGAATGAAAGTTGAGACAATAGAAAAATTCATCAAAATAAAAATCCAGATATTCCAACAAACATGTGGGATAATAAATTATTGAATCCAAAACAGAATGTTCGGTTAAAAGGACAAGACAAAATATTCACATGGACGACATCTAGGAGATTTTGGATAAAATTCATATGAGTCTTTCATGAACAAGTGTTTTTATTTTGATGATTATTATTCGTGAAAAAAATGACCGAAAATCAAAGTTCTAATATCAATAATTATAAAAATAAATTAGAAAAGTTTCAGCCAACAATTTCACAAATAATTTGTAATGAACAAAAAGACGATGTCTTTATTAAATCATTACAAGATGAATCGAACGCTATTTTTAAACAATTTTTTCGTGCTCGTCTCTGGATTCAATGGCAACCGATAATTGATGAAATCAACAAATCCATCTATTATCTTTTAACCACAGTGTCTGGCCATCAAACATTGGGTGAAGAATATTGTCAGATAATTTGCATAGATTATAATCAATATTTAATTCCATCACTTTGGCGACGTTTGACGTTGGCTGCCATCTATTCTTTCCGAACAAGATTTGTAAATTTTTTCAAAAATCTGGCCACCAACAATGATCATAATCATGATGGAATGGTAGCAGAAAATCTTCAATTTTTAATTGATTCGATTAAAAAAATCAATGTTGCAATATTTTTCCTACAAGGTCAATATCCTGATCTTATTAAACGATTTTTATCAATCAGATATCTATCCACATCTGTGAAATCATCATCTACAGATTATAATCAAACATCATTCAAAATATTGTCATTTTTGACAATAATCCAAGTGATCTTATCATTTTATGCAAAATATATGATAATAACAAAAAAATCAAAAACTAAACACATCAATATATCGATAGATAATACGAAAGAATCGATACATTCTCATAATAATGATGGCAAACGTTGTCCATTATGTTTTTCATCATATCAAAACCCGACACTATTGTTTTGTGGCCACATTTTCTGTTGGGATTGTCTATCCGATTGGATGTTAACAACATCGACATCCGCACGACAACAACAAGGACATTTCGAACGAAAGGATGAATGTCCTATATGTAAAATGAAAATTAATGATACAAAACAATTTGTTCTTTTACATAATTTTTAATAAAATTTATCAATCGATGAATATTCGACCGTTTTCATTCATTCATGTGTTTAATTTATTCATTCACTACATCTACAATTATCCTACATACGATCCATCATAATCATCATCATCATCATAAACAACAAGAAAATTAGGAACTGAAAAAAAACTGACAGAGATGATATCTTTTGTTTGTTATTTTATTTCTCTAAACATTTCTCTACCAGAAAAAAATGAAAGAGTTTCACCACCTGACCTTGTCACACACACACACACACACACATGGTAACACATCAGAACTGCCAACAAGATTATGGCTAAATTAATTCAAATGAATAGACTGGAATTGGGTGGTGTGGATAAAAATGGCTAACAAGCAATCAAAAAAAAAAAAAATCCGATCAACGATTGCATATGTTTTTCTCGCCTCATGATTTATGATTGTAAATTATTATTGTTGTTATCGTTGGATACTGTGTCCAATGTTGATTTGTTTTACTCGAAACACTCACATATATACTATAGAAAAGGAATCTTCAGGCTATTTTTCATCTAGCTCATAATCGATTCGAATCTTTTTTTACAGAAAGTATATACTATTCAGAAATGAAATGAAAAAATAAATAAAAAATAATTTTACAGCTTTGAAATATTTTCTGTCCAAAATGATTAATTGGTTTGTCCAGAAGAAAAAAAAGAGAGGAATAAAAAAAAAATTAATTTTCAACCACCTCCTCGACGTGCGCGTATATTTGTCATTGTAGTTGACAATTTTGGATTCGGTTATGGTTTTTTTTGTTGGCTCTACACCCACATGTATACAAACCTATAAGCAATCATATAATCAATCGATCTCTCTCTCTCTCGGACAAGTTATGATGATGAATCTTCATTGGATAGATTTCATTCAACACCCGGATTTTTAAACATTTTATATATATCGAAATTCAATCATCCACACACACAAACACAAACACAAACAACATTAACGATTGATGATGGTCATATGGTTAATCCACTTTGAAGAGCGTATCATATATATAATGATAATAGCCAATGGAGAGTAACGATTCCTTCTTTTAGTAATTATTGAATATTCTTTCAATATAATAGTTTGAAATAATTTTTCCAAAGTGAAATGTGGCAATCTATTTTAAAACAAAATGTTTATTCATCAGAATTAATGTTCGTATATAGAGAATTTTTTCTTGTTTTTTTTAAAAAAAAGGGAAAGAGATTTTGTAAAGTTTAATCTGTCAAAGACGACATCAATCAAAGTTTTTTTTTTTTTTTGTTGTGTTTGCTCGGTTGTCAAATGTTACAAATGTTTGTACATGACAGGACATTTACATCATGAATCAATCGAATCAAATGATGGTCATCATCATTCACCATTGGCCAATCGTCATTTATGAATGAACACATCCGTTCAAAAGAATTATGGATAGTAATTTTCGAATCTTTTTTTTTATCAGGAGAAACAAATCTAAATTGAGTTTTTTGTTTTTTTTCTGCATAGAAAATTTTGATCCGATTATTATTGTTACTGTTTTTATTTGCATATCATTATTTTGTTGGATATATTCAATTCTTGTTTTTTTTTTGATTCTGTATATATCAAATAAACATATCTTATTATAAGAATCCGAGTAAGAGAGAGAGAGAGAGCGACGAAGATCACATCCACTTTATACCATATAATGACTATAATGGTAATGTTGTTTATCATGAAATCATCAAATAAATGAATGATCAAATGACGACGACCGCCAAATGACAATCAAAATGATTCAAACAAACCAAAAAGAAAAACGAATATATATATCGTTTAATATAATAAATTAATTGCTTGTAAGTAGGATGTGTTTAGATATCACTTAAACAAATGTCTAAACAATTCTATAACAGAAAAAAAAGACAAAACAAATATTCAAAAAATTCAAATGAAGAATGAATAAAAAAAAAATTTGCCTAATTCGTTTATGTTTGTTGAAAAAAAAACAAGTATGAATCCACATTGATTACATTTGATTGTGTGACAATAATCAAACTTCAAAGTCAAGGCAATCCAACAAAAAAAGATGCAATCCAGAACTAATGTCATCATTTCAACATTGACAATTTTTTTTAAACATTCGAATTTCGAACATTATGATGATGATTACCATCAATTTTGATGGAATTTGAAAAAAAACAATAATTTCTCTGTTTTCCATCAATAGTAGTGGGTAATGATAATTGGATCATTTTTGAATCATGATATGAGAATTTGGATCTTTTTTTATAAAATGTTTTTGGATGTATGGGTTTTTTTTCTAAAATGCCAGCAAATGGTATTTGGTATATTTGTTTCATCCAATTCAATATATATATCTATCTATCGTACTTTTCAAAAAAAAAAAAAAAAAAAAAAATATATATCCTTCGATCACACAAACACACACACACACACATTCATTTAAAATATTCAGCCTGCTGTGTGTTTTTGTGTGTGTGTGTTTGGTGTGGATAGTTGGTTGGTCGCGGTCTTTTGCAAAAAAAAGCTGGCTTGTTTGCTTCGGTCTCTCCCTCATTCAGTGATTCTATCGACCAACCTAAAAGACAAATCCATCCATTTTTCAAGTTAGAATAGAGAAAGAAAAAAAGAGAGAAAGAGAGAGCTGATCAGTAGCGGGATATAGTTAGTTTTTATTTTTCTCGCCTCTACGCATAGCACTGGAATAGCCAAACTGTGTTTCAATATTTTCTGGTTTAAAAACACGGCATTTGTTATTTCGGTCCAGCCATTCAGTCATTCACTAAGTTAGTTGAATAGTTGTTCCAATTTTTTTTTATTTTATTTGAACACAACGCGCGCAAAAGGTGTCCTATGTTGTCCAATTCTAATGTTTCCAATACGAATCTTTTTATTTTATTTTATTTTTTTTTGACCAGTTTATTATTCATCACCAATAGTAAAGTGTAGAATTGTGGTGGCCACAAACGATGTGGTACAAAATATTTGATCCATAAATGATAGAATATTCTTTGGACCAAAAAAAAAACTCTGACTCACCATCATCATCATCATCATCATCATCATTCACGAGATTAAGCGATTATAGTTAACGGCTCGATTGACGTCATCATTGTACATCAGCCACACATCTCGTACGGTCTCTTACTCATCAAAAATTATACACAATTGTGTTCCGATCCATAAGAGTGTGTTTCCATAAAATTCACCAAATGAGTCAATTTTCATTTGCTTGAACAAATAATTTTACCATTCTTTAAAAACAAAAAATTAATCACGACAACCCCAAAATCAACTGTAGCAGCCGTCATTGATTTGAATCTGATTTTTATTTCAATGTGTGTGTGTGTTTTCTGTCGATTTGAATCAATTTGATTTGGCAATCAACCATGTGACATATTGGCAATTTTATTATTCTTGAATAATTTGGATTCAAATGTCAATGACCAATGATCATTATTATTCGATTGTTGTTTTTTCTTCTTTTTTTTTGTTTCATACCTTTTTTTTCTCATGCTTATCAGCATATATGAATGAATGAATGAATGAATGAAAAGAATAATAAAATGTATATAACAATGATGAGAATCAAAAATTTATCAAAATCATCGTCATCATCATCATCGATGACCACAATATGTCGAACAATGTTGATCAATACAACAACAACAACAATGATGATGATGATGATGTTTATAATAATTATTATTATAATCGAACAATGTTCATCATCAACATTGCCTCATTTTTTTTCATCACAAAATTCGGTATTAACCGATCCATGTTATGATGACTCAGGTTGGTTTAATTTTTTTTTTCTTTATAATTTTCCAAGTGTAATTAATAATTCTATTGGAATAAAATTCGTTTTAAAAATTGTTAATGTGATTGATCATAAACACCGTGATTATGGCAACATTTTTATTTTCACATATTTCCTGTAAATAATAATCATCATTAGGTAATAGGTGCTTTCGTTTTTTTTTTAAATTATAATAATAATAATTCGAAACATATTTAATGATGTGAGAAAGAGAGAAAAAAAAACACATCCAATCAATGCTCATATACTGATGATGATGATGATGATGATGATGGTTAATGGTAAATTATCACCATCATGGCATTTTTTTTCCTGACTCAAGTAATTAATGATCATCATTGTAGAGAGAGGGAGAGAGAGATTGTTCGACTTTATTCGTTCGAAAATTTGTATTCATTCGAAAGAATTGAACAGATAGAAATGCACAGAATGAAGTAATAATGAACATTAATGATGATGATGATGATTTTCATATTTAATCATAATTATATAAATAAATGAAACACACATTTTTTTCCAATAGATAGTGTATGTTGTTGTTGTTGTTATATATTCGTGATATCTATAGGAAACTAACTTTTTATAACACATTTATCATGTATAGTTCGATATATATAGTTTTTATATGTTCCATATGTATGTTTTTTAAACGATAACGAAAGTGTTATAATAGTTTTGATGATATAATGATGATGATAATTATTATTATTATTATGGTTTGATGTAGGCAACAAGAGATATTCTATTGGTGTTAGAATCTAATGGGTTACGAAAAAAAATGGCAAATTCTTATTTTATGTATTGTATATGAATATCTGATAATTCCCTAATGAGTTATCGAATAGGTTTTTTTTGTTGCTGTTTCCTATTTTTTTTTCTCGAGCGAAGACACACACACACAACGTTGAAATTTTTTTTTTTTAGAACCTAACTCATTTGTTTGAGTCATGGTCTTGAAATTGTGTGTGTGTGTTTTCATCGGTAATGCTAATTCATATCTCATTTTTTTCACTTTTGTTTTGGGTACATTTATGAAATTAATCATATTCACTCACTCACTCACTCTGCTTCTCACTTTTTTTTTATTCTTTTCAACACTCGATACACAGGGAATCCCAAGAGATGTATACCTGATTTTGTAAATGCTGCATTTGGCAAAGAAGTAGAGGTAATTAGCCATATAAATTTTAATTCCGTTCTATTGAATGAATGAATGATTATAATTATGGTACGGGATTGGGGTGTTTTTGTTCTGTTTTGTTGTTGTTGTTGTTAATTTTTTATAGGTATCAAGTGAATGTGGTGAAAGACCAACACGTCATTGTTTTATGATGACCAATGATCAAGATCAATTAATACGTAATTGTCAATTATGTGATCAAAATGATTACCGTTATAGTCATCCAGCAAGCTATCTAACTGATCTCAATAATCCACATAATTTAACATGTTGGATGTCTGAACCATTTACTAATCATCATCAGAATGTAACGGCTATACTACGTTTGGGAAAAAAATATGAATTAACATATATTAGTTTACAATTTTGCGATATGAAACCCGATTCAATGGCTATATTGAAAAGTATGGATTATGGTGAAACATGGCATCCATTTCAATATTATTCTAGTCAATGTCGAAAAGTTTATGGACGCCAGAATCGTGCAGCAATTACAAAAGCCAACGAACAGGAACCATTATGTGCTGATTCAAATACTGAACCGATATCAGGATCACGTGTAGCATTCAGTACATTGGAAGGCCGTCCATCGGCATATGATTTTGATAATAGTCCAGTATTACAAGATTGGGTTACAGCTACCGATATTAAAATTGTTTTTAACAGGTATGTACACAGAGAATATACCTGTTCATCATCATCATGTTTTGTTTTTTTTCAATATTTTAATAATAATAATGATGTTCATATATTTTTTTCAAATAGACTAAGTACAATGGATTCACCATCGCCATCAATACAAAATGATCAACCATCCCATGAAATTAAATTTTCGGGCAAATCGAATGAAAATGATGACGACGACGATGATGATGATGATGTTGATGCTGATGAAGATGATGATGTTGATGGTGGTGATAATAAGGATAACAACAACAACAGCAGTAATAGAACGAAAATAAATCCGGTTGGCGGCAACGATGATAGTGGAGCACTAGCAGATAGTATATTTTATGCTGTATCCGATCTGGCTGTTGGTGGTCGTTGTAAATGTAAATTCAAATACATTTTATATATATTTCATAAATGATACGTATTTTTATGGATACAAAAAAAACGATGATAATAATCATCATCATCATCATCTTAAATGGTTTTCATCATCATGATTGTTTTATATTCCGCCTACCTTGTTTTTTTTTAATTTTCTATCCATTTATTCATTCGTTCGTTCGTTCGTGTGTCAGTCGATCAGTAAAGTCATGATGATAGTGATAGGAATAATTAATTTATATGTACATGTTACATAAGTTTTTTTTTCGTTTCTCTATATTATATGTAACAAATATTTATTCCCTTTTGTTGTTTCTTTATCTTTGATGTATGTTCATAATAATTCGTGGCTTAAATTCAACATTATTGGACGATTCTTTTTTCTTTCTTTATGGCCATATCATCTGATAACAAAATGTTTTTCTTCAAAAGGCAATGGTCATGCTTCAAGGTAAGGATGATTTTTTTTTTCAACTACAAAGCTATTCATTAATATGTTAGAAGAATTGAAAATTGTGGTGGCCAAAAAAAAAAAAAAAAATGTTGCCCACATTTATTCAATTAAACTCTTTCGAATTATTATTATTTTTTTTGGCGAAAATAACATTACAATCAATTATCTAATCAATTCGAATGATTTATAGAGAGACATGTGTGATGTGACCATAATTTAATTAGGAAGTTCATGAAATTGGATGAATGAAATGGCCATTTGTTTGCATTTTTTTTTTTTTTTTGATTGCTCATAATTTTATTCCATTTTTTTGTTGTTGTCTGAATATTTCAGATGCATCGAAGATAGTGAAGGTCAATTGATATGCGATTGTAAACATAATACAGCAGGACGTGATTGTGAAAAATGTAAATCATTTTATTTTGATCAACCATGGGCTCGAGCCACATCACAAGAGGCATTGGAATGTCAACGTAAGTGTATATATATTCATTCATTTGTTTAATTATTTTTTCCATCAATTTTTTTTTCACACATTTTTCTCCTTACCTTATTGATACCATTGACCTTAATCATTTTGCATAATTTTTGATAAGAAAAAATTTTTTTTTAGATTCTAATAGATAGAATTTTTTTGTTCTGTACAAAAATTAAGTCAATATGAGCTTTTTTATTATTATGATTATCATTTAGATTATGATATTTTGACCCTGTCATTTTTTAATGACAAATATAAACACTCGAAAGATTTACCATGATGATTTTCAGAGAGAGAGAGATAGAAAAAATACACAGAAGTGACAGAAAGAAAAAAAAAGTTCACGCGTGTACATATTATATTGACCTACCTCGGAGGTGTTGGATAGAAAGAATTTTCATTTTTTTTTGCATTTGCATTTGCATTTAAATTTTGAAGCCAAACAGTCTCTATCATGTTGTTTTTGATGATTGTAAATTGAAAAAAAATGAAAAAAAAACTTTCAGGTCATTTTCATTTTCAGGGACAGGTGTGCCTGTATTGCCACCTTGACATACGTATACGTGTGTATACATGTGTCAAAAGTCGGAATCTTTTTTTTCAATTTGAATTTAAGCTTTGTTTGCTTATTTCATTGATTTTTTTTTCTCTCATTCAATTTCAATTTATTGGCAAGAGTTAAACCGATAAATTCATACTACATTCATGATAGTTATGAGAGTGAGAAAAATGATCAAGAGACCGCCAAAGTACGTTATCGCGGTACGGTAATAATAATGAATTTATTTCTTTTATGAAAACCCAATTTTCTTTTCAACAATAAAGTTCTCGTTTGAATCTTTGATATGTTTTGAATCTTTGATTTTTTTTAAACAAAAAGAAATAGCCAGAAAATGAATAAATTGATCATCATTATCAAATAATCGATTGGATAGAGAAGAATAATTCAATGATAATGAAATGTGAACAATATGCGATTGATTCATTGCATTCATCGATGTTCATTTCATTTTGCATTTTTTTCAAATTCTCGTTATTCAGTGTTTAGTTATTTCTATATCTTTAGTTTTAGCTGTTTTTTTTTTTTGATTCGTTTGGAAATTAATACAAATTCTCAAATGTGAAGAATGATTCTCAATCGATCCCTAGAGAAAGACAAGCTATCGCATTTGTGTGTGTGTGTGTGTGTATAAATGCGAATCTATCTTCGTTTATTTATCTCTTTTTTTCACTGTAGACAACAACAACAACAACAACAACAACAAAAATGAATAGTTTCTCTGTTATGAATCGATGGCGACGATGAGTAGTATTGGGAATAAAAAAAAAAAAGAAAATACGTACAAATAACAAGTGAACATCAAAAAAAAATGGTAGTGTAATTTTATGTCGCACACATTACATTATATCCTGCTTATCATCAGTTGTATCAACATGATTGCAAAAAAAAAAAAATTTCGTGCATTGTATCCATGAATCATGTACATCATCTTGCTGCTCAATTCTCTATTGAATCATTTTTCTTTCCATTTTTTTTCATAGAATAAAGGTAACTTCAAAAAAAAGGGAAGAAAAATAATAGAATTGATGATAGATGGCTAAAACTACTTAACGGTAGCATTTCTGTTTTCTCGTCCTTTCCAACCAACCCCCCTTTCACGATTCTTTATCACTTGGAACCAATCCGGAATCCATTTGAACAACGAATAATAAAAAACAATTACAACGACGACAAAAAATAATTTTCCTGTTGTTGTTGTTGTTGTTGTCGTCAAGCCATTTAAAAAAAAATCTAGAATAAATATGATCAATATCAGAACAACAACAACAACAACAAAAAAAAAAAAAATTTTAAAGTTACATAATGTGAAATATCGAATGTTTAATAACGTGAAATAAAAAAAAACACAAGAATTTCAAACAAAATGTGAATGAAAACAGAATTTTGGCAGCCACCGAAAAAAAAATAATTAATGTATATTTTGAAACACACACACACACACCCTCACTATATTTTTGATTTTAGAAAATGTTCAAAATGTGTATTTTTTCTATGAAACAAAATATCCCGCATCTAGCTATAATGGTAGATTTTTAATTCTCATTCTCGTTTTTTGTTTTTTTTTTTTTTTTTTTTGGAATTCATCGATGAATAGCTAGTGGTTGGTTGATGACTCTTGAGACGAATTTTCTCTCATCTCATTTCATTCGAGTTCATTGAATCATTCGATAGAGTGGTAATTTGTATTAATAATTGAAAACAAAACAAAAAAAAAAAAATACTACCAATAAGATGAGAATGATGATGAAATCTAAATTATTGAGCATTCGATTTTTTTTTTGGATATTTATAGAAGAAAAAATTTGTTCACACTCTTCTCGTATATTATATAATATGATATGTGTTGTGTTTACGAATGTTATTTTCCAATTTAGTGAAATGAAATTAAATGAAAAACAAAATTTTTTTTCTGGAACAAATGATGATGATGATGATGGCAGTTAAAACGACTTTTTTTTTCTATATTCAGTCTTTCAGTTGGGGTACTTAATTTAATAGACTTGATTTTCGTCAGGAATGTGGCGGCACCAACCACCATCATCATCGGTATTTGGTATCTGTATCGGTATTTTTTGTTGTTGTTGTTGATTTTAGTAGCAATTTAGTATGGTATATATATGTGGATTCTGGAATGAACATTATTTCAATAGCTTTAAAAATGAAATCACGTAGAATATAATATATTCTGTGGAAAGAAAAAAAAAAGAAAAATACATTCACCCATTCAATTCACTCCTTACAACAACAGAAAAAAAAACATTTCTCATCGAGAAGCAAAATAAATCAAAATCTTTCATGCGAGAATAAATTTTTATAAGCAATTATATGTGATGAAAAAATGTTCTAAAACATCTAAAATGTACTAAGGCAAGAAAATTCCCCTTTTGGAAACATACACACACACACACAGACACAGAAAGATCAGATTCCAAGATTCCAATGTTTTATGAGGTAAAGAATTTATTCTCCCTGTTTGTTTCTCATCATTGTTTTTCGGTAGCAAGATTGGTTGCAAGATTCTTTTATTCATTCCTATATCTTGATACAATAACCTTAACAAATAAACAAACAAAAAACAAAAAAAAAATCGATTTTGCTGTTGTCGATTCCGAATTTTAATTATGTTAATCAATCATTAAATTGCCTTCTATTCCCTCATATACTTATTTTTTTATGTATCTCAAAACCATATTTTATTATATGACAACGGTGGTAAATAACTATCACTATCATAGCTTGTAACTGTAATCATCATGCACGAAAATGTCGTTTCAACATGGAACTTTATAAATTATCCGGACGTAAAAGTGGCGGTGTTTGTCTAAATTGTCGACATAATACGGCTGGTCGTCATTGCCATTATTGTAAAGAAGGTATGTATCACTATACCCACACACACACACACACACACACACATCATCGATTTTGGATCACTTCCCCTGCATTCGTTTTTTGTTTTGTTTTGTTTGTTCGATGATTTATTTTCGTTTCATTTGGTCTGGCGATCGATTTTTTTTTTTTTTTTTGGTCTTTTTTATGATCTGTTATTATTTTCTTCGGTATGTGTGTGTGTGTGTGTGTCCTCTGTATCACACACACACGGGAGATTTGACAATATACCGTTTTTTCTTTCCTATTTTTCTTACTATTATTCTGTATACAAATAGTTTACGGCCCATAGTTTGATCTACCATAGTTTTTTTTTCTTTATTCTATTTCATTGTTTGGCTATTGTCTATTGTCAATGTGTGTGTGTGTTATTTATTCAAATCATCAATTTAATCATTTATTCCCCGTAGGCTATTATCGTGATTCAAGTAAGCCAATTTCGCACCGTAAAGCTTGCCGAGGTAAGTGTGGTCTATATATACGTATATTTTGTTTGTTTTTATCATCATCAAAAAAAAAAAAATTATTGATCCACTATCCAAACCAAATGATGAAATAATTTCTTGATTGATTCAAATTTGTTTTGTAACACACAGCATGTGATTGTCATCCGGTTGGATCATCTGGCCGTACTTGTAATATTACTAGTGGACAATGTCAATGTAAACCTGGTGTTACCGGAACCGGATGTAACCGTTGTGCTAAAGTAAGTTGTATACTGTGTTGTTGTTGTTGTTGTTCGGTAAAATATAAAATTCAAATTTTTTATGATTTTTTACTCCCACGCACAAAAATAAATATATATAAAAATTCAGGGATATCAACAATCACGATCACCAATTCAGCCATGTATAAGTAAGTTGATCACGTTCTAATATAAAGCATATTGATTCTTGATTCATCAAAATCATTTATAATTTATTTATTGATGTTTGATTCATGGCAGAAATTCCACAAAATAATGAAATAAATTTCATATCTAGTGAAACAAGTCAAGAGGATGAAGAATCAACATCATGTAAGTTAATCATATAATTTAAAAACTTTTAAATTTTCGATCGGATTGTATTTTTTTTTTTTTTTTCTCAAAAAAGCCGAAAACAGTTGTCTCGAATGTCGGTTATCCACGAAACGGATCAATATGTTGAAATATTGTAGCAAAGATTTCGGTAAAGTGCATGCACACAAACTATCTGTCTTTGTGTGCATGTGTGTGTGTTTGCTTTTGTTCGATTTGTTGTGTGACATTAATCTGTTTATATAAATGGAAAAATTGATTTAGCTATCCAAGCAAATGTCATTTCACGTGAAACCATTGGTGATTGGATACGATTCACAATACAGATTGGCCATGTGTTTAAACATGGAAATATTAGGCTGAAAAAACCGATCGACTATCTATGGGTGCCAATGGCAGATTTTTCTTGCAAATGTCCAAAGCTCAAGATCAAACATACATATTTAATACTCGGTAAGTGTTATAAGTGTTTTATTTGTGTTTTATTTGTGTTTTATTCACATTTCATTCAACAGTCAAAGTATAAACCATCATTGACCTAATCATTTTGAATTCAATTTTTTTTCCAATATAAAAGGCACATATCAAAAAGAAACGTTACAAAGTTACCGTTTGATTGCCGACCGTAATAGTATTGTCATCGATTGGGGTGATGAATGGCATGAACGTATTCGACGATTCCAAAAACGACAGCTTAAAGGCAAATGTAAAATGGAGCTTGAATAAAAATGCATTAATGGATGGATAAATGAATGAATGAATTTTAAATGATATCAGGAGAAGGAGATTCGAACGAAATAAATGGACCAAATAATTTTTGTAAAATCAAAAAAAAAAAAAAAAAAATAGAATCAAAATACCGTTGCCATCTACCGGTAGATCGAACAACAATTTTTCATTCCTTTTTGGATAATTTTATAAAAATCATCGTAGTTATCATAATCATAAAAAAAAAAAAAAAAAAAAAATAGAGATCATCATCGCAATCGAATGATTAGATCAATCAGCTTTCTTATCATAATCTATCTTTCTTTCCCATTTTTTTTTTTTTTTTGATAATTGATATCAACACTCAACATGCACATCCAAAATATAATAATAATAAACACCCATTTATAATTCGAAATGTTGTCCACACACACACACACACACACACACACACATTATAATTATTGTCTAATGTATAATCCACTATTGAATACAATTTTTGATTATAATTTAGTGCCATAAATTTTTTTTTTTTTTTTGTTTTGTTTGTGGATTAATACTCTTGATTTTTGAATTGAGAGATGATAAAACAAATTACATTCAATGACAATAAACAACAAATATATGTGTTGTTAATATGGTTTGATTTGTTTATTCTTTTTTTTTTTTTGGTGTTTCCGTTTCATGTATAGTACTGGATCTGTTTTTTTTTTTTTTTTTTACTATGTGTGATACATTCCACATCATCATCACTATCATTAAGTTGATTGTTAACATTTATTACAATGATAATAATCTTATCAAATGCTATAAAAATGTTCTACTAATACAAATATCTATTCAAGAGATGACTCAATCAATGTTGAATAGGAGAAAATCATTATAAAACTATCAGCACCGGAAATTTTCAACATCATCAATAATGCAATCAAATTTTCTATTAGTAGATTACCTGAAGAATCTTACCTATTTTCATAGTTTATTTATTTATAACAATATCGATGATTCATTCACTCATCATTACCATTAATTTTTTTCCACCATTTTCATATTTTATTTTAAAAGCATTTGGGTTAGAGAAAAAAAATCAGTTAGATTTTTGTTTTGTTTTGTTTTCAATTTCATTGGTGATATTATCTTCTCACAATCTTTTTTTTCAGCTACGTTTTTATGAAGAAGTATATTGAAGGTTGTCTGGTCGTTGTCGTCGTCGTCGTCGCGGTGGACTTTGTAAATTGTCGACATATATACAACACATGATGCAATACACTAGTTTTTTCCACATACCAATAAAACACTCGAATGATGATCAACAGGTAGTAGTCGTCGTCATCATCATCGTCATTATTTCTTATTTACATTGAGTTGCATCCTTGCCTATCCATATTCATTCACCTTTCAAGTAATAATCATTATTATCTCATCAGAAACACATCAAACATCAAACAATTTGACAGCATTGTTCGGGTTTTTTTCTTTCATATTTTACATTGCTTTTGTGATTTCGTTATTTTCATTACTATAGTAAGAAAGACAATGTAATTTAAAGACCTCAATTTATTGCAAATGCCTCTCTCTCTCACTTTATCTCTCTTTCTCTCATTACTAATTGGATCATCATCGACACTTGTTGCATTATTGATTTGATTTGCAATACGAATAATAAGAATATTATCAAACTGATTTTTGTTTATTTGTCTGTGTTATTTTTATGATTCATTCAACAAGTTCTAATCATCAATCGCTCATCTAATTATTACATGTCAAATATGCATCATTCTCGACAATTATTGTGTGATATTGGTTCGGTTAAAAATTGGCAACGTGTTCAAACTCTTGGATCGGGAACATTTGCCACCATCACCTTATGGGTGAATAAAGATACCGATGAACGTATTGCGTTAAAACAAAATTACATGGATGTTGAAAGATATAGTAAAAAACAAATGTAAGTAACATTTTGTCTATAGTGTGTATTGATTTTTTATTTATCCATTTCTCATGAATGATTATAGAACTTATTACTACGAAAGATGGCAACAAGAAATTACATTCATGAAACAATTAAAATGCGAAAACGTCGTAAAAGCATTGGAATTGCCCAAAGAATTCAGTAAATTATCATTGGGGATGCCCATTTTAGCGATGGAATATTGCAGTGGAGGAGATTTACGAAAAGTATTGAATGAACCAACAAATTGTTGTGGTTTGAGTGAGAAAGAAGTGAGACAAATATTAAAACAAATCTCATCGGCAATTAATTGTCTACATAATCTCAATATTGTTCATAGAGATTTGAAACCGGAAAATATTGTTCTGCAACCATTGCCTCATGGTAAAATTTTATATAAATTAACCGATCTTGGATATGCCAAACAATTATCAGAAACAACATCGGCGAATTCATTTGTCGGCACGTTTGAATATTTGGCACCGGAACTTTTCCTAAACATACCATATACATCATCAGTGGATAATTGGAGTTTTGGAGTGATTGCATATGAAATCATTACTGGAAGAAGGCCATTTTTACCTAATCATCCTGTTACCGAAGTATTAGAAGCAATAAAGAAGAAAAAATCTGACGATATTTGTACAGAAATCGATGAAAGAGGAAATTTTTATTATTCAAAAGAGATATCACAGCTTAATTACATTAGTAGTATTCTAAAAAGTGATTTAGAAAAGTGGTTAAAGGTAAGTGAAAGCATCTAAATATTTATTGATCATAGAATAATGAAATAATTTTCAAAATTTTAGACTGTCCTTCAATTTGATCCTAAAAAAAGAGGTGGTCGTGATGCATTCAAAGAAATTAAACAAATTGTTAACAAACGCAATGTACAGATTTTCTCAATCTTTTCATATGAAACATTTGCCTATGAAATAACCGAAGAAACACATATAGATGATTTGAAAGAGAAAATATTTGCATCATCCAATATAATACCGGCAAATCAATATTTGTTTTTCCAAAATGGTGATCTTCTTAAGGAAAAAATTGGTCAACAAATTATTCAAACATGGTATACACCGAAAAGTTGGTTCGACCGATATAATCCTATCACAATCAATATGTTTGATTATTCAAAAGAAGTAAATTATCAAGAATTTTATAAATTTCTTTGTTTACCAAATCGAGTCGAAATGATGTTGATGAATTGTGATCAAACAGCAGATTATGATGAATTAAAATTTACTTGGCGAAGTTCAGTGTTTGTTGCTCGTCAAACGGTAGCAAAATATCGATTTGTTCATGAAACATTAAAAAGTTGTATACTTAATGCGATCACAATGTTTAATCGGCTTCAGAATGAAGATGCAATGTTATACAATTCATTGAATCAAATGTTTTCAACAATTAATGCAATGGAAAAATTATTAAAGAAAAATTATTTGAAATTTTCAAACACTGAAGAAACTAATGATGACGTTAAGGACAGTAATCATATATCATCATCATCATCATCATCAATATTTATGAAGCTCAAAAATCTTCATGATTGGCGTAATAACATTTACATTTCCGGTCACTTTGAACGTAATGGACAAATTGTACCTAAATTCGACAAAGAAAAATTCATGTTTGAAGATTTTTTTCAATCACCAGAAATTGATGAATCATTAATGAACAAATATGTTGACATACAAAAAGCTTACGATATGTTACGAAAATTGAAAAAAGATGAATACAAAAAATATGCATCGAATAATTTAATGGTCAAATTACTTTGTGATATTTTTAAACTAGTCGAAACATTGATGAAAAAAATGTTTTCATTGCTATCGATTTTGATTTCATTCATCAGAAATATCCGTAATCAACAACGAGATTGTCAACGAATCAAAATAGAATTGGATAAATGGAAAACAAATGAGCTTGAAGAATTACAGCAAATGATATTCAGAAAAACATATCATGAATATCCTAGTTCAACTGAATCATCTACAGAATTTCTAGCATCACAAGTGATCAGTTTGGATGGATGTAAGGATTCAATTAATCGACAGATTGAAATATTATCCGAATTTGAACGCGAAAATTCACAATGGCAATCTAAAGCATTTGTATTCGAGTCATTAGAATTTAAAGATTTTTTGTTTTAATATGAAAAATTTAAAATCTTGAATATAAATTCATTTTGATATTTAAATTCGAAAAACAGTATTAGCTGTAATAAAATTTATAAAAAATTTATCAAAAGATTATAAAAAATAATTTAACATTGACAAAATTTATAACTGCAACAAGGTTGAAGCCATGGTTTCCATATGGAATTGGCAAAAGAAAATTGTGATTCGATATTCGTTGAATTTTTCAACGACATTTCATGTCTTTGGACTGCTTGATTAACTATTAACAAAATTCGTTGACGTCTTTCGTGATTGGAGATAGGCATCATTTCCGATGGATCTTGAGCAATATTGAATAAAAGAGGAGGATCATGATGAACAACCCATTTCCCATAACACATACAAACGAATGGACATTTATCTTCATTTGGTTTATATAGAGGTGTGTAAAAATACACTTTCCATACATGATTATTGTCTTCAATGTAACGAACACCATGCAAATAAGTGCCACAATAATGGAACATAAAATCATGTGGACTTGAGTCATTTTCACCCCTTAATAATGGAAAAATGTTACGACCATCAACAATCCGATCTTTGGGTAAAGTAAGATTTAAAATAGCAGGTATAGTGGCAAAAATATCCATTTGCATAGTGGCAGCTGAAATCATTTTATTTGCAGGAAACATACCAGGCCACATTACAGCAGTAGGAACACGAATTCCACCTTCCATGGCTCCATGACCTTTGCCACCACGAAATATTCCATTTGAACCACCTTCAGGATTACCATTAAGATCAACTTCTTCTAAATGAGCACCATTATCACTACTAAAATAAGTAAATGTTTTATCCAAAATGTCAAGTTCTTTCAGCAAATCTAGCATTTGTCCAACACCTTCATCTAGTTCGAGAACACAATCTCCATATTTACCAAAATGGCTTTTGCCTTTGAATTCATCTGATGGTTTGTGTGCTAACCAAATATCGAATCGAATTATATTAACTTAAACCTTATAGAACTATAAATCGATTATTATTACCTGTATGAACTTTTATAAAATTGAGCATGACAAAAAATGGCCTATTTTCTTCAGTTACATTCCTTATGAATTCACTAGCTTCATCTGTTAATCTTCGGGTTATTCCTTTCAATTGAGTGGGTTGCTCGATTAATTCATTGTTTCGATAAAGTACACTATTCAAAATGGTAATATTTTTCTGAAATATAACAACCAAAGCAGGAAGAATGATTGATAACAATATGACAAAGATAGATAGTGCTGACCAGTTTCGTTTTGTTCTTATAATTATCATACATCCAATTGTGATACCCAACAATGAGATACTTGTTAGCAACAAGTATAAATTCGGAAAATAGGAAAGTACAACACTTTGACCATCATCGCCAAAATCTTTTAAATTAGTCAACGGAATGCCAAAAAAATGATCAAAACCATGATTGTTTGGATGATGACAATTGTCATCTAATTTTGAACAATCCTTTCCCAGATGCCATTTACCGATCAATGCCGTTCGATAATCACTTTGTTGTTTTAATAGCTTCGCAATGGTTAATTCATTTTCGGGTAAACCTCCCGATGAACCGACAAATAGAAAAACACGATTTTTGCCTTTCGCCGTCATCCCTAACAAGTTTTCCGAATTGAAAATTTGATTATTACAGTGGAAATTGACAATTACCATTTCGAATTGGATAGCGTCCAGTGAGAAATGCAGATCGGCTTGGTGTGCAAACTGATGCTGCACTCAGATGTTGGCTAAGTATCAGACCAGCTCTACCTATTCGATCAATGTTTGGCGTTGAAAGACTGTGATTACCAAGCAAACTAAGGTCCCCATAGCCCATATCATCTGCCATCATCAATAAGAAATTTGGTCGGGATACATTTGTATTCGAAACACCAACAACTACTATCGACCATGTGATGATCACCTACATTCAATTTTAATTTTATAACTTATTTAATTTATACAATAAATTTTTTCAATAAATGAATTATAAAATGTCATGAGCTATCGTTCTTATCTAATTCTAATGATGATTATAATTACGATGAAGCGAAATGTTTATCTAGAATATCTTGAATAACATTTTTGGATTCTGGCCGATGAATTTTATCGTCAAATTCTGCACCAATGGCCCACAATGTTTCGATATCATAGAATTCACGTGTTTTTTCCATAAACACATGAACAATTAAATTGTTAAGGTCAATCAATCGCCAATCATCACTTTTGTCAATCAGATCAAGAAATGGATCTTGATGATTTTTTTTCATCTTGTAAATCTTATTCAATATTTCTACGAATGTCTATGAAATAAAATGTTATTTTTATGAATTATTGGATTGATTAAATGTGAACATGACTTACTTTCAAATGTCTTTTAGACATGGCTGTACAAACGATCATGTAATCACAATATTTTAAAGATTTTGGCACTTTGATCACAACAATGTCTTGCAAATTTTCTTGACGTAATAAATCTACCATTTCGTTAAGATCAAAAACTCCGGTACGACCTCTTTTTAGATCAAAATTTTGCCGTCTCATATGCATTTTTCTTTGTTCTTTTTGTTTTTGATTAAACATAACATCAACATCATCAAATATTATATCAGCATCTTCATCGTGGAATTTTTTGTACCGTTGTTCCATAATCATTTTTGAATTTGGAATTGATTTTTTCATCTCAGAATCATCAAGATTATCATTGTTATTGATTGGTGAATTCGAGCTATCATTCAACTTTTGATTTGTCATACAAATATTTTTAGAGAAATTGGTTATACTTGCCTGAATAAAATGTTTACGAAAAAGAATGTGACGAAAACATTGATTTTGGATCATTTTGAAGCGTTAATAAATCAAAAAACGAAAAAAGAAAACTGTGTATATCACTATCGAACTATGCAACAATTATCATGATTTTTATTTTGATTTGAAATAATAAAAGCATTCTTTTGCTGCTAAGTTTACATAGCAACAATGGAATGAGATGCATGCATGCATGCACAAAATATTGTGATAATATGATCAACACATCATCACAATTCATATATTTTGTTATGAATTGTTAAAGCAATGATGAAACACAAAGTTTTATTTTATCTATAGAAAATTCATTTTGATATATTTCATTGTAAATCCATTCATTGATTAGTAATTGTAATTATTTACGGGAAAATTTTTTTTTCATTTTATAAATACAAATACAAATTTATTTTTAACAATATAAAAATCCACAATTACAAATACGTAGATTCAAGTTTTTTGACCTTTTTTCATTTGAAAATTGATCAACATCTTTACAATGAATTATTAGTACAAATGGAACTAAGTGGTAGATTGTTGATTTTTCGTTTCATCTTTGTGTTCATCACTAATTACACCTTCACGTTCGAAACGCAATTCTTCTTCAGTAGGCGGTTCCGGAACCGGATCTCGTATAAATGTTTTAAGTATGGGATCTTTTGGTGGCATCCAATCTGGTATAATTTTAGCATGTAAACGCCAACGGCCATTATAATCGGAGATATTTTTTTCGAAAACAACATATTCAAGAACATCTTTGACTATAGCATCACTACCATACATTAGATGGCCAAAACGATCGTAAATGGCTAAAATTTGTCTGGTATTCAGTCTCAAAGTAATCTGGGCAAACATGTTTGTTTTTTCGATCAATGATTGCGTTCTGATCTGTATTACATCTGGTATATCATTAGATTTGATAAAACTCCATTTGATTGTTTTCAAATCTCGTTGAAATGTCATTATCGGATAAGCAAATTCAGTGACATAATCTAAAAGTTTTTCCTTTTCATTCGATGCTAATAACTCATGAGCTTTGATGTAGATGTCCTGAGCTTCTTCAGCAAATGTAGGCAAATCGAAATTATCTTCATAGGATTTAATTTTACGTAAGGCCATAAATGATGAAGTTTTTTGCTTAACATGTGTGGCTTTCTGTGTTACTCCCTGGAATGGATATTTGTATAATAGAAAAAAAACATTTATAAGTATCGAACCGGATTTGTAAAAAAATCAACGATGGCAACGTACCGTTTTGGAAAGTACAGAGAATTTACCATCACCTTCAGGTGGAACATATGGATCGAGTACACCTTGTGTGGTTGTAACAACTATGGGTTTTTCTTTATACTTTTTTGGTGGAGCGATGCCTTTTTCTTTCAACCGTGAAACATATTCTTCCGGCGTCAATTTAGTATCAGATTGGATTCGCTCAAAATCAGGTAGTTCTATTTTCAAAACTTTTTTTGCTCTAGCTTTTCGCCATTCACCTTCGATGCCAACATTCCATGGTTTAATATCTCGAGCATGATATATTGATGCCAGATGAAATGATCGTACGGAATTGAATGTACTGGTAAAATTTTTCAATAACATCTTTAATCTTTAATCACGATATTAATCATGAATTTGAAAAACTTGAAACAATCCAAAACAATCACGTGATTCTGATGGTGCTTGGTGCACATTTCGTACTCTCATATATGAATCAATTGCATCATAAATCAATTTGATGATGCACGCAGTAAAATATTTTTACTCAATTCGTGAATCCATTTGGTTTAGTCTTTTGTTTTTTATTGAATTCTAAATATCACGATGAATATCATCTATAAATCCCCTTTTGATCGACAACATAAAGTGTTGGAAGCGAATAGAAATGGAATTGTTCCTATTGATGAATTAAAACGTCTCATCTTGCTCAAAGAGGTAATTTTTTATTTATGTCAAAAAACCATTAAATAATTTACAATTAATCTAGAATCTTCCTTCTTTATCAATCGACTTCGATGTATTTCGCAATGGAAAGAAAATTGTTGATAACTTGAATCTTGATGGAATTGATATCTTTATTCAATTATTCATACCGATTCCAGGTGGTAAAGGTGGTTTTGGATCCATGCTTCGAGCAATTGGAGCTCAGATTGAAAAAACAACAAACCGTGAAGCATGCCGTGATCTTAGTGGTCGAAGATTGCGAGATGTAAACGAAGAAAAACGGATCAAAGAATGGATAAAAAAACAAGCAGATCGCAAAAAAGAAGAGGAGAAAAAGAAGCGTGAAAAATTAAAACAAATTGCCGAAGGAATTATCGCACCTAATTGTAAATATGATGACGCTGATTTTGAAAAATTTCGTACCGAAATTCCCGACATTATTGATGAATCAATTACGCAAGGTTTACAAAAGCAACAAAGTTCTAGCAAAAGAAAATTGGAAACAGAAAATTCTATCGATGACTCATCATCAGATAATCGTGACCAAAGTGATAAATCAAAAGATAAATCACCAATTCCTATACCTACAAAAAAATTGGCAAAAAAGCATGATCTTTGGTTGGGCGTAGATATCTCAGATTCAGATGATTCCGATCAAGAAGAAACGCTTGTTGAAAAAATATAATTTATTACACACAGACACACATATACAAGTACTCAAAATTGACATTCAATCTTAATGAATGACAAAAAAATAAACAATTTTTTTTCTTTTACCATCACGACGGACAAACATCGCATCCAATCAGTAAGAAGATATTTTTATTTTTTTTACACTCTAATAATGAGGTCATTGTGTCAACCCAAACAACATGAAAAATTTTGTTTGATTTGATCCAATGTTTTCTCGAATGTCACTACCATCATCACCAACACAAATTGTAATCTTGTTTTCAACATATATATTCACAATAAATTTTTGTCATATACAATAGGATAAAATTTTCTTAACAAATATATCATATTATTCGATTCTTTTGTATAATAACATTACTCAAATTTCGAAAAAGGAATTTCTTTGTATTTATTTGACCAATATGAGATGTGTATATTTTCAAATTATATAAGAATCACTTGTTCCATTCAACTATAGAATTACATCAAAAAAAAAAATAAATAAATAAATTTCCATGAACTATTTTCATCATTTTTTTTTTATTTTGAATAAAATAACTTTCCTCAGAATAATCATTGTCCAATCATAACCATAGTTTGACTTACTAGACTAGATACAATCGATTGACTATAGTATATACATTCATACATCAAAAATTTCTTCATACATCATGATCATCATCACCATATTTAATCTATATAAATTTTTTTTTTTGTTTTGTTTGTTTGTTTGGATTACTTGCTTTTTGCAATTTTTTGTTTCTTTGTTGAAAATTTTGATCATCATCATTTGACTTGTTTTGCATTATTCTTATATGCAAGAGTTATTCCAATTGTATTTTTTTACATTTAATATGTTTGTTGGTTCCAGTATTAAATAGTGCAAATATTGTTTATGTGCATGAGTTTTTGGATTCTTGCTTGAAGCATTAATCGAAGCGAATAAGGTGTGTGTGTGTGTGTGTAAATGAATTCCAATTGTGTGTTCCTATATAATATCTATTTGATAGATAAAAGGAATGAGATAAATTGGAAGAAGAAGAAGAAGAAGAAGAAGAAACTCAATTTCTTCGAATTCATATATTCGTGGCCGTTTTGTATATATATGCTCTAATCGCATATATTCCATGTCCATCCAATGTTCTGAGCACACGTATATATATCTTTCTCTCTTTTCAATTCTTTCATCACCATCACTCCATTCATTCTTTTTATCATTGGTTTTTTTTTTATTTGGAATATTATTGAATGTGAAATTTTTTACACATATACAAATACAGAAAGTCACTATATGTGTGTGGGTATGACAGGAAAAATATTTGAAAAAAACCTCTCTCTCTTTATCTCTCTTTTGGTTTTATTATCGAATTGGATGATAATGATGAAAATGTATTGAATGTTGTTGTTTTTATTTCATCGTGGTCACCGTTTCTGTTGTTTGATGATGATTATGACGATGATGATGATCATGTTCTTAGATTGCTAATGTCTATGCTTCAGGCATAATCAATGTAGTCGTTTAAATTGGTGTGTGTGTGTGTTTGTGTATATGCGTGTATGTTAGTGTTGCCTTGAAAAGATCAAGATGAATTTTTTGTTCTCCTCACATTCTACGATGACAACAAAAACAACATCAAATACGAAGACATCGACAAACTATAGTGTTGATGATGATGATGGCAGTGATGATCATTTTGGAAAAGTTTCGAACCACTAACATTTGGTATCGGTTTAACTAAAGGCAAAGAAAAAAAAAATTAATACCGACTGTTTATGATAATGGTTACTGGAAGATATACAGGTTGAAGCATTCGATCATCGACAGAACAGGACAGGATAGTAAAGTGAAAAAAAAATCATACAAAAAATTATTAAAAATACGTATTAAAAAGAGAAACAAATATCATAGATAGATACTGTAATTCGAATGCTTCAAGAAGATTCATCGGATTCACATTCAGTCTGTGTCACTGTGTATGGTTGAAAACAACAAGAGGGAGTGCGAGTGTTTGCTTCAAAAAAAAAAAAATTTTTACCATCAATGATCATCATATGAGGATCATTCGGCAAATTGAAAAAAAAGAGAGAAAGAGAGGCGCTTTCGATCATTCATAGATCAATTCTTCAATCATGCTGTAATAAATACTGACGTGAATATTTGAATCAAGAAGAAAATTTTATTAGTTGATGATCATCTCAATCGTAGTAGATTGCTGCTGATATATTGGTTTATCCAAATCTAAATCCATTCTAAACAAAATATATTTCTTATGATGATTGAAACAAAACAACAAAATTCTATTAAAAATTTAATCTTTCTTCACATAATACAATTTTAATGTCCATGTTCACACCACAACGACTAACTAACATCGCCACCACCACCATCATCATCATCATCATCATCATCACATACATTCAACAATGTCATTTGCACTAAGATGTTCTTGCTGTTCGAATTCATCGAATGAATGACTAGAAGATCGGCAACAATTTGACGATTGAAACGAAGATCATCTCATCCTAATCGAAGGAACATTTTTTTTTTTTTGAATAAAAATTGTTGAATGTGTGTTTGTGACACAAAACTTTTACGAATCAATGATAAGATTCAATGGTGCTTCTTCCTTTAAAGATATTTTTTTTTCTTCATTTCAGTTCATTCATTTTGATCATAGTATAGTGTCGTAGTAGTGTTGTTGCCGCCACCATCTTCTCCATTACAGTCGTAATCTTAATGAATTTTTTATTTATTTTTAGCGATCGATTTGAAAAAAAACGTAACTTAATGGAATAAAGAAGAAGAAAAAAGATTTTTCATTTGCGCCATTCTCAAATTGTTGTTGATTATAACACATTTAATATTAACTACGCTTGTTAATGTTGTCGATGTTGATTATGATGATGATGATGATGATGATGATCCAAACGTGAAACGTCGAACATTTTGTTTCTTTTCAATATTTCAATAAATAAACGAATAATAAATTCATCATCATCATTGACGACGTTTTGTGTATCGAATTTTTTCACCCGTTTATTTTGCGGAAATATCAACGCCCATCAACAATTACCATTAATGTCATTTCCATCATCATCATCATCATCATCACCATCATCGTTACCATTATCATCAACATAAAACACATCATCGTGATCATCATCTCAATCACAGTATTTTTGTTATTTTTTTTTTTTTGTATTTTGATTGTTGATATTTATCATCATCATCATCATCATAAATAATAATAATAACCATCACCGTCGATATATAAAATTTCATCATAAATCTTCACTTTGAAATTCTCAGTCCCTCCCAGATTCCAGTTTCCTGTGTATGTCTATTCTGTCTTTCAACGCACTCAAAAAGATACAAGCAACCAAAAAAAAAAAAAAACAAAGTTTGATGTGATTATTCATAAGAAAAATACTCTCCCTATCCATTCCTGCAATAGAATATACTATAGTACAACACAAACAAAAAAAAACCGAATCATATTGAATTGAAACGAACCGAACCAAACTATAATACAAGAAAAAATCATACGAAAAAAATGAATGAATGAATGAACCACAACGCCCACAAACATTAATTCAATAATATTCGCTCAATGGATTTTTTTTATATGAATGAATTCACTTGTTCAGCATTATCATCATCATCATCATAATCATTATTATCGATTCAAATGATTCATTTTTCTTAATCATCATTCCAAAATAATCATCGGTTGTCTAAATGAATCATTTTTATTTGTTTTTGTTCTTTCACCCTAAACATTTATTTGTTCATTTGATTGATTGATTAAAATATTCGAATGTTTGCTTGACCTCTCAAAAAAAAAAATAATAATAACAAAAAGAACAAAAAAAAATAGTGGACAGAAATTAAAAATAAATTAAGCCCTAAAATCTGAAAAAAAATTGACAAACAAACGAAAAAAAAACAAAATAAAAGAAACATAGTGACATAGTGACCATCAAATAGAATTATCATCATTATCCGTGAATAAATGGTGACAAACACAATTCGTAACACCATTGGTGCCTATTCATATATTGTTAAGTTTAATTCGGATTTTGTTTTTTTTGTGTGTCAGTCAAATTTTTTCAAACAATAATCCTTTCATAGGAATTTTAACAAAAAAACAAACAAACAAACAAACATTTCAACAACCAATCAACCGAATTTGAAGAATTTGTTTTCAACTAATTCTCTATATTTTATAAAATAATTAATACAAAAAAAACATGGGTTGTCCATTAAGCAAAAGTGGTGATGATTCGGATTCAAGGCGAAATAAAAATGCGCCCGATCCATTTAAAACAGAGGAAAATATTGGCAACAAAACTATTGATCCAAGACTACCATTGACTGTGAAACAAAAATTCAATTTATCCAAATCATGGAAAGGCATCTCCAGAGAGATGGAAATGACAGGCGTATTGATGTTTGTCAAGTAAGTAAATAATTTCTATAATAGCCCACATATGTGTGTGTGTGTGTGAAATAAAATAAAAAAATAAAATTTACAAATGATCTAATCTCTAATCAAATCGAACCATATCAATCAATTTCTCTCTTTTTTTTTTGTTTCCTGTCCATTTCCGGTTTTTTTCAATGCTAAAACAATAAAGACTGTTCGAAGAAACGCCAGATATATTGAATTTATTCACAAAATTTCAAGAACTCAAAACTAAAGATAGCCAAATGAAAAGCATGGAATTAGCAGAACATGCAACAAAAGTGATGGCCAATCTAGATGAAATGATCAATGGTCTGGATGATATGGATTATTTTTTTCATCATCTTCATAATTTGGGAAAATTTCATCGAAAAATTCCAGGATTTCAGAAAGAGAATTTTTTGGTGAGTCTCCCAATTTTTATTGATTTTTTCTTTTTCTTTTTTTTTATTCAAAGTGTGATACAATGGAACCAAAAGAATTTGCTTTGTTCGGTGTTTAATGTTTTCAATTTTCAATATTCGATCAACAGTATATTGCAGCAACAATAGATTCTGTTTATTATTTCGTTTTTAAGCACCATTATTTTTACTTTTCTATAATATGACGTCAGACATATGTTGATCAATTCATTATAATAAAAATAGTGATCCATTTGTGTTAATGATTCAAGATCGATTTTGGAACGATGATCCATTTTTCAAAGAAAAAAAAATGAAGAAGAAATTCAAGCGGAAATTCGAATTTCAATTTCCGCAGTAATTGTCATTTTCTTACTGCAATATATAGACTTGTTTATGTAGCTACCAAATAGGCTGTAATTTAGACCAATCGATTTATCAGAGCGAAATAAAGATTTAATTTGCTCGAAATTCGATCCAATCAATCAATAATCGATAAATGTTACCAACACCATTTGTTTCGGGAAAACATACTAATTTATATTGTTTCTGTCGTTGTTTTTTTTCGTTTCCCAATCCGATTTCGATTTTTTTTATCCAAATTTCATTTATACAGAAACTAGAGAAGCCATTCATCGAAGCGGTGAAGGAAGTACTACAAGAACGTTATACAGACAATATGGCTAACATTTATAATATAATCATCAAATTAATATTGCAAACAGTTGCCGAAGGTTTCGAAAAAGATTTTGATTAAACATGATTCTAAAACCTTTTTCCCTCATCTAATTCCAATCATCATGAACCTAAAAATAAAAAAAAAAAAACATTTGCCAAAATCCAGATTTTCCTTTGGGTGGGGTGATTGAAATCACAGAAACACAAGTCAAAAAACAAATCAATGCAATTCAATCCATCCATCTATCCATTACCAATCAACACATTATAAATGAATCAACCAATCTCCGAACGGATCAAGAATCGGAAAATGAAGTGAAAAAAATCTCGTAAAATTATGGCATTGAACGTATTTTAACATCAATGTGTCGGTTTTTTTGTACATAAAAAATTCTTATTTCTTAATTATTATTCTTATTATACTGTATTCTCTATGATTATTGATGATAATTGACAATAAAAATGTTTGTATAGAGTTTACATACGCACATACAAACAAACAAACAAACAAACAAATGTATTCAAAATTAATAATCGTTACAAAACAATTTTTTTTTCTGATGATCAACCCCATCGATAATGGGCATATGCTTTATTGCTCTCACATTGTCGATGCATATCTTGTTTTTTCTTGACCACTTTGCCTTGGTTATAAAAACAATCAATTAGCTCTCGAGCCATAATTTCTGGAAAAAATTGTTTCCGCGGTTTTGGCCTTTCGACAATCGTTTGGAATAGCCATCGCATGGCCAATTGTTCCGATTCTCTTTCACTAATGGGAAATGGTACTTGATAAGTGGCTCCACCACGTTTGACAGGTCTAGTAATCATTAATGGCATACAATTGGCTATGGCTCCATGAAAAATGACTAATGGATCACAAACGACTTCTTTTGATTGATCATCATCATCGCATCCATCATTATGGTTTCCGGAATTCAATTTTGTCAATTGAATTCGTTTAATAATCATAAATGTTTCACGCATTAACTCACGCATTAATACACGTTGACCTTTTCTAGTACCTCTAGTGATGAATTTATTTAGGGTTTCATCATAAAACACTGAACATGGATAGCCTGGCCGAGCTGCTGGAATATCACGGTCACGAAGGTTCGAACATTCATCGAGGTTCATTCTTGATGCTGGAATCAATGGTTGGATGACCAATTGAGATTTTTTAACTGCCAAACTAGAGGCTTTTGAATTTCGAGCCACAGCGAAACGGATGACGTTTAAGAAGACCATGATGGTTCTAGAATTTCATAACTTTTTCAAATCGAAAACAATTTTCGAAAGATATTTTCAGCATGGCACAGCTGTTTTTCGTGAAAAGCATGTATTCCTCATTCTAGTTAGCGCCATCTAATTGAAAATTTTGAATTAAATTGCCACATGAGCCACGACATCCGTATAACAATCAACATTGTTAATTTTTCAATTTTTTTTCTTCAAATTCTCTCTTGGTCATTCGACTAATGATAAGATGCTTTTGACAAACAGTGAAACGGTAAGAGACCTGAAAAATATACAATTTTCTAATTACTATTTTCAATTCAGTTTCTAAGCGAAATGAGCAAACTCTTCTATACGAATCAAACGAATGGTGGTTCAATTTATATCACCATGAAACGTATAGATAATTCCAAAAAGCCAACACCACGAGCAGAAAAATTGAAAAAGAAAACGCAAGATAAATCTGTAACTGAACAACGAAAAGAATATAAGTGCCTGATTCGTGTACATGATAACAAACGTAAAATCAGTACCATCGTTTCGGCAAAAGATGTAAATAAATTTCAACAAGCATATTCAAATCTTTTGAAAGGAAATCTTTATGGACTGAAAAAGAAAGATAAAAAGAAAGCGGTTAAAAATCCAAAGCAACACAATGATAGTGATGATTGTGGTTTTTTCTTCAAATTTTTTTTTAAATTCCAGATTTCCGACATAATTTTAATCGATGTAAATTGTTTTTGCGTGCCCAATTTATATATTATTAATAATGATTTTTCTGTTCAAATCATTTTCATATCATACAAATGTTCATTGCAATTTTCACATTTTTTTTTGAATGAATAAATACTTTGTTGGTGAAAAAATTGTATATACAGAAAAAGTTTAGAGATATTTCACGGTTCTTTTGTGTAATATACACGATAATATAGTGTTTTTGAACGCCAAAGTGAATAAGAATTATCAAATTTTAAAAGATAGACGCCTTTACCAGGATAAACGTGATTGCCGGCAAAGACTTCTTCGTGTGAATCTCGTCGATAGATTGGAATGATTGCACTTATTGGAGGATGATCAACACCAGGGCGACATGATGATGGACGTGAATTAAGAACACGGTTTGTTCCTTTTTCAATATCATGTCCGGTGGTTGAAGGCTCTAAACAATAAATGATAATAAAATAAGATTAAAAAGAAAGGGTAAAAAATAAAAGACTATTCACCTTGTTCATCTTCTTCATCATCTTCACTTTCACTGAAATAAACTGAAACTTGACTATCAGGCGAAGAATTCCATTCAAAAAATAATCCAAAACCAATATCATAATTATCGGTGGCGAATTCCCAGAATATACAGCTTCCATCATCATGTGTTGGAACACGAATCGTAGCAATCTCGCCATGACCAACTTTTATAATACCATGGCCACCTTCAGCTTGAACCGAATCCTTGAAAGCGACCAAATCTTTTCGAGTCCACATAGATGCATTGCTTACTTGCCGCGACAATATACTTTCATCATCATCATCAGATTCTTCATCTTCTTCAGCATCTTGATCTATTTCATTCTGCATAGATGATGATGAATGTATCTCATCTATATTGTTATCACCGTTAGAAGATAATTTGCCAATATTATCGGCAACATTTGTTCCAGTATTTTCACATTGTAAAAGATTTCCGTTATTGACATCGGATGTATCGACATTGCATGATGGTAAATAATGGTTATTATTCGATTGTCCTTGCTGATCCATTGTCATTTGTTCTATATATTGTTGAAAATGTTGTTCTTGTAATTGTTTCACTAGCTGTTCTTGTAATTCAATACTGTCTGGGTATTGTTGCTGTGCGTATGTGGTAAATTGATTTATAGTTTGACGATTAAGCAATTCTTTAATCACAAGTCTATAAATAGAAAAAAAATCGAAATGAATCAAGTTTAATTAATTTGAATAATTATTCTTTTTATACTTTTGTTTTTCATTTTGTTGTTGTTTTTCCACCTCTTCGGCTCGAGCTTCTTCTTCAGCTCGACATTTTTCTAGCTCTTCCAGTTTCCTGAGTTTCAGTTCTTCCAATTCTTTTTGTTTCCGTTCTTTCTCTTCCATATCACACCTAACAGCTATCAAATATGATCGAAAAAATGGACATAACTTGTCCAATAGTTCGAAAAATTGTTGTCGAGCTTCATTTGCCGGCATTGTGTTCAAAGAAATCCAAGCATTTCTATTTTCAATCAATCAGCAATTAAAAATAAAAATAAATAGAGAATACTAGACAAACCTTCTATCATGACCGACAAAATCTAACGCTCCTAATGGTATGGCCTTTTCTTGATTAAATTTTCCATGTTTTTCCTGAAGTGTCAACGCTACCAGCATATTACGTTGATCATATGACGGATGAAAAGCTTTACCTTCGTTTTCTATTAAATAACAAAATAAGAAAATACGGAAATGTAATAAATCATAAAGAAAAAATCGTCTTACCTTTGAAAAAGTTTAACGATATTTTATAAAGATCTTTTTCATCATAAGGCCATTCAATCGTTATGTTTTTATTGTCAACAACTTTTTGATCAGATAATGATGATGACGATAATGATGTCGTTTTAGATGAATCCATAAAGCAATCGTTTTTATTATCAATATTGCCATTTGTCATCATCTTTGAACTGTTTGTTTGATTATCGTTTTTTGTGCCATGATCATCATTATCATTATTATTATTATTATTATTATTGTTGATGTTCGAATTAACCATATTGAAGAAGGAAAAATTTTTATCATAATAATTGAAAAATTAAATCTTTTGATGATCAAATGATTATTTCATTCCAATAAAAAATAAAAATAAAACAATTATTCTTATCAACAAAAAAAAATGATGACGATGATCAAAGATGATGTAGTCGTACACAGGAGCAGGTGTATGCATGTAAAAAAAAAAAAAATATATCACAAATCTGATACTGGCGCCTAATGGTGGAATAATAAGGAATTTTCATTTCTCAACAAAACATCTAAATTCATGGAATTTTTTTTTCCAAATCTTTTATTCAATTCAACAATTAATTTGATGATCAGATTTAAAATTTCCATCGATTAAATTAATTAATTTTTTTCGTTTGAAAACAAATTAAAATTACACAAACAGAGAAAAACAAAAAGTTTCAAATTTGAAAAAAAAAAAAAATTTTTTTTTTAGTTATCTGATTAATAGCATTTTCTTGTGTAGTGTGTTTCAGCAATAGAGTTGATAATTTTTTTTCCATTTTCTACAATGAATATGAAGAATAGAGGGGAGCAAAGAATGTAGAAATAATCAAAATTTACAGAATAAATTAAAAAAAAATGAAAATGAAATAAAATAAAAATAATATATACAGAAATTTTATGCTGAAAAAACGAAAAAGAAATGAAAGTTTTGTCATTGTGTTGTATGCAGATCACTTTTTTGTTGTCTGTAGATTGATCAACAGAATTCATTGAAATTCATCATCTGAACTTAATAATGTTGTTTTTTCCGAATAATTCTGACTAATCGTTGTGATCGGTTTACCATTACCGTTTTTGGCATTCAAATTACTTGTACCAGTTGCTACTGTTGATGAAAGTGGATTACCTCCTACTGCCGATAATGTTGATAATGTTACGCCCGAATTGTTGGCCGAACCAGTGGCCACATTATCATTACTGATGTTTGAACTATTATAACTATTATTAGTGTTTGAATCATTTATGATTGGTGATTTCAATGTTGATCCAGTACCAGTTGCAGCTTTTGGTGATGATGCTGATCCATAATGATGTTGTTCTGGTTTTGATGAATATTGGGTGTATTGTTGATAATTTGGATGAAAATTGTGGATTGCATCATTCATAATATCTCTTGGATTCATAGTTTCTTTCAGACTGCTAGAAATACTTTGCATAGTCACTGATCGTCCATGTGTGTCGGTCGAATAATTTCCTTTATAGATCTGTAGGGAGTTGATGAGTCGATTAAATTATAGTGAATTAATATTAAAGTTTGATAAACTTACGCCATGAGGGAATGCATATCGCAATGCCAACGAAGCGAAAAACATTTCGATACAAATCAAAAAATTTTGATAACCAGCCGAAACGGTACCAGCACTAGCTTTTTGACCTTCCCATGTAAAAACTTTTGATACGCAAATGTTTAAAAAGAATTGAAAATTTTCTAAATGTAAATGCATACCTGGTGAAATTATATCAGCCTGTTCAAGAATAGCCAAAATAACACCTTGCCAGAATGAAAGAAAGATGACTGATTTCACCGTTAGAAATTTCCACACTGGATCGAATGGACTAAGCAAATCTCGTGTAGCATGATAAAACAAAAGTAAACCATAAAGTGCCAACGAAACGGATATATTATAAATCATTGTAATGTAAAGATAACCAGAATCAGCACGCCAATCACCATCATGATATTTGCCAAAAGCTTGTAGAATGAGTATCGCAAACGACATAATTGGTTTGACAGCACAAAATTGCAATGTAGCTTGTTTGCAGAAACGTAAAAATCCAATCGAATAGGTTTTACCAGTCAAACAGCAAGTACCATAATACCAACTTGATCGAATCGGCTTGCCACGTATCTCGGACATGATATTACCTTCACCGCCAAGATATTCATAGCAGAGGCTCAAAAAATTGTAGATTACAAAAGCTGATGCATCAAATAAACATTAGTTAATAATTGTATTGAAAAGAAAATCGCTATAAATTCTCCCTTACCTTCGTACCAATCACGAACACTGTCGAAATAAACATAATAATTATCTCGAAAAAATAACAAACTAAACCATGAATCAAGACCATAGATTGGAACAATAAATAGAATTCGTACGATCCAACGTTGTTCCGATGGCATCGTATAATATTTCAAATGTTGATAAATCTTTTAACAAAAAAAAGAATGATTAAAAAACAAAAGTTCAAATTGAGAAATGAAAAAAAAAATTACCTGATGACATGTTATGAACAATGCTGTCCATGCGAATGCTCCAGCAATAATCTTAGCAGATGATGATTGCAGAAAAATTCCTGGATGTTCAACAAACTGAGTAATATTATTGGCAGCAGCTGATATTCCAGATCCACTTGACAATGGAATCATTGATGACAATGATGATGATGATGATGTCGGTGATTGTGTTGAAGATGACAATATTTCAGCCATTCTTATATAATTCACACTATTTTCATTGGATTTATACAATCTATTATTATGTATTGATGATGACGAGGGTGGATTTTCAAAGAAATTTAATTACAACAATATAGAGAAATTTTAATTAGAAAACACAATGACAATTTACCATAGCTACAATCAAATAATATAAACACTTATAACTTACAAATGATTGAAATTATTTGGTGGTAGTTATAATTGTATCTAGGCTGTTTGATTGACTAGAACATTTTTCGATATTGAAAATTGTGCACCTTTAATTAGCGAAAATTTTGTTCTAATGATTTTATTCATACGAAATTAATTAGAAAAATGTTGGCCATATGTTAATCATCATTTATATTTTATTATTATTATTAATGGTATCCGTTTTTTTTCGTAGCAAATAAACGAATGAAACTCAATATATCATTTTATCATATAAAGATGATATTGCTATGATGATGATGATGAATGTAAAGAGAAAAAAATAGTTGTTTAGTTGTCGCTGTATATAGCGGCCCTGTATTGATCTTTGTTATTTGTAAAAAAAAAAGAAAAAGAAAAAAGAAAAAAAGACTCAATTTATTGCGCACGCATTCAATGTTATGATGATGAGTGAAATTTTTTTTTCAGCTGCAGCAAGTGGAATTATATTGTGATGATGATGATTACCATCGTAAGCATCATCACCATTTTTCTTTATACTTTACACTATATCGACTTTTCCAGTTCTACCTAACCGACAAAGTATTTGAGATTTTTGTTTATTTTTTTTTTCTTCGATCGGCCCCAAATGTTTATCAAGTAATAGTTGTTGCTGTTGTTGTTGTTGTTGATTTTTTATTAAGAGATTATATTTTTGATTATTAAAAATACTAAATGAATGTAGTATATATTTATTAGCAATGACATTGCATCTAATCTTGAAATAATAATTTTTTTTTTAATTTTCTTTTTTATATTCGTCCATCGACAACGATTGAATTGAATCATAAAATATATTAATTATTATTATTAAATATAAATACATTCACAACAACAAAAGCTACATGTGTATGTATAACAGGATTATAATTATTCAACTCATTTGTTTATAATTGTCCAACAAATAAAACACTAGTGAAATTATTGGAAAAAAACCTAATATTTCATCATCATTATTATTTGTTCCGAAATTTTATTTGTTAATAAATTTCGGGCATTTAATGTTTTGCCCAATTTTTGAATCAATCATAACCACCTTTTGTGTCATCATTGTGCAAACAACGGCAATAACAATCATCCTCATTTCATTATTATCGCCATTAATTATCAAAACAAAAATAATCGGAACACAATGTATTGTCTTCAATGGTTAATCCCTGTTTTATTGATACCGAAACCAACAAATTCGTTTCATCTACAAAATCATATCATGTTCATCATTCTTTATATGATAAGCTGTCTATTAGAACGTAAAACCTGTATGATCTGTTTATTATTGTTCGCCATAATGGCATTCATATTATGTTCGCCTACCATTGAAACATCATTGATGCAAATATTTAAAAATTTGGATTTACCAGCTACCTAATAAATCATAATTTTCGAAAATAATATTTCCTCTACATAATGTTCTCTCTTATTTATCATTCTTAATGTCAAGCCTCGTCCCAAACACACACACACACACACAAATTCATTCAACACCAGGAAGAAAATCTTTCCTTAACAATAAAAAATGATTGGAAAAATAACAGATTATCTAAAACACACATTCCTTGGTTACGATTCGATATTTCTTCATGACGACAGAATTTACGCTGAAAGAAAAAAGTACTGAATAATTAATAAATTGACATCAAAACAATGACCTTTTTTCAAAAAAAACTGTGATTATCATAATTACCGAAGAAAAAAAATAAATCTTTTTTTTAATAAAATTAAAATCAAAATTATTATTATTTCTGTTTTTATTTAAAATAAAATACATTATTATTCATATTCCATTTTGAAATTAAAATAGCCATCATCAAATGATTGAATTCGAATGTAACCATCTTCGGCTCCGGTTGCAAAACTACGACCATCTGGATGGAAAGCCAATGATTGTATGGGACCGAAATGACCCTTTAAACGGGCAAATTCTTCCTCAAAAATTAGATGAAAGAAACGACTCTCGAATTTACCAGATTCAGATGCTGTACGTGTGACTTCCATAGCTTCTTGACCACCACCAACAGCTACATGATCGAAAATTGGTGATATACTGGCCGAATTTACTGGTCTTTCGGTCACATAGGTTTTCATATGTTCCAATGTAAAGGGATCAAAAAGTTTTGCAGTATTATCTTTTGATGCAGAAACAAATAATGTTTGATCCTTATTATATTGTAGATCGTTGATTTGAGCTTTATGCGGTTCGGTCTCCAATAATGGATCATCTGGTTGACGTAAATCCCATTTGGCTAATTTGCCATTCTCCATTCCACAAATGAAACTTTGATCCAGCATTCCCCACAAACTTGACAATGCTTTGGATTTTGATGGTAATGTGAATGAAAATACATTTGTAATACCATCATTTTCATCTACAATTCTAGTATCGATAATATTGAGTTCAGCTGGTTTGTTCATTTGTTGGTCAGTCGAATACAAAATAAGATGGCCGGAATAACTAAACAATGCACTACGGACACTAGTTTCGGTTTTGACAACATTCAAACGGCCACCAGTTTCACAATCCCAAATGCATAAAGTGCAATCACCGCTACCGGTTGTTACCTTAGTAGAATCCCCTATTATATAAAATACATTTGAATCATCAATCAAAGGTTTTAAAATCAATCATCATCAAAGCTTACATTTAGGATCAATACACCAGACTGCACCAGTATGGCCATCGAATGTTCCTAAACGTTCACCATTGATAGTATACCAGACATTTGGTGTGTTATCTTTTGATGATGAAAACAAAAGATCGCCTTCAAGATTGTATCGAATTTTAGTGATAGATCTTTCATGACCATTAAGTGATAAAGGTTTCTGTTGAAATTTGAAATCATCAATATGAACGAAAATAATAGCTTAAAATAGCTTACCATCTTGTCAAAAGATTTGCAATTGCAATTGTTGTGGTACAATTAAAATTTATAAATGATTCGAGACAAATTCACAAGACAGAATTATGAAATTTTTATTGTTAGCGTGGACGGGTCGTTCATAACAACCATGGCAATTTTTCCTCGGAAAAGGAATTTGAAAAAAAATTCCTGGAAAATTTTTTCAACTTTTACTACGAATGAAGAAATCTGAGCAGCTAGAAATTTTCCAGAAAACGAGCAGTGTTTATTGTCTGTTCTTTGTTTCTCTTTCACTCAGTATGTTTGTGATGAGGCGACACTGAAATGTTTTTCTGTTTTTTTCAGCATTCAAATTAATCATCAACATTGATTATTTCTAAATTCTAAAATCAACGAGGATAAATCGATTCATTCATAATATATCAGATAATAAGTAAACAAATTTTGTTCTGACATGCCACGATATGATGAAAGTCCTCGTGGTCATTCACCACTGGATCGTAGTCGTGATGTTTCTCGTCGTTTGAAATCTCCATTGTTGGATCGTCGTCGACGTGATTCACCACCATTACCACCACCACCTCTACCACGTTCACGTGATCATATTCCAATGTATCATCAACATGATGATGGATATATTCAACCATTACGATCATCACATCATTCACGACAAAATTCATCATCTGATTTAACGACAACAACCTATAAAATTCTATGCGTCAGTAACATTAGCAACAAATATCCGGATAGTACAGTCCGTAATGAATTGATCAAAGAATTTGCTCGTTTCGGAAATCCATCAGTGAAACTAGTGTATGACAAAAACACCAGAATAGCGTACATCTATTTCAATTCATATGAAGATGCTCGTGATGCTCGTCATTCAAAATATCGTTTGATATTGTTTGAAAAACAAATCATCATTGATCCAATCTATGATCGTGTATCAACACCCCGTCGACGTTCGCTTACTCCAGAATATGGACGAAGTTCAATGCGACACATGTCACCACCGATGCAACGACGGCCACCACCACCACCACCACCTCAACGTAATACAATGAATCAGGATCGTTATCAACTATCTGTAAGTGTATATTAGAAATTGATTTTTGAATTTAATTCTTTATATAATGATTAATTTCTCTAGCATTCATCCCGGGATCCTTACCGTGATAATTATAATCAACAGATGAATAATCGTAACAATGATTATCACCATTCGAACTCGATGAATATGCGTGGCCAACAACATCATCATCAACAACAACAAAATCAGCAACAACGTGAATCAAAGAAAGAAAAATTTCCAAATTATCTCCATCATATACCTCCAGAAGAGGATGATAAATCTACTCGAACATTATTTGTCGGTAACCTTGAAGTCACCATTACTGAACCAGATTTAAGACGAATTTTCGAACGTTATGGTGTTGTCGAAGATGTTGATGTTAAACGTCCACCACCTGGCCAAGGAAATGCATATGCATTCATTAAATTTCTTAATCTTGACATGGCTCATCGTGCCAAAGTAGAAATGTCAGGCCAATATATTGGAAAATTTCAATGCAAAATTGGCTATGGTAAAGCTACCCCAACTACTAGAATCTGGATTGGTGGTCTAGGACCTTGGATAACGTTTGGACAATTAGACAAGGAATTTGATCGTTTTGGAGTGATTCGCAAAATTGATTATGTCAAAGGTGAAAATTATGCTTATATTCAATTTGATACAATCGACGCTGCTCAAGCAGCTTGTGCTGCTATGCGGGGTTATCCATTAGGAGGTCCGGACAAACGTCTTCGCATTGATTATGCTGATCCCGGTCCGTTTTCTACATCTCCACGACCAAGCAATGAACAAGGATCATTCGGTTTTAATAATTCACCTCGTTCTACTTCGAATAATAATGGTATTATTATGAATAATAATAACTATGAAATATAGACTATTTCATCTTTTAATTTAATTTGACAAATTAGGCAATAATTTCGAATATTGGTCGAATAATCAAGATTCAAATGCTCCTTCGCCAAAACGACGACGTGTTCTTTCACCCGATAGTGAAAATGATCGAAAAAAATCGCCAAATAACAATTCAGGTTTGGATTCTATTGTCTCACCGCATGCTGGCGGTGGAGCCCGTGAAGGGTCACCAAATTTTGAAATATCAAATGGAAAATCTGACATAAAAGTGACAATCATGGAAAGTGTTACATCTGTTTCGGAATTGATTAAATGTTGCCCACCAACATGGGCCGGTGGTTTGATTCTGAAATCAAGTGGTTTTGCTCTTCGAATGTATTTTTGCAGTGGTGACATTCAACTTGTTGATCTAATGAAAGAAACAACAACTTCAACAACAGATCAGCAAGCACAACCACAATCAATACTTCGTATTACTCAACGTTTACGGCTTGAATCTACAAAATTGGAAGAAGTGACCAAAAGGATAAGTTCATCAACTAATAATGGTGTCAGTGGTAACAATCCGAGTGGTCATTGTATATTGATAGCATCACAAGCCAATAATCTTCAATTGAATTTTAATTCATGTGCTGTTGGTGCTGGTGCAAGTGGTAGTGGAGGGGAAGATAATGCAGGTGGCAACACTTCAGCCAATATACAACAGCGACCAATTCGTAATCTTGTCACCTATCTTAAGTCAAAAGATGCAGCTGGCGTTGTTATACTTCCGGGCAAATCATCAACACAACCACAAACAACATCATCTACAACAACAGCTACTTCATCTTCAACACCAGGAGGTGAACAAACAAATGAAACATCAAAAAATGTTCTTTATCTGTTTCCACCACATCCATTCTCACTTGAATTAATTCAACGTATAGCACCGAATATCAGCGAAAATTCTGCAAATAAAGAAGATTATTTTGTTGTTGTTCTTGTGCGTGGCAGCAACTGAATGAAGCGATTCAATTTATGAAATGGATGTGTTTAATTTGAATTTTAAAAATAATTGGTGGCCGCTCAGTGGGTGTTGATTCGAAATCGTGTTTATTGTGTCATTTTCATCGATGCTATTTTTATTTGCTCTCTCTCTTCCCCTATACCGATCATCATAACAAGCAAAAAAAAAGAATCTCATTAATTTCAAATATCAAAAATATTCATATTATATTATCCAGTAATTCATTCATTTCTATTTGTTTCGATTAATTTAATTAATTTTGATCTAATCGATGATAAATTTTCGACAACGGTTATTAATTTTATATATAATGATGATGCTATATGAAATGAAAAAAATGAGTCGAAAATTATTGTGCTTTTCTGTGTGTGTGTGTGTGTGTGTGTGGTGTGTGTTTGGTGTTTAAAAACCGTGTATACTTTAATCGTGAAAATTTATTGTGTATGTGAGTGTATTTTGGGTGCAGTGTTGTTTTGGTTTGGTTTTTTTTGTGCATGTTTTTTTTGAAATTAATTTGTTATATCAATATCATTTTTTTTCCACCACCACCACCACTACCACCACAAAACAAATAATTTTTTTTCACAACAACAAAATTACACTGATTTTCAATGATAAAAATGTCTATATATCATGATGATGTAATAAGCTTCGAAAAAAAATTCAACCTAACAACAACCATACTTAACATACTAAAAGCATAAAAAAAATCAACCAAATTTTCTCTTCAAACATCTTTTATAATAATTATCATTATTATTCATAAAAAAATATCAATCGAATCAATTATGAATTTGGCCTTAGCGCTTATGACCATTGTATCCCAACAGATATTTTTTCTTTTTAGTTTGTTCAAAAAAAAAAAATTTGTTTTTATCACATCTCTATGAGTATTAATCACTACGGCCTCTTTCCCTCTTTTTTTTGGCAATGAAATTGTATCAGCTTTTTTTTAGCAAGTTTAAAAAAATTGATAGTTTAAAAAAATTCTTTTGAAACACACACATTCACATACACACATATAATATGTATAATCATTGTGTATGTGAATTTATGTGACCGATCATTTGATGATTATGGTGTTGATGATATCAAGAAATAAGTTTATGTGAATGTGCTTTTTTATTCTCAGCAAACATCAAAGTTTTTTTTCTTAATTTTAATTGAATTATTTTTATCATTATCACATCACATTATTATTATTATATAAACATTATGTCCTTTAATCCTATCATTGTTCATATATGATTCGATACAGAAAATTTTTTCTTAAAAATTTGACAAATACAAAAATTCTACAACAATTTTATGATCAATTTGATTGATGATACAAATAATTTGATGAATAAATATTGGCAAATTTTTTCCCGTTCAAAAAAAAATGAAAATAATTTTCAATCATAATCATGTTGTGTATATATATTTTGTGTAATTTAGTGTTGGTTTTTTAGTGCTGTGAATTTTTCACAATGTTGATTTGTGTGTGTCTGTTCCAAATGGTGGTTTTTTTTAAATATTGTGCAAGTGTTTTGATTCACAACGAATTACTACAACGATGAATCCGTCATCATTATATCATCTTCGGTTCATTATATTTCTTCTATTTTGTAGAGTTTTAATTCATTTCATCATTTTTTTTTATTTTGTTTTTATCATTTTCGTTTGTTTGTTTGTTTGTCTAGATTCTGTTATTATTGGTGAATAATAATATGGTGATAATGTTTTCTAAAAATTTTTTTAGATTGATAGAAAGTAAGTATGGTAAGTATGGTATTGTCAATAATCAATCGGTTTGTCCACATACGGTAAGGTAGGTATTTGATAATTAAAATGATTGTATTATTTTTTTAAATTCTATATTTAAATTTTTGGAAATAAAAATAAAATAAAAATAAAATATTTTTAAAATTGTCTTTTTGTCTCTATTCGAATTGCGCAATCCGTAAATACAAAAAAAAAATGCTGCATGCATAGAGTACGTGTCAATGTGATGTATTGATTTTGTTTACATTGGAGCAAACAATTTTTTTCAGTTGTTGACATTAATATTTTTTCCATCCATGGACATCTGTATTTGTTGTTAATTATGTCGAAAAATATGGTTTGTACAAATTGTAATCGTTTAAATTTGGTTGTTGATGAACAAAAATCTAAACTACAACTGTTGGAAACACGATTAAAAGATTTGATTCGAGCATATAAAGTGATCTGTAAAGAACGTGATCAATTACAACATGCAATTTCATCATCATCGATTGGTGTTGATGATCATGTGGATCAACGACAGCAAAAACGGATTTCCGAATTGGAACAAAATGTTTGCCATATGAGCACATTATGTGGTGAATTAGAACATGGGAGAAAACAAGATCAAGCTCGAATCAAGGATCTTCAAGAAAAATATGAACTTCTTCTGTTAGAATTGAATAATACCAAATCGACGATGATAATTCAACAAAAACCGCAAATTTCTCAGAATGAACCACGTAAATTACAAAATAATTACTGTCAAACAGATGCAATCATTGAAATAAAATCTGAAAAATCCACACAAACTGATTTGATTTGTGATCAAGCTCAGTCTTCTGAACACGCCAACAAACAATTGGATCAGCATCAGGTTTTTTTCAAAAATAAAAACGAAACAGCAATCGTAGCTCCATTGATGAGAAATAATTCAAAAACAATATCCGAATCTAGTGATTGTTCATCAACAGCTGCCAGTTTAACGCAAAATTCTTCAATTACGCCTATAGACACTGAAATTGATTCGAAAATTGCATCCGATCAATTTGGCTCCACTTCTGGTATTTCTTTATATCATTTGAATGAATTAGCTCGTAAAGAATTGGAATTGGCCGATTATCGTCTTCGTATTCGTGAATATGAATGTTCACTTCGAGAATTACAATGGAACTATTCGAATGGTAGATATAAATATCAGGCACGAATTGCCGATCTAGAAAAATTAAATAAAGATTTAATGGCGAATAATCATGATGATCATCGGCTAAAAAATGATTCCAATGGCTATAACAATAATATCAACATAGCTTATGTCAAAAATGTATTGAATAAATTGCTGAAAACCTCCGATAAAAATCAACAAAAATTAATGACTGATGCATTGATCACGGCATTGGATTCGATGCAAGTGAATAAATGATAATTTTATTTAAATTTAATAATTTTTATATTTAGTATCAATTTGTATATTTATAATTCCTTTTGGCGAACAATGAAAACAATATTATCACCACGAATGACCATTTGTTTTGATTGTTTATTTATTATTCGAATTGTTGTTTTATTTGAATTGTCCATTGATGATGATTTTGTCTGATGACGATAGGTTTCCAATGCATCATCAATGACCAAATTAAAATGTTTATCAAATGCAATTAATCGTCCAGTTAACCACGAAAATCTTTCATCATGCAACAAACAAGCTTTACGTCGTCGAATCAGTATTTTGACTATTTTATCCATTGAATCATATAATAAAGATAGTGGACCCTTTTTGGCTTGTTCCATTTTTTTTATCACATCGGTTAATTCTCTGGAACGTCTTCTAGGTGTTTCAGTCGAATTAGAGTTTTCTTTATGAAAAAATGCAACATTTCTTTCATATAGATTAGCAGGATTTTTCGGTTGATTTTTGCCTTCAATTTGAATCTTTTTTTGAAATGAGCTTTTATAATATTCATCCAAATTATTGAAAACTCTAGCTTCTGGAACAGGAATTTTCACATGAACATCACCAAATAGAACTAATTCCGGATCAAAATCTTCTTGATCCAAAGAAATTTCAATTTTATTACAATTCTGATCAGAATTCATCGTTGTCACAATTTGAAAGACATGTTTAATCGAAAAACATTATTTATGAACGGTGCAAAAATTGAATTTTCAAAAATTTGACCGTTGATTTTTCAGCGTTAATCCATGACACGACTGTGAATTGAGTCACAAAGCAGCACTGGCGGCAAATTTTTTTTCCATTGTTTTTGAACTTTGAATTAAACAACTCAATCAGAGGTAAATATAATTATTGTCTAGCTAATTTGATTAATGGTCTTGATAATTTAAATACTCTACAATTTATTATTATTATATGTGTTTTGTTTATAGATGTTTCGTCCAACTCGTGTCATCGATTCTAAAACTCCAAACAATCAACTAAACAAAATGTCATCAGAAGAAATAAATCAAAACATTCAAGTCTTCGTACGATGTCGTCCATTGAATCTGAACGAAAAAAAGGCCACCATCGAAATCGTCCCCGAAAAACGTGTGATTCGAACATTCCCGCAGAATAAATTGTATTCTTTTGATGGTGTTTTCGATTCCAAAGCTGAACAATATAAAGTATATCGTTCAGTCGTTGAGCCTTTAGTAGAGCAAGTAATCGAAGGATATAATTGTACCGTTTTTGCTTATGGACAAACAGGAACTGGTAAAACATACACAATGATTGGTAATCATGTTGTCAACGAAAGCTCTTGGGAAGATGATCCACTGAGTGGCATAATACCTCGTGCTATTGATCAATTGTTAGACGAACTACAACAACAAAATACTGAATACACGATTGGTGTATCGTTTCTCGAATTGTATAATGAAGAAGCTTATGATTTACTGAGTCCTTTGAGCGATACAACAAAGCTTCGAATATACAATGATTCAGAAAGGAAAGGTTCAGTTATCATTGCCGGTCTTGTAGAAATGATGGTCAAAACCAAAGCAGAGATATTCGAAATATTGGAAAAAGGTTCTTTAAAACGACAAACGGCTCCTACATTGATGAATGCATGTTCAAGTCGTAGCCATAGTATTTTTTCAATTACAGTACACATAAAAGAAGTTACATACGATGGTGAAGAAGTCGTTAAAATTGGAAAATTAAACTTGGTCGATTTGGCTGGTAGCGAAAATATTGGAAGATCTGGCGCTGTAGATGAACGGGCTCGTGAAGCGTCAAATATTAACAAAAGTTTATTGACTTTAGGACGTGTAATTACGTCATTGGTAGAAAAATCATCGCACATTCCATATAGAGATTCGAAACTAACGCGATTACTGCAAGATTCACTAGGAGGTCGCACAAAAACTTCAATCATTGCAACCATCTCACCTTGTCATGATGATCTGGATGATACCATATCGACATTGGATTATGCTCAACGAGCCAAGAAGATCACAAATAAACCGGAAATTAATTTGAAGATGAGTAAAAAGACTTTAATTAACGAATATCTTGCCGAAATTGATCGTCTTCGAAGAGATTTGGATGCTACCCGTGACAAGAAAGGAATTTTTGTCGATGCAAAAAATTATGCTTTTATGGAGGCCACCATTGAATTACAAAAACAAGACCTGGAAGGCAAAGAAGCAAAAATCGAAAACATGAAACACGAATTAGAGAAAATCAACAATCTACTGACTGAAGCTAATGATGATATCAGCCAAAAATCACAAGAATTGGCTAACACTATGGCCGAATTGAACAAGTTGTCCAGTATTCTTCAAATGACCAAAGAATTGTTTCGTAAAAAACAAATTGAAGTAGAAGACTTCAAAATATTGTTATCTGCTCATCAAACTACTGAGGATAAATTATTAAAAAAAGCTCAGATGGTCAAAAATGTCGCTGATCAATGTTCAGATGATAATCGTAAACTTATTGAAAAAATCGACACTTATTCATCGTTAGAGGAAAATAATTTTGATTCGGTCCAACAATTCAAGGTGAAAAATCTACGATACGAACTTCTCCATTTTCATTTTTTTTTTGTTCAATTTTAGGATGCTTACAAGGAGCAGACAAAAAAGATTGATCGATTGAGCTATGTCGTGTATTCAATAATCGATGATGGATATAAATCTATTGATTCTATGATCAATGAGAATAAAAAAGAACTAGATGCTAAAAATAATCAAATTGGTGCCAATCTTGACGCTTTAGATGATAAAATTGAAAACTTTGCTTCACGACTGTTGAAATCCGTTCAAGCTGATAGTGATGACTTGATCACCAAGAATACTACATTTGAATCAATAATGAAAGAATTCAAAGATTCAATACGTCAAGAATTTGATATGTTTGAACAAATTGGCAAAGTAAATATAGAAAAAACAATAAGTTCTTTGGATGAATTGCAGAAATTGAATTCTAAGAATCGACAAATTCAGGAACAAACACTAATGTCACAAGTGCTTCAAATTAAAGAATCATCAAAAAATATTACTCGAATGATTGAATCAATAAAAATAGATTTTCAAAAAGCTCATGTCTCAAAATGTAAGTATAAATTGAAAAATGAATTGATTGTTAATAAAAAAATTTCCTCTTAGGCCAAGAGTATGAAAAAATGTTTAAAGAATTTTCTGAATTGAAAACTTTGGTCGAAAATATGAACATTGAAATCAAATTGAAAGCATTTACAGCATCGTTTGAAGATCTACTGAATAGCATTCGTAATGAACACGAAGAAAAAATTTCGAAAATTACCAATAATGTTCAAAGCTTCCAGAATACACTAAAGACAGTGCTGCAAAATGATTCAAATAGTTTTAACAATATTTCGATGAAATGTAATGAAATGAAACATTCTATTAGCAAAGATGAGAATGATACCGTCACTCTTTTGGACAAGATGGATAAGATTAACCTTAATACATGTCAGCAGAATTTGGATAAATATATCAACATTAAAAAATGTCAAGAACAATTCAAATCAAAGTTTGATGAATTCAAAGTTGAATTATTTACAAATTTTGATCATACATCAGCTAAAATTCAAGAACAAACTCAATCAATTAATGAAACGATCAACAAAAATGCTGAAGAACAACGTATTCATATTGATGATTTCAATAGTAAATCACGTGAAATGGTGGAATTAAATAGATCATCGTTAGAAGATTTGTCTAAATTAGTTTCTAATCAATCTGCAAAAACATTGAATAACTATATGGATGCTAAAAATTTGATTCGTACGTTAAAAACATCACACGATTTGGAAATGAACGAATTACATACAACAACGGACAAATTGGTTAATAATTATTCGACATATCAATCCACAGGAAAGACACCGAAACGTTGTCAATATTTTTATCCACAAACATTTACGCCAACCTCACCACATGAGCGGATATTATCTAGATTTCACAAGTCTGAACAAACACCATTAGACTTTTCTGAAAATGATTTGGTTATGAATAATGGAAATGAAAACACAAAAATGGTTGATTCAACATATTGTATTTCAGAAAATTCGTTCGTTATGAAAAATGATGTCCATAATATTGTAGATCAAACATATTCAATTGAATTATTGAAAGACCGAAAAAATCACACATGAAATGGCGTTATTATAATGGAGACACATTACCATATGGTTTTCTAGTTCGATCATTTTTAAAGAAAAACACTTAACATGTGGTTTTTAATTTAAATAAATTTCATTAAACTGACAATTCAATTCATGCATTGAAGTATAAAAATAAATTCATTTTAAATTTTAAAACTATTATTAGTTCGAATGCATTCCATGCGATCTAATTATAATAATGTGTATTATTATTATTATGATTAAAACAACAATCAAATTGTTGTTGTTCTTCATAATTGGTAATTTCCATTTCACATAAACATTTTTAACTCATTTTAACAATTGCAAACCGAACATTCATTAGCATCATCAGCATTGGCCACTTGGACTGAACATGATGGTCTTCTTTGTAATGGCGATTCATCCCGAAGAACTAATAAATATGTGGATTTTCTTAAACACTTTGAAAATGGTTTGAAAATTATACGTGGTTCAGATCTTATACGAAATGCATTTCGTTTGAATCAAAATTCGTATCTATCAATGACTACTAGGTATGATTTTGTTGATTATATTGATTTGATGATGTGTCTGCCATTATAATCATAAATTCATTCATTATTATATAAACATAGTGACATCTTTCCGGAAGGTTTGCCCATACAGTTTTCATTTTCATGTACATTCCGTGATTTTCAAACAAAAATTTCGAAACAAATTTCACCATTTAGTCTATTGAATATTGATGATTTTATGGGAAATTCACAGTAAGTTTGTATTCAACAAAGTATACCAATAAATTACTTATTTTTCGTTAAACAGGTTTAGCTTAAATGTTATTCCAAATGATAATTTAATCGAACTAGATTTTCCCGATTCTAGAACATTGAGATTTAAACATGTCAAATTCTATCAAAATGATTGGAATAAAATTGACATTAGTTTTCAGCCATCAAATATTTCTTTGTTTGTAAATTGTCATAAGCATGATACCCAATCTATAGACTTATTTCCGGAATTGGATCTTGATGGCGATATAACTCTTTGTAATGCTGCTTCCATTGACATTCAATCAATGTCATTAGATTGCGATGCTACCCGACCTTTACGAGAGAAATGTGACGAAATTGTAATTATGAAAACACAACGAAAATTTAAGAATTTATTTATTTTTTGAAAATTCTATAAAGATTCGAACGCCGCCAAAAATGGAATATAAAACAGTTGAAATTGTCAAAGAATGCTGCGAACCGACAAAATTGGATCGAGGAGAGATAAAATTACTTATTTTTGACGTTTTAAATGGTATATGGTTTCGTCATTTTGAATGTTCAAATTGATTTTTGTATTTTTTTTTTACACAGATAATCTTGATTATTTTTCCGCATATTTTCGGGGGAATCCAGGAAAACCAGGCATAGGTTTACCAGGAGAAATTGGTCCTAAAGGTTCAAATGGATTACCGGGAGAGAATGGCCGTTGTACTCAAGGTGAAAAAGGAGAACGCGGAGAAAAAGGAAATAAAGGAGATACCGGCTTCCCAGGAGAAAAAGTTTGTATAATTTTTTTTATGTTTGATATTAAATTGAATTTTTTGAAAAAGGGAAATGCAGGACCGCAGGGTCCCATAGGTATTACCGGTGCAACAATCATCGGACCCAAAGGTGATAAAGGTGATAAAGGAATGCGAGGTATTCAAGGACATGCCATTCATGGTCCACAAGGACCACCTGGCCGAGATGGCATATGCAATAAATGTGACCAATTGGGTTTGGAAGGTCTACAATTTATGTTATCACAAAATCAACGTCAAATCAAAGGACCACCGAAAATAATTTTTAAAAAATTTAATTAGTTTTCAAAATTTTTGTTACAATACCAGTGCCCATTGTAAAATGTTCTGAACGAATGACAAAACGTCCATATTCTTTACTATTATCGAATGTTTCAATACAAATCGGTTTCTGTGAAGTAATCTCGACAATTGCAGCTTGGTTTTTGCCCAACAACCGTGGATTCCGTTTGATCACTTCATTTTTGTTTTTATCTAATTGTGCACATAGTTTGGTCAATGTAACTACTTCATTCAAACAAACCGAATAAATTATCACTGATGAACCCTAAAAAATAAATTGAAAAATCATTCAAATTAAGATAATTTCTTTGATAAAAAATTAGATTGACTAACATTTATTAGGGGCATTCCAATAGTGCCAAAAGTAACGATACGAGCTTCGAATTTGGTGGCCATAGTGCAAGGCGAAAGAATATCACAAAGTAAGTTTCCGATGGAAATTTCTAAACCATCGACTTGAGTAATGTTTAAAGAGACAACATCACCTGCGAATGCTTCCAGTTGATTTTCGTTGTCGATGGTGATATCTATTATATTTAAGAGAGAAAATTTAATGGAAATATTTTAGCCAAATAATTCTGGATACTCACTCTTTACGGTACAGTATTCATTATTCGGTAAAATGAGTAATTTTTGATTTGCCTCTACATAACCATAATCGATTTTTCCAGATAAATAAATACCCGAAGTTTGTCCTTTGAATAAATCACTAATCGACATTCGAAAAGGTTTATCCACAAGACGTGGAGAACATGTGAAATTATCTGTTATCCATAAATGTTGTGTATGGTAATTAATTCAAAATGGTTGATGATTGATTAATTGATTGATTACCTATAATGTCGATCACTGTTGGCCCGTTATACCAATTAAAGTTTGGATTTTTTGATAATTCAATGAGATTATCACCAGTCATACCACTGCAAGGTATATATTCCACCGATTGATCTTTAAAGCCTACTTGTTTTAAGAATTTTCGTATCTTGTCGACTATTTGCTTATATCGTGTTTGATCGAAATCAACATTGTCCATTTTATTTATGACAATTGCCACCTGTGTTATTCCGAATGATCGTAATAATAAAATATGTTCCTGTGTTTGACCACCGGCTTCGAAACCACTTTCAAATTCACCATTTGTAGCATCTATCACCAACATGGCCACATCAGCTTTTGTCGTTCCCATTATCATGTTCGGTATAAAATCTCGATGTCCCGGTGCATCCAGAATATTGACAATACGTTTTGATGTTTCGAAACAATGATGACCAACATCAATGGTTATACCACGATTTCTTTCTTCATCAGTTTCATCCAACACCCAGGCATACATGAAAGATGCTTTGCCAAGTTTTTTAGCTTCGGTTTCATTCTTATGCATATGTTTCTTGGAAACATTGCCCAACAAAGCCAATAGGTGTCCCATGATTGTACTTTTACCGGCATCAACATGACCAGCAATCACCAAATTTAGTAGCATTTTTTTACCATCTATTCGTTTCGTATGGTAGATTTTTCCGATCTCTTCAATACTTTTTTGTTTGATATTCTGTCTAATTATTTTAGCGCTAATTGGACTGGGTGGAACTGATGACTTTTCAGGTGTTTGGAGCATCATCTTGGTTGGAACGATTCTTTTGGCTGTTTCGACATTTTCGGCTTTTTTATTGCTTTCTGAGTTAACTGTTGTTTGTTTTTTGATAAGTTTTGGAGAATCTGATGAAACAAGATAAAAAGAGGAAATTTGATCCATGTGAAATTCGATAATCTATATTGTAAAAAAATTAGCACCTCTTTGAGCTGCGATTTGATTCTTGTATATCTTCAATGATTTTATCATGAAATCTTTTAAAAATTTTCTAATTTTATAATGATTTAAATCATTGCTGATGATGGGGTTGTTTGCATTGTTTTTTGTTGAATTTGGCAATTTTGTCGTTACAGCTCTAAATAATTTAGAATTTCGCGACTCTATCGCTAAATCAAAACCTTTTGTGATCTTTGAAAATTAATCATGATTGGAAAAGATATTACCTGTGACAATAATTTCGGATTTTTGTTGTTTCTCCTTTTTTTCTCGTTGATTTGATAATAAAAAGTCTATGGCTGATTCGGGATCGCATTTAGTTTGTTTTAAGGCAAATAGAATTTCCTCTTCAGATTTCGAATCACCAATCGCATCACGAATAAATTGGATACAAGAATTAAGCTTTGTACCTTTGTTTTTATACATAATTAATATAATGAAAAAAAACAATGACAAAAATATGTTCTTTTATGCATACTTGTAAGATCATCAGTTTCAGATGGTTGATCCAATGATTCTGGAAAAGTATTCATATTATTCTCATATAGATACATGTTTGCTGTACCGGGTGAGATGCATAAATCTTCTTCCACAGAACGTCCATATTGGTCATAATCATAATCATCATATTCTGTGATGTAAACAAAAAAAAAAAAAAAAATTACGAGCAAAATAAACAATACATCATTTTCAAACAAACCTTCGGAAAAAGTACGTGTTCGTATGTTTCGATGACGAGACATTTTTTAAAGGGAATATTTCATGAATAAAATTAATTAACAAATATTATAACACTAAACAATAAATTACAAATCAATAAGAAAAAAAAATATTATTAAGCCTAATTGTGTTTATATACTGATGAAAGGGATATTTCCAAATTCAGAAAAAGTGGATTTTTTCTCGACAATTCTATTTCGACATTCCTGGATCAACCTAATATTCAGATACATTCATTCCATCCATCCATCGATGGATATTTATTATTTTTATTATTATATTAGATTTTAATTGTTATATCATCAATTTTTATTTATTTATCTTTCGCACATATTTAACAAAAATAAATCATTATGTAAATTTTTTTTTTCGTTCAATTTTCTCTTGCAATCAGTGTGATTAATCGTTGAGCAAATGCATGTGGAAAATGGAAATATTTTGGATGTATTGTTTGCTGGCAAGGATTCTGGTTTATTTGCAAAACAAGGAAAATTATGGATCAATCAGAATGATTTGTTTGTGAATAATGATAATGACCATGATAATCATCATCAACAACCATTTGATGACCATAAAAAATTCATTCAATACTATTGTCGACTTCGTGGAAATCTTTTGTTTGTGATCGATTTGGATAATTCAAAAATCATATCAAAGCCATTAAATCTAATCATTTTGAGCCAAAATTTCAACATAAAATTATGCGATTCAAAGCCAAACTGTTCATTGTTTGAATTTTGTTTAGTTTTGAATGTACATAAGGATACTAATAAAAAGAAAAATTATCATTTTGCCTGCAATACAATTGAAGATCGTGATGATTGGATCAAAAACATCTATCTAGCATCATTCCATTTTCTTCGCAGTCTACATAAAGCCCTTGGTGATGATTTCTTGCAGAAACAAAATTCATATCAACATGACGCTATCAATGATAGGGTCGATTATCATCATGTTGATTTACTGAAATATCTTCGCATCATAATTGGCTGTGATAATGTGCTCACCTTGTGCAACCATTCTGGTACTAGTCCTCGATTTTTCATAAAACTTTTTTCACGAAATCCATTGAAAAAACAAGAATGGAAATTTTTGGGACAAACTGAATCGATCCAATCAAAAAGTCCTCAATTTGTAAATTCGATTTCCATTTTTATTGATGTGGATAATTTCCTAGAAATTGAGTTGAAATTCGAACTTCACTACGTAATTGAAACTCATTTAAAAATTGAATTCCTTTATGCGTATGCTTATGAAAAAATTATTGCCAATCAAATAGACACACCGAAAATATTCAAACTTAATCTTAAAAATCCTAAAACTAACAAATTAGTTGGAAAATTAAAATTTCAAATCATAGACAACTCTAATGACAATAGTCATCATCAATTTACACTAAATCATTCAAAAATGTCTAATAAACCTATAATCATAAGAAATGAGCACAATGAAAACATTTCATCAAACCTATTCAATGCATCAATTACAAAACGATTATTTTTCAGTGCATATGATCAATCAATTGCATCCAAAATCATTCTTGAAGAATGTATGCAAGATACACGTTTTGTATTCGTGATTCCAATGATTATTCTGTAAGTATGATTTTTGGTTGTATTACTTGAATAATTTTTTCTTAAAACTTTAATCATAGAAAATCGCATGTAAAGGATGAAGATTTTATACGGAATTCAATTCTAGAACAAACAAAATTGCTTTCAAAATGTGATTTTTATCAGAGACTTATTGATTTTCATTCACAAAACATTAAATCATTAGAAAACATTGTTAATGAAATTGCATCATTTATGGTGGACCATACGTTTCGATCATCCACGATGAAAAAAGATTTATTTCTTCAATTTGTGCCAATCAATTTTCATCGTCAATTGTTTAGAGTCAATTTTGAAGGAAAATCGTCAAATATACTACGAATCTACACTGTAGGAGCTTTTGCATGTCATCATTATGGTTTTGAAAAATATAATTGGAAATTATCTATGCTTATGAATTTAGTCGGAAATCAAACAATAGACGAATTCGTTTGCGTTGATGAGACATGGAAATTGTTGCAAAAATTAATGAAAATATCGCACAATGAACGTATAATTTCCGATTGTTTGAATGATTTGATCAAACATTTCAAAAATGATAACAAATCGGAAATAAAATTCTTGTACGAACGTATTTACAGTTACGCTGAAGAAGTGATTGATTTAATTGCCAAAAATGATGGAGAATCATTTGTCAATCAGATGAATGCAATAATGAGTAATCATGTTCCTAGTTATTCTGAAGAATGTCAATTGGAACCAATTGATTTAACCTATTTAAATATAAAAGCTTGTTTTGTCGATATTAATGATAAAATTGAACGTCAGAAAAACCAGAAAAAATGTCTTCTCAATGAATTTGAACCGTGCAATCGAAAACTGCGTAATGCAATCGCATCATTAAGACGAACCATATTGGCTTGTTATATAAGTTCATTTGCCGAATTGAAATCATCAAAAGATATCGAACATTTGCATCAAATTAAATTTCGTTGGCTATCATTAATTAGTCAATCATTGACCACATTGATCATATTCATACAGGACCATCTTTTAGACGATAAAATTAATATTAAATTTTTGGCCAACATACATCGTACCGGCTTTATTTCGATTTTATATGAAACATTGTTGAGTTGTTTTTCCGAAGAAACTGGTATGCTTGAAGATATGATCTTTGCTTTGGATACAATCTCTAACATCACTACTATTACCTTTCGTTTTGATGGCCAAACGACATCGGATTCTGCATTGATGATTCCGGAAATTGATTTTAATAATAACAAAATACACCTTTTATTTCATATTCATCCTCTTAAAATTGCTGGAAAATTAGTAATCAATAATGATCGAATAGAATGTCAAATGTTATTGCTTATTTTCAATGTTGGCGTGAATCAACAGGCATCATTACCCAACAAGTAAGTAATATCTAATCATTTTCATCAAATTAATTTATTTTTTACCGTTTTTAGCATCTTCAAAAAGAGCTTACAAGAAGAAGTGAATGAAGTTAGTTTTTCGAAACTCGGACTTTTTATCAACCAATTCTATTCGAATGATGATCATGTTAAAAAATTGTTAAAAAATTTGGAAACCGAATTGAAAAGTTTCAAATCAAAGAATATCAAAATTTTAGAATTGGCCAATGAAATTATTCGTCATTTGGATGGAATCAAGGTAACCTGTTGTAAAAGTGCTAAAGATCGCACTGGAATGTCGGTAACATTGGAAGAGGTACGATATACATTTAAATTTTTGAATTTACAAAAAGATATGCATTCACATTTATTTCAAACAATGTTGGATACACTTCGAAGGTAAGAACATTTTTTTTAAACTGTTATGTTTTATAAATAAATTAATTAATATTATTTATTGTTGAACGAAAAAAAACAGAGATGGAACAAGAATTGAAAATGTTCAGAAAAATATTGGTGCCAAAAAATATGCATTTAATTATCTATGTTTGTTAACATTTCCAATGGAATTTCGGCCACCATCTGGAACTTATTCGAATGTGGAATCATAATCGAGATAATTATTGTAATGACAATTTTTTAATTGCAACAAACATTGACATTTATATATTATTTTAATTATTATAATCTAATTAAAATTAATTTTTGCCATAAATTCTGATTTTCTCAATGATTTTTTTCCTTTAAATTTTCCTTTGTATAAACTTGTCAATGTAACAGGTAAAAAAAAATCTATGCATGCAATTTAATTCATTCATAGATAGATAGATTGATGAGATGGTTGATTGGTCGCGATCATTTTTTTTTTTTTATTATTTGTGGTTACCTGATTGCTTAATTGTCATGTTTGAATTTTACCTGGTGGCTTGTTTTTAAGCCATGAAAGCAGCCTACACACATACGCATGACGTACGTTGTCACGCCCTGAACGTTTGGTTTTAGTCACAATGGACAAAAATTTTCATCGTAAAACGATTTATAGATATATGGCAAATATGGTGATGGCTAAAATGAAGAATTGTATTGCATTGTGACTATTTTCGATGAGCTTGATTGTGTGATGTGTTTTATAGTGGGTTTTCTTTCACTCCAAGGATCATCATGGAAATTGAATGGATCATTATCTGGAAATTTGATGAATGATAATTGTTTAATAGATCAGATTCAATTCAACGATTTTGGATTTGTTTTTAACATTGAAAAAATTCATGTTTTTATTACCATCATATTCTATCTATCCTTTTAAATTCTTTGTTAGAGATTTGAACAAAGTGACGTGTAATTTGATTTTTTTTATTGTTTATATCGTAATGATGATTTTGTGTTATGATGAGGATATTGAATGACGTTGCTTAAAATGAATATTTTATGTGTATAGATGTTGATAGCGTTTTTTTTTGCTTTTTGGTCTATTATAACAACTAAAGTGACAAAACTATTATGTCAACAAACTAATTTCAATTGATTCATTCTGTTTTTATCAATGAACACTCATCATCATACGAATTTTATTGCGATTGATCAAAATGAAGTTCTTTGGAAAAAGCTCACAACACACGACCGCATTAGATAGAGTAAAGTTGTATAAAGATTTCTACGAATTTCGAAAGGTTTGTCAAAATTATTTGTCGCTTGTTCGTAGGATTATTTACATATTATTTGTGATGGATTTGTATTAAACATCCGTTGCTATTTAATATCAATTATTATTATCATTTGTTGTTTATTATTGTCCTGTAGACTGTTTTGCATGGATTTCCGGCCAATCCTACATGTATAGCTTTTGATAAACATCATCGACTGCTTGCAATAGGAACAAAAAATGGATCTTTACAAATGTATGAAAACTGAATATCATTGTGTGGTTTCTCTCACTTAATCAATTATTGTATTTTTACAGTTATGGTAAATTAGGTGTCGAATTTCACTATCAATTCGAAGATGAGCTGGAAATTGTCCAGATTTTTTTCATCTCTAGATTGGGTGCAGTTCTATGTTTGTGTGATGATTTTTCCATACATTTGTTAAAAATTCCGTCAAAATCTTCACATAATGACATCTCTAAATTATATACGAATGATTTTTTTGTTCGTGAAGACGATAATGATCATGCGACAATTATCACGTCATTAGCATTGAATGGAAAGGAAAACTTGTTGTTCATTGGTCTTAAAAATGGTGATATACGATTGTTGGACATCGATGATTCACTCAAATTGAAAGATGATATAATTAGACTAGATGAAATCTTGAAATCAATTCCTGAAGAAATGAAATTGAAACCTGGATCAGTTGAAGTGATTGAAGAACAGCCTGGAATCGATGGAAAAATTCTAATCGGTTATAATCGAAGTTTGATTGCCTTATGGGACTATCAAAACAATTCCATAGATAATTATTTTCACATTGAGCAGGTAATAATTTTTTTTATGATTGTTTTATTCAATTTCAGAAAATTTATCAATTCACGTTGGTTTTAGCACCTAGAACATTTATCATGGAATAAAAATGGCAGCGATTTTATTAGCTGTCATAATGATGGCAGCTATAATATCTGGTCGGCAAAACAAGAACATCATGACTGTAAGAATTTCAAATTGCCATATGGACCATTCCCTTGTAAGGCGATAAAAAAAATATTTTGGAATTCATCTTCATGCGGGTAGATCAATTTACAACGGTTAAATTAAAATTGTAATGTTTAATCGATTATTTTTACTTTGTATAGAGAATATATCGTTTTCAATGGGGGTATGCCACGTGCATCCTATAGTGATAAAGAAACGGTTTCAATTATACACAATGTTCAAAAAGAAAATTCATCCGCTAATGAGAGAAATGTTGTTTTGGATTTTACTTCCAAAGTTGTGGATTTCCTACCCATATTCTCAGCTATGGAAAATGATGATTTAAAGCTTCAAGCTTTGATTGTTTTAGCGGTAGAAGAGATCGTCGTTATTGATTTGCAAGCATCCAGATTGGCCGCAGTTTAAATTACCCTATCTAGCTTGCCTTCATTCGTCACCGATAACATATTCTCAGTACTGTTTTGATGTGAAAACCGATATTTACAATCGAATATCAGAAAGTGGAGATGCAGAGTCTAATGTCAAATACAGTCCAAATATTTGGCCAATTGATGGAGGTATAGCAGCCATTAGTGGTTCCGGATTATCAATCAACGAAAGTCATCATTTATTAATTACTGGGCATGAAGATGGTACTGTTCGTTTTTGGGATGCATCGACTAAATCATTGAAATATTTGTACACTATACATACATCGAAATTATTCAATGTTAATGAAGATGACAATATTTTAATCGAAAACGAGGACCATGATTTAAGTGGTGATGATGAAGATCAATCTGAATGGCCACCATTTCGTAAAGTCGGCCAATTCGATCCTTATAGTGATGATCCAAGATTAGCTATAAGAAAACTTACTTTTTGTTCTGAACAAGGTATCTTGGTCATAGGTGGTACAGCCGGACAGATGATCGTATTTGAATTTCGTGACAAAGCTGCTGAATTTTCACCGAATTCCATTGAGATACGAATAATTGACGAAAAAGATTCTTTTGTATGGAAAGGGCATAGCTGTTTACCCATTCGAAAATCAAACATTAAATTACCCTCAGGTTTTCAACCAACAAGTTTGGTTCAAATCCATCCACCTGCTGCTGTAACTGCATTAGTTATTTCCACGTGTTGGCAAGTGGTTAGCATTGGTACTGCACATGGATTTGCATTGTTTGATTATTCCAAGAATTTGCGATTAATTGTAAAATCAACGTTAAAACCAAGCAATATTTCATCGGCAATGGGCGGTGATGCTTTGATTTCACGACGTAAATCTTTTAAAAAATCACTTCGTGAATCATTCCGACGTTTACGGCGTAGTCGATCTCAGAAAAGCAAACGTAATATTCAAAAGAATCAACAGTCAATGGCAAAAATTCAAGAAACCAATAGCAGGTTGAATAAATTTCCCGATCTGATTGAGCCAATTAAACCGGTTGAACGGGCCATAGAAGTAATCGCCAAGACGAATGAAGATATGATGAGTTCTATGGTGCGATTTTTCTACTTTTGTTCTTCACCAATCATAAACAGTAAGTAAAATTTTTATCAATGACATTGTTTTATTGATGATATTTTTTTAGATCAACCTTGTCCATCCTTTTGGGTGGGCACGAATGCAGGAACACTTTTAATTTACGTTTTAATTAACGATAAAAACGCTTCAAATGCAACAACACGATGTTGGCAATTGGCCAAAGAAGTGCAACTGAAACATAAAGCACCGATCATATTTATACGATTAATCGATTCTAATGGAGCACCATTGTTTGAAAATATACCGTCACAATTGGTAGATAATGAAAAGCCGATGCCAAGTCGAATTTTGATCTGTTCTGAAGAACAATTCAAAACTTTTAGTCTTCCAAATTTCAAGACCATCAACAAATTCAAATTGACCGCACATGAAGGTGCGCGTGTAAGAAAAATTGACATAGGAAAATTCTATCACAAACAAAATACAAATCTTTCGGAATATTCATTAATGTTTTTGACCAATCTGGGAGATGTGAACATATTTTCATCATGGTCAGATTTTAAACGAAAATATCAACATCATTTTCTAAAAAAAGAAGATATACACGGAATTTCTAGTTTAGTTTTTACGAATACGGGTGAAGGTTTCTATCTAAAATCATCGAGTGAATATCAAAGATTTAGCTTGTCCGCTCGTCGAGCAGGTCATCTAGAATGTCACATAAAATTAGAAGAAACTGAAACTACTGTTTCAAACGATACGGCAACAAATATAATTTCGTAAGTGATATATAATTTTTCACAAAAATCATCATCATTGAATTAAAATACTAAAATTATTTCTAACATAGAAGCAATATCTCGATAGACGATAAAAATACTTCACCGATTTCTCCAGCTAAAAACCAAAATGGTGTTTCCAGTATTGATCAGAATGGCACCATTTCTGCAGGAAGTGATCCTGAATTGACATCTTGATCTTTGAAAAAAGAAATTGACCAATCATGTTCATGATAATCTACAATTGCATGAACAAAACGATATTTTCTTTCTATATATATTTTTTATTTGTTGTTTTTAAATTTTTTCATTCTTTCATTTTTGGACTTTTTATTGGAAAAATTATCCAGAATCTTTTAAAAATATTTGATTTTAAAAATAAAATTGATAATTATCGAAAAACGGAAAAGATGTTAGTTTTACTATTTGCACCCAACTTGGCTGATAATGATGAAATTGCTAATTTATGATGTGTTTACAATAATATTATTTTCTATAAATAAATTTCATTCATTCATTATCATGGTTCATTTATCTTTTTATCGATCACAGTTTTGGTAAATTCTAAAAATGGGTAATTTTTGGTCAAACACAGATGCTAATGAAAATCAAGAAAATTCTTCATCTCATCATTATTATTATTATCCTCCAAAAAATGGAGCACGTTATTTTGGCTCAACATTTATTATGGGAAATGATAAATTTGAAATGACTCAACCAGAATCATATCTATTTGGTGAAAATTGTGACCTCAATTATCTTGGTGGAAAGCCAAGTCCATTTCCTTATGCAGCCCCTTTTCCAAATGAACCGATGCAAATGCTCAGATCATTGATAAACATTCGTAAAGAAACTGCCAAACTCATCAGTCCTGATAATGGAATCGATAATGTTTCGGAATCGAATTATAAGATCGAATTTATATTTGATTCCGATGTTGATTGTTCAATAACGGTTTATTTTCTTTGCAAAGAAGATATCTCGACACAAGGCATTAAATACATTCCAAAAGATAATTCGTATCGTTCGGAAACATTCCACTATAAAGCTGGAATTGGACAATTATTTTCGCAAAGTTCACCCGTCTTTAATCCACAAAATTATAATATTTGTGATCTAATCTATAATATACTCGATGATAAAAGTGAATTTAACGTGGCTGCCCTTTATCCATTGGTAATCAATTGTGTGGCCGATGAAGGTGATGAGCCACGACAATCACATTCATTAATTGCAATTATTGAAAAAGTTTATGATCAAATCTTTTCATTAAAACCGATCAAACAGAAAATATTTGTTGATGGTCTTACCTATCTTTTGCAAGAAATTTATGGTATCGAGAATAAAGCTGATAATAAAAACGATAAATTGAATGGTGAACAGGATGATCAAGATAAATCCTTCGAATGTGTCATATGTATGAGTGATTTACGAGACACATTGATTTTACCATGTCGACATTTTTGTGCTTGTTATAGCTGTTCTGAATCATTAAGGTTCCAGACTAACAATTGTCCTATTTGTCGTGTTCCATTTCGGGCATTGTTACAAATTAAAGCTGTACAACGCATATCGGCTGCTGATTCAGCATTAGCAGCGAATAATAACGCTTCAGGAACACTAATCAATTCAAGGCAACAACAATCAATCATATCATCTGATGACATTCTTAATGATGTAATGATCGACATACCGCCTGGTTATGAGACTATTCCCTTGGTTGAAGCGTTAAATGGACGATCACAATCACAATTATTGGATCGTACAATTTTTGATGTTCAGACGAAAAATCAATCATCGAATAAACCTATCATTGATAATGGTGAGCACACAACGAATTCAAAGACGAATAAAATAGTAAATCAAAGTGAGGATATGGACGATAATAATAAAGATGCAGACAAATCATCGATGAATTTCAATTCGACTCAACCAAAAGGTTTGCAATGGAATTAGAAAATATAAGAATTTTGAATTTATTTGAATAAAAATTTTTTTAATCAACAGCCCCACTAACTGATGATAATGCCAGTGCATCATCATCATCATTAGGAACGGTTCAAGAAAATGCACAATTATTGGAAAAACAAGCATTATTAATGTCAACATCGTCGGTGATGAAACATTGTGGTAACAATTGTCGGAAATCAATAACTGAGAAAAAAGATGACGAAGAAAGTTCTATTACTAATAACAATAATGCTACGATACGACCGATTTGAATTGAGTATTTATTGCATGATTTCAATTTCTTGTTTATAAACCAATGATTTCTAATGGATCACCAATAAAAATTTTTCCATTCGCTTTTGGTATCAAATTTATTCCGAACATTGGTGCTTTTTTGGTCCATTTTTCTTGGATACGATAAGTCTTCAATGTTTTTAATGGTTCCATTTCAGGATTCAAAACACCTGTATCCGGATCGACAGTTGGCAGCACACAACGATCACATGGTTTCGGCATATAGTATTCCAAATTATTGATGCGAATTTTATTCCATTCATCCTCTTCATAGGCATCAGCATTTTCGACTAGAAAATTAGGCCGAAAACGACGATAGTCAACTTCCAATTTACCTTTTAATCGTTCATTTAACTCATCAATGGAACCATCGTTGATCATCAAGATTGGAAAACCATCTTGATAGACAACTCGATTGTCTAATAAATCACCGAAAACGTCTGATTGACGATGCTTCAGATCTTTCCCTATACGTAACAATTTGATTTCAATATTTAGAAATCTGGTAAACCATTCACAAAATTCCTTTTGACAAACATAGCCTTCGGTAATTTGTCCCCAAATATCGAAAGAGATGACATCATTGGTAATCAGTTTTTCGTCATCAAAACATGGAATTTTCAATGTTTCCAAGCCGGGTGCATTAAGTACTATGTGTTCATCTTCAAGTTGGATTGTAATCAGGGCAAGTTTGGGCTTCATACGTTGAGTAATCATAATGTTCTTTGCGTTCACCAAAGCCATTGTGCGATCATGAAAACCATTCCATTCAACACCAGTGTCCACAATATCAAGATGATCAACTTCGAATCCTGAAAATTCATAAAAATTAAGATTTATCAAAACAAAAATAAAATAATTATAATAAAAACCTCGTAGTGATTTGATTGGGTAAATGATTAATTTCTTTATTTTTGGAGGTCCTTTTCTCCATTTTTTTATCCAAGATCTGAAAATTATTAGCCCAGAAACGATGGTCAAAGCTAGACCAATTTTTCTTTGAATATCGTTCATTATTTCGTATTTGTCCTTTTTCAATTTGCACATGAAAGCTTGTGTGCAGTAGAAAATGTCATGCAATGTATCTTTTAATCGCGAATATAATCGATTTAAAAATGATAATAATAATAAATGAACAAACAAATGACGCAAAATGTTGATCATGTTGTATATGAAAAGTATCCTTCAATAAAAAAATCATCATATCAATCAAATGATTTCTTTTATTTATTTTCTTTTATTTTATCATTTTTGATGCCAAATCAATAAGAGATGGACATCGCTCAACATGTTAATAATATTCTTGAAAAAGTAATTATTCTTGTATAGATTAATTTATTTGCTTTTTATAATTTTTTTATTTAACAGATGGTCATATCCAATTCACCTCAAACAGAATTGACCAACATCGAGTATATTAATAAAATCTTTCCAAATGAGCAATCATTATCCAACATCGATGAAGTACTCAAAATTCTAAAGGATAAAATTGGGTAAATCTATCAAATTATTTATTAATCCAATATGAAAAAAACTTGCATATATTCCAGTGTTTTAGATAAAGAAATTCGTGAGGCAATATGTTCGCAGAAAACTGTCGAAGAAAATGGACGAAAAACTTTAGAAAATGCTAGAGGGTTGATAATCAATCTTTCTACTGTAATACATGAGATTAAAAATCAGGCAAAACAGTCAGAAAAAATTGTAAGTTTTTCCATTCGGTGAATTTTTTATATTCTAATAAACTCATGTTCATACAGGTGGATGAAATTACGTGCAATATTAAACAATTGGATAATGCCAAAAGAAATCTTACGCTGTCTATAATCATGTTAAATAATTTACATATACTTGTACAAGGTACATTTATTTTAAAAGAGACGGCTAAAAAACGACAATATGGCACAGCATCGAAAACCCTTCAGGGAATCTTGGACGTATTGAAACAATTTGATCGTTTTAAACACATTCCTCACATATCAAAATTAACTTCAGATATTGATGAAACATGCAATCAATTAGGTGAACAAATCCTTGGCGATTTTCGTGAAACATTTGAATCAAAAAATATGACCAAATCACTTTCACAAAATCAAATTCAATTATTGGCCGAAGGTTGTTTAGTGTTGTCAATTTTAGAACCAAAATACAAACGACAATTGATTACATGGCTAGTCGATCTTGAATTAGTCGAGTATAAAGCTTTGTTCCAAGATAATCAAGATATTGCTTGGTTGGATAAAATTGATACACGTTTTTCATGGCTAAAAAAACATCTTATTGTTTTTGAAGACAAGATTGGATTTTTATTTCCACCGAATTGGGAAATTAGTGAATGTATTGCAGTGGAATTTTGCAAAATTACCCGACAAGATTTGATTCAGGTGATGAATAATCGTTTCATCGAACTCGATGTGAATATTCTGCTTCCAGCTATTTCGAAGGCTACAGCTTTTGAAAAATTGTTGCATCAACGATTCTCCGGTGCTACAATTCGGCAGGAAAAAGCTAGTTTTCAATCTAAAAATGTTTTTTCTGGTTTAATCACTAATTGTTTTGAAAATTACCTCAATATTTATGTTGATGCTCAAGATAAAAATTTTGACAAACTGGTTAATCAATTTGTTGAAGAGCAAACAAAACAATCAATGAATAATCAAGAATCTACAAAAGCAGAAATATTTTCTTCTAGTGGAAAACTATTCACGCAATATAAAAATTGTCTTATTCAATGTATTTCATTAAGTAATCGTTTACCATTGGTATTATTGTCCAATACATTCCAGAAATACCTACGTGAATACGCTCATAAGATTTTGCAAAATACGATACCACGTGTCGGATCGAACGTTTCATTGGCATCATCACTTTCAAATACGATATCCAATACCAGCGCTTCTGGGGTTTTTTCTGCCGCATCATCAGCTGCTGGATTGATTCAAATATTTTTGAAAGATCTGGACAATAAATCCTACACAAATCCAGAAATCAAACAAATTTGTTCCATCATTTTAACATCAAATTATTGCCTGGAAACCACACAACAGTTGGAGAAAAAAATACAGGAAAAAATTGACCCATCATTGATTGAAAAGATCAACATGAATGTAGAATGTGACATATTTCATGGTATAACATCAAATTGTCTACAATTGCTGTCACATTCGGTTGAGAATAGCTGTGAACAAGCATTGAATACAATGATCAAAACACAATGGGCAAATATGGGCACACCAATTGGCCATAGTCAGTATGTTTCATCATTGATATTGACATGCCATCAATCATTTCCTTTGATCAGAGAAAATCTATCCGATGTTCCTAATTATTATCATCAATTTTGTCAAAAATTTGTCGAAGCTTTCATATCGAAATTCATCTCGAATATATTCAAATGTAAACCACTTAGCCAAGGAGCTGCTGAACAATTGTTGCTCGATGCACATACAATGAAAAAGATTCTGCTTGAATTGCCTGAATATAAATTTATCAATGTCGGTCATAATAGTATTCCATCGTCATATACCAATACGGTGATTACCGGCATGACTAAAGCCGAAATGATTTTAAAGATTTTATTAGTACCTGCATCACCAGCCGAAATGTTTGTCGAAAATTATTTTAAATTGTTTCAAGAAAAAGATATGAATGAATTTCAAAAAATAATTGAAATGAAAGGTATAAGAAAATCGGAAAGTTTAACACTAATTGAATTGTTCAAAAAAAAGATGATCCATAATTATGAAAACAAGAATTTAGATTATAAAACAGAAATTCAAATTTCGGAATCAGAACCTAATGAATCTGGATCAATTTCTTCGATTCATTCGAATCGAATAAAAAAATTGGAAAAATTAATAAAAAACCGTCTATAAATGATTTAAAACTTTAACAATGAATTTATGTAATATAATAGATTAGTTTTATTATTCAATAAAATTTTTTTTTTCATTAAATCTGCTAATTCTGTTACGTCAGCTTGCAACGTTCTCTATTAGCTCTGTTGCGTTTGATAAGAACAATGGATATTTAATGACAATTTTGAAACAAGCGGGCCAAAAGAATCGATCCAAATTGAAGAAAAATGCCATCTATCGAAAAATTCATTTAATCATTCTTTAAGTTTTATTTATTTTTTTGTTTATTTTGTAAAGTGAGCATAATGAATAATAATAATATATTTAACTGTTCTTTTTGTTTTCAAACATAAGCTTGATTGTGATATATTTGTATTATTTGTATTTTTTCGAAAAAAATGAGACTTTCACATCGATCATTGTTTGCTTCATTGTTGATTACCGTTTTTCTAATCATATTATTGAGTAAAATCGATGGAAAATCTTCATGGACTTGGTTTTCCATATTCACACCAATATGGATTCTAGATCTTTTCACATTTCTTCTGTATTATGCCCGACAACGAACAACGGAATTTTATTATGATTTTCAATCTAAACGTACCATCGTGAGCAGTATAATCGTAAAATTAATTTTCCAATGTTTGTTATGTGTTAAATTGGAATTCTTTCAATCATTATCATCATTCATCGTTATGATTCCTTTGTGGATATTTTTGATAATGATTTCAATAAGTGTTTTTCGAGAGATGATTACCAATGAAGATTGACTTATAAAAATGACTTAGGAATATCGACAAGATCAAGTGAAGAAATCTCTTCGGCAATTCCACATAGATTATCACCAATAGCAATATGTACATAGCCATTCACACCGAAATCTAAATTCCAAGTATTTCGTACACGATAATATGGAATATCTCCTGTTAGATCATAGCCAGTAATCTGAACGGCATGATTACGATTATTGAAACAATGATATTGAATGATACCACCAAGATAATTTTGCCATGTAGAAGCATCAACAGTTGCTATCACTGGGCCATGATTGGCAATCATTCTAATTACCTGAAGCTCGTTGCCAACTAAATTTTCACAAAGATGATCAGTACGTATTTGTACACCATTTCTCCTTGAATCACTTCGACAATCACCAGCAATTGATTCCGATGGATAATCTTTAATAGTTTCCAACGAGACATTCATCTTGGACATCCATTCTATTGTCGAGCATATATCACCGCCGTCACATCCACGGTTCGTTGAGCAATCAACCAATTGTTGAGTACTGAATTCACACAAAGTTCTGTTCGTTTTAATGGCCACCATTGATTCGACAGTAGTGGCGATGCTATACGCCCAACATGCTCCACATTCTCCTTGATCACGAATACTGCTGACAGCATTTTGATCTCGCCAATCAAATCGTTGAGGTATATCATAAGGAATGACAAAAGATTCAATAGTATTTCGTCTTGATTTTTTCTTTTTTATCAATTTCGAACCATGATTTTTTAAAACTAAAAATCTAATTTAAAAAATATTTTCGGTTATAAAAAATCACCATACCAGTTTGTTTGAATTCATGTGGACTTAAGTCTGAATATTTGGTAAGGCCATAATAGGCACTGTTTTCATGTGCACGAAATTGGTTCAAAAAACGAATCTTTTTCAATGATTTCTGCAATAGAAAGAATGATTAATTTAAAAGAGTTAATTTAAATTAATTGTTAAATTGATCAAACCTCAAAAATTTTTATTCTACGGATATATTCATTTGGATCATTTTTGTATGGCTTTTCAAATTGATCAATAAATTGTTCAAATTGAAACTGTATCAAATCTGTACTTTGTTTGACGATCAATAGATTCAGAAAGAATCGAAGAAATAACATTCTAATGATTTTGTGAATAATTTTACTGACCGTTACAATCTAATCCTAAACATATTCTATTGGCCGTTGGAATTTTTTTTCTTTGAATAAAATTGAACACGCCATCCAGTGGCTGGAAAAATCATCATCAAAATTAAAATAGCCGACAAGAAATTAATCAGCTGGAATTAAATTTTGTTCCAAATGAATTGAAGAGATGGCGGTTTGTGTGTTGGATTATGGAGAAAAAAAAAAAAAAATAGTCAAAATTGAGTCATTAAGTTTACTTTTTTTTTGTTGTGGTCATTTTTCAACAACATCATTGATTTGAACATTTTTAAGAACAACAGAAATTAAGACGAGAAAGTACTAAAAACTCTAAAACAATGAGCCGTAACGTTGTCGTAAACGCTGTCGGAAAACCAACGGCTTCAGTAATTATTTTTAATGAATTTTTTCACTGCAGATAAAAAAAATTATCAATATTTTTCATTTAGATAATCTTTTTACATGGTCTTGGAGATACTGGCCATGGCTGGTCATCGACGATCAAAGCAATTAAACCATCGTATGCCAATCTGATTTGTCCGACAGCGTAATATATATATGAATTAATATTTTTCTTTACATAATTCGGTAAATTTTTTATATTCATCAGTGATATTATGCCGGTCACACTTAATGGTGGTTTTCCAATGCCCTCATGGTTTGACTTATATTCATTGGATACCAATGGCCGTGTTGATGAACCCGGAATTGAACGTGCAAAAGCTTTAGTCGAAGGATTAATTAATGCAGAAGAAAAGGCTGGCATTCCATCGAATAGAATACTTCTTGGTGGATTTTCACAAGGCGGTGCATTGGCACTTTATTCCGGTCTGACCTATCCGAAACCGTTGGCCGGAATAATTGCACTCAGCTGTTGGATTCCTTTGCATGATAAGTTGAACATTAGCGAATGTAATAAGAAAACACCAACAATTCAGTGCCATGGCGATGCGGATCCAATTGTAATTTTCAATTTTTTGAAATTATTATATGATTATATTACATTATATATGTTTTACAGGTCGCTTTGAAATGGGGACAAATGACATCGGAATATTTGAAAAAACATTTGACCAATTACAGTTTTAAAATTTATTCAAGATTACAGCATAGCTCAAATGATGAGGTAATAGAATTTTTTATGTAAAAAATTTAAATTATAATTTCAATCTTTTTTACTGATTCGTAAAATAGGAACTCCGAGACATGAAAAAATTCATAGAAGATAATCTAAAATAGACGATTTTGATTTTATTAATTATGTTCTCAAAATTATTAAAAAAAATATCATATAGAATTGATTAACAAATAATAAGAGAAATTGTAACCATTCTAAAATGATTAAATTTTGTTTTGACCAATGTATACATTTTCGTTCGATTCTGGTTGACCATAAATAATTTTTCCAAGCCTTGAAGAGAAATGATACCGATGGCACGTGAATGGGCCATTCGCATTGAAAAACATCCGTATTCGATTAAACCAATAGGTTCATGATCATCATCATTAACAGTATTGATAATATTTTCAGTTTTCAAACAATCACCATCATCAGTAGATATCGATAAATGATCCAATGATTTGGGAACTATAATTATGTCATCAGTATTGGGTGTGCCTCTTAGATAATCCACCATGACCTGGATCAGAGCATTTTCGGGGTCAATAATATTGCAGACAATTTTATCAACTGAATGATAGGTATCGAGGCTGGATAAAATTTCATGACTTCGAATGATATATTTGTTCTCAAAATTGAATCCAATTGCACAAGATGTATTCGGGTTTTTATCACGATTAAACATACAATCTCTATAACCGATTCTTGGATACAGTAATGTATTGGTATCGACTGTCATCACTTCTAAATCACGTAGTCCGCCAACCAAATGTGCCATGTTTGCATTAATTTTATTCCAAATTTTTTTCAAATTTTGATTTGGAATTAAAATCTCAATTGTTTCAATTTGATTATCAAGACGATACTGTTTAAATGCAATAATTTCTTTTTCCAAATTATTGAAAAACATTGAAAAATTCAAATTCGTTGATTGATCTAGATCCAAACCATGCCATTTTTCATGTTCCAATGTTGGAATTTTTTTTCCAATTTTTTTGCTGAGACGTGCAAATGAATGTGGACCATAAAGACGAACGCAAGAACAATCTATTGGCTCAAATGATAATGTGATATTGTGTTTGAGAAATTGTTCCAATATGGCTTCGAAAAAAAGTTGATGTGCTGTAAAGGATAAAGATAAATTGTCATTACGTTCAATTTTGACAACATCACAAGGACCGATTAAATTATATGGATATTTTTCGTATTCATATAAATTTATCTTGATAGAATGATGAACAGGAACTGTTTTCAGTTGCTCCAGTTGCAAGGCTGGAATAAAATTTGAAAGTTGTCCATAAATACTTTCGATGTTGGAATCCAATGATTGTAATAGAAATGTTTTTAAAAATGGCAGATAATAGCATAGGCTACCGTTCTTGGTACCACGATATAAGATTCTTTGATTTTTCATATTATTTTTCCATGGAATAAAAATATTCCATAATAATTCCATTTTGAAACGTTTTGTAAACCACATATGTAAAATGGTACGGCGAGAATCCTTATTACGTTTACGGATTTTTCGTTTACATTGTCGTCGTTTTGATGATCTTTTGTTTAATAAAGTTTTGTTTGTAGATTTAATTTGTGGTATGAATTTTTGTAAATTTTTTGGCAAACGTTTTGGATTATTACTAGCAGCTCGTCTTCGTATATGGCGAGGTACGCGTTGCAAAACATTTTTACATTGTTTTGTTTGACATTGTTTTTTCAATGCATTTATCTCGACGATATGAGAATGAATAAAATTATAGATTGATATTTCTACATGTAAACAAATGACAATTATTTATGAGAAATAAAAATGAGAAATAAGATTTATTTACCATTAGGAATGTCAATATCCATGGTATGAAATTTTTTTTTTTTTTTTTGAATACGAATAAAATTAAAAATCAAACCACACGTGACTAATAAAAAAATGGGTCTATTTTAATCCTATGTGTTTTTTGATCAAGACCTTGCACGAGGATCTCTTTTTTTTGGGATTTATTTAACTCAAATTTACTAAATTAATTTTCATATACTCTCAAATAATAAACATGTACCCTCCCAAAATACGAGTCATTGATTTGAATCGTCTTAAATATAGTACAGCTTTATATATACAACAAAAATTATTTACCAAAGTTCAACAAGAATCAGCGACAAATTCAGGACCAAATTATTTAATATTCGTTGAACATGATCCAGTTTATACAATTGGTATTCGAAGTAAACAATATTCGGATAAAGAATTTCAAGAAAAACTTCGACAATTAGAAGCAGATTTTTCTTTAACAAATCGTGGTGGATTAATAACATTTCATGGTCACGGTCAACTAGTTGCCTATCCAATCGTGAATCTTAAAAATTTTCCCATTACCAAAAATAGTGTTAAAAAATTTGTTTGTCAACTTGAATCAACAATTATGGATGTTTGCAGCGAATTCGGAATCAAAGCAGCCAGATTGGATGGTTATCCTGGCGTTTGGGTAGATTCAGAACGAAAGATTGCTGCTCTTGGCATCCATTGTAGTCGATATGTAACGATGCATGGAGTGGCTATCAATAGTAATGTCAATCTTGGTTGGTTTGATCACATTGTTCCATGTGGAATCGAAGATAAATCAGTTACATCAATATCAAATGAATTAAATAAGAATATTTCCATTGATCAAGTAAAGCCACTATTTTTAAAACATTTTTGTGATAAATTAGAATGTCAAATTGAAAAACATTAATTAAAACTATAATTGAGTAGAAATTCTTTCAATTTTGTTGTACAAATGAAACGATGTGATATAGTGTTTTTTAATGAATAATCCATTTCTCCATACGTTTGTTGATATCCATTTGGCTGAAAACAAGGATCCCAACCAAAATCAAGACGGCCTCTTGGATGAACAATTTTTCCATCGATCATACCGCGAAAAATATGAACAGGGCCATCGATATGTTCCATGAAAGCCATCATACAAATGGCTGTTGTTGTTTTATCATTCCAATCTTTTATTATTCTAGGCAGACCATCAGCGCCTATTGCATCCATAAACCATTTTATATAAGGACCAGGCAATCCTTTCAAGGCTGTAATGCTAAAAAACAATCGGATAAATAATCAGAAAAAGAATGAATCAAATCACATACTTGAGTGAAGTATCCTCGACCAATACTGGTCCATTTACAATACGGATAGCACTTTTACATTTTTCTTCTACAATAAATTCTAAATCTCCTTGATATTCTGGCAAATCAATTTTCCGATGGACAATCTGTTTCATGTATAATAAAAAAAAGGATGATTAGAATCACCAGAATAAAAATGATTTATTATATACTTGAAACATTGAATTGTCACCAATTATATTTATAATTTCATTCAATTTATGTTTGTTTCCGGTTATGAATGTTATTGTTTTCATTGTTAATTTTTTTTACAGAAAAGAAAATTCACGTGGAAATTCGTACAGCTGATTTTCTTCCCCGGACATCTGTATGTTTGTCTGTCTGTCCACTATATATAATTAAGGTTAATATAGATAGCACATTTGAAACCGATTTATCAAAAAAAAACTACCATTGTTTGTCTGAGATCAGAACAGAAATTAATCGTTATGTATAGAAAATGTTCTTTGTGTAACGATGATCATCATGGATACCTAACCATGGATGCCATATAATTTATTCGAACTTTATTCAACCAAATCTAACCAACTAACATCCGGTTTAGAATGAAATTATCATTACAAAGCCATTGAAAAAACAATGACTTTTTTTTATAGAAATAAAGACGAGACTCTCAACCAAATTGGAGAAAAAAAATCCAAGCAATATATGGCATAGCAAATGTCTCTATATATGCAAACTCGTGAAAATTCTCGAAATACGTTTGAATCAACAATTGCATATATTTAAATTCAAATAGTTGTTTATTTCATTTGGGACAATTTCGTGGTCGTCATTACAATGAACGAAACAAATCGGAGGATTGTCATGATCATCATCATCATCATTTGATGATTTGCCATAAATGGTAGAAAAATTTCGCCTTTTTTCAACCAAACAAACAAGCAAAATTAACAAGTTGCTTGTTTTTTTTTTTTTTTTTGATCGACAACGATGAAAGAATGAATGAAAGAAAGAATCCCTGAATACAAATTTCCGAAATAATAGAGAAAAATAATATGAATGAAATGAACGCCTCGCGATAGCCTCGAATCTATTCTATTCATTCAAAAAAATCTCTTTATTCAACCAAACTTTCAAACCAAATACATCAATATAATGCAATATATACGAAAGAAGAAAAATGTGTGATCATAATTATGATCGAACAACTACAAGTCAACAATCAAAAAAAAAAATTTATATAGAAGAATGAATGGATGCGCTTTCGAACATCGATCCACAAAAAACATAAAAAAAACACAATAATAAACTTGGATGCAACAAGTTATAATGTTGGCATCCAATGTATATCTATGCCAACATTTTTTTCTCTCTCTCTCTCTCTCTCTCTCTCTCTCACACACACACATACAATTCTTCCACAACTAACCATATGTTTTATATGCCACACATACATATATACACAAATAAACATTTAGACCGCCACACACATTTGTTGTCGTTGCCGACGACGACGACGACTACTTTTGATAAAGACTCACCTGTCGATTTGATTTTTTATTTGTAGAATGAGAATGATAATGCTACATGCTACCTGTTGACATTCTCAAATATTATATTCCCATTTACCTATATTCACCCCTTCATCAAATTGATTCATTCGAAATTCGAATGAATGAATCAAAATTTTTACTATCGAGGATAGTTTGTTCATTAATTTTTTTTACTATCAAATTCATTCATTTTTATTCTGTCGTTTGAATAAGACATCAAAACAATTGAATATTTTGATTGAAAATCCATAGTTACTAATCATCATCATCGTTATTTGTTTTTGTTTCGTTTGTTGTCGTTGTCATCGATAGAAATTTCAAAAAAAAAATCTGTTTGTAGAATCCTTTTTTTCCGGCACATCGAATTAATTTTTTAAATATTCCAGCAACTTGTTCATCAACCAGATTCTTGAAATTTTCTTGACATTTTCAACGTACAAATATTACGGCAATAATATAATTTATTCATTTTTTTTCGTGTACTCCTCTAAAACGCAATTCATAAATTGGCAGCTATTATCAGTCAATCACTAATTCATCATTCAAAATCTATCATCAATTCCTCATCTACTTACACTAATTATTTATATCTGAAAAGTGAAGAAAAAAAAATCTGTAAACCTCAATTATCATTCACAGAAAATTAATACTAACCCAAAAACACTAATCAAATTGATTACCATCGAATCGAATAATCATCATTTACAAATGATTTTTTGTTGATTATCTTTGAAAAAAAAATCAGAATAAACCAAACACAAAATGTATAAATTTGACAAAGGTAACCACCGACTTTTTGTAAAAGGATCTCGTGAAGATGATGATCCGGATAATATTGCCGATTCGAATGATCGTCATTTAATCAATGATCATACAGTCGATCGACAACAATATGAATTTGATTCAAAAAATCATATGGCATCTGCATCACAAGAGACACGTGAATTATTTCGTACAAGTAACAATCGAGCTGGCCTAAAAACTGTACAAACAAAACGTGTGGCTAAAAAGATTACCACAGTAAATCGTGGTGAACAAAGAAAATTGGTAAGCCCTATATTCATTTTTTTATTTGTTCTTTATCTATTGATCCATCCATTCGAAGCGTATTAAAAAAACAATAATATTTGATTGACAATCAAAAATTAGTTTAATTAGAATACATTTGTTCGTTTCCGCTGCTCCCACCAGAAAATTTCTGAATTTTCTTATAGTAATTTTCTTTCAGAATTCCATCGGATGTAGGTTGCTGATGAAGGTTCTTTAGTATTTTTTCGAGCACGAAATTTTAATTTTATGATTGCAACTCTTTTATCAATTCATTTATTGAATTTCTATTACCTATGCATATAGGCTTTATATGAACTATTGGTTGATTACTTTTTATGGACATTTTTTTTTAATTTTGCTTGCTTTTGTGATCACACAGAAAAGCGAAAAAAAATGTGGCAAGGTGAGATTTCTTCTTACTTTTTTTGTGTGTGTGTGTGTGTGGACAAATGATGATGATGATGGCGACAATGATGTGTTGTTTGTTTGCCAAAACAATCGCCCACCATCATTGCGTAGGTTTCATAGCTTTTTGGAATTATCTATGTCGCTGGTGTGATGATGGAATGAATATAATTTTTGTTTTTTTTTTGTTTCGACCTCCATTTTGGATACATTTTAGGAATGTTATATGGAATAGATGGAAAATTTTCTTTTTTTTGATGTAACAATAACCTTGTATCCATAATGATTGGTTCATTTTGAAATTTTAAGTTTTTTTTTGCAATTGCTTAAAATATAACGCCTATTAAACATATTATGAAACAATTTTCTTGGAATCTGCTTTTTTTCTGGTTGGATGGATCAATTTAATTATTATTAAAGTGATCTCTAGAAACTAAAAATGATTGAATCAAATATATTTTATTTATTTTTTTTTAATTTTGACAGCCAACAATTTCAATGCTCGAAGGAAATAAATTGAAAGAAAAATTAATGAAATGGGCACAAAAATCAACACGTGGTTATCCAGGTGTGAATGTTTGTGATTTTACCAATAGTTGGCGTGATGGCCTCGCATTCAATGCCATTATACATCGTAATAGGTAGGGTTTTAGAAATTATAAATATCAGTTATTAATGATCGATTCAATCAAATTATAGGCCTGATTTGCTTGATTATCTTAAATGCCGCGAACGATCAAATCGAGATAACCTTCAAACTGCATTTGATGTTTTATCGAAAAATTTTGGCATAAATTGTTCGCTTACACCTGATGAAATTGTCAGATCAGAACCAAATGAAGATGAAATGCTTAAATATTTAGAGGAAATTTATAACTTGTTTCCGAATCCTCCAGATCACAATCCATTATGGGATGCAGAGAAAATCCGTCGAATCGATGATTATAAAGATTCGGCAAGTCGTCTATTAGTGTGGCTTCGTGAAAATATTCCAAAATTGAATGATAGAAATTTTCCAAATCAACTAAGAGAAATGGTTCATCTTAAACGTGAAAATGATCAATTCAAAACAGAACAAATACCACCGAAATTGCATGATAAACAAAAATTGGCTAGTATTTATGAAGATGTATTGAACATGGCTCGTTCATTACCAGGTAGACATGTTCGAATTGAAGATGAATATGACATCAGTAATATTGAAAGATTATGGAAGAATATGATCACTGCCCATCAGAAACGTGATCATGATATCTTAGAAGAGATTGCACGTTTAGAAAAATTGGAAAAGATTGCCTCAGATTTGGTCAAACAGATACAAATCTGTGAAGATAATCTGGAAACCATAAAGAAACAGATTGCTGAAGAAGAAAAACAGGTGTTGAAACAAGATCCATTGAAACCAAATTTCAACATTGATAATATTCAAAAAAATCTAGCCGAAGAAGAACGCAGAATTGCCAACATGTACGATGTTTTGAAAATATTGACTGATAATAAATACCATGCAGCTAATTCATTGCGAAATCAAGTGGATTATTTACATGACAAATGGAAGAGCTTGAAATTCAATTTTGACAACAATGTCGTAAAAGTTTTAAATGATCGAAAAGAAGCTGCCCTACGACGACCAAAAACCGAGGAAGAATTAATCAATGAAAATGAACATTTCCGTTTTCTTCATGATTGTATACAAGAATTATTGAAGAAAAGAAAATATCTTGAAAGTTTGAATATTGGCGAAGATCTTCATACCATTCAAAGACGATTGGAACAATTTCACGAAGAACAAAAAGAATTGAAACAATTCCAAAGCAAAATCGATGAGTGCCATAACCGTAAAATACACATCAAACGAGAAGAAATGCCCATCTATAACAACATGTTAGATCGGCTTCGAACTGCCTATGATGAAACAACTGGTTTTGTTCGACAACGAATTGACCATCTTCAATCGTTATTAGATTTTTTCAAATCAGCCGAAAAAGAATTATTATGGATCAAGAATAAAGAGGAGATAGAAATCTCTCGCGATTGGTCATTGAAAAATCATAACATTGAAGAATTGTCAAAATATCATTATAATTTGGTCAAAGAAATGGAATCACATGAACGTGAATTCAATAAAGTGCAAGAAAAAGGTGAAAGTTTGATTAGAAATCGTCATCCAAGCACCAAATTAATTGAAAATCTTATGGCCAAAATGCAATACAATTGGTCATGGTTATTGCAGCTAATCAATTGTTTTGAACAACATTTAAAACATACTGGTGATTATTATAATTTCATGGATGATGTTAATGAATCACGAAAGTTGATCAATATGATGGAAGACAAATTGAATTCTCAATACAGTCGGCATCATATTACGATTGAAGAAGGCGAGAAAATGATGCAAGAAATGAATGCATTGAAAGAAGACATCACTAAGATTGGCATTACTATTAGTGATCTCGAAGACAAAAGTTCGACTATTGTCAATTTAAAACAACGAAAAGCACCGCTTCCTAATCCAATCAAAGTCAAATCATTATGTATGATTAAACATGAGAAAGGTACGATTTCAAAGAATGAAATGGTCACATTGTTGGATAATTCACAAAGAAATAAATGGAAAATTGCCTCACCAAACAATGCCGAGTTGGCTATTCCAAGCGCCTGTTTTGTAATACCACCACCGGATCCAGATGTTCTTGAAGCATTGAATGAATTGAAAAATAAATTGGATTCATTGATTGGTTTGTGGGCACAAAAACAAAGAGAACTTCGTCAAAATCAGGTATTGGCCTCTTTAAAAGCAGTGAAAGATATCGATTATCCAACATATTGTTCAATGGATCCTCGGCAGCTTGATAAAATAATGCGAAGTCTTGAAGATGACATCAATAAATTAGCACGTGAAGGTCCACCTGATGATCCAATGATTCGACGATTATTAGATGAATTTGATGATATTAAGAAAAAGTTTGCCGATTTTGAAGCTCGTCGTCGTCAAGAAGAGGAAGATAAAAAGAATCAGGCAATGATACAAAAATTCATTGATTCCGCTAATGATCTTTTACAAAGATTACAGGAAAAGGAACGCATTTTGATTCAACGAGCACAAAATCAAATTCCACGTGAAATGTCCATATTGAAAACACTTATCGATGAACACGATGAATTTGAACGTGATCTGAAACAATTTGAATCACGAATCAATGAGCTAAAACAAGAATATACTCGAATTCATAGTAAATCACATGCTGCCGAATCTAAATATGTGACAATTATTGATACATGGGAACGTGTTTGTAAAATGTCTAAAGATTATAGTGAACGTTTGAAAGCTTTACAAACAGTATTGGATGATGTGGAACAAGCCCGAGTTACTTTGAATGAAGTACAATCAAGTCTGATCCTGCATGAAGAAATTCCTGCCGATGAAATTGATCTGAATCAAATGTGTAATGAACTACGTAATCTACATAAAAAAACGAATCAATATAATGAATCATATGATCATTTATTATCCAATGTGACCAAAGTTCGACGATTGGTTGAACGAACACGACCAAAACAGACAACACATGCTGATTTGAATCGTCTTGAAGAGGATGTGAAAACATTATATAAAAAATGGAAAATGGCCTCCACACAAATTACTGAACGACTTTCGATACTGGAATTGTGTAGTGATTTATTGAAAAAATATCGATCATTAATGAATGTGGAGAAAAATTGGATAACACAAACATCTGCTCGTGTCAACACTGTACTGAATCGTAGTGATCTAGATTATGTTTCGGTATGTTTATTCAGATGAATATTTGTCATGTTTTAAATAATTTGTTTTTATTCAAATTTATTATATTCAAAATTTAGAAACTATATGAAAGTATTGTTGAAAGAAAATCAGCCATTGATGATACGAATACCGCAGGCAATCGTTTCATACATGAAGCCAAATCATTGATGCAAAAAATCAAAGTCTACAATGATAGTCTTGATGATTATAATGTTGAAATCAGCGCCAAACGCGCAAGAAAATATGCAGGTGTTGAAATCGTGGAACAGGAATTGGAATCGCTTAACAATGAATATAAAAATCTTTTGGATAAAGTACTCTCCTATTTGAATCAATTACAAGATGACGAAAGTCGAATGCGGGAATTTGTAAGTATCTCAATCTTTTTATAAATGTAGTTTATTTAAAACAATTTATTTTTTTTAACAATTTATGATTTTATGTTACTAACCAAATACTAACCAAAAAATTTTCGATTGTTTCAGCCATCTAAAAATGATGATCAACTTGAAAAAGGATTAAATATTAATAGTGATGATGATAATAGTTGTATGGATAATCAATTGGTTAGATCCATATTAGTTTTAGATGGCTCTAATTTTATTAGGAATAGATTGGATGATAATGGGAATATTTTACAACAAAAAAATCTTATTTTAGATTACAGATTAATAAGGAATCCCTCATTTGTTGCTAATGAGTGGAAATGGATTCGATCATTTAGAGATTTCTTTATGAACCTCAACGATTCGGACCAAAGAAACTTACTTCATCGTATGGCATTATTATTAGGATGTTCATCTGATAATAGTAAAAATCCATTTTTAGTGTTAGGGGAACTTTCATTGGTTGGTGGACCTCATGGAAAACTTTTGGAAAAATTGAAAAAATCTGGAAACATTGTAATGGATAACAGGATAGGTTCTAGCAATAGAATTTAAAGGAATAAATAATCAGTTGGATGATTATAATGAATTGGACCAGATTTCCATTGAGGAACTACCTTCTTCGGATGAGATGATTCAACAGCAACAACGAGATGATGCTGATTTAGGCCATAGTTTTGATTCGGATTCGAAACTTAGGTCTACTCGTCCTCTTTGTGCGAATTTGTTGAAAGACTTGGATCTGTTTCTTGGTCTCTCCGAAAATGATGTAATGTATCTTTACATCCTATTTATGATAAGTGATATCGATTATCGATTGATTTTATATTTCTACGTTATTAAGAATGTTTATTAATTCTTTTTTATTTTGCTTTCCAACATAGAATTCCATCGCCGACAAACTAAAATATTGGCTGGATCAAAAAGAAAAATTAATTTCAGTTCTTGGACCTATCGGATCCGAGCCATACGTTGTCAATAGCCAATTGAGACAAATTACTGTGATGAAAGATGAATTCTCATCACAGGAACATCTATTGAATAAAATGGACAAACTTGGCCATTCTATTTTGGAACGAATGGATCGCACCAATCCTTACTATAGTGAAGTGCAAAATAAAATGAATGACATTCATAAAACATGGAAACAATTGTTGGCTATTTTAGAAGAACGTGAAAAGAATCTTTTGCTTGTCAACGAAGCTTCAACAGATTTTCAAAACAAATTATCAAAATTACAGCAAAATCTGGATACTATTTCCGATGAATTCGATAAAATTGTGAATTCTAATTTGGAAAAAGATGAACAATTATTGAAGATAACAAATCTGGAAGAAAATTTAGAATCACAACGACCATTATTGGCAGAATGTAGTAACGCTTGCAATAATCTCATCAATCTACTTACGGATAATGCCTCTAAAAATGAGATAAGAGATAAATTTAAATATGTTGAATCTAAATACAATGATCTTTCGCGAAAGATTAGCAACAAAAAAGCCGAATTACAATCAACAATTAAAGAAGATCGTGAATTCTTCATGTCTTGTGATCAACTTTTAGAATGGCTTCGTAACATGTTGAATACATTATCCAAAGATATTAAAGTATCGGCCATCTATGAAGTTGTTTCCAAACAGATTCAAGATTTCGAACCAATCTATCAACAAGTACGCGACAAAGAGCATGAAGTTCATATGGTCATAAATAGAGGCAATAATCTATTAAGTCGTAGTTCGGCATATCGTGCTGAAACATCCAATTGGCGACAAACATTGGACAATATAAAACGTCAATGGAATTTGGTCGAAAAAGAAGCTTTGGAGAAAAAATCAAAATTACACAAATGTCTAGACATTTGTCGTGAATTCAATGTCAATTATAATGATTTGTATCCATTATTGGAACAATATGATTCCAAACTTCAAAGCTTTAAAGATGTTCCATTGAATCGTCCAGATTTGGAAAATCGATTAAAAGATATTCAATTCCTCAAAAATGACATCAATAAACGACAACGTGATTTTGATCATCTACGTAATTTAGCCGATCAATTGGTGTCGATTGCTGATACTGATAAGGATCATGTGAAAAATCGCATGAATCAATTGAAACAACTATGGGATCGGGTCAACTCTGAAGTGTTGAAACGTTCCCAAATGATCGATTCAATTTTGCATAAATTGATCGCCTATCAAGATAGTATGCGTGATTTCAATCAGGCAATGCAGCGTATCGAAGATAAGATGATGTCACAACATGCGTTTACTGATCAAAAATTGGTCGATCGCATGAAGAATCTTTTGGATGAAGCTAAAGGTCTTCGACACAATTTGGATCAAGTAAAAACACATGCCCGAGAGTTGATCAATGAAGTTAAAAATGAAAAATCTACACGACAAATTGAGAATGAAGTACGTGAAGCCGAAGAACGTTATCGTGCATTATTGGACAAACTGGACAGAAAATGTAAAGATCTTGACGTATTGGCCAACAATGTTAAAACATTCACCATGAAATTGACAGAAATTCAAAATCAATTAAATCAATTGGAACAACAATTGAATAATATGGCACCGATTGCACGTCATTCAGATATTCTTCGTCAACAAATGGCCGAAATCAAAGATTTTCGTAATGATTTAGACAAGGTACATCAAAAATTAAAAGAAGCCGAACAATTTTACAAAAACATTACTGATAAAGATCCATCATTCGACAATAACATGTATCGATATCAATTGGAAAATATGAATCGACAACATGCACGATTAGATGATGCAAGCCGACAACGTTTGAATAATATACAAAATATGATCGACAAATTGAAAGGATTCTATAATGATTATGATGGTTTGGATAAAAACCTGAACGATGTGAACAAACAAATTGATAACTTGAAACCAATCAGTCGAGATGTCGACGCTATTCGTGCTCAACAAAATGAATTCCGTAATTTGAATGCAAATTTGGTTGAACCCTTGGCAAGACGAGTGGATGATTTGCTTCGTAAAGCCAATGGTCTGATTCAATCAGCATTGCCAGGCGTCGATACCAGTAAATTAGAACAAGATACTGACAAAATCAATGGTAAATGGAATGATTTAAAAGAGAAAATAAATGATCGTGAACGTAAATTGGATTCTGCCATATTACAAGCCGGTCGTTTCCAAGATGCAATGGATGCATTTGAAAAATGGCTTAAAGATGCCGAAAACATGCTTGCCAATCAAAAACCACCAAGTTCTGATTATAAAGTACTCAAAGCACAAATCCAAGAACAACAATTCATCAATAAAATGGTCGATGATCGTGAAAATAGTTTGAAATCTCTAAGAGAAATGGGGCTAGAATTTATGCGAAATCTAGATCACAATGAAAAACATCATGTTGAAAATCAATTGAATGATCTATCCAAACGATTCAATATTCTTAAGAATAATTGTTATAAACGTTTAGATTTATTGAAGCAAATTTTCCCGATCGCTAAAGATTTCAGTGATAAAGCTGTGCCTCTTCAGGAATGGTTGAATCAAACGGAACGTAAACTTAGTCTTTTGAAACATTCTCCCATTGATCAAGATAATGTTAAAAGCAAAATCGCCGAACATCAAATGTTGCATCAAGATGTTCTCAACCACAAAAACGAATTTGAACGTTTGACTGAGATTGCACAAAATTTAATCAGTCTTTTAACTGATGATGAAGCTCAAATCGTTGTGGATAAATCAAAAGAATTGACCGACCGTTATGCCAAATTGGTTGAAGATAGTCTTGATTTTGGTGAAATTCTGGATGAATCGAGAAAAATTCTTGAAAACTTCCTCAGTAACTTTGACGATCTATTCAATTGGATCGATCGAATGGAACAAAGAGTGAACAAACATAAAAATTGTGCCATTACTGTCGAAAAGATTCGTGAACAATTGGACGATTTACATGATATTCAACGCGAAATTCAGTCAAATGAACCACGAATCTATGAAATATTTAATGTAGTTCAATCATTAAATCGTGGCGATTCCTTGATGATCAAACAAAAAACTGATCAGCTTCAATTCCGATTCAATGAATTGAAAAGAAAAGCTTCGGAGTATATGAACAATTTGAAAGATGTGCTTCCTGTGGCACAAAATTTCTACAATGCCCATGATAAATTGAACGCATGGCTTGATGTTGCTGAACGTAGTCTAAAGAATTTGGAATCACAAAGCTTGAAGCAACAAGAATCAACGATTCGAACATTGGAAAGTCAAATCAATGAGAATAAATCATTGCTTGATACGATTAATAATTTGGCTCCACAATTCTGTAATTACACTAGCGGTCAAGGTACCGCTCATATTGAAAGCATAGTCATCAAAGATAATCGTCGATTCAATAATGTTTGTGATCAAATTAATAGACAAGTGGATAAGATCGATGTGTTGAAGCAACGAAATGATGAGATTGTCAATGATATTGATGAATTGTATGAATGGTTCAAAGATGCCGAACGACAATTACTGGAAGCCGAAGGTATTCCACATGAACCAAAGAAATTGACTGTTCTGTTGAAGGAAACAAAAGCATTGTATGATGATATAAACAGTCAAAAAGGAAGAGTACGTGATGTTCTGGCAAATGTTAAAAAATTGATTCGAAATAACAACACAGAAGATATGATTCATATTCGTGAAAAATCTGAAGAATTGAAAGATTTAGCTAATCATGTTTCACAATTGTGTTTAGATCGATTGAATTTATTGGAACAAGCTTTACCATTAGCCGAACATTTCTTCGAAGCTTACAATGAATTAAATCAATGGTTGGATGAGACCGAAAATGAAGCCCAAATGTTGGGTGGTGCAATCAATGCTATCCGAATCAAACAACAACAGGAGATTATCAACCATTTGAATCGATCAATTAATGAACATAAACCAGTGTTGGAAAAATTGAATAAAACTGGTCAATCATTGATTAACATTGTTCAAGAACGTGATGGAAAACAAGTAAAACGATTGATGGATGACATCAATGATCGATTTAATAATCTTAAAATCAAACTGCGAGATCAACAATTAATTCTGGATTCAGCGTTGCAAGAAACATCACAGTTCACTGACAAATTAGACGGCCTTTTACGAACCTTAATGGACATTCTGGAACAATTGAAAAATGCTGAGCCCATTTCAGCACATCCCGAAAGAATCCGGGAACAAATTAACGATAATGATTCTATTATTGATGAACTGAACAAAAGAAAAATGGTTTATGAAACTGTTTCTCAGGTCGCTAATGATCTTATCAACAAAGCTGGAAGACATGATGATTCTGTTCGTGACATCTATAATCAACATAATAAACTCAAAGATTGTTGGAATCAATGTAATACACTGGCTCAGAATCGTAAACAATCATTGAATGATGCACTAAAGATTGCCACCCAATTCTGGAATCAATTGAATGATGCAATGGAATCATTGAAAAATATCGAAAAGGCAATAATGTCCGAAGAGCAACCAGCTTGTGAACCAAACGCAGTATATAGACAACAAGAATTTCTGAAAGAAATCAAACAAGATTTGGACAACGCTCGAACCAAAGTAGATGATTGTAAAATGACCGGGAGAAATTTAATGAAAATTGTTGGTGAAAGTGATAAATATGAGATTAAGAAAAACATTGATGAACTTGAAAATTATTGGAATAATATTGCCAATCTGTTTAGTCAACGCGAAAAAGATCTGAAGAATGCAATGGAAAAGGCTATGAAATTCCATGAAGCTCTTCAAAACTTGTTAGAATTTCTCGACAATGCTGAAGATACATTCAACAATTTCGGGCCAGTTGCTTCTGATTTGAATATCGTGAAAAAACAAGTTCATGAATTGACTAATTTCAAAAAACATGTCGATTCACATGTGCCGGATATCGAAAACTTTAATCGATTAGCCAATGAATTGCTTGAATGTGTGCCATCATCTCAAGCTAAAAGTATCCGTGAACCAATGAACGAAGTAAATCATCGTTGGGATGATCTTTCCAAAGCCATTGCTAATCGACAAGCCGAATTGGAAAATGCATTACTCAAATTAGGACAATTTGAACAATCGTTGAATGATTTCCTGGAATGGATGGCTAGAACAGAACGAACACTTGATGAAATCAAACCAACATTCAGTGATCCTCAAGTATTGGAAATTGAATTATCAAAATTCAAAGTTTTAGAAAATGATATCTATGCACACCAAAGTACAGTGGATACTTTGAATTCGGCGGGTAAAATGTTGATCGACAATGAACGTGGAACAGAGAATGCACGTGCCACACAGAATAAATTGAACAAATTGAATTCAAGATGGCAACAATTGTTGGACAAAACCGAACAACGAAAACGAGAACTAGAAGAATTGTTGAAAGAAGCACACTGTTTCAATCAAGAATTATTGGATATGATCTCATGGATCAATGACATGGATAATGAATTGAGCGTATCCAAACCGGTTGGTGGTTTACCTGAAACAGCCCGAGAACAATTGAATCGTTTCATGGAGATTTACCAAGAAATCGATTCAAACCGATTCCGAATCGATTCATTGATTGATCGAGGCAATGAATATATTAAACGATCAAAAGAAGCGCCCACTTTGCAGCATAATGTGAAGACATTGAAAACTAAATGGGAAAATCTATTAGCCAAGGCAAATGATAAAAAAATCAAATTGGAAATAGCCTTAGCAGAAGCCATTGATTTCCATGATACTTTCAATAAATTCGTCGAATGGTTAACTGAAGCCGAAAAGTATTTGAACAATCTTCAGCCAGTTAGTCGTGTAATGGACAGAATCACCAAACAGATCGAAGAACATAAAAATTTCCAAAAAGATCTTGGAAATCATCGTGAAAGCATGATGGAACTTGATAAAAAAGGAACACATTTGAAATATTTCAGCCAAAAACAAGATGTTATTTTGATCAAAAATCTTCTTGTCAGTGTACAACATCGTTGGGAAAAAGTATTGGCCAAAACAGCAGAACGTTCTAGAAATCTTGATTATGGATTCCGTGAAACCAAAGAATTTTATGATGCCTGGAATAATTTGATGGATTGGCTAAATGATTTGGAAAAAAATTTCGATTCAATACAACAATTGAGCAACAATTCTGATGTGATTCGACAGATGATTCAAAAACATCGAGAATTCCAACGACAATTGGGATCAAAACATTCACAATACGATGCTACGCTCAAGATGGGCAAGAATTTGAAGGAGAAAGCACCAAAGGTTGATGTTCCGGTTATACAAAACATGATTGATGAACTTAAGAATAAATGGAATTCTATCTGTAACAAATCAGTAGATCGACAACGGAAATTGGAAGAAGCTTTATTATTCTCCGGACAATTCAAAGATGCCATTGATGCTTTATTGGATTGGCTTGATAAGGCTCGCGAACAATTGCTCAACAATTTATCAGTGTATGGTGATCTTGATACAGTTACTGCATTGGTTGAACAGCATAAAATTTTCCTAGAAGAATTCAAACGTCGTGAAAAGAACCTTCAATCGGTTCACAGAATTTCGGAAGAATTGCGAAAATCTTCTCCAGGTGATGATTCATATAATATTCAAACTGAAATTGCTGCCATTGATGAAAAATGGAAAGAAGTCGAGCAATTAAGTCGTGAACGATCGATCGAATTGGATAAAGCAATGATTGAGGCTGAAAAACTTCACAAAGCAGTCAATATATTGCTTGAATGGCTTTCGGATGCAGAAATGAAACTTAGATTCTCTGGGCCGATGCCAGAAGATGAGAGTGCTACAAGAGAACAAATTTCCGAACATGAAGTGTTTCTGGAAGAAATGTCGATACAAGAGAAAAATAAAGAATCGACAGTAAAAATCGCTCAAGACATATTAAACAAATGTCATCCAGAAGCCATCACTGTGATCAAGCATTGGATTACCATCATTCAATCACGATGGGAAGAAGTAAACTCTTGGGCTAAACAACGTGAACAACGTTTAATTGATCATCTTGAATCTTTGTTGAACATTATGGATTCATTGGAAAAAGCCTTAGCATGGTTGATCGGTGCCGAAGCTGCTTTATTAGCAGCCGAAACACAACCATTACCTGATGATAATGTGGAACTTCATAAATTGATCGATGAGCATGATCGATTCTTAGATGAATTGGAAAAGAAAGGCGTGGACATTGATAAAATTGCTAAAACGTTTGCCATCAAAAAGCAAGCGATTGCTGGATTGAAAACTATCGATCGTAAACGGGGTCAAGGACCACGATCGTCTACTCCGATTAAGATTCCTTCCAATGATTTTGGTTACGATGTTAAGCAACCCAAAGTAAAAGAACTACTTGATAAATGGAGCAAGGTCAATAAATTGGCTCAAGATCGAAAGAAACGATTGCAAGATAAGCTAGATTATAATAATGAAGTTGAACGTATAAAAAACTTTGATTTTGATGAATGGCGTCGATCATTTTTGGGTTGGATGAGCAATAAAAAAGCAAGAATTATGGATTTCTTCAAGAAAATCGATTCCAACAACGATGGTCGTGTTACAAAATCTGAATTCATTGAAGGATTTGTTAAATCGAAATTCACGACAAGCCGATTAGAAATGGAAAAGGTTGCCGATATTTTCGATCGAAACAACGATGGATATGTTGATCACAAAGAATACAATGACACACTTCGACCGGAGCGTGATTTACCCAAAACCGAATCTGAAATTATACAGGATGAAGTGCAAAAACAAGTTGACAAATGTGCATGTATGGAAAAATATAAAGTGTCACAAGTGGGCGAATGCAAATATAGAGTAAGTGAATTTATTTTAAAATCATAAATTTATCTAAAGTTCATCGTATATTTTTCGAATTTTGTTCTTTAGTTTGGCGATTCCCAAAAATTGCGACTTGTCCGTATTCTTCGTAGTACAGTCATGGTCCGTGTTGGTGGTGGTTGGATTTCACTAGATGATTTCCTCAAGAAATACGATCCATGCAGAGGTAATTATTGTGAACAATGATTGTATGACAAAATTTTTATTGTCCTCTTTGAAACAGTTAAAGGTCGAACCAACATTGAATTACGGGAACAACTAGCTGCTGATTTCGATACAAAAAACAAACCATTGTTCAATGATGATGGAACCATTTCATCAGTTGGACCAATCACCAAAGTATGTTAAATAAACTCAGAATTTTGTTTATTTATCAAAAATTTATTTGATTTTACAGATTAAGGAGAAAACAGATCGAAGTCTTCCGATGAATTCACAGGACCAAGTTCGATTCAATTCGACTATCACTAGTGATTATAGTTTCAGTGATCATGCCGATAGTTCCGGAGCAAAATCCCGTCCACGAAGTCGATTGACAATTTGTATGCTTAACAATTGATATATTCTCTCACATCGTTTTATTCATTTTTTTTAATGTTTTCTATAGCTTCAAATAGCCGACCAGGAAGTCGACATTCCAGTCAGCCACCAAGCCGAGCTGGTAGCGATCTATCTATTGATAGTTTGGATATCAGCAATCCTAAAACGACAACTACTACTACTTACAAGTATTCGGTCAAATCTAGCCGCAAACCGAATTCCCGACAAGGTTCCTACACTAATCTTCGCGATTATCGACTAAAATAAACTAGAATAAGGTTGCCAGATCGGCCAAAGAGTCTGGTAACTCTAAACTAGAATTTTGGAATACATCCACAATGCATACAAAATATTAAATTCGATGATGATGATTTTATTCGTGATACATTTATTTGAAAAATATATTCGATGTGCCTTAAAAATTCGTGTATATAACAAGTTGCTGGAAAAATAAACAACATTTTAACTAACAAAAATTTGTCAAACATTTTTATTTATATATACTATATAGAATAGATTGTAATTCACTGGAAATGAATTACTCGATGTTTACGATATTTCAAATCAATTATATCAATCCAATTTGTGAACAATTGATTAAACATAATGGATAGTTCAATTATACCACCGACAATAGCGCAAAGACGAACCAAAAATTTCCAAATCGGTATACTGTTTTCTAGAACATCAATTTTTAAACCTTCAATTTCATATTTAAAATAAATTCCTGGAACTCCATGTAATCCGGCTTCATGATTAACAATTAGATCACGTTCAGTTACTGAATATTGATAGGTTTCACCTTCATATGAAAAGGTTTGAACATTAGTCAGAACAACCTTTAGATAGTATTGATATAAATGATAATCTATAATGATAAAAAAAATAATCATTTTATATTCAAAGAATTTATTTGAAAAAAAAATTGCTATCACAAACTTGAATGGGTGATTTTTTCAACGCCATCTAACGTATTGATTGTATTGACCATATTACCAAAGGAGAATTTTTCGATACGATGTGAAAAATTCACGGCTAAAATTTTTATTCAATTTGTGGATAATTATTATTTAGTTTTAAATATCAAAATCAATCATACGCACATTTTTCATAATCGATTAAAGATAAATGAGCATGTCCAATTGGCAATGGTAAATATTTACCAGCAGCGATATGAAAATTACCAGATACTTTATTGACGATCAATGTACCATGAAGTCGGCATGAATCAGAATCTCCATTTTCTGATCCTTTATGAAATGTGAACAATGGAAATTGATTGTCGATATCATGTTTTTCTTGATTATTATTGTCATCAGAAGATGACGAACGTGTATATGGTTTCCAAATCATTCTATGGATATTATGATGTTCGTCACGGATAAATTGACTTAGTTTTTTCATTTCATTCCATTGATTCAATTCAGTACCGGTCAATTGAAAATTTGTTCCACTTTCTTTTAGATGACCGTAATTGTACATACTATGTTTGTTTGTCGAATCCATGACATCGGCACCGACGTCTATTTTTATTTTGTTATTAAAAATTATAAATCAATATAAAATTTTAATGAAATGATTAATATTTACTTGAGCAAGGTGTTGCCACGGTTATGTCTACATTTATATTCAATTTCCTTGAATAAATGAAAAAGAGAATCGATTTGTAGAAATTGTTACAGAAAAAAAACGCAAACATTATTTACTTATCAAATACTGTATCAACCGAATAATTATAGATGACATCGGAGTCAAAATAATTGAAAAATTCGAAAAATAAAACTATAGCGATAAAAATGTAGGTAAAAATGGAAACTAGAGAAAAAAGAAAATCTTCATTAAAGCGATTATCAAATTAAGCGAACAAATATAGGAAAAAACAAACCAGTGCCACCGGCCAGTGACGATCTTGTAAAGCAAGAATCTATCTTGGGAAAAATATCCAATTTAGAGAGAAAAGAGGATCGATCCATAATTTCATTTAATAATCAATTTTATTTTGAAAAAAATCAATGAAAACTCATTGTTTGAAACTCATTGTGAATGAATTGGATTCTTTGTGTACTAGAATTTATGGATGGGTATGATTTCAAATTGAACAAAGAAGAAAAAATTTCAGAAAGAATTTCATTCTTTAGCATCCGATATTCCACCATCGGTGATGGAAAATGTAGCTTCGTTTTCCGGTAAATCAGGACTATCATATATTTTCACTATTCTTGTATCACCACGACCTTTTTTCAAACTCAATCTTACGGTGGAAGCATGAGCTATGATGTGACCTCCGATTGGTTTTTTGGGATCTGCTTGAAATGACATAGTCGAACCAGGGTCAGCCGTCATTTGATTTGTGATGAATATGGCTACGTTATATTCTTCTGCTATTTTCTGCAATTTGGACAAGTATTGTCCCAATTTTTGTTGTCGGTCAGCAAGTTCACCACGACCGCTATAATCAACACGAAAAAGGGCCATTACTGAATCGACTACAAGCAATTTATAAACGCCGATTTCTTCATGAAATTTTGCAGCGACACCGTCTAAAAAAATAATTATCGATTTTTCAATCAGATAATACTATTCAGATTTTCATACCCAGAATTTCATGTTGTTGTTCACTTGTATATGCCCGGATGTATAAAACGTTTTCGAGTGCAGCTTCTACGTCCATCTTGAATCGTTCTGCAATTTGTCTAATCAAAAAATGGTCATTTTTGTTATCATTTTGAAATAAAAATTACTTAAGTCTGTTTGGACGGAAAGTGTTTTCGGTATCGACGTAAATCGCTTTGCCACCTCGATAATTATCCGATGTAATTTGACATGTTGCTGAAAGAGTGTATGAAAATCTTCATATTCATATTGATATTCATATGTAATCACTTACTGCAAAGAGTATGACATAACTGAGTTTTTCCACAGCGAAATTCGCCAAACGCTTCTGTGATGGACATACTTTCGATGCCACCGCCCAAGAGAGTGCTAGGTGATTTGAATTAAAATTATTAATAAATAATTTCATCACGATAAAATTCATCATACTCAAATTCCTCACAACCAGTGGAGACTTTGAAAACCATTTTTCTTTTTTCTCTGAATTGGGAAGCAGTCATGAAAGTGAGATCGTTGCATATTTTAGCCGCAGCTTCTTTGATTTTGTCGACTTTAGCTTCGCTTAATCCTTTGATTTGAATCAATTTTTTCTTCATGTGCATATTAATTCCTTTGATAGTACAAATTCCGGCTGCTTTCAGCTTCTTCGTATCAATGGCGCTCTTGAAAAAAAAAAAAATCATTTAATATCAGTTATTCATAATTTTTATTTATAATTACAATGCCATAATCATGAAGTTGGTCTATATCATGATACCAGTTTTCAGCTTCCTGCAAAAGGCGAAAAAAAAGTTATTTATGTTTATTCATTAAAAAATGCTATATATTCTCACACTCTCTGATTGAGTTTGAGTTTGAAGTTGGCTCGATTTTTGAAGTTGTTTCGAAGACATTTGAAATAAAATTTGATGGAATTCTCGTGGTCAAGATGATACTAAATCGAATGAACAATTGGATGTTTCGAACGTTCGGAAGAAAAATTCAAAAATAACGTTATGTTATGCATTATTTTTTCATTCGAATGTAATTTAATCAGTTATTTTTTCCTCAATAATTTAGGATCATCAACAAAATTTGAATGTAAAAATATTATAATATACAGATTTATCAATACAAAAATAATACTAGCTGAACAAAGCCAACCTAGAATATCCCATTTACGAAATTCAAACAAATAAGCAAATAAAAGCCAATTAAGAATGGCGTATGACCACAAGACAATAATGACGAGCCATTTTTTCCATGTAATTTTAAAAAATGGTACAATAAATGGCAATAGACACATATACCATTCGAAATATTGAGCTGTAATCACTTTGTTTAACGTAACGAACAGGTAAGTCTGTAAAAATAATGCAATACAAAGTTTGACTTAAAAGTTATCGATTTCGTTGCACGTTGATTGTAATAAATCGGTATTATTATGGTGACCAATAACATTTGCGGAACGAATGCCATTAATCCAATGATTTTTTGTGTTGATACATTATCAAATAATTGAAAGAGGTAAAAATATGGGCTAAAGTTGTGTTGAAAATCTTGTCGGTAAAAATGATATAGCCAGGCCTCTTCTAAATAGATTGAACCACATAATAAATAAGAAAAATAGGTGGGAATTATCAAACCGGTCAAAGTGGATATGATGAAAATTATTTTTGAAGAATTTGGAATCAATGAACCAAATAAAGATGAATTTCGTTCGGATAATGCTAGATAGAATGTTGGAGCATAAATTATCGGATAGATCTTGAAATGAATGACAAAACCAAAACATAAACCAGCCAATTTGTACTGTTTTTTGTTGAAGCAAAAAATGACTAATAAGACCAATGTACAAATCAATGATTCGGCACTTCCTCTTGTACTAATTATCAAAGTTAATGGATTATAAAGCCACAATAAATAATATCGAGAATATCGTTTGTCCATTATATTGTAGATAAGAATGCCGCCAATTATATCAAATATTGACAATAATAATTTTCCAAATTGAGAAAACCAAAGAAGATTCGGTGTCATAAATAACGCCAAAATGGGTGTATAACGGTATGTAGGCCTATCGAATGGTGTGGAACCATTCAATAAAAATCGAGCACCATCAGTGAAAACTACATAATCAATATCAGTGTATTTTACGTCTAAAAATTTATCTTGAATTTCACAGAATAAAATGAGAAAAACATGAATAAAAAATGAAATCAATGAATGGGCAAAAGGCCCAAGATTTAAAAAATATTTCCATAACATGATGTTCGAAACGAGCGTGAGCCCAACATGATCATCAATATTTATTGATGATAATCATTTAAAAAATACATTCAAAGATTCTTTAATGCTGCATTCATAATGTACGTTTATCCTAAAAAAACAATGTGGAAACCGATTCATTTTGAGTGTAATTTTAATGCCATGGTGTCTTCATGCATGCATGTTTTAATGTGATAATAGATTGTTTTTTAATTTAAAGAATTTATAAATTATTCATAGCTAATTTTTCTTTTATAATCTAATCTTAATATTAATAAGAATGAGTTCTTCGACAAATAATGATTGTATGTATTGAAATTTTATATTTATTATCAAATAATTTGAATTTTTTTCCCCACAGCAAACAAATCACTTGTTGTTTATGAATCACATTCAGTGTGGATGAATAATTTGCTACAAAAATTAGGATTAATCCAGGTTAGCGATGAAAAAACAGGAGAAAATGAAAAACTCGAAAATGATGACAAAAATTACAATGTTTTTAATAATGAAGAAAATGGAATCAATGATGATGATGGTTCTGATAATGGTTTTGATGATGATGTTTCATGTGATAATTATTTAAAAAATTTGGATCCCAAAGAATGGAAAGATCAAGATCATTATAGAATATTAGGGCTCAGTAAAAAACGTATCAATGCTACCGAAAGTCAAATTAAAAAATCTTGTAAGTTTATTATTTGAAATTCGAACCGGCTATTTATTTCTATTGTTTTTTTTTTGAATTTCCTTTGTCAAAGATCGACGTATTGTTTTGCGGCATCATCCGGATAAGCAAGGTCAAAATATCGATCTGAACTGTCATTATTTTTCCTGTATTACTAAAGCATATGAAATTTTAAGCGATCCAACCAAACGCCGTTCATATGACAGTGTTGATCCAACATTCGATAATACTATTCCGAATCCAACCACATACAATAAGAATCGATTTTTTGAGATATTTACTCCAGTATTTGAAAGTAATGCTCGTTGGTCAATGAAAAAACCAGTACCATCGTTGGGAAATCAAGATTCAACATATGAAGAGATTAATGATTTTTATACATTCTGGTATAGTTTTGAATCATGGCGTGAATATTCATATCTTGATGAAGAGGAGAAAAAGAAAAAGGCGAAAATCGTGAAGAACGAAGATATTTAGATAAACAGAATAAAATAGCACGTGCTCAACGAAAAAAAGAAGAAATGCAACGTATTAGACAATTGGTGGATAATGCATATCAATGTGATCCTCGTGTTTCTAGATTTAAGGAAGATGAGAAAAAACGACGACAACAACAGAAACAAGCTAAACAGGCCAGTATCAAAGCTAAAAAGAAGAAGAAGAACGAATTCAACGTGAAAAAGAGGAACAAGAAATGGCTGAGAAAAAACGTAAAGAAGAAGAGGAACGACAAAAACGTGAAGAGGAACGAAAACAAAAAGAATCAATGAAGAAAAAGACTAAAAAAGAGATTAAAATATTGGAAACACTTTGGGAAAATGAAAATTATTTTGCTGATGATCCATCGATCAAAATTGAACATATGAAAGAATGCGATAAAATGACCAAATTGTATTCATTAGAACAAATAATGGAATTTCGTAAACATTTAGAATCGTTTACGGAAAGGGAAGCAAAAAAGAGACATTTTCTTATGGAAATTGAAAAGATGAACAAAAAATTGGAAGAAGAACGTTTAGAATTAGCCAAGAATAGTGCAGCTACCAGTGGCACTGGTTCGAACACATCAAACACGACTTCGACAAAAAAACATTGGTCTTATGATGATGTTCAATTGTTGATAAAGGCCGTTAAACTATTTCCAGCCGGTACACCGAATCGCTGGACAGTGATTGCCAATTACATTAATGATAAAACTGATTCCAATGTCGTTCGTAATCATCGTGATGTTCTGGAAAAAGCAAAAGAATTGCAAAAATCTAGTAAGTTATTTTTAATTTTTCAATTTTTTATTCTAATCTTATTTGCCATTATTCAATTCAAAAATTATAGATGAACAACAGCAAGATCTTAAAGAAGAGGCTAATAAGAATGCATTTAAAAAGCTTGAAATTCATGCTACTCAAAATGTTAATGTTGCCCAAGAATCTGCTCCAAGTCAACGATATGATGGTAAGCAATTATAGCTTATGACACATTAACACATACTCATATTTTTTCTATTATAGCTCCAAGTTCAATACTAGAAGTAAATGATAGTCCATGGACAAACGAAGAGCAACAATTGTTAGAACAAGCAATGAAAACCTATCCTTCAAGTTTAGGTACCGAAAGATGGAATCTAATCGCTGAATGTATTCCGAATCGATCACGAGCTGATTGTATAAAACGTTATAAATATTTAGTAGAATTGGTCAAGGCAAAAAATTCGGCAAAAAGTAAAGCAAAAAAATAGCAATTTTTTTATTAATCTTATTGTATTTTTTTTTGTAAAAAATTCATTGAATTTTTATTGATTAATTAATTTATAAAAATTTGGATTTAAATATTTCTGATGCCAATTTTTGTTCGTTTGTTGAAGAAATTTTGAATTTGTTTGCCATTTCCTGGATTTTCACTCTTCGTTTTACATGCGGAAATTGAAAGCTATACATAGAATTATAAACAAAAATGAGAAATGAACTCGGAATCTGGTTTTAATTTTACACAATAATAATCACCTTTCAGTGTTCATACGGCGCCGTCGAAACAGATTTAATGTGATTAATTTCACATAAGATGCTAATAATGATTTACTCAACAGCATTCTATCGATCGTTGGATAATTGTTGAATCTAAATGAAAAATTTTCATAAGAAAATGTTTTGATTGAAATCCGATTCCTTACTTGTTGCTATTTGGCATGAAATTTAGCACACGGAATAATCCGTTTTTTAATGGATGTATAGTTATAATAAAAATGGGATTTTGTTTGTCTGAACCATCCGAACAAGCATTAGCCGAATGTTCGAAACCATTTTCTTTGAAAAAAACAAGGTTATTTAAACAAATCTGAATTAAAAATAAACTTACTGTTGAATGGTAATCGATCAAAATCATCCATTTTTTCTATCCATAGTATGAAAACTTTAATATCACAACCATTGTTCATGAATAAAAATTCTTTGATTCGTTCGTTTGGGCTATGATTGCGTGTTGTTTCTGCATAGCCATTATTCGGACTAGTAGTAGAATGTTGCTGTTGTGATCGTTGCAAAAACATTGTTCGAATGGTATCATTATTTTCTGAGATGAAAGTATTCAACGATACTGTCTGTTGATTTTCATTTTTGATTTGATATTCATGCGTTCTTTGTAGCTCATATTGTTTGGTTGGAGTGATAAAAATCAATTCATGTAGAACATCGTTCCAATAGAAAATACTGGAACAAATATTCGTTTCGCAGCTGATTTCATTACCCAACGATGTTAGAAAATATTTAAACGGTGTATTTGAATAATATTGTTGGAAATTGGCAGCGAAAATATCCTCTTCCTTAGCAAAATCTTTAGGTACATAGAAAATCATGACCATATCATTGATTCTATTGGAAATCAGATCCAATTTCAATAATTGTTCAATAAATGATTGAGAATTATTATTCAATGTCAACAATGAACGTGATTTCACTTGATGACCATTCGTTGCTTTGAAATCGAAATTGAAATTTTCAAATTGAGAAAGAATCGGTCGATATGCTTCGAAATTTTTCGATGGCGGCATTTCATTCATATCCTTTTTGCTTAGATTGATGTTCAATTTAGCCTTTTCAAAATTCAAATTGTGTTCGACTTTTTCGAGAAAATTTATCATTGTTTCATAGTCATTTTTAATATCATCTTGATCATTGATATATTTGTTGATATTCAAGATCATATTATCATATTTTACTTGGCTAACATATTTGTCAAAATAATCTGGAAAATAATTAAAGTGGAAATTTTTTGCCATATTGTCTTGCTTGTTTAGACTTCTATAGATGCTGATTTCATTGCCCATATTTAGTAGATGGCGGTTCGATATTGGTTGATGTTTTAAAACAAAACAATATTTTCCATAAGCCGATCTTATGATACAGACTGTCTCACCATGACCAACTTGTTTGTCAAGTATTGAGATTAGCAATGAATTTTCTACGACAAAATATCGAAATTGATTGAATGAATAATCGGTAGATCGGATATTGAATATTTGTTCTGCTATTTTTGCTTCATTAATGTCACACGGTATAATGTTTTCATTGGATTCGACACCCATTTTGATACGGCTCATCAGTGTAGCCAAAAATAATTCGGCTGCTTCTCTAACACGAAGTGATGCAGGTTTTATTAACTTTTCCGCTTTGAATTGCATTGCATCTTCTTTGGAAGATTTTGAACCAGAGATTCCAAGTTCAATAAGTTCAAACAACAAAGCAATACAATTTTGATCGTTAACTAAATGATGATGTTCATCGATCCAAATAGCTAAACATTGATATGCTGCAACAATGGTCGAATGCATATCTTTCGAATGAAACATGGCTGGTTTACAGCATTGGTTTTCAATGAAACGACAAATTTGTCGAATGCATAAACTGCATTTATTGTTACACAATAATTTAGATTTATGTTGATGAGAATTTGATTTTGAACGTATTCGCCCCATCGCTAACAAAATTTCTATGGCAGTTAATGAAATATTATAATTAGAATTTTTCAAGGAACTTTTACAGAGAATATCCGATATAAACGATGTTATCAATAGAAATAAATTTATTGCCAATTTTTGCGCTTGAGAATCATTTTGAAGATGAAAACAATTGTTTTTATTGAAAAATTCCATCAAATTAACGACCAACGAATCTTTCGATTCAATCGAGATTTCATTTTGTCCCATGTATACATTTTGTCCATTCATATCTTGACGATAGTTGAAACAATCTTCGATTATGAACAAGAATGCATTCAAAATCATTTGCACATTAATTTGATCAGGTTCATTATAAAGTGCATTTATAAATAATAAAATTAATCGAGGAAAAAATGATATAAATGTATTGCACGTAGTTTCGCTAAGATCATCTTTGATGGGTAAATTTTTGTAATGGATTGGATATGAAAGTAGCGAGATCAAAATTTTGATACATGCTCTTCGTATCAATACATGAATGGCTGAATCGTTTTTATCTTTTCGCGTTAGAAATGATTCGATGCAACGAAAAAAATGAGGTATCAATATCTTTGATCCGGGAAGATCAACTTCAAATAAATAAATAGAATTGACAAGAATACTGCTGGAGATTTGTATTCTAGATTGGTCATTTTGATTTATGTTTTGCAAGTTGAATTTTAGAGCCAGATAAAAACTGGTTAAATAATTCTTAAGTTTAGAGAAATCTGGATGATTTTGTTTGCTCAAAATCAATGAAATATCTTCATTGTCTTTTTTTAAACAAAATATTCTACACAATGCGCCAAGCGCTTCAGCTTGACCAGCTTCAAATAGTTCCAAGGAAAATTCCACATCCGTATCGGTAGTAGGAATATTCATTCGTTCAAACTTTTGCGTTCCTTGTAATGATGTATCACTGTTTGACAATGATTTCTCCAACAAATCACCTGATATGTTAGGCACACCGATGAATGCAGCAGGAAAAAGCCATTTACCAAAAATATCTAGAATTGATGATAATTTTATATGATTTTGATGAAAGTTTCCTGATAATAATGATGGTAATACAATGGTCGGCAAGCAATATGGATCGGAAGTATTGTTCTTTGATATAACATGGTGGGTCTGATTGCTACGAGTACTGCTTGAATGTTTTTCACCCTTTAAAACAGAGAAATTCGGTTTTCGTTTTTCAGGTTGGGCATGAAATGAATTTCCAGCTGATTTAGGTAATTCATATTCAATATCACTCAAGTTTATGTTTGGAATCCCAAGAAATATATCCACCAATGTACAAAGTCCTTTAACGGCCTTGTGAAATATGAACGGTAATAAATTGACGTTCCATTCTGGATCCATTTTACAAATTGTTTTTGGAAAACATAAATCTATAGGATTGCCTGTGATATGTAAAAATCGATACCAACATTGTTCAAGAACATCTTCACTCAATAATAAGACGATCGAATTGTATTGTGAGAAATTGATTTTGTTATCAACTGGAACGGTTGATTCATGGTTGTACAACACAGAAACCAATCTTTTTGTGAGACATATATTAACACGATTCCATTGTGCGATCAAAGCTGGACAATGTCTGGAATTAACGCAAACATTTTGAAAGGTTCGCCAAAATGATGGTGATGGAAAAAAGTATACACAAGAGATTAACCAACCCTATGTTTAGGTTCAAAGAAAAAGAAAAAAGATTTGTTCCTTTATTGTATTATCAAATTTTACTTACTTGAAACAAAGTGCTAATGACACGATCGGCAATCTGTGTACCAATATCATTTGTATCGGTAGGCGATTTTAATAGTTTTTCATTGATACCCAACAAAAATATAAGTAGATGTTCCCAAGTTTTTGCACTGATTACATTATCACGTTCTGTAGCAATGGCGATCACTAGACGCAAAATTCGATGACAAATCAATGCCTGTTTAGAAATCAAATCATTGATTGCATCAGTGTTGGTCGTTTGATTGTTCCATGTTCGTGGTAGAAATGTATTGTAAAGATGACCAAGAATTTTTTGACAATAAATATTTGGATCATGACGAATTGGATATGGTATGGATTTATCTTGTGAAAGGCTAGGCGATAATGCATGAAGCCATTCACAATAGATATTGACACAATCACGAACCGCTTCATATTGCTCATTATCTGCTAATGGCAAACTAAGGCCATAGCCAATCACTTCCATAATCCAATGTACATCTTTATCATCCTGAAAACAATTAAGGAAACTTTCATTCTGTTTATTGGATTTATTGATCAAATTATTCACTAATGGTTTGATCAATGATGTAACTAATTGTGGTCCATTCACTTCAGGCAATTTATTTAAAACACTGATAGATTTTTGATAACAAATATCTTCAATATCAATCAAAGCATATTCGGTAAACATTTTTGATTTTTGAAAAGAAAACAAAAATAAAATCAACAAAACGATGTTATTACATAGAATGATTACCGATGAATAACCAACAACAGACATTCGTGTCAGATTCTGTGTGTGTGTGTATCAGATTTTTTTTTTTGTTTACGTCAACTGCATTATTGGGTGTATAAATGTGAGTATGCGCACGATTTATACAATAATCATCATCATCATCATTTTAAGTTTAAACATTCATCACTGTATTCAATTTATTGGAAACATCTTTTATCAAATTATTAATCTCGGCTATTGGTGTTTTAAAGTCCAATTCATAAAATTGAACAAGACCATTTTTGGTCATTTCGGCTGTGGTAAGACCAAGTTTTTGTCCAAAAATTGATATTGGACATAGTCTTTGAAATGATTGATTTAAATGAGGCAAAAGATGACGAAATAGATGACAAAAATTGAGATAATTCTGAAATTCAACCTTGTTCAATCCGAATTCATGTTTTCTGAGGAATGATAATAATGTTTATTAATAAATAAGCCATTTCAATTATAAAATGAACATACTTGATATAAGATTTTAATTCCATCATAATTGTTGCAAATGATGCGTTCAACGTTTGAACAAATGTAGAAATTAAAGCCATTGGAACATTATTGCGAATCTCATGAAAGATGGCCAACAGATTTGATTGATATTTCATTAGAATTGGATAATTTTCAATAGATTTAGCACAATCATTCTGAACATCTTCCGAGGAAACATTACCAACAACAAAAATATCACCCAATGAATCACAAAATTGTCTGGTCGATTCATGTACACAATGTTCGAATCGTTTCTGAATAAAATCATTGAAAATCAAAATCAATTGTGGACGAATGTCGGCACCAATTTTGTTCATTGAAAGGCCAAAATAGAAACAATTTTCAATAACTGTGTCAATGTACAGGATTGAATTGATCGATACACATGACAATAAGTTTATACGTAAAATATTCAAATATTGTTCGATTTTTACCAGTAACCAACTGTTGATTATTTTAGAATGAAGCTGATTGTTACGGTATGATGTCGAATCAATTGGTTCATTCATTTCAGGAAATATAGCTTGATATTGTGTAACAATATCGAAAATATTAACTCGAAAAGATTCTGTCACGCGATTAATTTGATTTAATGCTGTCGAAAAAAAAACAAATCGTTTTATAAATTACTTATTATATACACTACTTAAACAACTTACAATAGTTTTGATTTCCTATTTCTTTGTTCAATTCTTGTTGGAACCAAATGTCTCTATACTGGAAAAATCGTCAATATATTAATTATTGCAAGATATTGTGATAATACTTACGGTTAAAAAATTTATACGCAATTGATCTTCGGTGAAACGATCAATTTGTCGAAGATATTTGATCATTTTCATACAAGTAGGCAATAGAATATTACCACTCAATTCACGAATCATTTGTGCAACCATAATATCTTTGCATTTATCAACTTCATAAAGCATATTCTGTTTGAATAATTTATAATTTACATAATTACATAATAATGATGAATTTCAAATGTATTACCCGAAATATGGAAGCATCATTGGAATGTTTGGAACAAAGTTTAGTGACAAAATCACAAATCATTATTGCATCATCATAATAAAATGTACGGATACAATTGTTCAATAATTGTGGAATTTCCATAAATTCAATCAATTGTGGATATTTGGACAGCATAAGTGAAACATTATTCCAACGATTTGAAATTTGTTTCGTATTATCAGAAAATGTTGCACATTGATTTTTAAATTCAGGAATACTTGTGTTTAGTTGATCAAGACATGTTTCAAGTGTCTGAAACTAAAAAAAAATTCAAGAAAAAAGAATCAATTTTAATAATATTTAATATTTAAACTAAACTTACATTATTAATAATTTGTTTTGTGAAATTAGAAAATTTTAGGAATGAATCATAATTACTGTAGACAATTTTTTGTTTATTGTCAATCAAAATTTGTCTTCGTTGTTCAATTTGTTGTGGTTGTTTTGCTACAAATGATAATCCGGATGAACATAATGTTTTGTAATAAATGTCCATATCAATGCTATTATTGTTATCACCATTACTGTTGATCGGATCTGTGTAAGGAAAACGAATAGAAAATTCAATTTATATCTTTTATATATAAAAAAAACAAAATCTTACCATGAATTGGATCCATTTTTATGAAAAAAATTATTTTACTAAAAAATAAATTATCATAGTCAGCATAACAAGATTAACCACTTGCAATGTATAAACGAGGCAATGGAGAAGAAAAGGATAAATTCTGATTTTTTTTTTGTCTGCTTCATACATGCACTCATTTTTCATCGCAACAGGGCTATTATCATTGGAAATGAAAGTTTTTTCATGGATACATAATTGAACAAACAACATTTATTCATTTAAATCAATCATATCATTTGATTTCATTGATGTCCAATTGGTGGTAACATTAATTTTGTTTTTGTTCGAGATAGAGCGGGCAAGATATCCTTGTTTGTTTGTTTGTATTTTTTTATTTTTATGTAACAACCGTCGATTGACTCATCATCATCATCATTGTGTTATTTTTTTCTTTTGTTGTTTCCGTTCATTTATAATTGTACCAAGCTTAATATATTCGTTCGTGAGTGTGTATGTATATGTGTCATTCAGCATATATTAAAATTTCGATTTTACTTTCATAAAATTCTAAATTTAAAACGTATAATACCGATCGAGCAAGTTCTACAATTCATATATTTGTTTTGATGTGATAACCTCTTTGATGACATTATTGAATTCGAATTAATTTTCTTCACTTGTTTTGTTCGACAATAATTTTGTCAGCAAATTTATTACAATCTGCCCTTGATGAAAAAGCAACCTAACAGTAAAGGCATAAAATTTTTTTTTATTCCCCATTCATCGTATTTTCCTTTGATTACCGGCTATCTATATATACGGAAATAAATCTCGTATACGCCTAAGCATAAATATATAAAACATAATCCACTGAAAAAAACAAGCTAATTGAAGACAACAATAAGCATCAAAATAAAAAAAAATGTCGAAGAAAAATTACGATCTTTTATTCAAATTATTATTAATTGGCGATTCTGGTGTAGGCAAAACTTGTATACTATTTCGTTTCAGTGACGATGCATTTCAAACAACATTCATTTCAACTATAGGTTTGTTCAATTTCTTATATTTATTTGACTACATTTTTATTTATCATTATTTGATCATAGGAATCGATTTTAAAATCAAAACAATCGATTTGAAAGGAAAAAGAATTAAATTACAAATATGGTATTGTATATTTTTTTTATCGAAAAAAATGATCTTAATTTTGTTTTTATATTTTATATATTTAGGGATACTGCTGGACAGGAAAGATTTCATACGATTACAACCAGTTATTATCGTGGTGCTATGGGTATAATGTTAGTCTATGATATAACCAATGCCAAAAGCTTTGATAACATAGCCAAATGGCTTCGTAATATTGATGAAGTAAGTGATTTTGTAAAAGGAAATTGATTTGTCCTTGTCATGTGTATTTTTTATGTTCCAATCATTATTTGTCCAATTATTTAGCATGCAAGCGAAGATGTTGAGAAAATGATTTTAGGAAACAAATGCGATATGACCGATAAAAGAGTTGTAAGTCGTGAACGTGGCGAATCGATTGCTCGTGAACATGGTATCCGATTTTTGGAAACAAGCGCCAAGGCTAATATTAATATTGATCGAGCATTTTTAGATCTGGCTGAAGCCATCCTTAATAAGGTAAGTAAAATCGGTATTTTCAATCATAATATTTATATTGATTTAACTTTTTTTTAAAATGAAAAACAATAGCAGATTGTTGGACAGATTTTGATAGACAAACAAGACAAGATAAACATTTCCAAACCAGAATCTAAGTCACCTGTTGGAAAATGCTGTAATTTTTGAGAAAAAATAAGAAATAATACTTGGCTTCGATGTCTTCTTTTTCGATTTATCCACTCATTTATCATTTTTAGCGGCATTTTGACGAATCGATGTAATTTTTTTTTTTTTGTTTTGCAACATATGACCGTATTTACACATATACTCAATTTGTGTCAAAAAGAGAATGACATGTAAAAACTTAAATGACAAAAAACTTCAATCTCAATTTAAAATTCTCGACCGCATTTACCTTGATTATTATAGCTAGAGAATATTGTTTTTTATAGAATTTCCTTGATTTTTCATTTGGTTCGTCATTTATTGCAGCTTTTTTTTCACCGAAAACAACACGAAAAAGAAAATCAAATTTATTTATTCAAAATAATCGATCTATTAATTAATGTCATCGGAAAAAATTTTTTTCCCTTTTTTCAGTTGTAAATATATTGATTGATTGAAATGGAATAAATTACAAATTACATAAAAGACAAATATGATTAATTTTTTTTCGCAGAAAAAAATACTGACTCTAAATTGTTTATCTTCGAGTTGCCGAAAACATTTTCATCATACGATTAGCTGATTCGCTGGAAATCATATCCGGTTTATTATATAAAAATACCGAACTGATTACTAATGAGGCACCAATTAAAAATTGAAACGTAACGATAAAATCAAATACATAGATCGATACAATGCATGAGATGATAATCGAAATGGATGTAGCAAAACCTTTAAGAATATTGTCAGCATATTTAACGACAACGGCAACCAATAAGCCACCTTGAGCGCTAAGAAATATCACAGTCCAAGTTAGTATTGTATAGCCATGAAAGAAACCACTTTCTCGTATCGTTTCGAGATCAGTAATGAAAACTTGAATCAATCCAAATGGTATTGCAATGGCACTCAATTGAATGTTTCGGATCCATAATGATATATTCGAACTGTTTTTCAATATCTTTTCGAAATAAACGCCAGCAAATCCAGATAATACACATGCAGTAAGTATGGCCATAAAACCGATCAAAATGTTTTGCTTATGTGGACTCTGTGATTGGTTAATTGGTTTACTTTGTGTAAGCTGAACACATGCAACACCAATAAAAAGTAATATCAATGAAAACCATTGAAATATGACCAATTTTTTGTTCAGAATAAACACTGAAAACAATGCGGTAGTTAGAATTTTCAATTGATACGTAACTTGACTGGTGGCTGGATCCAAATGTGTTGCGGCAACATAAATCAGATTATTTTGTACATAATATACGATTGCTGGAACGGCAACTTTTAATGTATCCATTGGTTGATTGATTACAATCTTTTTGATTACGACAAAAGTTTTTCGTAAGCACTTTCCTTTTTTTATCAATAAATAATAAAAAAAAAACATTTTGAATTGATTATATCCGGATATAATCATGAATTAGCAATAATAATCACCTTCATCACGATAGACCATAAAAATGCATGTTAATAATTTAAGCAATTCAGCCATAATAACTGCTGTTGATGAAATGAATGATTCTTTTTGCGTTTTTGCCGCTCTCATGAACAATGTCAATGATGCATTTTGTATGGTCAATGTCACCAATGAAATATATTTCAAGAATTGTTTATTTGATTTACTATTCGTTGATTCAATCGAAAGACGATGTGCCCGATGATTGTCGATATGATCATCAAGCATATCAACATTTAATGAATCATTTATCGACGTATCAGTTGTCGATAATGATGATGGTGGTGAGAAATTGTCTCTAAGCTTGTCATCCATGTTAAAATCAATTCAATTTATATGACAGAAAAAAAAGAAAATAATTTGGTTTTAGATTCAAATAATAATAATTGTTTTATTCGGTGGGAATCAGAAAATTTGTGGCAGGCAAAATTCTAGTTATGAGTTAATTGCTATTATTTGGTTATTATTGTTGTGGTTATGGATAATGAAAGAGTGACGTGTTCAATGCATTTTGTATTACTATTGTTGCATCTCCAAGGAATCCAATATTTGGCTCTCTCATACTCTTATTTTGGCTGTCAGCTGATAGACTTAAATAACGTGTATTGTGAAAATAAATAAATATTTGTATGGATCATCCAAATCATATCTTTATTTTTCCATGTAAACAGATTATAAATTTTAAGCATTTTTCACAATATCGATAATGATTTGTTCCAATTCTTGCATCGTTGTATCATTACGTATAGTACATTCAATATAACGACATTTTAACATTTTACATTTAGATTGACCCTCATTGTTGGATATAATTCGTTTATCGATCAAATCTATTTTATTTGCAACCATAATTCGATGTACTCCAAGTTGTTTATTATTATGATTATTATTATTTTTATTTGATACGGAATTAAATAATTGTTCAAGAATAGTCAATGATGATCGATTGGATACATCAAACAAACCAATTACAATAATTATTATTCGATCATTAACTGATGTTGTTTCAGATTTTCGATAAAATTCTGCAAGAAAATTCTGATAAATTTGTTTACCTGGAAATTCAATATAAATAATTTCGATTCGTTTGTTTTTGCTATTATTATTAGCTTCATTTGTACGTAATCCATACGATTTTCTTATGATATTAATACGTGTAGTTAGACGGTATTCTTCTTCATAGTTGTTAACAGCCAATGATTGATTTAATTTATTGATCAATGTTGTTTTGCCCACCGAATGGGATCCAATTATAAGACAATATACTTTAATAATTTTATCATCCATAATTTTGATTTAAATAAATAACCAAATTGAAATGATCATTAGTTAGGTTAATAGGAATGAAAAACAAAAAATTATTACTATAATTGTTGCCATTGGAAACGAATTCTATGATCACACAGATTCACCATAGTATTTCACTTTATTCTTGTCAGTTTCATGTAATTTTATACAATGCAATTTGACTGTATTGGGTAAATGTTTTACAATCTGCTGCCAAATGAATATACAAATATTTTCACTTGTACTAATGACCGGTGATTGACCATTGTCGAAAAAATATTCAACATCTTTGTCAATATATTTATGATCCAATAAATTTAAAACATTATCCTCGATAATTTTTTTCAAATCAACAATATTCATAACCATACCGGTTCGTTCATTTACCGGTCCTTTAATGGTCACTTCTAACGTATAATTATGGCCATGAATATTCGTACATTTTCCAAATGTATCGACATTTTTCCGTTCATCATTATAATGTTGATTAAATAGACGATGAGCAGAGGAAAATTTTTCAATACGTGTCAGATAAATTAATGGTTTTATCGTAGACATTTTTTTTTATTTTATTAACCAGCGATGTTTAATTTTATTTCAATATACTTTGATCATAGGTGTTCCGTTTCTCTTATTTTTTTTTTAAATGTCGGCCACCAAAATAATGTTCAGAACGCATAACATAAGAGAGAGAGAGAGAGAGTGATCCGAGCAAAGATTGACTCAACTTTATAGCTGTTGTTTGTGTGGCATAACACAACAATCTGTATATTTTCGTTGTATATTGCTGTTCATCATCATCATCATCACATACTCGGTTACATTTCTCTCATCATGTTTTACTAATTTATTCATTCAATTTTTAGGAATATTTTAACATAGATTTTTACATAATCTATAATTTATATTAACCTTTTTTTTGTGATAATGAAATTTCCATTATATAAGTTTTATTCATTGCATTTTATGAAATAATTCAGATTTTTTTTTATTGTTTTAAATTTCAAATTGTTGAAATAAGTTAATTTCATTCACATTCGGATAGTGAACCCTCTTGCCTTGCATACGTGGCAGATTTTTTTTTTGTTCCAAAAATAAACTGTTGACGTGATTGTATATTTTCGTTGAAAAATGGCCAGTCCAAAAACTCGTCGAATTTTATCCGATTTAAAGCCCACACAAGATAACAATGTAAGTCTATATGTTCGGTTTTAGTTTGATATTTTTTAATTTGTTTTATTTTTAATAATTATTCCAGTATTGTTTTGAATGTAATGCACATAATCCTCAATGGGCATCCGTAACTTATGGCATTTGGATATGTTTGGAATGTTCGGGTAAACATCGTAGTCTTGGTGTTCATCTAAGTTTTGTACGTTCTATTACCATGGATAAATGGAAAGAGATTGAATTGGCAAAAATGAAAGCTGGTGGTAATAGAAAAGCTAAAGAATTTTTCAGTACTCAAGATGATTGGGATGATACTATGCCATTGAATGATAAATATAATACACGTGCTGCAGCTCTTTACCGAGATAAGATTGCAACTGAAGCAAGAGGTGAAAAATGGTCCATATCAACATCAAATGCTGAAAATTATGTACCAAAAAAAATTATTTCGAATTCATCATCGACGACGAATACTTCATTTCAGAACCAAAATTCAAGCACTAGTGGACGAACATTCGAAGAAAACTGGGATGAAAATAGTTATCAAAGGTAAAATTAGTGAAAATTAAAAATTGATTCTGAAAAATCTTTTATTGAATTATTTTATATAGTGGACCAAATTATGGTGGATACTCAGGCTTTGGTTACAATATGAAATCTTCTCAATCAGATTATGGCATAAATTCTTGGTCAACATTCTCATCCGTAAATAAAATAGTTGCTGATGAAACGTTTTTATTTTAGTCTCACTCTCTTTTTGTTTGTTTGTTTGTTAGACTTTCTCAAATCTCACTTCAAACGCTTCAAGAATGTTATTACGCGCATCAAATGTAGCCAGCCAAAAAGTTTCAGAAATGAGCGATAATGTCAACGATAAAGTAGGTGTAAAGTTATACTATGAACTAAACCTTTTCACCATGTAAAATTTTTGTTCTAGTTAAAAGATGGAATCAGCATAAACGATATACAGAATCAAGTCACTGGAATAGGATCAAAGGTCGCCGATATGAGCCGTCGTGGATGGCAAGATCTATCATTGATGTTCAATAAACGTTCATCATCATATGCAGATCCAAATGATTCGTGTATATCATCAAATGATAATTTCTGCAATGGTGGATATACCGGTAGTTATCAAAATAATGAAAAACGAAATTCATCAGCTATGCCTAAATCAAATAGCAAAGCTAATGATTGGGAAGAATGGTGATCGAAAATGTATTTTCTATTCCTATTTTAAAATCGTGACCATAAATTGAATCGAATAAATCATTATTAGTTTTAACAAATTATTTGCAATTTTAAAAATTAAAATAAAATTTCTTTTAAATGAAAAATTTTATTATTTTAAATTTTAAAAAATAATTAGCCATTATATGCGACTAATTCTAGCCATTGTCGTAATGCTTCACCAAGAATCATTGGTAATGAATGAATATCTTTCAATATAACATAATAAGGAAAAGGAAATTTGCTAATGTACGATTGAATTTTCATCGTTCCATTCGCATCGAAAACAGGAATTTGAATATCCAAAATAGAATTTTTATGTGCAGGATTATCAATGATAATGAAAACAGTGAATACACCAATTTCTTTAAGACGAATAATAGATGATCGAATGTTCGATTCTCCTTCGCTAAATATGCCACGTCCATCGGAAACAATCAATAATAATTGGTGGATATTTGATGTCGAAGAATTAGATAAAAGATGTTTAGCTTGTGAAAACATTGATAATGAACATTTCAATAATTCGTTTGTTTTAGTTCGTGTTTGATCAAATCGTAGCTAAAATCATAGAGATAATTGTAAAAATTAATTATTGTGCAAAAAACAATTTGAAAAAATGTACCTTGTTAAATATTTTAAGTATAGTTTGATCAGTGAATGGATCACCAAATGGATGTACGATACGGGTTTCTTCACCGAAACTAGCCACTGATAAAAGGCCAGATTCAATAATTGAAAGCGATTTACCAAGCAAAATCAAAGAATCGAATGCCATCATACGAGATTGATTGTCCGACATACTCAACGAATCGTCAATAGCGATCAATATTTGATATTGTCGTTTACTTGGTTTAACTCTTCTTAACCAGATTTTATCTTTGCGAAATTGACTAGCAACATAAGCAATAACTTTACGCATATTTAATCGTTTGCCATTTTTGAAATCACCTTTGTATTTGGAACGTTTGGTGGGTTCAAGTACCAATTGAAGTTGATTACAAAGTTCATATAACAAAGGTTCGATTCTTTTTTCACTTTCCAATAGAAATTGATTATCAATCAATTCAGAAGATAATGCATGGATCGTATCATCAACTGGTAAAAATGAATGTTCCTCTTGCATTTCAATTGCTTGATTTTGATCATCCATTATCGTATGAAATGATGATTCCTGGTGATGGGCTACATTTGAAGTCATTATGAATTCTCCTTCAATCATTTTTTCTTCATTAGAATCATTTTCATTATTTGTTTCTCCGTTTGTTTTGTTAAGATCATTTTTATTATTACTATTTATCTTATCCATCTCATCATTTTCATTCGATTCCATGCGTTCATCATCATCATCATCATCATTGAGGTTTACTCCTCGTTCTAATGATGTTTGATTTTTCGTACCATCTTGTTGTTGTCCATAATCAATATCGTAAGCCATATTATCAGCCAAAGCCTTATTTTCTACATGGCGAAATAGATCTGTTTGTTCTACCTTTTCATTTCTAGAATCTAATTGATCGTCTTTTTTTGAATCGTTTGTCATTTTCTGTCGTTTAGTATTCGAAAAATCGTCAATATTTTCGTCGACCATAGATCGATTTTTCTTCTTCTTAAGCATTGAAAATTTTTCTTCATCATCATTATTGATTTGCTGTTCATTCATATTTCGAGAGGTTAATTTTCCATCGTTATGTGATGAGGAACGTTGAGAAACTTGTTGCTGATTCTGGAATTTTTCATCGACTTGTTCGTTATCAGGACATTCTTGGTTATTTTGAACAACGTCATCAACATTCGGATAAATTGTAGAATCCATGTTCCGGTTTTCCGTATTGACTGCCGTTAATGGATTTTCATCTTCATTTTCATTTTCAGGTAATATATCGTCGCTTTTTGATCTATCGATATCTTCGTTGTTTGTTTTTTCTTCAGTAGCTTCCTCATTCTCATTAACCATATCATTAGTTTCCAGATTTGGATCACCATCGTCATTTTCATCATCATGATCATCAGATATTTCCATGTTTTCATTCTCCATCTCCATCTCTTGGCTGCCATCATCGTCCATGTCAATTTGTAAATCATCTGGTAATACCATTTGGTTTATATTTTCTTTTTCATCACGGTTCTGTTTAGAATCGTCATCATCTGTATTTTGATAATCATCATTTATTGGACCTTGATCATCAATATCATTATCTTCGGGTAGAACATCGTTTTCATTTTTCTGGTCTAATTCATTATTTTGAGATTTCAACTGATCATTATCACTGCTTGCTACTTTGCTTGAATCAAAATCTTCTTTTCCACCCGTCATTTGACTATTATTTTGTTCATCTTTTTCTTGGTGGTCTTTTTCATCATTTTCAAGTTCATCATCATCGTTATCCCATAATTTTTCATCCAAAACTTGTTCATCTTCATCTACTTGACCCATTCTCTCTTCTAGATCATCATCATTTTCATCATTTTCTTCATCATCTGATTTTTCGTCATTCTGGTCTTCTTCAGCACCATATTCTTGGCCAACAAAATCATCATCCATTTCAATACCATTATCTTCATTTTTATTTTGAGATTCGGTTTGTTGATCTTCTTCACCATCATTTTTTAGATCGTCCAATTGATCTTGACAATCTAGCCTATCGGAAACATCTTTAGCGTTGGATGTAGTATTTCCTTCGCCAAAGCCGGCATTATCGATATTTTTTTGCTGCTCTCCTTGCTGTTGTTGTATATCATCATCACAAGTATCTGGTGGTAGACAAAATCCATTAGCCAACAATTCGCAAGACAAAGACATGATGATATGTAATAATTTGGATGATGTTTTCAACGAACCAATAGCAATACAAAGAAAACATTGATAGAGATCGATGTATTGCGAGAAAAACGGTACATAAATTTTGATCAATTCAATACAGGTTTTATTGTTGAAATTCTCGAAAAATTTATCGACTAATCGAATGATTTGGTCAGAATTAAATAAATTCAAAATTCTGACGTTGGTAATTGAATGCATAATAAATTTTGTTTTATTTTCTTTGCTTATGGCCATATTTTTCGAATCATTAAGATATTTAAATATTTTCTCAAAACACAAAAGAATATTCTTCAACAGCATATCACATTCATTGACCAATTGATTTGAAGTAAGCGATGTATCGGTTTGAATTTCATGAAGATATTTTTCAAGATTTGCGATTTCTTTTTGAAAGAAAATGAATTCTTCGACATATAATTTCATGATATCTGAACATTCTTCATTTAAAATTGAGAATAGATTTTCAACCTGTTGCTTCAATAAAATAACAGAGGATTTAACAATAGTCAATCGAGATTCAGTAAAAATGACGACTTCATTTAAAGGTTGAATTTGACTTGATATTTGTCGAACGTTTTCAATGATTAAATTGATTTTGTTTGAAATTTTCAAATATTTTTCATTTTCATCACTTGCATTGAATGAAGAAACAATTTCTTTCAAACGAATTGTGAATGATTGAAATTTTAAAATTAAATTCTTGATTTTATTTATCATTTCTTGAGCGTATTTCAAACAGGTTATAATCATACGATCATTTGGATCATAACTTTTTTGCAATTGTATTAGCCGTTTTTTCAATACATTAAATTGTTCCATACGTTTACCAATTATTTTTCGTTTTTTATTGACAATATCAGCCAAATGAACAACATTTCCTTTGATACGATCAATCATGTCTATGGTTAATTGTTGATTAGGTTTTTCCAACAAACTGACAATCATTGCATAGCCAGATAAACTTTTGTAGTAATAAGCGTTGCATGATTTAATAGTGTCAAGGAAAAATATTGGCGAACCCTCTTCAAGTTGTAATGGTTTTTCAGAAAAAATTGTGTCATTTAAATCAAATCCATTTTCAAAATGTACAATGCCTTTTCGAAATCGTATACCAGATTGTGATAATTTTTTGAACAAATCACTCAATGCTCTTCGTTTTTGATTCTGGATCTGTGAAATCTGTTTTTTTCTTATTATTGAATCTTTGGTTTCGGTCGGAGTCAAATTCGAATATTGATCAATACAATCGATTAAAGAATTATTGAAATCTTCATATTCACCGATATTTTCGGAAAAATTGACGCCTTTTGTTTTGATTTTTCGAGCAATCATTACAAGTTTTTTATGATAGGATTGTGATTTCGAGACGAATGAATATTGCCGTAAATGTTGCTCAGCGGTAACATCATCAATATTGATGATTGAATTGTCATCTGATTTTAGTATTTTAGCAAAATTAGTTTTCCACGATAAGGATTGTTCTGTGGGTAATTTTTTTTCGAATTGAAACAATGATGACGATGGTCGCGATAAGAATTCTTCATATTTTTTGACATAACCATATAACTGTTTTTTCGATCGTGACAATGATGCTTTCAATGACCAAAAATTATTTGGATTCCATTTGGAAATGGTGACAAATTCTTTGATTTCTTTTTCAATCTTTGTTTTTTCAATGGAAATTTGTTTCAAAATAGATGGTGAGAAATGATTATAAAAATTATAAACATTTTCTAATGCGATCCAAATAGTCATTGATTGATCGTCAATATTCGTTGTATGTTTAAGATAATAAATGAAAACTTTGATAATTCTAAGCCGTATCTGGAACTGACCTAATGAACTACTTTCAATGAATTTCTTCACCGTATTTATAAATTGTTTTACATTTTCAAAATCAGATTCATTTTGTTTTAAAAAATCGTTGATTATAGTATGAAAACGAAACCACCAAATGGACAATTCTTTTTCATCAATTTTTTCCGAAACAGTTTCCAAACATTTAAGCCAATAGTTGATTTCCATTTTTCGCCAATCGACCAAAATTTCAGTTATTTGATTAAGATATTCAACCAAGCTAATACCACGGTGTGCAATCAATTGCCAATCTTCGCTTGTCTTTAAAATCAATTCTAATCCGGTAGCCAAACACATTAACGACGAATTCGCTTTGATCTCGTACACATGTTTGATGATTTCAATCAATTTCATTAGAACAGGATGATTTTCAAATTCGGGTAATAAATCCGTTTCAATTTTTAATCGTAGATTTTCCAAAACCATGAAACATTTTTCAGTTTGAGATTCAATACCGGAATGATAAATATTCAATGTTTTCATAGTTGAATCAGTTTCATGATTCGAATTTTTCATAAGCAATAAATGGCCATCAATTAGATTTTGTTCAATATTTTCATTATCAAAAAATCCCATTGTTTTTTGCAATATTGTCGCTATGATTTTGTAACGAATTAAATACGATTGATTGAAATTTGTCGTTTCCATTGCTGTAGGCTGCTGCTGTTCCATTAATTGGACCATATGCATATGAGAACGAGCAATAAAAAGTAAATTATCTTCGCTCATATTAATTTTGACATGATCAGATTCGATTCTTTTTTCAAATGGATCAAGAAATTTATGATATCGATTTTCAAAAGATGGAAATAATTCATCGACTTTAGTTTCAATGTATTCTTGACTATCATTATTATCATCAAGTTTAATATGAAACAAAGCATTTTTACGAATCTCTTCCAAATCTTTATTCATTTCTATTTTTTGATATTGGCTTACAAACGAGTCTATTATTTCAAAGTAAACGTTCAAAATTTCTGAACGATTATCTTCTTGTAAATAAAGTGAATTTTGAATTTCCAATGATATTGATTGCAATAAATTTTGCAATAGTGATTTTGTTTTCAGATTTAAATCCTGATAAATTTTATGCAAAATTTCGATAACATTATTCTTGAAGATGAACGAACAAATTTCCGATGGTAAAGCAGTGGTGACAAATCTAGAGAATAGATCAAACATTTGTTCTATTGTTGACATTTGAAAAGAATGAAACAAAAGTTTCGTATTCGAACGTGATTGTAGTCGATAAATCAATGATTGAAGACCTTTGATTACTAATAAAATTCCTGTCATAAATGGTGTGGTTAAATCTTGATAATCTAGATAGTTTTCATGTAGATATTTTAAAAAATCATTAATCGATTGACAATACATCAAACATTTGGCAATAATTTTAGCATTAGGATCGGAATAACAATGTTCCGAATCTTTTACAATTTGAAACAAATTATTCCAATTGAATATTGTACTTTGAAATTGTTTTATTTCTGAGATAAGATTGAAATAATGTTCAGATGATTGTCGATAATGAATCGATTCCTGTAACTGAGTTATACGATTATTGAATTCTTCTAATTTCAATTGTAATTTTTGAAATATATTACAATTGAAAAATTGATCATTATGTTCGATATACATTTGTTTATAAATGGACCGTCTTAGTTTTAATTCTTCGTTAATTATGGTTGATTGTGATCGATAATCGTCTAATTTAGCTTGAGATCTCACGATCGGATCAATAGGATAATCTGGATTAGTATGATTAGCAATAGTATAGCCAATCAAAATTAATTTATAACATTGTGCTAGTTGATTTTGATTTGAAATTCTGATTTTTTCATTTTGAATAAAATCTGCCATCTTGTTTGAATGTTGTTTGATATAATCGTCAAACATTTCGCTAAGCCATACAAAACGATCAAAAAGTTGATGTCGATTATTTTTCATGTGGAAATAATTTGAAAAAATGAGATCAATATAAAATTTTCGAGTCAATTTTTTCCAATAAAATTTTTCAATCGAATCATCATCATTATTCATTTGGCTAAAATATATTATCGATATCAATGGAATATGTTCGCAGGTAATATTCTGTTTGATTTTGTCATTTATGAAAAATTTATTTTCTTCCACAAGATTATTATCAAGATTGTCTTCTGAACATGAATGAATGATTGATGCCATGTTTAGTTCGTTATTTATGTTGAGTAAAATTTCAACAAATAAATCAGTATATTTTCCATATTGAATGAATTGATTGAAAAATATTTCATATGAATCATTGAAAACATTAACATTAGCATTGGTCGATTTATTCATATAAAGATCAAGATAACGTTGTGATGAGAACAATTTGGATAGAGTTAAACATTGTTTATTCATAGCTTTGGCTTTGATTTTCAAATCACTATCATTTGTTTGATTTGCCATTAGTTCGTTGAACTTTTCATATGAAATCTTGCCAGTAAAATAATCATCAAATAACAAGACACAATCACTGGCAAGATGATTCACTTTTGTCTGGATTTTGAATCTGTTGATTATGTAAAATTTTGAGACATTTCTGAAATTGTTGATATGCTTGAATGTCTTTGATAGATTTAAAACGAAAACGATTATGGCACATTTTGTTGACGAATGTAAATTTTTCTTCATCAAAACATGAAATATTAAAATATGTATTGATTTCAGAAACAATTGAATCAATATTGATGAAAAAATCAAAAACATCTTGTCTTTCATTCAATAAAAACCAAATTGGAAAAAATTTTTCTTTGATAAATTTTTGTGGTTCATGGTGATATTGAGTACAAATTGAAAAAATTTGATAAAAAACGACTAAAGTTTCACGAATAGTTATGACTTGATCATCGTTTGGTTTCGTAATCGTAATGATATGATCTAGTTGTTGAAAAATTGTGGTCAAAAATTTTTCAATAGAAATAAAAACATCCATTTGTTTCATTTCTTCACATAATAGCAATGAATGTATTGATGGCAAACGTTGTTTAAGATCTGTCCAAAATAAATTCATATGAAAATTGTTCAAGTGTTTGTTCCATTGATCAAATTTTTCTTTCATATTTTTAGAAATAAATAAACAGGTAGAATTATTTTCTCGAAAATCAATTGGTAATTTTTTGATAAAATCAAATAGATCATGATCGAAAAATGATTGTGCATCTTTGAATATGGTAAAAAGTTTTTCGTACAATAATTTGACATAATCATTGGATGTAGAAAATATTCGAAATCGTATATTAAAATCAGCCAAAGATGAATTTTCAAAAAACAATCTCACTTTCAATGAATCATTATCAGAGGAGAATGTTGAATTGAAAAGTATTCTATAATCTTGCATTGCATAATGCAAATTAGAATCATTAGACAAATAATTAAATTTTGACAATGAAACTGACATTGAAGGATCAGATTCAATATTTTCAAAATTTGAATCGTTTTGATGATTGGAACCAATTTGTTGGCTTTTTAAAATTATTTGTTCAATAAATTGAAAAAATTCACGTCTATTGTGAGAAAATTGTTCAATTTGTTGATCGGAAATTTTGAATCCATATTCATGAAGAATTTGTCTGTATTCATCCAATGAATGTTTAAAATCTTCAGTAACAGGAAACATGACCACTTCTATTCCTCTATTACGCATAGCACGTGATAGTTCACCAAATTTTGGATTCATTGTAAAAAATAATCGAAAATTTGAATGTGGATGAATTTCAGTAATTTGGCCATCAATCGAACCTTTTTCGTTGATTGTCAAACTTCCACCCGGTTCGAGTAGACTATTGAAACGATCCAAAACAGCAGGATTCAAAAGATTAGCATTTTCAATGACAACCCAATCGCCGGTTCGAATTGATTTGACAAGAGAAGAATCTCTCCATTCGAATGTACCATTATTATTATTATTATGTTGGTCATCGATTGTTTCAAATTTTTGCAACTGATTTCGAAATGATAAAAGCTGTGGGCAATCTTTGAATAAATTCAAAATTTTTTTCAAAGTTTTAATTTTGAATTTCAAGGTATTAGTTGAAAGACGAAAAATATATGCAAAAAACTTGGGCCATAACAGATGATCTTGATTTCTTTTGGCGATTTCGATAAATCCATATGTGACAATTTCTTTTTCAATATTTTTGAGATCAACATTGACATCTTTTTGTTCAAAACCACCAAGCAAATCGATGGTATCCATTTCGGCATTGGCATGAATAATGTTCAAATGTTGACCACGAACATCGGCAACAAGTTGAATTATATGGCTTTTTCCCAATCCAGAATCACCAATCAATATTGTTAACCAATTCATTTCGATACATATCAATATCGATTCGATAATGGCCATTTGTTCACGAAAACAATAATGAATATTACGATTATCTATTTGATTAAATAATCTCTCTGATATAGCTAATCCCATCTGGAATAATGAACTGTTCAGGTAGCACATTGTTGGTATATGATTAACGTTTTTGAATTCGTCCAAACAAATCTGTTGCATTTTTTGTTTACATTCCCAAGTTCGCATTTTGTTTGTATATATGAAATCAAAAAATAATTCAGGTTCAATATGAGAATATTTTTCCTGAAATTTATCAATCAATTGTATCCAACGAATAAGGTCACGAAGATTAAATTCAAATGGTCCACCTTTTTTGGCGAAATTTTCATGTTCAATTTTTTCACAAATCTGACGATTAACTGAAATCATCCGTTGAATATTGTCGTGAGGAATTTTCGGAAACATGTTTACAAGAATAAAATAATAATCTTCATCAGTCAAATTTTCAATGTATACAACAGTAAAACGATTTAAAAATGATTTAGGCAATCGTTTTCGACTTCTATCCATTGAATAAGGATTTTGTGTTGCAAATATTCTTGTTTTGTTTTTATTCACTGAGAATGTTTTATTCAGTTCGGAAATGAAAATTTCGCCACGATGATCAAGACAAGCATTCAAACCTTCAAGAACAGTTTGTGTTGCAAGATTAAGCTCATCCAATAGAATCCATGTTGGTTCATTACTTTTTAATGCGGTCAAAAATGGACCATCACGAAATTCAAATTTTCCTGCATTTCCTTCACCTTCAACCGGTAGATCACAGCCAAATAGATCACTGATATCAGTTTGTTCAGATAAATTTATCCGAATCAATGAATCACAGCAGATAGTGGCTAGGGCCTGAATTAATGATGTTTTGCCAACGCCAGGAGGTCCTTCAAGTAAAATAGGCTTATCAAGCTGTAATGCTCGCATCAATCGAACACAGTTATTTTGGACACCAGTACTTTGCCAATAGTAATTTGTGAGTGAATTTTGTCGATTAGATTCTGCTTTTTCAAACGAAAACGGTCCAATATAAATTCGATTATCCAGTAATGAATTTTCATTGCAATCGGCTTTGAAATGAATATCTGGAAATTTTTGACTAAAATTTTGCAGGTATTCTTGACAATTTATTTTCATTTCTTCATTTTTATTGACAATGGATTGATTGCCGATAATAAGTGGATCAATGTAAACGAGATGAGCACCGTGAATAAATGCATCATACAAACTGAGTCGTTGTGGTTTAATTGAATATGTTTTATCTATGAATTGTGTCCAACTTAATATATCACGAACGCTTATTATGAAACGTTTGTTAACCAATTTTTCGAGCCATTCGATGAAATCACGAATCGATTTGGATACTATTTTTCTGATTTCTTCATCAATTATTTCGAGGTTATGAAAGGCGATCTGATATATGTCATCATAATTTTCAAAACCGGGACACCAGATTTCAGTGAATCGATCACGAAGAGCTGGAGACAATTCTTTCTTGCCAAAATCTCCTCCAGGATTCATGGTTGCAAAATAACGAAATGAATCATGTGCTTTGATTCGACAAAATGAATCATTATTTTCAGCCAAAAACACTGTCCGTTCTAGTTCTAAAACTGAATTTAAACGTTCTAGAACAGAATCATCTGCTAGAGATATTTCGTCCACAAGGAAATAATCTCCATTCTTCATAGCAGTAACTAATGGGCCATCTACCCATTCGAAAAGCATTTCATCCTGGCCATGGCAAGCATTTCGATTCGGTCGTAAGCTTCCAAGGAAATCAGAACTTTCAGTATTCATATGACAATTGATTATTTTCAGAGTTTTCTCACTTTTTGTGGCAAAATATTGACAGATGGTCGTTTTACCACAACCAGTTTCTCCAATCAATAGTATTGGTTCTTCGAATTCGATAGCTTCTCTAAGTAAAGTGCCCAGTCTTTTAAAAGCTTTTGTCCAGACGATAGAATTTGTGAAAATATTTTTTGATTCAACTTTTTCTTCATGCATATCAAATAATTCTTCAACAGATATATTACATTTGAAAATTTTTTCCAGAATACCTTTAATCAAAATAACATCTTCATTGTGACGAACTCTTCCGGCTAAAAGCATAAATCCTTGATTGGCTAGAAATTGGTTCCAATCGAAAAATCTGATGCTTTCATCTAATTTTGCTGCAAATTTCATATAACGATATCCCCAACGAAATAGATCACGTAATGTAATGAAACCATGTTTTCCGGCAAATATATCCGATTTACAGCGACATTTTTGTAGTTGTATTAAGACTGAAACCATTCGTTTGGAATATGATAATGGAATCATACATTTTTTATGTAAAATAATTTCAAGTTCTTCAATAGGAATTTCGCTAAAATTTAATTCGATGAAACGATTTCTGAACGCACGGGATAAGACTTTTCGTCCAGCATATTTTCCCGGAGGATTTTGTGTTGCAAATAAGAGAAAACGTGAATGGGCTTTTATTACTTCTTGTGTTTCTGGAATGAAACATTCACGATTTTCATCCAATACTCTGTTTAGAGCTTCTAAAATTTCGGTTGGAGCCAGATTCAATTCATCTAGAATGATCCAATGACCGTTTTTCATAGCTTCAACAAGAACGCCTTTTTTGAATATAATTTTTCCATCTGATTGTGAACAATAACTTCCGATATATTCCTAGATAATGATCCAAAGATAAAAATTTATGAGAAATTTCTTCTAATATTTGAATTAATCTTACCTGAAGATCAATATGTTCATGATTGTTTACTCGATGGCAAATATTACCTGTTGCTTTTGCTAACCACTGAATAAGGCTTGTTTTACCAACAGAAGTTTCCCCTTGTAATAATATCGGATAGGTACGTCCAGCCGAAATGATTCGACAAACGTCACGAAGATTTTTAGACACTGTTGTAGTGAGGATGTAGTTTTCATCTATTACAGGTTCGTTTGGACCTTTAATAATGGGATAATTTTCTATGATCACAAAATTTTTGGACGGAAATAGTTTTTCCAGATTTTTTAATGAGTCTGAAAATTTCATATTTTTATTATGGAAAATAATTGTTTCGATTCGCTTCTGGACAATCGTATATGATTCTTGATCAAGATTCGAAAGAAACGCCAATGAAAATGCTTCGTAAAGTGAGCGATTAATTGAATTGAATGGATTAAATTTGACTACACGCAATGCACGGCATAGATTACGTAGACTGAAAATTGGCCGATGACCATTCATATCTTTCAATAAGGTTTGTGAATCATTTTTACTTGAAAATAAAATTCAACAATAGCTTCGATTGTTTTCGGATCGACCATACTTTGTATATATGTACAAACAATTATTCGTAATTGTGAACGATCTTCTATTTCATCGATAAAAAATTCCGTAAATCTATTTCGAATCTTGATGGGCAATTCTTTTTTACCTACATCTGTTGCTGGATTCATGCAGGCAAACAAACGGAAATCTTTATGAACTTTAATAATTTGATCATTGGCTTTTTCAAACAACATCAGGGTTTGATTGTTCTCCATGAATGATAATAAACCTTGAAGGGTTTCACTTTCTGCTAGATTGATTTCATCCAATAAAACCCATTGGCCAGTACTAATTGCATGTGTTAAAACACCTTCAATAAAAGTAAATGTTAAATGATTTTTACCGATATCGATGAGAGATTTGAAATTTTTTAATTTTTCTTGCAACTTTGTCCATCTTTCATACAATTCTTTAGTATTATTTTCATTTTCAAATTTCTTCAATGCTTTGGTACAGACATTAATCATCACCTCGAGAAGAAGATTCCAATCTTGTTTGACATAAAGTTTATCGAATTTATTCTTGAAAGCATTATTTTTATTCGATTCAAAAGTTTTATCAAATAATTGGCAATAATCTTCTTTGACTGAAATGATCATAGTGTTAAAATCGACTGGTTTATAGCCACCAAATAGTTCTAAACTGCTGCTTTGTTGATTCATATTGATAATGTTCAATTTATGTCCACAAAGATTTGCCAAATACTGAATGCTAGAAGTTTTTCCGACACCTGTTTCACCACATAATAAAATCGGTTCTTGATTGGAAACACAGACCAACAATCGTTCTAATAATTGAGTTGTGTTCAATGTGAATGCAAAATCGGAAATATTTTGCGATAATTTTGGATCAATTAAAACTGATTGACGGCCAATGGTTATAGTATTCATATTCTTCATCAATTTAGGACTGCGTTCTCTAAGCAAATGTTCACAATCATTTTTGGATAAATTAAAACTTGAGCCAATTGTGTATGCAATTTGTTTTAAAAAATTCGAGCTAAACATTGCAAAGCAGTCCATAGCATCGAGATAGGCGAATTTCGATGTTTCTTCAGGTTCATTTTTTGTGAAATACACAGATAAACGATTGCACCATTTTAATAAATCACGAAGCCGTATTAATCGCTTTGTTTTTGTTTCGGATTGAAAATTCATTATGTTTTCATAAACTTCAACAATTCTGGGTAATAAAATATTTAAATTTGGCCATTTTTTCTGTATCAAATCAGATATTTGATCTTTGGTTAAATTTTGTAGATTCACTTTATAGCAAATTTTTTCCAACATTGTGAAATTTACACTTTGAATAGATTCAGATTTTTGCAGGGTTTTGGTAAAAAATATGCGGAAATTACTATCGAATTTGTCAATCTTGCCTTCGTAACCGACAATATTGGCACTGTTACTTGATTCGATGATTGAAACTAATGATGATATCAATTCTGATGATGCTGAATCAATGTCTTCAAATATAATCCAATTGCCATCGCGAATGGCTTTTAATAAGGGGCCAAAATTAAAAATGAATTCTCCAGGAATGTCTGAAGTAATGTAGGAACCAAGCAAATATTTAGTATCAATCTGATCACTAATTTGTATGGTCATTATGGCCGGTGGTTCTAAACGGCCGGTCAGCAATGCTAGACGTTTAATTAATGTGGATTTACCACAACTCATTGGTCCTTCAACCAGTATTGGCTTATTCAATGATACTCCCAACGCAATGGACATTAAATTTTGTTCGAAAATCACAGAAGACACATAAAATATTTCATCATCAAGTTCATAGTTTATCCGGGGACGTTGAATAACTTGCAGCAAAATTCCTTGAACACAAACAATATTATCATATAGATCATGATCATAAATTAAAAAGTTGTCATCAGTATTACGATATATGATGGTTTTTGAAGAAAATCGAAGTGTACGAGTTTTGGTCAATTCAAACAATTTTAGACGATAATCATCTTGCTTATCATGTTCAAAAGAATTGGAATTTAAAATCCTAGAATGTATTTTCCTTGCCAAGTAATCGACATATTGATTTGAATGATTGAAAAAGTTGATGACGAAAGACCATTGAAAATTTTTGAAAAAATAGCTTGAATCAAACGCTAAAAATACAAGACAAGATTCTAAAAATCCAATCAAAGAATCTTCATTGTTGTTGCTTTCATTTTGTTTTTGAATTTCACGTAACAAATTATCAGCATTCAATAAACGGTTATTGAAACAATCGTAGGAAAAATTAGTTGCAATCGCAAACGAACCAATCAATCGACTTAATATAAAGAACAACGATAATTTAGAATGTTTTTTGATCTGATGTAATAGTTGTAATAGAATTGGAGAAAAATATTCGGCTACAATATCGGTCAAATTCTTTGTTTCCAAACATTTCACAATAAGATTCAGGATTTCTAGCCGATCTTCTGTAGACCAATTTTTGTTGGTAAATGAAAAACAATATTCATAAAGTTTTTTAACATTTTGTTCGTCGGAATTAGTCTGATGCAACAAGCGAATACAATCATGAATCCAAAAACCACCCATTTTGTCGATTAAAAAACACAATTATTAAAATATCACGAATAACAAATCAATGCTAAATAAATTATTGTGTACAAAAAAATGAATTTCATATTTCAGCATGAAATTCTGGCACACGTGTATTCTGTAGATGTTGCCTGTTCATACGTTAAAAGTATATTTTTATTTTCAAAATTTTCAAATTGGAAAAAAACACGCATTTTTAAATACGAAACAAAAAATTGAAAAAATAAATAACTAAAACGAATATAACATAGTAGACAGGACAACCAATGAAGCACCAATGAAGAAATTCAATGATGATGAAAAATCATCAAATATAAAATGACTACATAATGATGACAATATTATTGATATGGTTGTGGCAAATCCTTTTAAGATATTATCAGCATATTTCATCACCAATGAAACACAAATGCCGCCAAATGCTTGTAGTCCAATCACCATATAGGTTAATGAATTATAGCCCTAAATCGAATCGATTTTTGATTAGAAAATATTTCCTTACTATAGTAGTACTTACATAGAAAAATCCTTTCAAATTAATTTCATTAAAATCATAAACAATGATTGTAAATGATGCAAATAAACAGCTTAATATTGCCAACTGTAGATTTCTAATCCACAATGATTGTGATTTTGATACTTTGATTAATTTTTCAAAATAAACGCCCGAAAATCCGCTTGATAATGATGATAGAATTATAGAAATTAAACCTATCAATCTATTTTCGTTCATTTGAATCGATGATGATCGGTGATTATCATTAGGCCATTGGACAAGAATAACACCAAGCATTAACATGAAAAGTGAACACCATTGACGATTTGAAAGATCTTTGTTGAGTATCCAACGAGAGAATAATGCAGTTGTAATGATTTTAAATTGATAAGTGACCTTAGGGGCAGAGAAATTTTTACATTTAAAAAACCGACAAGTAAATAATGGTTATGTTAACAATACTTGATAAGTAGCTGCATCCAAATTGGTTAGCGCAAGAAATAAAAGATTATTCTGTACGGTGTATAGAAAAGCTGGAACTAAAATTTTCGACAATTCTTTAGGTTTACCAAACACTTCATCTCTAAAGACATAATATAAACCGAGGAAAGAATCTGATGGAAATTCCAAATTAATAAGTTTGAAAAAAAAAATTTCCAATGTTTTAAATTACCCGAATAAATTATTACAGCCATACAGATGAAAAATTTAACAAATTCAGAAAGAAACACAGCTGTACTATTGAAATAGGCTTCATCCTGACTAGAATTTTTTCTTGAATAACGTAATGTTAAAACAAGTATCGTTGTTTGTAAAGTAATCAATATTAATGTACCATATTTCATAAATATAGATTTGTTTTGATTCATATTTTTCTAACTAAATCTATTTATTTTTTATATTTTTAAAAGAAATTTTTTCAAATTATTCTAAATGTTGATCATTGTGAGACGAGCTATTCATTCATTTCCACATAATTTTCCATATAGGCTGATGTAGCCGGCTGAAATCCATGAAATGCTGTCTCATTTGCAGATGGCGCTTTCATTCATGTAATCGTGATTATTGTATTTTTTTTTACAAAGTTGTTAAGTCAACGTGAATTTTTCAATTTTTAATCAAAATTTTTATATTTTTTTTCTGGAAAGCAGAACTTTATCATTATCTCGAGAATATGTCAACTTTTAATGGTATGTTTATTCGTATCTTTTCCAGTTAATTTGATGCCATTTTTAACTTGAATATTTTGATTAAAGTGAAAATTAAATGGAACAAAGAAACATATGATCTGGAACTAGACACCAATGAGCCACCATCAGTATTCAAAGCACAAATATTTGCCTTGACAGGTGTAACTACTGATCGACAAAAAGTCATGTTCAAAGGTGGTGTCATTAAAGACGATGAATGGAATTCGACAATGTTGAAATCGATTAAAAATGTAAGATTGAATATGTTTTGTGTCATCATTGTTTCTCTCAATAATAATGACGAAAATATCATTCCAATAGGGTGCAACATTTTTGATGATGGGAACCGCTGATGAACTACCTGTTGAACCGCAACAGAAAAATGTCTTTATTGAAGATATGACAGAAAAAGAACTAGCTGAGGTTTTGGATCAGCCATCGGGTTTGATAAATTTAGGAAATACTTGTTATCTCAATGCTACAATACAATCATTGTCGACTGTTCCCGAAATGAAAGAATGTCTTAAAAAGTATGATGATAATCATTTTCATGTACATTAACATCTATTTTCATCATTATATTTTGGATTTTATGTTTATCATTGTTCAAACGTAAATAGGTACAAAGGATCATTAACCTTGAACGAATCTTTTGATGGTGCTCATGATATCGTTGTATCATTACGAGATGTATACAATAAAATGGAAACATCATCAACCGTGATGCCGGTATTGTTACTCGAAATGTTGCATATTATGTTTCCACAATTTTCGGAGAAAACCGAAAACGGCCAATTGGCACAACAAGATGCTAATGAATGTTGGAGTGAATTGATAAAAGTTTTGCAGCAAAAACTTAAAATTGAACCGATTGGAGGCGATGCTGCAACAAATTCGCGAAATTTCATTACTCAATATTTCGGTGGAACATTGCAGGCAACAATGAAATGTATTGAAGATGAATCGGAAGAACCGACTGTTTCAAATGAAAATTTTTTACAATTAAGTTGTTTCATTTCGCAAGGTGACGTTTTGAATCAAATTGTAATTAATAGATTAATAGAGATTTTTAATTCCATATCATTCTAGATGTTAAATATCTTCAAACCGGTCTTAGGTTGAGATTGGAAGAAGAAATTAACAAATATTCAACAAAATTAGATCGTGATGCTCGTTATTTGAAAACAAGTAAAATTTCTCGTCTACCAGCATATCTATCAATCAATTTGATACGATTTTTTTACAAAGAGAAAAATGCTATCAATGCCAAAATTTTGAAAGATGTCAAATTCTCATTGACATTAGATATGTACGAACTATGTACACCGGAATTGCAGAAAAAATTGGTACCAATGCGTCAAAAATATAAGGATCACGAAGATCAAAAAGTAGAGAAAATGCAACAGCAAAAATCTAAAACTTCTGAAAAACCGGATGTTGAATCGGGTGAAAAAAAAGATTATTATAATTATTCATTCGAAGATGATTCTGGTTCTAGCAACACTGGTCTTTATCAATTGTATGCTGTACTTACACACAAAGGCCGTTCAAGTTCAAGTGGACATTATGTTGGTTGGATCAAACACAAGGGTAAGTATTATCATGATCGATCATGTCCATTTTTATTGAATTATATATTTTAGGCAAATGGTTCAAATGCGACGATGATCAAGTCTATCAGGTGTCTGATGAAGAAATATTAAAATTATCCGGCGGCGGTGATTGGCATTGTGCCTATGTTTTATTGTATGGGCCACAATTGATTGAAAAATGTGAAACTTTACAACCGACTAGTGGCCAATAAAATAAACAAGCAAACAGAATATTATATGAAACAAAAAATTTTTTTTTTATATAAATTATCATTATGAGCATTATAATGATTTTTAAAATAAAAATTTTCAAATATTTAATAATTAATCAAATCGTTTTATTCGTTTTTATCATTCGATTCGATTGATATGTTGAGGTGTATGTATGTGACAGAAATTTATACAAAAGAGAAACAAGATATATAATGAAAGAGAGAATGAAAAATTTACATTTTTTTTACAGAAATATCTAAAGTTATTATAAAAATGTACAAAGATTGAGCTAAATTGTGTGGATCACAGATTTTTCGTTGTATTATTATTGCCATTATTATAATGTTGCTGTGGTGGTGGCAATGGTAACGGAGGCTGATGTAAACCTTTATGAACTATGGCTGGTAATGGTCGATTGACCACTATATTTTGACTAACCGGTACATGAATGATGTTGGCATCATTTTGAACCATAGGTAGATTAGCATATAATGGCTGTGTCTTCATTAACGGTCCACCGCCATTGTTTGGTGCTGAAAATGTGACCAAATTAGAATTATTCGTTCGTAAATTATTTGTCGCCTGCATTGAAGCCATATCCGAATCCAAACAAATCCTTGAATAGGTCATTGGTCGGGAAATATCTTTACTAGTTGTAGTAGCATGATGATGATGATGATGATTTACTTCGATATTTTCACCACCACTTTTGATTGGTTTTTGCTTTTTACTGTAAAAAAAATGAAAATATAATTTTAAATCGAAAAATAATGATGTCAAGTTATGAAACAAATCAAATCAAATCATTACGAACATTTTGACGAATAAAAATCCAATGATGATCATCAAAATCAGAATGGTGCCGATGCCAAACGAAACGCCGATCCCAATCGATTTTGATGATTCAACACTTTCATAATCGGATTCACCATCAAGATTATTTGCTTGTAAGCTTTCTTCAATTTCATTCGCATCTTGTGTTTCCAAACATCTTGGAATGGTGCCACTCCTTGAAAGAGTAAAATAGAATGAATTATAACCATTAATTTTTTTTACATTCAATTTTTATTGCTACCATTCTCCATTTGCTTGGCAATATCTATGCTGCGAATCGGTAATCATTTTGAAATCAGGCAAACAATGATATTCAACTATGCTGCCATAAAATGTTGTTCCATTTACTAGATATCCTCTACCGTTTGGAATCACTGGTGGTCTACCACAATCGACATCTGTCATTTATGAAGAACATAAAAAATGATAATAAAAATTTCCACAAATTGATCATCAAAATTTTCTGTTTCAACAACTTACATCGACAAAATGGAACCTGACCGCTCCATTGACCATTAGTTTGACATGTTCGTTCATTGTTGCCAATCAATTCGAGACCATGTATACACGAATAAATGGCTTTACTGCCCACTTGTTGATTTAATACTTGAACCAATGTTTTTTCATCTTTAGTTTCGGGAGCTTTACAGGTGACAACTAAAATTCGTGATAAAATTTTTAATATTTGAACTTTTAAAAAATTTTTATGATTACGTTCACAAATAGGCGGCACGCTGCTCCATGTTCCATTCTCAAGACAAATTCGCCGCCGTGGTCCATTCAGTTTGAAATTTGAATTACATTCATATTCAACTGTACTTCCATAATAAGTTGTATTACTAGTGAGTAGCCATTTTCCATTCGAAAGTGGAAACGGTAATCCACAATCAATATCTGTTTATGCAAATGTTTCAAAAATATATTTTTTCAATTAGTTCATTGATGGATGATGATTGATCGTTTGACATGCATCAGACAAAAACAAAATATTCGAAGAAATGTAAAAAAAAAAAATAATAATGATAAAAAAGAGAAAAAATAACATACAAACACAAATGGGTGGTGCATCACTCCAAAATCCAGTCGTCTCACAAGTTCGTAATGATTGTCCTTGTACAATATGGCCAAGTGAACAACGATATTGTACTGTGGAGCCTACTTTGAATGAATCACTGAATGCACGATCATTACCATTGTAAACAACGGATGAATTTTTGGTATTTCTGGTGGAGAGCATCGAATTTCTAAGAATAAAATATTAGCTAAATCTGTCATTCACAATTATATGTAATATATATTCACCTTCACATTTAGCCTTATTGCCTGACCATTTTCCATTATCTTGACATACTCTTGCTTTATCGCCAACTAATCTATATCCGGTGCCACATGAATAATTTATGACACTGTCTAAATGCGTGGTCAAATTTACGTAAATGATTTCGCCTTTCCATATTGGCTGAACTCGTCCACATTCCACGTCTATATTTGTGATTATTAGAATTGGAAATTAACAAAAACAAATTACACATTGAACATAGTTGAGATATTACTTACATTTACAGACTATATCATCACCACTCCATCGGCCATTTTCTTGACATTTACGTTTAGGATTTCCTTCAACAAGTTGATAGCCAGATTCACATTCAAACAATAATTCCGAACCAACTGTAAATGTGGTTCCTTGAAATTTTATACCAGATACTTTTTTAGGCATACCACAATTAACCACTGATATAAAATTGAAATGTATTGATTTCATCATCATTGTAATAAAAGCATCTCATTAGATAACTTACTTTCGCATGATGGTTCTAAACCACTCCAGATTCCTAATTCCATACAAGTTCGTGTTTTATTACCAATTAAAATATAATTTCGATCACATTCATAAATGATGGTGCTACCATAATAAGTTGTTTTATTCATCAATTTATAGAAGCCATTGTTTATGTCTAATGGTAGACGACAATCGATAACTATTTCGTAAATGATGATAATTCAAAAATTAGAAAAAAAATGAAAATTCTTTTTAAATATAGCTAATTACATACATTTACATTGAGGAGCATTATGTGACCAACTTCCACCGATTTGACAAATCAATTGTGATTGACCAAAGAGTACGAAACCCGAATGACAAGAATATGAAGCAACACCATTTATCGTTCTATTAGTCACTTGTACAATACCATTATCGATTTCCAATGGTTGTGTACATAAACCGTAGAAACATTTGGGTTCCTGATCACTCCAAGAACCATTACCTAGACAATATCTTGTTTCCACACCGACTAATGCATAATCACGTATACATGAATATGTGGCTGATGCATTGAAATCTGTTCGAATATAACCAACGCGACCATTTGAAATGGATTGTAATGGGCCACAATCAACATAGACACAATTCGGCGCTTCGCCTTGCCAAAAGCCATTGCTTTGACAGAAACGTTTCTGTAATCCATCTAAACGGCAACCTTGAGCACATTGGTAAGTGATGATATTCCCAATTCGAAAGTCATTTTTGATGATGGTTGAGTTTTCATTGATATCAGGACTGCCACAATTAGAAGGTGAATATTGACAAATCCAAGGTAAATAGTCAAGGTCTAAATGAATTATGAGGATAAAATCAAACAACAATTATCTTCATCAGCATCATAATCATCTATTATGGCTTATCAAAATGTAAAAAAAAATTGAATATTACCACAAGTGACATCATTCCAGAGCCATTTTCGTCCGCCATCAAGCACAATGCAATTTTGTTGCCCATTATAATTGTTTGGTTGATCTTCGGCCCAAAGAAATTTATTAATTGGTTGTCCATTGATCCAATGCCAGAATAATCTGGGACGAGTACCGAATAATGATGTAATGTTCTGGGCATAATGATCTCTTCGAGCTCCAACCCAGACCAATTTAGAACGTAATTTGATTTTATATCGTTCCAATTCATAATAAAGAAAATTCTGCGTCATATCAGTGATTGAATGAATGAGAAGGCCACCACGTGATTTGCAATACATATCAGCGTCAACAAATGATCCACCTCGTTGTGTTTGAAATTCATAACAAGTCTGATTGAAACTCGTTATCTGTTGATATTCCATTGCATCACCACAACGGTTCGAAGAAAATTCTTTGGTAGTGAATACGAAAACTTCACACAATGATAATGAACTTTCGATTCCCACCATTTGAATATAGACATATCGGCCGATAATTGGATTGGCACAATTAAAATCTTTATTTTCACCATCATCTAATGTACCAGGATACCATGCACAAAGTCGATTACCTTGCACTGTTGAACTATTACCAACACGAATCTCAAGATCGTGTAATGGTTGATGTCCACAACAACTTCGCGTCAATACACGAATCACACGAATTTCGTATGGTTGCAAGAGATCCACTTGCCACCACGGTGAATTTTCCACCTTAGTTTCCGTGCAGTATTTATTCTCATGTAAACTACTAAGATCACCATCATTGGCATTTCGTGAATCGCCTCCTTTAACGGTACTCGATTGATTCGTTGGTTTTCCGTACGCAACATTCACGGCTATGTAGATTAATGTGATATGTGTTAGAATTACAACCATAATGAATTTGTTTAGTATTAGTAGAAAATAAATGAAAATATTCCTTACCACAATACGGAAGTGCACCGGACCATTTTTGATCTATACATGTTCTGGTAGCCGTACCGAATAATTCATAACCATCATTACATTTATAGAAAGCTTTCGTACCATTCACAATAAACTCTGAACTTAATTGTACATCGGCATAGATTGGAACCGATGGATATGGACAATGATGATCATTATTATTATTATTATTATTGTTGTTGTTGTTGACTATTGAATCTATTCATATTAGAAATCAATTAGATATAAACGATAATCGATTAGATCTAGTAGTGGAGCGAAATATTTCATAGTTTTTTTTCAAAACAAAAAAAATCACGATATTGAACAACAATGTTGAACCTTGCAACTTATTTTCTTTATTTTATTTTATTTGTTGGTTTTGTTACTTGACACATTTGAAATCCCCTTTTATTATTATTATTATGATCATTATTGTTATTGTAATAATCAACTATATTTTCAAATGGTACATTATATGTATGCAATATTTATGTCCCTTATCATATAAAGGCGAGCAATTCATGCAATCAGTTCTACTTGTTACGGTTCGATAATCATAATAAGTAAAATGAAATTATAATGGATGAATGAAATTAATGAAATTCAAGTAACATGATCATGAACAACCAACACCATCATATGATTCACAATCGAATATAAGAAACTGATTATAAATCTAATAATTAAGAACAAAAAATGTAGCTCAAAAACAAAACGAAAAAAAAAAAAAAAAAAATAAAAACTTTCAAACAATTTAGATCACCCTACCTGCATGAGATAGATGATTCGAAAGAATGTTATTAAATACAACAATAAAATGAATGATGAAAAACATTAAAAAAGGTGACGAATAAAACGGTGTTTGTAACTTTATTCGTTTATTCATCAGTAGATTAGAGAATGATAATACACTTTTAGAAACAATAAATGAATGCATGATAGTGATGATGATGGTGATGGCGATTTTAATGATGATGATGATCCTTTTCTTTCTTTTTTTTTACTATAAAGATTTACTTATACTCCAATCTATTTATGATGATGATGATTGGATTCAAAATGGTATCATATTTATAGATTATAAATCTAATAATTAAGAACAAAAATGTAGCTCAAAACAAAACGAAAAAAAATAAAAATAAAAATAAAACTTTCAAACAATTTAGATCACCCTACCTGCATGAGTTTCAAATTGATGCTGAAACAATAAATGAATGCATGATAGTGATGATGATGGTGGTGGCGACCTACTAATCCATCATTTTTTTATTGATTCAAAATGGTATCATATTACCTAGCATCAGCCTTTTATTTTATTGTTATTATTATTGTCTTTGTTTTCGGGTGACTAGAAAACTTGATGATGTTGAATAATGATTACGGACAAAGATGTTCGAAACAAATTACTCAATATAAAGATTGATTTATTCATGCAAATAAATTAAATTGAAAAAAAACTACGGTAGGTCACATAACTGGACGTCTATTCATTCATTTATTCACCACTCACAAAGACGAGGGCGAACATTTTGGATCGACACTTGTTGCACACACACACACACACAGATACATACATTTATTTTGGAACGTTTTCTGAAAAGGAACATGACACACACACACATATACGAGTGAATTAAATGGAAAAAAATATATTGCCGAAACACCTTGCATTCGTTGAACATTGGAACGCAATCAAGTCGAAAATAACAACTTGAATAGACAAAACGAACTATATTTCCTTCTCTTTTCTTCAGGTTTTTTTTTCTTTCTCTCTCTTTCTTTCGACGACAATAATTTTTTTTTATAGACAATGATGGCTTTATTCTCAAATAATACACACAGTCAGAAACCGACAATATCCATCCATCCATGCATCCAATTCAAACGACGATCAAATCACGAAGACTCATGGCGATGATGATGATGATGATGATGATGATGGTGATGGTGTTGAACAGGCAATGTTTCAGCTCATAGCTTTTTGGAACACAAAAATAATAATAAATGTATTTTAAATTTACACAGATCTTGTGTGTGTGTGAATGATGAATAGAGAAAACAAGAAAATATAAGCACAAAAAGAGAGAAACGAATTTTTTCAGAAAAAAGAGAGAAAAAAAATGTAGGCAGCTTGAATTTAATATAAACAATAGTGTGTGTGTAAAACAAGGTAACCGAAGATTGGACTGGAATTTTCTTATTATTTTTTTTTCACCATTACCATTATCATCATCATCATGATTAGAGTGAGAATTGAATCGCATGAAAAGACAAAGACTACGAATCAAGATAGTGATCGATGATTTGAGAGAGAAAGAGAAACAGTGAAAAAAATGGACAAGTTTTTTTTCTATAGCGTAGTGGTTTCTTGTTCTAAATTACAAATGTCCACGGATATGGCCAGCTGTGGCTGTTTGAGGATGGATCGCCAATGAATGATCAACGACAATTCATTTGTTGTTGTATACATTCATCACTTTTAGTTTATTTTCTCAACACTTATTTATGAATAGAAAGATCTAGATTACAATCGAATAACGGTATATGAGTTGTATTTGATTAGAAGACATTTCATACATTGTTTTATTTTCTCATTCATTTTTCATGTCAATTCATTTATTTCAGCATCATCAAAATTCCCACAAAAACATTAATAACACTTTTCGATCCTTTTTTTTTGACTATTCTCTCATGATCATAATCATAAAATTTCTCATGAAATGTTAATGTATTATCAATTTTCTAATTTTACCAACAGTTTGTTACATTATCATCATTGATCAAATTGTCAACAGTTTTATAAAATGGTCAACTTTTTTTTAAAAAAAACGTCTCTATTGTTAGTTTTATTAATATGAAATTAATCTTGAAAGAAAATCCGTTTCTTTTCATTTATTTTGTTTTGTTCGTTCAACAAAAAAAATCTACCGGGTTCGAGTTATCATCATCATCATCATCATCATCGCCACCATTATTTGACTATTTAATATTTGCCAATAATAAATGGTCAAATAATGATGATGATCAGAAAATTTAAAATTGGCGGGCGCTTATAATTTTCTTATTGCACAAGATATAACAATGAATATAGAAAAAAAGAAAAAGAAAATTCGATTGAAACTTGATTAACTCGTTGATTTGCATTTCATATCTTTACATACGAATATAAAAGATAATATCTTAAAGCTTGGATGATGAATAAAAGCAAACACACGAATGATTATTATGATCATTGTGTGTGTGTGTATATATGTTAACTGCCAATCATCTTTTTTTTCCATTCCCTCCTACAGACATGATCCAGGATACTCAATGATCATGATGATGATGATGATGATAGATCAGCAATAGCAATATCATGAGCTACACGTAATGAACACTTGTTGCATGTTTTCATGAAATTTATTTTTGTGTTTGTTTGTTTGTTTGTTTGTTTTCGACCAAACAATAATTTTGTAGAAAAAAAAAGACAATGAATGAAACATATTATTTTCTAATTATTGTGGCAATTATAACTATATAATTACTAAAAAAAATCGGTATATACATAAACCCACACACAAACACACGAAAGGAATTTCAATTTTTTTTTGTGTTGAAATTGGATTACAATGAATGTGTATTTTTATTATTATTCGTCTGAGGGTTCAATAACAAGAGTGAACGAAAAACATTTAATTTCTAAATTAAAATTCAAATTGATAGAGAATTTTATTCATGATAAATTATTTCATCTTTATTTAAGGGATGGTTATTTTTTTGAACAACTATTTAAATTGTCCCATTCATCATTCGAATGACATACAAAAGGATGATGACAATTTTTTGTTTGTTTGTTTGTGTGTTTGTCAAAATCGCCAAAACACGATGTGAATTTTTCATCATTCTCATCATCATAAGAATGGATGATTGTATTATATGAATGAAAAAAAAGAACAGAAGGAAAGCATTCAAGTAGAAAAAAATGACATTCATAATTTATATATTATAATAATAGATTATATATTCATGCATCTCTTTTTTCTTATATTCCATCTTCTTCATCTTCATCATCATCATCATCATCACCGGAACGTTCTTCATTCTCTTTTTCTGCTTGTTCCAACATTTTTGTTAATTGAGCTTCATCCAAATCAGTGACAACTTTAGGCTATAATAGAATGAGAATCCACATATACACATTTTATTAATGAATGGATTAGATATTTAAAGGAAAACTTACAGCAATCGTAATCGTAAATATTCCGCCTGAATCTTTTATGGATTCTTCAATTTTTTTCAAAGCCACATCCAATAGTTCAACACCTTTTGCTTTATCCAATGTAGTAGTGGTGACAACATAACGAGGAGGTGCTATCAAATTGATTTTGATTGGCATCTCTTCTATGCCGCAAGCGATACCGGCACGTAGTGCATTTTTGACCGCATCAACACCTTCATAAGCATAGCAGCCAACTTCAATTTCAGAACGAACTTTTACCGCTTGTGGCATCAAACGTCGTTTGATATGAGTAAGCAGCAGATCTTTAACTTTTTCGTCTAAGCAGCATTCATCCAGAAGTGATGGTTGACTTTTTTTCCGAAAATTGATTAAGAAAAAGTAGATAGTAATTAACAGAACAAAATAAATTAATTAATCTTTATTTAAAACTTACTTGACAGCCATTTTGAAAACTTCATATGAAGATCCAGGTTTTTTATCATCGAAATGCCAAGCAGTTTTGTCGTATAGTTCTTCCAATTGTTGTTCATTATAATGCAATATTTCTGCTACATGTCGTAATATACTATGAACCTATTGAATTAGATTTCAATGAGAATGGATGTTTTTGGATTTTTTTAAAAAATATAAATACCGCTTTGGCATTAGCAAATTTTTCTTCACATCTTATTATATCTTCCGGTGAAACACGACGTTTAGACAGATCAATATAGCCTTTGTCACGATCAACTCGAATGACGACAACACATTCATTACGTCCAACTCGAATCAATTTGTTTATGGAACGTATTCGTCTCCTGGACAGTTCGGATAACAGAATCATACCTAGATTTTAATTACAAAATATTTTATAGTTCAAATGATTTGCAAATAATTTGAGTAAAACATACCTTCAATATTGTTATACTCTAACAAATGAACGTAGGCGCCCATTTCTCCGATCGAACGAACATTGACCATAACCACATCTTCAACTTCGGGATATTTTTGTCGATAAAAACGACAAGAAAGTGGCATGATGATTTTCGAAATATGGAAATTGGTTACAATTTGATCTGGAAAATTGAAAAAGATTTGTGACAATGCCGATATACCGACACAACGTGTAAAACAATTTGTTAAAATTTTGTTTCGAACCAAATCCATACAATGAAAGTTATCCAAAGCATGGTTTCAAACATATTTGATCATATCTCATTCAAAACAATTTCATTTTTCTCAAATATTTGATGCAAACAATGTCGACATGAATTTTTATTTAATGAAACTTCCGCTATATTCATCAAAAAATTTTGTCCATCAGTTTATACTAACACGATTGACGACATGTTTAACTCAATTGAATCGAAATTTGTATCACGAACGAAATATACCGAAAACTTTAGATGAATTCAAACAATTTCAATTTAAACCGAATGAACAACCAGAAAATGCTCGCTCATTACGTGTGGCTATTATTGGCTGTCCGAATGCTGGAAAATCTACATTATTGAATCAGTTAATCAATTGGAAAATAAGTGCAGTTTCATCAAAAGTTCATACAACCAGAAAAAATGTGATCGGAATTTATGTTGAAAATAATACGCAATTAGAATTCATCGATACACCAGGTTTAGTGAGCAGAAAACATATGATGCGACATAAATTAGAACTTTCATTCGCCAATGATTTGAAAATTTCTGCCGGGAATGCAGATATTATTGCCATGCTGGTCGACATTTCCAATCGACGTGAACGAACCAAATTGAATCAAGGAATTCTGGACCTTCTACAACAATATCATAATGATGAAAATAAAGAATCAATATTGGTTCTAAACAAAGTGGATAAAATACGTGATAAACGAAGTTTGTTGGATATTGTTTCAACATTGACGAATGGAATTGTCGATGGTCACCCTGTTAGTTCGTCAAATATTGATGATGATATTCTCAAAGCGGAATTAAAGCAAGGAAAATTTGATATGTTATTTCAACGAACCGACAAATATTATAAAGAATATCAAGATAAAAATATCGAAACTGTCGAATCAGATTTTAAGCATAATGGGATTGGATGGCCAAAATTTTCACAAGTTTTTATGATTTCTGCCCTTCATAATGATGGTATTCAACAATTGCGAAAATATTTCCTTCAAAAAGCTAAAGAAAAATCATGGTTTTATAGTGGCAATGTTGTGACCGTACAAAATCCGAAACAAATTATAATTGATACAATACGAGAAGTTTGTCTGGAATTATTTAATCAAGAGATTCCTTATAATTTTCGTTACCAGATTGTCATGTGGGAACAAGACGATCTTGGCAATCTATATTTAGTTGTAGATATTTTATGTCCAGAAAAATTTCTTTCACTTTTAATTGGCCCAAAAGGTTTGAATATTTCGAACATAGTTCGAAAAGCTCGAGAATCATTATCAAATATTTTTCATTGTGATATATCATTAAAAATTGCTGCAAAATCTTTTCGATAATAATCATCTTGTAAAATCTTGGTTTTAAATTCCTTTGATATTGGCACTAAAATTTGGTTTATGACCCTTAAAGTTAGGATCTTTGGAAGTCACTCGGAAACAATAACCACCCAATGGTTGTTTGATTTTCTGTTCATCAGTCAGAAAATGGCGACATGATGTTACATACATTACATCCAGATTTGGACCACCAAAACAAACGGATGTAATCAACGAAGTTGGCATTTGTATTGATTGCAATAGTTTACCTTCAATTGTAAATAAACAAATCTGGCAATGTTAGTATGTGATGTGATATATTTAATACATTTATTATACAAACCATTTTGGCCATCAATATTGACTATTCGTGATCCTTGAAACATAGCAATCCAAAGATTTCCTTTTGCATCAATCGTCATTCCATCCGGTAGTTCATCCGAAGTGAAATCTTTATTATCATTCATATCCAAAAATATGCGTTTGTTTGCTGTCATGAAAAAAAATTCAATGAGCCATATTTAGAATTAATAGTATGGCCAAAAAAAAACTAACATATTTTTCCATTATCAATGTCATAATCGAATAAAAAGACAGATCGTTTGCCAGAATCGATGTAGTACATTTTTTTCGAATCAAGTGACCAACAAAGACCATTTGATAGAATTACTTGATCCAATTGAACTTCAAGTTTGTTTGTCACCGGATTTAATCGATATAATGCTGCATTTGGTAGATATTTGAAATTATTTTCCATCGTACCAATCCAAATTCGACCGGATGGATCACATTTCCCGTCATTAAAACGAAAACCATTATTTGAAATCTTATCGATTAATTTTTCAGTATTTGTTCGAATATCCAATAAACGTAAACTGGTTCCGACACTTATGACAACTTTATCATTACCATTATCATTAACTGGTAATACTACACTCACAACTTCATCATTATTCTTATAAAGTTGAGAGAATTTTCCATCAGAATCATATGTTGCAACAAGACCAGTTAAAATGTCAACAAAATAAAGTTTGCCATCCACTGGATTCCAATGTGGTCCTTCGCCCAATTCAAATGCCCGATCCGATAATGTTTCAATATTGAACATGATTATTGTTTATTGAATATTGGTTGTGTGTTTAATCCTTTACTGCTATGGTTGAATAAAACAAATTTTTACGACCTACAATCATATTGAAGGACAATTTATTTATCAAACAAATCGATTTATCAATAAATCGATTTGAAAGATGATAAATAACAAATAGACATCAAAAAAAAAAAATCGACATTCATATATCAATCAAACAAAATTAGAGGATCAATCAAATGACAAAGATGTGTACGTATATTATTTTCCCTGTAAAATTTCGAATTTTTTTTTTTTTTGGATGTTGTTTGTTGTTGAATTGGATTCTATTTTTTTTTTTTTTTCACATGGTCATTGTCAAAACCAAAATGCCGAATATGTTATGCGTGAAGCAATAGATTATTTGATCAATTGAAAAGAGAGAAATTGTACCATATATATAGTTTTTATATATTCTGAGTATACTGGTTGTGTACAATAATGTTGGCTATATCAGCCATTCCACATTTAAAAAAAACGAGCAAGATCGACTCCCAAAGCCAAAATCAAGTCAAGTCACATAGGGAGACAACAACAACAACAGACAAAAGATATTTGCCATCTGCCAGATCATATATGATTGAATGAATGACTCAAAGTCTCTCTCTCTCTCTTTCTCTCGTACTTTCTATCCATAGAAATAATCTCATTTTTTTTCAATATTTTTGTTGTCGTCGTTGTCGTCGTCGTAGTTTGTTGTTGGTTGGTTGATGTGTTTAGTTGTTTTGATTGTTGAATAAAATATTTTAGTTGATCATTGCCACTAATTTTCATATTATATATCATCGAACAAATCATCATTAAACCAAAATAGTATATACGAAATAATGACTGTATTTTTTTTCATGTTCATCATCATCATTCGACAGTAACAACTATCAATCATTCTAAATCGAAATTTTCTACATTGAATTTTCTATTCATCGATTTTCTTGATTATAATCGTTGTTATTGTTATTGTTTTTGTTTTTGTTGTTGTTGGTTTTTATTTCTTTGTTATAAATTTGTTTTTTTTATATAATTTTCACATAATTCCATATTTGTACATACACGTTGTACGAGGGAAGAGGAGTGGTATTGTTTGAGTTTTATTTGTAGGTGTATATCAATATCTGTCATCATTTTTTTCATTCCACGTTTATATTGATTTATATATTGAATCGAACATTTTACATTCAAATCAAATTGCCTTAATTTTTTTTCAACAATCTTTCATCATCATTTTTCAATTTCAAAAAAAAAAAAATTATATAAATTATAAATCATGTCGTTGACTAAACTTGAACGTGATAAACAAAAATTAGTTCAGGATAAATGTCAACAAATATTAACAGAATTGTTACGTGATGAAGATAATAAATATTGTGTTGATTGTGATTCAAAAGGTAAAATAAACAAAATTGTTTCATTAAGAATTTTTTTTTTTTTCATTAAATAAATTTTATTAATAATTATAATAAATCCAAAAAGGACCACGATGGGCATCATGGAATTTAGGCATCTTTCTATGTATTCGTTGTGCTGGTATACACCGAAATCTAGGTGTACATATATCAAAAGTAAAATCGGTCAATCTTGATTCTTGGACACCCGAACAAGTTGGTTCCATACAGAATATGGGCAACAGTAAAGCAAGAGCTGTTTATGAAGCAAATCTTCCGGATAATTTTCGCCGTCCACAAGCGGACACTGCCTTGGAATCATTTATACGTGCAAAATATGAACATAAAAAATATATTGCTAAAGAATGGGTGGAAACGCCACCAAAACCAGCGGTAGGTGTTTATCGTCATTGTTCATTCTCCGAGTCAATCTCAATTATAACTTTTTCTTTTGATTAATTGTTTTTCCCATATATCAGTTTGATGTAGAAACTGAACTGAAAAAAGAAAAGGAAAAGAAAAAGAGTAAAATTATCAAACCCATCGTACCAATCAACGGTCAGACTGAAATTCAAGTAAGTATTTTTCAAATTTTTCGTTGAAAACAATTTTTCCATCAAATTGTTGTTTATTGTGCCCAGTCAAATCCGATTCCACGTCCTACACCGAATTCAAATGGTAAAGTGGAAAGTAAAGCATCGAATACACCACAGCAACAGAAATCAGAATCAAATCAAACAGCGTCATCATCATCTGCCGATCTATTAAATTTGGATTTAGGTTCAACCAATAATAACAACAATGAAGTTTTCGGTTTTTTCGCTTCGGCACCCGAAACTAAACCAGCAACAACAAAATCAAACGAAAATGATCAATCGTTGATTAGTCAATCAAAGGTAACTAAATCATTAGATGACGAGGAAAAGGATTTTTTAATCAAAAAACAACAACAATGGGTGACAATAAGGAAGATGTGAAAAAACTGACAAAAGAATCCATATTATCTCTGTATTCACAAACACCGACCAATTTGTTAAATGGAACAGCATATAGTGGCAATAGCAATACTTCATCATCATCATCATCAATGTCGAATCCACAATTTTCTAGTTTAAATCCATTATTTAATCCTGTTGCTGCTTCTAATCATCATAATCAGGTAATAATTTTTGTAAAAATGGTGAAAAATTCATTTATATTTAACAAAAAAAAATTAGGCCAACTTGATACCACAGCCCGCATCGACAAATCCATTTTTGGCCAACAATAATCCATTGGCAATGATGAATAGTGGCGAATATTCACAACAGCAATCAATGATTCAAGTAACCAAATAATAACGATTCTTATTAAGCGAGTTTTTCATATTTTTTTCCAATAAAAATGTATATTTCAGGGACTTTCTTCGTTACACTTGAAACCAACGGCAACAACAACAACTGCGACCAATCAAATGATGCCATTGATGATGGGCGGCCAGCAAGCACAAAATATGAATTGGTTTAATATTGGAAATAATAATAATAATAATAATCCTATTGGATTGTTATCAACAAATTCGTCAACGTCATCATCAATGGCGGCCAATCCTTTTATCGGTGATCAATCATTATCATCGTTAATGATGAACAAGAATTCAGTTTTAATTCCTCAACAATTGAAATCGAATGGCAATACAACTAGTAACAGTGGTGTGGACCAATTTGCCATCGATAATAGCAAAAAGAATGATTTAAACAATTTGAATTTTTGGTGATAATTAATTAATTAATTAATTAATTAACCAATTAATTCTGATACTGAGAAAATGAAATGGTATTTTTAGGGCCATTTCAAAACGAAAAAAAAATTAACCGATTTGTTTGTATCATAATATAATTAAGTATCATTAAAATTTAAATTATCAAGTGAAAAATTAAAATTCAATTTGATTAAATCAAACTGTTACGAAAATATTTTTAGTTGATTTTTTTTCCCGAAAAAAATTCGTCACCATGGCAACTTATATTGTTTTTTATTTCACAAATTATTTCAACTTTACAAAATTTGGTTTTGTAATTTGACTTTTTTTCATCTTTAAAATGGTCACAGGAAATTCTCAACAAATTCTGGTCGATTATTCTAAACGACCAGATTTGAATGATCAAATCAACGGATCGATTGATATTAAATTCATTATAAAACGATTAAAATTAAAAGGATGGAAAATAAACATGTAAATACCGTACTTGGTTTAATTAATGACTAATTTTCATTCATTTTCATTTTAGAAACAAAGAAAGCCTGACTGAAGATTTGATTAACAAACATCGAATTTTAGTGTTGTTTATGCCGCAACTGAAATTTGCCGATTTCGAATTCACTGCATTGAAACAATATTTGGAAAATGGTGATGGTAAAATCCTGGTACTTCTGGAGGAAGGTGGTGAACGAAAATCATCTAGTAATATAAACTATTTCATTGAAGAATATGGAACTTCAGTTAATAATGGTGAGAATGAAGAATGATAAATTTGAATTTATATTTTTAAATTTAATGACAACTTTTCATAAACAGATAAAGTGATAAGGACATCGTTTTATAAATATTATAATCCAAAAGAGGTATTGATTCAAGATGGCGTCATCAATCGTTCATTGATTAATCATGCTTTACAATTCAATTTGATTCAATCACAAAATGTCTCACAATCATCATTATCGTATCTGTATCCATTTGGAGCCACATTGAATGTAGCCAAGCCATCGTTACCGGTTCTATCTTCAGGTAAAACATCATTTCCTCCATGTCGTCCTACTTGTTCATTTTATGAACACGAAGGCGATAATAATAGAGAAGGTGGAAGGATGATTATCTTTGGTTCTGGACATGGATTCACAGATAAATATATCAACAAAGAAAACAATGTCATCTTGTTTGATTTATTTTTAAATTATTTGCAAGACAAACAATTCAAACTAAATATGATTGATTCATTGAATCCAGAAATCAATGACTATCATGTTGTACCGGATTTAGAATCATTATGTAATGATCCAATGTTATATCTGGAAGAGAGTGAAGAATTACCGATCGATTATTCAACATTATTTTCAAGAAAAATCAAAAAAATTTCTAATCTTTCTTTAGCTACTATTAATGGAACATTCAATGAGCTACAGATTGAAAAACGAACATTACAGGTGATCAAACCACATTTTGAAACACCACTTCCAGGTTTACAACCAGCCGTATATATGCCGATATTTCGTGCACATACGAAACCGGAATTGGAATTATTTGATTTGGATAATGAATTTGCATCGGTTCAAAGTAAACTAGCCAAATTGGCTAATAAATGTAACAATAATGATGTTGAATATTTTATTTGTGAATCTGGCCTAATTTTTGGCCTAGATATGGCCAATTTGAAAGAGAAAAATGTTTGCAAACATATCCTATATATGGTTGCAAGTAAGATTGTTTCATTCAAAAAGATTAATAATGATTAATTATTACATATAACATTGATTATTTAGTTTGCACATTTAATTTATTGAAAAAGTATAGCTTTTGAATATGATTATTATGATGATGATGATGATGATGATGATGATAATTTTAAATATTAAATCAATTATATAAATATTATTCATTCTGGATGTATATTCTCATTAAAGCCATCAGTTTCATTGACCAATGCACGTTCGAGTATAACTTTACCCTCTTTATATCGTTGATTATCTTCGGTGGCAAATTCATATATCCATCCCAGTTTTGTATCACAATTTTTACATGATACATCGCGGACCATATGTCGTCCGGTTAGCATAACACGATCTTGTACTTCACTATGATTGGATTAAACAAATGATTATTGGATATCATCATACAATATAATCGAAGATATCGAATTTCGATAAAACAATTTACTAACCTATAGCTTAGATTGACCACATTATTAAATAGGAATGCGCGGCCCGTGGCCCCAGTAAATCTGGTACTTAATAATTGATTTCGATTTGTTAATGGTGTTTCACAACTGGCACAAACATATAAACGTTGGCCACCAATGTGTTTCAAAAATACACGTCCCATTTTCCGTTAAATGTAAATTTTTGTTTGTATGAATCGATTTGATATTTAAAAGAATTTTATTCAAAATGAACCTTTTTAACAGTTGTAGAAAATTACAATCATCATCAATGAAAATTGATAAAAAAAAAAAAATAAATAATTGTGTTCACAGCTCAGACGACAAACTGCGTCAACAAAAAAAAGAAAAGAAAAAATGATTTAGAAAGAAAAGAACACGCGCATGCGTTTTAAACATGGCCATAAAAAGTTTAAGCTCTAGTTTTCGAATTTGGAATCGAAATGAAGATAATTCCGTTTCAAAATTCCGATAATAAATCAAATAGACGGAGATAATTGTTCTTCAGATAATATTGTTATACCAGACATTATTGCGTTGAATTCATCTTCAAATTCATCCGATAAATGGTTTAATTTTTCATCGAAATTTTGATTCATTCGCAATAATCGCTTGATTGTCATTGATTCATCGATACAATCGCTATTATCATTGAATCTTTCTTTTGCTTTTATTTTGTCATCATCCATTAGAATTTGTAGTACATTTTGCTGAAACATTTGTCCAAGTTTAGTTTGTATGTCTTGAGATTTTGTTTCTTTTCGACGGATCGGTAACGATGATTCTGTATTGATGAACTGTGTTTCAGGAATTTCTGAAAGGAATAATGTCATATCTTCATTTGAAGTAGATAATCGTTCATCAGATTTTGGTTCATCATTTGAAATCAATGATAGTATTAATTTTGTAGTCAAAATAGTTTCAAATTCATACACCTTTTTCTCATCAATAGGAATTCTTCTTGTAGATGTTTTGAAAAATTTTTTGGGTTTTTCATGATGATTAGCGTCATTGGTATTTTTTTTCTTTACATCTTTATTTTGATTATTAATCATTGAATTTTTTGATCGTATATCAAGTTCATTTGTTTGATCATTTTTACTATTTTGATTTTTATCCAGCTGTTGCAAGATTTGCGTACAAAGATCATCGGCATCTTGATTATTCATTATTTCATAAGAATCGTCTTTGGATTGTTTTTTTTCATGATTATTTGACTTAAATGACGATGAACCATTAGTGCTTCTATGATGATTATTATTATTATTACTTGTTCCATTAGTATGCATATCTGATGATGATAATAATAATAAGATAACAAAAAAAACAAAAGAAAAAAATTGCTCAACAAATTCTAATCACCAGACAAGCAAAACACAAACACTGAATGAATTTTTTTTTTACTTTGGAATGAATTCAAAGCTCATTCTGGTTTATACACGACAAGTAATTTAGATTGCAATAGCCGACCAATTTTCATTTCAGAAAATATTTCATTTTTTTTTCATTGTTGTCCATTTTATCATCGATTTCATCATCCTTATTTTTTATATCATTGTCAACACTCAAAATGGAAATGTTTGATTTGAAAAATATTAATCTTTATGAATTGTTTGATCTCAATAAAGAATGTACTGAATCAGATATCAAAAAAGCCTTTCGTAAAAAGGCTTTAATACATCATCCGGATAAAAATCCAGATGATCCAAAAGCAAAAGAAATATTTCAAAAATTATCCAAAGCTTTAGAAATATTGACTGATGAAAAAGCAAGAGCTTCTTATGATAAAATATTGCAAGCTAAAATTGATCGTGAAATACGTGATAGAAAATTTGATGCTAAACGAAAAAAATTCAAAGATGATCTGGAACAAAAAGAAAAATTTGCCGAACAAGTAACAATCATCGAAGAAGAGGAACGATTAAAACGAGAAATTGAACGTATCAGAAAAGAGGGGTAATTTTGTTTTTGACAATTTTTTTTTAAATAAATATTGTATTAACCATTTGTTTAATCCATACAGATCGAAACAATTAGAAGAAGAAAACCAATTGCTGAAGAAAAAGCTAAATGAAAGTATCAATCAAGCAAAATCATTGTCACGAGGTAACAATGTCATCAAAGTCAAGCTTAAAAAACGTTCCAAAGATTCAAATATAATCATTACTGATGAATTGATTCATAAAAATTTCAAACATTTTGGATCGATATTATCGATTGTCAAGATGAAAAAATCAGCATTAATCGAGTATGAACATTATGATTCATTGAAAAGGATTGCAGCAAACTGTCCGAAAGGATTTGAATTTGAAATATTAAATGTTAATCGTTGTGATTCAACCACAGAAGTAGCCGCAGCAGAAAACCTGGAAAATGCTGAAAAATCCAGTAACAATAATAACCAAAATGATAATTCAAAAGTACAGCAAGAAACCGCTTTACCTACTGTCGATAAATGTGATGATAATGATTATGAAGAATATATCCTCAAAAGATTGCAAGAAGCTGAACAGAATAAACGCAAACAATGCACGAAAGAAGTTTGATTGATTGATATCCGATTGATTTATTCACTTTCAAAAAAAAAAACATAATCACAAATATATACATTTTACATGAAATCATCAGAATCGTAACCATCCTGTGAACAAATTTTCAATTAAAACGGTCAAATTAGTTGAAAAACATTGGCAAGGAAAAACGAACCTCATTAGTTTTCATATTTTCTGTTTTCATAACATAATCATAGCTACGAAGTTTAGCAGCTTCTTCCCGTCGTTTTGTTTCCTCTTTTTCTCGTAATCGTATCTCTCGTTGAATATCTTTCTCTTTGTTTCGTTCTTTACGATCTCTTTCTTCACGTTCTTGTCGCAGATCAACATTATTTTTGACCACCTTTTTTTAATCAAATAATCGAGCTGTTTTTATATAATAGTATTAATAAAAAAACTTTTTTTTACAAACCTTGGTCTTGTTTAGCCTGTTGACAATTTCATTAATTCGTTTTTGTACTGAAATCGATCTAACTTGTTTGTAATCATGGAAACCAACTTGTCCAACTTCCATATCGGCCGTTTTCTTTAGATTTGTCCAAAACGTATAAACGATATTCAAGTTGCTTATTTTATTCCCTTTTATACTGTTTGCTTTGACCAATTGAGCACAATCATCCAAAACGGTCGATGGAATATCGTCCAAAGTTTCACCCGGTTTCAAGCGTAAATATACATGTGCAGAAGATTCTTTATCCACATGAAACCAAACATCTTCTGGCCATGCCCATTTCAGTAATTCTTCATCTTTTTAAATAAGATTTGATGATTAAATAAAACAAAATAAATTACATTTTCAAGACTTACTTTCGAATTTATCGTTACCCATGTAAATTAAATAGGGTGGTGAAACAACTAGAAGAATAAAAAAATTTTGAATATTAATTTTTTCCTTAGAAAATAAGAAATTACCTTCACTTGTAAAATATAAAACCATTTTTTTAGGAAAATTTAAAAAAGAAAATTTGGTCCTTTAATGTTTTTCGAAAAAAATCACACGAGATCAACATGCATAAAAAGTACTATAACATCGATTCTAACTACAGATGGCAGCATACGTTATTTTATTAGACCGTACTATATGATTGGTCAATTAAATGTGCCACATTTTTGTTTTGGCGCCCGAAATGAATGAACGTTTATTTTTTTTTTGCAATCAACAAAAAATCATTTTGAAACTTGTTTATGATCGGAAAACAGAATGTCTTTTCTATTTGAAAGTCCAGTGAAAACTGTTGAAGAACTTCCTTCGCTTAAATATTATCCAATATTTGATAAACGTTGGTCAAGTACAGTGAAAACTATTGAAAAGAAAAATGCCACCAATTCAGGTGGTGGTAAAATCAAACGACCAAGATCGACGAGCAAAATCAGTCGTAAACCATATGGACGAAAAAAACTATTCGATTCTAGCGAACAATATGTATTGGATTTTGGTCAGAAAAATTTCGATGCTAAACGCTGTCCAACCTGTAATATGCTCTATACGGTGGGTGAGATTATCGATGAGAAAACGCATCAAGAATATCATGACATGTTTGTCAATAGTCTAAAATATCGTGATTGGAAAAATGAAGATGTTGTCAATGCTTTTGATGATGGCAGAATATTGCGTGTGTTGCCTTCATCCCCACATTATATGCATAAAAAACTGGATGAACTGTTCAAAGTTGCCGACATCGAATTGGGTATCAATGTGGATTTGAAATCATCAATGAAATCAACATCTCAATTTTTCATTTTCATTTCATTGCCATCTAAACGTATTACAGGATTCGTATCTGCTGAACGTATTAAATATGCTAATAAATTATTGTCAGAAAATCCATTAATGGCCAGTACCGATGAATATCCTGCCGAATGTGGTGTATCACGAATATGGACACATCCAAATTTTCGACGTAAACAAATCGCCACTCGTTTGTTAGATACACTGAGAAAGTCATTTTACAATAACAAAATTGTACCTTTAGATCGATTAGCATTTTCCGATCCAACGGTGATTGGTAAAGATTTTGCTAAAGCATATACCAAAATGGATCGATTCTTAATCTACCTATATCGACATATTGTTGAACAAGATACTGAATTGATTGATAAAAATTAATGTTCATCATTCCATTTTTTCATTGCCAACATCATCATCATCATTTGATGATAAAATAACTGTGTTCAATTTTTTTTTATAATAATAATGATGATGATTATTATATGTTTTTATGTTACAAAGTTCAATACAATAATTTTGTACCTTTCAAGTTTGATTGTTAGTTCAAAGCCAAGTTATCATGTATAGATCACATGTACATTATAAATGGAAAAAAAACGAAAGGAGTGAATGTGAATGTGATAACGATTACGTCAGTAAAATTAAAAAAAAAAGAAAGAAAGAAAAACTAATACATTGGACTTTTGATTCATATAAGAATCACATACCTATCATATGTCATCATCATTAAAACAAGTATATGATATTATTACCTCATCAAATGTACATAATAAAAATAAAACAATTATAAGTTGCCATCATCCACAAATAAATCGATTTTTTATTATTCACGTATGAATTTCAAATTTTCAACATAATCCATTAACCAATGAACCACTGTATTATATATGTTCAATAAAGGGTTAAATCAATCATCATTTGATGATGATGACTACTCAACCATGATGGTGGTTCATCATCATGGCATTTATTATTTAACCATACTTAAATTATCAAAAAATAAATAAAGGCGTAATAAATAAAGACACAGAAACACAGATCAAATTCAATTATCTGCGTATTTGTGTGTGTGTGTATGTTTGTAATATCATCATATCATCATCATCATTGTTTATGATCGGTTTCCATGTTTATATGTTCGGTTTTGTTTTTCTTTCTTTCTTTTTTTTGTTTTTGTTTTGATTGCAAAATTTTGGTAATTGATGACGACTGTTTTTCTATAGTTTTTTTTCTTGTTTTTCTTTCAAAATATATAATCAATTATTATTATTGGAAAAACAAAAATGACCACACTGATCTATGATCAGCGTGTGTTTACACACACATATATATTATAATTAATTAATTAATCCACGATTCAATGATCATCGAATCGAATACATTTATTTTGGGGATGAAAAAACGAACAAAGTGAATTTTTTTTTTGCCCTTCGTTTAAATTTCTTTTTTTTTTTAATTTTTCATTGTTATCAAGTTGTTTCTATATTATCATCATATAAATATAATGCTGCTATAGTATATGTACACTTGCATTTATTGCTTTTCGTATTTTTTCTTTTCTCTTCATTCATTCCATCATTCTATATCACATATAACTCAATTTTGATTTGTCGTCTGTGTATATAATTTTTTTTTTTTTAAACGCAAAAAAATGTATATGAGATTCATTGGAAAAAAAACAGTTTTGATTGTTGGATTGTTATTTTGTTTTGGCCATACCAGTACAAAACACAACACACACACACAACATTGATTTCATCATTCAACAATCACAGCTCAATAAGTTTGGTCAATACACTTGCTATATTGCGACGCGACAACTGTTGAGTATTTTTTTTTTCTTGTGAGTTTATAGTGTGTCCATTGAAATTTATTTTGTTTTTGTTTTGTTTTGTTTTTTTTTTTTTTTTTTGGAAAATTCATCATTGCATTCATAGTGGCCAATATTTTTTGTTGTTATTGTTGTTGTTGTTATTGGATATTTGGATATACAAAATTCCAATCATTCATACTGCTGAAGCCGCCTATATAGGATTCATACGAAGACCACCGACACACAAGGAAACTATAGATTTTTTTTTCTCTGTGGTTCTCCATAAAAAAAAAATTCCTGGCATCTGTTTTATCATTTTTTGGTGATCATTTTTTTTTTGTTCTGGTTGTTATTTGTTCGTGTGTGTGTTTGTGTGTATGTTCCGTTACTTTGGATATATAAATCCCTTCACTTTTAACATCGATCGATTTTAAATTTCATTATTATCTGGCATTGGAAAATAACAATTCAAAAAACGAAAAATCAAATATCTGTGGCGAAAATATATTATTATTTTTTGTTTCTATTAAATCTGGATTTTCACATTCATTTCGGTTTTCTCCGGTTTTCATTGCTTGTATAATGTAAAATAACAAAAAAAAATTCATCCTTGATAACACACACACAATTTACTCATCATTTGTTGCTGCTATAACATTGAAACACATTTTTTTATTATTATTATTTTCTAAGGTAATTATAATTTTTTTTCCTTTTGGTTTCCTTGGTTATTTTTTTTTGTATAATAAAATTTTTTTTTCACATCCCGGTAATATTATCCGTAATAAATAAGTAATAACTAGAAAAAGAGAAAAAAAAAATTCAGCCACTTGTTGATATCAATCATCGTGTGTTACATTGTTATCGATTATGTGATAATAGATCGATGGGCATCCGATAGCCAAATAAATTTTAAAAACCGGAGATTGGCGCCAATTATTATTATTATTATTGATCACAGATGATGATGTTTTGATTTCAATGATTGATTGATTGATTGATTATTATCTATTTCAATTATTGATTATCATAAATCCGGTCCGGTTTTTTTCTCACTGTTATCCAAAAAAAAAAAATTGATTAGGGAAATTCCATTAATTAATCCAATAATTATGATTGAAATTTCGAATGCAAATAAAAAAAAACAATGAATTAAATATTGCCCAATATGGTCATGAAATTATCATCAACAATTCACATTCATTGAACAAATAATCTATCGATGTGTTTAATGATTCGTAACAATTCAAACAAAATGTGTACATTTTTTTTACATTTACATCTACTATATATATAAATGATGATGATGATGATTTGTTTGTACAATTATTATTGATTCAAATAATTTTTTTCTAAAAAATTATTTAGTAGAATCTGATGATCGATTGTTTGTAGTTTTTTTTTGTTTCGACAATATAATCCATTTATGTTCAATTTTTCTTTCTTACCACCATCTGGTATGTATGTGAAAATGTTTTTTTTTTATATTTACATAAAAAAATAATCATCATATATCATATATAATATATAATATATAATAACCGTTATATAAAATGATGATGATGATGATGATTATTATAATCGAAACATTGTGTCATACTTTGAATGCATGTATGTCAAATCATCAATCAATACACATGTATTATCCAAATATACATGTGTGCGTCATGTGTGTATGTGTATATGTGTTGATGATTTGATGATTGATCTGAATTTAAATTTTTCATAACAGTATAATTATATGGAAGACAACAAAAAAAAAGAAGTGGGATGAGAGAAAATCGAGACAACCAAAAAAAAAAAAAGAAATCACTCCTGTCACCGACTTGGAAACCGATTAATTGATGATGTAGATTTATGATGATGATGATGATGATATGACGATGATAGAAAAAAAACGGCGATGACTAAAGTTTATTATTAATGGATTTAATAGTGTTGGTATAGTGGTTAAGGTTGAAGTTTTTTTTTTTTTTTTTTGGTTATCGATAATAAGATATGATGATGATGATAAGAGATGTCTTCATTTTTGGTTTTAGATTTGATTTCATTTTTTTTCATTCATTCACTCATTCATTCATTTGTATATGGTTAGTATATTGTTTGTCACACATTGCACACGATGTCATCCGTTTTTTTTTAATAAATATAATTCTCATCTCACAATTCAAATAAAATAAAATAAAAAATTATTATTATTGTTCTTCTTCTATGACAAAATCCTATTTCCGATATAAATCATCATCGAATCAATGACAACAACACACACACACAAGAGCTAAAAATCTTCCTAATCTTTGTCAATTATTATTGATTGATTGATGATAATATATATTGGAACTAACAAGCATTTCAATTGATTTGATTTTTCCGATATAATTGATGTATGATTGCAATTTTTTTTGCTCCATCCTCCCCCAATCGCATTTTTTTGCCACTCGTTTCATTTCAATTATTTGATGTTTCAAATCAAATACAAATATCTAAAAAATCGCGTTCTCTTTTTATTTGATTTGATTATGTGTTCAAAATCAAAAAGACTGACACACACTTGTACAGAAACCAAAAAAAAAAAAAAACATCGTCACAAGACACACCACGCATACCACACACATCAATAGATCAATCAGAAAAAAACAAACAAAAATCAATAATCACAAAGAAAGAACGTAACACACAAAAAAAAATCTGATCAAAAATTTTCTTTTTATTTGTTTTTTTTCTTGTTACATTCAGAATTGACCAATCAAATAATAATAACAGATATAAGCCAATCAACTGATTAAAAAAAAGAAGAAAAGAGATGGCCATCATTGCCAATGTGGTTGGCTCCGAAGTATGGGAACAACAATTGAAGAATAAAAAATTTACCGTCTACAAGATAATCGTTCAATATGGGCAACAATCATGGACATTCTATCGACGATACAATGAATTCAGCACATTATGTGATTCTGTAAGGATGTCATTTTTTTGTTATTTCTTTATATTCAATTCAATTCTAATTATTTTCAAATTTGATCATGTCATTCAGCTGAAAAAACAATATCCATATCTACATTTAAAATTGCCGGGAAAAAAATTGTTTGGCAATAATTTCAGTACAGATTTCATTAAAAATAGACGTCAAGGTCTTGATACATTGGTGCAACGAATTTTTGCTGAACGTCAACTTTTAGATCAGTAAGTGTTTGTCCCCATTTTTGTGAAAAAAAAAATTTTTTTAATCATTCTTTTACTTTTTTTTCTTATAGAGAACAAGTACGAGCATTTTTTCAATTAGATCGAAGTCTAAAAAGTAGCATGGAAGACGATGATGATGAAAATTTGACGACAAATACAAATTCCAATTCAAATGTAGATGGTGTAATAAAAAATGTTAATCTTGGTCCATCAGAAAAATCTACCGTTCAGCCCAGTGATTTTGAATTTTTACGTACAATTGGAAAGGGAAGTTTTGGCAAGGTTTATTCGGCACGACATATCAAAGAGGATAGAATATATGCCGTTAAAGTACTCAATAAGAAAATGATTTTGAAAACAAATGAAAAAAACCATATCATGAGTGAACGAAATGTTTTACTCAAAAATCTCAATCATCCATTCCTTGTTGGTCTTCATTATTCTTTCCAAACAAAAGATAAACTTTATTTCGTTCTTGATTATGTCAATGGTGGTGAAGTAAGTTTGTAAAATTATATGCGTGAAAATATTCTGAATTTTTTTTTTCGTTTTGATTTAGTTGTTTTTTCATCTAAGCAAAGAAAGAACGTTTGCCGAATCAAGAGCACGATTTTATGCTGCTGAGATAACCAGTGCTATTGGTTATCTTCATTCACAAGGTATAATATATCGAGATTTGAAACCAGAGAATATTCTACTCGATTTCGAGGGTCATCTTGTTTTGACGGATTTTGGCCTATGTAAAGAAGGTCTTAGAGAACGTGAAACAACCAATACATTTTGTGGGACACCCGAATATCTTGCCCCGGAAGTTTTACGTAAAGAAGCTTATGATCGTTGTGTTGATTGGTGGTGTTTGGGCGCCGTACTCTATGAGATGCTCAATGGATTGGTAATTGGTTATTTTTTTTTTAAAAACAAAGAACAAATCCCATTAACTTTTTATTCATTTTAAATTTAAAAATAGCCACCATTCTATAGTCGTGATAATGCCGAAATGAATGATAACATTTTGCACAAACCAGTCAGATTAAGGGCAAACATTTCGGTTGCTGCAAGAAATATTCTTGAATCGGTAAATATTTAAATCAGAAAAAAAATAAATAAAATAATAATTATTGTTGAAATAATCACATAGCTATTACAAAAAGATAAACGAAGACGTTTAGGTGCCGTCGAAGATGCAGAAGAAGTGAAAAGGCATGAATTTTTCAAGCCAATTAATTGGGTTGATCTGGAAATGAAAAAAATTCCACCACCATTTAATCCGAATGTGGTAAGATTTCTTTCTTCTTTTTTTCCGATACTTTTATCATAAATTTACTAAATTTATCATCATGATAATTAATCGAATCTTTAGAGAGATAATTATGATCTGAAAAATATCGACCCAGAATTTGTACGAGAATCGATTCCAAATTCGGTAATCAAAGCACATGGTGGATTGGGAACAACGGCAAGTTTGAATGATAATTGTTTTCAAGGATTTTCATACGCTCCTGCCGCAACTATAACGAATTTTTGATAAAATGTAAAACACATAAACGAAACAAAAAACAAATAGGCCATTTTGTTTTCAATTCATTATCTTTATTATACTATACTATACTATTATTAATGATGTTTTCTTTTTTTCAAATTTTTTTCTATAATATTTGTACAAAAAAAAAATTCCATCTTCAGTTAGACACATTATTGTTGTTATCAATCAGATCATTGTTATTGAACGTTTTTTTTCTTATTTCTGATGTAATAATAATAAAAATAATGATTCGTAATTTATTCAAAATTCATCATTTTCGTTATTGTTATCATCATCATCATCATTATCGGAACTATTTGATGATGATGATGATGATGTATTTGTTTCGGATCGATCATTATTCGATATTGGATATAAACATGTTGGACGAGTTTTTACATATATTTTTCTATCCAATGTTCGTTGTGTTTTAGTCATTGTATGTATACGAACAAAACGATCTATACTACATGAGAATATTTTATGCGAAATTTGTGAATCTTGAATGGATTTTATATCACGAACCGAACCACCACTGAAACCTTTGAATGATCCCAATATCTTGGAGCCATTAGTTTTCATACGTAGATCAACGGTAATCATACGTCCTGATGTTGTTCCAACAATCAAACTTGACGATGCTTGGCCATAATGTGATAAACTTGGTAATGAACATAAACTAGTAAAAGACAAAGGATTTGAGCTATGATCATTGTTTAAATGTTTTAAATTGATTATCATTGTTGGTTTTCGTTGCTGTTGTTTGATATCATAAATACGAATGTATGGTTCACTTCGAGAACATGTTGCCAATAAATGTGAATCATTTCCATTCTCTGAACCAATCCATTCGATATCGCTGATCCAAATATCGTGTCGAATTCCAAGCCAATCGGTGTTAACTGGTTTAGCATTAAACACTGACCGACCAGTGTTTAGATCGAAAACTTTCAAATCAGAATTGAAGCCACCAATGGCCAATTTATCTTTGAGGGCTTCAAAACATGTTAAATGGGTATTATCAACATTCCAATTTGGCTGAAATATGGACAAAATATTCTGTTGTTCATTGGAGATTTCATTAGCTGTTTTCGATGTTTTTATTGAAAAACTATCGTCAATTCTTTTCCGTTTTCTCGATGGAGTTGGTGATGTTGCAAATGATGTTACGGATGAATCGATTCCCAATAGATTGATTGCTTTTAAATTTGGTTTATATCGTGCAAAACAAAGATCATTCTCAACGTTGATACGTTTGATTGAACCATCTTTAAAACCGATGACAATATTCTGATCATCAATACATCTACTACCAATTAATGGTGTCTTGTTTTCATTTATATATTTAATTGGTCGAACTTCATGTGTGGTGGCATCATAAACGAAAATTTCATGATCTTTTCTCGCAATCAAGAAATATAATTCCGTAGAATTTGAATGAACTTTATTTAATGGATGTATTGATACGATACTTTTTGATGGATGTTTTGCTTCATCAGGTATCAATTCAATGATTTGCGTTTCATTTTTCTTCAAATCAATTCGTTTTAATTGCCCTATTTCATCGCCAACAAGAATTGCACTTGGTTTAGGATGGCGATTCATTTTCAAAACAAAATAATAATAATAATAATTGAAATTAATAATCAAAACAAAATTGTCATATGCAAGAAATATTCTTGCTCTGCCTATAGAACCACGTTGCTATATAACTATGTTTATGGATTGTGTCATGAGCATGCTTGTTCCAAATGGAAAATAAATTTTTTTTTTGTAAAATAAGAATGGATTCTTTGGACTAATTTTTTTAATAAATTAAAAAAAACCATTTAAACAAAATGAAAACAAAAGTCAAAAATTTAGGGTTTCAAAAAAAATCGTTTATTCATAGAAAAAAAAAATCATTTTGTCCATTTTCAACTTCACACAAATACATTCATGTTATCAAAATTTCCCATTTTTTGGATAATTTTTTCTTCGTTTCATACAGGATTAATCAAGTTTTTTGAAACCTATTTGACCGGCATACTGTCGAAAACAACGACGACAAATGTTGAGGCCATATTTTCGAATCAAACCATGATGGTTGCTGCAGACACGACTGTTTTGTACCAAAAAAAAAAAAAAAATGCAAAGCACAATGAATTTTAAAAATTAATGATCAAAGAAATTTTAAAATAATGAATTATTAGCAACATACCAGTGTCTGGATCCTGGACCATATTTTCGTGGATGAGAAAACCAAATATTTTGACTACCCATGATAATTTTAGATATTTTTACGATTTTTTCGTTAAGAATAGCAAGCAACACACAACACGAGACAAGTCGGAAAGGAAATACTTTCGTGCCACTCACACTCATTGAACGCATGCGTTTTGCTTTTAACATATTTTCATTCATATAAAACGTTTTATTTTATTGCATTTTATTCTGATCAGACAACGTGTAATTTTTTTTTCACATTTCATCATTTTATTCGAATAGAATTTTTAAAATTTTTATCGTTAAAAAATGGTCCTCGATCTTGATCTTTTTCGTGAAGATAAAGGAGGTGACCCAGAAAAAATACGGACAATTGTTCGTAATCGATTCGCTGATGTTGGAGCTGTGGATGAAGTGATTCTTTTAGACAAACAATGGCGTCAAGCTCGTTTCAATATGGACCAGCTGAACAAATCAAAGAATAAAATATCCAAAGAATATGGAAACAAAGTGAAACAAATGAAACAACAAGGAATAAAAGAAGAAAATAAAGCATCGCAACAGAATCAACAAGGAGATGATGGTGCAAAAGTTTTCAGTGCTGAAGAATTACTTGCCTCTATCAATGAAATCGATGCCAATACTACACTGGAACAATTAAAACGATTGAAAAAACAGGTAGATGATAAAATCGTTACATTCACTGATGAAGTGAATCAATTGGAAGAGAATCGTAACTCGATTCTTCGAGAGATTGGCAATATTCTTCATCCAGATGTCCCCGTTTCAAATAATGAAGAAGAGAATGCTGTCATTCGAACTTTCGGTCAATTTGAAACGAAAGAATTGTCACATATTGATTTGATTCAGAAAATTGATGGCATGGATTGTGATCACGGTGCTGATATTGCTGGTTCACGTGGTTATTTTCTTCGTGGTTTAGGCGTTTTTCTTCAACAAGCAATGATACAATATGCTCTTAATTTCCTATACAATAAGGATTATATTCCTTTATATACACCATTTTGGATGAAAAAATCGCTCATGTCGGCAGTAGCTCAACTAAATCAATTTGATGAAGAACTCTATAAAGTGGTCAGTAGCAAACAAAATCTTGAAGATACGGATGAAAAATATTTGATCGCCACATCTGAACAGCCATTATGTGCGATACATCGAAACGAATGGATGAATCCACAATCATTGCCCATCAAATATGCCGGTTATTCTACGTGTTTTCGCCAAGAAGTTGGTGCACATGGTCGCGATACTCGTGGTATATTTCGTGTTCATCAATTCGAAAAGGTCGAACAATTTATCATTTGTGCACCAAGTAAATCATGGGAACATTTTCATGAAATGATTTCAAATTCAGAAGAATTTTATAAATCTTTAGGATTATCTTATCGTGTCATTAGTATTGTTTCTGGTGCACTAAATAATGCTGCTGCTATGAAATATGATCTTGAAGCATGGTTTCCGGGATCGAAAGCATTCCGTGAATTGGTATCCGTATCCAATTGTACCGATTATCAAGCAAGACGTTTACAGATTCGTTTTGGTCAAACGAAAAAAATGTCTGGCCCTGTTGAATTTGTACACATGTTGAATGGAACAATGTGTGCTATAACTCGAGCAATTTGTGTATTACTTGAAACACATCAAACATCAGAAGGAATCAATATTCCTGAACCTTTACAAAAATACATGCCGGAAAAATATTCAAAATTTATTCCATTCACTCAATAAATCAATTTTAGTTAGTTGAGAATATCTACAAAAATAAATATCGAACCATGTCTTGCTAAATTTTTACATAAAATTTTTTGAATTGAATAAAATTTATTATTCTTCTGTCTAAATAGCCACTCTATTTTGACATTATTTTGTTTTGTTATATAAATCTGCACGCAAAAAAACGGTTTGACAGATTTTTTCAATCAATCAAGAATTTTTTAATCAAGTTTTTAAAATGGACCAAACATCAATCTATGATCAACATTCCATTGCTCTTGATCCTTATAATGGATCTACTTGTGTCGACATATCACAATCGGAAACATTGCCATCAATTTCATTTGATGAAAATTCACAGCAACCGGCCAAAGAATTTTTTTAAAAGATTTACATGAAAAAATTTCCAATCTTCGTGAAGAAAATTTTGATCTCAAAATGAAACTTTACCTTCTGGAAAATAATGACAATTTAATAGGAAATTCTGGTAATATTTAACTTTTTTGATTGTATTAATTTTAATTCTTTTTTTCCGTTTAGAATTAAAACAAAAAGTGATCAAAGAATTCGATCGAAAAAATGAAGAAATTAGAAGTTTGAAACAAACCGTATTTGACAAAGATAAGAAAATTGAACAATTACGAACTTCAATAAAAGCAAGTGTTGATAACATTTACAATGAAAAATTACAAATTGAAAATGATAAATTGAAAATGAAATTAATGGAAATGTTCAACGCATATTCGGATTTATATAATCATGCTAAGAATCTAATGGATGCACCGAATTCTGATCCATCTGAATTGGTCGACAAACTTGATGGCAGTTTAAAAACCATTGAAAAAATTCGAGATTTTCTATGCGAAAATAATATCGATACCAAAATGATCGAAATGAATGAAAAATGTTCAAAGGCTCAACAGACCGATGATTTACAAATATATAGTGGAAAAAATTCACCCGAATGTATGGAAAATCTTCGTTCATTAATCAATGATTTTCGTAATAATAAGCTTAATTATAAAACATTCCTCGAACGATTAGATCAAATATTTGCACAACGTGATCAGATCAAAAATGATACATCTGATGATCAACAATTTAAAAGACAACTCTATTCATCATTATTGAATCAATTGAATAATCTAGATCAATTGAATTCGAAATTATTATCATCGAAACAAAATTGATTTGTTCTGTTTTTTTTTCAAAAACTTGTAATTACTTTGACATTGTATTTGATTATGTATTTGATTAGGATTTTTATTTTTATTTTTGGATTTCATTTTTTTTTTTACTTTTATACACAAAAATTATAAATAAAAAAATTGTCAATCTTCAATGTAAAGAAAAAACTTCACTCAATGTCATCGTTTGTTTGTTATTCAAGATCATCAGAGAGATAAGTTATTATTGTAGTATTGCGAAAAAAAAAATTTATTCATCACACTAATCGATAAATATTACAATTTTTATTGGAAATACGTGATGGGAAAAAAAAGAAAGGAACATTTTTCTCTTTGTTCATCAACGGGAGCGAAAAAAAAATCCTTTTTTTCCATTTGAATTCAATTTGAATTGAAGAAAAACAAAATCAAATCATTCATTAATCAATTTGTTTTTGGATCGATTTGAAATTTTTTTTTTTTTAGTCAAACTTGTTGGAACTTGTTCGAAGGCTTTTGTTGGAAAAAAAAGAGAAATAATTTTTTTCTTTTTCTTTCAAATTATCTGACAATAGAGAGCGCCGTTTGTATGTTTGTAACATTCAACGTGTATCTGTATTTGAATGCAATTTCAAAGTGACACATACAGACATTTGTTCGATCCGGACCAACGTGTTTTTTTTTTTTTTTTTGCTATCCTCAATGCAATTTGCCAAATATACAAGACACACATGAATTGTATGACTTTTTCTCTGTCTGTGTTTTGTGTGTGTTCGTTTGATCATCCAATAATATCGAATGATACAAACTGATGAATGGTTGACTTGCAATTTTGGATTTTTTTTTTGATATACGAACACGTGGTGCTTTCATTGCCCACACACAAACAAGCACACAAGTAAGCAATATTCATCAATCGATTGATCCAAAAAAATTTTTTTTTTTTCTTGACAAATAAACGAATAATATTTGGTTTTGATCAACAGATTTTTTTTTATCAAATAAAAATTAATATTTAATCATCATTCAATAAAAAAAAAATTAAATTATAAATTTCCAAAATCACGTGCTTGAATTGAAACTTGTCAATATCTTTCAGTGTGTGTGTTTGTACGTTCTGGATGTTGATCACCATCATCATCACCATCATCATCATCATCATCAATTGATATATCAAGTTTGTTCTTGTTTCTTACCATTCACATACAATCAATCAATCAAATAAAATCAATCGGGAAAATTTTTTTTTTCTGTTTCACTGTTATCATTATCATCAAATTCATTGCTTTTAATCATCATTTTTTTTATGCAACTAAATCAGGATTTCTTCTCAATATCGCCATCATCATTATTAATACATTGATTTAATTCAATTTTTCTTTCCATATTCCACACACACACACACACACAAAATATTTAAATCTCTTAATACACAATGTGTATTTATAATGTTTTTATTGGATTTTGTCTCATATATGATGATGATCCAAGCAACGATATCATTTTGTCTATATGAATTACATTGCCACATTGCTTCTTGTTTGAAATATTATGTACTGCTATAATTTAATTCAGTTAAATGAATGAAGAGATAACTTGAAGATCATGTTGTTATATGATGTGCAATGTGTTTTTTGTGTGTGTGTGTGTTTATTGTATATGTGTAAAATACATTGGATAATGTGAATATTTTGATGGATAATTTTTATTTGAAAAAAGAGAGAGAGAAGCATATATGAACAAACATATAATAATGTCAGATTGAAAGATTTCTTTATACGAGGATTGAGACACAAACTCAAAGATGTCAGATGAGATTACAAGAAACAAAAATTGTATATACATGAGGTCTGTGAGTACTCGCAAAGACCTGCTGCCATCTCAACATTGAAACGTGTGAAAACCGTCTTGACATGATGAGATCATTTTTAACGTTGAAAATCTATCATCAATCAATGATTTCATATTCAAATGAAATGCCAATGAAATTTTATCAATGAATTTGTTTAGCGATCCAAAAGTTCATACCAGAATGTAAACAATCCATCCGTTGATGCTTAACCTCAGCATATATATTTTTGAAGAAATAAAGTTTACAATTTTTGAAATTTTGTTTGAAATTTTTATATTCATAATAAATGGAATATAGTAGTGGTAATTCGTAAAATTCAAAAAATTTCAAACACGTGATCAAAATAAACAATCGAAATTTTATGTGTGTAATCACAATTTTTGCGTGTATTCGGCTATTTTTTGATGACTTTTTGCGTGGATAAAGTGGATAAATACAAACAAAAATCATGAGTACACTCACAAAATTTTGATTGTTCGACTATATACACTCAAACTATAGTCACCAAGAAATAGCCAAAATACTCGAAAAAAAATCGTGATTACACACGCACTTTTTTTTCTGTGATATCGCGTGCCATGCTACCACCACCACCACCACAATTTGCAAACCACGGCAACCACCATCATCATCATTTTTTAACCAGAAATGTCTTGTGATCTTCCTTAAATATATGTCTAAATGATCTGACATTTTGTGTGTGTGTGTTTGTGTATATATATATATGATGATTATATTTAGGATACATCCACATGCGTGTTTTGAAATCAACAAATTTTTTCATTTTGTCAAAAGAAAATAATGAACAAAAATTTATTTGGAACAAATCAAAACCAAAAGCAATGTGATGATGATCTTTACTGTGATTTCGTTTTTATTTAATTGATTATCTTTATTATCAACAATAATTATCATTCAATAGTAGTAGCCGGATGAGCCGAAATCTTGATTTTGAAAAATTAATTTCGAACCATCATCAATATAGTTGGTGACTTTTTCCTAAAAAGACATTGATTTAATCGAATCTTTCTGTGTGTTCGATTTTTTTCTTTTTTTTATATTTGCTACTCTCATTTTGTACGTCTGTCAAACGATTAATCACATTTTGAATCCTGTTCGCTAAATATAATCATATTCTACGGAACTTGTGTGCCATGAAATTATTGAATAATAATAATATTAATAGACGAGGTAAGAAAAAAAAATTTTTTTTTCATCAATCTCTACTCTTATTTTTTTGATATTTTCACATTTTTTGAAAAATTTAAAAAAATACATTCAAGTCATGCGTATTAGTGTTCAATTTTTTTTCTCTTAAAATCATTGCCGCTTCCGCTTGGTTTTTACACAATAAAACATGTTGCATTATTATAACAGAAATTTTCAAGTTGAAAATGTATCATGGCATTTATCATAATGTCATCTTGTTGTTGTTGTTGTTGTTGCTCTGATTCAATGATGATGATGATGTTCAAATATTCTCGAATGCTTGCGTTACGAATTGAATTCCGTTCACACTTTTGATCTATATGTGTGTGTGTACAAAACATGCATGATGTGGTATACGACAAATGTCTTGTCATTTTGGCATTTTTTTTTATTTTCATAATGGCGATGATGATGATACAGGCACAAATGACACAATGCAATATGTATAAATGACAATTTGGCAATTGTGTACATTTACCATTCAATCCTATAAAGATTCATTCAATGATGATGATGATAATTTTTTTTTTGTGTTTTGTATTTGTACTTCTGATATATATTCTATTATTAACCACACACACACACACACACACAGACAGCGAAAGATACATGCAGACATGAGAAAAGCAGCTAGAAAAAAAATCAACCAACATGACTAAAGAATAATACACATTTGTGACTTTGGCATTTCGCATTTTTTAAGCTTAAATCATTCACATAGACAATATAGATGCAAAAAAAACACGCCGTATATCATCATCAATGGAAGACACGGAAGCGTTACATCTTTGAATGCTAATCTATTTTTGGTCTTTATGAAACTTGAAAAAATAACATTTACTACCACGATGAACATTGGATATCATTGAAAAGTGAGTGTGTGTGTGTGTGTGTGTGTGTGTGTGTGTGTGTGTGTGTGTGTGTGTGGGAATGGAACAAAAAGATGGGTCATCATACATGAATTTTAAAAATACAACAACAACAACAACAACAAACTGTCATTTAACAACAACACCCACATATATATTATTATACAGAACTTTTAATTGAAATTTTGTTTATTTGGAATCCTACAAACAATAAAATTATTGAATGCCTGACTGAATGAATTGACAGATGAGAATTTTTTTTTCATTTCAATGAATTTTTGATTGAAAATACAAAATATAGTATAAAGCATATATATCAAAGTTCGATGATTCTCAATTTTTTTTTGTTTTTGATTGAATGGATAAAAATCATGTGTGTGTGCACACAATAAATTAACAGTAATATGTTTTGCAATGTTGACCTATATTCTCTATCACTTTCACTTTCATTTTTTTCCCTTTTCAATATATTTATAAAAAAAACAATTTCTCAATGAATGAATGAATGAATGATCGACGACAACGATGAAAATCATCATCATTTGTTTTGAAGTAATAACATAACAAATAGTTTTATGTTCTCTTTTTTTTCTCACTTTTTTTTCATTTCTACATAGCATCAAAATAAGGATGATGGTGTAGAAATTTAAAGAGAATAATAAAAAAACACGAAAATCTCATTCATAACCATATACACAATGAATATTATTTGTTCAATTATATTTATTTGATAGTGTGTTTAGTTAATTTGTTCAAACACACGTTTCTATCAAATGTGGCTGAAAAAAAGACCATGAAATAAATTGATTTGAAAAGAATGTCAATCATCATTTGATATATGTACAAAAAGTAATAACAAAAAATTTTTTTTTGTTCCAATTTTTTTTATTAATAATTTTTTTAAAATTTATTATTCACACTTGTTGTTGATAATATGCTGATGAATACAATTATCAATTGAAAATATACCTTTGCTTTTGGAAAGAATATATATTGGTGTATTAAATTTGATGAATTTGCTTGCCAAAGCACATTTTCATCAGCATGAACTTATCATCGTAATATCCTAATAATGATTGTCATCGTCAATCGTTTTTTTTTCACATTCGCATTTCTTATCTTTCTTTTTTTTGTCATTTTTTTTTTGCTTTTTTTTGGTACATTTTTCTCTGTCTCTGTCTATTTAGTATATTCAAAATAAACATACACACACACACTGTTCATCATTGATTTCATAGGGGAAAAGAAGAAGCTAAGAAAAGTGATATATATGCTATTTATTGTGATACTACAAACTACAATCATTACCACCATTATTATTATCATCATCATCATCATCAAAAATCATTGTAACCAACACCTTTTTTTGTTGTTCGAAAAATGGTCGTGGTTATGGTTTCTTTTTTGTTTGTTTGTTTGTTTATTGAGTGTATGTTTATATACAGGAATATTATGATAGAATATTGAATACATAAAGATTTAACTATTTTCAATTGTTCTGGCGAAGATTGTTTTTTTCTGTCTGTATGATGGATGAAAATGAAATGACTGCAATGACACAACAGCAAATCGCAAATATCATCATTATCATCATCGTTGTCAGTACCGCAAATTATTGCTTATGGTTTACTACAAAATTTAGGACGATTAGATTGTAGTGGGAAGTGTCTTTTTGAATTGAGTATTTTATTTATGAGATGGAGAGTAAAACAAGCATGTAAGCAATATGTTTGAATGTGCGCTTGTATCATTTTTGTCATCATTGGCGCCCTGGCTTATTTCAGAACAAACAAGAATCTCTTGATGATACTTGTTGCTGCGTTATGATTTGGCAAAATTTTGCATCGATTCAATTTTCGAATCGAGAAATGAATAAAATAATAAAAAAATGTTTAATTCATCATAAATTACCGGTTTGTGGTTTTTGTGTGTGTGTGTGTGTGTGTGTGTGTGTTATAATTTCCGTTCACAAATTCGTCATTGTGGTTCAAGGTTTCTTTTTCCCGAATCGAATCTCAATCACAGTCTTAATATCCGAATGACATTTAAACAATTATCATTATCATTATACGGATAATAATAATCATATAAATATAGCATTATAAAAACTTTTGCTAAAATTATCGGAAAAAAATTGATAGTTTTAATGATGATGATGATGATGGTGAAAATGGCTGTTTGTCTGTCATTCTTATGGATTGATTTCGAAAGTCTTGTGATTGTCTACACTCGATGATTACATCTTACTATATTACTAGCTACACCACCACCACTAATACTACTACTACCGAAAAAGACGTCATACATTGCGGAAAAAAAAGAGTTTATATATCAATAATTGTGTTGAATTGAATACAAAAAGTGACATTTCTAGCTTGTAAATGCTTCTTTTTTGTTTCTATCATCAACGCCATCGTCGTCGACAATCGTTGTTGCTTCCATCAAATCAAATCAAGGATTGCCTTCCTTTTTGAAGACATTGGATGAATGTCTGATGAAGACAGCACCACATTTCCAATTATGTTGATGAGATGTTTATGGCAATATTGATTATGGATCGCATTTCATTCAATTTAAGAAAAATTGTTTGATTGTAATTTTTTTTCTGTTTGTTTGACATTCTCATACAATGAGGATATAAATGTCTTTTGTACTTGTGCATTATCATTACGATTGGATCGATTGATCAACAATTTCAATTGAATTTATTTTTTTCTAATTTGTGGTTCATTTGTTGTTAATGCTGACGTTGGCGCCAAAAAAATAGCCTGTGATTAAACAAAAAAAATCCCATTACTTTTTTGCATCAATTTTGCACCAGCAAAGAAAAAATCATTTTTTTTATCGTTCGTTTCTAATAATACGATAAGATTTTTTTTTTGTTCTGTCAACCTGATCAATGTGTTTGTGCCGGGTAAGTAATAATTCGATTTGTTTTGCTTTTGTTAGCAAATTTATAATCAAAAGTCAATCATTTGTCAAAATGAAAGTTTGAATTTTTTTTTCATTGCCATAATTTCTTTAAATGATTATTATTATGCAATATAATATTGATGTTTTGATTTTATATATTTAAAAAAAATGTGATTTCTATTAGGAAAGCAAAATTCTGGCAAAATTCCGGAAATATTTGTTAGTTTTTCGATTTGACACATATATTCTACTTTCACTTTATTAGAAAAAAATGTCGTTTTTTTTACCGCTCCTCCACACTTTCACTCATCACCATATCATGAAGTTTGAGGTCTGTTTGAAGATTGTTACGGCATTGTCTGTGTTGATTATGGCTATTATTTGTTGAAGATGATGATATGAAGATTATTCTAGAAATCCTTATTTGGTTTTTTTCCAATCGAATCAACATTGTGCTTGTATTGTGAATATATTATATATATATCTGTATGTATGTTGCCATTGATAGTAATGTCTTGGCTATGTTTCTGTGATTTTATTATAATGATCGTGGTGTTGTGGTGGTGGTGGTATAGTTCAGAATTCAATGTCTTTAAAAAATGCAAAGAATTCTTTACATTTATTTCTTTTCTCTTTTTTTTATTTTTGTTAATTTTCCTGACGAATGAAGATGAATGCGAAATTAAATGTGAATCAAATCAAATATTAGTGTAAGCGAGAATGTGATATCATCGTGTCTGTTGGATGTCTAGCCCTTTCTCTTAAATTAAATAGACAAATATACGGAAGGAAAACATTTAGTTAATTTATGACATACAAATAGTGTGTAACATTTGTAATTTTTGTTGTTGTTGTTGTTGTTGTTGTTGAATAAAAAGATTTTTGTTTAAATGAAATTTTTCTAAACATTCGATCGATCCATTCATCTATCTATTGAGGTAACCTTGTTATCCTTGTATGATGATCGATTTAAGTTTTTTTTTATAAATAAAGAGAGAGAGAGAGTAAAAAAAGAAAATGGAGAGAACAATCCCGTTATTTATTTATTTATTTTTCATTTTTGTCTATAAATGTTCATTAATGTTACATTCAAAATAATCAAATATCCATGTATGTGTGTGTGTGTGTGTTTATGTGGATATACAAGTTTTAACTTTTTGCTCCATATTCAACAAATTCGTGTGTATTTGACATCTTAATTGTTCATTTATTTTCATATATCTACACATTATAGCTGTCATTGAATTATATACATTTTTGTTTCACCTGTTTATTAATTGTATTTGTGTTTATTTGTTTCTTTTATTTTTTTTATAGCTTTTGATTCAAATATAAACGTTGCCATCATGTCATCTAATCATCGTAAACGTCGTGGAAATTTGCCCAAAGAATCTGTTAAAATTCTACGAATGTGGCTTTATGAACACCGTTATAATGCATATCCATCAGATCAAGAGAAACAATATCTGTCACAAATGGCTAATCTTAGTGTACTTCAGGTTTGCAATTGGTTCATTAATGCTCGACGAAGGATATTACCAGATATTATACGCAAAGAAGGCAATGATCCTTTGAAGTATACGATTACAAGGAAAAGCTCAAATAAACGGCAAAATAATCATGGTAGCCAAAATCATATTTCATCACGTACAGTTTCACAATACGGTTTTGGTTGTATAATCGATAATCAAAGGTATCAATGGCATTGAAAGGAATTTCTTTTGATTAAGTGTAAAAAACAAAACATTTGACATTTTTCATTTATTTTTATTTTTTAATGTACTGATACAGATGTACTACAAATGATGTTGACGATGATGAAGATGATGATGGATTCAGTTCGAATGACAGTAGCGAAGATATTGATAGCAGTGCTGATTCGGACAATGGTAGTACGACTAGCACGGCCAATTCCAATACAAGTGCCTATAGTAGACCATTGAGCTGTTCATCATTTAACGGTATATATGATTTTTTGAAAAAGAATTTTTATTTGATTTAAATTTTTTTTTCTAGATTCACCATTAAAACTGACCAAAAGATGGAGAAAAAATCATGAAGAAGAGCAACAATTACAACAAGCCGAATTTAATTTAATTGTTAATGATAATAATAAAAGCAATGGAAAAACAAAACGAGCCATTCTGGATATAGATCATTCAGGATCGCCATTCGTACAATATCACCACCGACATCATCATCATTATAATTCATATCGTGTTAGCAATACGACAACATCAATTGTAAATTGGATTAATCAAACGACGGGCAATTCGGCTGCTGCCGCAGCTGCAGCAACAATGATGCAATTATCATCATCATCATCTAATTGTTCGAATGAATCATATTCTCCAGATCTATCTTCATTGAATGATCATTCACTTTCATCACCATCGACAACATTATCTTCATTATCATCATCAATAAATGGTGATGATCATATTGAACAACAATCAATATCATCATTATCATCAACATCATCATCTGTAGCCGGATCACCATCATCATTTAATTATCTATATCTATTAGCTTCGGCTGCTGTTGAAAGGTTAAGCAGTCACAGTAACAATAGCAATGATGATGATCATCACCAATCTTCAACTATCAAAAATGATGAAAGTAATAATAATCTAAAATTGGCCATTAAAACGTAACACCTAAACCTTACTTGAAATTAATATACTAAATCGCCCAAAACAGACTCTAATATTAGACTCGCTATCATTCAAGACTCAAAAGACAAAAATTTTTAGATCAAATTCTACCTCTTTCTTTCTTTTACACATGAATTTCGATATTTTTTTCGTTATCGGTCATTAATCAATTAGATTCGAATTTAGAAATATTCAAACAAACAAACAAAAAAATAAGTTTCCATTTTGGTTTTAATTTATTTTTTGACTTGTTTCCAATTTTTTTTTTTAAATATTTTATTCATTGCCCTTTTTCTTTCCCTTTTTTTCTCTCTATATATAACACACACACACACAGTTGATTGATGATTTTTTTTTCTAGTTGTTATATTGTATGTTGTTTTTACAAAATATATGTTATCAACCCTATCCAGCGATCCATCAAACATTTTATACAAAAGCATTTTAGTAAGTTCTATATTTCTAATTCTTTTTTTTTTTGCTCATTTGATTCTATCACTTTATATTTACTAAATAGTTTAAGTTGAATTTTTTTTCCATTTTTTAATATAATTTTCTTGTAATGTGCCACAAACTTACATATAGATGCCATGTTGTTTTTTTTTAATATCATTATCATCATTTTACATTGTTTCTGATAAGATTTGCCATGCCGATGTTTTTTTTTCTTATAAAACAAAAAAAAATTGCAACAGGTGCCACTTGATTTTGAACCAAATGTTTGCACACTTACACAGCCACATTTTTTTGACCTAGTCACACATTGACACAGACATACAAATTCAAACAAAAAACAAAACAATGGCCTTATTGTTGATCATCAATTTTTTTTCTATATTTTATTTTATTAATTAATGACAAGAATTGTAATCAGCCCAAAATATGAAATTTGCTTCTTGTTTGATAATCAATCAATCCATTTTATTGGTTATTTTTTTTTTGTTCCGTTATTTTATATTTTAATCAATTTTAGTTTGTTATAATTAATGATGATAATAATCTCAAAGATAAATCTCGATGCTGTTAAAAACTTTTGCTCAATTTTTTTTTCTCTTGTTCACCTTTTCATTTATACATACATACATACATACACAAATCACCTACTAACATATCGCTTTTTTTTCTTTTTTGGTTTTTTTTTGTTTTGGGTGTAAAGAAAAATTTTAAAAAAAAAAAATTTTACAAACACACACCAACTCACAAGCACAAACTTAGATTTACATCATTTTATTGTCAGAATATTTTACCAATATCATCATCATACTATATATAATATATATGGAATTGAAATTTTTAATAAAATTGAATTTTCAAATTTATTTATTTTTCAAATTGAATAAAAATTATTTGAAAAAAAATATTTATGCAATCCACGGAAACGTTGCATCTGTAAGTACGCCACAATCATTGTTTTTCATGCTAATCAATATATATCCATCATTACCCCAATAGGTAGACCATGAATTCTTTACAAGCCAATATTTTCGCCATTAATATCACCGAATCCTACAGCTAAAACTTGATGATCAAGATTTTTCGAACTACATTTTGGATCATAATAGATTCCATGTGAATAGAATGTAAACGTTTTTTGTGATGCATCCACACCGATGCTGACTGGTCCATGATAATATAATGCCACTTTCATTGCTTCAACATCACCAGCAGTTATATTATAGAAACCTTTGATTTGAACCGATTTTTTCACATCTTTATCATGACATTTACCATCGACTCCTAAATAATGGCCATAATCTTCTTCGGTGGCAATTCCACCACTTTTCATGATATAATCATATGTTTGGAAATCTTCACCACCATCACAACCATTATTATCTTCGGGCCAACTACAATCAACAAGTTGTTGTTGTGATAATTTTAATAAACGGCCAGTTTTAACGAAATATTGTCCTTCGATCGTTCCCGTTGCACCAAATGACCAACAGCTACCACAAATAGCCTGATCTTTGACTGGAGTGACGGCACCAATCAAACGCCAATCCCATTGACTCGGTATACTGGAGACATCATATTTGCTCTTATCGAATGGAACACCTCCTTTATTAGCGTTCATTACTTGAATTTTACCACGGATTCGATTCATCTCTTCATCCGTTCGATCGGCTAAATGATTAACGGCCAATTGATAATGTAAATTTTTACGATTATGTGCCATAATGAAACGATAATTTTGCAAGAAGATGAATCTTCGGAAATTGACTTCCTTATTTTTGTTCGTATAATTTTTGCCATGTTTTTCATTAAAATCATTAAAATTTTCATCAACATGTCCATAGTCATTGAGAATGAATTCTCTCATTGGATTCATGAGAGCGGCAGCTTGTTTACCTGGTCCAGGAAAACCTCGGCATTCATATTTTTGATATATATCAAAAACTTTTGGATCAATCTTATTAGTCCAATATGATTCGTAGAAAACTTCATATTTATCATAATGAGATCCCATAAGACTATCATAGCCCATCATCAAATAAAAAACTGGAATAGCATTTCCATCGGCATCACGTTTCAATATGAAAACATATTTGTTATCTTTTTCTCCCAGATTAACACGATATTCCCATTCTTCACAATATTCTGATGATAATGTTGGTAAACTTTTAGTCAATTTGTTACAGATACCACGTTGTTTGAATTGAAAATTCGATAAATCTGGCAAAACCGATTGAATTGTAACTGGAGAGATTGGTGATGCTTCCATATTGAAACAAACACGATCAGTTTGCTGATTATTTCGAACCATGTAGGCAATCTTGTAGAATTGCCCTAGATCTGCTCTTTGTACAGTCAATTGTAGATCACCATAATAATCTATACGGCTTTTGTTTGCTGTTTCATCGTAATATGCTGTAAATGGTTCATCGATTTCGGCATATGGTAATACAATTCGTCCACTTATTAGATAATTTTTACTAAATGTTGGAGTTGGTGGAGAACAGTTGGCCAACACCAATGATGCTAAAATCATATATCATATATATAGTAATATTTAAGGTTTATGAAACAAAAAAAAATTCAATCCATACTTACCACTTAGAACAAAGAAAAGCAAGAAAACTGGTGACTTCATCATTTTCTGAATGAATGGCAAATGGCAAACCAAAAAAAAAAAAACGTCGTCATCAAGAAAAGGCAGCGTTTAAATACAAAATATGAAAATGCGTCTAAATATTTGAACATCTTATCACACTCATCGTCTATATATATTTTTATTTGATAACCCGGATTTGTATATGAAATTGTTTCTATGCTTGTGAGTGACTAGATCAATAACCAATTGATTGACTTGTTATGGTAATATAATCAGATTTTTTTTTGTCATTACTTTGAGTGATTGATTAAAACAATTGAAAAAATTTTCGTTATCAAACATTTATTATACACTGTCTTGTGACTTGATCAATTAGAATATACAAATGATTATCAATCTATAAGAGTTCACAAGAATTTCAAGGATAAAAAGATTTAATGATTTATTCGTAATCCTAGTCGTAATTTAGCAGATCTGGCTCGTGGATTTTGTAATATTTCTTCTTCTGTGGGAACTTGAAATTTTTTTTGATAAAATTTCCATATTTTTAAACGTTTTGTCTGATCAGCATAATTATTGTTAGGATGAATGATATAATCATCGCTTTTGGGTGGCAACATTAAATTATTACCAGCTTGATCTACAAAATGACTTTTAATTATCTTGTCTTCAAGTGAATGAAATGCAATAATAGCAAGTAGACCTCCATTATGACGTTCATTGGCGATCATTCCGTTATCATCATCTTCGTTGTATGATTCTGGTTTAGATATCTTTAAATATCTACTCAATACAGGTATAACATGATTCAATTCGTTTAATTCATTGTTGACAAATATACGAAGTGCCTGAAATATTTTTGTTGCTGGATGTGTGGTTCGGCCAATTTTATCTCTCGAAATATTTGCATTAGTCACAATTGATTGAACCATTTCGGCCAATTCACGTGTCGTATTTATACGTTTCATTAAAAAACGTGAATCAACAATTGTTTGAGCTATTTTCTTTGCATTTCTCTCCTCACCATAGACTTTGAAAATTCTTGCCAATTCGTCAGCATTTAATGTATTAATTACATCGGCTGCTGATGGCATTTGAGGATTTCGATCACCGTCCATTCGCATATCGAGTGGTCCATCTCGAAACGAAAAACCACGAACAGGATCATCGTATTGAAATGAAGAAGCTCCAAGATCGATGATGGCACCATCGAATGAATGATAAGGAATAGCAATTTTTTGCAACAGGCCATTCATTTGACTGAATCGGCCTAACAATGGAACGATTTTTTGGCCACAATTATTCTGTTCGATCTTTTTTGCCAGTAATACAGCTCTTTCGAATGCTTGATGATCACGATCTAAAGTGAATATGGTGATTTTTTTATTCGTTGACAAAAGATATTTCGTATGGCCACCACCGCCAAATGTCAGGTCGAGAAAAAATTGTCCATCTTTTGGCGATAATATTTTGGTGATTTCTTTGGCCAACACTGGTATATGTGTAATTGTTTCAACATTATTATCATTGTTTATAATAGGTTTTTTCAGATTATGAATGCCAACGAAATTGGAAAATTTTGTTGAAATTATCCGCATAGTTTTTCAATATTGAATCAATTAAAGAGCAAAGTCTACGAACATGCACGCAAGAATCGAATCAGCTGATTTGATTGGCGCACTTTGTGCTTTTTGAATAAACAATGCATACTCCCAAAAATTTATGTCGTATTTTTTCTATCATCGACCGATCGATGATATGGACATGTTTGTCTTCATATTCAACAACCACAGCCTCTGATAGACGACGGGCAGGTATTCCAAAAAAATTACCGATTGCAGGTGTTAAAAATGTCTTACTTGTATCGTCAGCTAAAGGCGGTGTTGGAAAATCATTGATTGCTGTTAATTTGGCCTATGCTATTAGATCTTTAGATCAGGTATGTTTTTTCGATTTTGGCTTATCATCTCAAATCTAATGAATATTTTTTTTTATTTAGAACAAAAGAGTTGGCATACTTGATGCCGATGTATATGGGCCATCATTACCAACTATGATTGGTTTAAGAGAAAAACCCACAACTAATAAACGTGAGAAATGTTTTTTTTTTAATGATGATATTGATTTAATTATCAATTTTTATTATGTGTAGAACAGAAAACCTAATAATTCCATTGGTTAACTATGGAGTAAAATGTATGTCTATGGGATTTCTAGTCGATGAAGAGAATCCAATCGTTTGGCGTGGATTAATGGTCATGTCTGCCATGGAAAAACTTTTACGATCAGTGTATTGGGGAGAACTAGATGTATTGATTGTTGATATGCCACCTGGAACAGGCGATACTCAATTGTCAATTGTACAGAACATACCAATCGATGGTATTATTATGGTTACGACACCTCAAAAAGTTTGCCTAGCCGATGTTGTTCGTGGTACAAAAATGTTTAATGATTTAAATGTTCCTATTTATGGATTTGTAAAAAACATGAGCCATTTTGTATGTGGTAAATGCTCACATCATGAACCAATTTTTGATTCCAACGAATTAGAAGGTTTGGCTAAAAAATTTAACACAAAAATTTTAGCCAACATCCCTTTGGATCGTAATTTATCAAAAGCTGCTGATGATGGTTGCCCGTTAGTGATCAAAAATGTTAATAATCCAATTTCACAAATATTTATTCAGCTTGCAGAAAAAGTTTTATCCAAATTAGAAAATCAAAGATGAAAAAATTAAACGATGTTCAGATCAGAAATCGCTTCGTCAACAGAACGAAACAAAACAACTTTCCAGAGCAAAAAAACTACAAATTAACGTATCTTTATTGTTCTGGCCGTTGTTTCGGATAATCGTTTGTTCAGATATCCGTTCAATCATCAATTCTGATACATCGCAATTAAATAAATAAATGATCTTTTATAATAATCACCATGATTAATCATCATGTAGTTTTCTCATCATTTTGAAACATCTACAATTTAATTAGATGTTCAATCAAATAAGATCAAATACGTAGTTCTGATTAGGAAGAAAAAAGATAGAAAAGAAAGGGAAAAGATAAAGGATGAATAAAAAAAAGGGTTAGAATTCTAGACCAAGGATAGAATAATCATAAGGAAAGAAAAAGAATAAAGAAAATGCTGTTTGAAAAGAGAGCTAAAGAAAATTTTGTCCTGAAAAATGAGACGCTAACATGTGACCAGTCATAAATATATGTACCAAAAATTATATATGGCAAAAATTTTTCATAGCTAACAAAGTTTTGGATACAAAAACTTGGTCGAAATCACCAACAATTGAATGCTGTGTATGATAAATCTGCCATGTTTGCAAAAAAAACTTCCGATTTTAATCTCAATTCAATAATTGATAATTGTATCGTTTGGAAAGATGATGTTGGATATCTTCCGGGTAGTTCTTTGAAATTTAAACGTGATCAGGATGGTGAATTATGGTTACATGATCAAGATGAAAATTCCAGTGCTAGTAGCAGCGACGATGATGATTATGATGATGATGAGAATGATAGTTTTGAAACTATACGAAAGAAGCAAAAATTAATAAAAGATCATTTATTTGATCGAAATGATAATGATCATTTGGAAATATCACTTTGTTCGCGATGTTTTAAATCCGATTTCAGAGAAAATCTCCTTAAGAACAACAAATATTGCAAACAATGTGCTCAAATCGATCCACAAATGTACAAAATATATAAAAATTTTGATTCACATTCAACGCCTAAAAACATTGATCAAGATGAAGAGAAACACATTAATCCATTACGAAAACTTACACAACGAAAATTATCCAATGATTTTGAACTTCCGACTGAATTTGAATGGGAAAAATATTTGAGCAAATATCAGATCGAATCGTTACCATCTGTATATTTTTTACCAGAACAAAATTATCCCTCTATGCGAAATGAATTTAAAGTTGGCATGAAACTTGAAGGCATAGACCCATCTCATCCGTCCAAATTCTGTGTTTTAAGTATTGTCGATATTCAAGGTTTTCGTTTGCGATTACATTTTGATGGTTATAATGGTCGATTCGATTTTTGGGTGAACGCCGATAGTAAACAAATTTTTCCTATTGGTTTTTGTAAGAAAACTTATAGAAAACTTGAATATCCACCTGGATTGAGTACATTCAACTGGAAAATATATTTATCAGTAACAAATAGTAAAGCGGCTCCCGAAAATCTATTCAGTATCAATAAAGTTCCATTTGATCGATCGATTATTAAGGAATTTTCTATCAATGATAAACTTGAAGCAGTCGATATTGCAAACAGTGCATTGATATGTGTTGCTACAATCAAAGACATTCTCAATGATCAAATTTTGATCCATTTCGATGGATGGGATGATAGTTTTGATTATTGGACACCAGTAACATCGCCATTAATTCATCCAATCAATTGGTATTTAAAATTATAATAATAGACAATAACAACTATAACAATGAATATTTTTTTTTTTATTTAATTAGGTGTAAATCTAAATCAAAATGCTTGACTGCACCAAATGGATACCGTAAAGAATTTTCATGGGATGATTATCTCAAAGAAACAAATTCAAAACCAGTTCCTGAAAATGCCTTCAATTTTGAAGAGAAAAAATCCCGTTCATTGTTCCATTTTTGGAGGCCAGGAATGCGTTTGGAAGCTGTTGATAAACGTAATCCACATTTGATTCGAGTTGCATCTGTAGTCAATCGAAATATGCACTCCATAACAATTCATTATGATGGTTGGGATGAAAAGTACGATTGTGAGGTAAGATTTTCAATAAAAATTCTCTAATCAGCATTAATGAATTTATTTTTTGTTTAGTATGACGAAGATTCACCAGATTTGCATCCAATTAATTGGTGTCATCTAACAAATCATAAATTAGAACCACCTCCCAACAAATGTGAGCATATTATTGTGTTTCTTCTATTTAACATTATGTTTGTTTTTTGTTTTGTTTTACAGATTTGGCTAAATTGAATACATTATGTCCAGTTCCATATTGCAATGGCTATGGTCATTATAAATGGTACAAATATCGAACACATTCTCGTGAAAAAGATTGTCCTTATTCAAAATATAATTATGATTTGGAAAGAGTCGAAAATCTTGATCGATTTGCCGATATGATTGTTTCCGATAGTGAAGGAGACGATATGAGTGAAAATAATTTTTATACTTTCGAATTCGGTATTGATAGCGATATGATAAAATGTGAAGCTAAACTACAAGAAAAAATTCATCCATATTATTTGAAATTAATTAAGGAAAATTATTTAGAAATGAAAAGAACACTTAAAACGAATAATGTTCATACGTTACGATATTTAATGGATTATGTCAAAAGTCTTGATTTCAATCCATTCGATATTGTTGGATTCGAATGTCAAAAAATGTATGAAGTAATTGAAAAATTAACAAACAGTTCTGAAACGGCCAACATTTTTTATCAAGAGGTATGAATAATTTAATGAGCTATGAAAAATCATTAATCAAATTTTTTTTTTAATTTTTCAAAAATATTTGATCATATGAAGAAAATTGATGGTATCACATTTCTTTGTCTTCGACACGAAGAAATTACTAGCAAACTAAAAATTGATCTCAATTCGGCCGTAAAAATTGTTCCATATCTATTTGCCAATCTTAAATTTCTATTCAAAGATGGTTTTTAAATTCAAATCGAACAATAAATAACGAATGATTTAATGAATAAATTTTTTTTTTAAATTACTTATCATTCAATGTCATCAAATCAGAATATAATTATTCTAATTTGAAATGCACGCATGACTTTTTTTGTCATATTCTGTTACCTACGAATTTATTTTAAGTTTTGTTATTATTGGTATTCCCATGAAAACCGACCAACCTATCTATGGCAGTGATCACCCATCACTTTGGAAACAGAGTAATGTTGCCACAAATTGACAAGCTACCGTTATTCTTTTGGTTTGTTTTCTCTGCATACATATTAAACACTCAAGAAATCGGTTGTTTGTATGGGTTTTTTTTCAATTCTAATAGTACACTCTCATCTTGACAATGACATTTTTTTCAATTGTAGGAATTATTTTCAATAAAATCCTGTTAATAAAAAAAAATATATTCATCCCCATTTTTTTTGCATTAAATTTCTATTCAAGAATTGTTTTATTTTTTCGTAGAAAATATTTAAATTTTTCTATTAATTTCCACTTTTTTAATGATTCCAAGTGGCCATCCATTCAATGATGATGAATCGTTATGTGACATTGAGTCAATTGGGTGATGGAACTTATGGTTCAGTATTTTTGGGACAAAAAATCGATACCGGTGAAAGGGTGGCAATTAAAAAGTAAGAATAAATGGATTGATTAGTTTTTTAAAAGTATATCTTATTATTGATATTAAACCGGAAAAAAATTCGTTCGTTCATCATCGAATTAATAAAGAATGAAAAGGAAATATTTTTCATGGGAAGAATGTATGAATCTTCGTGAAGTCAAGGTATAATATTTTTATATGATTAACCATTTTTTAAAAAAATAAAAAAAAATTATATTTCTTTTTAAATAATAGTCATTACAAAAATTGAGCCATCCAAATCTAATCAAATTAAAAGAGGTGATCCGAGAAGATAATACGTTATATTTTGTTTTTGAATATATGAAAGAAAATCTCTATCAATTGATTAAAGATCGGTATATAGGAATAATTTAATTTTTTTTGTTTGAGCTCAATATTCTGAATTAATTCTCTCTATAATTTGTTTCGTAGCGAGAAACCCTTTGCAGAGAAAATAAACTGCAACATTTTATATCAAATATTGCAAGGTTTATCCTTTATGCATAAACATGGATTTTTTCATCGTGATATTAAACCGGAAAATTTACTATGTATGGGACCGGAATTGATAAAAATTGCTGATTTTGGCCTTGCTCGTGAGATACGATCACGACCACCATATACAGATTATGTTTCCACTCGTTGGTATCGAGCACCAGAAGTTCTTTTACGTTCTACCAATTATAATTCACCAATAGATATTTGGGCTGTTGGTTGTATAATGGCAGAATTGTATACACTTCAACCATTATTTCCTGGTAGAAGTGAAATTGATCAAATTTTTAGGGTCACTTCTGTGCTTGGTACACCCGACAAGAATGATTGGTCTGAAGCATATTTATTGGCAAACACAATGAATTTTCGTTTTCCACAATTCACATCGATACCAATCGAAACGATTGTAGGTAACATATCTAATGAAGGTCTTCAATTTTTAAAGAGTACACTTCAATGGAATCCACAAAAAAGACCAACGGCAATTCAAGCACTTAAGTTTAGTTATTTCCAGAATGCTACCAATTATCATCATCAAAGCGATAAAAGCAACAGTGTAAAAACGGCACCAACCATATCTGAATATAATAAAAAAATTATGACAAATACAGCATCCGCTTATAATAAAGCTTCAACTAATAATATGTTGATCAAAACGGTACCAAGCTATATTGGATCACCAAATGTTGATAATCATAGTATACAACAATTACAAATGCAAATCGGTAACAATCATCTGAATCAATCATCATTAATTGGTCAACGAAAAAGTCCCGATAATAATTCGTTGAACAATTCGAATAATAATAATAATAATAATCATAAATTCTCAATGAAAGATCAATATCTTTCAAGCTCAAGATACATTGCCGGACAAAATACAAAGAAAAATTCGTATTCAAATAGTAAAAATTCTAGTAAATTTTATTCATTGAATGATTATTATATCAATTAATGAATTAATTTTTTCATAGGTGACCAACAATCAACAATATTTGGAAATTTTCGTAAAAATTCAATCGCTTCAAATAAATCTGCCGTAAGTAACGGAAGGAAACTGTATGCATCATCACATTATGGCAAAACGGATTGGTCAGCAAAGTATGTTGTTGTTATCAAATGAACAGAAAACAAACGTCAAAATTGAATTATTGATTATTGCATTTTTTTTGTCCTAGGTACCTATAAAAGGATCAATATTGCTCGGATATATTTTTTTGTTTCGTTTTTTTTTTGAAATTCAAAGTCTAATGAATGAGTAAAAATTAATGACATCATCACAAGACATATGATTCGATATTTTATTTTATATATCATCAACATATATACTAATAAAATAAAAAAAAAATATAAAGAAATGCTCTTATTGCTCTATTGTTGACTGTATTCAATATATATAAAATAAAATAAAAAACCCATATGTTATAATAATAATGACAAAACATGAATCGAATTTGTCCAAAGGTTTTCTTCTTCTCCTTCTTTTTTTTTCGTCATCGAGTATTTTGACATTTTGTTTGCGGTTGCAGTTGTTGTAATAAAATGCATCGTATGACTTTCCGATTGAAATCAAAATCAAAGTCTCTTTTCAAAAAAATATTGGAATATGCGATCTTTGATTCGATTCAATTTCTAAGAGCATATCGATCGGTTATAGTCCGTCCATTCATTCATTCATTTATTCATCCGTCCGCATTAAGGGCACACACACACAAAAAAAATTATTGCTCAAGTAGCAAAGTCTTTGCAAAGATATACAACAAATAAGATATTTACACATAAACTAAAATTTTAAATAGGAAAAAAATTCATTGACATTAACGATGAAAAACCCATTGAATAGAAAAAATTAGCTAGCAAACAAGCTATAGGCGAAAGATCCAGGCTAGCAAAATAACTGGATAAAACTGGACAAAAGCGGTTGATAGTAGGCATTATTATTTCTTCTATAAAATGGAAAAAAAATTAGAAACTTTTCAAAAAGATAGCAAAGAACGGCGATCCTTAACACAGATGAATCATTGGGATGACTAACATGTTATGATGATGTTTTGTTTTCTTCATCGTTTAACTTACACATAAGTTTAGTGAAAATCACAAGTCAAACCGAATTTAGCCGATTTTGGCCAAATAAATCCGGTTATTTAGAAATTATAATTATTATTATTATTAAGGATAGGATATTTGTTTGACAAAAGTTTTGAATCTAAAATTTTACTATACTATAAATAACAAGTTTATTTAAAGAATTGATAAAAACAAGCGTCATTCTAAATGAAAATCAAAACTAAATAAACAAATCAAATCAAATATTATATTATTATGATGGTATTAATTCAGAATTTTCAAACAAAATTAATTACAAACAAATTTTAAGGACATAATAATTTAATTATTCAAACTATATTTAGTGTGAATAATAAAATGTTGTATTACAAAATTGTCATTCACAATACAATCGCTCAATCAAGTCTTATGACTCGTCCTTTACAACGTGTCATTTCAAATCAATCGGTTCGAAGTCGAACAAAAAAAAAAAAAAAAAAAATCTGGATATTGATTAATTATATAGTGTAATAATATGATGGAGCGCGTGTTTCAACATTTGTATTCCAAAATACAAATACCAAGTTCATTTTTCAACATATAATATATAATATATATTGAAATTCACTTTAATTATGATGATGATGATGATGATGATGATGATAAAAAGATTTGATTTTCCCTCATTGTAAATGCATACATATAATGATCATCATCATATATATAGCATTCGATTGGTAGCCGCCATGCGACAATTGAATGAACATTATCAGCATAAATATAATCATCATCATCATGAACAAGACTTTGATCGACGATCATTACCATTGCAACCAAAACGTCATCATCATCATTATATAGAGTTTGGTATACCCGATTACATTGCCAACAACACTTGCCGCCCCTCTACCATATTATCATTTTGGTATTACATATACCTTCAGAATAAAGTTTATCCTTTGTGTGTATGTGTATGTAAAGGACGAAAAATTTTTGGTGTCCATAACCATATATAAAAAGCGACGCACATTTCCATCATTTATTCACTCATTACTCAAACAAAAAGTTTTCTAAAGCAAAGTTGCATAAGACAACTTTCAATGCTATACGATCATCGTGTTTAAGAAATTTTTACTGAATCTTAGCCAAAAATCATCCTTTGAAAAGACAACTTTTAAAATTGTACTTAAATTTTCTATGAAGAAAAGCTTTTGAAGAAGACGATTTTTTTCAATCCCTCAAAAAACCCAAAATTGTTTTTAAAATTCCGTCGATTAATTTACTTTCGAAAATTTTCGGGTGGGCAGCTACTCTTCAGGTATTATGAAATTGTTGTAAAAAAATTGTATCAAACATAAATTCTAAAAAATGATCATTTAATTTCATTTTATAAACAGGGGCTTTATCACATTAGTCCCGAAGTTTTGGTGAATTGTTTCTTGTTTGAAGCGAAATATTGTGACGGAGACCCACCTTGGAAACGTTAACCATATTGAAATCCATATTGTGATTATCAGCCATATTTTGGATTTTTCTTTGAATTATTCAATTGGATTTTTTGGACATTTACGACTGATCATTCTTTGGAAAAAAACAAACGAAAATGAAAATTACAGTACTGGAAAAACTTTTTGATCAAAATCCTTCAGTCGATGATATTATCGGCGAAACGATCATGAAACGCAAAAATGAAGATGCGTTCTATGTTTGTGATGTAAATGATATACTACGCAAGCATAAAAATTGGCTTATGAAATTGCCACGAGTTCGTCCATTCTATGCTGTCAAATGTAATGCAGCTCCCATTGTTCTCGAGGTATTGTCCTCGGTTGGTGCTGGATTCGATTGTGCATCAAAGGTAAGTGAATTCTTATATATTTAATTTGATTCATTTAATAATTTGATGATTTCATTTTAGAATGAAATCGATACTATTCTGGATCTTGGCGTTCATCCTGATGATATAATCTATGCTAATCCATGCAAAACCAAATCATTCATAAGCCATGCATCATCAATGGGTGTCGATTGTATGACTTTCGACAATGAACTCGAACTTTACAAAGTGCGTCAGCTTCATCATAACGCCAAAATGGTTTTGCGAATTAAAGTCGATGATAGCCATTCAGTTTGTCGTTTTAGCGCCAAATTCGGTGCTGATTTGGAACAAGTTCCACATCTTTTGCAATTGGCTAAAAAATTAGGAATCGAAATTGTTGGCTGTAGTTTTCATGTGGGAAGCGGATGTGAAGATGCAAACTCATATCAGCAAGCCATTTCAAATGCTAAATATGTTTTCGACATTGGTGAAAAATTGGGATTCAACATGACATTGTTGGACATTGGTGGTGGATTTCCCGGCACATCAAATGCAGTTATTCCATTCGACGACATTGTTAAAGTCATTAACGAATCATTGGACATTTACTTTCCTGAATTCGATAGCAATGGAATGAAATCTAAAGTAAAAATCATTGCTGAACCTGGACGATATTATGTAAGAATTATTTTAATAACTGAATTCCTTCTTATTCTTAATATTTATTTATATTTATATGAATATGATTTTTAGGTTGCATCAGCGTTCACACTTGTTACTAATATCATTGCTAAACGTTCAGTGCGTAATAACGAAGGCAATCTGAACAACATGTACTACATCAATGATGGTGTATATGGATCATTCAATTGTATCATTTTCGACCATGTTCAAGTTTATCCCAATCCATTCCCAACCAATAATGAAACATTGGAAGGTCGTGAATATTGTTTATCAACAATCTGGGGTCCAACATGTGACAGTATGGATTGTATCAATCGTGATATAATTTTGCCGGTAATGCATGTCGGTGAATGGCTCGTGTTTCGTGAAATGGGCGCTTATACATTGGCTGCCGGTACAAATTTTAATGGCTTTAAAATGCCATCATTGAAATACTATGTAACTGGCTACACCTTAAGCATGTTGAAAACATTACGAAATTGGTCCAAAATTTATCGAATTATCGAAGAATCGGACGAATTCATTGAAGAAGATGATTCGTTGTTTGAAACATTCTATTTTGATAAAATCAATCAGACAGATAACCTTATTCAGGTTCATTGATTAGCATTATTGGCTGTTACCCTATATCATAGACAAATTGTCCACAATCAATATCTAATTACAGCCATTTTTATTTTAAATTTTACGCTTTACCTTAAATATTGTATTGATTCTTTTAAAATTATTTCTGATTTTGATTCGTATAATTTCAAACATGGAAAAAATGTTTCAATCATTGACAATGATTTTATTGAATTTAATAATAAATGGAATAATAAATTTTTTTTAATCAATTCAATTCAAATATCGTAATTTCTACTTTTACTTTGGCCATAAGTTTGTACAATGAAAGTGATTCATGACTCGTATTATTTTGGCACCTAGGATTCGATCATCATTCATGCCTTTTTGTTTTGAAAATGAATTATTGAAATTCAAAACATTCAAAAAACATTAATACATTTCAAATTCAATGTACAAACATTTTCAAAATGAAGTATTTTCGTGCCAATCAATTAGGAATCCAGATGATTCCAGAATTTTTACATCGAAAATTATTTGCCAAGAAATTACCTGTTTCGATAAATAATAGTCGCAAAAACATGATTATTGATCAGCTGAAAAAATCCATTCAAAACATTGAATTTAAAATCGATAATACCTCTTCACCTATTGTTACCAAAAATCCTTGGCGAGAATTGATCGCATATCTTCCTGAAATAACGAATAACGATGTTATAACGCACATTAATAGTTTAGGACGACGTTACAGCGAACCATATTTTAAAAAAATTGAAAAATTATTGCAAATACCTGATAATTTGCTGACAAATACACCGAAAAATTGGAGTTTTAATCATGGCTGGACTCGTTATGAATTAGTCAACGACAGTGTAAACACTTGTTACAAATCGGAACCAGTCGAACATCCATTGGAAGATGCGTTAGTGTTCGATGTTGAAGTAAGTTTAGACAAAAACAATTACAATCGTCCAACATTGGCCGTAGCCTTATCACCGAATGCTTGGTATTCGTGGTGTAGTGATGCATTGATCAGCATTAGTCATGATCAAATTACGAATGATTTCAACTTTAGCAGCAAAATCACCATAGATGATTTGATTCCAATGGGAACATTCGCCAATACTGAGCGATTAATCGTCGGTCATAATGTCAGTTTTGATCGTTCATTTATTCAAGAACAATATAAAATTGATCTAGATCAGACTAGATTTCTCGATACGATGAGCTTACATATCTGTGTGTCAGGCCTAAATCAAGAGCAGAAAATTTTTGCCATACGTAATGGAAATCCTTGGGAAACCATATCTTCATTGAATAATTTGAATGATGTATATAAATTATATTGTCAATCGAAATTGGGTATTTCAAAAGATCCACGTGATGTATTCATTAAAGGAACCATGATTGATGTGGTTGAAAATTTCTCTTATCTGACCGATTATTGTGCTACTGATGTTGTTGTAACCTTACAAATATTGAAATCATTATTCCCTCAATTCATCGATAGATTTCCATCGCCAATAACATTGGCTGGAATGTTGGAAATGTCTGTCATGTATTTACCTGCAAATCAAAACACATGGAAACGTTATCTGGACGAATCACAATCCATTTATAATCAATATAAAAATGAAATTAATGAAACATTGAAAGAAATTGCTTGTGAATCCTGTCAAGCATTCGTGAATGAAGAATATAAGAAAGATCCATGGTTTTGGGATCTTGATTGGAAGACACGTACTATTGCTTATAAAAAATCGTTCAAAGAGATTCAATATGACAAATTTAAAGATAAGGATTCCTTCATAAAAGAATTAATAGAAACAAAAAAACATTTGAAAAAGAATCAACCAATTTTACCTGGATATCCGCAATGGTTTGTGGAATTATGTGAAAATAGCAAATATCTCAACAAAGTTGATGCATTGGATTTCAATGATATATTCAATTTTGATCAATTTAATATAACGACAAAATTGCGAACTATACCGAAAATTCTACAGCTAATGTGGAACGGATATCCATTATTTTTTGATCAAACATATGGCTGGGGATATCTAGTTCCGTATACGAATGACGTAGAAGATGAATCGAATTTTCTACCGTTTGAAACAATGAAAAAATTTATCGATGACAATAATTTTGAATACTTGGATCTTGAAAAATGTATCAAAGATGTTAAAATTCCTGGATGTTTATTCTTTAAACTACCTCACAAAGATGGACCAAATAAACGGGTTGGAAATCCGTTATCTAAGGATTTTATTAAAAAAATCTCCGATGGTACATTAAAATCTTCAATGAGCACTGTTAGCAATGATCTGGTCTCACATCAAAATAAAATCTCTTATTGGGTCAATTCTTCCAAACGAATTCTGTCTCAATTGATCATACCATATGATCCCAATACTGGTGACGGTTCCATTTTACCAAGAGTTGTCGTTTCTGGAACGGTCACAAGACGAGCAGTAGAACCAACCTGGCTGACGGCAAGTAATTCATACCCGGAACGTTTAGGAAGTGAATTGAAAGGAATGATACAATGTCCCAATGGATATTCATATGTAGGCGCTGATGTTGATTCACAAGAATTATGGATAGCATCATTACTTGGTGATTCATATTTTTGTGGTATGCAAGGTGCTACCGGTCTGGGTTGGATGACGTTGAAAGGCGAACGAAGTAAATCAACTGATATGCATAGTGTCACGGCCGCTACCATCAACATTACACGTAATGAGGCAAAAGTATTGAACTATGCACGCATTTATGGTTCGGGAATGGAATTCGCTTCAAGATTTTTAAAACAATCTAACCCATCTATTTCAGAAGAGGAAGCCAAAAAGAAAGCAAAGAAAATTTTTCTTCAGACTAAAGGTCAAAGAAAAAAATCTTATATACAGACCGGCGATGATGATATTAAGTGGGTACGAGAATGGTATGGCGGTACTGAATCATATATGTTCAATAAATTAGAACAAATTGCTACCTCGGCAGAACCGGAGACACCATTTTTACGTTGTCGAATTAGTCGAGCATTAGAACCGACAGCAGTCGGACATGATTATATGACCAGCAGGGTCAATTGGGTGGTACAAAGTTCAGCAGTAGATTTTCTACACATCATATTAGTATGTATGAAATGGTTGATGGAATCGTTTCAGATCAAAGGTCGATTTTCTATAAGCATTCATGATGAAATTCGTTACATAATACGTGATGAATATCGTTTTCGTGCTGCTTTAGCATTACAATTTGCCAATCTACTTACCAGATCTTATTTCACTTCATCATTGAATTTGAATGATTTACCTGCATCGGTTGCATTTTTTACATCAATCGAGATTGATAAATGTTTACGTAAAGATGCGAATGATGATTGTAAAACACCATCCAATTCATTAGGTCTATCCAAAGGATATGGTATATCGGCAGGAATTTCATTAAATGTTTATGAATTATTAGATATGCTAAAATCTGATCAATCATTCATTCGAATGTTTGAAGATCAAACTAAATGTATTGAAATTGAAAATGTAAATAAAAAAATATGATTATCGCCACTTTTTATGAATATTATAATCTGTGATACAAAAAAAAAAATAAATTAAAATTTTAAAAAATCATTGATACAACTTTGAGTGGATTGATCTCGTAAAAAAAATTTAAATTAATTAAATTGAAAAGCGCATGCGTTCACTAACGTTCAGTTCGTGAATCGTGTTTTTGTGTGTGTGTTTGTGTATTTTAGTAGGTTAACGCCAATCGTCGTGGGGCATAACTCGTTCTCTTTCATATTATTTGTTTGTGTGTGTGTTTATCTGCCACAACAATATCATCAAATTAAAGATTCCCAAAAATAGTCAAAAATTTTTTCCTTGGTGAAATTGATTCGTGGATCGCCTATCCATAATATGGCTCATAGTGGTGATAATGATACGGAATCATTCTATGATGATAACCAAAATATTGATGATGCGACACCCGATATGAAAGTTTTCTTTTATAAGAAAAGGTATGATTAAATTGATATAAATCTTATTCATATTCATTAATTTTGTTTTGATCTATAAAAAAAAGATATGAAGAGCTTCAAGCAGAATTCGAAGAATATCAATGTAGTAGTCGAGAATTGGAAAATGAACTTGAAACCCAATTATCACATTATGAACGTCGAATAAAAGAGCTTGAGATGAAAAATTCTCACTTATTGAACGAAAATGATATATTACGGAATAAATTAGAAAAAACAACCGTTGATGGTAATCAACAAACAATTTTATTGCAAGAAAAATTGGCTGAAGTAACTTCGATTAATGAACAGTTAACAACGCATATAAGAGAATTAGAACAATCTAATGATGATCTTGAACGAGCTAAACGTCATCTAGATGCAACGTTAGCCGATTTTGATGCAAAATTAAATGAACAAATCGAGAGAAATGAATTATTGGAAAGTGAAATTGGCGAAAAAGAACAATTACAGGTGGTGATACAAAGGCTTAAGGATGAAGCTCGTGATCTTCGTTTAGAGCTAATGATACAACAAAATGTGAAAAGTAATAATAAATCGAATATTTCAACTACAACGCCTGAAGTTGAAACATCTACATCACCATTGAATCGTCGTGCGACAATCTCATCACCATTATCCGCCAATATTCAAACGACAATTGTTTCAGATGATACTAATAATAAAAATTGTAATATATCAACAAACAGCACTGTGATTCATCAAAATAACAATAACAATGCTTTGAAAACATCGAATCAGATACCATTATTATCAGCTTCTTCAAGAATTTCGGCATTAAATATTGTTAGTGATCTGTTACGAAAAGTTGGAGCTTTAGAATCCAAATTGGCTTCATGTAGAAATATAATGCCCATATCTAGTTCAACATCGGGTAACAGTGGTCTAATGAAAACAAATATCACTACAAATGGTACTACCGATAATAAAAATATCATTAGCAACAACAACAATGATCATCATCATGGACAAACGACAACATTAAAAAATATCAATGCTAATGCTTGATATGATTTTAAATGGAATGACATTAAAATCCATTAATTTATTCATCAACAATGATATGACTATCGAATTTGATTGTAACATTATTTTTTCATCATCAACAATCGTTTTATTAGAAAAAATAACAAATTATAAACTAAATTCTTATTTATTCTGTTTAGAATTTCTGTTTTTGATTATTTATTTATATATAAATAACTTTTTTAAATAGCTCAAAACACATCATCTTGCACACTTGAAACAATCCATTTCCATTTTTTTAATTTAAATTTCAAAATTCGATTTCGTTTTCATCCACATTCTTTCATTTTTTCTTTCTATTCGGCTGTACATAATCATCGAGAAACATCAGATATCATTGATCTGTTTGATTGTCTTAATTGATTTTGAATAAATTGATTGATGATTAATTAATTTATAGAAACCCCGTTATAGTAAATATAATTTTTTTTTACTTTGCCATTTTTCGACGATCATTACGTTGTTTGTGAATCGAAGAGGTGATGTTGGCAGTGTAATAAATAAATTTTTTCGGGCAAAAAAAAAATGGATTTGCACATCGAAACTCGCGAGTACTCGCAGGCCACCACTTTTTTTTCTGTGATGTTCATGTTATATATTTCTCGTTAATGTCTTGCGTGTCTACTTTTTGATGTGATGTCCGCCGCATTTTCATCATCGCCACTATTTTACATACGATAATTCTTCCATTGATTTGCGAATAATTTTTTTTTTCGATTTTCATTCAGATTAATCAATGAATATTCTTATCATAAAATATAACCAACAACTTGTCACAAATTCAAATGATTGTCAATGATGACGATAATAATTTCGATTGCATCATCATTTATTTAAATCTCATCGCATCTTATCTAATCTTGATAAATAAAAATCCCAATCAAAAATCAAAACATTAAATCAATGGCATCGATTATGAATCATAATAATGTTGATGAAATTGTGAATAATTCACATTCATTGAAATTAGATTTAACCATCAACGAATTACTTGGACAAAAGGTAAATTTGTTTTTGTTTCGTTTCTATCATTCACTCATTTCTAATTTGACACGTAAAAGGATGCATTACTAAAACTAGAACCTGAATGGATACAAAAATTTACTGATCATTTGAAAACTAAATTGAAAAAACAAAATGAATTTTCCATAAAAATTGGCTATTTTGAAAATGGTGAAAAAATTGGCTTAACTTCATCCGAATTGGATAATTGTTTTGAACAATTGAATGAAATAGCTAGTACGATTGGTGCCAATCTAATACGTTTATGTCGTAAACAAGTGAATTCATCCATTTATTATGCCGATGAATGTCTAATACGGAAACAATCACAAGCCGATGATTTTCATGAAATTCGAGTGGCCGTCGTTGGAAATGTCGATTCAGGCAAAAGTACATTGTTAGGAGTATTGACTCATTGTGAATTGGATAATGGCAGAGGATTAGCTCGACAACGATTGTTTCGACATAAACATGAATTAGAAACAGGTGAAACAAATGATTGAAAAATTTTCTTTGTTTTAACAATAAATCAACCGATTAGGTCGTACTTCGAGTATTGGAAATGATATACTTGGATTCGATAGTTCGGGAAATGTTGTCAATAAACCATCATCACATGGCAATAGTCAACAATGGTCGAAAATTTGTGAAGAATCATCCAAAGTTATAACATTCATTGATTTAGCTGGCCACGAAAAATATCTCAAGACGACAATTTTCGGTATGACCGGACATTCACCGGATTATACACTGTTGATGATTGGAGCGAATGCCGGCATTGTTGGAATGACCAAAGAGGTTAGAATATTAGAATCTATAAAATGATATTCTTATAGTTGAATAATTATTGAATTTATTTTTTATTTTAAAGCATTTAGGCGTTACATTAGCATTGAATATACCGGTGTTTGTTGTTATAACTAAAATCGATATGTGTCCCTCAAATATTTTACAAAACACTATTTCTTGTTTGAAAAAAGTTCTTAAATCACCCGGTTGTCGGAAAATTCCTATTCTTGTTGAAAGTGATGAAGATGTTGTTATTTCAGCTACTAATTTTGTTTCGGAAAGATTGTGTCCAATATTTCAAGTATCAAACGTGGAAGGAACCAATCTAAATTATTTAAAGAAATTTCTTAACCTTCTTAACTCAAGAGCACCGAATCATGATAATTTTCTAGCCGAATTTCAAATCGACGAAGTATATTCAGTGCCGGTATGCCAATTTCTTTAGAAAAAATGATGTAAAACATAATCAATATTGTTTTAGGGCGTTGGAACGGTCGTTTCTGGTATTTCTCTCAAAGGTGTCATTAAAACCAATGATACATTACTGCTTGGCCCGGATTCGCTTGGAAATTTCTTACCTGTTGCAGTTAAATCGATCCACCGAAAGCGATTACCGGTTAAAGAGGTCAGAAGCGGTCAAACAGCATCATTCGCATTGAAAAAGGTTGAATTTTAATTATTATAATTTATAAATTGAATTATTTTAAAAATTTAATTAATTAAATAGATTAGGAAAAACGAAATTCGTAAAGGAATGGTGATGCTTTGTCCTTCGATTAACCCAAAATCGTATTGGGAATTTGAAGGTGAAATATTGGTACTTCATCATCCTACAACTATTAGTGCTCGATATCAAGCGATGGGTAATATTCATTCTTTCATATTCCACATATATATTGTTTATTGTTTATCATAATCTGTTGTTTTTCCTTTTTTCCCAGTTCATTGTGGTAGTATTCGCCAGACAGCTCAAATTTTATCAATGAGTCAAGATTGCTTAAGAACCGGTGATAAAGCGAAAGTACATTTCCGTTTCATTAAAAATCCTGAATATATTAATGTAGGTATGAAATTGATTTTTCGAGAAGGACGAACCAAAGCAATTGGTACCGTGACAAAATTGTTGATTGGTGCAGCACCACGACCTTATTGTAAAATGAAAAGAAATCAGAATCCTAATCCAAATTGATGGAAATATTTTTTTTTTTGTAATGATGTTATAATTATAAAGAATTTTCTTTTTCAATAAATGTTCTTCGGCTAAATGTTTAATGATTTTTTTATAAAAGAGACCCACCATCCATATAATTTGTGACCGGCATCACAATATGACCAGTGTATATCTTTGTGAAAAATTGTTGCTTGCTATTTTGCGAACATAATTATTTTCTCTAATAATGATGATCGCCAGATGTTTTCAAAATAAAACATATTGTTTGTCACGAAAAATTCCATTATTAAATTGTCTAACGAAAAGAGCCAAACATCAATCAATATCGAAACATGATCAGGTGTCTATCGATTGTTCTCAAACAAATAAAGATGGTGATAATGATGCAACCAATTATTTTGGTTTCAAACCAGTATCAGATAAAGAAAAATTTGAAAAAGGTACGTTTGACAACCTGTAGAAATGATGACGAAATTTAATGAAATTCGATTTATATATCATCAGTTTATAATGTCTTTCACAATGTTGCTGGGAAATACGACCTAATGAACGATGTAATGAGCTTCGGCATACACCGGTATTGGCGTAATGAATTGATCAAAAAATTAGATCCAATTCCTGGTACCAGATTGTTGGATGTAGCTGGTGGAACTGGTGATGTTGCATTTGAATTTTTACGTTATACGAATGAAAACAATGATAATGAAAGTTCGGTCATTGTTTGTGATGTTAATGAAAATATGTTGAAAATTGGTCAAAAACGAGCGCAAAAATTTGGATTTCATCATGATCGCTGTCAATGGGTAATTGGTGATGCTATGAATTTACCTTTCGATACAGAATCATTCGATGCTTATACGATATCGTTCGGCATAAGAAACGTTGTGGATGTGAATCGTGCAGTACAAGAAGCATTCCGTGTGCTTAAACCTGGTGGAATATTTCTATGTTTAGAATTTTCAAGCCAAGTGAACAATCCTATTCTGAAAAGGTAATTAATTAATTAATGAAAACAATGTATAATTCGAATTTGGAATTTTAACTAATTGATTTTTTATTAAATTTTTAGCGTTTACGATTGGTATTCATTTCAAATTATACCAGTGATGGGTGAAATATTATTGAATGATTGGCACTCATATCAATATCTAGTCGAAAGTATTAGAAAATTTCCTGATCAACAAACATTTAAATCAATGATCGAAACAAATGGATTTACATTAGTTGATTATGAGAATTATTTAAGTGGTGTTACATCCATTCACTACGGTTTCAAGCCATTATTTATCGAATAGTTTTATCAAATAAAACGATAATTTTGAACAAAAAAAAAGAGAATCATGTTCATTATTGTAATTGCATCATACATAGTGTCATTAATGAGTGAATTATGGATACAATGAATGAGATTAGAAATTGAAAAAAAACGTGATTAGCCAGATTTGAAAAGTAAAATTGCCACTTGTCCCAGGTAAAAATAAACGAAATGCTTAGTCTCATGGGTTACATAGCTGCCAAAATTACGGCCAACGATACAATGCCAAGTAGGATTGTATTTTTTGTCAAATTCTTTTTTGATATAGGCTGCAATATCTTTTTCGATATTGTATTTATCCAATGCTTGTAATGCTGTATTGATGGCATCATCTTGCATTTCTTCGCTCATGTCGGCATTTTTGACCACGGCTTTTTTATCGCCAGACATTTTTTTTTTCGTTTAGTTTGGAATGTAAATCTAATTCGAATTATTAATCGAAAATTAATTATGATGATTATTTTTTAAAAAAAATAACTTACCTCAGTAAATAAATTTTACAACAATGTTGAAAAATATTAAATGAATTTTTTTTTAAAAATTAACAGCCGAAATGTTGAAAACGATTTAACACATATATACCAGAAGAATCACAAACACAAAAATAGCCGATTGAAAAGTTTCTTCATTCACAATTGACATATGATTGGTTGTTGGCAATTTCTTTCACATTCTTTCACAAACTGATTGAACCAATCATATGCATTCATACCGCCTACATTTCACCTTATAAGCTCTGTAATAATAAAATTGAAAAATAAAATGCTCTGCGTGAATGCGCGAAAATCTAATTCAAAATTTTCAAAAAAAAAAATTCAATAAAACAATTTTCCTTATTCCTTTTTTGTCTTGGAATTTTTGTACATCATACATTTATGGACTATGTAATAATATATACACATGAATGGATTATAAAGTTTTTTTTCTATAAAACAAAAAATAAAATAATTATTTATTTATTTATTTAAATCGAAATCGATCATCATTTGTGGTTCAATTCTTTTTTGTATGAATATATCATTTACCACGCATTCAATATTTTCATTTAATGCGGGTAAAATCAATATGATTTTTCAATCAAATATTTGTATATATAGCAGCCAGTATTAAATCAGTTCTTTTTTTTTTGGTCAAATGATTACATTAGATTTTTGTTTGACATAATTGCAAATAAAAAGATAAAGAGAGAGAGATAAAAAGAACGACTAGAGAACGAGAATTGGAGGCACTAATTTTTTTTGTTGTTGTCCATTAGAAACGATTATTATATTCATGATTCCATCGATTAAAATCAATATTATAAACCAATAGTTTTCCATTTTCCATTCCAACAAGAATATATTTGAAATCTACTAAACTTAATGAACGTATCTTTTCTGGTTGTATATTTGATGATGAATCCGTATTGAATGCATACAATGGTATCAAATCGAATGTACGTAAAATTTTGATTGTATTACCATTCTCGGTAAAGATGATATATTCACCGTCACGTGTCGTTTGTAGAATGGCATTGTCTTTGTCCTTCACGTTCACATTGATCTCCATGCATTTAATTAATACACCTTTCAGATTGTATGAAAATAGATAGGATTTTTGTTGTTGTGATTGTTGTTTTGATTTGCTTTTTCTACCATTATCGGTGATGGCAATGCCAATAATGAAACCCATTTCACGTGATATATTCAAATTGGTCACAATATAATCATTCTTATCCAACAAATGTTCTTTGTTCAACTGTTGTTGCTGTTGGTGTTGATTTTCATCCAAACTGTTCACTAGTTTATCATTTTTTGTGGTGATTTCAATTTAGCATATCCTTTTCGACCCAACATACTAGCTTCAATGTTTGCATCTAATAGAAAAAGTGAAAATAGATAAATTAAATTTTTTCTTTACAACTATCAGATTTCAACAAAAGTTCTTACCTGCCAATTTTTTAAGATCAGTTTCATTTATATCACCATAACTAATATCTTTTGGTATTGAATGTCGAGCACGGAAATCAATTTCTGAAATGCATTCACCTTGAGTAGTTGTGTGTATAAGAATCTTATTCAAACTGGAACTGACAATTATTCCTAATTCTGCACTGATCAACAAAGATGTTATTGTTGATTGATGTCCACATAGTGTCAATTTTGGTAATGGATTCGATGAATTGAAGCTACCATTGCCTTCGATTTGTGAATATTTGGCATTCCAAGTCCACAATAGTACTGAACAATCTTGACTGCCACTAACAATGTAAAAATCTGATGCAATATTACATTCACTTCTGGCGATGCAAGTTACAACACTTTTATGGCCATATACAATCTGGGTAATTCTTCCGGTCTCGTTAGAATAAACACGAAAAGAATTATCATAAAATGGACATAGAATAATATATTTGCCATCCATGGTAACCACATAATTACATGGATACGAACAACAAAGATCGTTAGTGTCAACCAATTGTCGTTTTACATTATTACTATTCGATTGAAGGCCAGCATCCATTATCAAAGGATTGGTAGGATCTTTTGTGCTCCATTTATGTAGAAAATATTGTTGATGTTGATTAATTGTTACTATCAATGAGGTATTGTTAGATGTAAGGCTTCCAGTACAAGCTGCCACATGAACGATAGGAGCATTAAATGGAAATTTTAGATTCATGCATAGTTCATCCAAACTTGATGAAAACATCAATGGTGACACATGTAATGCGCTGGATCGAGGAGGATGTGGATCCGTGGTCAATTGTGATGGAGTCTGACCAAAATGACGTATCTGTGTTTCAATTGCCTCTCTAATCGATGTATCGGCAATGGTTGATAAATCAATATTTCCTTCATAGGTTAAATAGTAAAAAACATTCACAGCTCGAACTGCTTCAGGTCCACGTTGTTTATAGCCGAAAATCAAATCAATCCATTGATGAAGTTGACAAGAAACTAGATCCGATTCAAGGGCCATTCGATGAATTCGAATAAAGCTTTCAGGAGTATCAGCCCAAGGTGGAAGTTTGACATTTTTCATTAAATTATTGCCATGAAATATTTCAGGAAGAAAGAAAAATTCTGGTATCAATTCTTTAACATTCTGTTGGCCACCCATCAATGAGGAAACCCAAGAATCTCGAATAGATGTGAAAAGACGACTACGATCTTCCATATTTCCATCTTGGATAGATAGATAGACTGAAAAAAATGGCTGGATTCGAATCAGCCAGCTCAATGTAAAAGCAGCTGTTGAATAATGTGTACCATAATGAAATGCTGGAACCTGATTATTATCCCAAGAATTAAAACGTTCAATAAATTCGTCGCGTCGTTCGGAATTCAAAGCACCGATCGGTTTGGAAAGATCACGGAAATTGGTTGGTTGGGAAAGATCCAGATCTTTACTTTCATAGTTGGTCAAAATCCAAGGAAATATAGGATATTGATTCATATCTTGATAGGTTCGGCCAGCGATTGTATTCAAAAACATTAGATATTCAAAATTAGATATCTCTCGTTTTTGCCATCTTTGTGTCATGTTTGACGAAGCAAACAATTGTTTTGGTGTCATCAATGATCCACGTCGTGATTGCGGTATTCCATATTTAACACCAACACCAACAGCCGGTAAATAGCGTACAACTTTTTTAACAGTCTCAAAATCCGAAAACGCAAACATTATTGATGTTCGTTGAGCAAGAAATATTTCCAATGCATTCTGTTGCAATAAATAACGTCGTGTAAAAATGGCTCGAATATCTTGGAACGATACTTTACAATTATATGTTAATAGGTCACAATACTGAAGAGCAACCAGATCCCAATCTTTAAATTCTTTTGTTCCTTTTGGTCCGATTCCTGAAAGACCTCTAAATGAATCGCAAAAATCTGTTTTGCGTTTATCATAATATTTGATTATATCAACATCGTTATTATTATGTGCCTCGAAGAAAATTTCATTAGATGTGATTTGTAACACTCCATCGATCGTATAGATTGCCCAAATCAAACAACATTCGACGCTATACAAAACTGAGCTGCTAAATTCAACAGTTGTCGTTTCGGTATCACCAATGGTATCATCATTATCCCATAGGAATGAATCATTATCATCATCATCTACGGAATTATTGATCATTGATCTTGGTGGAATGATAGGCGATGATAATGATTTATGCGCATCATCTGATGATTTTGATTCATCTTCATGATTTGATATTGTTTCTTGTATACAATTGGTAGTCATGGATTTTAATTTTGAATTAACAAATTCACCCAAAGAATCATATATAAAACGCCGCCGTCTTCGGCAATCATCTTCCCAGGAATCAAGCTTGAAATATTTTCGTTCTTCTTGTTTGATTGATTCTTTGAATCGAGTGAAAATCATCCAATCACGACGTTTGGCCGATATGATTAACGAATTGATTATGTTTTCCTCTTGTAATCGTGAATTATTTGTCTCAATACATGCCTGTGTGAAGGCATCATGTTTTGATACATCATCGGCACGTAATCGATTTAATATGAATTCGGCTTCCATAGCCACTCGAACTATGTGATCTTTCATAGCATGTGATAAGAGTCGGCCTTCGTTAATTAATTCAATAAATGCTAGTCCAGCGTTCTTTTGCAATGTATTTTGCCATTCTTGTGAACATAACAACATCACCAGCTCCACTGGACTGGCATCTGGTCGTTTGAATGTACGAATCGTTTCTTTAGTGATCAATTCTTGTCCATGCGATCCGAGCAATGTTTTTGACAGAAATGAAGAAAAATCACAAATAATTTCACGTAAAAGTGGACATACAGAAGCTAATGTTGCCTCTAATTTTGCTGTCAATTTTTCAGTAATTTTAGTATTTGTTTTTGATATTTCAATCGATTCCAATATTTTTGTTTGATCCAATTCTTTATCAGCATTATTATTATTACTATTATTTGAATTATAATGATCAATTTCTGTTTGTTGTCGTTGTTTATTGATTGATTTATCACCAATATTTTTAGGTTCAATTATATCACGATATTTGGAGACCATAAGAACCGAAATAAAATACAATGTTGCCAATGCTAAAAATTGTGATTGTCTTGTATCCGAATCGGCATCTCGATAGATACAAGCTCGAAGGCGATTAATATCCATTTCTTGTAATAATGAATTTGGATCTTTGATCGGTGTAATCAAATGATAATGTAAATTATCAATATCCGAATTGGTAGCTTTACAATAAATCAAATCACTATGTTCTGGATTAAAATCAACGCTAAATAATTCTGCTGAAGAAAGAATGCTGATGCCTTTATAAAGATATTCATTTTCAGAAATCAATTCAAAATCACGACAATTATCTGGATTTAAATTTTCATGTTGTTGTATGAGCAAACAATTTTTAACGGCAATCGTACAAACAATACGTAAACATTGGCGAAGAATTCCACCGGAAGCCATATTCTTTTCTGCTTCAAGTTCAGTAAAATTTACATGTGTTGCAACAAAACACAAAACATCAATTAAATTGGCCAATTTATAGAGAAGAAAATTTGCTTGAGAAGGTGAGAAACCTTCGTTTCTGATTTGTGTGATACATGTGGCACCATTACCACCAGTTGCTGATGCTAATAATGGAAGTAATCCTCCTGAAGCAATGATAATATTATCACAAAGTTGTGATATTAAATGTATTGTGTTGACAATATAGATTTGATTCTCATTGTTCTGTAACACTTGATCAATTTGTGTTGTTCGAGCCAAAGAAGATTCAACTTTAAATTCGACGCTCTGATTACGCCATGTTTGAAGATCAATTTCTATTGAATAAAGTAAATCATTCAAAAGTTTAAGATGTAAATTGCTCCATTTAAATTCCGGTATACGAAATGCTGGTGTAGCAGATATCTTTGCTTTATTCACATCGATTAATTCATCTTTGTCGATAACATCTGGTTTGGGGATTTCGGTTCGAAATTTTCGTGTTGGTGCCACATCAATTGAATCACTAGGTGTGATTTGTTTTCCACCATTCCCATTATCGATGATAATATTTTCCAATTCATTATCTTGATGTTTAGCATCGTTGCTTTTGTGCGGTAAATTATTCGATTCATTTTCAATCGAACTAATTGTACAAATGACTGGTGGTTGAGTTTCCGATTCACTATGGTTAACATTAACAGTTTCACTATTGTCAGATTGATTGGAATTTTCCGTATCAGCGGTTTTTATTTGTGATGTGTCTTGACCATCAGTTCCGGTTTCATCATTATCATTTTTAATATTATGAATTGAATTTTCATTTGTGGTGGCTTTTGAAATCAAAGATGCTTTAATGCTTTCCAAATTTTTATTAATTATATTTTTCATAATGGACGGATTTGTAACATAAGCATTCGTTGATGAAGCTGTTGGTCGAGAACTTTTTCCAAATTGTTCAGTAAAATCATCATAAGAAATTTTAGCATGTATAATAGCTAATGTATCAATCCATACACGCCAGCCTCCATATTCATATTTGATAGCATGATAAAGTAATATTCGAAAAATGGCTAATATTTGATTGGTGATGAGTTCATTTTTGTTTTCAATTAAATTGATAAGCCAATTTTGCCAAACAGACATTTGTAGAACGAATCGTCGATTTTCACGATTATTGATCAATAGTGACCATAGATCATTGATGAACATTTCTTTGATGCTACCCCTATCTTCGGATGGATCTTGTTTTCCTTCAATCAATAATGTGGCAATGACTTTCAAGATCATTGAATTCTCAATTTTTAACATTGAACTACAGGAACTAGTAACTCGAATCGATTCGATTGATGTTTCAGTCAATATTTCAAACAATGCATTATAGGTGTTGATCGTTAATGGTGTAAATCGAATTAAATGTTCACAGAGTAGCATGTATAAATTATGTGGACCCATTACATCCTGTTTTCGTTTCGGTGTACTTCTACTTAGAAAATAGCCCAATAATTTTAGTGCCTGAATTCGTATCTCTTCATTGTTGGAGTTGAGCAATTTAAAGATGGTTTGAACACCATGTTTAGCATCAAAAGCCGGAATCAATGAAGCCGGATGTTCACACATTAATGATTGAAGCATTTGAAGAACATCGATAATATTTGCATCTTGATTGACGGTAACAAGATAATTTAATATTGCTTGTAATTCATCCAAATGAATACCATTTCCTTTGATAATTAATTGCTTGATGAATAATAGAATGTAGGATCGAATCGTTTCCAATTCTTCATCATTAGGTCTTAGTTTATAATCCTGAGCTTTAACGTTGTAGGATTTTTCTTCTGTGAGCCAATAATAATATTTTAAAGAATGTAATAATTGCAAAACAGTAGATATTCGCCGAACTTCATTGAATATGATACCGTTGAAGAGCACTTGTGTGTTGTTATTATTATTCATTATGGTCGGATTTGTTGATCCTTGACTACCACTTGTAGAATTAATCATTGAACTATTAGCGCCACTTAGAAATTCACTGGAAAGATAACAATAAAGTTTCATCTGGATTTTTGCATCCACATAGATCCAAAGTGAGGCATTGAATAGAATGTTGTCCAACATTTGTTTCAAAATCAATGCATCATTATTATTTGATGTACTGATCAATGTTTTTGTTAAATTGAGTAATACTTCCAATGTATCGTTATTGATCAATAGTCTAGCATTTTTCGATAAAATTGATGCTATTGTAACAAAACCATGTGATTGTATCATTTCATTGCCGAACCATTGTGGTGAAAATTCCAACAGATCACATGTAAAACCAATTAACGTTGAACATGCATCAGAATCATTTTTCTGTGCAAATTTGTATAACAATGGAAGTAAAGCACGAATACCACCGATCGATTGCAATGTAGAACTAATGGAATGTGTTTGAATGGATTTTGCTTGGCCCATTAATGCAGCATGAGGCGATGAAATGAAATAGAAAATATTATTTTTAGGTAAACATTGGAGACAAAGGGTATCACTTTCGACGGCCACCGGTGTATATAAGCAAAATATCGATGAACTTAGTTTTTCTTCATAAAGTACACGTTTCATACCAATCGGTAGATCCATTTGACTTTCATTGGAATGTTTATATTGTCCAATATATGAAGGACCTAATCGATGAATTGAACAAATTTGGCTCGGATTCAAGGCTTCATGGAATAAATAGATTGAAGCAATTTGGCCGGAAAACAAATAAGTATCATTCAGGTCAGGAGTACCGCCAATATAGCATTTATCAAAATGATCATTCGTTTGCACTTGCCAAGCCATTTCGGTGTTGGCCGTTAATTGGCCATTAACATAAACTTTCACTTCAGCTGAACGCCATTTGGTTACATAGGTGATTGCGCAATGATACCATTTTTGTGATACGAATTCATAAGGAATGCAATGCTGAAATCCTTTGCCTTTGATTTTCATTGATGTTAATACCAGACAATTTCCAGTGAAATGAGCCGAATAACCAACACCAGATTTGCTTGTTCGAAAATAATACAAATAAGGCTGTGAATTAGTCGAATTGGATTCTATACGGAACCAAGTAATCAATGTCCATCCATTTTGAATGGGCCATTTTTGAAACGGTGGAAGGGCTAATACTGATCCATCGCATCCAGGAAAAGCGAAAAATGCATTCGGTCGATTACGTTGATGTAGATTAGCATTACGGATATAATGCAATAATCGGGCATCTTCTTCACTGAATTTCAAAATGGCTAATAATTCTTTTACATTGCAGCTATATGTCGTTTGTAGATTGATTATTTCTCTTATGAAATGTTTGATTAAATTATCCAAATTGAATGTTTGTGTTATAGCGATAAGCAATAAATCTTTTGAATATTCAAGATTAAGCAATGATTTTTTTAATACAGCAATGATTACGCTTAAAATTTCGGCTACGACTTTCGATGGTAACATTTTGAGATAATCACAAAAAAATATTCGCAAAGTTTCAGGTTTTCGTATTCTTTGTAAATCTTCGGTTATTAATAATTTGAGAATATTATCTGTGATGAAATTAATTTCATTCACCGGTATTGAATCCGGTCTTGTGGACATGACAGTTAGAATTTTCTTAAATAGTAAACCAAATTTCACTTCATCCGATGTGATTGGATCATTAAGAACTTCATTTATATCGCTATAAAATGAACTATGTGAAGGAAATTTACGTTTATTTTCTCGCGATTCTATATTACCATCCACATTCTCTTCAATTTCATTGTTGCCACGTTGTTTCCAATCATTATCTTCTTCGTCATTTTCCTCATCAGCAGAAGCAGAAGCAGCAGCATCACCATCATCTGCATCTGCATTGGCACCATCATCACCAGCAACATTATTAGCTTGATGCGGGTGGTGTTTAGATTCACATTCCGATTCACTAATTAATGGTTCATCATTATTATTTTTATCATCATCCAAGGGTGATTCAGTATTATCATTATTGTTGCAATTGTTTTTAATATCCAAATCGTCTAAATCATTGAAACTCGGAGAAGATTCATTAGAATTCGTGGCTATTGATTCACCATTTTGTTGAAATTCTAATATTGGTAATTGTGATTCATTTTTGTCCAAAACAATCGTATTTTCATTGGCTTCAATTTCATTTATAGTTTGACAAAGGACATCATCGATTATCTGACTGATTGTTGTTTGTATTTGCTGAGAATTATCCACGTCCATGATGACTATATGAAATGAAATTTTTCACATTAGTAAATGAATTAAAATGTAAAAATAGGTAACCTTTTTTCTCAATGATATCGTTGGCAGCAGCATTTTTAATTCCTTCATTTAAATCGTCGTCGATTAGTTTGCTGTTGGATCGTTGCTGTTGACAATCATCCATTGTTTGTTAGAAGAGTTATTAAATCGTTATCAATATGCACACGATTCATTTGACAATTTTAAATTAAAATTAAAAATAGACAAATTTTCGAGACACACACACACACTTGAACAAAAAAAAATTATGATAATATCGTGGATTTTTCTTTCTAAAAAAATTATAGAATTTTCTGACAAATAAACTTGAGAAAAATTTTGACACTTTTTTCTGCCACAAAACTATACAGGTAATAATAATATAATCATCAAAAAAGCATGATCGTCATCATCATCATCATCTCATAAATTAATATCCACAATTATCCATGTCATGGATATATGGATGGATACCGATCATTAGTTGCACTATTGGAGATGAAAAAAATAACCAAAATGAAAAAAAAAATTCCGTGTAGGCAGAAAGATAGAGTCAGCATTCATAATGATGATGATGATGATGATGGAAATCATGTAAACAAGCCGTACTGGCTACAATTTATAAACAAAAATGACAATATTATTTCCGGCATTAATATTTTTTCATCATCATCCAATGCTACTACGATCAAATCATGGATCCGATACGTATGTATAATGTAACAATATCATTGTATTGTGACCATTACCGCTGCCGTTTTGGGATAAAAAAAAATCCAAATTTTGAATGGTGAATATGAAGTGAATGGCATTATAAACAACAACAACAGCGCGACCACTCCTTCTGTGAAAATTTTTACTCTTGTTTTGTTGTCGATGCTTGCGTGGCTTTTGAGGTTTCTATTTAAAACAATAGAAAAATTGATTGTATCCACAACTATACAACATCTCTGCAGACTTTCAAGTCATGCATGTTATTCTGTTTTGGCATTTGCATTGACAATAATCTTTCGAATAGAAAAAGGATCGACGAATGTGTATCGAATGTCAACAAATTTTTTGTATATTAATAATTTAATGATGACAATTATAATGGAAAGAAATTGGATATTGTATATGCCGGTTTGTTTGTATAATTAAAATGTTAATTACACGTAAACACAATTTTATCTCGTTTATAATCAAAAATCAAATTTAATAATATTATCATTTGTCAACGATTATAATGGTGGTAAAAATGCCAGAAAAAAAGAGAAAAAGTTTTTGAAAACAAAAAGAAAATATTATCAAACAATTTTCCGATAAATTTTATATAAAACGGATGATACAAGTATAATGGTACAAGATGAAAGCCAAATTTTTCGTATCATTTTTGTTGAATCATTATCATTATTTGCATTGCCCATTAACAATGTGGTTCGAATTCGATTCATTAACCATCGTCGCCATAATGTTTTTGCCATCATATGATATTTTCCTACAGATTCAATTTCCACATCGATCCATTCGCCTAATTGACATTGATGTTTAGCTATCAATATTTGTTCATAGAATTTATTATGACCGACAAAGAATTTTTTATCTGTAGATAATTCAGTCACTAGTACACGATATTTATGACCGATACGATCATTATAAGGATAATAGGAATTGAATAGCTGAGATATTATTCGACTTCTACGTTTTACCTAAAAAAACAAAATCAAATTATCATCAAATGGAACAATAATAAATTTTTTCAACTCTACCTCTAGTGTAGGTACTCTTTTCATTTTGGCTGCTGGTGTTCCAGGACGAGGGAAGAATTGATTGATAAACAATACGGGAAATCGATATTTATTTACTAATGATACGGTTTCATTGAAATTGTTTTCAGTTTCGGTAGGAAATCCACAAATTATATCAGTGGCAATGGTAATTCCTTTGACTCTGTGAATTGAGAAAAAAAACAATGTAGTAGTTATTTATTATCTGTAAATCAATATTACCTTTGTTTGAGAAAATCAACAATAGTACAAAAATCTTCGATACAATATTCTCGTTTCATATCGGATAAAACTTGATCACTACCGGATTGAACCGGAATATGTAGAAATGAATAGACACGTGGATGTGATAAAATTCTTGCCATACTTTCTATATGTTCCAATATATATGGTGGATTAGTCATACCTACACGTATCATACAATCATTGGGCACCACTTTAATTAATTGATCCAATAATTCCGGTAAACTTTTACCAATATCTTTACCATATGCACCAGTATCTTCACTTGTAATCCATAATTCTTTAACATTCTCATTGAAAGCTGTTTGTGCACGTTCGACAATATCTTCGATTGAATAGCTACCTAATTTACCACGTGCATGTTTAGTCTTACAATAGGTACATTCATTTAAACAACCAGTATTGATCGAAATAATTTCAATTAAAGGATTTCGTCGTATTTTAGGCATATGAAGTGATGCACCACCAGTTTTGCGACCATCTTTTTTCCGTACAGTCAAGTAACGAACAACATTTCCTTTCAATGTTTCTTCCACCACTTCTACAACTTTATCAATCTGTTGAACACCAATGATACTCATCGATTTTAAATATGGCAAACGATAATCCGATTGTGCCACACATCCAGCAAGGACTAATTTTTTACCTTTCGATAAAGCTTTTTTCATCTCATTACGGAATTGAGTTTCGGCCGGTGTTTTTACCGTACATGAATTTAATATCCAAAGTTGAGCTTTTTCTTTATCTTGAACAATTTGATAACCATTCTGTGCCAATATGCCCATCATATATTCGCTATCACTGCTGTTATGTGTACAACCCCATGTGTGTACGTAAATCGAATATTTGGCAGGTAAAAAATTCTGATAAGGTTCAATAGATGAATTGTCATCATTGTAATCATCAACGACATTAGATTCTTCATTCTCTTTTCGATAAATTCGATGATTTAATTTTACCTTGAATTCATGGCTATGATTATCATTTTTATTGGTTGTAGTATCAATGTTTTGATAAATATCCTCAATATCTTCCAGAGTCATTGCCGAAAAACAAATTTTGAAAACAAAGTTGGACAAAAACTGAGAAACAATTTTTTAGTTTTATTCATAGAATAAATTTTTTGAAAAAAAATATAAATTTTCATTATACTTACAATTCTATGTATAAAGAGATATTGCAACAGAATAATTTTTAAATTTTTTCAAGAAAAAAAAATTCATAACAAACAACAGAATCAAACATTTTTTCACCCATGCCACAGAAAAAAAGTGTGGAGACTAGTCTCCAAATTTGGAGGGAAAAATCTGCAAATTTGGAGACTTGACTTCAAAAATGAAGAGAAGTGGAGACTGGTCTCCATTATTGAAGAGTAATCGCCAATTTTGGAGACCAAAAACATCAAATTTGGAGACCGGTCTTCAATATTGAAGATTCGTCTTCAATGATTGATAAATTTCGATTGTTAGTTAAAAATTGTAAATTTAATTGGATTTTTACAAAAATAAATTCATAACTTAGAAGAAACAATTCACTAAAAATTGTTTTTCGATTGTTTGTTAAAAAATGTAAAATTTAATTGGATTTTTACAAAGATATAACTTAGGAGAAACAATTCACTAAAACGAAGATGATATCGATAATGATCAAGATGGTCATCCAATTCAACAATCAATGGCTACAAAAATGGCCATCATGAATCGTCATCAGCCTGCTATAATGATTGATTCATCATCATCAATTCTTTCATCGAACGATTCACCAAATATGATGATAATGTCACCACAATTACAGCATCATAATTTTCAACACCATCAACAACAACAACGGAATATTATACATGTGACAAAAAATGATAATAATTGAATCAAATAATTTCTCGTAATTTAAATCACTATTTTATATTTTATTCATTTAAATATTAAATAAAAGTTAAGTTATAAAATCATAACTATTTTAGTCGTATAAAATATAGTATATATGATGATTTCTTTTTTTCGCCTATGATAAAAATTTTTTAAGGCCTCGCGATTTTCTCGGCCCTGTTGTACTGAAATGTATTATTATTAAATTTAGATATAATTGTGTATATAAATAATTGGGGGGCAAATTTATAAGTGATCGGACAATTATGGTTCATACCACTATCCTCCCCAACAAATAGGTTTTATAAGCGAGGGGGAGGCAAATTTATAAGTGATTGTCCACTATCCACCCCCAACACTGACTATTTTTTAAATTAATTATGTGTAATGTGTAAATGTGTATTGTGATAATTGGGGGGCAAATTTATAAATGATCGGACAATTGCGCTACGAATCACTATCCTCCCCAACAAATAGATTTTATAAGCAAGGGGGAGGCAAATTTATAAGTGATTGTCCACTATCCACCCCCAAAACTGACTATTTTTTTATATTTAGATATAAGTATGTGTGTATGTGTATATAAATAATTGGGGGGCAAATTTATAAGTGATCGGACAATTATGGTCCATACCACTATCCTCCCCAACAAATAGGTTTTATAAGCGAGGGAGAGGCAAATTTATAAGTGATTGTGCGCAAACCACTATCCACCCCCAACACTGACTATTTTTTAAATTACTTTATGCGCAAGTGTGTATGTGTATATAAATAATTGGGGGGCAAATTTATAAGTGATTGTCCACTATCCTCCCCAACAAATAGGTTTTATAAGCGAGGGGGAGGCAAATTTATAAGTGATTGTCCACTATCCACCCCAGCACTAACTATTTTTTTATATTTAGACCAGCCCGAGAACAGGCGCTTCGCGCCTGTCCTGGTCTGGCCCTGCGGGGCTGACTCCTTGACGGTCAATATAACTGGATACCCGCAGGGGTGGCGGCTGCGCCGCCCCCCTGCTTGGTATCCAGTCAAAGGTATCAATCCTTGACGGTCAATATAGCTGGATACCCGCAGGTGTGGCGGCTGCGCCGCCCCCCCTGCTTGGTACCCAGCCAAAGGTGTCAATTTTAACGCTTCGTGCCTGACGGTGGGTTTCTATGCACGGCGTGTTGCTTCCGGCCTTCGGTTTGGTACCGCAGGGTCAGCCATCACTTGTGCATTGCACCTGATACCTTTGAAAAAGTTGCGTACACCGAACAGCATACTTATTATTGCTAATCGATAAGTTGAAGAAATACGATACGATATTTTTGGTATAAATACTGTGGTCGTTGTTGATCTTCCCCTCAATTTCCTAAACAAAAATCTTCAGATTATTAGGATTTTTGCAGCGGCTAAAAGCCACATAAATCATTCCATGTTGCAATACTGGTGTAGGAAGGTACACACTTATTTTATCGAAAGATTTCCCTTAAAACATTAATTAATTGTCAGAGCAAAAGCCAATACGACAGGAAATCGTCCACGCACCAACTTAAATGGTAGCTTAAGATCTCGATCGTTTTGCTGCAAAATGAATCATAGCCTCCTTGTCAATATTCGAGCTTCAATGCTGCATCTATTTACAAATAAACCCGTGCCATTGAGCAAACCACTTTGTGGTTCAATATTGCGACTGAACATGATAATCGATCCAATGTTTAATCCAAGTTTGTGTCTATAGATTCTATAGGATAACCTTGTGGGTTCATCGAATGAAGACACTCAACATTGAATCGTCAACCGCTGTGGCTTTCTGCAATATCGTAAATGCTCCATTTTCTTTATTTTAAATGAAAAAAGTTATCAGGTATTTTAGGTATAATCAGGTTAAATAACCGAAATAACTTACCAAACGATGAGTAGATCATAGATCACGGGAACAAAAACACAGAAAAAATCATTCCAATGAATGCAGTCTTCAGGCAAGATTTCATCATCAAATACACACTCACACAGGCACACAAAATGAAAATCACGTGCCACATGTATTATCACAATAATCAATTCGAAAAATTCGAATTCGAACTCTTTCTATGTTCTATTGAAGGACTGCACCATCTATTGGATGCAAAATCTGCAGCAAAGTGTGCTGAGCTAGAACAATGAAAAAAAGCTTTGTCAAAGCTACATACCACAGAATGCGTTTCTTTATAAGCGGCTTCTACTTTTGAGCTGGACGAACTGTTCAGAGGCATTCAAAAGTTTTCCCCACTGTTCGATATGTTCAGACACACAACACACACTGAGTAGCTTATACTAAATAGTTATGTTTGTACTGAAAATAAGTAGGAATGTCCAGCTCGGCTTCCCCGCATCAAATGCCAAGTTAATACCCAGTGCAAGTACACAGTGCAAGCACTTGGCGAGTGTAAAAGTTGCAGTTACACACAAACGTTAGCGTCATAGAATAGTAGATATAAGTATGTGTGTATGTGTATATAAATAATTGGGGGGCAAATTTATAAGTGATCAGCAATTATGCTCCGAATCACTATCCTCCCCAACAAATAGGTTTTATAAGCGAAGGGGAGGCCAATTTATAAGTGATTGTCCACTATCCACCCCCAACACTGACTATTTTTTAAATTACTTTATGCGCAAGTGTGTATGTGTATATAAATAATTGGGGGGCAAATTTATAAGTGATTGTCCACTATCCTCCCCAACAAATAGGTTTTATAAGCGAGGGGGAGGCAAATTTATAAGTGATTGTCCACTATCCACCCCAGCACTAACTATTTTTTTATATTTAGATATAAGTATGTGTGTATGTGTATATAAATAATTGGGGGGCAAATTTATAAGTGATCAGCAATTATGCTCCGAATCACTATCCTCCCCAACAAATAGGTTTTATAAGCGAAGGGGAGGCCAATTTATAAGTGATTGTCCACTATCCACCCCCAACACTGACTATTTTTTAAATTACTTTATGCGCAAGTGTGTATGTGTATATAAATAATTGGGGGGCAAATTTATAAGTGATTGTCCACTATCCTCCCCAACAAATAGGTTTTATAAGCGAGGGGGAGGCAAATTTATAAGTGATTATGCGCAAACCACTATCCACCCCCAACACTGACTATTTTTTATATTAACCCAGGCGGCCGCGATGGGATTTGAACCGACGTCGAATGTGTATATGTGTGCATATGTGTTAATGTGTGTAAATGGGGGAGGCAAATTTATAAATGATGGGGTAATTTTCCCCCAGACCATTATCCTCCCTCATAATAGAGAACGTAATTATGGTCGTATATAACAATCATATTTTACGACATTACAGAAATACTTCGCTTAACTCTGCCCCGATTAGCGCTGTTTCGATATAACGCTGTGCAATTACATTACATTGCAATACATTGTTACATTGTATATGAAGAGTAAAAATGCATTATGTAAATTATGCAAAAATAACCCCGCTTTGCGCTGTTGTTTCGCTTTACGCTCAATATTTTTGGAACGTAACCCCGCGTTAAGCGGGGTATTACTGTATATTTGTATTATATCACTGTATATATGTAGCATTACTGGCTGCGCATGCTCCTGCCTATTTCTACTTTCCCCTATTTCGACCGAGAATGTCGGTGAGAGAGAACGAGCACGTTTTTCAGCCGAAAATTCCGAGTCAGGATACTAATCTTTTTACTTTCTTTTCTGTGTAATAGGTTTGTTAAATATTTATGTTTCAAATTAAATTGGTTATAATTTTTTTCTGTTAGCTGTTCGCTATTTTTAGGCATTGGTAATCTTTTGGTTTGGTTTCCATTATTACGTTATTTTGCCTATTTTCAATCATACAACATTCTCTTATTGTAACATTGAAGAAATCTTTTCCAAACGTTTTGCGGTTCTGTCTCTGTGCATTTTTAGTTTATGGGTTAGTGTAATTGCTCATTATTAGTTTAAAAAAATTATGCTTACAAAATTTTATTGTTTCACAGAGGATTTTGTTTTTGTGGTTGGGTCGTTTTGGGTCCTCATCTCAAATTTCGTACGCTAAGCTAACATTGGAATGTTTGTTTTCACTTATGAACGTTGATGATATGTTTGCTACATTTGCTACTCGATGCATACGAATCGGTTCGTGATTCATATAAAGAAATCAATGACTTATCACAGTCAAATTCAACTCTAAAAAAATTTTTAGAAGAATATCCAATGGAGAATTTTGATTCTGGATTCCATAATAACTCATTTGTTGACCAAATTCAAAACTATTTTCGAATCTGTTTTCGCTCATCGTCGAATGCTTCTTGACATATAAGAATTTAAATTTTACGACTAAAATTGTTATGATTTTATAACTCAACTTTTAATTAATATTTAAATGAATAAAATAGTGATTTAATTTACGAAAAATTATTTGATTCAATTATTATCACTTTTTGTCACATGTACAATATTCCGTTGTTGTTGTTGATGGTGTTAAAAATTATGATGCTGTAATTGTGGTGACATTATCATCATATTTGGTGAATCGTTCGATGAAAGAATTGATGATGATGAATCAATCATTATAGCAGGCTGATGACGATTCATGATGGCCATTTTTGTAGCCATTGATTGTTGAATTGGATGACCATCTTGATCATTATCGATATCATCTTCGTTTTAGTGAATTGTTTCTCCTAAGTTATATCTTTGTAAAAATCCAATTAAATTTTACATTTTTTAACAAACAATCGAAAAACAATTTTTAGTGAATTGTTTCTTCTAAGTTATGAATTTATTTTTGTAAAAATCCAATTAAATTTACAATTTTTAACTAACAATCGAAATTTATCAATCATTGAAGACGAATCTTCAATATTGAAGACCGGTCTCCAAATTTGATGTTTTTGGTCTCCAAAATTGGCGATTACTCTTCAATAATGGAGACCAGTCTCCACTTCTCTTCATTTTTGAAGTCAGGTCTCCAAATTTGCAGATTTTTCCCTCCAAATTTGGAGACTAGTCTCCACACTTTTTTTCTGTGTGCATGCATGTTATATCAAATGGATACATTATTCATACGATGCAAGTTGTCTCGTAGAATCGTAAATATACAAACATGTTCAAATTTGCCAAAAAATTTAAAAATAACAAAATATATAGTACATTCAAAAAACATTCAATAATCTTAAAATTGATGGATCATCTTTGACACCTTCGATGAATTCTTCTAGAGTTAATTTTCCATCATGATTCCTATCCATTTGTCGGAATACTTTTTCCACTCGTTTTTCCGGTGTAGCCACATCATCTTCGAGCCTAATCGAATTACCCAACATTTTATACATGGCTTTAAATATCTCTAACATTTCCATCTGTGTAATATAACCATCTCCATCAACATCATATATATTGAATGCCATTCGTAATTTTTGTTCCACCCGACCTCTCGATGTTACCGAAATGGCGCACATGAATTCCCTGAACAAAAAATAGAACAGAAATTTTAATGCAATTTTTTTTATATAATGCTATCACAATCGAAGGACATACCTAAAATCGATGGTACCGTCATTATTCAAATCAAATGTTCGAAAAACATGTTCAGCAAATCTGTTTGGATCACCGAATGGGAAAAAATTTGCATATAATTTTTTAAATTCTCTCATTGTCAAATGATTCATTGGATATTCTTTGATGAAATCACGATACCATTCATAGATTTCTTGTTCACTAAATCCAGTTACATGTAATAATTCTTCCAATAATTCTGGTTTAATATTTTTGCTTTGATTTCGACCCATTTTTTTAAAAAAAATTTGATTAAATTTTTGAAAATTTTATTTATTTTATTTGGATTTTTTTTCAAAATCAGCCTGTGAAATATGATGATGAGAAAATGATAATTATCATAATAAAAACAAAAAAACAATTCAAATGGGATCGATTCAATACTGCCACACACACACATACATACAAATACACATGGATTATTTTTCTGGATATTTATGAGGAAATAGATGGGCGGAATTTATGATTATCAACATAAGTATGGTCTCATTATATTTATGTGAATGATTGTGTTTGTGTGGGTGCGGGTGAAACGTGTTCTGATTTTATGATGAAAAATGAAGAATTTTTTTAATCTCATTTTCATTATATGTATGTTGATCTTGTGATGATGGATAATAATGATCAAGATGATGATTATCGGTCGAATTTTAAGATTAAGATCGATTGGTAACTATGTTTATGAAAAGATATGAATTGATGATTGATTCGAATGAATTCGTTTGAATTCATTCGAACACAAACAAAAAATGTACCGTAATAAAAAAAAAATTACAACGACAACAAAACATAACAATGAAACAAGTTATCAATTAAAAATGATGAAGAATTTAGATATTTGGTAGTTTGAAATTTTCTCCGTTTTTGGTCATCAATATATAGAGATTAAGGGCAGATATAAAATAGATGAAAGAAAAATTTACAATTCTTCTCGATAGTTGAATTAAGCATCACCCGAAAGTGACAATAATTTGGCAAGACCATCATCAATGTTACAAACTTCAAGAAATTCTTCCAACGATATTTTTCCATCATTATTGGCATCCATTTTTTCAAATATATCCTTTATACGTTCGGCTGCTTCTTCACCTTCGAATGAGCTAGCCGCTTCTTCGCCCAACATTTCATGTAACGCCTTTTTTTTATTTGTGTTCATCAAGTAAAGAAAAAATTCATAATTTCAAAAAAAAGAAGAAAAAAAAATCAAATCAGACATTACCTTAATAATTTTAGTCATTTCATCCAATTCTATAAGACCATCATTGTTAATATCATACATTTTGAATGCCCATTTAAGTTTTTCACGTGGATTAGTACTTGTGGTGATACCGATAGCAAGTAAAAATTCTTTAAAATCAATCCAACCATTACCATCTTCATCGAATGTACGATAAACATGTTGACAGAATTTTTCTGGATTACCACCTTTAAAGAATACTTTATAGATTTCAATGAATTTATCACGTGAAAGTTTTCCTTCCGGACAATCCACTTGAAAGCCTTTATACCAATCACGTATTTCTTTTTCCGAATAATTTGTATTCTTCATCAAAAATTGTACATCTTCATCGGTCAATTGGACGCTTGATTTAGAATTTGAACAACCCATAATGATTGATTGATTGATTGGTCTTGAAAATACACAGGTTTTCGTTTATATATTTGTTTTGCAATAATAAATCGTTCGAAAACAGAATAAGACAGACGATATATAAAAAAAACAATAACAATCGATTTAATGAACAAAATATATAGATTATTGACACGGTGCGTAAGATTATCCAAAAACATTAAAATCTAAACAAACAAACAAACACAATAAATGAAACACGTCAATAATAGGTTGAGAAGGGAACAAGAAAAAAATCCAATCAAACAATCGTATGGATCGAACCAATCAATTTATTTTGTCGTCATCATATAAAACACAACATGATATAAAATTTCCGTTCTAATATAGTGCTGATTTAAACACTAACTAAATGAAAATTTTCAACAAAAAAAATGATGATGGAGAAATCAAATTTTTCACTATGCATTTGCTTTTAATTGCTTAGCAGGATGTTTGTTTTTTTTTTCATTCATTCATTCGACATTCACAAAGTTTGCTTGTTCATTTCACAGTTTATTGTGATCAAATGAAATGATGATATTTTCAAAATATTCTAGACCTAGAATTTTCGTTCGTTTGTTTCTAATACAATGCTATTATGTTTTTTTTTTTTTTTTTTTGTATTTGTACCTTGCATTTTATTTCTCTTGGATTATTATTATTATCATGATGATGATGATGATAAGTGATTATAATTGGTCATTCAATGACCATGATGATGATCCTATAGCATTTTATTTGACGGTGGTGGTGGTGGTGACATTTTCCACTACTATATTCTTTGAAATGAAATTTTCATCCATTCATAGGTAGAATACAGAAAAAAATGATGATTTCCTACATAATCCATATAATGCATATATGGTGAAATGGTAAAAAATCATAGAATTTTGGTATTATCACCAATGGTTACACATTTTGGTTTGGTTATATGACATTAACATACACACACACACACACTCAATAATTCTGTAATTACTTTTACCTATAAAAAAAATGTTTCTTTGTGTGTGTGTGTGTATGTGTATTGTTTCAAGAGAAAAATGAAACAAAAATATCATATAGCTAAATGAAGATAACACATATATTTTACCATATGGTTCATAAAATGTCAGCGCACTTTTGACCATTTGAGGCCATTTGCATTATTAATTAGCTGTACTCCTATAGTAACCAGCGAAAAAAAATAATAATAATCAAAAGTGTTTTAGTAATAAGTGATGGTCACTATAGAAAATAATACAACTATATATATTTTTTATTATTTATACATGTGTATGGATTAATAACATTAACCATTTGAATAAAAAAGAAAAGAAAAAAAATGTTTGGTAACCTGGTTTATTATTGAATTATTCATTCAGACCGATTCTATCATCATCATCATCATTATTCGTTATCACATATTCTCTTAGTGCAGAATTCGAACGAAAATAAAAAAAAATGATTCATAAAATATCACTGACCTTGGCTTGTGGCTCAACATTCACTCATCATCATCATCATCAAATTCAATCAATTTATATTCGATAAGTGAGAAATCATCATTCATTCATTCATTCTATTCATTTATTCTTAGGAAGTAAATGAGGTCAATCAATTTTCAAATAATAATCTTACCAAATAGGATTATTAGTGTTACTGTTGTTTGAAATCTATATATACAACAATCATATTTTGGTTGTCATTTATCTAATAAATAATAACCATTGCATGCATAATAAAAAAAATACAATAACAACAACAAAAACAACAAAAAATTTAGAAACATAATATAAAAAAAATTTGTTTCAAATAGCCGACCTAGATATGAGATCCCAGGAAAAAAAATCAGCTCACTATGGAAACTGATTATGGACAGGATTCATGATTTTATGGAATTTTTTTTCCTGTATTATCATTCGGAATTCATTTGGCAATGGTCATTTTCACACACGCACACGTTTGGATAAAAATCCATTTATTAGTTTCTGGTTCGAAAACATAGGATTTGATTCGATTGAATGAGTGAAAAATATTTTTAAAATTATTACCTTTATTCGATTTTTAATAAGTAGAAATAGAATTTGAAATTAAATTGAAAATTGAGTTTTTTGTTCTCGATTATTCATTTGATGATAGATAATGATATAGATTTTATATTGACAGATTTTGTTGTTGTTGTTGTTGTTGTTGTAAAATTGTAGTAAAATAAACAAAAAGTGGTGACATATGAAACAAGATGTGTTTATTTAAATGATTTTTTACATTGAAAAACAAAAACAAAACAATCGCATCCACAAGTGTAATAAAAAAACATCATTGAATACATTGAATTAAAAGGGAAAACTTTCCTGGAATGGATTTTTGTTCCGTTGGAAATCTTTTCCATCAAATTAAATGCATTATCATTTGTTGAAATGGCAGTATTGAATACAGTGATTTTGAGTACAAAAACAAAAAAAAATCTTTCATTTTGATACTCAACTTACCTGATGTGACAATATGATGATTGGTTGTCGTTTAATGGAAGTGAGGAGTTTGTTTTTTGCCACTTATTATTAATGATGATAAATAAATGAATGAGCAAAAATTTTTATGAATCAAATATTGTATGAGCATCATTATTGTTTGTCAATCCACAACAATAATGAAAAATTGTCGATTATTATTACAAAAACATCATGGATATATATCATCAACAAACAAACGTAATCACAACATAGACAACCAGAATCTGATTGTTGAATATTCAAGGCTAGAATTCAAATAAAATTCTAACCATTTATTTCATTGGATAAAACTAAAAATTTCATATATGTATCATTAGAGGCCGAACCTGAATCTAGTTGAATGATTAGTTTCTATCTATCTATGTGTGTGTTTGTTTACAAATGTTATTGTTATTGTTGGACCTTCATCATATGTAATGATAACGGTTCTATTATTTACCTGGGTACCTTATCGTGTTTATTTATTTTTTTTGTTGTTGTTGTTGTTGTTGGTTGGTGATCATCACCAAAGAATCTATCTCTTTCTCTCTCTCTATGATGAACAAAAAAGAACTAATTTTCTTTTCATCTAACTAGTGGTAAACACCGCCCGGCATATATCATTATAGCTCAATGACGGTGATGACAACAACAACAATAATAACAACAAAAAGAAGATCCTGAAACAAAAAATGGCAATCATTTCTATTTCTTTGTAAATGGATAACTGTGACGAGATCAGTCATTTATTGACTTTTTTTTCTTGAATAAAATGAGCAACAACACGCACACCTAGACAGAAAAAAAACACACACAAACACACATGGCAACCGTAATAGATAATCTAAGTGCAAGGGTCTATCATCATCATCATCATCATTGATATTATTATTCAAATTTAAAGTCAAAAAAATTTGTTGGGTTAGGTTTCATACAGAAATAGAATTTATTAACTTCTGGAATGATTTTATCTAGCTCCATTTTGATAATCGATTCGATGGATAAATGAATGATGGAAACCCGAATTCAGACAAAGAAAATTCTTCAATGGAAAAAATTTTTTTTCTATTTACTGTATGATTATTATAATGAACAGATGTATGCTTTTTTGCCTCTCTTAATCCGAATATCCTGTTTTTGATCATCATCAAAATAAAAATATTGTTTATTCAATAAACAAACTCGACAACAAACTCAACAACAACATTCTCATCATCATCATCATCATTCTATAGTAAGAAAAAAAAATTGCATATATGCAATCACATCAGCCACTTATGGACGTATATGTGTGATAAATATACTCGTTGGGTTATGTTTACACACACACACACACACACACACACACACACACACACTTTTGATGTAATGAATTTGAATGGATGAATGGAAAAAAAGGCAAGAAAAAGCAAAAAAAAAGACAAAGATGGTGATGATGGTTGAAGTAACGGCAAAAGATACCATGTGTATACAAAAAAAAAATTCATCATCAAATTCGTTACACTATAGCTGTATATCGTGATGCAAATGTATGTATGTGTGTGTATGTTGCTGTGATTTCACCATTATCATTGCCAATTCAATCAACTCAAATGATCCTTATTGTTGGCTGAATTTAATTGAAGAAATTTTCTAATTTTCTATTCGGTAATAGTGGTAAATGATATTGGCGGCGATAACGTTTTCGTTTGCATAAATATATCATCTTCTTTTGTTGAATCACAATCCTCTAGTAATTAATATCATCCATATTAACAACCATATACAACCAAATAGCAACAGTTGTGTTGATACTTATCACTGTATACCAGTTACCAAAAAAAAAAAAAAAAAAAAAAATCCATGCTCAATATCCATGAACAGATGTATGATTTTCAATCCAAAAAATTTACAAAAAAAAACAACTAAATCCCAACTAAAGAGTTGATAGAACAAAATGCCAAAAGTGTGAAAAGAGAAAGAAAGCAAACGACAACGGCAAATTTTTTTCATTTTATTTCTTCAAAGTCATTCGTTATTATTATTTATATTTTCTTGTGTGTGTTTGCCTCGACTTTTCTATCTGACCAAACTTATTATTTTATTATATATATATAGAAAGAAAATTTGGACCTAGTCCAGTTCTTTTTATTGTCCACATTCGAATCTTTTTTTTCTTTTATTCACTGTGATTCATTTTCTATTGTATTTTATAATTGTGTTTCAATGTCCATTTAATCTGGATTCGAACAACAAACAAAAATAATGACTTCAACGCAGAAAACGATCGACCATTCTAATTCAACAACAACAACAACAACATCATGCTACAATTCAAGTTGTACAAACGTATGTATAATGTCAATCAATTTGATTAAATTTTCTATGTGTGTTTGGCATATTCAAAGATATTTGGCATTTCAATTAGCCGATTTTTTTTCAATTTGATCTATTTTTTTTACAAATATTCGATCAAAAATTGTGTGATAAAATACCGGTATCATTTCATATAAACTATATGGATTATTATAGTGAGATCCTATAGGATCATTATATGTTATGTTCTATAACGTAAATAACATTCAATAGCAATGAAATTATTGGTGCAAAAAAAATTGATGATCGTCATGGCTGACAACCACCATCATGTTGATCAATGAAACATTATTTATTCTTCGAATTCTGAAAACAATAAAAAAAATTCTGATGAAAATGAAAAGCAGAACAAAAATTAATAGCTCTCTGTGTGTTATGACGATCGAAAAATGTTTTAGTCACGCAAAAAATACGACCCTAAAAAAATTCATAGGAAGCAAATATAGAATATAATAGAATAAATAACACAAAATTCAACAGTTCAACAGTTCAACGAATTCTCCTTACAACAAGAATGACGATTCTTAAGCTTTTCTTTTTCCAATTTTATATATCAATATTATTAATTGGCTTTTTTTTAAGGTCACTTAATCTAATTAAGGCTATAAATATGTAAATATTGGCCATTCTTTTCCATCAATTGATTGATTGATTGATTGACAGGAGAAACAGAAAGACGAAAACAGCTAATAGCTAAGAATAATGGACCAGAATAGATTAGAATAAATCGTGAACCAAGAATATTAGGTGAATGCATGCAATTTTTTAAAGTTTAACAGTGTGTGTATGTTATGTGTGTCAAAATCTTGTTGTTTTCATTAATGAGTAAGCCGAGCCACGCCAGGATAAGAAATAAGAATGGAAAAAAAAGAGTCATGATTTTTCTCTTGAGCTTTCTCAATCGATATTGGCATATATATACACAATATTCCAGAAAGCATGCGTTGTTCAAAATTCGGTTAACTTGGTTGGTCCCGGTTTTTCGACCAACTAGAATACCGGACTACTAAAGCCGTTTCAAATTGACAACCTGAAAATAATATATTACTCTATTCATCTATATTGTGAGTACTAAGCAAGCAAGCAAACAAACAAAAAAAAAACTGGATTGCGGAACATGACAACAACTAAAGATCAAACGAAAACTTTTGTTTTTGTTCATCATTATTGTTGATCCTATTAATTTTTCTAAATTTCTACAAAAACGACAAAATATATTTTCTCTATTTTTGCTCAATCCATTCATTTTGTCCTTATTATTTTTTGAATGATTTTATGACGTGTCGAATTGAAATGAAATTGTGGAACGAATTAAATTTTTTTGTGAAGAATTATTTTTGATTTGTTCACTAGAATTTGACAGAATTTTCCTCATTATCGTCTGAAAGAAATGAACCTATATATTGTTCTATAAAATGATGAAAAAAGATGAATATTTATAGCTACTCGAAATGAATATTTCAAACACAATATTCGAATGATATTTTCATTATTGTCATAAATGTTATTCGCACCAGAATCATCAGTTCCTCTTCAAATAATGATGATAACCGTTTCAATATATATGATGATGATATTTTATTTGCAAACATAAATGTGATCATTTGACCTGTTGAAAAAATCTCTTTTTAAAAAAAGAGTACGATCTCAAAACAGATTTGTCCATCTTGAATTGCCATTATGAATGGTTTATTCAATAATTTAATTGATATATTTTACCGGTAAAAAAATAAATAAAGTGATTATATAATATAATATATTAAAGAGTGAATATTCTGATCTGAGTCTATATGATAGACAATAAATCAATCAAGCCAATTCTATATAATATAAATTATTTAAGCTCATCGAATTCATATTGAAAATAATATAAATGGTGTTGACATCACATTCATCATCATCATCTTCGTCAATACCGCGTTCGAAATCATCGCTAGATGCACAGCCAAAATTCTATCTGATTGAAATACCCAGAAGGGTTGCATTTACCGATGTAGAATGTTCACAGTAAGAATGTTATGATTTAATGATGATATTTCGAAATATCTATAAATTAATTGATAAAAAATTAAAATAAATTTTTTTTATCCTTCCATACATACATACAGAACTATGGATAATGAAGAGGATAATCCATTTCGTCCTGGTTCGGAATTAAGCCGTGAAGCGGACATTATTGTCAATCTGATTAAAGAAGGAAAACCAATCACACCAACTGGTGATATAATTAGTGCCAACAATTCTAATGTTGCCGCTGTCAATGATAGCCAAACACCACAAAAACAACAAGAAAGTTTGACCAAAAAACAACAATTTCAAACTCAAACCATTTTAGTCAATAAAGGTGATGAAAAAGATGGTTCAAATAAAACCAACAACAATAAATGCAGCAACAGCAATAATAATGGTAATATTGAACCGGGACAAGTTGAAATTCAACATGGAATTATTGTTGCAAATAATGATAATATGCCAACAGTTGAACAGATCAATCTGAAAAAGAAACGTAAATGTTGTTCACTTCTCTAAATTCACATTAACTCATTCATTCATTCAGTTAAGACCCCCCAACAACCAAAAAAAAAAATGATTATTTGTTTGGATCCTGACTCATCATTGCTGATATATTCATATTCATGTTGTTTACAAAAAAAAAATGTGTCAAATCGAAATTTGCCCATTTTGTATTGATCATCTAATCATCATTTACAATCTTCAATACCAAACAAGGCTTAAATCTAAAAAATATCAACTTTAACGATGTCATCATCATCATCATCTTTTTATGTTATCTCACGACGAAGTCGTGCACTTTTTCTGTTTTGGTATACGCCCTTGCTAACAACAAACATCATCTTCATCATCAATCAATCAATCAATCAAACAAGACAGTGTGTGTGTGTTTATGTATGTAATTTGAATGAATGTACTAATAACGAACCAACTTATAGTAAGAAATTGGAGCTTCTTCTTAAATATAAGATCCTTAAATGAAAAAAAAAATCTTGAACAGTCCTAATATCCTGTATCCAAATAGATTTGCTTATATGGAATATACAACTAAAATTAAGCAACAAAAAAAAATTCAATTTCATCCATCTTTGATCATCATCATCATCATTTTATTTTTGTTTTGTTTGGTTTGGTTTTTTACCACCATTCATTCATTCATTCAATTGAAGTATGGCGATAATTTTCAATTTCACATACAACACACTTGTCAGCGGTTATATTATGTGTTGATTTCATCATTTTGTTTGACATTTTTTTTTGTTGTTTCATTTGATTCATGTCATGATTTTTTTTTAATTATTATTATATGAGTGATTAATCCCGAATTTTTTTTTCTTTCTGTTTGTCTGTTTGCAATGTACCTTTATTATTTTATATTTTTTTCTTTGATGATTTGTTTGTCTATTCAAAAAAATTGATCTTTTTCTTTGATTTCATCGTTCATATTTTTTTTAGTCTTTTTTTTCAAATTGTATTTTATCACACCATTATTATTATTATCGTTTGTCAAAAAACAAAACAAAACATTTCAATTCCACATTCACATCGTGTTTCGTTATAATTTTTCTTTTCTTTAATTGATCAACAGACAAGAAAATCATCATTTTTGAAACTACCAAATATTTAAATGAACATTGGAATTAAGAAAAACAATACAAGCGCTGATTTTTAAGTATCGTCATATTAATAAATACAAACTATGGAAAGCAAATGAGGAGAACAAAAAATCACTAATTACGTAATTGTGAATGGTTGTTGTTGTATAATGGTATATGAATGATAATGAAATAAAAAAAAAAGAAAAAAATATTGATGTACTATTATTTGATTGATTGATGCGTCGTTCAATAACAATTCAACAAGTCAATAATCAGGCAGTCGCGTTAGGAAAAAAAAATATTGTCATATACTTTGGATCATCTCTTTTTCTCAGAAAAAAATCACTAATGGAAAATTTTCTTCATTCAAAAATTATATGGTGGTGGCCTTGAATAAAGATGTTGTGGAATGGCACCCGGTGACCATGTTTCTTCTTCCGAATGATCACGTTCATTAAATGCAGATATATGTGGTGCACTTGGAACTACTGGACGACGATTAGTATTGCCACTTCTACTACTTCGTTTATCCACCCTATTCAATCAATATTTATTCGATCATTAATATAAACAGATTAAACAAATCATTTGTTGTTTACTTACTCAGCTAATGGTATATCATCTTCTTCGAAATGATCTATAATCAGAATCCTGTATTTTGAAATAATAAATATTTAATAACTCATCATATGGACAATAAAGATTCTTACGATTCTCGCCGTGTCGATGAACGTTTTATTCGTTTAAACAATGAATTCAATAAACAAACCAACAATGTTGCTGGAATAAAGACCAAAAGTGTGATCGTAACGCTGAACCAACAAGCAGTCTATTTAGAAAAAAAAGCAAAAACAAACAATGAGCTTTATATTTTTTCCAATTAATTTGATTAGCTTACAAAAGGTAAAACAACATTATCACAAAGTGATGAAACCGTATGATTGTATGAACGGCTTACTGGTTCGCATTTACCAATTTCATTTTTCACTCGTTGTTCCACATGGTCACTGTATTGAGTCAAAAGCATACTTAAATCTTCGATGTAATTCCTCAACACATTACGTATTTCTAATCGTCCTTTTTGGTTAATAAATTGTTGTGCGTTGTTTGCTTGTTTTAACAAAATATCTAATGTTTCACGTAGACTTTTTCCATTGAAATGTGATTTCAATTCAATTCTTTCAGCATTTTTCGTCAAATTTTCCTATTCAAATTAAAAATAAAAATTTGCATACAATACTTTAACATTAAATTGTGTGACATACAATTTTTTGTGCTATTATGTTGATCAATTCTTTAGATGATCGTAAATCAAGAACAATATTTCGTAATTTAGCAATATTTTCAATCTCATAATCAGGCATACGATATGATTCGTTTTCCAATTTTTTCGACAATAATTCCAAGTCTATAGGAGTAATACTGTGTTTGATTGAATTGGCGAATCCGGAAAAATTCAATGTTTCTAAAGGCGTTTCTTTCAATACCTGTAACAATTCTTTGCCTTCTTCGCTCAATAAAACAACATTGGTGGGATTAATATTCAAACGATTTAACAAAGAGTTCAAGTATTTTTGAATGTTATTTTTCTATAGAATATAAAATAATAAAACATTTAAGTTTATAAAATAAGTATGAAAAAATCGTTCAACTTACTTCTTTAAAAGTGAGGATTTCCGATAGATTAAAACTTGTTGTTGTTTCCTGATCGGATTTGGCAACACGTATTTTTTGATCAATCGAAAGATTAAGTACATTGAATAGACTTTGATTCTGATGACATCGATCTATTATATCGATTATATTAATTTTTTTCAAGTATTCAAACATTTGTTTTAATTCATATGAATCTTGTTGTGCTGTATCTGATGAGAATTCATTTTCCATTTCCATTTGTAACAAATGCATCATTTTTACTTTGTGGTTCAGAAACATTTCTGAGATAGAAACATAATGATCGATCATTTAGTCCACCAAAGATGAATGAAATTGTACTCAACGATAGAATAATGGTAAAACTTAGAAAAAATAATGTCATACCAATATAGGAGAAAAATTCTCCTTTTTTTGATCGTTTTTTATAATTGAAACGGGTAGGTTGATCATTGCAAAGATTGCTTAGTAGACCGAAAAAGTAACAGGCCAAAATGACGAATAAAATCATAATTGAAAATAATCCAATATGATAAATGTGATGATTATTCTTTTGAATGAAATTATTTGAATTTGATAGAAATCCTTGTACTAATCGAATGTATTGAATAGGCTGAGCAAGTACGGTATTGATGTCTTCAACATTTTCTACAAGTGCTTTGTTCGCTTGGGAAATATTTGATCGAATCAATGGAATAATTTCATTAACTTTTCGTTGTATATCATTGCTTATTATATCGAGTTTTTCTTTGCCTTTTTTTATTTCGGCAATTATATTGCGATCCAATAGATATTGGATTTTATCAATTATAGGTGAAAGACGTGGTAAACTTTCGATACGAGATGAAATGGAAAATGAATGTCGTATCTGTTGATATTTTTCTTCTAATTCTAAACAAATGTCATGGCGACATGTTTGAAAAAAATCTTCAATATCTTGCTTTATTCGAGAGATTTTTCCTCGTAATTGAACGGTTAAAAATTTTAATTCATTTGTATGGTTGATTAGTTTTTTTAAATCCAGTAAAATTGGTTGCAAATTTGTCACGATTTGCGTAAGGTTATCTACTGAACTAGCTTTTGAAATGATAGCCAATTCATTCTTCACGATTTCGCCACTAATGTCTAAATTTTTACGGATTTGTGTTTCTAATTGAGCAAAATTGGTCTTGAAAAGAATGTCCAATTCGTATTGAGTATTGTTCAGATAGATTTCGAAATCAGCAAGTGAATTGTTGGCAGCTTTAGGTAAATCTTTGATTCCATCATGAACAAAATCATTTGTAACAAATGAACATATTATGAATAAAAATGATAAAACAAGTAGGAATAGAAGTACGATGGAAAATATTGGTCGCATACAACAATCGCATGAACCTTCTACCTTAAACTGATGATTTGAAAATGATGAACGTTGATCGTTGGTTCTAGATCTTGATGAAGATGATGATGAATGAGAACGGCCATGGCGAAGTAGATTTTCATTACCAGAAATAGAATGATTATAATTACTAATACGAGATCGTTTATTATTCTGATTTGTTGGTTGTGTACAACAGAAACACCAACTCATCAACCAAATTATGGGCACAAATATTGCAAGGAACAAAAATGTAATGGTCAAAATCAACACCCATCCATAGTGATCAATAATCTATGAAAAAAATGGTAATTATTACACAGTCATACTCACTACACCTTTTTTATTTCAATCAACCAATACATACCTCTAATTTGTTTTCTTCGATCACTTCAGCAGGACGTTGAACAAAATCATCGGTGATGATTGAATCTGGAAATCCGAATCGGAATATTTGATTCAAGATCAAATTGATGAGCAAATATAAATGCTCCATACTAAATGCAATTTCATGATTATCTAGATTCTGTGTACGCCATTCCGTTAATGACAGAATCGGATTTGGCATTATAAATTCAATCGGTTTTAAAGTATTCATTTTTATATGCGTTGAATTTATCAGATTCATCATTGTATGTAAAAATCTGTTGTAGATTTAAATATCAAATATAAAATATATCATTAGGTTCATCATAAATGGTATCATTATTACATACTATTTATTTTCGAACACAATAATAGGCTGTTGACCAGATAATGACAAAAAATTTTCACATTATGAATTTACCATTTATTTTTGTATATCTATCTTTTGATCCTTGAATGAATTGGTTGAAAAAATGATAATGTAAAAAGGGAGAGAGATGAGATTTTGACGACTCACAAAAACATCTTCATCAGCCATAGCATATAAAATGAGAAACAGGCAAAATCGCAATTTGGGTAATATAATAACTGCTAAACGTTGGTGAAAACATAGGAAGTAGTATATAACAAATTTATATTGGTAACATTTCAATTCGATTATGATGAACAAACATTGAACATAAATATAAATATACAAGGCCTGTTTTTCAAATTATACTACGCTGTTGTACTATAGTAAAACTGGATTATCATTATTCTACGTGAGAAACTGAGATCTATGTCATCGACATGGAAAAAAAGGTTAACGTTGTATGAACGAACTGGTTGTTGTTGTTGTTGTTGTTGTATTGGCAGTAGTGATGGCCATCAAATGGTCTTGTTATGAATGATGATGCGTTCCTCTTTCTTACACACACAGGCAATAATGGATTCTGGGAGAGTCTACAGATCATCATCATGTATATAAAATTTAGTTCTCGCCCAACAATATTTGTTGTACATTAAATGAAAAAAAGAAAAATTTCCCCGATAGATGGCGTCACTAAAAAAATCATATGTGATATTCAGCTATTTCGACTAATTTTGATGGTGTTCAGCAGAATTTCAGTCAATATAGTCAAATGATCACACATCGAATTTCGGATCAACATCAACCGAATATCATAAACATCGAAAGTTGTTTTTTTTAAATCTGTGATCCCGGCAAAAACTGTGGTTTTTTTTACTAATGCAATGATAATTTTGAAACATTTTTACAAATATCCACTGACCAAATGATGGAGGTGCCGCGTCCATTAAAACATTTGGTACAAAAAGTCATGAGAGGATTCTATCCATGTGAACATATGATTGTAGTTGATCTATTAATACGACGAGTCGTCTTAAAAGAAGATGATATGATTGAATTACTTCGATTTGAAAAGAAACAGCTTCGCGGCGTTTTAGCTTTATTAAAAAATGATAAATTAATCAAATTTAAGCTTAGAATGGAGACCGGCCTCGATGGTAAAGCTTTTAGGCAAAATTATTATTATATCAACTACAAAGATTTTGTTAATGTTATAAAATACAAACTTGATCATATAAGGAAAAAATTCGAGTTGATTGATCGTGATAATACATCGAGAGCTTCGTTCATCTGTTCTTATTGTAAAAAATCATTCACCGATCTTGAAGTCGACATGTTGTTGGACAGTTCCGGCGAGCTCAGGTTTGTTTTATATAAAAATTCGACCACAAACTATTATTGCTTTTTATTGCATACATTTTTTCAGATGTACACATTGCGGTAGTGAGGTTTGCGAAGATCCCAATCATCTACCTAAAGCCGATTCTAGAAAAATGTTGGCAAAATTCAATGAAACAATGGAACCATTATATATGTTGCTCAAAGAGATTGAAGATATTCGATTGACAGCCGAATTATTGGATCCAGATATCGACAGTCGAATCGAACAACCACAACAGAATTATGATGGTACATTTTCTACCGGCAAATGGAGTGATAAAAATAAAGGGCTTTTTGGCCATGCAATGGCAAATATGAATCATTTCAATGTCAAAATTGATGATACCGATTCATCGAATAATAGTCAAAATCAACCGAAAAAAGAGCAGCCAATCTGGATGATGGAAAGCACAATATCAGGTGCAGCAAATAGTATGGGCATAGAAAATGGTGGCAAGATGAACAAAATGGTTAATGGTAATGCAATGAATACATCGGCAAATACTCGCCCATTAATCGATACAATTGATCTGCCATCAAGTTTAATTGAGCTTAGCTCTGAGCAAGCCAAAGAAGTTTTAGAAATTTCTATTATCATATGAAAAACCTAATGATCCTCGATGGTTTAGAATATGTAAATATTTTGGTTTTGCTAATGATCCTGATGATGAAGGTGTTGATTTTAACGATATGAATGATGATCCAATGAATCAAAATGGTAATAATAATATTAATGTCGATATGAATTTTTTCAATCATCTACCATTTATACGTGTAAATGGTCATCTTGTTTCATTGATTGATCTATCCGATGAACATATTGTCAAAATGAATGATATGGAAAAACAAGACTATATTAGAACAGCACAGCAACTATATGCAACCGTTTTCGATATTTAATATTCATTCATAATAATATATATGCTTATAATGATAGATATTTTGTATATATACATAATGCTATATTATTATCTATCTATTATATTTGTATCCATTTTTCTTTCTATAATTTCATTTTTTTTTTTCATTCATACACATTGTAATTCAATTGTAATTCTATTTTATTTAATTTTTGTAAATTCATTCATAGATATATGAATGATGAAAAATAATAATAAATATAATAATATTTAGACATTTTGAAATTTTAAAATTTTTTACAATGAATAAAATCAATTTTTGTTGCTAATAGCAAGAGAAAAAAAAACTAGACTAGTACACAATGGAATTTTGTCATTTATTTTTCTGAATCAAATTATTCATATTTTTTTTTAGAATTTGATTTGATTTGATAATATATTAAACACACCAACAAACACAAACACGCGCGAACATTTTTTTTTCAAATCATGCATCACATAATTCTTGATTAAAAAAAACTATAATGAAATATTTTCTGGAATATAATAATAATAGTTATTATAATTAACATATATATAAATAAAACTGGCTAGTGAACGCTCACAATGAAAAAAAAAATGATTAACAAGAAAAGAAATTCATTCACTCATTTAGTAGATACGAAATCAATGTTAATTTTGAATGAAACATATGGATAATATTCTTGTTGGCCGACATTCAAACCTGGTATATCTTCAATTGGACCTTGTAATATTGATGTATCCAAATGTGAATACAAATGATTGAGAACTTCACGTAATTTACGATAATTTTTCTTTGGTGGATGAAGAAGTGCAACAACAAAATTAACCGGCAATCCATATCGAAGTACAGATTCAACAAATACACGTAAAACTTTGACATGTACCCAAGCGATAACTGCTTCACTGAAATGAACTTTTAGCCATCGCATCAATAGATGATATTGTTTTTTAATGTCGCTTTCCAGGCGTGCAATCTCATTTTTACCGGCATTAATGTCATCTTCATTGTATATGAAATCACGGACGATAAATTTGTTTTCACGTGCTTTCACTTTGAATTGATCGGCAAATTTTTTGAAGACAGTCACATTAAATAGACCATGATCATTATCTTCATGTATCAATGTTGATGAACGAGGAACGACATAATCAGTTAGATGTTCATATTTGCATTGCCAATCTTTGTAATATGATTTCGGAACAACAACAAGAAATGTAATCATATATTCGGAACCGAGAACGAAATGTTCTTTTTTGACAAGTTCGCTTGGATCTCTCACTAATAATGATCCAGCTTGTCTTCGTTCTAAAGATTGAAGATTACTTTTTAGATTATTGAATGTCGATGTTTTCGTCTTCATGTCCTGATCTATTTGGCCAATTTGTTTGTTAATTATCTCATGTAATGATTTCAACGATTGTTTGATAGGAAATTTGGCAGAATCCCATTGAAATTTGGTCACATATGTATGCAAATCTTGTCCGTTTGCTTGAAGCTGCTCTTTCAATGATTGGCCTTTCTCAAGTATATCGCCAATGGATTGTGCCAATTTTCTGCTGACTGCTTCGACATATGTGTCCAATTTGTTCAGGTCATCCGATAAGCCAACCAATGTATCTAATGTGCCAACTTTCAAGTCGGGAAGAAGAAAACGAAAAGTCTCACAAAACTCTGAACCATGTTTATTGATAGTTTCATTCAATGTTTCCCATGTTTGTTGACACGTTTTTTCTCCTGGTGCCGAGATGAGCCAATATTCCATTATGTGACAAATATAATAATAATAATGATGATGATGATTATGGATGGTTAATGATGTTCTATCAAACAGTGGGCGTTTTTAATTGGATTGTAATCACAATCTCAATGATGAACAAATTAGAACGAAATTTTCTATTTATTATAGAAAGAATATATTGGCTAGTCAATTCCAGACCAAGTGTGAATGTAAATATAAAGAACAATCCAAGGTTCCAAGTTGATTTGTGATCATGCGATTTTTGGGTAAAAGTCTAGAGACCAACTCAACAACAATCCGTCATCAAGGAGATGGGTAGAGTTTATCCATATCCATGGAGCAGTAGCAAAGCTAAAGTTAAAGAAATATAAAAACCACTCATAACCGATCATCAGATGGCACTGATGTCCGATAACAAAATTTTTTTTTCTTTAAATAAAAAAAGTTTTTTTTTATTGGATCGTATCAATTAATCAGATTAATATTGCCATTATCATAATTAAAATTAAAACAACTGATTTGTAATCGCATATATGTACAAAATCTGTTCGTAACATCATCAATAAGCTTTCGAATTGTTTGATCCTGAATAGAAATCTGACAAAGATCACGACAATTGTCTATTCGTGGCTGCAATTGTAAATGAAAATTGTTTCCTGTTTTTCGAAAAACATGTTCAATAGCATTGATATCGATGAGCATCTGTACCCGAGCAGCATCACTTAATTGTTTGCTATAACTTGCACATAATCGTTCGATTTCAATAACGGTTGCCAACAATATTTCAAACATTGTCTTATAAACTAATTGTGGTGTTATCTTGTAAATTTCCGATTGAACATAAATCAAATTCAATATCGTTTCCTTGATATAATAGCTAACATCTTTGGGCATTTCTTTTTCCTGGAACCAATTCTCATCGAAAAATCGCATCGATGTTTCGATTCCACCAATAACATCATCACGTTTGCGTTCGATGAATGTTTCCAATAATTTGTTTTCCAAATCTTTGAATTTTTTCTGTGTTAACTGGATCACCTGTGACATATCAGGATAGCCATATTTTTCGAATATTTCATATAATTTTGGCAATACATAGTTGGCTGTATATGAACAATTACATAAGACAATCAATGATCGATTATCTTCGGTTATATTTCGATTATTCGATATAGGATTTGCAGCCGATCTTTCCAATGCATACAAAAAAGAATTGATTAAACTTTGTATTAATTGTTTTACCAATCCTTTGACGTTAATCTGAGTGAATATGTCGACTTCATCAGCCGTTCGAATCTGTATGACTGAATCTCGAATCAATTGTAAAATTTCAATAACTTTTGTTTCGAATTGCAAGGGAAGATTAGTTCGAACGCCATATATGTCATCGAATTGTATGTTCCAGACTTCTTTTTTGTATAAATTTTTCACATCATTTGATTTATGGGTAAACAGACAGGTCAAAGTATAGAGACGAAGATCGAAAATAAACGTCTGTACCGGTTTCAATAGGCCAGAATTTTGCATATGAATCAAATTAAAATCTAATTTTAAAAGATTGGAATAACATTGAACAGCACCACGAAGACAATAAGGCAGCCAAAGGACAAAATCTTGATCAATCTCATTTAATGCTTGATTAGAAGTGTAGTTGAAACTATTCGTATCCGGAAGAAGAACACTACGATATTCGTTACATAATAATTTAATTGATTGTGTGAGCAAATCTTTTTCAAAAATTTCACGTTTCTTCTTCAGATCATCTATAGAATTTTTATTGTATAAATCTCCATTCAGATAGGCACAACCTAATTTGAATAAATCATTGAAGATACGATCGAATAATCTTGATGTTTTATCGACGAACAAAATTTGTGGTGGCTTTTGTGGATTATCTGGATCTGGTGGCATTGTTTTCAAATTGTTATCGGCATCACCGTTTGTTGCTTGTGAAGATAAATATTGTTGTCGACAATTGTTAATTTTATTGAACAAAGATTGTTTAATCAAAAGAATAGCATCCCATGCTGGATCCGAATTTTCCTCCAATGCTGATAAATATTTGATTAATTTTTTTAATTCATCAATATTATTATCTTCCATATTAAGTGCACATTGTTTGAACAATTCTCTAAGTGTAAGTATAAAGCTTTGAATACGTTGTTCAACTTCATGGAATACTTTACGAAATACACTGACTGAACTGTCACTGAATAGATTTTTTGCTCGAAAAAAATCATTGATAACCACATCATAATCTTTACGTTGCATGCTTTTATCAATGTTCGAGGGCAGATTGAATAGAAAGCGATAACGTTGCAGAACATTCAAAGCATTACGCATAGAATCAGCATCATCTTTACGACTGATGATATTATCGAATATGGCATGTGCTTCATCGTTAGCGCTTTTAATATAATCATCAATCTTCACAGTTAAATCGGATCCAAATTCTTGACGATCTTTTTTGAATGACAAATACAAATTATTTAAAGCGTTCAAACAATCCATAATTGAAACAATGTTAGCTTTGAGAAATGTATTCGAATCTAACGTATTTTTCGGTTCGGATCTATTCTTGTCTAATTGATTTTTATATTCCTTTTTAGCTCTTCAAATGATGAATTACTATGATTTTCCACTAGATACATGGATGGATTGAAAGAATCTGAAAGTATATCATTATGTTGACTTTTCATAGGCACTTTAGTATGACCATCATTCGAGACTAATGCGGCAGCTGAAACACCAGAATCAAATGGAAAAATGTCATTTTCATCTATCCAAACACCACTGGGCGTTGTCAAACCAATAGGTTGTTCTAAAGCTCGAAATTGAATCATTGAAATACCGGTCCCGCCACTTTTGGTCGTAACAATAACGGGTCCTGTTTCGACACAATTTGGTGATTTTGTAATGATCTTCTGTGGTGTGATCCATTCCGTGAATACCAAACATTCAATATCACAAATTTTGACACTGGACAAATCAAATTGATTGATACCCAAATTTTCACCACGTATGGTGAGCTTTGTTCGAGGATGTCCTTCTTTTGGTGAAATTCCGGTTACTTTAGGTGCCAGTGCCATAATTTATTCACCGAGATATCAATATGAAACAATAGAAAAAATGATTAAAATTCACCATAATATGTAATCAACGTAAGCAACGAAACGAAATGATTCTGATGTTTACACAAACATTGGATATATTCCATCAACAGATGGAGTTAGTGGCAGAATATTTTTAAAAATATCACAAAATAAAGAATTTTATCACAAAACAAATAAAGAATTTTATTTTATTATTTATCGCATATTATTCTTATCAATTTTTTTTGTTGTTGTTGAAAAAATAATACAGTAAATAAATAAACACAAAAAGGAATCCACTATTTTACATGAATCAATGATGATGATGATGATGAAATTAATTTTCGATGATGATTATTCAATTTTTTTTCAATTTATGTAAATATAATCAAGTTTACAAACACATTTAAAATAAAAAAATGAGAAATTATAAAAAACGTAGCCAATAACGTAAGAGAAAAAATATGGATATAAAACAACAAAGACAATTGAAATGATGTAATCCTAATATTGATGATGAACAACTAGAATTTTGCGAAAGAAGATATTCCGAATTAAATGTCCTTATGATGACTTGTTCTTGAAAATCGGCAATCATTTTTAAACAATATACAGTACATTGTAATTCAATTTCTTCTGTTTGAAAATAACGTTTTTCCATTGTGAATCGTAGATTCAAAATGATTTCACCATTCAATCGATTCTCATTTTTTGTTAGATAACTGTTGTTTACTTTTTTACCATTGATGAACCAAGATAATTGAGCATTCAAAACGGTTGTCGAACAATTTAGATTAACAATATCGTTGACATTATATTTGTCACGTATACCGCTGATGATCGGCATCTCTTTGCTATTTATTTGGGCTGTTGTTGAAAATAGATTTTTTGTTTTGTTTTTTTTTCATTATTTTAATAAATTAATTAATTTTTTATTATCATACAAACAAACCTGATGTATAACTTCGTGCTGAGGATTTAGTTTGTTTTGATCCATCTATAAGATATTCAACTGTTTTCAATTCATATACAAACATTAATGATGCTTGACAACGAATACGTAGACTATCATGTTGGAAATATTTATGATTTACTTGAAAATTTAATCCAAGCTTTGTTTGTATCAATCCAGTACTACTATCTATTGTCGGCTTTGAGCTTAAAAGAAATTCTTTCGGAGCCTATTTATACAATATATACAGTTGAAATATTCAAATGTTGATTTAATACATGAAAACAGAATTATTTCATTTTATTTTATTTTTTCTATAGTTACAAATTTACCGGTAAATCATTGATGAACCAATTTAATTTCAATTGTGGCCAGCCTTTACCAGAGATGCATTCAAAATTAACATATTCATCGATACGATAATAATCGCAGCTACCATTGATCGTTAATGTTTCTTTGGGTAACACTGTTTCAAATAAAAAACAGAAACCAAAAAAAACAACAAAAACAACACCGAAATCGGTAATAATGATAATAATAATAATAATGATGAAAAAAAATATGATGACCATCACGTCGAAAAAAGAATGAAAGAAAAAAAGTAAAATAAAAGATATGACCGAAAAAAAAGAGAGATTTCAATTAGCCAAAAGTATCTACTTTAACATTCGATGTGTATATTTATATATATATAGCTATAGGGATTTATAGATCAAAAAAAAATGCGACAAACGAAACCAATTGTTTAATAATTAATATCATGATGATGATGATGATGATGATCATTTCAGCTATCAACACACACACACAAAAAAAAGCTATAGGGATTTATAGATCAAAAAAAAATGCGACAAACGAAACCAATTGTTTAATAATTAATATCATGATGATGATGATGATGATGATCATTTCAGCTATCAACACATACACACACAAAAAACACAACAAATGGCCATTTTCCTACATTCTTTGTATTATAGCCACCATAGAAATAATAAAATTCAATACTTACCATATATTTTCATTAGTTTCTCATTTTTTCTGGTGGCAAACGCTGGACCTAAGTCCAAAAACACGGGGTTTATAACATGTGAAAAAAAATTGAATGAATGAATGAATAGGTCACACAATAGGTGAATGAAAACAAAACAAAAATTATTATTATGAATATGATTTACCTTCAGTACTAACTTCGCAACCATAGAGTCCGTCAGAATTCTAGCCATGTATATATCAGTTTTATATTTACGCATACAAATTAGGCGATAACAGATGGACCATATGGACAATCAGTTAAAGCAAAAAAAAAAAAAAGATAAAACAACATCAACATCAACATTATTATTTGAGTGAATTTTGTTGTTATATGTGGTCAACTTACAAGATCGGTATGATGTAGAATAACATGAGTTGCATTGGACTTTCTATGCTATTAAATTGAAATTGAAATTGAATTTTTCAATAAAAAAAAACTATTGTTTTTCATTGATACTTACATCAAGATGAATGCCATCCAAATTGAATGATTGTTTAGGATAATCTTCTTTAGGTAGATAACGATAAAATTCAATATAATCTTTGTAGAATTTTACTGAATAAAGTTCGCTATTTTCAAGATCATAATCACAATATAATATTGCATGGCTACCATTCGATATTGCTGCTGGTACATCGAATTTTACTATACGTAATGAAAGGCAATCTGTGTGATATGAAAACCAAATGAAAAAAATGGAAAAAAAAATTTTTCAGTGATGATTAATTCAATTTTTACAATTTTTGTAAAAACTTTCAAAACATACAGATGGAAAAAAATCGTATTTTAAACAGTGAAGACAACTTTTTTTTTTTGCTTTGCATCCTCAAAACAACAACAACAAAAAAAAATGTCAGTTTTGCTTTACTTTGATTCTGTTAATAATAATGTAACCATTTGATTATGTTATTCTGGCTGTCTCTCTTTCTCTCTCCATGTTCTAGAATCTAGATTCTGTGAAATAAAAGTTTTGTCTACCACAATACATAATGCTCAATCATTAGTGATTCGAACACACGTACTATGAATTTTTTATCATCACATAAATTTATTTCTTTCTCTCTGTGTGTGTGTATAGGTAACCTTTTGGATACATCAATGAGCAATTACAAGCCCCAAATGAATAAATGAAAAAATAAAAATTATTAATATAATCTCAATGATGATGATGATGATGATGACACAATGTCACCACACACACACACACATATATGGTCATCAGTAAGGGTTTGATTCCGATTTCCAAAGTTACCAAATTTGTTTTATGAACATTGAAACAAAAAAAAAAAAACAACATAAAAATGCATATATATAAAATTACAGTCAATTCGAAATTCTGGAAAAAAATGTGAATTGAACTTAGAATAATGATCATCATAAAATGATGATGATGATGAATAAAATATTTGGCAGCAATTAGTCATTCAAATTGTTTAAACCGTTGACAATATTATTATCATCGATTTTTGTTTTAGTTTATTGCATATTGTTGTTGTTGTTGTTGTATATATGATAATAATAATAATAATAATGATCATTAAAGTTCTTTGATCGTTGACAATATGAATTTTTTTTCTATTCTTTCCTTTGAATTCATCATTGTTGTTTTATTCTGTGTATGGTGTGTGTGTGTGTGTGTGCATATTATTCAATTATTGATGGATAAAAATGAAAAGTAAAAGGAAAAAGAAAGCATGAAAGAATTCAACTTTATCTACTGTATAACGACCACGAAATAACTTTCATTTGTCGTTTTCGTTTTCGTTGTTGTTGTTGTTGTTGCTGTTGCTGTTAATGATCAATACGCGTGTTATATCCATAGACCAATTGACTGAGAAAAAAAATGGAATGACAATTTATTCATTCATGGAAATGAAATATTAATCTCAATGATGAATGATGATGATTATAATGATGATGATGATGATGGTACGCACAAATAATGAAAAAAATATACCCCCATATTCATACATACCATCGACACATAGTTCCATAAACATTCACTTACCTCCTTATATTGTCACTCATGATTCATCATCAAATTATCAATTTAACAAAAAAAAAAAAAAGACGAAGAGAAAAAGTCAAGAAAATTTTTTTTTTATAGCTTAATTAATTAATAAAATGAAAATTATCATAATTATGATGTGTGGGCGTGTTAATGTAAAGTCTATAAAAAAAAAATCTTTGGGTGCATTTTTTCCAGCCAAAAAATAAAAAATGAATATATTGCCGCGTACTATTCAATAAAATTTTCTTTTACTGTTTCCATTGTTACCGGTTAGTGAATTCTAGTTTTGTTTAAATAAAAAACACAACCAAACCTATTACGTACTACACAAAGGTATTAATTAATGTCGTTAGTGGATCAAAATTTAATTTGTTTCAACAGTAAAAAAAATAAAATCAAGATAAAATATTAATTGAATGTTAAGTTTGAAAAAGAGTTGGAAGAACAAAAAAAAAAAAAATCTCAACAGCCAATCTTTAATCGATTCGTTTCAAAACACACAAACTTGAATTGTTTAGTAGTAGCACTATTCAAAATTCATCATGGAAATCTTTATTCTTTTCAATCAACATAAAAATATGGCATGGTTTTAATTACCATCAGACATCATCATCATCATCATCATCGATCAACAATCAACACTGAATAAAAATGAGGGCCACAATTGTACTCGGGATCGATTCAATTGTTTTTAAGAGTATGCACGAACAGTATAATTTGACAACAAGGTTATCATCAATAGAAACATACAGTGAAACGAAAAAAAAAATTCAAGACAAGTATTTCAATCGAAAAAATTGATTCTGTTTTTTTTTCACGTCAAAAAAATAAAATAAAATTGTATTCATGTGAAAACGATTTTTTTTTTGCCAACAGATTTTTGTCCTCTCATACTGTCTACTATAACTACAATGAGAAATGAAATGAATTTTTTTTTCTTTTTATTGGAAAACAAAATCTAAATCTGAAAATGCGTTGTCTTAATTATATGTTTTTGTTTTAATCGTCAGATTTCCAGTATGTAATCACAGCATCGACAACAACAACAGCAAAGAAAATTATTATAATAATAATGAATTGACAAACGTTTAATAGCTAGGTTTTCTGAAATCTTCAATCAGCTGTAAGCGACCAAAAGAAAAAACAAATATCCAGGTATATTCATCAACGATTGTTGTATGGAATATTAATGTTGATGATCATGGTAGAAATTAAATCATCATCATTATTGTTTGACGGAATCATCAAATGAAAAAATAATGATTATAAACATTGTGAATTTATTGAAAATAATAAGCGGCTAAAAATAAAAATAAAAATATTCCGGATATTACAGAGAGAAAAGAAGGAAAAAAAATACAACAACAAAATATGATAATAAATTATTACCTTTCAAAATGAATGTCAACAACAACAACAATATTATTGTATGAATGGTAATAAAATGGCGAAACATGGTGATAATAGATGAAAAAGAGGTTGTTGTGGCGATTGAAATATGACGAAATGTGTTGCAAGTATTCATCATCATCGTTGTTGTTGTTGTTGTTGAAATCATTATCATTATCATCATCCAACATGTAATAATTTACATCATAATTAAAATCATAAATGGTGTCAAACGGGAATTGATTTGATGTATTTTTTATTTATCAACACATAAACACGGAAAGAGCGAAGAATTACGAGACACAATTTGAATATCAAATAGAATGGAACAAAAACAACAACAACAGCGAAAAAAAAATTGCCGTTTATCGTGAAAACATCGATCATCGAAACACATGGAAAATCTTTTTTTTTCAACTGATTATAGTACTACGTTGATTGTCTTGGTTAAAATCATATGGATCGTTTGTTATAACCACGTTATAATGATTGACGATGTCCACTAAACCACACTGTACACCATTACCACCAACAACAATGGCTGTAGTTTATAATTACCGTTTTTTTTTCTCCTGGAATCGACCCCGATATACCAGAAAAAAATGAAACGAATACGACACGACGATAATAGTAATAATAATGTGTCACTCGAAACACTAAAAAAAAAAAAAAATTTCTTACGGTTTTTTGATGGTTAATTATGAAAAACTGAGTGTGTGTGTATGTGTGTGTGTCTGTGGATCATAATAATAATATGTTGGTGGCCATGATGATGATAATCGCGCGCGCTTCGTTCAAAAAAAAAAGAAAAAAATAGAATAATAATTCACAAGATTGTACTCATAAAAGAAAAGAAAAAAAGCAATGAAAACAAAAAACGGTCTGTGCAAGTTGACTTTTGATTCACAACTAAAAACACACACACACAATAGAAATTGTCGGCTGCAATGATCATTGGTAGATTCGGTTATTATTTGTTTGTTTCTAGATAGTTCATACCATTTATTCATTCATGAGTGTGTGTGTGTGTGTGTGTGTGTGTGCGTGTAATTTTTTTTCCCGTTGTTATATATTTGGCGCCAAGTATATAAAAAAAAAGGAAAAAGAGACAACAACAACAAAAATCAGCGCGCGTCATATCCCACCACGTTTACTGTTGCCGTCGTTTTTGATTGGATGGGTGGTTTAGTAGTCTAACGGCGCCAATATTATTATTATTATTATTATCATCATAATTGTACCATCATCACATGGCCAATGATAGTTTGCCCATTTTTTTGTTTGTTTGAATTTATGGAATCAAGAATAATGTTCCGTATACAATCTTGACAATGAATGAATAGGATTGGTTCACGGGATACGGTAATTTTTAACTGATATTATCCGTGTGTGTGTGTGTCATACTTGATGAAATCAATGAAAATGTAACAAAAATAGAATATTCTCTCTGTCTCTTTTTCTTTATTCGAGTGATTATAACAGTACACACTATATATATTATATAAGCCATAATCAATAAAGAAATGAATGAGAAGAAAAATAAAAATTAACAAATAAAATAAAAAGTCTTGTGGTTAATACTAATACTAAACAACAACAACAACAATAGCCATTTTGATGTTGATGTTTATGCTCATATTATATTCTTAAATATTTATATATTACATGATGATAATGAAATTCATTTACATAGACAAAAAAACACATCAACCAAAAACAAAAAAAAATTCATGGACAATAATGAAAACCTAAACAATGCTTTAGTGGATTTCAAATTCATGATTGGGATATTTTTTCTATGAATGAAGACGTGAAAAAGAGAAAGCAAGATAGGAAAGGGAGAAAAAAAGAATAAAAGATAAATTAAGTTTTTCTACAATTTTAGCTGTTTAGAGTATTTGCGTGTTGATTTATTAAAATGATGAAAAAAACTAGGAACGATATAAAAAAAAATTATCTCATATGTGTGGTCCATCCAATTCTATCATCATCATGATCATCATTACCACTATTGACTTGGAACCTTTTGAACTTGTAAAACCATAAAATGTTTCTACAATACATAACCACAGAATCATCATTGTCAATTTCAACATTAACAGAGATTCGAATGTACGCACAGAATAAATGGTCCCAATCAAAGACGCAATGAAATATACAAAAAAAAAAATTGTGCACGAATATATCGCTGAATGAATGGATGGAAAAAAAAGAAAACGAACGAACATGGTCTATTTACCTATCTATACGTTGATCAAAAACGATATTTCATGATCAGTTTTACAATACAGGTTTTCCATTGTCTACATTCACCATATTATTATCATCATATCATCATGGATTCAATATTGTTATATACTATGAAAACCTCGGAAAAAAATCATACAGAATTATGTATAACAGAAAGAAAGAAAGAGAGAGAGTGTGTGTGTGGGGGGGAGAAGAGAAAAAGTGCGTGAGAAAAGTTTATAATAATTTATCAATAGAGACTAATAACAATAATGACTGAATATAACGGTATAGTCAATGATGACAATAGAGACAACAACAATAAATAGACACACACACACACAGACATTAAAAGCAAAAACCACAAATATACAAACACATATACACACACACACAAGAATCAGCTAGAATCGGAATATAAAGTCACACATACATACATACACACGAATTTGGATCATACATACATTGAGAGAGAAAGAAAAAAAAACACACACACACAAAAGAAAAAGATAATAAAGTAATTTATTAGTTATAGGCAAAAAAAAGACCAAAAAAAAACCGACCGATAAACATTGTGATGATGAGCATTATTATTATTATTATTATTATGGAACATTGTTATATTCGACCATTGTTTATATCCAAACAATCGACCAAATAATATATATAACTAGAAGATTGCAATGCATAAAATTGCTTTCTTTTATTATTATTGAAACTGTTGCCGCGTATTCGCGATCAGGAAAACCTCGACACACAACACAGAGAGAGAATAAAAATGAATGAATGAAGGCGACATTGACAACTATGATGATGATGATGATGATGATCCATTCATCCATATTCCATATTCATTTGGGAACAATAGATCAGTGAATAACAATAACAAACTGGAAAAACAAATCATTCAGAAAGGTCAGTTCAATAGAGAGAGAGAGAATGAAAAAGAAAAATCTAGAATATATTAGCGGTGGGGGTTTTTGTTTGTTTGTGTGTGTGTGACAAATACAATACGTACGTGAACCTGTCGAGATATTAATAATAATATCGACAATACTAAAAAAAAACGTAGAGATCTATCTATTTTTATATAATAAAATCAATCACACCAAAAAAAACACACAGCATTATGTCACATAAAAGATTCACATAAACAAATAAATAAAATGAACATCAAATGAATGGGAAAAAAATAGGAAACCAACAGACTATAGTGACAGAAAAATGGCGTTCATTTTTTTTTTCTCCGCTGATTGTTGTTGTTGTTGTTGTTGTCGGTCGTCATTATCATCATCATCATCATAATCACGTCAAACGCCAAACACGCACATGACAAAATTGGATCGATTAAATAAATAGAACAAAAAAAAATGAGAGAGAGAAAGAAAAAAAAATTGCCGACCGATATCCGTTTATTTTTTGTGGCAAGAAAACATAGAATTTGATGATTATAATCATGAATCATATACCATTATATATAAGGTATTGTTGACCAGGTGGTTATCTTAATTACTTTTTTTTCTATAAAGTGACAATCTGACTTTTGTTTTTGTTTTTCTATTTCAATGCAAGTAGATTACATGTTTCGCTTTATAGTTTTAATATCACAATATATATTAAAGATACGGAATCCGGAACGGTTATTTACAAATGAATGATTTTCGATAACTGTTAAACAAAAAACAAAATTACATATATAGAAAACTGATTTTTGGGTTAAAAATTCGATTAAATACAACCAAAATTCAATATATATTATTCGATGGATGGTTATGTTGATTTTTTTTCAAACAGAAAATTTTCTTTTTCCTGCCACGAAAATTTGTCATCAATAGTAGCTCGTTTTTTTTCCATTTCTTTGTTTCTCTCAGTTAAGAATTTGTTTTTTTCGTTTGAATTTTCAAAATCAAGAAATTCGATTCTTGTATATTCAGAAAAAAAAATATTAGCAGTGTGAATATCTGTGTGAAGAATTTTTCTTTTTTTTCTATTTTGTCGTTTTTTAGAATCAAAAAAAAAATTGATGACACATTTGTCGTCGTTGTTGTTGTTGGGATGATAATGATGATGATGGTGCTCAATAATACACGTAAATCCAAATAATAACAACAAAAAAACAACCTACAAAAAAAGAGACAACGACGACGAGTATTCTTATTCTAAGTGTGTGTGTGTGTGTGTGTGTGTATAAAAAGAAAAAAGAAAAAGAAACATAAAGCCAAAAATGCTTTTAATACTTGGAAATAAGAGAATATATGATTTATTGTGAAAATCCCATAGCATATATTTTATTTTATTTTTTCATTTCTTTTTTTTCATTCACTCAGGTTTCTTTGTAAATGATGATTCAATGGCAGAGAATAAACAAAACAAACGGTATACAGAGAATGCAAATTTCCAAAAAACGTAAAAAATTCATTGTTGTCTGATGAAATTCAAACTCGAATTCGAATGAATGAATGGTCGCTATCATCATAGATATTATAAAGTTTATCCTAATAATAATTCGATTTCATCGTCATCATCATCATCATAATCTTTTCTTATAACCATCGTCGAATACAATGCGGACAGATGTTTGAATCTTGTTGTTATCAAATCAGTATATTGTTGACATTTTTTTTTTCATTTTGTTTTGTTGATAGTATGTGTCGCGTGACGCTATATAAATGGCAAGATGGAATCAATGAATAGTTTTCCTCATGAAATTCACACCACACACATGGAATCCTGATATATATAAAAAAATCATCATCGTCATCATAATCACACCCATAAACAAAACAAGACAAAAACAAAAAAAAAAATTCCAGAATGAAACATGCCGATGAAAAAAAAAAAAAAACAAAAACATTGAATACATAAACATCTCGGTTGGTAATGTGGTATTTGTGTGTGTGTGTGTGTGTGTAAATACATGTACAACATATTATATTCTACCTACATATTGATCATCATCATCATCATCATCAATCGAACAAGATAAAGCTAAAATCAGAATCAAAATGTTTTTAGGGATTGAATTGAATGATGTGTACTCATTTATTTTCCATAATATCAATTTCAATATAATATACCATCATGTCAAATCTAAACTGAGAGAAAAAAAAATTATATGAAAAAAAAGAGCAAGAATAACGGGGCAAAAAAAAATTCTATTTCTTCTTCTTTTCACATATATACACACGGACAACATTCAACAAACAAGAATATATGAAAACGAAATATATACATCTTCATGTGTGTGTTGAAATTATTAAATTTATGCAAACATTTTTTTTTTTTTTTTTTTTTTTGATGAATGAAATGAAAAGACCATGTTGATTATGTCAAAATCTAAAATGATGATGATGATGATGATGATGATAATGAAAAGTATAACAGATATATTAAAATTATGGCAATTATAATAAGATGTGGCCAACATTTTTTTTGTGTGTGTATGTGTGTGCTTGCCATCATTTTCAATCATCAAGAATATTCTTTCTTTTGTAAAAATGAGAATATTAAAAATGTTTTACTACACAACAACGTATATGTCAATGTGTGTGTTTGGTGGTGGTGGGGGGGAAGCTAGAATAGTGTATGATGAAAGATAGGGTAGTAATTTTATTAAGTTTCAAAGATGATGATGATGATGATGATGATGAAGCAATGGGCTCTCTATAAATTTTTCTCATATTTTTTTTTCTTTTGCTTTCGCTGTATGTGTTCAATGAATGAAAGAAATGGAAACGAATATTAAAATAGAGGGGTGTGTAATAATAAGAATGAACTGAACTCGATGGATGAATGAAGAAGAAGAATCGAGAATGGGTTGTCGTTGTGAAAAATTGTTTCCCATTCCATTCTGATTCATCATGAACATTTATATTATTATTATTATTTGAAATAAAAACAAGATATACTGTATCAAACAAAGAATCAAAGAATATCATGAACCATATACACACACACACACACACACACATACTGTGAAGGCCATCATGTCAAGATGTCATTGGTTATAGTGAAATAAAGATAAATTATTTTCAATTCACTTTGTGTGTCTGTGTGTTTGTGTGCACTTTAGAATTTCCCTCTTTTTTTGGTATATATAAAACTAAGTGAATGATGTTTCAAGAGAGACACAAAGAGGAGGATGATTCAAAAAAAAAATTTCATAAGAATTTTTTTCCATCAACATTATTGTGTATAAGGATGTATGATGATGAGTCCGAAATCATACAGCAAGCAATTAAGCAATGATGATGATGACGATGATTGTCTCAATTATCATAAACCATCATGATGATGTTGTGACACATTTTTTTTTTGTTTTGTTTGCATGTGAATTTTCATGCATAAGGAACTTTAAAATTTTTCATTTTGTTTTCCTTCAAAACTCAAATTGTGTGGAATGAATCAGTATATATTCAGTGTACCAACGCATTTCTCGCAACCACTGTCTCTCAAAAAAAAATGATATGCAAAATATGAATATTCCATCGAATAATGTAGGCATTCAAAGAATGAAATTAATTATAAACAAAAAAAAAAAAAAGAATCTCCTACTATTATCGTTTCAAAATGGAATGATTCGTGAAAGTGGTAACATATATTACAAAACAAAACATTCGACAATAGTGTTCATTTCTAGAATTGGACATAAAATTTTGTAATGAATCAAGATATGGAAAGGGAGAGAGAAAGAGAGAGATGAAAAAAAAAATGGAAACGCTTTAAATCTTTGGATTCCAACAAAACATTTACAGAACGGAACTAAAAGTAAGATAAATTATGAATTTTTCTCAGCTAGTTTTTTTTTTATTTCTGTTCCTGACTAAACAACCGTTGTCGACAATGAGCGGAAGGCAACAACAACAACAACAACAACAACAGGAAAAAAAACTTAATTTCCTAATCTTTTAAGCTTTCTTTTGCACAAAAGTGTGTGTGTGTGTGTGTATGTGAGCCAAAGAGAAAAAAATAATTTTCAAATTCTGTAAAATCCCGTTGTTCTTTATCCATGAAAAAAAAATATTTTTCCCGGGAACCGAATAAAAAATGATAAAGTCAAAAATCGTTTTTCTCTCTCTCACACACACACACAAACGAATAAGAATAAGCAGAATAAGAGATAATACAAAATACTCATCTCATCGTTTATGGATTCGATTCTTTCGAAACGTTCAAGATCAAATTTAACAAAGTTGATATTAATAATAATAATAATAAAAAAATTTATAATCATTAAGCAGCCAACCGACACATGTACAAGTATAGAAAAATCAATACCAAACGAATCCAAAAAATGGCGTCAACAAAGATTTTTCCAATGGTTTTCAATAAGAAATTTTTTTTTATTAATATAAAAAAAAGAAATCAATTTTGATATTCCGATAATAATATACAAAAATTTTTGATTCAAACAAAAACATATAAAAAAAAGAAATGTATAGCATTAGTAGATTAATTAGGCACAATACTGACCACTAAAATGGCAATCAATAATAATATGATTATTGTCCAATATGCTAAATATGAAAATAAAAATATATTCATTTTAGATGGATGTTGCAATGTATGTTTGATGAACCACATACCACATGTACCACTTTCACGACTAACGAATCGAATATTTCGTGTATTACGAAGTAAACGTTCATTATTATCATCCATTGCTTCACCAATATCTTCCAAAATCTCTATAATTAAGGAGGAAAGAAAAAAAATGTAATTTTAATTTGACAATGCATAAACCATTTGGGAATAAGCGTAAGTAATTAACATGATTTTTTTTATAACTTTAATTTGTCGAGCTATAATCCTTTGCAGACTAACCATTTTGAATGTTGAGTTCTGAATCAATTTCTTGTGCCAAATATTTTTGCCTTGAAATAATATCACCCAATGTATCGATATTTTGGTCCTGTTCTGTATCAAATTTTTTCAATGGTGACCATTCAATTGATCGATTAATCAATAAACATTACCTTGTTTCATATTTCGTTGAATTTCTTTCATTTTTGAAACATTTTCAAATTGATGTGAACTTGAAGCATCGGAAGCATTTAATCCATCATTCCAACTAACGGTAGGTGCTTGTGTAGATTCAGAATTATCATAATTAAACAATGTATTCCTAATGGAAATATAACAATTATTATTTCTTCAAAAAAAAAACAAATGTCAACAACGGTAATACCTTTTATCTGTGACTGGATTCTGTAGAAATGTTTCAATCTTTTTATATCGATCATTGAATTGGTCCACTAATCGTTGGCGGCGTTCTTTTTCTCGTTGTGTTCTGTTGAAATTTAAAATTTTACATTGATTCAAATCATGAATGAATTTTCACTACGTTACAATTTATTTGTTGCAGCCAATTGATTTAATGTTTCCTGTAATTGGCCGACTTTACGTTGGAATTTTCGGAATAAATCCTTGATGTATAAATCACTCTATCATAAAGAGCTTCAGTTGAAAATTGTTAGAAAACACCTTAAATTCAAACCTTAGCAAATGCTGCTGTATTTGTTGGATATTGATTACGTTGATTAATTTTATGCATAAGTTGATCGGCAAATTCGTCAATACTTTCGGCATCTTTTAGCCTGAACAAAATCGAGATTATAAAACATGAATAAAATTATTATTAATCGAACCGAAAATCAAACAAACCATTCATCCGTTATGGAACCCATATTGATAATTGTTTTTAAATTAATAAATGAATGATAAATCTTTAACAAATGTCAAAACATCGAAAAAACAAATTATGAGCAACAATCATCAAATTCCTATTCAATTCTAATAGTGCCATCTTTTGTTCATGATTACAAATATTAGTCATATTGATTTTTTTATTCGATAAAATTTTTAAAAAAACAACAAAATTCCAATGAAAAATCATGTAACATCCATAATGACATCAATGTACAAATTGATAATGTGCAATTATATAAGAATCTATAAGATTTTTTTTTTGGAGTCGAACATATTTAAATCAGATCATAGATATTCGTATAGCTTGTCGGTCAAATCGTATACATTTAATATTATCGTTGTCTTGATTCATCATTGATTGTCTTTCATGATTGACATTCATTTTTAAAAAAAAGTGATGCCATTTCTAATTTTTATCATAATAACATCATCAAAGAAGGGAATTTTCGAAGCAGCATCAAGTTAATCTTCTAAATCTAAATCTAAATTATGGCATGACGTGCCGCATATCGTTAGTTTTTCAATCGCGCCGTCTCGAATTTTTTTTTCTTTTTAGTTCTGTTCAACACGAGCATATATAATTAACTGTCATTGAGCAAACTGCCTCAAAGTCAACGTTCGTCAACCACTGTCAGTAAATGAAAAGTTTTACGTTATTGTATTAATTTGTTCGAATTTTTATTGTCCAATTTTTAAGATTATTATCAAAAAATTTTTAACAACATTCAAAATGTCCATTCAAAAGATTTATGCTCGTCAAATTTTCGATTCACGAGGAAATCCAACTCTGGAAGTTGATTTAACAACAGATTTCGGTATTTATTAAATTAAAATTATGATTATTTCCATATTTCGACAATTGACAATTGTCATTTTTCTGTCAAGGTGTTTTCCGAGCTGCTGTTCCAAGTGGTGCTTCGACCGGTATTCATGAAGCATTAGAACTTCGTGACAAAGATAAAGCTCATTATCATGGAAAATCCGTGTTGAAGGCCATTGCCAATGTCAATGATGTAATCGCACCGAAATTAATAAGCCAGGTAAAATGACATTCATCGTAAGATGTTTATCGTTTATTAACACAATTATTCATAGGGTCTCGATGTTACAAAACAAAAAGAAATTGATGACTTGTTGATCCAATTGGACAATACACCCAACAAACAAAACCTTGGTGGTAATGCTATCCTTGGTGTGTCCTTGGCTGTGGCTAAAGCTGGCGCTGCCAAAAAGAAAGTTCCATTGTATCAGCATATTTCCGACTTGGCTGATATCAAAGAATTTGTATTACCTGTTCCAGCATTCAATGTTATCAATGGCGGTTCACATGCTGGCAATCGTTTAGCCATGCAAGAATTCATGATTTTGCCAACAGGTGCATCATCGTTTACTGAAGCCATGAAAATGGGCTCTGAAGTTTATCATCATCTTAAGAATGTTATCAAACAACGTTATGGCTTGGATGCTACCTGTGTCGGCGATGAAGGTGGTTTTGCACCAAACATTCAAAGCAACAAAGAAGCTTTGGATTTGATTATGACATCCATCCAAATGGCTGGCTATAGTGGTAAAATTGATATTGGAATGGATGTTGCTGCTTCAGAATTTTATCGTGAAGGCAAATATGATTTGGATTTTAAGAATGCTAATTCAGATAAATCAGCATGGTTGGAACCATCTCAATTGGCCGACGTTTATCGAGGATTCGTCAAAGACTATCCAATTGTTTCAATTGAAGATCCTTTCGATCAAGATGCTTGGGATGATTGGACTGCTTTCACCAGCAGTGTTAGTTGCCAGGTTGTTGGGTAAGTTTGAATCATTAAAAAGGATCAATGGCCTGTCATTAATAATTTAAATGTTTATTCTATTCTATTATATAGTGATGATTTAACTGTAACAAATCCGAAACGTATACAAACGGCCGCTGAAAAGAAATGTTGTAATTGTTTGCTCTTGAAGGTCAATCAAATTGGTACCGTCAGTGAATCGATTCAAGCGTATGTTTAGCATTTTTTTTTCATCATTGGATGGTGATATATTTTGATTATTTTATTTTTTTTTTCATCAGTCATTTATTGGCCAGATCAAATGGCTGGGGAACAATGGTTTCACATCGTTCAGGAGAAACTGAAGATACATTCATTGCTGATTTGGTTGTCGGTTTATCTACTGGCCAAATAAAAACTGGTGCACCATGTCGTTCAGAACGTTTGGCTAAATATAATCAAATTCTTAGGATTGAAGAAGAATTGGGTGCCAAAGCAAAATATGCTGGAAAAAATTTCCGTCATCCAATTTAAATTGATTGATTTTTTTCTGTCATGATTGTCAGCAATCAGTTCCAATGATGAGTGAGTGTGAGTGTGTGTGTGTGTGTGTCTATAAGTATGCGTGATTAGCACTATTATTATTATTATTGAATTTTGAATTTAAATCTGAAATATTTTTTTTCAAAAATAATAATCACATAGTCAATTTCAGAAAAAAAAATTTATGGTGAAAATAAACAATTTTTTTTGGCCGGATTTAAATTGATATTATTATAAAAAATGATGAATAAATGGCTAGTGAAAAAAAAATTAAAATATTTTAATGTGTCTACCCGAAGAACATACATACATAAATTATAACTTTTGAATATTTATGGATGTGTGTGTGTGGGTTCAGAATCCATATTCTATAGAATTTTTTTAGATATATATTTGTTTTAGTTTTCTCTTCTTTGGTTTGCCCTTTTTTTTCCCCAAATGATGATCATCTTATTCGTTTTGACGTCGTATATACGAATGATGAGTGAGAAGGTTTTATTTATATATACAATAAACAAACAATGGCAATATGATGATGAAAACTTTAGAATAATAGTTTAGCAGAAAAAAAAGTTCCCGGCACAGAAGACAAAGACCAAAAAAAAAAAAAAAAAACGAAACGAAATGATTCGAAATAGTCGCCAGAATGATGATCATATACAATAAACAAACCTTTAGAATAATAGTTTAGCAGAAAAAAAAGTTTGCCGTTATGATTATTATTCATCGAAGAATGTTGTGTATTCATTCATTCTATACATCTTGGATTTTTTTTTTTTCTCTTTTTTTCGAATTCATCCTAATTGATATGAATTATTTATTTTGATACCATTTTTAATTATAAATAATTTAGCAGAATTAAAAACACAAGTATCATCATCGAATGCCTTACCTATGTAGATAATATGATAGTGAATGAATCGAAATCGAAATCGAATCCAAAATGAATGGAATGGAATCAAATCAGCCAACAAGCTATGTAGAGAAATGGTAAAAAGTTATAGACAGATATAAATAGACAAACAAATAGATTTTAGTCATCAGTGTGAGAATATCAACATCATTCCAACAACAGCAACAACAACAACATCAACATTCAACAAACATTTATCATTGTCATTTATCCATATAGCAAAAGCAAGTGGAAAAAAAATTCCAAATTCTTTCATTTTCATCACTTTAGTTCAGTAAATGTGTAGGGTTTGTTTTTCATTGGCTTTCATTTTCAAATTTGAATGAAAGTTTATTGTTTCATTCGATTTTTTCATTCATTCATTCATTCATTCATTTATTCTTAAAAGAAACGAAAAAAATTTTAACTTGGTACTTTTCTAGTTTGACGCTGACGAAAATGAATGAATCGTTGAATTGAAAAAAAGGGAATGAAAAAAATTGGCCCGGATATGAAATAAGAGATATGAATGACATAATGATGATCAAGATGAGATGAATGAATGAGTGAATTTTTTTTAAAAACACTGACAAAGTTGAAATTTCATTTTTTTTACACACACACACACACATTTTTAAACATTGAATCGATATCAATAATGAAATTGATCGGCCGCAAACATCGACACATCACTCATTCATATTTTGAATCAATTTTCTTTTTTCATGTATATAGAATATAGTTATGAATGTTTGCCACTTTTTTGTTGTCTGACAAGTGAAATAAATTATAACATCATAGCGATAGAAAATGGAATACTTAAAAAAAATTGATGATAAGTTTTTTTTAGAGAGTGAAAAAATGCCAAACATTATTATATAAATTCTTCATTACATATTCGTTTACATCTGCCACACACACACACACACACACACACACAGGAATCAGAAATTCTTCCTTGGAACATGTTGAATTCTCTCTCTCTCTCTCTCTCTCTCTCTCTCTCTCTCTCTCTCTCTCTCTCTCTCTCTCTCTCTCTCTCTCTCTCTCTCTCTCTCTCTCTCTCTCTCTCTCTCTCTCTCTCTCTCTCTCTCTCTTTTATTCCACCTTTAATCATCATCTTCATTATCATAATATATAATCTTATATAGGAAAATGGTAAAGCCAGTAAGATTAATTATAAATAGAGACAATTTGTGTAGTTAAGAATGCAAACCATTAGCACATGATTATGATGATGATGATGATGATAATGATGAATCGTGTAGCAAGGTTCCAACTTTATTAGATGTATATAGATAGATAATGATAAAGAATTCTGTAAACGAGAGATTCGAACACACAATGATTATGATGATCATACTAAAATGTTTTTTTTTACATTGAACGTATCATTATAGATATTGGTAAAATATCAACAACAAACACGACAATAGAGATGTAATTACACATTTATAAGTTTACAAATGTCAACACCCAAAAATCGTTTGATGGTGATTGTCGATGTAATTGTTGTTGTTATTGTTGTCATCATTTTATATATCAATTTTTAATAGATTTTAATTAAAGTGTATTGCATCCAGATAATGATATTCTGATCCGAATGGCTGAAACAAAAATAAATTATTATTATTCAAAATTGTATTTGAAAATTGTGAATTTCTTGGATACCTTTATTGTTTACGAAAAATATATATAGATTCTCATTTGAAGACATTATCGAAAACAAAACAAAACAAAAAAGATAGTGAGAGATAAAGAATCCAATGATACCTGTGATCGATCGAATCACATGAAATTTTTATTATTACTAACGAAAAAAAAGTTTTGCTTTTCTTTTGATAATGATGTTGTTGATGATGATGATGATGATGTTTGTTTGTTTTAGTTTTTTTTTCTTTTTCATTTGTTATATATCGATATATCGATGTTTGTACAAATATATATCACTCTTATTATTATATTCGAATAGATTTATTAATCACTTGGGATAGTGAAACATTGTATATGAATGGATATAGATGGATATAAGTGTCTGTGTTGAAAATGTATAAAAAAAAGAAAATTTCAAACAGAATTAAGAATCAGGTTAGTCTGGCTAAATAGATAGATAGATGGATGGATGGATGGATGGGTGTATTTTCATAGAATGATAATAGATAGATATAGTGATGATATAATTAAGATTCATTTGCTTCAAAACATTCATCGTTTATTGTTCGTCTTTTTTTTTTTGTTTTGTTTTGTTTTTTACTCAATTTCTATTTTCTCAATTTGATAAAAATTTGTTTTGGAAAAAAAAGAGTTGAAAATTTCATCATCAACAAATATATACTTTTAAATTTGACTAACTTGGCTAAGTGTATACACTATAGTTTCATTCATTCATTCATTCATTCATTCATTCATTTTTCTCCTCTCCATCAACACCATCACCAATCACCGACAATGAAATGAAATGAAAAAGAATTAAGAAGAAACAAAGAAAAAAAAAGCTAAAAGCTAATTTTTCGTAAAAGCCGCAGAGAATATATTGAAACGAAAAAGTCAATGAACAATGTTTCAATGAACAACAACAACAAAAAGTGTTTGAAGAAAGAAATTGCGAAGAGAAAAAAAAATCACAAACAAAAAAGCAAAAGTTTTGTGAAATAAAAGCAAAAGGTTATGTCAAACAGGGTAAATGAAAAATGAACTAACAAACGCAACAACAAACAAAAAAAAAAAAAACTTGAATTGATTGATTGATTGATTAGTCGTCAATATTGATTCATCTTCATTCAAAGAATTTCTTTTCTAGTTTTTTTTGCTTGATTCGACAAGCACACATATATTATATATGGTAATGTAAATAAATACTACAAGTTAACATGAAAAAGTATTTGCATCTCTCTCTTTCTTTCTCTCTTTGTAGATCAGATTTTTTGATAAATTTGATTGGCATCATCATCATCAATATATATATATAAGTGATGTGAGAATGAATATTCGTAGTGTATGTGGCCAAAAAAAACATGATTAATGGGCCTTGTGATTTATTCATTATTATTATTATTATTATAGGTCATGATCAACTGAATTTGAGTATTCGACATTTTTTTTTTACCAAATACAGTAGAAAAACGAATAACGTAAGTTTGTTTTAATTAAATCTATTTCTGGATCTCTCTCTCTCTCTCTCTCTATGATTATGTAATAAGATTTTTTTTTATTATTTGACCATATAGCAAATATGTTTTGGTATTGATGGTGCTGGACTATATCATTGAGATGTCAAATAAAAATTGAACATACACACACACACACACACAAAAAAACATATTTACTGTCCAGTTATTATTAGAATGTTTATGTGGATTTGAAAAACCAAAATAATTCGACCAACCGAATAACTAAAAAAAAAAAAAAAAAACGACCGACCAACAAATGCTGAATTTGTATTCAGTTTTTTTTTTCATGTTTGCATGAATTTATATATAAAAAGCCCACATCATCAAGCTATTCGGTAATCAGTCATTAGTCGTGTATATCATATACGATCGTAAGTAATAATGGTATTTTCGTAACAAAAAAACAAAAATAAAAAAAAGGGGATCGACCAACTGACATATGAAAAAGATGTATAATGTACAAATCTAAATGTAAGATTTGGAACAAACAAAAAAAAACTGAATGAATGAATGAACATCACAGTTTCAGTTCAACCCGCATTATTATCATCTTGTAATTTTTTTTCCATGACGATAGCATGTAGATTTAGAACACACACACACACACACACACATAGAATTCATTCATTCACCAAAAGAGAGTCAATGTTTCATCATCATTCGAATCAGTGAATTATCAACAGCAGCAGAAAAAAAACGAAATTTTCTCTTCTATTTCCTCTATGAAACATCATAGGAAATCAAGAAACAAAAAAAGGATATTCTGAATTATGAAGAATGAGAAAGCTAAATTCATCAAATCATCATAAAATATATTGAATTGATATTGATATACAAAATTGTTTGAATCCATTCATATGATCAATTTAGATGATGATGATGATGATAATATCAATGTTGATCTGTACTGATCTGATCATCATCATTGATCATGTTTAGTGATAATGATGATGTTGTTGTTGTTGTTGTTGTCATTATTATTATTATGGCTTTCAATTACAAATATTCAATGTGGTCGGAATATTTTTTTTTTTTTTTTGTTGCTTTTGCTCTTGAAACATATGTATGAGATATATTATTTGTCCAATGTGTCAAAATGTCGAATAGTTTTTCTTGTTGTTGTTGTTGTTGTTGTTGCTGTTATTGGATTCAAGATTCTTTTATCTTTTACATTCTCTTTCAGTACAGATCTAATCTCAGAATCATATAAAATGAATATAACTTTGATATATGTGTGTGTGTGTGTGTGTGTCCAATCATCCATTGGATTTGATTCTCATGATGAAAAAAAAACTCGGAAACATGACAAAACAAATGTAGTCATGGTTTGTTAAGCATAATTAGAAACCCAAATACACACACACACACATACACAAATACTAAAACAGATTTCGTTGCGGTTTCAATAACATCAGAACATGAATCTCAATGTGAAAAATGGTTGAGAAAAACCAGATTTTTTTTCGAAAAATCATAAAATTATGTTCTGAAAACAAAAATCACCATCATCAGACATAATTATGTTCAATATATCTTTATCAATAAGTGATAAATGATGTCATCATTCAATTTATATTTATACTAACCAAAAAAAAAGAAACGATGACAAAATATCATTGTGATCTTATGCTTTTCAATAGATTCAAGATTTTGTTGATTTTAGAATTTTTAATACCATTGTTTTTTGGCTATGAAACAACAAACGTTGAGGGACATAGAGAATTAATTGATTTTTCTTTCCACAATTATCATCAACAGTATCTATATATATGTTGTCTGGGTGTGTAGTAGATAGAATTTCGAATAGAAACGAACAACAGAAAAAAAACCAATCAATTGTTTAAATTTGTTCAAGAATAAATTGCCATGAAATAGTTGAAACAGAACATTTGTTGACAATTGAAGAAACTAATACTTGGAAATGCTAAATTGAAATTCATATCGAACCATTTTCGTTTAGTGTATCATCTCCCTCTCTCTCTATTTTCTACGAATAAATTAGTCTGAAATTAAAGAAATTAAAAAATTTGAATTGAAAATTTTTAATTTTTTTTTTTCATTTTCATTCGAAATTAAAACGACCAAAACAGAAATCATGATGAGAATAATATTTCATTTTGTTTGTTTCTCTAAATTTGTTGTTTACATTCGTAGTATGATAGTAGTTTCGATTTTTTTTTTTATTTCCTTTTTTTTTTGTTTTCTTGATAAAAACCTTGGATCAATTTTCTGTTCCTGGTTTTTTTTCTGTTTTTTGTTTTGTTTTGGGTACGAAAAGTCAAACGAAACAAAGTAAACATTGAGAAAAATAGAATAGATTATGGATTTTTTTTTTAATATTTATTTTTCTACACAATGAAAAAAAAAAAAAAGATAATTTTATGTATCCAACTACATTGATCATCATGATGTATATTTATTATTTTTGTTTGTTTGTCTGTTTGACAATGAGAATCCAATCATTTTTGATTCATTTACCATTCATTCATTCATTTGTCATACATCACATCAATAGTTTTATTGAAATTGTTTTTTGTCATGTTATCGTATAAATCTAATTGGAAAAAAAAATTCCCATTCATCCATCCATTCGACCACATAATAATCATGATTATCATCATCATCATCATCATCATGATTCACGATGATGATGATGGTCAATCTTATTTGATTTTAATATATTACGTTATATCGTCATATATTCATTCACAATCACATCAGATATATTCTGTAATCATATATATAATATAATACAGGTCTATTTAAAATGATTTCGATAATATTTTTTTTTCTGTTTTCTCGTTGGTTATAAAATTAATTTCGAATTCAATCTCAATTCTACAATCTTGACTCCACAATTTGGCTGTCTTTTGATTCCAATTGTGTGTGTGTGTAAGTGTGTGTGACCCCCTTTGATTACAATAATGGGGGTCACACAACCATTCATTCATTTGATCGTTGCTGCTGCTGCTGCTGCTGATACTCACTTTATTCGCCCATTTAGAATTTCATGTTCCAACCTTTTTTTGTTTTTCCGTTTCTATTCTGGATAATACAATGGAATATTATATGTTTTTACCGTTTACAACCGTTCATGGTATACACATTCTTTCTGTGTGTGTGTGTGTGTGTTTGTGTGTCTCTGAATATGTTTTTGGGGAAATAAAAATCTATCAAATCAGAGAATATTGGCTGCGCCCGCACACAAATTGGTATATTTGGGTGCCACACACACACACACACACATCATTCTTTTCACTCTCTCTCGTTTTTGCACTTTTCAGTTCTTGGTCGTTTTCTTTCTTTTTTTTATTTGATTGCTATAAAAGGCGCCAGATTATTTCTACAAACTATTTTTCTATATTTGGTTTGATGAAATCTACACACACACACACACACAAACAAACAAACCATACAGGTAATAAACCATCGATGTTATTATTCGATCATCTGATATGAATCACGACATGCTACATGAATTTGAATTGAATCGAATTTAATTGATCGGTTTTTTTTCTTCATTCATTCAATCATTTGTTCAACACGATTCGTTCAATGAGTTTTGGGCTGTTGAATTGTCTCATTGATTTTTTTTTGTATTTATTTTCATTCAGATGAAGATAAATTTTAATGTGAAAAACACACACACACACAGTGAGAGCAAAGCGATCTGATGACAAAAAATGAATTTGAAGAATTTTCCAAAAAAAAAAAAAAAAAGTTCATTAACGAATCTTTATGATATTCATTCATTCATTCATTCCATAATATCACGCAAACTGTCTTTTAAGATTTTCTTCTTGTTTTATGATTATAAAAACAAATGAATTTGAATTTGTGGTAACAAATTTTCATTTTTCTCTTTTTTTTTCTTTCATATATCGTTTTTCGTTTTATCGTATTATTCTTGACAACGGAATCAAAACTGTGGGTATGCAATTTTGGCCAATTTTTTTTTCATATATTCTATTTTGTTGTTGTTGTTGAAATGATGATGATAACCTTGTGAACTTTGTCGTGTTTTTTGTGTGTGTGTGTGAATTCATCATATTGAATGTAGGTGTGTGTGTGTGTGTTACTATTTTTATCCATCTGTTAACATCATCATCTACGAAAGAATTTTCTATTATCGATTCCGGTAAATGTATTCCCATCATCCAGATAATGATTCTTTTATTATCATCATCAACTAGCATTGAGAAAAAAAATTGATCGACATTTTAGACCCGTAATTTCTCACGATTTTCAAATATAAATAAAAGAAAAAGATTTGTTTCGTCTGTGTCCATCATTTATCCATCCATTCATTCATTCACCAAACCACCCCTTCATCATCATCATCATCATCATCAACTGTAGAATTTAAAGAAAATTCATTGAAAACAAGCATATTCGTGCGAAACGAAACAAAAACAAAAAAAATTGTCACAAAAAAAAGACAAATGATGCGCAATGATATATCAAAAAGCATTATTACGGCCTAAATTTTGGCACATTTGCCCACAACAACAACAACAACAACAACAACAATGTGGTAATGAAAAAATGTCCCCAAACAATCAAGCTCAATCATCAATGATGAATATGATTATCGATAATTCATCATCATCATCATCATTATCAATGGTGATCACAAAACGTAAACAATCATCATCATCATGGTCATCGACATTGATCGATTTAATTATTTGGACAATCGTAATCATCATTTTATTATTAATAACAGGTAAATAAATTTTATTCAAAAACAGTTTTTACATAGCTCACACGCACATTACACATATTATTAATGATGCTAAAAAAATTTTCATCATCATCATACCATTATCGTGATTATCGAACAATTTTCCATGATGATGATGATGATATTCATGACTTTTATTCTTGGGTTTTTGTTTGAAACAAAACAAAAAAACAAAATTACTGCCGAAAAAGATCAAATAAATTTTCGATTTTTTTCCGCTTCTCGAAAATTGAATTCGGAAAACAATCATCATCATCATCATTGTTATTATGCACAATTTGAAATTGCAAAATAAACCAAAAAAAAAAAAAAATAATAATGGCAAACAACAAACAGAAAAACAAACAAACAAACAAACTAAACATATAAAAAAAACAAGAATCAAAAATTAAAATGTTAATAATTCATGTGTATTATGGCGAGTGAATAGAGCGAATGAATGAATGAAAGAATAAAGAAAATAGAAAATTCAACATTCAACAGAATCGACAAACAAGACTATAAAAAAAATAACAAATTTTATTTTATTTTATTTTTACGTTTTCACGTTTTTTTCCCTGTATCTTGTTTTTTATTTTTATTTTGTTTAGAATATTTAAGAATCGAATTTTGAAAACATCATCATCATGTTGAATTTACATTCGAATGCATTGAACACACACACACACAAAAAAAAAATTCATTCACATTTCCATATTTTTCTGTTTTGATGAATTTTGTGTGTGTGTGTGGGTGTGTCTGTATGAATTCAATTTTCACATCTTTTGACAATATTCAACAATTGTTTATTCATCATATTACATTACACCGTGTGTGTGGGTGTGTGTGTGTGTGTATTTCTCGATCAAATCTCCGGTTATTATACATTAAAAAAAAATAGTCATTGAAAATAAATTATTGATAAACCTCATATATATAGATTATTATTACTATTTGAATCTAATTTTTTTTCTGTTTGTTTTTCAAATTGAAAATTCTTTTCTTTGTGTGTGTGTATGTATGATCACACCGTAAATAGAAATATGAATTTTAATAATAATCATTTCACAATTGTGAAATGATTATGTGGCCAGGATAATGTTTCGTTTCGTAGCCGGATATTATGTGTATAAGAGAGCGAGAGAAAAGAGAATGGGAGAAATCAAAAATCACATTTACAATGCATTTTGTTTTTTTTTGACATTTTTTTTTGCCATTCTAGAATATTCTGTTTAGTTTGTTTTAGTTTTGTTTTTAAATTCACATGTGAATTTTGTCATGTTGACAAGTGGAACAAAAAAAAAAAAACTTTTTCCTGACAGGTTGATTTGCGTGATTTGCAATTCAGATTCTGATGAGATGAAGTTGATCATCACTGTTTTTTTCCTTGTGTATCAACGTTTGTCTGCATTCTTTTTCGTTGTTGTTTGTTATTGTTTATCGTTAAAATTAATTTCTCCGTTAATTCTATTAATTATCATCAATTTAGATAGAATACACATCATTGCTCAACATATAAATCAGTAGTAATGAATGCAAAAAATATGGTTAGAAATTCTGGTAAAATGGTGTGTGTGGTCATTGTTCATTTATCAACAACAACAACAACAACAACAACAAAAAAATTTTTTCGTCCTGGTTCCTATCTTTTATCTATTCTGCATAAATTCTTTTTTTGTTCTACTACTATAGTTTCAGATTCCGGTATTTTCGATTTGTTTGTTTTCATTTTATTTTTCATTGCTTCTTTTTTTTTATTTGTTACATGTCAGGTTTAACATTAATGAATCCATTAATTATATTCATCATCATCATCATCACCACCATATATGATCAAATGAAAATGAAAAAAGAGAGAATATATTATGATGATTGAAAAATCGTATGATTTTTTATATATATATATTCAGAATGCATATGAATATGGTTTTATTCTAGCCAGGCCATATCAACAAAAATAAAAATAATTAATTTAACATTTTGTTTTCACTTTTCTTCTTCTTTGCCTGCATTTATTAATGTTTTTGTTCCATACATAAATGACATAAACATAAACTTTTCATTTGAGATCTGTTTTTTTTTTGTTCGTTGCCCATAGATAATGTATATCCGTTGTTTAATTTTTAATGATGATGATGATGATGATAGTGATCAATACAAACAAAAAGAAAAAAAAATTTATCATTTGACAATTGTCATCAGAATGATGATGATGATTTAAATAATTTTTTCAGGATTCGGTTGGTTAATTTTTCTTCCCATATTTAAGTGATAATGATAATAACGGTTAGTAGTAGGTAAAATCATTAGTCTCGACTATGTTTGGCTCCACACATTGATCATCATCTTCGCTTCTGACAATATCCGATAATAAATGAATTGATTCAACCAAAAAAAAAGCAAAAGCAAAAGAAAAATGAACTACTAGATATTTGAATCAGTAAATTAGCAATGAAAGCAGAGAGGAATTTTTTTTTTGACTTATTTGTTTAATTAGTTAAAGTAATTAATTGTGATCTAAAGCTATACCTGTCATCATCATCATCATCATCATCATCATAACTTATCATTATGTGGTTGATCTTTCAGTTTTTTTTTCTGTACAATTTTTCATCATTTTTCATGCACATTTTGCGACAAAAATAAATCGATTATTTGTCTTCTCACTGTCGTCAATTGTAGTTGATGATGACTTTTATGGTTTTGGGTGAATAATTGACCAAAAAAAAAAAAAAACATAAAAACATTCCTTCCAAAGACGACGTGTCTTCCATCCATAATATATTTGTGTCACTTCTCTTTTTCTTCTTCTTCTTCTTCTCATTGATGATCATAATGACGACACCTTGAAATGATCAGAATAAAAAACTGGAAATGGAAAACTATTTTTTCTATGGTTAGGTACAAATATAAATAAGTTCTTTATCATTTATCACCATACGGTGGCTAAATATGATCAATTTTCTTGTTGTTGATGAGGATTTCTTCGAACAAAACAAAACAAAAAAACATTCGAAAAAAATATCCGTTCGGAATTCCTATCCTTATCCTTATTACTATTTATTTTCCGACCAATTTCATCAAGTTTTCCAAGAAAGCCAATTTCATTTCATTTTTTTTTTTTGTTTGACCATTTATTTATCTATCATCATCGGTATTGAAGCGACAATTTCTCCTTACTTGTTTTCCGGTTGATGTGATGTAAATATAATTTTTGTTTTCTATTTATTTATTTTTTTTGTAATTTTTCTTGCAACATTTATCATCATCAAACAAAAAACATGATGATTCATTCATTCATTCATACAGTGTAAGTTAATTGAAACATGATTTTTTCTTTGATTCAGAAAATCAAAATAAAAAAAATTACCAATTGATTGATCTATTCAAATCAATACAATCAATCAATCACAATGATGAAAATTGAGCAATCAATTGGTTAATCAGTTTGCTAAATTAAAGAAAAAAAAATTCTTCAAAACTTTCAACACACACACACACACATACACCGACATGACACATGACATGAAAGCTTGATGAATTTTTTTTGTTTTGTTTCATTATCATGTTTAATCATAATGAATTGAATTGAATTTTTTTTTTTACTTTTCTATTTTATCGATAAAATAATGGACAACAACAACAACAACAACAAAAATGATGAACTTTCAAGTATGTGCGAGAATATAACCGACGAATATTCCGGTCCATAAACATTTTGAAAAACACACACACACACACACACAAAACGTGACTAAAATAATGTTTTATATTTGTTATAACATCACTATCAACATGTAATCATCATTATGAACCGTGTTGGATAAATGTAATATTTTGGGCACACACACACATTAAGAGAGAGAGAGAAATTAAGCGGGTACACAACATTTTAACATGGGTTAATTATCATTTGATTAACAATTGTCACTTAATTAGACTAAATATTTGGTCAGGGTTACCATCATAAAATGTAATATTTTTTTCCATTTATTGGAAGAAAAAAATTGGCCCTAATTTGTTTGATCCGATTAACAACAAAAAAAACCAATGATGATGATGTTAGCAATTTTTTTTGGTAATATTGCTCGATAGCAGGTACAAATTTAGCTTGTTTCGAATCAATCATGTTTATTTGGTAATTTTGTTCGTTGCGAATACCTTGAATACGTGTGTGTGTGTGTGTGTGTGTGATAGTAACATTTGATGGCCCGAAATTCCGTTAATGGTAAAATCATTTTCAATTTTTAACAACCAAAAACCAAAAAAAAAACAAAGCTTTTTTTCCAATACATTCATCATTGAATAAAATTATTGAATCGATAATTCAACGAATAGATTCTTTTTTTATTCTTCATATATCATGATTCTACAATGATTTTCAACACACACACACACAGAGAGAGATTGTTTAACGATTATAGTATAACCGCTTGTAGAAATGTGAATTTAACACAACATCTGTCATGAAAATGAAAATGTGTGATTTTTTTTTCTCATTCTTTTTCAAAAAAAAAATAAGAATAACGCATACACACACACAGAGGATAAATGGCGATAACGACAAAAAAAAAAACATGAAATTTTATATTCATTCAACACATCCGGCAATACAATGCTTTGTGGATTTTTTTTCATGCTTTGCATACACACACACACACACACACAAACAGGAATTCTTTTTCATTTAAGAATTTCCATAGCAAAAATAAAAACCTTGACTTGTGTTGAATTCTTATTTGGTACCATTATTGTTTTTTTTTTATTAAAAATTAATTTTCATAAAAAAACAATTCATTAAATCAAATGAAAAAAAATTTTACAGAATTTTACAGAATGATGCATCAAAACAAAAGAAGGTGTAAAAAAAATGTGTGAGTGGCGGAAATCGATTCATTTTTCAATTTATTAATTTTTTTTTGTTTTTTTTTTTGGTTTTGCCTCAAGATTATATATTTTGTCCATCCTGTTTGATTACCAGATTTTTTTATGCTTTATTAAATTCAACATGTTTCAAGACGAATGTGATGCGCGTATGCCGAACAAAAAAAAATGAAAGAAAATTCAAAAAAAAGTATAAAAAGAAAAATTCAACGAAAATGATGAGAAGAAGGAATATATATTCTAATGTCCATTCTTCGTGTATTCTTATGCATTTTTAACCGTTTATGTAGCAACGGATCATCGAACACACTTGGACAAATGGTTCAAAAACGATTTTTTCACAAAAACAAAATTGTTGGTTGTCTGCATGCTTTATATAATCAATTTCTATGTTAATGTTATCAAATGAATGATTGAATTGAGTAGAAAGAAAAAAAATCTTCATCGTATAAGAATCCGTTTTATTATTGAGAAACGTCATCGAATACATTGATTCCTTGTTGGTTGGTGTGTGTGTGTGTGTGCGTGTATGTCTTTGTTGTTCAAAACATGACATCAAATTCCACTATTGTTTTAAGTTTATTTTTCATTCAAACCTTTGCTGTTGTATATTACAACGAGAATATTCAAGAACAAGCAAAGTTGTTCAATCACCATGTATAAAGAATTTTCTTCGCTTAACGTTTATCATCTTGTAAATGAATGATGTACCATCACACATCGAGTTTATTATTATTATTTTCATTCTCTATATGCATATATATATACAGCAAAAAAACGATTGTGAAAAACACAGAATCCAATGACATGCTAATTTTATTCCAAATGTTTATAACTTTCAAAAATAAGAATAAAAAGAAGAAAAATTGAAAAAAAAATTTATCAAAATCCCATTTCAAGAATCATGTTATATTGATGATACTGTGTAATCAATTTTAAATCTTTTCTCTCTCACTTTCTCTCTTCAAGTTCAAATTAATTTTCTTTGATTTCAGAGATCAGAAAATTGAAAAAAAAATTTAATTCGATATTCAATATTACAACAACGACAACAACAACAACAACATGAAAAAAATGTCCCATTGTGTTTTGTTTTTCAACGGAAAATCAAAACGAATGAAAACAAAAAATTAGCAATAAAAATATTTTTATATGTAATTTTTTTTTTTTTTTTTTTTTTTGACAAACAATTTGTCCATGTTGCAACAATGAACTTGATGATTCACCATTACACAATTGTTTCCATCATCATCATTGCAGCCATTGGCCATGAATTGCAATGAATTTTTCTCTCTTGATTTTTCGATTATTATTATCATTTCCACAACTATTTAGGTCAATAAAATGAATGAATGAATGAATGAACATTTAATGAAACCAAAAAAAAAAAAAAAATTAATTAAACTGAATTAATTTTGTTTTTTTTCTCTTTTATTCTTTTTTCCTCTTATTATCATCATCACCCGATGGTCATGACAAATCGATTCTGGATTACAACGTCACCTCGTAATAAAATTTGTTTTTTTTTTGGATGGATTTTCATCATCATCATCATCATCAACACTCGAATAAAATATATAGAAATCAACAGTATACAGATAAATCGTTTTCAAGTGCCCGAAGCGGTTGAACGTGGCCGTTCGGCCACATTACATTGTGACTATTCATTAGATGCTCATGAAGAATTATATGCAATCAAATTCTATAAGAACAATATTGAATTTTTTCGTTTTGTACCAAAAGAAAATACACCTAAACAATCATATAAATTGATTGGCATCTATGTTAATGTATGTATTACATCATTTTATTCATTCATTCATTCATATTCATATTTCATTTATTCACACACACACACATTGAAATGATCAATAATTTATGTTTTTTTAGCGGAAAAAAATATGATTTATTCATCAAAAATTATCATCATCTGTGATTATTATTATTAACCATAAAAAAATACACGTTTGTTTCATTTATTGAAAATACATTTATTGAATATTTCTTCAAATCCTATTAGCAATTTATTAGGTAACATTTTATCATGCAATAAGTTATTATTTTTATTTTGTTTTGTTTTGTTTTGTTTTTCTCAAAGTAAACAAAACAAAACCTAATATAATAATCAATAATTCCATTGGCCATTGGTTGATGACCATAATAATAATAAGATGGTCAAATAATGACCAAACAACAAAAAAATGGAATAGAATAAGTAAGAAAAAAAAACAATTTCATATTTTTGGCCGCCGCCGCCGCCGTCGTTGTCATTTTCTGGGGTGTGGACTGAAATTTCATCTAACGAAAAAAAAAAAAAAAAAAAAACATCATCATCATCATCATCATCATTTCATTATTATATTCCACTAAAAATACTCAATAGGTAGATGAATCAGATTGATGAAATTGATAGGCAAAAGAAACCAAAACAAAAAAAAAAAAAAAGAAAAAATTCATTTCTTTGAAATTTTAGCTCATCAAAAATCGATAAGGCTAGAATTTCGATCATTAATATATTAGAATATATATAAAATTCCATTCCATATGATAACGGTGACAAATGATATCATTTATTAATATTAGTGGACATTGTACTACAATTTCTATTATTATTATTATTATTATCACTTTATATCTCTTAATGGAATTACACAATTCAATCAATTTATTCAAAATCTTCATTTTTTTTTTGTTTTGTTTTGTTCAAAAAAAAATCAGCAATAAAACAAATTATTATTATAGAATGACACACACATGAATTAATTTCAAATTATCATTTACCAGAAAAAAAAATACAAAACTGAATGGAAACGCCTCAAATTTACGGCTAAAATTAGTGATTTAATAAGAAAGAAAAATTGAATTGAATTTTTTTTTTTTTTACACATCACAATATTATATATGTGCATTTTATATTGAAATCAGTATACTGATTGGCCATCTTATAATAATGAATAAAATGATTTATAACTATAAAACCACACACACACACAATCGTTGACTCAAACTGTTTTTTCCATTTGCCAGAATGTGACAGCCATTCAAGTTTCAACATGAAAAAAAAACAAAATTCTGATTACTGCTGCTAATAAGCAGATATTGAAATACTCTCGAATAAAAATCATAGAAAAACTAATAGAATTAACACACACACATGAATACATTAAACTAACTTCAACAACAACAACAACAACAACAATGAACCTCTCTGGCTCTTTTGATTGCCTGCATTAAAAACGAGAATTCTCATTCTGGAACTTCATAGAAAACAAAAAAAAAAAACAATTTTGCGTTACACCCAAAATGAGAGAGAAAAAAAACATATCTAAAACGAGATACACACGAGAAATCAAAAAAAAAAAAATTGAGAGACACATGAGATAGCCCAATTTGGTGTTATGGCACAGAAAAAAAAATCTTGATGATGATGATGATGATGATGAGTCACAAAACCGATAAATCACAGAAACGAAAAAAACTTATCCAAATGAATTATATTTCAACTGATTCTTATGAGACTATGATTTTTTTTTCATTGTTTTAATTTTTTTTTCTCTCCCATTTTTCTCAAAGTTAAAAGCATCGAATTCAACACATGTCGTATTGAGCCAGACAAATTTGGTAAGTCAATAAGTTTTCATTCCCGTATTACCTAATTCCTCAAATCATAAAGATTTTGGGCGATGACAAAAAAAAAAATTTTTTTTTTTGTTTCTGTTCATATTTCTCTCATTTTGTCTCATTCTTTTTTTTTCTTCCTCCTTGTACATTCACTTCATTGTTTGGAAATTTATTTCATTCTTTTGGATTTCGATGACCCGAACGAATAAACCAACAAACACACACACACTAATCACATTGTCCATGTATTTGACGCATTTTTTCATCATCATCATCATCACATTGGTCTGGTGGTGGTTCTATTTTCACTTCTCAATGAATCGTTAATGTGTGTGTGTGTGTCATTCTTAATTGCGTGATCACCGCATTGGCATTTATATAACGTGTGTTTTTATTTATAATAATAACGATGGCCTATGACGACAACTACGATGATGACAACAACAACAACAACAACAAAAATTGGTCCATTTTTTTTTTTGTTTTCGCTTTCAATATCTATATATACAAACAGAATTCAGATGGCCTATACATTTGTGAAATCAGCACCGAAGGTAATAATATCTTCTATAGTTATTATACAGTATCACAATTCATATACACACATACACCAGTCAAGAATAATATCTAGATACCTGAAAGAAAAATAGTTAACGAACAACAACAACAACAACAACAAGAAAGAGGAAAATATAAAAAAAAGAAGGCAGACATACAAGCAGATAAAAACAAAACTATCTGGCTTATTATTTTCTCATTGTCTTGTTATATACGTTTTTTTTCTTTTTTTTCTCGATAGAATATATAATAATAATTGAACACCCTTCCCCCCTCCCAAGATCACCTAATTCATTCATTTGCTGTTGTTGTTGTATTCTAAAACCAACTAACTGACAACAACAACAACGAAAAGAAAAGAGGAAAACACTGATGATGATGGCAAAAAAAATGAAATGAAAAATAAAAACCATTTTAGGTTTATTAATAAATTATTTACTCACCAGTGTTTACCATAAATTCAACTTTGTGAATGAAAGACAGAATAAAAAAAAAATCCAAATATGTGTTGTGATGATCATAATCTATAGTTAAACTAACTAAAAAAACACACACACACACACATTGGCCAATTGGGCGAGTCCAAGAATTAATATGGCCAAAAAAAAAATGAAAAAGAAAAAACAACAACGAAACAAAAGAATGAAATGAAAGGATCGAAATATTTATCTATCAACAATAGATTGATAGATAAACAACAAAAACTAAATATCAAAATGTAAAGAAAAAAAAATAATGATCATTTTTAGTTTGAATATTCAATAAAAAATCAATATGCCCAAATAAATTAAGTTATTAATACATCAAATCAGATCAGTTCAGATCATTTCAAAGAAGAAAAAAAAAATGAAAGTAGTTAATCGATGATTTTTTTTTCATTCAACTTGATTATTGATTAATTGAATTTTTTTTTTGTTTTGTTTTGTTTGTTATTAGGACCCATATTCTCTACAGTACGTAGTGAACAATTGATGAAAATCTATGGTATGTATTTTTTGGATGGATTTTATTTTAATCAAAATTTTTCTAAATCATAAAATAGTATTACCAGAAAAAAATATTCAAATACTTGGCATTATGGATCAATATAATTATGGTGAAAATATTAGCCTTGTATGTAAGGCTGGAAAATCATGGCCACCTGTTCGACTTGAATGGCTGATCAACAATACACCGGTAAATAATTTTTTTTTTTTTTTTGGTGAATATAATTAATTGATTGATGTTGATATTTTTTTCCAAAAAAATTAGATTGATAGTAGTTATGTTATCAATATGACAAACGAACGTTCAACATCAACATTGGTTACAACTCGTATTGGATTGAATATTGTGGCAAAACCACAATATTTTAATAACGGTATTCTAGAGATTAAATGTGTTGCAACATTAACAGTCGTATATGAATATGAAGCAATCGAACATTTGGTAACCGGTTCTTCGAAGAACAAAAACAAAAAAGAATGGTCATTATTACCAAATCTTCGTACACCGATCATTACTGGAATGAAGAAAAATTTTCGTCTTGATGAAATTCTTAATATTAATTGTACGACAACGATGAGAAATGCCGTACTTAAATGGTTTATTAATATGAATCAAGCAAATGAAAGTGATTTAATACGTTATGGTCGCCGTTATGATTCATTAACAATTCTTGGCCTATGGTTACGGATGGATAAACGTCTTTTACAGATGCCAGAATTACAGCTTCGTTGTATATCATATTTTTATAAACAGATTAGTCAACTAAATTCTACATTAAAAATTCGCACATTTAATAATCGTAATGCTGGTGCTATAGGCAGTGATGGTGGTATGTGGGGAATCGATTCATCTACATCATCATCATCATTATCATCAAATATCATGCTACAAGCTGATAGATGTTGGACACCACTATTGGCCATCATTATTATTGTCCAATTGTATATTTGCTTTATTATCCATTTTTAGTTATTTTTTTTGTACGTTTTTTTTCTCTTTAATGTTATTATAATAATAATTATTATATTATATTACACACACACACACACACACTTTTAATTTATTATGATAATCAAGAAAAAATATTTATTTATTAAATGGTAAAATTGGTGGCGCAAAAAATAAAATTCAAAAATTTAATTCCATCAGTCTCCTTTCATCTCTGGTAGATGGTAGTAGCTGCATGACCATACATTCTCTATGAATAACAGATTCTGTCTGTTATTTTCCCTCGTCTTTTTTTTTTTTTCAGGCTGCACACACACCTGCTTGATTTATATTCATTCATCATTCATTAAGGTTTTTATTTAAACTTTCAATTCCATTTTCTTATTTTGTTGATTTTAAATCTTTCAATAACAACATTCTAAATGAAGATTTATACACCTCAAATTTCTTGGCATGATCGTCAGCCAATATTGAGTGTTGACATACAAAATCGTCTTCATTCTGAAAAGGATTCTATTAAATTTTACCGTCTAGCTACAGGTGGTAATGATAATCATGTCAACATTTGGAAAATATCAACCACACATAATTCTCAAAAACAAAAGCAAGATCCCAATAACAAACCTATCGATACGATCGAATGTCTTGCAGAATTGACACAACATCAACGATCGGTTAATGTGGTTCGTTTTTCACCAAATCTTGATGACAATCTATTGGCTTCGGGTGATGATGATTCATTGATTTTTATCTGGAAATATTGTGATGAAGAAAAACCATCAAATGAAAGTCAAGAAAAAGGTCAATCAAATGTCGATAAAATGTTTGAATCAGAATCCATATCGATTGAAGTTTGGAAAACCTATAAAATTCTTCGTGGACATAATCAAGATGTTTCTGATCTATGTTGGAGTCGTGATGGCCAACATTTAGTATCTGGTTCAGTTGATAATAATGTTTTCGTTTGGGATGTTCATCGTGGTACGAAAATGCATAAGGTAGCTAAAGAACATAATAGCTATGTTCAAGGTGTGACTTGGGATCCTTTGAATAAATATATTGCGTCATTATCATCGGATCGCCAAATGATTATTTTCAATTCAAAAAATGGAAAAACACTTAACAAAATTTATAAAATTAATTTCAACAATGAAAATAATAATTCGATCGGCGAGAACAACAACGATAATAATAAATCATCATCGACTAGTAAATTGTTTTATGATCAGACCCTGATGTCATTTTTCCGTCGATTAACATTCAGTCCTGGTGGTGAATTATTATTCGCACCATCCGGAATCTTGGAATTTGGCAACGATCGTTTCGAAAATGTCGTCCATGTTTTCGAACGAAAATCACTTAACAGGTAAGTTCGTTAATTCATTTCGTTACAAACTTTCTAACCTAGCTATTTACATCCACCAGGCCCAGTTTTTATCTTTCAACCGCTAAATTTAGTGTTGCTGTGAAATGTTGTCCGGTCATTTTCGAGCTTCGACATGATGAAAAAACAAACGTTTTCAAGTAAATAGAATAATCGAATAATTTCATTTTGTTTTAAGTGAATTTTTTTTAATTTTCAGTATTCCATATCGCATTGTATTTGCCGTAGCTACACAGGATTCCGTTTTGTTCTATGATAGTCAACAAGCCATACCATTTGGTTATGTATCACATCTTCATTATCTACGACTAACCGATCTATCATGGTCACCGGATGGTAGAATTTTGATTTTAACTTCGACAGATGGATTTTCATCATTCGTTGTGTTCGACGAACAAGAATTAGGCAAACCATATCAAGGAAAACTTATGGATTTCGAAGAACTTGATACACCGATTCTTAGCACGAAAACTCCAAGCAAAATCAGCCCTCTCAACAATAATAGTCCAAATTCATCACATACAACAAAATCTCCAAATAAAACAAAATGTTCAACGCCCATAACAGATTTTTTCCGAAAATCATCACCATTCTCAAAAACTGGTGTCAACAATCCAAATAAAAATAATAATAATCGATCACAATCATCTTGTGAAAAGAAACAACAATCAACCAACAAGCCAGGAAGACGAATTCAATTGATCACGCTACAAACACCACACAGTAATCAAAATAAATCTATAACCGAAAATCCATTGCCATGTTCAACGCCAAACATTGTTGATGATAAAGGAAATGTTGACAAGTTAGAATCAGATCTTGAAAAATCTAATCAATATGTTTCCGGAATCAAACGAAAACAATCGGAAGAATCAACAAAAATCAATGCCGATAATAATAATGAACATTTATGAGCGAAAGAAAATACAATTACTTTTATTGAATTGGAAATCTTGGATAGTTCTGTGGATTGATCGTGTACCGGAAACCGAAAATAAAGATGAAAAAAAAATTGAAGCTCGTTCATTTGGTTATGGATAAACAATGGAATTTTGTTTTGGTTTTTTTTTTGTCGCTGTCATTAAATGATTTGTAATTCATTAGATTATTTTTTCTGTAAATAAATAAATAAAAATACAATTTAAATGAATCAATGCACGTATAATAAATTGTGGAAACAAAAAGTAGAATTAGGTAAAGAAACTTTTCATCAAAAAAAAAAAAAAAAAAATACGGGTAAAACGATTAAACAATTTGTTCATTAGTTATATTGATTGTTGAATCAAAAAAAAAGGTTGAACGGACAAATGATAATTTTTCACAAGGCTGAAAAGCTCTTGGTTTATCAGATCTGATGATTAGAAATGATGTGTGTTAATAATAATATAACATCTCTAAATTTGAAAAAATGAATGATCCAAATTGATATTCAAATGAACAGGCATTAATGAAAATAGGCGAATAAGAATGTATATTGATGCCATTAAACAGCTTGGTCTTCATTTCTAATTTGATATTTATCTAAATTGTTTCTTGAATCGGTTGCCATAGAATTCATTAGAATTCGATGATTATTTTAGATTTATGATTCATAGAAATTATAATGATGATAATTATTCTTATGAATGATTAGATATGATTCATCTTCATTTAATTTTTTTATATTAAATTCGTTTCAGCTTTACGAATCTCTTTGACAATTTGATCATGTTCTTCAAGCAATCGTGCAAATTCTTCTTTCCGTAATCGAGCTGATGTCTAAAGAATTTGAAAAAAAATTTAAAAATTATTTGATTGATAAATAACAAGCTTACAATTAACGATTGAACCACATCATCATATTCTTTAGCTTTTTTAGGCTGATCTAAATAAAAATAAATATAATGTCAATTTTTGAGAATTAAAAAAAAAATAGAGAAAAAACTTACCATAATAAAGATCTTCAAATACTGAAATTGGTCCGGCAATCGTTTTTCGACGTTCACTTATACGTATCGGTGATATACGTAGTTCATCATCATTAAAGCTATCATCATCATTTGTTTCTTCATCAACATCAACATTAACTGCTGGTTCAACAATGATACTGACCGAATGGACTAAATTTGGCCGTCGTTGTTGTTGTGGATTATTCATAAACATTAATTGTTGTCCATGTTGTTTATCATCATCATCATCATTCGGAATCATCATCATCATCATATCATTGGAATGATCCAATTTTTGTTTAGTCAATTCATCATCATCATCATCAAATACAATACTATCATAATCTTGTTGATTCATAGTGTTTTCATCAATCGAATGTAATGTTATTTGATCATCCATTATCATACGTTCAATAGTGAATGAATTGGATTATATAATAATACAAGTGATAATGAATGAATATATATAAATACCCTAATTGTGTTTCACACACACACACAGAGTAAAAAAAAAAATAGTGAGAAAAAAGTAGCTCTAAATGTTCCAAAAAAAACTTTCATGATAGAAATCTAAAAGAAAATGTAGAAATCTATTTTTGACTACTTTTTTATTTGTCAATGAGAAAAAAAAATGATATCTACGTCTGCTTCGGCGTCTATATGCGTGTAAGCGTCAATGGCAATGATGATAGTGGATGATAATTGTTGTTGTTGTTGTTTGGTCGCAATACCGTTATTGTTTCATCATCATGATCATCAAATGAAAAAGATTTTTTTTCTTCTTTGTGGTTCTCGATTCTGATTGGCCTTTATATTTGGGCTGATGAATGAGAATGATTGTTTTGAACTTTTTTTTATATTATTCAATTCAATTCAATTCAATACTATTGAGAGATATATTATAGCAACAATCGATAATTTTTTTTTTATTGAACGTGTTATTTGATGATGACGATGACGATGGTGATGATGGTGATTTCAATCAATATTATTATTGTTGTTGTTGTTGATGATGAAAATATATCTGATTTTGTATTTGATCATTTTTTCGAGCATTCAAGAGTAATAGTGAAATCTATCAAGAAAAAAAAACTATATATAACATTAGTATATTAATATATATGGCATTCATTCATTCATGATTTGCGCGTAAACCCGAACACCAAACGAATAAAGGATAGAGACAGAACCGATCGTCGTCGTCGTTGTTGTCGTCGCGCTATCGTCATCATCTCTCTGTGTGTGTGTATGTAAAAAGGATCGACAATCAAACCGTTTCAAGAACATATTCTATAACGGCGTATTTTTTTTTGCATTGAGCTGGAGTTTGCTCCATAAACATGGCCAATATATTAATGAATATATAAAAAAAACGGTGACGACTACTAAAAAAAACAGAAAATATTTTTAGTAGATAGTTTCCAAGTGCACATATACGTGGGAAAAATAGGAATTTATATAGAATTTTAAGTGGCAAAAAAAAATAACTATAGATCGATATTTTTTTCCAAAACTTAATGAAAACAATAACACAATCAATGAATGGTCGAATCTACGAAATAATAATGCTATAATAATGATGATGATGGCATTGTTTTGTTGTTGTTGTTTTTGTTTTCAAAATTGAAATAAGATCAGTTTTTTTGTTTCATAAAATTGACACCGTACCGTGTACGACCAACAACATATCATCATGATGATTATTTTAAGATTAAATTTCACAACTTTTCCATTGTGTTTTGATTAGATGATTTTGTCATTACTATTTTTTTTCCATTTACACTCAAATAGCTTATCAATGTGAATGTAATAGCGTAAACATTAATGTTTTTTTTTTCTGTCTTTCGACAGAATTCGATCATATAATGATATTTATTTTTAACTATAATTGTATATACAATGGTTTCTGAAATTTTCACATTAATCTTGTCAGATATTGAAAAGAATGTATGCATGTGAATTGCAAATTGATTTATCGATCACATATTTTGACATTTTAAAAACAACAAAGAGAAAGAGAAAAAAATGTGAAAAAAATGATATAGTACTCATATCTATGGTTTTGTTTTGCTAGATACGCGAAACAAGTGAGAGCCTGTTCGTAGCCAACAGCTGATTAAATGTATGTATTCATGATTGTTGTTGAAAATATATTTTTTTTCGTTTAACATTTATTGTTATTGATTCGAACAGATTTCGTTAAATATCATCCAGATTTATATATTCCAAAGAATCATACGATGAATTCTTCATGGATAATATACGCATTTATAATTATTATTTATGATAAATTTGTCATCTCCGAATATGGATCAAATGAAACATGTTATGATTTTTCTGTTTCACCTGAAAACGTTTTCTTAGAAGGGAGTAAATATCGACTATTTTCAACAAAAACTACATATCTTACTGCACGAGAAGAAATTCGAAAAATCTTTCCATCCGAATGGCCCAATGAAATTGAACAATGTACGCCGGTATATATGTTTTTCTTGAATCGTCATTCAATACGATATCCATCAGCCAAAGAAATTAACAAATTTAACATTTTATTAAATACATTTCGTGAAGAATTACTTAATTCTGGCAAACTAAGTTATCGTATGTTCATCTATCTGGCCACATGGCGTTTTCGAATGTCAGAGGTTGATGATAATCATGTCAGTTATACGGGTAAATTAGAAACGGCTCAAACAGGTCAGTACGCAACGATCAATTAATGGAATTCTTTCTAATCTTTATTTGTAATTTATTTGTTTTAAAGCTAAAATTTTCTATAAATTGTTTCCAACACTGCTTGACATTGATAAGATTAATTTTGATGTTGGAATATCGACAAAAATTCGAACCGAAGAAACGGCTGATGCTTTTATCGGTTCATTGATCAATATTCAACTAGATCGTGGACAAAATCTTGAATCAAAAAATGGTAAAAAATCATGAATTTATGATTAATTTTTGGATTATTTTTTTTCTAATGGGTTGCCATCTATCTTTTTTTATATTATCTTAAAAAAATGTAGAAATCAAACAAACAAAATTCAAAAAATTCTCCAAAGATGTTTTAATGTCTCATAAAAAATGCAAAGGCCTTATTATTGATTCATTGGGTTCGAAAATTCCAAAATCACAAAAATATTTGAAACTTCTTGAAAGCAAACCAATTAAAATGATGTTGATAAATTTTAGCCAAAGAAATGGACTTGAATACACGATTAAGATTGAATCGTTAATAATGCTGTACAAAGCTTGTTCTTATGAAACGGCCATTTTTGCATTTTCTCCATGGTGTCATTTGTTTACACAATCGGAACTGAAAATCATTGAATATTTGCTTGATGTTGATGAATATCATGATGCATATCAGATACAGCCACATCGAAAAATGGCCTGTTCAATAATTGGAGATTTGCAATCTAAACTTGAAACCATTATACGACAAGAAACCACCACGAATACGACGTTATATTTTTCACATGAAAATTTACTTTCCAAAGTTTTTAGCTATTTTGGACTGTTCAATAAGTTTCCCGAAATTAATCTATCACCAGATGATACTCGTATCTGTATTCCTGATAATAGGGAATGGCGTTCCAGTTTGGTTGTGCCATTCGGCACCAATTTTGTTGCCATACTCTACAAATGTAATCATCAAGCATATAAGGTTTTAACATTAGTCAATGAAATTCCGGTTATTGTACGTGGCTGTAATAGCTCATTATGTGATATTGATAAATTTTTTAACGAATTTCACAATGAACGAATTGAATGTGATTTACCAAAAATTTGTAAGATATCCTAGAATTGTGAATTCAATATCTCCATGCTTTTTGCAATCACATAGAAATTCTGTTCGAATTGACAATTTTTTTTTATATATATAGAGAATAGCTATATAGGAATAAAAATTTGAGCTTATTTTTTATTCTATTTTTCTGACTCTAGCATGAAATCCTTTTGACCAAACAAAAAAAAACGTTCGACTCAAAATTCCAAAAACATTAAATCATTGTTCCACTAAGAAACAAAAAATGTATGTCTGTGTGCGTGTGTGTTTATATATATTGGCCATTTGGTGCGCGTGTTCACGGTCGATCGTAATTGTCGCAAAAAAATGGTGGAGTTTTTCTATAGTCTCGGTTTCTCAGTCGTCGCATCGTTTTTTTGATGTTATTGTTGTTGTTGCCATCATTAATGTTGTTGGATTAAGAAACCCTTCTTTTTTTACAATAACTTGTTAATTATTACCGAAAAAAAAATTTAAACAATGAAATCTATATTATAAATAAAAAATGATAATAATAAAATGTTTTAAAATTTTTTTTTTTTGAAAATTTGAGAATTTAAATTTATTGAAGAATGTCATCATTTAATCAATGGAATTTTTGTTTTCACAAATTTCTGTCAATATTCTTAATATTATTATCAATAACTAAATGTTCGACATTGGCTAATCAACGTTTGAGCACCCGTACAATCAAAACCAAATATGGAACACTTCGTGGTATCATTATAAATCAATCATCATCGTCATCAGATAAAACGTATTTACAACCGGTCGAAGCCTTTCTTGGTAAATAATGTCATGTTATTTAATTAAAATTTTATGAATAAATTTGATCATTTTTTTCTAAAAAAAGGTGTTCCATATGCATCGCCTCCGGTGGGCAAGCTCAGATTCATGCCACCAGTAACGCCAGCCATTTGGTCCGATATAAAAATGCCAACACTTTTGGTCCAGTTTGTCCTCAACGACTTCCGAATTTACGAAACGAAACATTAGCATTGCAAAAAATGACTAAAGGGAGGCTAAAAATTCTGACAAAATGGCAGGAAATGCTTAAAAATCAAAGCGAAGATTGTTTGTATCTGAATATTTACACGCCATTCAGCAGTAAGTGTTTTTTTGGTGAGATAATTACAAACTACTTATATCATACATTTTAGCCAACAATAAGGGACTCATTCGTTTTCCTGTATTGGTATTTATTCATGGTGAATCTTATGATTGGAATGCTGGTTCTGTTTATGATGGATCAATATTGGCCAGTCATTCCAACATTGTCGTAGTAACAATCAATTTTCGCCTCGGCATTTTAGGTACTTCATATTTTATATTTTGGTTTTTTTTACGAATTTTTATTTTAATTTAATATAAAACAACGAACCAGGTTTTTTTCCTTCATTGGGAGGTACGGCTAGGGGCAATTTCGGACTAATGGACCAAGTTGCAGCATTACATTGGATTCAAGAAAATATTCGCGAATTCAACGGTGATGAAAGAAATGTCACTATAATCGGTTACGGACATGGTGCAGCTTGCATTAATTTTTTAATGCTTTCGCCAATGGCTAGAGGTATGTATTTATTTATGACATTTTTTTTGATGAAAATAAATTTAATTTTTTTTATTATGATCAATGTAAGGCCTTTTTCATCGTGCTATAATGATTAGTGGTTCGGCCTTGTCACCTTGGGCAATAGCGTCGGATTCAATTTTTCATGCCAAAAATTTTGCCAAAGTTTTAGGTTGTTTAGAGAATCCTAAAATGGAAAAAGATGTTCTAGAATGTTTACGACATAAAACTGTGCAAGAAATATTATCAATCGATCTGAAAATACCGACACATTTGACGGCTTTTGGACCGATTATTGATGGTATCGTCATACCTAATGACCCTCAAGTGTTAATGTCGAAACCAAATTCTATATTTGGAAGTTATGAATTATTATTCGGTGTAGTCAAAACTGAATCATATAATTTATTTTCCATGTATGATGAAAGGCATGGCATCGATCTATCTCGACGAGATCGTTTATTACGAACATTGATTCGAAACTTATTCAATTATCATCTTCAAGTAAGTTTCATTATTCAAAAAGCTATTTTGAAAGTTTTTCTCCCAGATCTATCATTATAATATAATCATAATCATATATTGATTTATTCTATTTTCGAAGGAAATATTTTTAACTATAGTCAATGAATACACTGATTGGACTCGTCCATTTTTACATCCGATCAGTTTATTCGATTCATTGATTGATATATTTAGTGATGCATTGATTGTGGCACCAACAATTCGTACGGGCCTTCTTCATTCAAAACAACAATCACATAGAACATACTTTTTTACATTCTCACATCAAACAGACAATAGCGATTATCCAATACGTTTGGGTTGTATACACGGACAGGATATGGCCTATTTATTGGGAGCACCATTAGTTAATGGCATACAATTTTCTTGGTTTCCAAAAAATTATTCACGTTTCGAAATGACTTTAGCCAAGATTTATATGAATTATTTGGCTAATTTCATCAAAACTGGGTATGTGAATGATTTAAACTATAGTTATGAAATGAGTAAAATTTTATTCTTTTTTTTTATCTGAAAATATAGTGATCCAAATAAAAATGTAACAAACATGTATGATCATTATAATGTTAGCAGACAGCGCGAATCATGGCCATTGTATGAAGAAATACAGCAGAAATATATTTCATTCGGTATATATTCAATTGATAGATAGATTCGAAATTGAAAATCATTCGATGAAATTCCTTCTTTTGTTTCCTTCTATCTGAATTAGATAACAAAATAAGTATTCAAGATCATTATCTTGCTCATCGTTTATCATATTGGTTCAATTTATTACCACAATTACATAAACCAGGTGATGCTGATTTAAAAGTTCATCATTTATTAGAGGTATATATCGATAAGTTCAATAGAATTTTTTTTTCATTCATTCTACTCTTATTTACTCTTATAGTCACACAATAATATTCAAACCTATGATGGAATAATTCGTTATGGAACCTTATCGGCACCAGTTTCTTTCAATACATATTTTAGTTCTGAAAATCTTTATCCACAAAATCATTCTTCAACTTTTCAGTTATTTGGAACTAATAATCATCCAATTACACCGTTATTATCGGAAAACAGTATTCCGGATAGTCAACAAGGATTTATGTTAAATAATAGGAAAATTATATTAAATGATTCTGATAGCATAAATAATAATCCCAGTCAAGAAGGTAGTGCCTTAGATTTGGTACATAATATAGCTGCTACAAATGCATCATTCTCGATGATCGTACAATCCAATAATCTTTATACATGGCTAAGTCTGATAATAGCCATTGGCTGCTCATTGCTTATATTGAATGTTCTTGTTTTTGCCGGATTCTATTATCATAAAGATCGTAATCGTTTGGAAACAAAATTAAATCGACACAAACAGGTTTGATGATTATAAAAGATAAATTGTCGTTTTTTTAAAATTAATTTCATCTTTTATTATTAGGAACAACCATCACGTAATAAAAAGCTCAATACTTCGAAAGGATTTAGTATTAATAATCCGAACAATAATAATAATATTCCATTGTATAGAATCAATTCAATTACCGATGATTATAATAAACAGGCCACATGAATCACGAATCTTTTTTGCATCATTTATCAAGTTATATTTCAGGAAATTCCCTAATGTATTTAGAGAATCGAACATTTTTTTTTCTTCACACTATAATAATCCATATATGTACCTATTATGTGCCTTTAGAGAAGGATATAATATATCCGTTAAAATTTTCAAAATAAAACAAAAAGACTTTATTTGAAAAATATTGTATTTTGTAATCTTAACATTGATTATTATCAAATATTTATTCTTTTTTGGTTTTCTCATAGAACAACATGTAAGCACAGCTTGCAAACACTTCTTTTTTACTAACTTCTTTGACAACAAGATCGGATGTATAATACCATTTGGTTTTTGAACGACTATTGTTGCAATTAATGGTGGTGGGCGATTTCGATCTTCGATAACAGACAAAATGACCAGAATGATCATTACCCAAATGAACAATAACAGAATTTAATATATAAATGTATTGAGCAGAAATTCCTTCGTGGATCATTTGTTGCTTTTCGTTATCACCAACAGATTTTGTTTGTTCACGATTTTTCAGTTTTATTGAATTATGTTTGAATGGATCCATAATTAAAACTTCAGGAAATTTTATGTGATCGACCCTTTTGGATTGATTGCCTTCCAACCAAACTAAACGATGAACATGAAAACAAAGTAATCGAGGTAGCTTTATTAATTCTATTCGTTTGGAGAATGTTGATTTTTTATTACAATATTGACAAGAAAAATCTTCAATTTCTTCTTCACGTATGAACTTATTCAAACACATTTCCAGTGAAATGGATGTTCCAATTTGAAGTGATGACGATGAAGGAAGACTTAACGATATTGAATTGAAAATATCGAGATGTATCGGATAACTGTGATGACAGTTTTGACATTTTAAATGATTTGACAGAATGCCTCGAGTGGGTAATAAATTCTTTGAATTCATTGGGATTTTCGTCATCGATTCCATTGGATTACGGACTCGAGTGATCAATTTGATTTTATTATTAAGCTCATCCACACTATTATGATCACAATGATTCGATTGAACACTATCTCGGATCGATAATGCTAGTGATAATTGATTAGATTCAAAATCGATCGTTGAAAGCAGGACGCTGAATAGCTCGAAAGCATCCTTTAATTGTAATAATTTGATATGAAAATTACAAATTTATCAACTAATGTAAAATTACTTACCTGTTCGTCTGCAGAAAACATCCAACGATGTTTTCGTAGAGAATCTAGAACACCTTCAGGAGTGAGTACTTCAGGACTATCACAGTCAATTTTATTATTGATTCCTAAAGAATAAAATATTAAAGTTTCAATTAATAATTTATAATGAATATAAAACATCTAAATATCATTACTATCAACAATAAAGGATAATTGTCGGATGAGATTAGAATCGGTCTTTAATTTGGCGTTAGCTGTTGTACTCAGCCAGTTAACCATTGAATCACTACTGGCCAATGATTGCAATATTGAATTGATGAAACAATTATTTTTGACATTTCTCAATCCACGAATATATAATTCTATATGTGGAAACAAAATAATTATAATTATATTCTATATCAATCTGAAAAGAATATGTTTTTTTTTTACTTTTTTTAGATGAATCTGACGAGAAACCAAAGAAAACATATGCAAGAGAAACAGCACCAATAGCGGAAACGCCCACTATGTACAATATTTCAGTATCAATCATTATCACCATTCCAGTTCCAAACATAATGAATAAATTTTTACTATGTTGATGAATTCTGGACAGTAGAATTGAATCATCAAAATCAAGAAACAAAAAATCAAGTATGAGATTTATTCAAAATAAACAGTCATGGATAAACATATGTGTTAATAGACATTTAAATAGAAAAAAATAGAATTCTAATTCTAATGTAACAGATATAATGATTAGATGTAACAGATATAATGATTAGATAGATAGATAGATGAATTTTTTCAACTTATTAGAAAAAATAAAATATATCATTTTGATAATAAAATTTAAATAAAAGTAAATGACGTTTAAAAAAAATAGAATAATATTCAATGAGTATAACATCTATAGGTAAGATTGATCATTTTTTCTTCAGCAATTCGTTTCAAATGTATAAGATGATCTAGTTTTAAACCGGGCCAATCAATGAAAAATATTGATTCAATACTGGGATGTTCTTTTATGAATGCTTCAATCAAATTTATTTGTTGAACAGGGAATTGATATAATAATTCTAAATCATTCTGATATTGTATATGATCAATGTTTTTGACCATTTTTGCTTTCAGTGTAAACTCAATCCACAGGCATCGTAATTTAGATATGGACAACAATGATGAAAATAATGAGATCAAGCCTGAAGTCTGAAAAAGGTAATTAAAATATCAAAAATTACAAAAAAAGATGGATAATAAAAATAAAAAATGAATACCTTTAAAACGACATCGATCAATTCAAGTCGAGTCAAGTTGAGCAGTTGTTTACCATTCAAATGTTTGGACAAACTAGGATGAAATTTCAGATCTAATAAGCGTAATCGAGATAAATTCTGGTGGTAACCACCCTTCAGAAATTGAATCAATAGATTTTTGGAACCTTTCAGGAGGTAGAAATCAAGTGTCAAACTTTTCAAATTCGTCCATGAATTTTCCATGTTATATTTAAATTTTGAATCATAATAAATCATAAAATTAAAATTTAATGCTAATAAATTTTCAAATTTTTTCACTGATTCAATTATGCTATAATTATCCCAATAGTGGTGGCTAGATTTTACCTAAGAAAAATAAAGATATGATGATGAGTATGATATTATCAAAATAAATTTAAATACTTTGAGAAAACGAAGACAATGTAACAAAGGAGATATTGCCAGATTATCAATGAATTTATGAGGTGAATCAATTGTTTTCATGTGTGGAATCTTGAAAAAATACAACGATAGAAACTCGAGATTATTTTTAAGTTTGCTGAAAGCATTAGGTAATGAATCAAAATCATCTTCGGTTTGCGAAAATATTGTTAAATGTAATTGATTGAGCATAGGGGAACGATAAAACAAATGACGAAAAAAATAACTCTTCAAAAATAAATTATCGATGGAAAGATGTTGTAATTGATTGCCTAAACAATACAAAAACATATTGGCATCATATAATGATTTGAATGATATGAATTCGAGTTTTAGACAATATAAATTTGGACAATGTTTGGAGATAAAGTAGGACAAATCGGCTGTCATATCGAATCCCCTCAAGTCCAGAGATTCAAGAGATGAACACTTTTTTAAGATACATTTCAATAATGATTCACGGCAATCTATGCACTGAATAATATGAATTTGTTTAGAATTGATAAATTTTTTTTTTTGAAACAATTCAAATCATACCTGTTTGAACAAAACTAAATTGGTAGAGAAAAATTCTTGAGGTATATGTCGAGGATCATTACAATACCATCGTTCAATTAATTCATCATTTCCTTTTTTGATTCTGGATAAAATTTTTGGATATGATAATTGTAGCTTTTTCTCCACATCTACATTGTAAATGCCTATGGATTTTATATGTTTTAATTCATCTTCAAGTAATCGAAAGCATTGGGAATGTTTTAAAAATATTCTGGAAATTTTTTTCCTTTCATCTATAGGTAGATATTGAAGAATATGATAAAACAATCATTGGGAAGAGCGTTTATATCCATTAATCCATTAATGATATTTCATTGTCGATTCTAAACATGTAAAATGTTCATAAAATGTTTCATGAACACATGTATTTATTCATTGACAATTCTTATGATTTGGATTCAATGATATCACAATAATATTGTCATTGTTATTTGAAGTACACATAGGTAGAAATAGCCGCAACTAGAATATAGAAAAATTCCACATGAGAAATTTTAGATTTTAATGATTAAATCACGATGGATGAAGAATATTCATCAAAAACCGTTTTCATTATAGATTGTTCACACGAATATTCATGTACTGATTCTGGACAAAAACATGACATCGGATCACGATTTCGTTCAATGCCATTGGCAATTATATCAAAATCTTTGTATACATGTTCGGTGGAAGCAATTTTTGAATATAGCCGTATCGTTTGGGATTTATTTCCTAATGGCGAGAAATCCTTATTCTTCATCGCATGTTCACCTAGATCAACTTATCAATTGAACAATGGAACACAACAAAATTGTGAGCATATTTTCAATTCCTTCATGAAATTCACGCCAGATTCGTTAAAGATTTCACCGAAACAGAATAAATTGTTTTTGATGGAAGGTTTTCGACAAGCGTTACAATGTTTAGCATCGGAAACATCAACATTAAAATGTCGAAACAAAATCAATACTGGAAGAATAATTTTGCTTACCTTCGATAATGAAGATCGAAATTTTGTTATAAATTTCAAGAAAGAACTTTTGAAACAATTTTATGATTTTAGAAAAAACAACATGCCTTCAAATAAATTGGACGTAATTGTAGTCAACAGTTATCCATTGGAACTAGAAAACTCAATAATCCATAAAGATGTGATCAAAGAAAATTTATCTGATTCATTAAAATTTTCATTATATTCTGTTGCATCCAGTTCGATATTGGCTGCACGATTGACTTGTATGGCATTCGAACATTATGATTTAGCCTCAACAACCGTTTGTAATATTCCAATGAAAGAAGAACAAAATTCCGGAACTTCTGCCAACTATGATGTTGAAATAATTCATTCTCGTAAAGCTCATAGTCAATTCTTTAATTGTCAGATATTCATTGGTGCAAATGATTCATTATATCAAGATGTTGAACGTGATAAACAAAAATATAAAACTTTAAGATTAAAATGGGGTACATCACCGAAAACATTAGAAATGAGCTATTGTATTGGTGTATATCGTATAACGGCGATTGATGTTAGTAGCCGACCATCATCATGTTTGATCACTTTCTTATTTTCTGGTAAAACTGTCATTTTGGAAATGCCACACAAATCAATGACTCACATGCTTCGATGTCATAATGGTGAACTATTCATCCATGTTCTTGCTAACAATAAACCATTAATAGAAGATGCTCCTTCAATCAGTGAAGGAGTCGGTGGTAGAATTACCGATTATCGTATTAATGATTTTGCTGAATTTATGAAAAAAAATCATTTACTTTTAAAATCAGCCACTGATGAGAATGGTGTTGATAATTTAGAACAATCGGTTCTAATATTGAAAAAACAAACACAATATTGGCCAATTTCATTCGGTCTAACCGTCTTTTTTAATATACGTGATCAATTTTATCCATTGATTACAAAAAAAGAACTTTGTGAAAAAGATTTGATCACATTACGAGATATAATGTATCGTCATCTGCATAATGAAAAAACCAATGTACCACTTCCTATACAAAGTAATGTAATTCGTTGTAAAGGTTTGAAAAAAGAAGATTTATATCGTATCTATTGGAATGAAGTTGAACAAATTATACGTTGTTATCAATTTTCATTACATCATAAAACTATTCTACAATGTTATCTTGATATAAAACCAATTAATGATAATAATAGTAACATGATGTCATTCCATTCTCCAATCAGGAACGATATTACTATTGGTGATAATAATCATAATAATAATAATCAATCAATAACAATGACAACTAATTTTACCAACAATAATATCAACAACAATTTGGCCAGACCAATTGATTATCTGAGAATAAAAAATAGTTCAGAAAATTTGATTGATATATTTTCAGCCAAATTGGAGAATAAAAGAAAAAAATCATTAGATTTTGTTGGTCGGAATGTAAAAATGGCTAAACTATATGCTGGAATAAATATTGATGATAAATGAATGAATAATTTGTTTATTTTTTTGTTTGATGGAAAAATAAAAATTTTTTTTTTCTTTGATATTGACTTGAGTTTTTTTTTGTCTTTATGTTGGATCTACCTTTCGAATGGCATGATATGTGTGTGTGTGTGTGTGTCTGTATATTTTATCTTTTTTTTTGAAGCCAATGAAAAACATTCATGTTCAACATACAATACACTGAATAATAATAAGGAATTTTAATTTTCACCACTGTTTTTTCCCCAGTGTATTATCATTATCATTATATATATGCAACAAGTGCAAGTGCTAAATCTTTTTTAGCTTGAATGAAATGAAATGGAAAACAGGTTCAAGGTAATATTAGTGTGGTGTTTCAACTAGCAACAACAACGAATATATGCAAAAAAAAAATTAGAAAAACCAAATCGCTTAGAGACATGAAAACAAAAACCTAAATGTGTTGTGTCGTGCAACAATTTTGCAAAAGAAAACTATATGAAAACAAATTGAAACAAAAGGAAATGGTATGGCTATAGCCTTCAATATTTTATTCTATTTTTTATTTTTATTATTTTTTTTCCATAATTCATTTTGTGTTTTCGTTAGTGTAACCTGTTTGTGTTTGGTGGTTTTTTTTCATATCAATACGATTCGATTTATATATCATCAATCAATATCAATCAATCATCATATGATTCAATTTATTGATTAACGAATAGAAAAAAGGAATAGAAAACCATGCTTGAAAAGCTTGTACATGTGTCCGTGGTATGATATAATATGTGACGAATATGCAACAATAATAATAACAACAAACAATAAAAAAAATCGCAAAATGTTTGTTAATATTGTGACCAGTAAACGGGAAAAAAATCTGTTGATAAAAAAAGAATTAATCAAATAAAATGTGAATTATTATTATAATCATCATCATCAGTTTGATTGATTAGAAGAACAACAAATCACTGTTCGTCATCGAATTTTTTTTTATCATATATGAATATGAAATTTATTTAAGTGTATATTTAGAGGGTGTGCATGTTCAAATGATAATATTTATCAATGGAAAATTCATTGAATTGCAATATTATTATGGTATTTAGTATCACATCAACATTAACAACAATATATAATCAAAAAAAAAAAACAAAACATGATTGCAGTCATCGTTCAAAGCATCACGCATTTTAGCCATCCAGATTAATTTTTCCACATATTTCGTCCAACAACAAAATATAATAATAATAATAAAAATAAAAAATCTAAAGACGCAAATACAAACTTTAGTGTGTTGTTATATTATTATTATTATTATTAAACCAGTGCCAACATCCGCCAAAATATTTTTTTTTTCTTTCCATCACTACGTATTTGTTGGCCTGTTATTTGTTCACCTTGACAAAGGAAATTGATAATTTGAGAAAATTCGGGTGTTTTTTTTCTACTGAAATTTGTATTGTTGAATTTTTCATGTGAATGTAGAATTAATCCTGTTCATTTCATATTTTTATTTTAAATATATATATTGTTAATTATCATAATCATAATTCAATGTTTTATCATCATTATCATCATCAAAAATGTTATCAATTACTTATCTATCAACGATATTCATCATTATTATTAATCTGGTCATTTTTATTGCCAATATCGGGTATGTTTGTATGTAGTGGAGAGACGTTATTTTTATTTTTATTTTTTTGTTCTAATTATATATCAACATATAATTGAGTTGATTATTGCAATGTTTATTTTTCTTTAATTTATAGTTGTCAAATTATATTAGCACCCAGTCAGCTTCATATTGGTAAAAGGACAAATAAAATTTTTTGTTTACCTCGCAAACAATGTTCTTTCACAGCCAATGTTTCTTTTTCATCTAAAAAAGAATTCCATAACATTATTCTTAATAAAACAATCGATTTTATGACAAGTACGTTCAAGTCATTGATACATATATAATAATTATCATTCTTAATTGACAAATTTTTTTTTCATATATATTCAAAAAGATGATTATATCGGAGAAGCTGAATTGATGTTTTCAGGAAAAGAAATCAAAAAATATCATAATGACTTGAATCGTCCAAAAAGAATCTATATGAAAATTGAATTATCAACTAACGAGATTCTTAAAGGTGTTTTCAATCTTACCTATGATAGTCTTATCTATTTTCAAACTGATAAACCAATATATCGTCCAACTGAAACGGTTCGATTTCGTGTACTTGAAACCGACAAAAGTTTAAGATCCAAACCTGACATGTGTAATTTAACTATAAAGGTGATATATACAATATATATTGTAGTGAATAAAAGTTGCATTAGATTGATCTGTTGTTTTTCTGGAAATTTTTTCAATCTAGAATCATCAAAAAATTAAACTGGATTTTACAAGCTTATCATTGAACGCTCCATACTATTTTGCTGAATATGAATTTCAATTGCCACAGATTGCTAAAGAAGGAATATGGGAAGCAGAATTGACCTGCAATAATGTAATGAAACAAAACAAAAACAAAAAAATTTTACATTTAATATGGCCAACATTTTAATGATTAATATATATTTGTTCGAAATATAGGGTAATGATCGATTAAATTTTGAAATCAAAAATTACATTGCACCAATAATGAGAATCGATGTACTTACACCAAACATACATTATTGTTCATCCAAACAATTGGATATAATAATCAATGCAACATATACGTATGGAAAACCAGTGAAAGGTTTTCTTTATTCAGAAATAATTTTATCCAAATCACTTGAACAATTTAAAATATTTCAGACAGAAAATTTATGTCTTAAAAACGGTTCAATTAGTTATTCAATATCTAACAATAAAATGCCTTGTCGAAATCGATATGATTTGCCCGTGAATTTGATTGTACGAACAACTATTACGGATACATCGACCAATACGAAACAACAAGCCAGCAGTAATATTATTTTAACATCACGTCCTTATATGATCTCAAATACTCATACAATCACATATTATAGACCTAATTTTGCCAATTTTATTGTGGTAAGTATTCTGGTATTCAGTGTTCATGTTCCAACAAACTAATTATTATTATTTTGTTTATCAAGCTTGAAGTGAAAAATTTTAATCAAGAACCAGTTTCAAATGTACCTATAAATGTTAAAATCAATAACCGATATGGTTACGAAATTAAATCATATGAAATTTCAAACGAATCAACTTTAAAAACCGATGCCAATGGATTGGCAATTGTAACATTCAGTTTAACCGAATCGATTGGCCGATTAAGAGTGACAGCAACGACGAATGATACCAAATATGATCAAGCAGATCAAGCTTTTATAGCTTTTAATATGATTCCTTTTGACAAAAATGAAAATGCAGCCATCTGGATTGCGAATAAGAAGCAATTATTTTACAGTGCTGGAGATAAATATCATAGCTCGATAGATTATTCCAAACATATCGAACCGGGAAGTTTATTTTGGATTGCATCATCAAAAGGTTATATTTTTCATCATGAAAAAATAACATCGAAACAAATCGATTTTAACATTACCAATCAAATGGCTCCTAGTGTTCGAATTTTGGTTTTAGCAATAACCAATAATGAAAAAGTGGTTTCAGATTCCATACTTATTTATGTTGAACAAAAAAATTGTGGTGTTAAAATTGAATTGGATTCAAAAGAAAATACGACCATTTTCGAACCAGGAACAGAAATTAAATTCAGATTTGAAGGAAACGACAATGATATAGTCGCAATGAATGCCGTTGACGAATCGGTGTATATTTTGCGTAATAAAAGTGTCAAAGCAAAATTTCAAAAAATTTTACAATCACATGATATCGGCAATGGACCAGGTGGTGGAAAAAGTTCATTACATATTATAGATACAGCTGGATTCAAAATTTTACAAATGAACAAAGAAAAATATAGAAATAAACGATCGACGGATGAAACTTGTCTTTTATTCGATCATACATGTTGCCGAATGGCATTGTTACGGACGAAGAAATCATGTTCTGAAAGAAGTAAAATTATCAAGAAATATGCTTTAAAACCTGAATGTGTCACGTTCTTTGATCAATGTTGTCTTTGTAGATGGGATGATGGTCTTCAAACTTCATCAGGTATCAAAATCGAATCGAAAAAATTTATTTTTTTGTTGATAATTTTTTTTAAATACATTTGCAGTGAATAGGCCAGAAACATCAAAATCACAACCAAGTTATGAATTGAATCTGCCAAGACCTTATGACAGACCAATAGAACAGGAAATAGATGAGAAAAATACAAGATATGATTTTCGTGATAGTTGGCTGTTTGATTTGATTTTATTGAATAAAAGGTGGGTTAACTAATATCAAAAAAAATAATTAATCAATCATAATCTAAATAAAATTTTTTAGTTTCCAATCCCATACAAAACAAGCACCACATTCGATAACATCATGGATAATATCAAGTATATCATTGTCGCAAAAAGATGGATTGTGTTTTGCAAAAGATCAACGTATAACGACCTATAAACCTTTTTTCGTTCACGTATCTATGGCACAATTTTTAATTCTTAATGAACATACTGAAGTTAGCGCTACTATATTCAATTATTTGGATGAAAACCTAAGGGTCAAAATTCATTTCTATAAAAATGATGAAATTTGTTCAGAAGCATCGGATAAAATAGAGAAATCTGAAATTCTTTTAAACATCAAAGCAAAATCTTCTATGACAAAATCTTTTCCAATCGTTCCGATAAAAATTGGAACGTTCACTATAAAACTAAAAGCTTCGGCTTATATACGGAACAAATATATTTCGGATATAATAATGAAAAATATTACAGTACGGTTTCCTGGCAAAGTTATTGAAGAAGCTACATCACTTGATTTGGATCCAGGTAATCGAGCCAAACGAGAAACAACAATTTTCACTGAAAAACCAACTAATCGTATCACAAGCAAAGTTTATCCTGAAAAACAATTGCAAAAAATTGATATTTTATTTCAAAAAAATGTTGAAAAGAAAAATCCAGATGTCGAGATTGTTCCTGGAACGATGAGACATAAATTATCATTGATCGGATCGAAATTCAATCCATCTATTAAATCGATTGAAGAATTGGATCATTTGATAAAGAAGCCAAAAGGTTGTGGTGAACAGAATATGTACTTTATGGCATTTAATTTGTATACCATGAATTATTTAAAGCAGATGGGAAAACTAAAAGAATCGACTGAAATACGTGCCTTAAATTATTTAAAAAGAGCTTTGCGTCAAGAACTTAATTTCCGAAAAGAAGATGGTTCATTTAGTGCATTTGTCAATCGAGAATCATCAATTTGGTTAACGGCATTTATTTCAAAAGTTTTTTGCCAATCTGGTACATTGTTGAGAGAATATATGGATAATGAAATCATTGTCAGCGCTATAAAGTGGCTATTAGAAAAACAATCATCAGATGGTTCGTGGAAAGAAATATTTCCTATACTCCACGAAAAAGCCTTAGGAGGAACTAATCAAGGTTCACATACATTGACGGCTTATATAATTATCGCTTTAAATGAATGCCAAAAATATCTAAGAAAAATTGATGTTCCTCATGATTTGAATTTGAATGAAAAAATTTTATTGGCCCAAGAATATTTGCACAAAAAATTTAAATTTTTTGATGAAAATTCTTATTCACTCTCAATCATAACATATTCTCTCATATCCAGACAAAGCATACATGATAAAACGAACGAATTAATTGTAAAATTAATGAATCACGATGATAAGAAACGAGATAACAAATCTAATCATTTTTATTACAATAATGATTACAGCATCGAAACAACATCGTATGTCTTGCTATCTTTAGCCGAATATATTCCGAAAGATGAATTGACCGATAGCCTGGCTAATTTTCTTACATTGCAACAAAAAGATGGAGCATTCGATAACACACAGGATACTATAGTTGCTTTGGAAGCATTGGCCAGCTATTATTCAAAGATTCAGTCCCATATAAATGATTATAAATTGATGTCAAATATTTCATTCAATTATCGACCAAAAAGATCGATCGAATTCACTGAAGAAAACAATGATTTATTGCATATCATTGATGTTGAGAAAAATACCGACAATGTTGATATAGTTACGTTGGGCAATGGACTTGGAAAAATTGAATTATTGACAACCTATAATGTTTTGAATCCTAATGATAAATGTCATTTTGAATTGAGTATCCGTTTGTCCAATGTCCGTAACCAACATCGTAAAGAAATTTCCAACTATGATGGAGATCTTTTCTTCGACGTACCTGTGACGAATGTAATGCAAGAGCAAGGAATAATAATAACATCAAATTATAATGAAAAACATCAAGTTTCTAGCAATATTTGTGATCATGATTTTAATCATAAAATTAGGACAAGATCTATTTGGACAAATATGAGAAATAGATTTCGACCACAAAATATTACGAATCCAACGCAAAATATAAACGAAAAACAAACGGCCAAAGAAAATTCAGATGAATGTTCAGCTAGTTTTGATGCGCCACCAAATCTTGGCATAGAGAATCCAATCATTCGTATCATAAATGTTAGTTTTAGACGTTTGAATGATGATGAAAACGGTATGGTTATATTGGAAGTCGGTCTTCTTAGTGGTTATAAAGTCATACGTTCCGATCTTGATAAGCTTCTGGAGAAAAAGAATATATTGAATTATAATAGTGCTGATTCGAAAATAGAGTTCTATTTGAAAAATGTACCTTATGCCAAACGTGAAAGTATATGCTTTCGTATTTATCAACAAAACATTGTTTTAGAATCACAAGGAGCATTGGTCAGCATTTATGACTATTACCAAAAAGATTCTAGTTGTTCAAAATTGTATAACGATACTAATATAAACGATGAAGATTTGGAATTTGAGATTCATGATTGTAATGGAATTTTACCGTTAAAAATTTGTAGTTGTAAAATACTTAAGGTATGTCCAGGCAAATTGGGTGAAGGATTAGAAGAATCATACCATAAAAATAGTCTTGAAGCATTAAAAAGTTATAAAAAATTGGTTTGTAAACATTTTTCTGCCATCATAGAAGGTATTGTTGAAAAAAAAGAAAATAAAACTCAACTTGGAAAATTTCTTGTTCATTTACAAGTGTTAAAAGTTATTCAAACAGGTGTGTAAAGTTTTTGTTTGATCAAAAAAAAAACAAACTAATTAAATTTTTTTTTGTTTTTTTTAAATATCTATCCTAAAAAGATTTGGACGAACAATTTCTTTACACTGAAGGTGAAAGATGGCCATTTTATTTGGATAAAATATGTAATTTATGTCGAAAAAATGAACGAATTTTGATTCTAATCAGAAAAGGAAAAAACGATAACAATGGAATTCAATTAATTGATGGCCAAAGTATTTTATATGAATCAACAAATGATGACCATAAAGGCTTATCATGGTTAAATGATCTTAATGCAATGCTTGAAAATGAACCATGCTTTTGATTGATTAATCAAAACAATGAATGTCGTTACGAAAACAGAAAAATCACCATTTCATACATATCATTTTTCATTTCATGTATAACACATTGAAACAAAAAAAATTCGGCTATTTTGTGATGATAATACAATTTTTTCTACATTTTTTTTTATCTTTTATTGAATTTAATAAAAAAAATGATGATAAAATGAGCAAAAAATTTGTTGTTATTCAAACAACAGTGATAAAAGATTGATGTGGATTTCTTTATTTAGTTCATTTCATAAAGAATATTTTTTTTTTACTTGTGTTGTTTTAAATCTAGTTTGATTAAATAAAAAAAATGAACACGTTTAACATTTGGATTTTAACGATGAATGTAATAATAATAATAATAATACACCTGTTGCATCCAATGTTGGTTGAATCATTTGAATGTAATAGTAATAATTGTTATGAATGTACGACAAATACGATAATTTGTACGGACAATAATTTGGATCAAATTCCAATGGTTTCACCATTTGTCATCCACTTGTAAGTGTTATATATTCAGTTTAAATCGGTATATTGAATTGTTTGTATTTTTTTTATTTTTGATCATCAGAAATTTAAGCCATAATGTAATTAGAGAATTGAAACAAAAACAATTTGCTCATCTTCCCATATTGAACAATCTGTAATTATCAATTTTTAATTGATAATTATACAATTTTGTGATCATAATCTATTTTCTCTAAGCGATTTATCATATAATCATATTAAGACGATACCTGATCGTGTTTTTGCTGGTTTAGGAAGTTTGAAAAAATTGTTCCTAAATCATAATCAAATAACTGTGATCGATCGTTATGGTTTCAGAAATTTACATGAACTTGAAGAATTACATCTTCATTCGAATTTTCTTGGTCTTCATTTTGACGGAAACATCTTTAAAGAATTATTCCATCTAAAATATTTGTAATAATAATAAAAAAAAATTCAATATAAAATTTCAAATCATTTTAATTAAGCATTTTTTTAGGTCAATTTTGCCGCTAAAAAATGATTATAACAATGTAAAATCATTACAAAACGATATCGAATACATTTGTGATCGTAAATCATTAGTGATAAAAAACAATGAAGAATCTTTAGTCTTTTGTAAGAAATTAAAAATTCATGATAATATAAATTATTCGCATGGTAATTTCCCACGAAACACAGTCTATAAAAATTCAGAATAATGATGACGCTGATGTCATCGTGAAACAACAACAACAACAACATTGGAAGGCAGAAAAGGGACTACCAATATCAATCAACATCCAACAATCATCAAGATTTATACATCCAAATAAAATGAATCTCGCTGAAATTATAAAACACGGAAGTATTTAAAATCAATATTCCATTAAATTAATACAGAGAATTTAACTAACTAGTTTATTCTTTCATTCAAATATAGGCACGCCTATGTTAACCAAAGTCCCAGAATCTATTTATCGAATCAAACTTGACAGTAAACTCATATTATCATGTGAAGCTGAAGGCAATCCAAAGCCTACAGTTAAATGGATTCGTTATGGACGAACATTTTCTTTCAATTCAACTATAACTATCGAAAAAGCTACACCGGAAAACGATGGATTTTATGAATGCGTTGCACGTAATCGAAATGGAAAAGCCTCTAAAGAGGTACGAATCATCATAGTTGGCAGCATTTCACCGGATTCAAATCTAAATGATCATCGAGATTTATTGGAAAATATCATTGAAGCAAGCAAATATTCAAAAAAAATCGAATTGGGCGATTTATTAACGCTTAATACAACGGATGTTCTGAAATTTTTCGATTTAACTCGTCTTCTCATTGCATACTCTGACAATCGTACACAATTTGATGCCGTCATTTTTAAAACATCGAATCATTCTTTGACAGCAACACAAGCTACTGTGATGGGTAATTATACTGGCTGTGTTGGCGGAGCTAGATTCGAAGCATACGATTGTAGCCATGAGCATGAACAAAGTGGATATTATTCCATCACAGGAATCTGTAACAATAAAAAACATCCAGAATGGGGTGCTTCTGTTTCACCATTTTTGCGATTATTACCTCCAAATTATGAAGATGGATTAGTTAAACCTATCGGTTGGTTTGATAATGATTGGTGGACGAATGGTTCAACAATTTCAAATTTTAGACAACGACCAAATTCTCGAAAAGTAACACAAGAATTGCTAAGCAGTAAAGACATTACTAATGATGAGCGGCATAATCACTTATTGATGCAATTTGGACAATTTCTTGACCATGATTTGACTTTTGCCGCTCTTTCAGACAATCGAAATCTATTAGAAGGTGATATTACTGATTGTGAACGAACCTGTCAAAATGTAGAACCATGCTATTCAATCTTACAAACAGATGTGTCGAACAAATGTATTGAATTTAAACGTTCAGCAGAATATTGTGGAAGTGGATATACATCAGTTGTATTTGGACAGCTTATACAACGAGAACAAGTCAATCTTATAACCTCATTTATCGATGGATCTCAAATTTATGGTAACACTCTGGAAGTGTCGAATTATCTTCGACATCCTAGCATACAAAATAATAGCTTACTCAATTCGACTATTATTGCAAACAGAACATATCTGCCATATAATAATAATCAATTGTTGTTATCAATGGATTGCCAGCCAGAACCAGAATCCTATCAAGAATGTTTTCTGGCTGGCGATCATCGAGCTAACGAGCAATTAGGATTACTTGTATTCCATAATCTATGGCTTCGTAATCATAATTTACTTGCTAGAAAATTGCAAATTTTACGACCCGATTGGTCGAATGAAAAAATATTCAATGAAGCTAGAAAAATTGTAGCTGCACAACTTCAGATAATCACCTATCGAGATTGGTTACCATTAATCGTTGGTTCCAAAGGAATGAGAATGTTGGGAGTTTATAATGGTTACAATGAAACAGTTAATCCTTCTATATCAAACGTTTTTGCAACAGCTGCAATGAGATTCGGTCATACATTGGTCAATAAAAATTTAATAAGAAAATTGGCCAATTTTCATCGCAATAAAAAACCTAAAAACGATCCATTGGACAAAGAAACAAAGATACATAGAGCATTTTTCAAACCGGATTTGTTATCCAAAACGAACGTTTTGGATTCCGTTTTATTAGGTTTGGCAATGACACCATTGAAAAAAGCGTTACCTGAACAGGCAATCACTGATGAACTAACGGAACGATTGTTCAAATTATCCCGTTATACGCCACTAGATTTAGCTTCGATTAATATACAACGTGGTAGAGATCATGCTCTACCTGACTACAATCAATGGCGAAAATTCTGTGGTCTAAAAATGGCAAATAATTTTGATGATGATTTAAAATATGAAATCAAAAATAGAAATATTCGTGAAAAATTGAAAAAGACTCTATGGACATCCAAATAATGTTGATTTATATGTGGCTGGAATTATGGAAAATAGTGATCATGATGCTATGGTAGGCCCAACATTTCGATGTTTGATTGTCGATCAATTTAGACGATTACGAGATGGTGATCGTTTTTTCTATTTGGTGAGTTTTATATTTCAAATTGGATTCATTTTTGGATAAATCTGATTGAAAAAAAAATTTCCCATACAGAACAGAGGAGTTTTTACTGATGAACAATTGAAACAATTGGAAAATACAACAACCTTATCTGCTTTAATTTGTCAAAACAGTGATAACATAAAAACATTTTTGAAGGAATCTTTTCAACTTCCAAACAATAAACATTCATGGATTAGATGTGATCAATTTCAAAAATTGATCTATCTAAATGGTAATAATTGTCTATTCAATATGGAACATTTAATTTGTTTTAATATTCTAAGAAATAAAAATTATTACATTAAAAATTTTGTATGTTTTCCAGTAACAACCAATTTGTTTGTTTCTTTATCATAAATGTGACCAATTAAAAATGCAATCTTTTTGCCCACTCTTAATGTTTCTGTTTCTAAACGAACTGTTCGACCTTCAGGTACACCGGCTAAAAATGACATTGATAATTCAACACTAACGGTGATGGGTGGTTCAATATCATCGGCTTCAAAATGTGAACGTATTGCCATAGACGATAGAACATCGAACAATGTTGTACTCATGCCGCCATGAAGATAATTAACTGGATTACAACATTCTTTAGTTACCGGCATATCGGCTACTATTCGACCTTTGGTTATATCCACAATTTGTACCTGATTGATAATTTCAACGATGAAATAAAATGAATGTGAATTATATTACATTTTTATTACATTTTTTAGAACACCGTTATGAATTCCCATTTGAGTGCTGGCTTTGAAAAAATTTATCACACGATTTTGCCACATTTCTTTCGATTCAAAATTGTTCTTTATTTCAGAATATCAAAACAGTCAGTCGGTACACAGAAAAAATTATCAATAACCAAAATCGGTTAGTATTATTAATAATAACAAATTTGATTAGCGCTAACCAACGTTGGCATGAATTGAAACTAAAAGTTCCCTGATCAGCTGTAATCATTTGAACTCGAACATGCGCAAAAAAAGATAACAAAAAAAACATTTTGGAAGAAACTTAATTTTTTCCCCTAAAAAGGGGTTATTTTTGTATTTTATAATATAGGAAAAAGGACAAATGACTAGAATGGGCTAAGAATTATTCATCTTAAATTTTCAAATAAATTAATAATGGTTAAAGAAATAATTCCAAATGATGATTTAAAAGAGGTAAATAACATATAAAATCAAATATTGTCTTTAAGTGAATATTCAATAAAATATTTGAAGAAAAAGAAAAGAAAAACAAAAACTAAAGGCAAACAAATAAGCGATTAGATTGTGGATTGATTGTAGGTAACATTAATTTTTCCTTTCAAAAAATCTACATCATTTATATTGTAATGATGTATGACTTTTTGATAATGAATCTTTAGATGAATGGTCAAATTTTTTTTCTTTCATATCGTTCACTATGTAAAAAAAACAAAATTAATAAATTATTACAATTACAATATAAATGTAAGATACTCACAATCAATCAGATTTGCAGAGAATGGACCAGATCCTGGTCCCAAATGTGATATGTGACTAAAATCGGTCGGAGCGCTAATCTTGATTTTCATGTTCTAATCAATAAAAAAAAATTGATTCGGTTATAAAATTTCAAAAATCTGCTTTCTAGATTATCTATACCTTTTTATAATCTTGACTTTGACTTTGAATGCTTTTTTGATTAAGATTAGTTAAAGTGAATGCTTTGATGTTGTCGCCCGATACTCGTATTAAATTATCATCTTTCATAGTTATTTGAATCAGATTAGGTAAATCTAATGCATTGGTTTTACAGAATAATATGCTGTGAAAATACGAAAAAGATTATGGTCAGAAATTGTCCTTTTTTTACAAGGATAAAGAGTGAAAATTTACTTATCAGCAAATGTTTGAAGAGGTCTGGTTGCTTTAATGTTGATTGTCTGAACCCATCGAATTTCGTTTATATCGAATACATCGATGTGTGTTAACGCAAATATCAATAGATAGGAAGTCTGTTTAGATTCTGACCGTAATATTGAAGCAGCAATCGGTTGCGATGGATATTGAAGTTCTAAACACCGTGTTCTTTTTCCATGATCATCGACATAGACTCCATAATCTAAAAGAAGATAACAATTATATGACAAGTTGAATGAAGAATTTTCATGATAAAACTTACGAGCAAACACTAAAAGCCATTCATTCTCGCCAATAGGTTGACAAAGAAAAGGATCAATTGAATTCTGGATTAAATAAATCAAATCTGGAGAATCTTGATTGACCAAATATAAAGGCTGTTCAGATCTATTCACATGATAAACGACAAAATTTGAACTGGTACCAATAGCTACAAGATTATCTTTGCACGTATTCAATGTTTGAATATTGACTGGCATTTGAATTTCATGATGAAAAATGTAACGTGATTTTTTATGTGTAATTTCAAATATAGATAATGTTTTTCTGACAGCAACACAAACATAGGCAACCGAATTATCGAAAGCCACTGTGAATGCGGAAGCATTTTTTGTTTCGCTTATTTTAATCCAATCGATACCATCATTATCCAATGCACGAATTGGAATCAGCTGAAAGATTGTGTAAATAAATAAAATCATCAAAATATGACTATGACTAACCTTTATTTGTTTTTGCTTCCCACTCAACGTAACGATCAACTGTTCAGAATGAACATATGAAATTTGAGAAAATTTTTTCGATTGATTCAAACGATGGTATGAATGAATATCGAGATCACAGCATAACAAACAATCTTCGCAACCAATCAAAAGTCGAGTCTCATCTAACATTGTACAACAATGAATGTTGTGAATATGTCTTAAGGAATTAATCTGCAATGTATTCAATAAATGATAACATCGAAGCATCTGTAAGCACAAAACAAGAAAAGAATCAAATTCATCATTCATTGATTAATCATCAAATAAATATTGATAAAATAAATTATTTACATTTCGATGAGAAATCTTATTTCGGCGAATAATCCGATGTAATTCGGTCAAAGCTTCTATCCATTTGTTTTTTTCACTTTCTTTATCTACCAACATTAATTGGGTGAATTTTTGCAATCCTAAATGCATAGTAATTCAAGAGAAAAAATAATTATAATGATCTCTGAATAATTTATCTTTCTTACCATCTCTATTATCGCCAATCATCGAAGTAGTAATTCGAAATATGCATGGTACATCTTTAGCCGATGCATGAATTACATCACTTTCATTCACATCGCTAACACTAAAATATTCATCTCTTCATTTTCAATGAAATTGAAAATTATTAAATGAATTTTTATCAAACAAAAATCTTACCTCATATCGATGATTGTACTTGCAGAGATCGATGGAGTATTAATCAATGTATTATAGTTTGAATCATTCGACATGTTTGCATAGGCTAAACTAAGGTTAGATGAATCACTAGTGTTGATGATATCATAAAGGAACAATTTAAAATCACAAACAACAACAAACATTCGAATCCATCCTTTTCGCACACCACCACGTGGTTTAGGTATCTTAACGAATCCTTCATAAGCCGTCCCGATACCTTTCTGTGGATCAATTCCAACTGGCCGTTGTTTCGTTTCATCAAACGGACATGAAGATCCAGAATCCACACAATCCACATGACAAGCATAACCGCATACTTTTTAAATGAGAATATTGAATGAAAAGAATTTGAAAAATTATGACAAAAAAAATTTACCTTCACAGACGTAGCCTTGTCTAACTAGACCGATCATCAATGAAGTACAGACATAACATTTGATTGGTGTAATAAACGTTCGGATTATAAACGAATGGCCAAATTTATTGTGATAATCATAATTTTCATTTGATGAATCTGGAGACATGACACTAGTTTGTTTTCTGCCAACATTACTGCTAATAGGAGATGAAATAGCTTTCATATCGATAACAAAATCTTTAAGGAACGATCTACTCGAAACATCTTCAACATTATCATTTCCCATCATTAAATGATTGTTCTTGAATCCAAGATGATTACGATTATTCTCACCATATTGATTCATTGATTTAGCTTGCTTTTTAAGTCTAAGTATCTCATTTTTCGAATCAATCAATTGCATATTAACATTGTCAAAATCTTGCTGTAATTTGATTAATTCTGAATGAATTTTTTGCTTTTCCAGTATTTCACTTTTCAATTCCAATTGAAGTGTAAGTAATTCCTGTTTATCCACTCGAGCTGATCGCCGTTCTTGCCAGCTTGTATTTGTGTTATGTATTGATTTATTGCCCGTAACTATTTGAGTATTGTTATCACCAATACGATTGTTTTTCTCTTGTAAAAATTTATACTTTCGTATATTAAAATCCAACATTTCGATCATTTTATCTAACGAATCACTGCAACGTTGTCTTTCGGTAACTGATTCTACCAGCTCTTTCAATTCATGTTCAAACAACAGATTTTGATTGTCTAGATTGAGAAGATCACAACAAAGTTCTTTATATGATTTTTTCAGATCATTATTCTGATCTTTCATTGAAACGTTTTCCTCTTCCAATAGAAGAATTTGCTGTTCTAAATCTGTTATCTTTTTCAGATAACATTGTTTTTCATTCGTAAATGAATGTGTGGATTCGGAATCACGTTGAAGTTGATTTTCTAGTGACTCAATTTTTTCTTCATGATTCTTTAAAATTATTTGGTCTATGAATAAATGATGCATAGAATGTATGACACAAAAAAACAAATATGATTTCATCGAAAAAAAAACACCAGAAAAAAAATGAGAAACTAAAAATAAAACATTACATTTGTCATACCTTGTTTGCGCAGAATTTTCTGCGTTTCTAGTTCAGCTTGCAAGCTACTAATCTCTTCTAAATTCTGTCGTTTCATCTTTTCATAATTTCTTAATTGTTGTCGCAGTTGTGAATTCTTTTCGATGTGTTCGTCAAGTTCACCTTCTTTGATTCGCAATTTATTCGATAAAGCATTTTTCTCTTTTTTCACCTCAGCTAATAATTGTGACATTTCTCCATATTCTTGTTGGATCGTTTTCAAACGATTTTCTAAACTAAGTTGTTCTAGTCTATCATCGTTATCACCTTTTTCCAAATTTTCATCATTATTCGTGATGATTGCTGCGATTTCATTTTCAACCTTGTGATTACTCTGTGACTCAGTTTTGATAATTTTCGGTAATGTAGATGTAAAACCGACAAATGATAGTTCAACATAAACATCTTTGTTGGTCTTCATGGCAGCTGTTGGACTATTGAGTGGTTTTATATCTGAAATGTCGAAATTCGATGTATCATCCGGACCGGAAAATTGCGGATGATATGGTGGTGTTTGATAACGTATCTCATCCCATTCAATACCAGTAAACCATGGATGATCTTTGAAATTTTGGATATTTTTATATCTTGAATAACGGTCAGTTACCAAATTGGATATTAAATCTTTGGCTTCATCGGTAACTTCGGCATTCACTGGAAACTATTGTTATGCAAGAAATAAATTTAGAATTAAGATTTGTAATCATCACAAGAACTTACAATGAAATGGGTTTTATGATTCATGATTTTAAAATATGTTTCCACCAAAGATTCAGCATAGAATGGTGTCTGACCATAAAACAATTCAAACAACACTATTCCAAGCGACCACCAATCAGTTTCATAAGAATATGGACAATCATTTCGATTTTTGCCTTCAATAACATCCAGAATTTCTGGAGAAACATAATCAGGAGTGCCGACAGGTGCTGATGAATCAGACTTGACTGTAGAAGCACGTACACAAGATCCAAAATCACCCAAACGAATATGGCCATGTGAATCGATCAAAATGTTTGGCGGTTTGATATCACGATGAATGTAGCCAAGATCATGAAGGGTTGAAATGCCTAATATTATTTCGGCAGCATAAAATCGGCACATATCTTCAGGCAAGGTGTCATCATATTTCATGAGCAACGTTAGAAAATCGCCTATGATGAAAACGATAATGATTAGAAGAAATTCAAAACAAAACAAAAAATTCATTTCAACCTCCAATATAATAATCCATGATCAAATACAAGTTTTCGGAATCCTGAAATGCATAATACAATTTAGTGAACCAATCATTCGAACTGTTCACTAAGATGTCTCGTTCTTCTTTATAACATGCTTTCTCCGCTCTTTTGGTCATTTCCACTTTGTTCAACACTTTCATTGCATACATTTTTTCATTGTGTTTGGACTATATCGATATAAATGAAAAATATTTCAATCAAACAATTTGTGACAAACAAAAAAAACTACTACCTTAACCAGAGAGACTTGTCCAAATGCTCCTTTCCCAATGATTTTAATTTGTTCAAAATCATTAACACTAAGTTGAAGTTGATTAATATAATCGACCAAAGGTTTGACCAGATTAGAGAACTTTTGAGCACTAGAATTTTTATCTCTTGTTGATTTAACATTTCTACATGAATGAATATAGAAAATTAGATAAAATATCACATTATCGAAGGATTGAGAAAAAAAAATAGAAACTATGCTAATTAGGAACAAACCTTTGAATATCGGTATAAACAGCGATCAATAGATCAATTAAAAATTCATAATTGTAAGATTTATTATCAATGATTGTCGAAGTTAATGATGTAGTTGTAGCGAACAATTTACTCAATCGTTCAAAACGATCTGTTAGTGTTAATGGTGATTGATTCATATTATTATTATCATCATTATTATTATCACTCATGTTTAAATGATATATGATTCGTTACAGCCGACAGAAATTATGATGATATATTTTCATGTTTGATGATTGATAATGAATTGATTGATTAAGACGAAAAAAAAAAATTTCCACAAAAAAAAACATAAATAACAAATATATAAAAAAACGACAACAAAACAGCAGCTGTATAAATCTTTTTCAATTTCTATTCATGTAATAAGAGTGGTAATAAATAAATATCATTATTATTATTATAATTATAAAGGGGTATATAAGATAATTTTTTTTTTTGATTGAAATGATGATTGTCTTTAATTGATTGTAGATGTGTAATGGATATGTTTTTGTTATCATACATCATACAATCAAAACAATGAATGAAAATGGATTATTTCTTGGATTATATTCATCATATATATGTCATAGAATATAATAATCCATCCAAACAACATTGAAAATAAAATTTCAACCACCATATAATTTTATGTGTTACTCAACAGAAAGATAAAAATAAGGGCAATATGAGTTAATTTATTTTTATGCCACTTAGACGCCATCTAACAACGAAAATTTTTGATTAATTTTTTTCCCAAAAAAAAAATGGTTTTTATTTTCAGAAAATGATTATAAACAATTTAAATGTTTTTGATGATGATTTGATTGATTGATTAAAAATTAAGAATAATTAATGCTAACAAATTAGTCATCATTGTTTTCATAAATCATTTCTTCTTCTTGTTTAATGCCATCATCTTCATCATCTTGTAGAATATCTTCGATCGATTTATTCCAATTAACATAGGAATGTGGACCATTGAATATGATATGAATTTTCATTTCATCTGTATATTTAAGTTTAGTTAATAGTTTGGGTGAAAGTAGAAAATATTGTGATGAATTTCTTTTGGATACTTCGGCTATAAGATCAAAAACACAGCGTTCATTGTTTTCATCCATACCCTGATTGATTTCATCGACCACACGAAATGGTACATGAGCCAATTCTTGTAATGAAAGCATATAAACCATGGTGGAGACGGATCTTTCGCCTCCACTTTGATGATATACATCTAAATCTTTAAATGGTTCGGCGTCACGAAATTTTACTTTGATTCGGATTCCGTAATCATCAAAAGAATACTATCAAGAAAAAACATTATATTATATATAACTTTAATATAGTAAAATAGACATTCATACCTCTTTATCACCGGTGAAAAGATAAACTTCTCCAGAATAATTAAGATGATCCATAAATTTGGTAAAATTTTCATTTATCTTATCGATTAAGCCTTTTAATTCAGTTAGCCATATAGGTTTCAACGAATTGATTTCTTGTTTTCGGCAATCAAGTTGTTGTTCATATTTTTCACATTCAGAGTATTTGTTCTGAATTTCAAGTTGATATCTTTTATAATCTTCCAATAATGATTGGTCAACATCTTGGATTCCTTCACAGCGAAGTTTAAGTGTGTCTATCATATCAGAAATTTCATCCAATTTTTCAGGTAAATCATGCATTTTTTTTCGAATTTCTTCATCAAGATCCTCATTGAAATTGAATCCAGATTTTTCTATGGCATATTTACGAAATTCTCTCGTTGTTTTTTGTAATTCTTTAAAATTATTATTTAGCTGATTAATGACAACGAATTTCTCATTTTTATGTGATTCTAAATTCGAATATATAATTTCCAATCTGTCTTTGATACGAGAAATTTTCTTGGCTTTCGAAGCAGCCAATAGATCACTCTTATTAAATTTGATGGCTTCAACAAGAACATTGGGTAATTTTTCAAGCAAACTCATTTCTTTTCGATGTTGTTCTTCAAGATTTTTAATCAATTCTTCTTTATGTTTATTCTCACTTTTTAATAATTTTTCAAGATGATCTATCTGTCGTTTTTTTTCATCGATTTTAGCTTGAATTGTACGCAATCCACTTTTTCTTATTCCTATCGTTTTAAATTCATCCGAAAGTTTACCACGATTTTCTTTCAAAATATCATTTTCATTAGTATATTTTTGTACCATCGCTTGTGATTCGGTGATTTGTTTTTCCAAAACAACCAATGTTCGATCTATTTCTTCAATTTCTTTATCATTGATTATAATATTCAAAAATTTTGCCGGTGGCATCGGAATAATTTGTGTAGATTTTTCGCCATCGTATGATGAAATTACAATCAAATAAAGATTTTTTGGAGTAATAATTTTGCGAAAAGATGAATGATTAATCAATTCTTGTATCTTATCTTCCGTTATGGCATTGCCAACCGGAATCTGATTAATATGATAATTCTTAATCAGATAAGACATGACCTTTTTAGGAGCAGTGAATAAATCACTGACACGGGCGAAAATTCCCAAAAATTTATACTTTTCAATATTGAACGTGGGCTCGTTGTCAATGTCATTTTGTGGAATCATAGCAACATTTACACGAATATTCAAATCTTTTTTCAAATTTTCATTGAAGTATTCAAGATCTGATAATTTTTCGAACAAAAATGTACTCATGTCCATAGTTCCGATGGCTACCTCAACAGAATTAGCATATTCATCACTTACTACATTTATCTGCGTGATTAAAGGTGGAAAAACTTCTCCTTCAAAACGATCCTTATTCTTCAGCAACCATTCATATGCTGATCGAGTCCAAGTATCTCGTTGGTTAATCTTTTCCATTCTGGCATTAAATAAATTCTTTATCTCTTTTTTTCGATTATCATGAAAACGCTTTTCGCTGATGGCATTTTCATATCTACTACGATGTGTACTAGATGCCGAAATATTTTCTCTGATTTTTTTATCAAATTCATCAAGTTTTGCTTTGATTTTAGCTGAATCTGCTTCCAAATCACTCATTTTTGGATGATTTTCGAGATCATTAGTATAATTGCGATAATCTTGTCGATATTGTGAAAGTCGATCCTTATTACGTTTTTGTTCGGAAAGTGTTTCATGATATGATGCCACATGTTCTTTTTGTGTATTTCGAAACATTTGAATAGTTTTATACGATTCGGCCAATTTAGAAATAAATTTACTTGTTTGTTTAGTTTGTTTGATTTCTCTGTACATTTTTACCGCTTTTTCTCGATTAATTTTCAGTGGCTCAATTTTGGACACAAATTCATCATATTCTTTTTTCTTTTCATCAAATTCATTACGGGCAGCTAAATAAACCAAACGTTTTTCTTCATATTGCAGCCAAACTTGTTTTTTATACAACCATTGAATGTTTTCTTCATAACGTTTTTTTTCTTGTATCAACTTAAGATCTGGTTCAATGTTGGTCTGAATCGAAAAAAATTTAAATTTAATTTGTCTTTTATCTGTTTTGCATATTAATATTAGAAATTAGAAATAACTAACCTGAAAGTTTTTATATTTTATCAGGAACGATTTAGTTTCGCTAATTTTCGACTCAAGATCTACAATTTCACTGCTAAGTTCAATCAATTTCATATGTTGTTCATACATGTTAACATTGCCGATAGATTTTTCAGTAGAAAATAATAAATCTTTGGAATTAAGTCGCGAAAACTCTACAACTCTTTCTTGTGGTAATATCTGGCACAGATTATTGACATCAATGTTTATTCGTTTAGTGAATTCAGCGATCTCTTCTTTTTTTACTGTTTTCTGATTCAAACGCCAAACATTATGGCATTCGGTTTTTCTATTATTTCGAGAAATTCGTATTTCTCGTTGGATCAATTGATTTTTTCCCATTGGATTGTGTATTTCAATTATAATTGAAGCTGAATGTGCTCCAGTCCTAACATAATCAACTGTAAATGATAGATTTTTTTTTTAAATTTTGAAAATCAAAATATTTAAAGCTTATACTTAAGTTTGATGAACGTCCAGTGATTTGCGGATCACCTCCGAAACCCATAATAATAGAACAAACTAGAGCCGATTTACCAGATCCATTTGGACCCAATATTAGATTAAGAAATGGTCCAGGAAGAAATTCAATGTGTTTGTAAATCCTTGTGAAGAATCCCATTGACAATTAATTATCAAAATTGATATATATGAAAAATCATTTTACTTACATAAAGTTTTCCAATTCAATTCGTACAATTGAACCGATCTTGAAATTATGAAATTTTTCTTTATCAATCATATTTGATAAATAAAGTAATTGATGATGATTAATGATGATTAATAAATGGAGAAGAAAACAAAATCAACAGGGTGGAAAAGAACTGAATATTGAAATGGCGCCAGTACAGTGAAGAAAATTCGATTTTTTTCCATACAATAAACGTTGCTAACACTAAACATGATATGAACAAAATAGGCTAACGTGAGCGTGACATATATTGCGTCTTCGTCTCAATTCTTGTCATCAATTAATACATTACAAGTTAACAGATCATTTTTCCAAAAGTTTATACAATGTTGTTTCCACGATTAAGATTTGGAATTTATTATTGTTGATTGAATTGATTTATTTATAACAATAACAATTACAATTAGATCAGCAGATAAATCTGTTAGATATCTTTCTGCTATAGCGATATGTATCAAATAATAATTTATTAGTGGTAGAAGATGCTCTACATACCATTATTGGCCGTTATTGTGACCAATTTTTTTCTTACATTTTATTTATTAAATCGTTATAGTAATTTTGGTCGTCAAAATCTTCTCATTACAATTAGTGTGTTTATATCATGGTTTTTTTCGTTCAATGTTATATTCATACTACCTTTGGATATTACTTCGGTTCGTATCATAGAATAATCTTGAATTGATTGTTTTTTGTTTTGTTTTGTTTTGTTTTGCTAATATTTTTCCAAATGTATGTATAGACCATTTATAATCAATGTATCATTCGTAATAATATTACAAATCATAATAATGATACGAATAATATTGACAATACGACCACCCTCGCTACACTTACATTATCGCCATTTTCGCTTTCATACAATTCATCAACGGATAATAATGAACAACATTTAAATATTGGCCATAATCATTCGATAAATAATTCAACTTATTCCAGTCAAAATTATCAGTCAACGAATTTTAAAAGTCATCATTACATTATTTCCAACAATAACCAGTCAGTATGTGCCAAACCATGGAGTTATGTACCGAAAAATGTTCTTCAAAATCTATGGAAATTTATCTATTGGTCATCACAGCTGTTAACATGGATAATATTGCCCATATTTCAATCATATTCAATGTCCGGTGAATTTAATGTATTGAAAAAAATTGAATCATCATTGAAAGAAAATTTGAAATATTATTGTTGTTTTGGCTTCTTATTCCTTGTATTTATTTTCTATTATGCATCAAAAGAACGATTAACATTCGAAAGTTTGAAAATTTTTTGCATATCCGCTTCAAACACGTTTGGTTTGTTTTTGTTGCTCATATTATTGGGTTATGGATTAGTGGATATACCTAGAAATTGTTTGAAAAATTATCACTGTAATCATCAATACAAATTGAATTATTTGTATTTTCGAATTGGAAAAATCAGCGAAGAAAAATATGAAGCCAATTGTCATCTAGAAGATTTGTTGGATGAATTACGCGCCTATTTCAATAAAATAACAAAAGAAAATGGCTATCGTCATTTGATGTGCAAATTGCAAATGATTATCGATAAATGTCCCGAATCTTTCAAAATGGAATTGAATGAAACCATTGATTGTGATTTGAATTTTGAATTGAATGAAAAACGTCTTGTCAGTTTAAACTCGAAAATCAATAAAGCAATACAGACCAGTCATCGTACTGAAGTACAATATTCAATGTTGATTCAACAAGCTATTCGATATTATGAAATTATTGAAGAGTTAAATAATCCACATAATAAAGTAGGTTTATTATCCGATGATTTTTCCAATATTGAACGTTGGCTACTTCAACATGTTCCAAAATTCGAATTTTTATTGCGACGAAAACATGTAATCATTTACAAGATATTCCTATTGATATTTGGCTATTTATTCACATTCTTTTCCGTTGTAATTATTTGGTCAGAATTCACTTTTTCCATCAAATCTATACCAATTAGTATTTTTGCCCTGATCATCAAACTAATTGATTACAATTATTTCTGGATAGAGGTATATATAAATCCTACGCTTTCCCTCATTATTGTCTAACTTTTTTTTTCTTCATTAAAAACAGATATTTTCGATGCTTTCAATAGCATATTTAAGTTGCTGCTGTTATTATACAATATTCAAGATACGAATTTTCAATTATTACTATCTATCTAAACATCATCAAACTGATGAATATAGTCTAATTTTTAGTGGAATGTAAGTTATAATTGGATTAACTGACAGGCTACTCATTGTTGATATATATTTTGCATTGAAAAAAAAGGTTACTATGTCGTTTGGCATCACCATTATGTTTGAATTTTCTAAGTCTAATTCATTTTGATTCACATGTATCAAATGAATCAATCGAAGAGGAAACATCATTTACGCAGATAATGGGCCATTTGGACACAATATCATTTATTAGTGATTATATTTTCATCTACCTACCATTATTTATGAGCATATTTTGTGTGGCAATTTTATTCAAATTAGATATGAAAATATTCTCCTATTTTGGTTTTGGACAATATAGTTTATTCGATGAAATTAGCCAAGAATTTTTACTTGAAGGCGAAAAACTTGTTAAAAGAGAGATTCGTAAACGATCGATGGCTGTGGGGCCAAACGTTTTGAAAACCACCACCATTGTAAAACGAGATGCAAATTTCAATCTAAGTCGTACAACTAGCCGAGAAAAATTATTGGCCGAACCATTTAAAGATGAACAAAACATTGTCGATATTGAAAGAAATTTATTTGATGATATTTAACAGATTAAAAACAAAAATACATTTAAATTATTTACAAAACATATTACATTGTGTGTCTTTTCTTAATAATGGTCATTTTTTTCACACAGAAATCTCATAGTTCATTTCATATTGACTTTGACGATTATTGTTAACAGAACTTTCAACATTTCGTCCGGTGGCATTTTTATTTTGATGTTCAATTTTATTACTAATCTCTAGTGCTTTTTGAAAAGGCATCGGTCGTTTAAAATAATTTTTTGAAATTGTTGTCGTATCACTGCAACTGCTATTCGGTCCAAAATCTAATGAATCTTCATCGATATATTGAAGAAAATTTCCGTTTTTAGATGATGATGATGATAAATTTTGAAGCTCAGTTTCAGAATTAAATTTATTCGAGTGATTATTATGAGAATTTACAGCATAGCCAGCATCAGGTGAATAATAAATGAGCATTCCACCTTCCGGGCCATTTGTTTTACCATAATAATTATCATTTTTCAATGGTGAATTTTTGTTCATCAAATGTGAAGATATCTCATTGATTGATGTACTTTTTGAAGCTGATATTTTATTATTGTGATGATGTGGGAAAATACCTGCAGATTTATTTGATGAATCATGATTCAATGGCATCGGATTCGATGACAGTGCAATGAATGTTGTTTCTTTTGTACCACTGTAAAAAAAATGATAAATCATTTATTTTGATCGACATTATCAAAAATATAAGTTACATACTTTTCAGTATGATGCATTGTAACCACATGACTTTCTTCTGCTCTTAATCCATTTAGATCATACAATGTATCATTTCCAGGAGTTCTATTGTAATGCATTCGATTCTGTTGTTGATCTTGATTTGTTGAAGATGATTCTTGATAAGATTCATTTCGTTTTTTATTATTGTTCCCAATATGTCCATCAAATCTTTCAAGTAGAATGTCTTTTGACTAATGAAAAAAAAGATGGAATTAAATTTTTGCCATTCATAAAATCAACCATACATACATTGTCAACAACAGAAAAGTTGAGATCATCTATTTTTTTCTCATTACTATCTGGCTTATTGTCCATATAAATTCGTATATCCGAACCCTTGCTGGATATTTTTGAAATTTTTGTCTTATACAAGCTTGAAAAAAATCAATTTTTAGGAGAAAATAAAAAAAAAATTGAAGAAAAAAAATTTACCCTGGATATCGAGGTCCACAAACAGTGTAGATACAATTGGAAATGATACCATTGGAAAATGGATTAATTTGACGATTAAATTTTCGAGTAACCTTAGTTATTAATGAAAAACCAATTAGATTAAAAATAAAACAAAATAATAATGAAATACCTGTTCATTTGTAGTTCGTCCACGAGCGACAAGTATAATATGAAAGCCAGTTAAACCAACGATTGGAATGAAAAATAAGGTAATGATTACGATTAAAGCAATTCTATTTGAAAGTACAATGTGATAAATTTAATAATATTTTACCATGTAATTTTTCAAAACTTACGCAACTATAACAGCCGTTTCATTGATAATGTTTCGATTATTTATCACAAAAATTAGACACCAACTGAATATTGTAATCATATGAAGAGTTAAAAATATCAAGAAAAAAAAGAAATGACGATAATTTCTTCTTCCGATACAATTGTTAACCCATGGACAATGATGATCGAATTTCTGAAATGAAAAAAAATCAGAAATTTTTTTTCTTAAACCAAAAAAAATGGAATTTTATTAATTACTTCAATACAATTGTCACACACTGAACAGTGTGAACATCTTGGTGGACGATAAAATTGACAAGTTGAACACCATTTCATTCGAACTGTATGGCCTTTAATTTGTACTTCTTGATAGATTGGTGCTCGAAAATCATCTTTATCTTCATCGGGATTAGCTAAAAAAATCATGCCAGTAAAATTGTTAAAATATAAAAAAAAATTTTATCATTCGTTTCACCTCGTTTGATGATTCCAGGATCAACAAATGTAGTAGCAAATAAATTCGAAATAACAAAAAAAGCAATTATTGCTTGAGCTATGGTTATGGAAAAATGATATTCCTCATGTAAACGACGGCAGCTGATTAGTTGTAAAAAAATAAACAATAAAAACTAAATTTAAATTCTAAACAAAATTTTATAGTTTGCTTACGGAAAAATGAAAAAAAGTGCTGTAGTTGATAATAGTAAAATCCATGCACAAGTTGCTGGAATTAAACGTTTTATTGATTTACATTTGGGCATCGTTAGTGGGACGATTTTGATTGATTGAAATAATTTATAATTTTTTTTAAAACTATAATTATAATCTATTTTAGGAATTTATCTATAGATTGTTTCCAAAATTGAAGACGTTGAAAATTAATTTGAATCATAACAAAATTGATGATCTGATTTGATTTGTTTTTCTATAATTTTTACAAAAATAAAATGACAAAATGAAATGAAATTATGAAGAGAAAAAGATGTTAATGATAATGATGATTCACGAGAATATTTAGTAGATATGTGTTGAGTAATTTATAATTTATTTCATGTCAACAAATTGCAGACAGCAACACAAAAAAAAACAACGATATAGCGAGCAACCCTCTTTCAATGAAAAAAAAATGACTTAAAAAAGCCATTTCGCATACCATACTCAAGGAATTATAGTGAGAAATAAAGCTCAAGCAAAAACATCAACATCAACATCATCATCATAATCGATACTTAGGAGTGGCTTAATTCTCACAATCGATAGTGGCTAAAAACTGCATGCTTCCTTGATCCTGTGCGAGTTGCTTGTGTTCACGTTGGCCTGTTCTTTTCTTTTTTTTTTCTTTATACGTGTTTATGTCACTAATTTTGGCGAATATTCATCAATTTTCATTCGATTTTTTTAGAATAAAATCGTATTTAATTCTCCGAAATTCAATTGAAAACAATGGCTAACATTCTCCGTAGAAAAATTCTCAAGTCTGGTAATGAAGAGATCGATCCATTCGAAGAAAATATTGCTCAGGTTTGTTTTAAATAATGGATAAATGGAAAATTGTTTCGAATAGATTTGTTTTTTCGTCTTTAGGCATTGTTGGACTTGGAGATGAATACCGACTTGAAAAGTCAACTCAGAGAGTTGTACATTAGTGGAGCTAAAGAAGTTGATGTTGCGGGCAAAAAAGCTATCATCATCAATGTGCCGGTACCACAATTGAAAGCTTTTCAAAAGATCCAAAATCGTGTAGTGAGAGAATTGGAAAAGAAATTCAGTGGTAAACATGTGGTCATCATCGCAAAACGAACTATTTTGCCTAAACCAACCAGAAAACTTCGAACAAAATCTAAACAAAAAAGACCAAGAAGTCGTACATTGACCGCTGTTTATGATTCCATTCTGGAAGATTTGGTATTCCCAGCCGAAATTGTTGGAAAACGAACACGTATCCGTTTGGGTGGCAGTAGATTGTTCAAAATTCATTTGGACAAATCATCGCAAACACAGATTGAACATAAGGTGGATACTTTTTCAGCTGTTTATAAAAAATTAACTGGACGTGAAGTAACTTTTGAATTTCCTGAGCCTCTTTTTTAAAACATGAATAAAGAACATTGTTTAATTGGCAAAAAATGAAATACTAATAAAAATTTTAAAATTTCATTTCATTTCATTTATTATTATAAATAATTTCAATCAAAGAAAAATTAACAATCAAGAAAATTTGCAGCCATCAATAGTTCCAAGGCAATTTCTGGATCGATCTGAAATTCTGGTATTTCTGAAGCACTATTAGCATAACGAACTTTGTAGGTAAAATATGAGCAAACTTTTTGCAGAATATGTGATGGTATTTCACGAAAATTTACTTCATTAGTTTCGTTTTCCGAAAATTGACCTATTATTATTGAATATTTGAAACTGATATTGAGAATTGAAAAGAGAAATTGAAATTTACATACCTGGACCACTTAACATGGCTTTAATGGTACCTGAGGTCAGTGCATGTTCACGTTTGATTATAAATTCTTGACGATCAGATGAAATCAATTTGACATACATAGCATCAGGACCTTCACAGCCACCATATTTTTTTGAATCATCCATTTCATTATTGGTTTGATGTTCGGCCATTGTTGGTAAAAGTTTCATCAGAACAAGAAAATGGTTTGAATCAATTAAAACTAAAAATTGAAAAACAAAATAATCAATTTTTCAAAGAAATAATTGTCTAAATTCTAAAATGAACACAATAATCAACGATGATCAGTGAAAAAAAACGTTATTACATTCATATAGGACGATACAAATGAGCTCAACGTTTACACGTCAAGTTGAAAACAATTGGATCAATTGATGTTGAAATGATTATCCTCGAATTGTGATTCTACTTACATCAGTTTTTTTTGCATCCAAATTTTACTATTTTATTATTGAAAAATATCAATTCGGATGATTTAACTTGTTGAATATAAAATATGTAGAATTTATTTATTTGTTTTTATTTTGGTGCTATTATTCATTGTGCTATATTTTTGTATTTGTATTTGCATATTTATTTCGAAAAAAAGAAATCCAATCCAAACATCAACATTCAATTCAATGATCATTTAAATCATTTAATCATCATATTATTATTGCCTAAATGGTTGAAATGTTATCATAAAATTATTCGTCCTCAAATATCATCAATTATGTTTAATAATGTTTGAAAGTTTTAAAACTGAAAAAATAATGTTCATTAACCGTGCACTAGAAAAGATTCTCGCCGATCGTGATATTAGAAAAAGTAACAATCAACAGTTGAAAAAATCCTGCGAATTTGTCCTTGGTATTTATAAAATTGTTTTTAATTTTTTTTTCTAATTGGTTTTTTTCTTGTATATAGAAAAGATTAAAAATGAACAAAACGCTAGTAATCACCAAATCCAATCTGAATCTTCATCATCATCATCTTCCCATCATTCTTCCACACTTCCTCAACCCTCCAATCGGAAGGGTTCGGTGTTTGATGATGAAATATACTTCACACCATTCGAGCTTGCATGTCAATCAAAATCAAATCGTATCGTAATAATTGCTTTGGATTGTATACAGAAATTAATAGCATATGGCCACTTTACCGGCAATCGTATTGATAGCCGTAGTGAAGAAAAAAAATTGCTCATCGACACTATGGTTACTTGTATTTGCAATTGTTTTATAGGACCAAACACCGATGATGAAGTGCAATTACAAATAATTAAAGCCTTATTGACTATAGTGACATCACAATCATGTCCAGTACATGAAGGCAGCATTCTATTGGTCATACGTACCTGTTATAATATATATTTAAGTAGTAAAAAATTGGTCAATCAAACCACAGCTAAAGCAGCATTAACACAGATGCTAAACGTGATATTCTCTCGTATGGAATCAATTTCATCTACCCCTTCATCCTCATCATTAACGGATGCATTTGGAAATGCTATCGAAACGAGCAATTGTGATAATTGGGATGCTCGATCACTGACAAATGAGACAATATTATCGAATGAATTATTTGATATTTATTATCAACATGTATCCGATTCAGATGCTTTGAATTCGATCGAAACTATTGTCAATGATGTCATTACGACAGTTTGTAAATATTCGGAAGGCGATAATATTTCTATACAATCGAATAAGACTCAAGTTTCTCTAACGACCATTTCATCGAAAACCTCCCATAGTTTGGCCAATGTCAATAGCATCTCGTTAGATGGTTTCGAAACAAACGATACAATACATTTATCGTTTGAAAATATTTATCAAAAAGATGCCTACTTAATTTTTCGCTCGCTTTGCAAATTAAGCATGAAACGATTGATGGATAATAGTTTTGATATGAAATCACATGAATTACGTTCAAAAATTTTATCGCTACAATTAATTTTGCAGATTCTACAGAATTCTGGTCCAGTTTTTCAGCATAGCGATATGTTTGCCGTGGCAATCAAGCAGTATTTGTGTGTTGCTTTATCGAAAAATGGCGTGTCTAATATACCGGAAATATTTGAACTTTCATTAGCGATATTTTTGGCATTGTTTCAGAAATTCAAGACTTATTTGAAAATGCAAATTGAAGTATTTTTCAAGGAAATATTCTTGAACATTCTGGAAACCGTATCCAGTTCATTCGAACATAAATGGATGGTCATACAAGCATTGACCAGGGTATGCGCTGACGCTCAAAGCATTGTCGATATTTATGTCAATTATGACTGTGATCTTTCATCAGAAAATATATTCGGCCGTCTTGTCAATGATTTGTCCAAAATTGCTCAAGGAGGTGGACAGATATTGGATTCAGGATTTGTGAACTCATCACAGGAAAGAAGCATGCGAATGAAAGGATTAGAATGTTTGGTTTCCATTCTCAAGTGTATGGTTGAATGGAGTAATGATCTTTACGTAAATCCAAATCAGCAAACCGATTTGGTAAATGAAAAATCTAATTCTGGATGTAAAGATGACCTTCATGAAACATCATCATTCAATAATCTTGATGATAACCCTGAGAAATTCGAAGAGGCCAAAAATCAGAAGAATATTATTGATAAAGGAATCGATTTATTTAATATGAATCCAATGAAAGGGATCAAATATCTTCAACATCATAATATTATTGATTCAAGTCCAGAAAGTGTTGCCCAATTTTTTCATACAAATGATCGATTAGATAAATCACATGTTGGAGAATTTATGGGTGATTTTAATACATTCAACAAAGAAGTTATGTATGCCTATGTTGATCAGATGGATTTTGCCGATCGAGATATTGTTAGTGCCTTACGTTTTTTTCTCGAAGGATTTCGATTGCCCGGTGAAGCACAAAAAATTGATCGATTTATGGAGAAATTTGCTTCAAGATATTTTGAAACGAATCGTAATCATGGTATATTTACTAGTGCCGATACCGTTTATGTCTTAGCATATTCAATAATAATGTTGACTACCGATCTACATAGTCCACAAGTGAAACGAAAAATGACTAAAGATGATTACATCAAATTGAATAGAGGCATTAATGAAAGTAAAGATTTACCCGAAGAATATTTATCACAAATATATGATGAGATTGCGGAAAGTGAAATCAAAATGAAAAGTGGATTTATTAAAAAAGTATCCGGTAAAGAAGTGACTAGCGAAAAAGCTCGTCGTCTTTTATACAATATGGAAATGGAAACAATGGCATCGACGGCCAAAGCATTGATGGAAAGTGTTTCACATGTAGAATCACCATTCACATCTGCTAAACATCTAGAACATGTGAGGCCAATGTTTCGTACAACTTGGACATCATTTTTAGCTGCATTCAGTGTTGGTCTTCAAGATTGTGATGATCAAGGAATAGCATCGCATTGCCTCAATGGAATCCGTTGTGCCATACGAATTGCAAGTATCTTTCAAATGACCCTTGAACGTGATGCATTTGTTCAGGCGTTATCTCGTTTCACTTTACTTAAAGCCAATGGTCCTATTATTGAAATGAAGACAAAAAATATTGATACGATCAAAACATTAATTACCGTAGCTTATACTGATGGTAATTATTTGGGCAAAAGTTGGCTAGATATTTTACGGTGTATTTCACAATTGGAATTGGCCCAATTGATTGGTACCGGTGTTAAGGCACAAATGCTTAACAATAACAATCTACAAATCAATAATTCCAATGGAAATAGTTTTGGTTTCCAATTTAAGCTCGAATCATTTGTAGCATTAGAATCATTGGCCAGAAACAAAGAGAAAGAATCGAGAATTTCCGAATCAATGATTGAAGCCTCATCACAAAGTGTTGTTGTTGCCGTTGATAGAATATTTACTGGATCTATTCATTTAGATGGCAATGCTATTGTTGATTTTGTCAAAGCTTTATGTCATGTTTCAAGTGAAGAGCTATCCAATGTTCAGAATCCAAGAATGTTTAGTTTACAAAAAATTGTTGAAATCTCTTATTATAACATGAGCCGTATTCGTCTTCAATGGTCACGAATATGGGAAGTATTGGGCGAACATTTCAATAAAGTTGGTTGTAATCCTAATGAAGAAATTGCATTCTTTGCTATCGATTCGTTGCGACAATTATCAATGAAATTTATCGAAAAAGGCGAGCTATCAAATTTTCGTTTTCAAAAAGATTTTCTTCGTCCATTCGAACATATTATGAAATGTAATTCATCCATAGCCATTAGAGACATGGTTGTAAGATGTATTGCACAAATGGTCAATTCACAAGCAAGTAATATTAAATCTGGCTGGAAGAATATATTTAGCGTTTTTCGAATAGCCGCATCTGAAACTGATTCTTATATATTTGATTTATCATTTCAAACTACATGCAACATATTCAATAATATTTATGAAAGTAATTTTACGGCAATGATCGATTCATTTCAAGATGCAATCAAATGTCTGTCAGAATTTGGCTGTAATCAACAATTTCCCGATACTAGTATGGAAGCAATACGTTTGATACGAGCTTGCGCACGTTATGTTGCTGAACAGCCACAATATTTCAAAGAATTCAATATTGAAGATAAAAACAATGGCTTTTTGGCTAGTGAAGATGATCGTGTTTGGGTAAGAGGATGGCTACCAATATTATTTGAATTATCATGCATTGTCAATACATGCAAACTGGATGTTCGTACTCGTGCATTGACCGTCATGTTTGAGATAATAAAATCACATGGAAATGTGTTTCGTGAAAATTGGTGGACCGATTTATTCAAAATAATATTTCGTATATTTGATAGTCTTAAATTACCCGGACCACAGTTGGAGAAGACTGAATGGATGACAACCACATGTAATCATGCCCTATATTCAATTGTCGATGTTTTCACACAATATTTTGACATTCTTGGCTCGTTTCTTCTCAAAGATGTTTATTCACAACTATTCTGGTGTGTACAACAAGATAATGAACAATTGGCACGTTCGGGAATCAATTGTTTTGAAAATTTAGTCATCTCATGTGGTGTCAAATATAATCAAATCACTTGGACAATGACAATTGAACTTATTGAAAGAATACATGAAGTAACGAAACCATTGCAGCTATTCTCATCGCCGACAACAAACCAACATCATAATAAACAATTATTATCAGATGAAGAATTGGAAAAAGTCAAGATTAAATTTTTTGTACAATTAGATTTGATTCAAGCTATCGACAGCATTGTATTTTTTCCATCATTCAGTAAAAAAGAGGATACCGAAATGATCAAATATTTGGAGAATAGTTTGAAAGATATTGACATTAATAAACAACAACAGCAACAACCAAATAATATTACCAATAACAATTGTCGAACAATAACGAATGGTCCACTAGAACGTTGTTCAACTACTGACCTTCGAAATATTATTACAAATGGAATGTATGGACATATGAATACGGCTATTCTTGTTCGTTTGGCTAAATTTCTCATAAAAGTATTCGATTCATTCAATCAAGTCTATTTGGATAAGAATAAATCAAAAATATTGGCTGATAAGCTTAGTTATCTTTCACAATTGGAGATCAAAAGTTTACTATGTGCCATACGGATACTATTCTATCTGTACAATGATCCTGATCGTCAACAGCAAACAGAATTTATTGAACAAATTGAACAGGAATTAATTAGGTTTGTCATTAACTCTTTTTTTTCAAATTTTTATTTTTTTGTTTGTTTATCTTTAACAATTTGTGATTGAAATTTTTTTTTTTTTTTTTTTTTTTCAAGTACAATGAAAAGTAGAAAAAGAAAAATAATTGAATAGAATGCTAATTATAGAAATTTTTTTTCCTTTCTCCATTCTCCATTTATATATATATAGTATTTCATCACGAGCATTGCATTATTACTACCATATTGAAAATGAATACAATCGAGATAATTGGACTTCAATCATTTTATTGATATTATACAACGTTTCTAAATTGCCTACAGGCAAGGTAAGTAGCATCCATCGTGTTTTCTACATTATTCCCTCATTCTTGTATTTATATATTCACCTAATAATGTGGGATAGAAAAAAAACCGAATGATTTGATGCAAAACGAAAAAAAAAACGAAAACGAAAGCTTTGAAACTAACTTTTTCTTTATTTATTTATTTTTTTTTTTTTTGCTTGGACCAATGGATTCATGATGATTTACTAAAACGTAAAAAAAACCATCCATTTTTCTTTTCTTTCTCTCTCTCTTTTTTTCATTTGATTTTGATTGATGATGGATCATATAATATATAATATATATGAAAAAAATGCAGTTTTTCAAACATATCCAAAATTATTATGGACTGATTTGCAACCTACTCATTTTGGATCTGAAAATAACATTGAAAGTTTTGATCAGGCAAATATTTCTACGACTTCAATCGGATCAATGTTTTTCAATTTTTTCTTCACAATAAATAATAAAAATAATAATAAATAACAAACATCATGATGATCATCAACAACAACAACGACGACGGTGAAGGAGATAAACAAACGTGCCAAAATCCGGGAAAAGAACATCACTAACGCCACCACCACCACCATCACCTACTATATATATATATATATTATTACCCCCATAATTTTCTAACATTGGAAAATTTTGTTGATGGATTCGTCCCTTTTTTTCGGAATAATAATAATAATAATTTTTTCAACTTTTTTTTTCCACAACAGCCGGCGTTCAAACAAAACTTTTTTTTTCCATTTATCCTTGTTCTTTTTTTTCCATCCTAACAACAATGATATTGCATTGCATTGCATTGTATATAATTTACAAAATGTAAACAAACAAACAATGAATGAAATGAAATGAAAACGATCCTATTGTGACCATTGTCGATATATATAGAATAGAAAATAGAAATTATTTTATATTAATTTTTATTTGCTATACCCATAAATGTTGAATGGTGGTAATATTTATTGGGACCGAATTAATCAATTTTTTTGTTCCAACAAAACTACTACCAACATTAAATACATTTCATGTAATTGAAAGTAGAAAAAAAACAAAACAAAACAAAAAACACCCAAGTGTCCTATTCACATCCATATATATATATAAATTCATGAAGTATAGATAGTTTTAAATTAACTAAAAAAAAAAAAAAATTATTCAAACAGAATATACACATATATATCGTTGCTATTGTTGTTGTTGTTGTTGTTATTTATTTTTTTTTATTCATAAATTTTTTTCCTTTTTGTTTCATTCTTGAATATCTGGAAAGAATAATTATGGCAATCAAAAAAAAATAGAAAAGAAAAATGATCACACAGAAACAGCTGAAACAAAAAAAGTTTATTACATATTTCTAACTAATGAAAATTGTGAGAAGAAAAAATTTTTGTACCATACACAGACAGACGCACTACAAACCACAATTATTTGTTGTCATTTCTCAATTTTTTTTTTTTAAAATTCCAATTTTTCTTATTTATATTTATTATTTATTAATGATTGAACATTGAAAAACAACAAACAAACAAACAAATAAAACGAATCAATAATTGTATATTCATTTTAATCTAGACGGATTATTACAGAATTAAATTGTGAATATATATATATTATATTCTATATATCGCTTTGGATTATTGTTTATTTTTACATATAAATAAAGATATTTGACCTCTAATTCAAATTTTGGTTGAATGAATATAAATGATAAATATATTCTGTGTTTAGTATATATTGGAATTATTTTATTTTTTTTTTTGGTGTTGTTGCGTTTTATTCTCACAAATTCTCTATGGATGAATGAAATACGTGTTTAGATTATTAAACACATGAAATATATTGGCCCATATCATTGGACACACACACACAGGTAGAACACTAAAAAATAAAATAGAGACAGAGATAAATCAAGTGAAAAATATGGGTGGCATTTTGTTTTTTTTTCTCGGTTCTAGATTCAACTACTACTACTCCTCCTCTGTTTTTCTGTTTTTTTTTTTCATTCATTCAATCAACCATAAAAACACAAAGCCATCAAAAATTTTTTTTTCTTTACACATTTTCAATGACAAAAATGATGATGATGATAATCATTGTTTCTAAAAAAAAATTTTTTGATTCACCATTTATTTTCTGATTGGCTATAATGGTGTCCAAAATATAAGTGAAACGAAATATGATGAAACATAAAATGGTTCAGTGAAATGGACATGCACAAGAATTTGATTGTGATGCAATCATATATATCTATAAAGTAAAAACCACAGGAAATTATTTATCCATTTTTCCTCCCCCAACAACAACAACAACAATAAATTCTGTAAAGTTGTTCTTTTTTTCTGCCAAAAAAAAAAAAAATTATTTTTGTTGTTGTTGTTTTTTTGTGTGTGTGTTTGTTGACCACAAATCATCACAACAATAAATATGATCATTCAAGATAAATGGAAAAATATGAAAATAAATTACCAAACAAATTATGAATGAACAAGAAAAAAAATAGAAAGCAAAAGAGAGAGAGGGAGAGAGGGAAATGACCAAAAAAATGAAAAAAATAGTTGTCATGGAGTCATGTGTATTCATGATGACATTGAAACCATTGAACAAAAAAATGACCATACACTAACGTATGGAATCAAATGAATATCAAACTATCATTTTGTAATGGATTGGGATAAAAAAGAGAATCAAGGAATTTTTTTTTTGCTGGATCTAGCATGTTTGAAAATAATAATAATAATAATTATTATTATCTTCAACATAAATTTAAGGCAATACAAATGGTGTTCAAACTTTTATGATGATGATGATGATCGCAATAGACCACCACCACCACCACCACCAAAAAGAGGCGGCCATATCAATTTTTCATTGTCATATTTATTCTGTATTATCATCTATCCAATGACATCCAGAGACACCCATAATATCCACCCGCCTACATATATCCAAGTAAAAGAATCCAGATCAATCGACAAATTTTTTTTTTTTTTTGCTTGAAAAAAAATATTCGGAATTACAAACAAACAAACAAACAAACAAAAATAAAGGAAACACCTACTCTGTCACAACAACAACAACATATCGATCAACAACACACATATAGCCCCAGAGACCTAAAAGCGAGTGAAGAAGGAAAAAGAAAATTTGAAATCAAAAAAAATAGCAACAAAATATGTTCCTGTTTTGTTTAGTTCAAATTTTTTTTCCAGTTTTGTGGTTCATTTTTTTCGAGCAAAGAGAGAGAGAGAGAGATAGAAAAATTATGGAAATTAACATCATCATCATCATCAACCAGACAAAACCAGACCTACGAGAGCCATTTTTTTTTGTTCTGGTCCTAGCTTTGTTTTTGGTTCGGTTCGCTGATTTTTTTTTCTCTAGCCATCATAATCATCATCATCATCATCATTATTATTATTACCGTGATCATTGCAATCATCATTATGATCCATAGAGACAACTTATTTTCAAAAAAAAAAAAAATTTCCTGTAGTTTCTTTTATGTTTTGGGAATGGTTGGCATCCAAAAAAAAAATTGTCATTTGATTTTCTTTCTCTCTCTCTCTTGTTGATGAAATGTGTGAAATTGTTGTTGTTGGCCACCATATATTAGTATTATTCGAATTGTTTTATTTATTTATTTTTTTTTCAAATAAATTCGCTCACCATTGTTGTTGTTGGATGGTTTTTTTTTCATTTTGTTCAAAGCTCGTTGAAATCATTTGTCAATGAAGAATTTCATTATTTTTTTTTTTTTTTTTTTTTTTGAAATGGCAACCGTTTTATTATGATTTTGGTTGTCAATGAAAAACTATTATAAACACAGGCTGTTAAATTAAACTTACTTTGATGTGTTTTTTTCTCTCTCTCTCTCATAATGGCTGTTTATTATTATTATTATTATTATTATTATCAACCTGGTGGACAACCATCATCAAAATCATGTGGAATTTTTAATGTATGTGAAGAATAAATGAGAAAAAACAACAACAAAATAGTAAAGTGTGAAATGAAAAAAATTTGGCCTGATTCTCATTCGATTTTTATTTTTTTTTTTGCTGTCGTTTTCTATATTTCGATTTTGTGTTTTCGTTTTGATTTTCTTTTCTTTATTTCATTTCAAATAAATTCGGAATTTTCTAAATTTTAAATTCGAATCGTTATTGCTTGTGGTTATCATCATAGGTGTTGAAGAATTTATTTTCTTTACGAATGCAATTCGATATTAAAGTTTCAAAATTGAAAGTCCTTGTCCTAATGATGCGTTTGCGTTTTTTTTTATTTTTATTTCATTTTGTTTTGTTTTTGACCATTTTTATTTTGTCTTCTGGCTATTTGAATCGATTTGTAAACCACATTCATTTATACTACATACAAATATACACAAGAGATTTAGATTTTCATCGATGAATCATGAATTGATGAAAACAAAAAACAAGGAAACCTATTTGGTTTCTTTTCTTTTTTTTCCATAAAGATATGAATTGAAAGAATTTTTCTTATTTTTGCCTCTTTCACATTCTGTCCATCTTTCTTTTTTCTTGATTTATTTCTATTCATCCATCCATCTATTTCATTGATAATAACGACAACAACAACAACAACAACAACAACAATAACAACAAGCAGTCAAAAGCCAATCCAATTTTGTCCAATTTTGGTCCCTGGTATTCATTTTTTTTCATTATTTTCTATGTCAATCGTATGTAAGAAAAAGTTTTTTTTTCTTCTTTTTCTTTATAATATAAGAATTATATTCATATCTTCGTGGTTGGTTGGTTGGTTAGTTGGTCGATCGATGTTATTATTTTATTAGAGTTTACATTTATTCTGTTGTCTATTTTTTCCCATTCATTTATTTATTCGTTTATGAATATATGCATTGTTGTATTTGGTTGTATTCTGGCTGATCGTGATGTTCTTAAGGTTTTTCTCTTTTTCTCTCTCTCTTTTTCAGATCTTTTCCCACCTACATCACACACATCATCATCATCATCATCATCATCATCATCATCATCATCATCATCAATGGTCCAAGTCTCAACGGACGTACCGACCAAAAATAGACGGACGGATGAATTGGATCGATGGACGTATTACGGATGTTACATGTCAACGTCGATTTACCGATCTATTTTGTTTGGTCTGAATGTTTGTGTGTGTGTGTATGTGCCAAGGAATTTGCCCGTTTTTGAATTGATTCGCTATTTTATATTATGTTTGTGTATAAGTATGTATGTACCGGCGCAGTTAAAGCAAAAAAAAAGTTTTTTTTTTGTTTGTTTCCAGTTTAGGTAAATTCTTCTTCGTCGTCGTCGTTTATAAACGTAATAATATATGTGTGTTGTAGAATAGAGTTGAAAATGAAAAAGAAGCCCAGCCCCGATAACATGAATTTTATGGCCCCTGTTATCATAAGAGCAAGACAAAAAAAATATTTGTTTGTTGTGTGTGTGTGTGTATGTCTGCGTGCAAAGGAAAAAAGTGAATGAGAAAAAGCAAGAGAGGTAGAAAAGATGGGCCCAATGAAATCTATTGAACATGACTAAAGAAACGAACATAAAGTGTAAAGCTAAAAAGAGAGAGAGAGAAAAAAAAGGCCCCAATTTGGAATGATGATGGTGATGATGATGATGATGATGGTGAATGGTATGGTTGTTGGTGATTCATACATACAGCTTCCATCGTTGTCGTAATCTTCGATGATGATGCTTGATGATGGAAGAATAAAACGAAACCCAATACACATGACCACCACCACCACCAACATCATCATCATCATCACCGTCACATTGGAATTTTTGGTTTTTGGTAAATTTTCCATCATTATTGCATCGTCGTCGTCATAGTCGTCGTCGTCGTCGTCGTCGTCGTTGTTGTTGTTGTTATTGTTATTGTTCGTTCCAAACATTGTATTGTATATATGGAGATTATTCAAAGTTAGTCGATCAGAGCCCAGGTGTGTGTGTTGTATGCCAATGTGTTTAAAATGAAAGCGGGCTTCTGATATCTGATCATCATTATTTTGCCCGCGCATTTTTGTTGTTGTTGTTTTTGTAATGTATCTATCACCATTTATATTTCATTATAATGATTACCTTTATTGATGTATATCATCATTTTGTTTGATCATTAACATCATCATCGTCACTTCCGTTGCTATATCTCCATCCATATACACACACACACACACACACATCATTAACATAATCATAAACGTTTTGGTATCATTCTGTGCGGTTATTTTTTTCGTTCTTTGTGGTAAATTTAAATGTGTGCATCATTTTTGGTTTTATGATTGTTGAATTTTTACGATCAGAAAAACAAAAAAAAAGAATGCGAAAACCAACAAAAATTACGTCGAAAAAATCTAATCTAATTTATTCAACAATAATCTCATTATCATGATTAACAAGAAAAAAAAATAATCATGCAATGAAAATTGATAATCTACTTGATCAGCACTTTTTTCTCCTATATGGAATAGCGAATTTATTTTTTTAAAATAAAAGTAAAAATAAAATCAATCAATCATTCACACCGAACAATAATTGCATATCAATCAAATAAAATAACGACCTGTTGTTTTTTTTAATTTGAATTTCGTCTGATTATTGAGAAAAAAACATCCAATCCATTTTAATTGTGATAACTGCAGTGTGTGCACAATTTTTTGTTTTGTTTTTGGTTTTTGGTTTTGGTTTACAGTTAAAAGTCTTAAAATTGAAATCTTGAATTCGTCAATGGCATCATCATCATCATCAACCATTATTATTGTTCAATACATAATCACAAAATCATGATTATGATTAGCCATCATCATTAGTGTTATTATAAAAGCTTTAATGCTTTCAAATACACTGATCATCAATTTTTTTTGTTTGTTTGTTTGGTTGAAAACATGTTTTCCAAATTAAAATCATCATCATCATCACCAAATTCGGCCAGCCCAACATTATCAACAAATTCATTTGGTGGCAGTGGCAGCGGTTGTAATAATATCGATGTCAATCCCATATCACAATATTATGAATGTGGTAAACAGATTGGTTCGGCTGGACCAGAATTGGTGTGGAAAATTTTCGATGCCGTCAGAAAAACTGATATGAAAGTAAATATTTTGTGACAAAAATTTTTTTTTTCTTTTTTTGTGGAGGGCAGCGAACGAGGGAGAGATAATAAATTGATTAATTAATTAGTCTGTCATCATCATCATCGTCGTCGTCGTCATTGTGTATGTGCGTCCAATATATAATTGGATAGTAATAGAGATGATGTTTTAGAAAACTAGCAACAAAGTTCATTATTATTATTTTTTTTTTTTGGAAATTTTACTTCAATCATTTATTTTTTCACATGGTAGGAGTTAATTGTTTTACCCTATTAATAATAATGACAATGATGATGATGATGATTATGCAAATACAATTTTTTGTTTACCTAAACTAAAAACTAAATATTTCATCTTATTATATTCATAATAATTATTATATATTAGGATGCATCATTATTTTTCTATGATAAACGTACGGCCGATAAATTACATAAACCAAAACGTAAAGAAATGATTGCTGAAATATTAAGATTCAGTGTACGACAATTGGATCGTTTTCGTCATCCACGTATATTGGCCATCATGCATCCAGTAGAAGAATCAAGTGATACATTAGCATTCGCTACGGAACCAATATTGGGTAGTTTGGCAAATTGTTATGAATATTTAGAAGAACGTTTACCACAATCATATGAACCATTGCCATTATTACGTGAATCTAATTTATTAGATTTTGAAATTAAATATGGATTATTACAAGTAAGTGATTATTATTTATTATTATTAGCAAGTAATTTATCTAATTTATATAATTAGTTTTCAAAAATGTGTTAATGGGAAAAAAAAATTTTCGCTTTTTGAAAATTTTTTTTCATTTCAATCCATTAATCAGAATTGGATTTTCTCTCTCTCTCTTTCAATTTGAAAATTGAATGAAATAAATTCAGTGTATGTGAATGGCATGTATGATATAAAACAGTTAGAATCAAAGAAAAAAAATTCTATTCATCAGAATAGGAAAAAAAATGTGATCAAACAAAATAAAATAAAAAAAAAAATAAAGTTTGAATTTCTATTGTGTCACAAAATGACATACAATGGTAGTAAAGTAAAGCAAACACAACGAATGTTACACAATAATATGATGGATGTAATAATAACCAAGTGAAACTTTATGAAAGAATATTGTGTATTGAATGAATTTTTTTCTTTGATCTGGTGAATGAATGAATGTGAAAAGAAAAAACTTGACTATTAGAAAAAAGTTTTCTGTTTTTGGGCCGATTATTTCCAAAAATATTGTACCGTCCGATTTTTTTTTTTTTTTGTTTTTATATATTTCATATAAATTTTTCACTGTTATTTTTTCCATCATTGATAATCAACTATTCTTGTTTCCTGTATGATTTTCATTGTTGTTGTTGTTGTATCCAATGAGATATTGAATAGGAAATGAATCTAGTCATATTCAAATGAAAAGTTATTATTATTACGTAAAAAAATGACTGTCATTCGAATATTTAATCAAACGACGACGACGACAGCAACATGTCGACGAGATAGAGAGATAGAGAGAGGCGAGATAAAAAAAAATGATGATGATCTCCAATTGTAAAAGCCAGAATTTTTTCGAGAAAAAAGACTGAAATAGATAGATAGAGAGATATATGAATTCGAGATTGAATAAATGAATATAGAAAATAAAACTTTTTCTCTTGATTTGATATCGATTTTTTTCTCTGCATTTTTAAACTTGTACCATAATTTTTTTTTTGGAATAATAAAAATGTGACAAAATTTTTTTTTTCAATTTCTATTCTCAAAGAAATGTGCATTCAATTTCCATTCTAAATGTATATCATTTTTTTTGTTCTCTTTTTTTTTCTCATGTTAATCATTTTCTACATAAACGAAAATCTATTTGGACATTGAACGAAAATGATAAATTTGTATAGATTGTCGAAGCATTGATACATTTACATCATAATTGTAAAGTGATTCATCGAAACATATCACCACAATCAATATTGATCAATAAAAAAGGCACTTGGAAATTGGCTGGATTTGAATTTGTGGAAAAATGCAATGATAATGATATAATGGTCAGTCATCATACTGATATTAAATGACAAGATGATGATAACAAAGAAACAAACAAACAACAAAAAAATAGATTTTCATCACATTAAATTCTACATTATTTATCTTCTGTTTTTTATTTTTATTATTATTTTTTTTCTTTGATATTAGAATGTCATTCCATGTCAACCATATACTAGCAAATTACCAAAAATGGGACAACCAGATTTAGATTTTACAGCTCCTGAAGTACAAACACAATCATTATGTACACCAAATAGCGATATGTTTTCATTGGGACTTTTGATTACGTTCCTTTATAATAATGGACGATCATTGATTACGGCCAATCTTAATGCATCCAATTATCTCAAACAACTTGATTCGGTAAGCATGGAAAACAAAACAAACAAAAAAAAAATCAATGTTATTTCTTCTCATTTGAATAAATATTATATCATCGGACAAGAATATAAAAGAATGAAAGAATAAAAAAAAAAAACAAAAAAAAAAAAGAAAAATAAAATAAATAAAATATTCAACGACCAAGTTGAACGGCTGTGACCATCATGAAAATAATGAACGAGAATGAAAAAAAAAGAAAAATTCTAATGTATTTTTTTTTATTTTCTTTTCTTTTTTTTTACTTGATGTTAACATATCTATTTTTTTTCTATTCCAATCCACTTGAACAATATATGATGACAACAACAACAACTACGACAACAACAAATGGCTATTGCATTCCGTTGAAATCGCTTTTTTTTACTTTCTTTCATTTTCTTCATCATCATCATCATCATTGATGACGATCATGGAACTATTTGAAAAAAACCCGTACATCTGCCTACTCACACACACACACACACACACACACACACACATCGTGTGTATTATATTATTATTATTACTATCGAATGTAAATAGCTAAACGTATCGCTCAATCAATTGCTGCCAAACATTCCATCTGGACTACATGAATCATTGAAAAGTTTACTTGAAATCGATTATAAAAAACGTCCAATTTCACAAAATTTAACAACGGTAAGCATCATGATCAGAATCAAAATTTTTTTATTTCAATTTTTTTTCCATGTTTTGTTTCGTTTGTTTGGGTTTCCATTATCATTATATATTCATATAGTTATTATGAACGAGTGAGAAAAGAGAGAGAGAGAGTGAAACGATTATTGGTGTCCGCTCATTTTGTAATTCTCGTTCAATTTTTTTTTTGTTGCTGAAAAGAACCCGTTTTTTTTCTTTTTCTCTTGATTCTCAACTTGTGATGATGATGATGATGACGATGATGATATTGATTACAAATTGCAATTTCATCATTATACCCACATACAATTTTTTCTTTTCTAACAAAGAAAAAAAAGGGCAACAAGAGAGCGAGCGAGAGAGAGAAAAAAAAGAGAATCGGCCGTTTTTTATGGCCCATTCACAAGTGTATGTGAAAAAAATTTCTTGGAAAGATCCAATCTCTGATACTCGAACTACAAGAATCTCCTTCACACACACACACACACACACACATTGTGTTTCGATGTTTCGACATTACTATCTTTGCCATTTTGCCATAAAACACATATAGTCAAATTAAAGTTAAGTCTTGATATTAAAAAAAAAAATCTAAATGAGCTCAAAGTTTTCAGATGTGATAGATGAATGATGGTGTTGTGTGTGTGTGTGGAATTGTTAGTTATACGCGCTGAACAGGGAATAATTTTATATTTCTGGTTTTTTTTGTGTGTGTGTGTGTGTGTGTGTGTAATTCACTTTAATCATAATGATCCTAAACTGATGAAATAAACGAAAGACATGAACAATCAGATAAATGGGGAAAGTGGAAATAGAAGGCCCAAAAAAAAAACAGAATTGAAAGACGTATTTTGCCCTAAAAAAGATTTCGTATATTTTTTTCGAACATTCATAATAACGACGACGATAATAATAATAATAATAACCAACCAACCAACCAGCTAACATGAGCAATAATTGTGAACATCGATTGTTCTATTTTTTTTCATTATTTTCTACATTTTTGTTCTCCTCTTGAATTCCATTATTGTTTGTGTATTTTTTTTTTCTTTATTTTTAAACACATTGCAAAAATATAGATTGCCCAGACCAATTTTTTCCGTTGGGGCCACAATGAAGCTGAACTCAGTGTTGATACAATTCTCTTCAATTCTTTGTGTGTGTGTTTCCATGTCCATTGAATGATCATCTAATACGTGTAAATAGTGAAAAAAGGGGAGAATATAAAATGTTCATTTTTTTTAGTCAACCTATGTGCCATTTATTTTTATTATTGTTGGAACAATTTTTTTTTTCTTTTGAATTAGAAACCAATGAGAAGAGCCTATTGAGACTTTATCAAATCTTTTTTTTGTCTTTATGATTCACTATACTACTACTGGTTTTTTCCCATCATAACGTTTTTTTTTGTTATTTTTTTCGGCTCTCTGCACCACTTGGATTGGATTGATTGGGCAAACCGATTTAAAACACACACACACACACACATACAAATACATTATAAGCAATATATTAGATTGAATAAAAATATTTTGAGTTTACACAATATTATGTCGTATCATCATCATTGCCATTATAATCATTATCATCATCATCATCCTCATATTAAAGTATTTGTGTCGGTGTGTGGGTGCAATGAAAAACCTTTCTATATTTATTTATTTATTTATTTATTTTTGATACCAAATTCTTTCTCTCCATTTGGATTTATCCTAAAATCGTGGCTATAATACGCGTCTTATACCAAAAAAAAATATTGGTAAATAGTCTCATTTTTTCAAATAATAGTTACTTTATGAGGGAAAAAATTACTGTAGTTGCTGCATCTTATAGCCACGATTTTAGGGTACTTTAAATCGTAAAAGAAATCTGAATTGAACGAACGAACAAATGAATAAATGAATGGTTGAATGGATATGTCAATATAAACACACTCAAAGAGAGACACAGCAAGGAAGAATTCAATGGGTAAAAGTCATTGGTGTAAAATGATTTCAATTGTCGATGCAAGCAAGCAAGCAAGTGTGTGTGTGTGTGTATCCAAACAAAACATAATTCTTTCTATATTTTATTTTCACTTATTCTTGTGAAAATCGAAGTTTTTTTTTATTCTCTTTTTTTTATACTTTTTCTATCTTGATCTGCTTATAGTTATTGGTGTGTAGAAAAGAATAAGAAGATGATGGTGAAAAAAAAAAAATAAAATTAGAGAAAATTAAAAACAAAAAAAAAAAATCCCATAGAAAATCAGGATTTTAAATCCCTGAAAAACGTTGTTATTCTATGCAGTGTTTTGAATACGATACAATAAATTTCCACAAACATCCTGTGGAAAAAATATCAATGGAAAAAAAGCCAAGAAAAGAAGAAATCAAAAATTTTTTTTTCTCTTTCTCATCTTTTGTTGCCTAAATCCATTGACGAAAATAAAATGAAAAACAAATAGATAATGATGAAACACCGATAAACATACACACACACACACACACACACACACAGAGACAAAACAAAAAGATTGACGTCGGCTAATAGAAAAAAAAGCAAAGAATATTCTTCTTGCCTTGTCTAAAGATTTCCAAATTTAATTTATTTTCTCTCTTTGTCTCTCTCTCTCTCTCTCTCTGTGTGTGTGTATGTATCACATTTTTGGTGTTCGGTATTTGTTTACCCAAGTTTGTTTGTCTCATTCAATCACACACACACACACACAGACACGAACATTTTTACTTTTCATTTGTATCAGAATAAATAGATGTCTTCTTAAGAATCAATGACAACAATAACAACAACAATAATAATAATAACAAAGACCGACAATCCATGAAGAATGAAACTAAATAGATAGATAGATAGATGGATGGATGGATGAATGACAAAACTAAAACTTGGCAATTTAGATTCAAAACATCCACAAAAAATACACACACACACACACACATTACTGGGCCAAAAAAAACCTAGAGACAAATTTAGAACACAAAAAGAGAGTGTGAGAGAAATTATATAATGCTAATAAGATGTATCACTGTATACACTTGTATCATACACAAATACCGATTTTTACTTTAGTGGCCGTTAGTGTAATAATTTTTTTTTCTTTCTCACATTTTTTTCTCTCTCTCTCTTCATTTGTCGTCAAGTAAATTGTTCTTTGGTTTTGGAGATTCTTTTTCCTCTTCTTCTTATTATTCTTGTTTCAAATATACATTTATTCATTTATATTATTATTGTGTATTATATATCTTACTTATTTGTATACAAATGAATTAGTAATGGCTGTGATGATAATGATAATAAGAATAACAGGAATAATAATAACAACAACAACAACAACAACAACAACAACAAAAAAAAAGCAATTTATAACAATATAATCGTGATTCTATTCTGTATGGATGTAAGGATTTGTCATTAAGGTTTATAATAGGAACATGATGATGATGAGCTCATAAACAATCTAAATATTTGATGATGATGATGATGATGATGATATACAGAATAAAATAAGAAAAAAAACATTACATTGTCTTTATTGATAAATGATGAAAGTTTTACTTTACTTTTTCGCTTGCTTGCTTGCTTACTTGTTTACCCGAGCCTTGATATATATATAGCGTAATATCGATATTATTTGTAGTATTCCCGTTATGTTCTATGAGAATGAGAAAATGTTCATCATCTATTAGAAAAGATACAAAAGATTTTTTGGAACAACACATACACACACACACCAAACACAAATCGAATCACAACAAAAAATACAATACAATAATAACAAGAAATGCAACAGCCATTGCACAGACAATGGCAATGACAATGGATAACAAAAAATAAAAATAAAAATAAAAATAAAAATAAAATGAATGGATGCTTTCATCAATGAACAAATAACCAGAAAAAAATACAAGAAAAAAAAGTACGATATAGATACTCACAAACAGTAAAATCTCAACAAAACACAAGAAAACAATACACACACACACACACAAATAGATAACTGATTTGGAACAATACACCATCAATTCATTCATTCATTCATTCACGTTTCATTGTGGTCATTTGTATTTTATGTTTGGTTCAATTCATTTTGTTTTGTATTGTGAATTTATGTCCATTTTGTGTGTGTGTGTGCTGGTGGTGGTGTTCGTTTTGTCCTCTTTTTTTTTTTTATTCAACTAAAGTGGGCCATAAATTAGCAACAATTCACAAATGAAACAACAACAAAAACAACAACAACAAAAACAGCATCAAAACATGTGTGAATAAACTAAATGTTTGAATGTGCAAAAAAAAACGAATTCATAAAAAAAATATTCAAGTGAGATTTGGACAAAAAAACACGCATATAATTTACGATATATGATGATATAGCATAAAATTTAAAAAAAAAATTTTCTAAATTTAATTTGCTAAAAAAAACTGGAATATTCTAAAATATGTCTGTCTTTGTCTGTTTTGATTGTTATACCATACCACACACACACACACACACACACACACACACACACACACACACAGATTCATGACAATTTAAAAATTTTCTATCTCTCTTCACAATTTATTATTCTTTTCTTTCATATTTTTTTTTCACTCTCTCTCTCTCTCACCATTTCCTAATTCATTGCATTCATGCATTTTCATTTCCATTTTTTTTTAGTCCAAATATTTTGTCGATCCCAGTGTACAGGCCTTACATTATTTGGATATAATTCAAATGAAAGATTCTGTTCATAAATCAAATTTCTATCATAATTTAAAGAATCTTTTACCATCAATACCAACGGCAAGTATATATATATATATTTTTTTTCTTCTAATTTTAAAATTTAAAATTTATTGCTGCTAATCATTTATTTTAATTTTCAATTGTTATGAAATTTTTTTTTATTTTATTTTATTTTCAAAATTCATTCATGAAAATAATAATGATGATGATGATGATGATGATGATGGCGGTGGTGGTGGTAGATCATCAGAATGCACAAGAATTATTTCGTAATGAATAAATGAATGTCTCTTTTTTTTACAGCATCCACTGCTGTATATATTGTATTACATCTGTTTTTTTTTTGTTTGTTTGCTACTTTATCCAATCAATACAGTTTATATTTACAGTTTTTGAATCTGTTATAAATAAAAAATAAGTGTTCAGTAAAGAAACCATATCAATATATTCACAAATAATAATTATTTATGAGCTTTTTTTTTTTGCATTCATTTCATTCTGCTTTGTGTGTGTGTGTGTGTGTGTGAAAAAAAAAAAAATGAACAGAATTATGGCAGTGAAGCCGACTTTTTCGTTACACACACACACACACATGATCAATATATATTGTCATTATATTTATTATTATAATGCTCATTAATAATTGCAAGCAAACAAAATATTGAATCAAAACAATAAAGAATATATGAATCAAACAAACAAAAAACTATTGAAATTTTTTTTTCTGTTGTTGCTGTTGTTCTTTACACGTTATTATCGTATGTTTATTCTTTTTTTTTTTTTTTTTGATGCATGGAAATTTAATATATATAATAAAAGTAGTTTCAATGTTAAATCAACATTTATCGATGTGCACTGCACATTAACACACAGACACACACGCACAAAGGAAATCCAGTACGGATCTAATCTTTTTCATGTAGATCTTATAGCCAATAATAATCAGCAATAGCAACAGCAACAGCAACAACGATACAATGATAATGATGATGATAACCTAATTGAAATGAAGCACTAAGCTAACAATAACAGTAACAGTAACAACAACAACAAAAAAAAAGACCAATAACAATATTGTGAATTCCTGGGAATTGAAATTTACAATTTTTTTTTTTGCAAACGAATGCAATTTTCTTTATATATAATATATAATCGTTTATTACGCTGTGTGTGTGTGTGTGTAAATGTGTGAATGAATTGTATAGAGAATAGGAGAGAAAAAACAAAATCGGATAAAAGAAATTATATTCGCTTCAAATGATTATAATTACTATGATTATTTTTTATTATTATCATCATCATCATCATCATTATTATTATTTCAGATTGATCAGAATCTAATTTGTTGTTGATTATATATTCATCCATGATGATGATGATTATAACTTTTAATTATTGTTTTCCAAATGGTTTTTTTTCTTCTTCTTCTCTTTTCATTATTATACACTACAATATATATAGAAATTATGGTATCAACACATACTGCCATCGATGGTATGCGAATTAGAAAGTCCAGAAGTATTGGCTGCAGCATTACAACCAATCATTCATATGATCAATAGATCTACATTGGAACAATTTCAAGAATTTATTCTACCATTTATTAAAAATATTTTTCAAATGCCAAAGTCTGTTCAAGTAAGTTTTGACATATGTAAAAATATGTCTTTTTGTGCGTGTGTGTGTAGTATTATTCATTCTTTTTATAAAAAGAAGAATTCTTCGATTGATGCAATGATTTTATTGAAGATCTTGATGGATCGAAAATTTCGATTGTTGTTGTTGTTGTTGTTGTGTTGCTAAATTACGTATTTTTTTTCTTGCTTACTTGTCTGACGAATAATAAACATTTATCGAGTTTATTATGTTTGTTCATCAGAATTGATAATAATAATAATAATAATGAAGATTATTGTCAATAATAATAATGTAGTGAATGAAAATGAAAATTTCATTGGAATTTTTGGCTTTGTTTGCCATTTCTATATTCTAATCAAAGAAAAAAAAATATATATATATATTGTCATCAAACAAATTCTATCATGTAAGAATTCATCAAGAAAAAAAAACAAAATGAATGAATGAACGGATGAATTTAAAATTATGACAATTTTGCCTTGTAATTCATTCAGTTGACATTCATTCCAATAATATGATAATTCTAAATTTAAGATCGACAATTTTATCATTTATTCCTTATTTTTAAGCAAAAAAGATGATGATGATAAAATTCAAAATTTTTTTTTTGATGATTGTCAAAATATAATAGTAGTAGTAGTAGTAGTTTATATGTGTATTAGCATTGTTGCTTTTCTTCACCATTACCATGAAGATTATCATAATGATTATAATAATAATGATGATGATGATGATGATGACGTCAACACTCTTGATGATATTTGATAATGATAATAATTCTCAAGAGTCATATTCTTCTAGTTTTTTTTTGTTTGTTTGTTTGTTTGTTCATTGTTAGTTTGATTAAAGAATTTCAACTTACCGAATTCATTCTCTTCATTTTATTTTTTTTTTTTTTTTTACATCATGCATACTCTACCACATACATACATACAAAATTCGTTTTTTTTGTTCTCCACCTTTTCTATGTAGTGAAACATTTTTTTTATTTCACTCTAGGCTTTTTCCTATGAATTCTTTTTTTTACGGATTTTAAAATGTAATATAATAGTAATATATAAAAAAAAATCAAATGAAAATCTGAAATCTAAATTTTCGAAATGTATGTAAGCTTCATTATCATCATCATCATCGTTTTTGCTCACATTTCATGTAATATTATTCTACAGTGTTTGCAACTTTCTTTTTTTTGTTTGTTTACATTGTTCTTTGGTTCCTTTTTTTAACAATTCTACCCTCATTTAGTAGTAATACGTAGTCTCTCTCTCTCTTTCTCTACCCATATATACTGCACTAATGCGATATTTCCCTTTCTTTTCAACATAAATGAAAAATTCTACAATTCATTTCTATAACTTGAAAGAGGGGGATAGAGAGAGAGAGACATAAGTCAAGTTAGTTAAATTCTCATACCAAAAGAATCAAAAAGCAAACTTACAAAATAAAATATATATTAAAGTACCATGAAGAATCTATTAGTGAATTTACTAAAATAGAAAATAAAATAGGCGAGAAATAGAATAAGAATAAGAATAGGAATAAGAATAGAAATAGAATACCACACACATATACATGCACACGGAAGAATCAATAAAATTGCTGAAAATGACAGTTTTTTTCCATTCCATTCGTTTGTTAGTTTGTTCAAAAAAAAAAAAAAAAAAAAAATATATATCTAGAAAAATGAACGATTTTTTTCTGAAAAAAATGACTGAAAATGACAATTTTTATTTTTATGTGCGTGTGTGTATGTGTGTGTGTGTGTGTGTGTGTTCCAAGAAATTCGAAAAAAATAATAATAATAATCGATCGATTTTGTTGTTATGCTTCATTTTTCATTTGCCAATTTTGTCATCATCATCATCATCGTAATCGTCTTCGTATGAATGTCGTGTCCTGTCCTGTCCTGTCCCGTTCCGGGTGTTTCCATTTGAAATACGTATTTTCAAATTGGAAATCATCAACATCATGATCGAACAAAATCGAAGGCTACCGTTACATTACTGGAAAATATTGACATACTGATGTTAAAAACATGTACAAGTGATTTTTTCCGTACGGAAATCGTGCCAATGATATGCAATGCATTTGATTCAAGTACACCACAGATTCAGGTATGTATATTGATTCTTTTTTTTTCTCATGGTGTTCTGTTCTTATCATCCTATATGTATAATGACATTGATTTACATTTTACCATTTTATTCATTACACACTGATAATGCTATTGACCATTTATTTGAAAAATCAATCGTTTTTTTTTCTTTCATCATCAATGTTATCATGGAATTTGAATGCTTCAGGCATTGACATTATTATGATAGTAGAATGTCTGGTTTTTTGGTGATTTTTGTTAACATTTAACTAGATTTTTTTTGCATATTTTTCATATATTAATGTTCATTAATCTGGGTGACATGGCACTTAAAGTGTTAATAATATTCATTTTACCGTTATATCTAAAACATTCTAATTCACTGAATGTAGATAGATACCTATAGCTATTGTATTGCTAATGAAGACACCTTATATAACTTCTATATATCAGGAAAAAAATAACATAAGCCTTCGGTCATATTAGCACCAACTTTACAGACAAAAAAAAAAAAAAAAATGAAAGTAGAAGTTGGTCTGCAATCTGTCAGTAGTTGGGAGGAATAAGCACGTTTGATTTGCAAGACTGGCAGACTATTTGGTGTAATGTAGCCAAAGCCTAAGGATCAGATTCAGAAAAAAACACGAAAAAAACATTCTAAACACATCAATTAGTTTGATAGACAGACAATCGATATTTTTTCAATCGATATTTAGATATAGACTAAAAGTTGATTGAATTCCAATTAATCATCAGTGTTTTGATGGTGGGAAAGGTCGGGGGGGGAGTAGATAGAAAAAATGATTGTCGAACATTTATTTATTATTATTTATCATTACTATATGTCTTTATTTTGATTCTCAAATAATTTTATTCTTGTTCATTCTTTTTTTTTCTCCGCCCATTCATTTATTTGTCCGTCTATCATTGTCATATATTCTCCGGGATATCTTTTCAATCGATATGCTTATACACATGTGTGTGTGTGTGTATGGGCGTCATTTTTATGGAATTTTTTGAACTTTTGTAAACTGCCACAACATCATCAAAACATTAACATCGATACACCGAACACCAAAAAAAAACGACCAATCGAATCAAAATAAAAAAAAAAAAAAATAGTCGGCAGCAATGTCGGCCTTATCACAAGTGATTGATCATCTGGATGAAGTAACCATTAGGCGAATGATTTTACCAAAAACTAAACAACTGTTTGACATCAATGCCGATGTTAAGGTATGATATAGATACACACACACACACATGTGACAAGGTAGCTCATTGATCTTTTTCTCTTTTTTCTCTTTTTCTTCATGATAATTTATTCTATTTCTTCATATGCACCAACTTTCATTTTCTTCAAAAAAAACAAACACTACCGTTGGCTATATATATTGATCATTTACAATTATTATTATTATTAATATCAAACAAAATTGATCGATTTTTTTCAAATTGATTCAATCTGATTCATCATGATTCTATCATCATCATACACACACACAAATAAATATCAATGGGATGGGGAACGGTGGAAAAAAAAATTGAATTCCGATGCTTTTTTTTACACGTTCATTTAACATTTTCATAGATTCAAATCAATATATTGATATGTATTGAAAAAGTTATTGGAAATCTAGACAAATCCGATATACTTGATGATGTATTACCTATGATTATGCGTGCCCGTATACAAGATGTTTCCGTTTTGATTATAGTGATAAGTAAATTCATCATTATCGATTTTTTTTCTTGTGATTTGTGAGTGAATTTTATTTTCAATTTTTTTATTTTCTTTTTCTTTCAAAATAGACATATGTAAATTAATGATGATGGATACGAAAAAATATGGCATTACAGTCAATATTTTGGCAATGAAAATTATGCCAGCATTAGTACCGGCATTGGCTAATGTTAATTTAAATATAGATGAAGTAAGTAAATATTTATTTGTTCATTCTCTTTTTGACAAGATGTTTTTTTTTCGTGGGTGATGGCAAAGGAAAAATAAAAATCTTTATTGAAAATTGATTGTTTTTTTTTGTTTCATTTGTTACTTTTCAGTTCAATGATCTGGTCAGTTTATTAAATGAAATGTTGACATATGTTGCTAAAACTCAACGAAATAAATTGGTGCTAGAGAAAAATAATAATGTAACTGTGACGACAATCAAAATTCCTGAAATGTAAGTTGCCAATATATTATTTGCATAACATTTTCTAATCTCTTGTTCTTCTTTTTTTTTTTTTTTTTTGTTAGTACCGAATCATTACGAGAATCGAATACAACATTAAATAATATAAATTCATTAGGATCATATCCTCATCGTCCACCATCATTACGTCTTGAATCAAGACGTACATCAATCAGTATGGATGATGTTGTTCGTCGTGCTTCCCTTACATCAGCTGCTTCCAGTCCAGATTCAAATCTACTTCGTGTACAAGCTCATTTACCTGGTCGTCGTCATTCGGATAATACAATATTACCACCTAGAATTTTAGTTGCACCATCAACTCCTACCACTTCGTTTTCATTGTCAAGAGGACCAAGCACAAGTAATTTAAATGCACGTCGTCATTCATCAATTGTTGGATTGAAAGAGATGAAAGATTCAAAAAATTTCATTCCCAATATACCAAAGGCAAGTTTTTTTTTCCATTCTATTTTTTTTTATTTCATTCTATTCATCATTCAATAAAACACATTGATTCGCTGATATACTATTTGATTATTCTAATCATGTATTCTATTTTTTTTCTCTTTCCTTTTTTTTCTTTGATTCATTTTGTTTTTTTTTCAAAAAAAAACTTTTTTTTTTGCCCTTCACTTTTTGATTCGATTGGTAACAAACAACCTACATACAACACACACACACACAGATTTCCCATAACATATCCAACAATCTTGGTATTGAATCATTTTTATCAAGTCGTTCAAGCGGTCGTCGATATTCAGCTGTACCAACATTTGATAAACTTAATTTTTCATCATCATCATCATCATCACATCATCATAAGAATACAAGCACAAATCTATTACAGACTATCGGCACTGGTGTGGTAAGTGTAAATAAAATGTATACATACACATACACATTTTACATTACAATATATCGATTTACATTATTTACATATATTGAATATATAATCTTCATCTATTCAGATTTGTTTTATACAAATTCAAATCTTTAAAACAAAACAAAAAAAAAAAAAAATATCACATATGGATTTGATCGCTAAGTCAATAAACTTTTTTCTTTTTTTTTGTTTTCTATTCATTTTCTTCCAATTCATAGCAACAACTATTCAAATGAATGATGTTCCTGAAACAAAACTGGTCCATATACATAGATTTATCATGAAGAAAAAAAAATTCATGATATTCAATCTTCACTTGAACATACATCAATCTGAGATAACAAAAAAAAAGAAAAAAGAAAAATCATTCTTTTTTTTCGTCATCGTAACAAAAATCTACATTTATGTCCACGTTCAACACAAACGCACACACACACACATTTTATGCAAAATTCTCAAAAAAAAGAAAGAAAAAAAGAAATTTGACCAAAGAATTGACTAAAAAGTATTATTATTATTTGAACCATTTAAAGTGGACTATGAATGTGCACGATCAAACATCTTTATCATCAAATGAAAAAAAAAGAAAAAGAAATATGGCATGATATTTGGACATTTTTTCGGTACAATGATATGAACGATAAATAAAATGAAACTCAATGATGAATTTTCAAACGTGATATTCAACATGATCATCATTTATATATGAAGCCATATCATGTCATAATGTTCAGTTTTCATTCATTGAAAAACATGAAACCAAAACATAATTACTTAATCATCATATATATATTGATTATAAATTTCTATTTCGAAAGCCGAGCCAATCAATCAATATATTTTCGATTGATACATTTTAATAACTACTAACCTTCATACACACACATAAATACACTTTTATGCCAAAAAAAAACATTAAACCACTCAATCAACATGAAATTTTTTTTCACATTTCGGCTCACTAAAACGATATAGAACGATTATATTTGTACCGAGATTGATGAGATAGTGTTCACCAAAAAAAAAAATTGCTCATTCAAATTAATATTATTTCCAATAATTTAATCCAAATTATCAATTTATCAATCAATCGAACACACACACACACACACACACACACAATCACAAGTTATTCAATGGATGATTTTTTTTCTTTCTTGTTCGTTTTTTTTTCTCTCACAAATTCATTTGCAACAACAAAAATCACTAAAAAGGTTATCCACATTTAACATTTCATTCATCACATTTTACGTAATTTAAGTGTTTTCAAAATGAATATTTTTTTAATTGTTATCGCTATTTATTTGTTAATCCGTTTATTGATGATCATAATTATTTGATTGATTTATTTCGATTTTTCTTTTTTTTCCAGTTATTGTTATCCGATTAGGATTGTTAATATTGATTAATTAATGAATGACAATTGACCACATTTATATACAGACACACACACACACACATTCACTCACAAGAAACTATTCATTTTTATCAAATATGGAAAAGCTCAAGCAAAATAATGATGAACCATCAATGATCATTGGTTTTTTATGGTTCAAAATATCTTTTTCGATATTTAATTCGGATATATATACATAGTTAGCATATGGATAGTATTTTTAAAGAAAATTTTATGTCAATAATAATATTAATATTAATTAATAATAATAATAATAATTTTTCATGTTGAAAATTTGAAAAAAAAATTTCGAGTCTTAGTTTCATTTTAGAACCATAGATGGTGTCAGCATTGATGAGTTCTATCATCACTAAATATATACAAACAAATAATAAAAGTAGTGTATGCGTGAATGTGTGTGCCCTCTATATAAAGTATAAAAGTTACCATTCAAACTTGATAAAAATCAACATTTGTGATAATTTGTGTCGACGTTTTTGTTTTACGATTTAATTGAATTTTTTTTTGTAACGTTTGTTAATTACTAGTGTGATCATCATGGCTCAATTTCAGCGTATTTCAAGATCGAAATGTTTTGGTGGTTTTCAAGAAGTTTATTCCTTTTTTAGCAAAGAACTTCAATGTACAACTCGATTCTCGATTTATATTCCACCGAATGTAAACAAAGAAAATCCGGCTCCAGTTTTATATTGGCTTTCAGGATTAACCTGTACTGAAGAGAATTTCATTATTAAATCTGGTTTTCAACGATATGCAGCAGAATTTAATCTGGTTGTCGTTGGTCCTGACACTAGCCCACGTGGTTGTAATATTGAAGGTGAAGATAAAGATTGGGATTTTGGAACGGGCGCTGGATTTTATGTAGATGCAACAACTGAAAATTATAAAAATCATTATCGCATGTATTCATATGTTGTAAATGAACTTCCTACTGTTGTGGAAGAAAATTTCCCGGTTATTCAAGGACTTCGTTCAATATCTGGTCATAGTATGGGCGGTCATGGTGCTTTGATTTGTGGTATTAAAAATCCTGGATTATACAAAAGCGTTTCGGCATTTGCACCAATCAGTAATCCGATCGCCAGTCCATGGGGACAGAAATGTTTCAAAGGATATATTGGTGAAAACCAAGAAGATTGGAAACAATGGGATGCAACCGAATTGATTGGCAAATATAATGGTCCAGATCTTCATCTGATGATCGATCAGGTATTTTGTATTTTAGATTGTAAAAATTGTTTTAATTTAATTTGATTATCATCATACAGGGTTCTGAAGATCCATATTTGGACCATTTATTTCCCGATAATTTTGTTGAAATGTGTAAAAAATATTCCATACCATTGGATTATCAATGTCAAAATGGATATGATCATGGTTATTTTTTTGTCGGCACATTTCTTCAACGACATTTAAAAATGCATGCAGATGTGTTGAAATCTTCAAAATAAACATGGAAACCTATAGAATCAAAATTGTTTTGAAATCTAATCTAATCAAGAAAAGAATATAATTATGATTTTCCACAAATAAATTCAAACAAATCTGTTCCAAAATTTTTTTACCGAAAATAAACAAAAAAAATTTGTTCATAAATCTTTGCGAAAGACAAAAAAATAAAAAACGTGACAAGAAAACAATTTGTTATAAATAATAATAAAAAATCGATTCATATTGATCATCATCATCATCTTCGTTGCCGTTGTCACAATTCTACTGGTAAATTGTCAACTTATTTTATTTTTCTCTCTCTCAACTAAACCGTTGTAAATTGGCTTTATTTGCTCGAAATTAAGTTAATGGCTGAAACTTCATTGGGTCCAGTTGGGTTTTGTCAATACTTATTTGCAATATGGCTTGACAATTTTTTTTTTCGTAAATTTTTTCTCTTTTATTACATCTCATAAAAAATATTTGTTTTTTCTACATTCGTTTTGTTTATTCTGAAATTTTTTTTTCGCGCGCTCGCACTTGTTTACTTTTCATTAGTAGCAAAACGCGTTCACTTTTTCAATGTTTGCGTGGTTATCACATATTTTTTATTTTTTTTTTTTTTTGGAAAAAAATTTATTTCAGAAGCCAGTTTTTTACGTGTTTTCAGAAAATGCTTTTCAAAAAAATTTTAAAGAATTAAAACGTTCAAATAATGAGATTGATGACATGCAAAAATTTTTTTTCATCTTCAAGTGATACAAGCATATTTATTGCAGTGATTGATAATAATGATCGACATTGATTTAAATTGGCAAAAGATTCATTTTTTTAAAAAACAAAAACATCGTATAAATAAAAATTAATCAGCTTATAAACATCCTATTAGTATTCTAAACGACATTCTATGAGAACAAAAAAATGAAAATAAAACGGGTTAAGATCAAAAAATAAAAAATTTTCATTTTTCATAGAATTTTTCAGAATAATATATTAACCATTTATTTGGTATATATTCAGAAATCTTTCAAAAAAATTTATCATCATTCACTGTGAACTTTGACATTGTAGAATATGCGAGAAAAAAAAAAAGATAAACGAGACTAAGAATTTAAAAAAACAATGCAATTTTGAATTTACAGAATGCAAACCGACATAAAACTGTTTCATCATCATCATCATTTATCAAATATTTATTTCACTATTTTATTTGGTACAGATTTTCGAATAATAATAAAGAATAATAGTTGTTGTATTTATATAAATGTGAAAAGAATTGCAATATATTGGAATTTAGCTATACCGGTTGGCATCGTTGATGATATATCGATTTGAAATCTTCTTCATTCGAAAGTGTTCGTGTGTATGTCTGTCTATGTGAATAGTGTATGAATGAATGAATAAACATTTGCTGTGAACATTGGAATAATATAGCAGAAAACTGTCGTTTAATTTTATCATCATTTTTTTCATTTTGGTCATGTGAAACCTTTTTTTTATTGTATGTATGTATGTGTTTGGTTTGGTTATTTGGTTATTTCTCATACATTATATAATGTCAAGAATTTTTTTTTTTTCTATATTATTATATGCTAAAGCTAAACCAAGACGAATGACTATAGATGGATGGATGGATGAATTCGAATCATTTATCCATTTATTAAAGTAACAGAAAAAAAAGAATTCAAAAAATATTCATTGAACACATTTAGAACTTTGAATTATCATCATCATCATTCACAATAACAGTTTCGACAAGAATTGATATTCGTATCTTTTACGTTGTCATCATCATCATCATCATCATCATCATCATTCTTGGGAATATCAAATGTTGGTGGATGTTCATCTCTTACAAATCATTGAACACATAAATATATCAAAATCAATCAAATTCATTCAAAGAAGAGCGAGTGAGTGAGTGAGTGAACTTTTTTTTTCTCTATCATTTTTCTTCTTTTTTTTGCCTCATATTCACAATGATAATTGATGGATTCAACAATTCAAGTGAATTTAATATGAATGAATCGTTGGCCAATAATAATTCTCTCTGTCTATTGGTGTGTCGATCGAGAAAGAGAGAGAGAGACAGAGAAAAATCTTTCGTAGCCAATACTTATCTATAGATGGTTTTTTTGTGTTCTCTCCTGTATTTTGGATTCAAAAACATTACTTATTGTAAATATATTATTCACGAAAAATATGTGACAATGTAGTAAAGTTTGATACAAAATACACGCAAACAAAATTACAAATGAAGTGAATGTGATTGAATGAGAATTGAAACTATCAAATATTCGGTATTTTTTTTTTCTGGTTAGTTATATATCCTATAATTGTAATTGGAATTCTTCAATTTTTGTTTCTTATGTATGATACGGTAATTATTTGCATAAAATCACGGCTATTTATTGGTAAGAAAAAAAATTGTAAGGTGAAAATTATCCAATCATTGCGATGAGGATGATGATGATGATAATAATAATCATCAAGCTTGTCTATTGGTCAAAAAAAACAACAAAACAAAAGTATGGCAAAAATCAAATACAAAAGAATCACAGTATGACAGACAGTAAAAAAAATATATGAACAGCACACATATATTCGTTCAGAATTCATACGTTTCATAAATTAATTAGTAATGTCTACTAATTCCTCAACTACCTGTAATCAGGCTAATATTTCATCATAATGAAAAACTGATACTTGTATAAATCTCATTTTGTATAGATCAAATCGAATAATAAAAAAAAAATATGACAAATCAGATAATATTTATATGTTTGTCATTCAAATGAATAATTTAATCGTCGACTAGCTGTAATGTGGTATTATCTCATTTTCCATTGTTATTCTATTTCATTTTATTAACAAATTGTCATTATCAAAGAAGCCAAAGAAAAAACCGATACAGAAAACCAAAAACAGCTTGTTTTGATTCATTTATCCATATGTTTGAATATTTGTCTTTGTCAGTTTGTTTTATTTTTTTTTCTCCTTGTTTCATTCAAAATCTGTCCTTTGTTTAATTTTCTTTGCTATCTGTTTCTTTTTGGTTTGTGCATAAATACAACACATGAACTGAAAACAGGTAAAAACATATCAAATCTTGTTAATATTGGCATTGCAATTTCTGGTTTTGAAACTACTACAAGGAAGAAACAAAACAAAAACTTTGCAAAATCAAACAACAAATAAATGAATGAATGAATGAAAAACAACCTAGAGAAAATTGAGAGCAAGATAAATTATCTAAATCATGTCATATTATATATATATAATACGCCTTCGTATTTGATATTTAGTTTTAATTCAAAATGGTAGCCATTGTCTCTCTCTCTTTCCCTCTTTTGTTATATTGTAATATTCCTTTGCTTTAAGCTAATTTTTTTTTCTTTTTTGGTCTCTTGTTTGTTGGTCACAATGTTTGCTAAATTAGTTTTTTTTCTGGTTAGGTTCCATTAAAGATCATAATCGATTGTTGTTGTTGTTGGTTTACGCACTTGATTGCATAACGGCGTTGGCTTACAGAAAACTTGGAGACAAATGAACCATTCTGCCTTCTGCTGCTGCTGGTGCTGGTGCTGATGATGATGGTGGATGGTTATAAATTTTAAGATGGTTAGGGGTTGATCATATATTTTTTCATTCATATAATTGGCCATTTGGTATTGTCGAGATTCTATACTATTCATCGGTTTTAATATCAAACAAATTGCTTGATTAGTTAGGCTGCACACAAACAAAAAAAATGTCACAGATTGAAGATGGTAAAATCGAACCGATAGTAGTAGGGATGAAATGAAAATATTCCTGGTATGTTTTGTATATAAAAACAGTAGTAACGTTTATTTGGTTACAAACATGCAATAAAGAATCACAGAGAAAAAGAGAGAAAAATAATAAATTAAGTTGATTTGACAAATGATGGCAATCCCCTATATATCTGGCTGAATCCACACACACACACACACACATTTCGAATATTTTTTCTTTTTGTAAATAGGTTTGGTTCGATAAATCTAGTACAAGATTTGGACTATTATCATAATCATCATTATTACGGAAAAAAAAGATACATTACAATGAATGGGAGAGAGAGAGAGAGAGAAAGAAAAAAATGACTAAAAAATTTGAGAAGAAATCAGTTAGTTGGTCGCGGTTGTGGTTGAATTGAAAAATATTCATCTCATTTGTAAAAAAAGCATCGTTGAACATGATTATCATCACCATAGCTTTGTTGTTTGTTAGTTGATGAAATATTATTATTGATTATCACATGAATTCAGTTGTACAGTTGAATGTAGAGAGAAAAAAACTTTATCAGTTTCATTTTATTATGTTCTCTACTTTAGTAATTGGCTTTCAGAATCCATGATGTCAATGTGTAATAAGGCATCTATCATCTTTCATCGATGGAAACAAAATATTTCATTATTTTGTATAGGATTTACCACTTCTTTGCCCACACATATTGATTGATCAATTTGACAATTAAAAGTCAATGAAAAGTTACCATAATCAGGCCAGGATTATCGTATAAAATGAATGAGTGTAAAAGTAAGACAAGAAAATTCCTCGCCAGTTATCGAAAAAAAAAAATTCGATTTCCAATTTAATCTATTTCATTCTATTTGATAACTGATAATGTGGATATGACCAAAAATAAACTTCAAATGGACACCCGCATGTGCATATACGATGATGATGATGATTTCATTTAGAATCTTATTATTAGAAAAAAAATTTGTTGAAGACAGAATTTTTTTTTTTTCTAATTCGGCAATTTTATCTCCAAAAATAAGACTAAGAAGAAAAAGCAAATAATTTCGCAAATTTGATGACAGAAAAAAAAATCTGACAAAAACAGATGTAAATTCATTATTGACTTTACGAAATTCCTAAACACAGAATTCTATGGTGGCTCAACAAAAAAAATGATGAAAATGATGATGATGATGACAATTAACACTTTTGGTTGGTGATTGTGGCAATGTGTGTGCTGCTGATGGCACATTCTGGTTGCCACACATATTTGTAAAAATATAGTATTTACCATTTTAGAAAACAAAAATTTCGTTTACCCTCATCATCACTAAAATGTTTTTCTTTTTTTTCTATAATGATAATTATCATTGTAAACACTGAGAGAGAGAGAGAATAAAATGGAAAAAATTATCGCCACTATCCCATTATGAAGAATTTTGTAATTTTTTTTTCTTTCAATTTTTTCCATCTATAAAGTATATATTTGTAAAGATGACCAACATACTGATACACACCAACAGAAAAAAAATGATCAATAACCAATTGATTGTTTAGAAATCATGATGAAAATCAACTAATCGATGCCATAAATGATAAAATCGGCGATAAAAATCAATTCAAATTGACCAGTAGTAGACATTGTATTTGACTTTTTTTTTCTCACTTTGCTTGTATTACATTATTTTTTTCCCGTTTGCGATTTTCTTTTATCGATTTTTTTTTCTTTTGTTCAACTGTCGTTTTTGATTATTCGAAAACTTTTTTGTCATAGATTTGATTGTACCGATTGGTGAACTAAAAAAAAAAAAAATAAAAATAAAAATCTCATCTCCGATATATAATCATCACAATAAAGTGTTGTGTAATGATGATTGTATTTAATTCTGATAGTTCAGTTTTCACTTAAATCACATCATTGATAATGGTGTGATGATTTAACGATAGTGGCCAATATATATATGAAAACTGTAGAAATCATGCTGTGGTAAAATCATCATCATCATTTACAGTGATAGAAGAAATGAATGAGAATCATTTCTTCTTCTTCGGATGATAAAAAACTGTATAGCCGATGGCCGTTATATCACATTTCGTTATCTGTATATCATTGATGATTGTCGTGGTTAACAAAACAACTAAATACATGCCGCACAATAATGAAATGAAATGTCTATAGACATACACCCACACTCACATAAACAACAAATTGAAGAATCTTTGTTGTTGTTGTTGTTATTTCTCACTATAATGGTTGTGTGTGTTTGTGGTATGTGTGAAAGATTCACTAATTGGAATAAACATACACACATAGTGTTTTTTTTTTTTTTTGTTATTGGTCCTGTTCAATTGCATAAATTAGAATCCATTGCTAGAAAAATAATGAATGGATGAAAGAAAGAAAAAATTCTTTGAAGCCGCCCGTCATAAGCACACAAACACACACACAAACACCTCAAAAACACGAAAACACAAATTATCCAAGTGACAAGTTTTCCAAACGAATATAGAGAATATAAATTCAATATATACATATTGAAAACAATTACGCCCCCACATATCCTATCAGAATTATAATCAAATCAAGGATTTTGAAAAAGAAAAAAAAATTTGATTCATTTTTTTGATAAAAAAAAATTTTAAGAAAAAAAATCCCATTCAGCAACCATAAACCCACCCACCAACCAATACACACACACACAAACAGAATTTTTTTCGTGTTTTTGTTTTTGAATCACTAGCGGTTAAAAATATATACAAAAAAAAAAACATAGACACTGATACGGCGCAAATTCAAATTCACGCAAGTGTATTATATTATTCTATAATGGAAATCTTTGAATGATTACGTTCTATGATTCATTCGATAGTATATTAGAATTATAAGTACGTTAAACTTAAACGATGATGATAATAATAATAATCAGCCTAGCCAGATTTGAAACTGAAAAACAGACGGATATACAAACATCGAATGATCGATCGTAAGACACGAATCAATGTAATATCCTTAAAATTGTTCAATAATAACTGCGAAAATATTACAAGAAAAACAAGAAAAATTTCATCTTCGAAGATTGTCCATTTATGGATTGTGTGTTAAATTTGTCGCAACGATTCTGTATAAATTCCAAAATTTGTTTTTTATTTGTAACATTTCGTTTTCGGTTATTTGTTGTTGTTTAGTTAGATCTTTATTGGTCATCATCATCATCATCATCATCATCATCATCAAAATGTGGTACAATTACAAATTCCATTCCTTATAGGTTTTGTAATTCTGTACATGAGTACAATATGTGTTCATTCATTTTCATCTGTCGATCTGTCGTCGTGGATGCTGGGTCAGACAGTCATTTTCATCCATTCATTACATGATGATGATTCTGATTCACAATCTTAGCTAGATGATTTTTCATTTAGAATTGTTATTCCAATAATCAATAGCTATTTATGTGTTCGTGTGTGTGTGTGTGTGTGTGTTAATAATTTATTAACCATAATTATTACGGTTATTATTTGGTTGATCAATGATTTTCTGTTTTTTTTTCGTTGTTATTCGGTTCATTTTGTTATTTTTTTCCACATATTCTATTTCGATATATCATCTTATTAACGAATTAACAAACAATCATTAAAGTTTTTGTTTACATGTTTTGATCACATTATTTGTGTATGTTATCATCATCATGATTGAAAAGGAAAAATTTCATTTTGAAAAAATTTTAACCAAAACCATCTATTCAACAACAACGATGGTCAACATCAATTTTAATACGATTTATAATCATTTTCATAACAATGATGATTACATTACATGCTCCAGGTAGGTTTAAAAATTTTTTTTGTTCAACTGTAAAATAATCTCACTGTATATACTGATCGAATCATCAAATGCACAAAAAGGGATGATGTGTATATACATTATATTAACATCGATAATTTTGATGGAATTTGTTTTTTTCTAAGAAATATGAATCGAGTTGATTCGTGACAAGAGACAGCTAACAACAAGAAGATGATGAAGAAGAAGAATAAATTTCAATCCCAAAAAAATGGATTTTATTTTTATTTATTTATTTTTTTTTTTCCTGTTTGTTATTGTTTCACTCAATTTTTCTTTCAAGTATTCTATACAATCGCGTGACATGTTCTTCAAACACGAAAAATTTCGATTCAAAGTCAATCACATTTGAGGAATCATGTTCAATCATCAAAAGAGAAAAAAAAAATTTTCCATTTCTCAAACACAAGCAAAAACAACGAGATGATGCATGAAAATATTTTGATCATGATGATGATGATTGTCATAATCATCTTTTCTAAATGTCCATTAATAATGTGATTGTCCAAATCCAATGAACAAAAAAAAAATATAAACATAAACATAAAGCTCCAAAAATGAAATGAAAAAAAAAGATTAACTCTTCTATTTTTTTGCTAATTAATATTGAAAAAAATCGTCATCATGTTACCATTGAATATAGTAGAATATATCAACGACCAAAAAAAAAAAATTAAAATTTTCACACAGACAGGAAATCCATTCGCGCATAAAAAAAATTCTTTAATTTTTATTTCGCATTCAAACACACACACACACACACACAATGAGCATCAAGAATATCCGAAACAACCAGCCTCGTTTCATCATCATCATCATCATCTTTGTCGTTCATATGTTACCCAAATGAATGAAAGCGAGAAAAAAAAACGCAGAATGATTTGGAACAAGTATGTGGAGACAAACAAAACAAAACAAAACGAAACGAAAAAAAAACTGTGGTTGTCAGCAGCCTTAATGACATGGCCAAAAAATAAACTAAAATGAATTTTTTATTTTTCAAAAAATTTTTTTTTTTTGTAAATTTCTTTGACGATAGAGAATCTATCTGTTCATCTACACACATATACACATAGCAAACGCTTTTTTGTTGTTGTTGTTGTGCGTGTATGTTTACTTTGTGCAGTTTCCGTTTCTATCTCTCAGTTTGTTTTTTAAACTAGGCAAACATATGTTTGTTTTAATAGTCCTAGTTTTTTTTTCAAAAAAAAAAAAAAAATTTCCATGGTTTTTTTCGAGAAAAAAATAAGCAAATATTATTTTATTAATTATTCCATTTGTACTGGTTTGTTTTTTTTTCTTGTTTTGTTTTTAATTTCATCTTTTTTTTCTCATCATCATCATTTTTTTTCTCTTTCTTTTTCTATTCATTACATGGTCTTTCCTGAACAAACATCATCGTCATCATCATCATAATGTCGTCGTCGTCGTCGTCATCGTTGTCCGAAAAAAGCGATCAAATGCGATTGGAATTTCTGGTGGACATATGATGGAATTTCTGGTATAAATATAAATATGATGATATTAACATGATACAAATAACATACATATAAAATGTCATTTGATCTTTTTTTTTCTATTTTCATTTTTTTTACATTTATTGTTGTCTTTCGATATATTGTTATTCATAGGTCCAGAATTCTGGGGCATATTGAATCCAGATTGGTTTCTTTGTAACAAAGGTCATCGCCAATCACCGATTGATATAAAACCAGGATTATTGTTATATGATCCAAATTTAAAGAGTATATTTATTAATAAAAACAGGTATAATTAGCTAGAGGTCATTTTCATTTTTTTAAAGTAATTTTTTTGGTTCTATTGTTTAATTTTTTTTTCACTGTTAATAACCACACACACACACACAGAGTAAATGGATATATCGAAAATGATGGACATAGTGTCGTCTTTCATAGTCATTATTATAGTTATAATAATCAAAGTGATATCACCACCACCACCAATAACAACAACAACAATAATGATAATCTAATACCACCACCAGTAACAATAAATGGTGGTCCATTATCATATTCATATATTTTTCATTCATTACATATCCATTTTGGTCTGGTCGATTCATATGGTTCAGAGCATTTAATTTCCGGTTTTCAATTTCCCGGTGAAGTTTGTTTTTTCTTGATTTTTTTTTTGTTTAATTTGATTCAACATTTATATTTCTCTTGATTTAGATTCAATTGATTGGTTATAATTCTGATCTATATGAAAATTATGAAGAAGCATCAACCAAACCTAATGGCCTTGTTGGTATAGCCATCTTTCTTAAAGTGAGTCTTAATATGTCAAAAAAAATTTGAAATAATTCATTCACTTCTTAAAATTAAATAGCAAGAATCAAAAAGTTCAGCCGGAATTGAAATCCTAACATCACAACTTAATCATATCGTTTATCGAGGTAAGCAATACAAGTTAATATATGACTAAATTATTATACATTTATTTGTTAATCTAAAAGGTCAAAAGACGGCTATAAAATCATTAAGTTTACGTGAATTATTACCTGATGATCAGAATTATGTAACCTATGATGGTTCACTAACAACACCATCATGTGATGAAGTTGTAACATGGATTGTTATCAACAAGGTTAGTTTTTTTCGTGTGCATATTAATCATCAATAATTATTTCTTGTCAATATATAGCCTTTGTCAATCACCAAAGAACAGGTAATTCTTATTTTTTGAAAAGAATTTTTTTTACTTTACTATAATTTTTAAATCATAAATTTCAGCTCCAATCCCTACGTTTTTTGATGCAAGGTAAACGATTCTTTTTTTTGAGCTATTTTCAAATTCTAATTCCTTCTGATTTCTTATGTTTCTATATAGGTAGCATCGATGTTCCTAAAGCTCCATTGGGCAATAATTTTCGGCCAACACAATCGATAAATGATCGTGTTATTCGTACAAACATTGAATTCAAACAATCATCAAAGGTAATCTCCGTCATTTATTCTTTTTTTTTTGTTCATCCATATGCAACACAATGATAACATAAAATGCCAATTTTCCATTTTTTTTCTTTTAAAATTTACATCATTTGACAATAATCATATAACAAATATAATCCGATTAATGGAAATCAAATTTTACAATCTAGATTTTCCAATTCAGTTATAGTAGCATAGAAAATGTTTTCTTTAAATCATATAATGATTATATAACAGCAAAATTTTTATTCTTTTCATTTTTTTTACATCATCATCATTTATATAACTCTTAATAACAGGATAGAAACTGTCCTACAATGAAACAGAATGTCCAATATGAAAGTAAGTCAAGCTAATACAATGGGGTATGTGTGTTAACTAATAATGAACATATTTTTTTGTTTTTGCATTCGTTTTCGATTACACAATTTTTTTTTATTTCAACAACAACAACAAAAAAAAAATTCCTGCATACATAATATATAGTCAATCAAAAATTATGGAACGTAAGATGATGTGTGTGTGATGGTAATCATTGGAATTCTGGGCAATAATCATTGGAATCAATCCATCCAACATACGAATGATTCATTTTCACATTGTATATCTTCATTCATTCATCCATATTCGTCATTAGATGTAATCCGTTTTTATTTATATTCGTATTCTTGACAATGACAATTGATAGCATAAACATACACACACACACCCACACACAAAACGAAAAATATACACTTTTAGCCCATCATATATAAACGATTAATCATGAAATAGATAATAATCAATTAAAATAATTCTGATAACTCAACTATAATAATGTGAGATTCTGTGTGTGTGTGTTTGTGTGTGAATGTGAGACAATGATTCTTGTGTATATATCATTTTTGTTGCTGTTGTTGTTGTTTAAACTTTACTAATGGGCGATCTATTAGTTGATTTGATCGGTGTAAATGTATCCATACTTTTGGAAACTTTTGCTACACGTAACATTAATATTTTTCTTCGCTGTTCTTCATATGGTTTAAGAAGTTTTATTATTCTCTAAAATTTTGGTAAGAAATTTTTTTTTAATAAAAAAAAAAACATTGATAAAATTTCTAAAATACTTATATATTATATAATAATAATTACCTCTTTAAATGATCCAGGAGTAATGATAATCAACCATAAAGCAGTTATTGGTATACAAAGAACTGAAGATGCAGCAACGACCAACCCCAAATAATTGATCCATATTGGATATTCGTAATCATGATATTTCAATGGTTCGTAGTTAATTAATCCATATACTATAATGAACTGAATAATATTTTTTTTTCATTAAAATAAAGCATACCAAAGATAATATGACCATTAGTTAATTACCATAATGAAGAACGGAGCCATGATTGCCCAACAGAATTTCCACCACCAACAGATTTCAAATCCAACCATTAATTTTATGTCTTGTGAAAAACGTCGAACGCCTTAATAATCAAGAGATGATGAAAAAAAAAATCATGAAAATTATCCATTTTTTAAGATTAGAATTCGTTTTTTCTATCATACCATATATCCAAGAAATGGCAATCGATTCGAATAAAACAGCAAATAAAATGGAATAACCAGCTGCGAAACGATCCATAAAATGTACGATATATACACCACCCTTTTAATTAAGATGATGGTGATAATTGTAAATGAAATCATCTAATTATTATCATCAATATTTTACCTGAGTACAACTGGCCAATCCAATAAGAAAATAAAACGAAAATAGTATGGCCACAAATGCTTCTCGATTACGTTTGACAATTGGATATTCATCACTGATAGCAGTTATGATGGCTTCACTTCCTCCAAACTTGAATACATTTTTTAATGACAATGATGTGTACCATAAATTCAAAACAATACTCACTGAACTATCGAGGCCTAATGTCAGTAACATCAGAAAAAATATTACTGCCCAGATTGGACCAGCTGGCATAGTTGAAATGGCTTCCGGATAAACAATGAATACCAATCCGGGACCTTCGGCGGCAATATCTTTAACATCTACATTAAGTCTTTTGGCCATATAGCCTAATACGGAAAAGATGACAAAACCAGCCAAAAAACTAGTTGCACTGTTTATTGCACTGGTCAAAACGGCATCACGATGAACATTGTTATGGAATTTATTATAACTTGCAAATGCCAACAATACACCAAATCCTGGTCCCAACGAGAAGAATACCTGTGTAGCTGCATCAACCCATACATTTGCATCATAGAGGGCGTTGAAATCTGGTGTTAAATAATAACGGATACCATCGATAGCTCCTGGAAGCATTATTCCACGAATAAGTAATATAAAAAGAACAACATATGGAAACAATGCTGTGAACCAGACAACCTTGTTATGTGGGAAAAAAAATATTCAACGATTTATTCAGAAATTTTTGTTCAAGATTTACTTTTCCTAAATATGAAAAAAAATGAAAAAACAAATGCCAAATAAGATAAGATTGCTTTCGAATTGAAAATGACATTACCTGATGTTGATATGCCTTTCCATAAACTAAAAGGGTAAATAAATTTTTGAGAAATAAAAAATTTTTTTTTAAATCTAATTCTCATTATTTTACCTGAAATAACAGATAATATAGACCATCAATAAACTAAAGGCGATTTCGATACGAATTTCACCTAAATTATGTATACCAGGACTTTCGTGGAATTGTAAAAATTGTCGGCTATATCCAGAAAAAAAAGAAAAGAAAATTTATTCCTTAAAAACTAAAAACAGAAATCATACCTAAAATATTCCAATGCAGCTGAATTACGAATTAAATTCGATGTATTTGCCTGATTCGTAAGGGTTATGTCATTAATTTCAAAACATTTATCGGTATTCCATTCATTATTGCACTTGGACCAAGGAAGCTCGGTAGAGAAAGATTTGAAAAAGAAATGTAATGCCCAGGCAATGATTACATTATAATAAAGATCAACATAGAATGCAATCAAAACTACTGAATATCCGATGCCTAATTTATGATGAATAATGAATAATTGTGATGTTCAAGAATATTTTGCCTTACCTTTGAATAGAGGCACAACACGGCTCCAACAAGTGATGGCTCCTTTACGATGATATTGTCCAAGAGCCAATTCCATAAAAAATAATGGAACACCACCGATGGCTAACATTATTAAATATGGAATAAGAAATGCACCTAAAGTGTAAAGTAAAACAATTTGTATCGATAAATCTTTCTAAACATTTTATGAAATTAAAAAAAAAATTAAATCAATACCACCGCCATTTTTGAAGCATAAATATGGAAAACGCCACACTATAAATGAATAAATAAGAATTATCATAAGAATTGAATAATCATTGAATAGAATTATGGAATCAAATCACACCATTAGAAAGATCTACAGCAAATCCGATAACTGAAAGAAGAAAATCCAATTTTTTGTTCCATGTTTCTCGTTGACCCAATGTATCGATATCTTCATCAACATTTGGATATAATTCAGCAATAGATTCATGGCCATGATCATCATATTGATGATTTGTGATATGTTTTGTTTGTGATACGGATACTGTATATTCGGCTCCAATGACAATACTTTTTCGACCTTCTTTACCATCATTATTCAATTGGACAGTGGTTTGATTCGGTGATAATTGTGATGTTGAATTTGATTTGATAAGATTTTGATGAGCTTCAACAAGGATAAAAGAGGAAAAAAAATTAACGAAAAGAAAAAATTATTTGCTCTTGAATAATAAATGACAATAAATATATAATTGGGCGGGGCTGGTTGAAGTTATGTGCTATGAATTATGATTAAAATGAATGAAATGAATACTTGGCATTGCATTGACTGTTGCTTGGTCGTAAATGTTTTTGAAAGTGGATCAAAAATCCAGAACATTTGTTTCATTCGTAGATATATATTTCTTGATTATTGAATGGACGATGTGTTTTCACTGTATGTTGATTGATTTAATTGCTATCGATGCTTATAATAATAATGATGGTCCTGATATGCGTATCTAGGTGGCTACTAATGGTGGTTCGTATGTGCGTATGTGGATCGACAACGGAATCAAACACTGATTTTCAATTGAAAACCATTCTCTAGTTTATTGTTGTTCAAATACACACACACACACACACGCACACACATACACATATACAAAAACTTGGAAGAAACATAGAACCGTAGTAGAAAAGATAGCGGTTCAGGTCTGCGCAACATAACGGTAATTTATTTGCGAACAATGAAAAAAAAATGAACGAAACTTTATTTTTAACGTTGCGACAATTCATCCTTTTATATAACATCTCTCTCTCTCTCTCTTTCTATCTCTATTATGTAATCGGAAACTATTAAAATTTCAATTGACCGATATTGATTTGGTCACACCGATTGACCCCATCATCATCATACTATTTATTCATTGTAAAACTAGATTGTAGAAATGAAATTGGATATGTGTGTGCAAATGTGTGTATTTGGATGTAGTGTTTAACAAAGTTTATCAATCCTTGCCAGCTAAATGAATGTAATGATATAAATTGATCATTCAACGATCAATACGATTTGATCCATTGATCACCATTAGGTCAATTGAACTTGGTTACTTAATTGTTGAATGTGTCATGCACAGGAAATACTATTTTAGTGCCCCATAGTTGATTAAATATTACCAATGAAGATGAATAGTATGTCGTTTTCTATTTAATGAATGGATGATGATTCTATTCTCTATACATCAATATAGAAATGTGGTATGATATTAAGACATTCAGTGAAAATCTCTCTGAATCGTTGTTGATGCTATTACTTTCAACTACTCTAAACCATATGTTTCTATAACATTTTTATTGACGGTTGATTATTTGAATGCAGCTAGCATTCAAGCATACAATTGAATCTACGATCCAAAAATCATAACGATCTTAATCATTAAAAAAAATGAACAGAAAAAGAAAAAAGATGAATTTTAGCAAAAGCTAGGAAGGGGAATGAAAGAATCAATTGTCATTTACACAACAACAAAATCGACAATACGGAAAACGGCAATGATGATGCCTAATTAAAAAAAAAATTTTTTTTTTTCAAAGCTGAGCATTCCATCTCATTTTTGCCCATTGAAAAGTATAGGCCAAGGAATTTTTCTTCATAAGGTTTCAGAAAAAAAATCATGGTACTCATCATATGGATCAAGATGAATCGTTTGGCACTATATGAGGTAACCTCTGAATCATCAATCGGCTGTCATCATCATTTTTTTTTCTTCTTCTTCTTCTTCTGTTAATGATGATTACGTACTTATTGTATCGCAAATATATATATAGCTACTATAGTTAAAGTTGATAATAAAAAAAAAATTTGGTCCAAATGAAGAATGGCGGCGGGTAGAAAATAAAATTTGATCGCATGAATGGATAATTTCAATATAATAATAATGTCAATAATAATAATAATAATAATAAATTCTATGTATGACCCTAATAAGAATATTCTGGTGCTTATACTACACTAGAGTGAAAGAGAAAGAAGAAAAAAAAATTGATTAACCATTGTTATCACTCATCATTATTATTATTATTATTATCATTATCATCATAATCATCGATGAATTTATCGATATATTCTTATGATGACAAAGAATCAATAATAATAATACGATGGATGGATACTCTTCTTCTTCTTTTTTTTTTTGCTTATGCGATTACTGCTACTATAAATACATCTTTATCGTCATCATCATCATCATCATCAGGATCGTCATTATATATGTGAAAAAGATTTCCAATTTTTTTTTTAATGCCAACTTGTATCCTTGTATCCTATCTATCTATATGAAGTAAATGTATCGATGTATGTCGAGATGATGATGATCAGATCCCGGATGCCATTGTTATTGTTGTTGTTGTTCCTTTCTCTATTGTTGTCATCAACTTTTTTTTTCATTCTTTGGTTCGTTTTTTTTTATTATTATTAGTAGAGAATTGGCCGACCAATTTCACCCAAAACATACATACCATACCATACACACCGATAAGAAAGAAAAGTCACCATTATTATTATTATTATTGTTGTTGTTATATTAGTATTATTTTCAATGATGATGATGATCGCTACTAGGCGTCGTATACATAAAGAATCTTCTGAGAAAGAATTTTCCTCTCACGTTCATTTTTTTTTTTTTTTGCTATCCTGTCGAGACTTTCGATACAAAAATTGGATTCATTTTTCTCCCCACAAATTCTTTTCTTTTCAAGAAAAAAAAACAAACTTCTATAGTAGTTTACATCACAGTTGAAAATTCGAATAACGAATCTATCAATTGATGATGAAACCATAATGGACTCATCTCAATTATCGATCTATAATATTCGACCACCAATGACAAATACATGCTGATGTTGCACACTTGATAACGAACAACAAACGAAACGATCTAAAATAAATGTGATGACACCGTTTCATTTACTCATTTAATAGTGAATGAAAATGTCCTGTGTTTGGATTTTTTTTTTAGTTATTTGCTACCACTAACGCGCAAAACAACATTGAATGAATGTTCAAGCTCAATAATAAAAAAAAATCGATGTATAGAAAGATAGCAAAAGACAGACAATTAGTTATTCGGATTGATCATAAGGCAATTGAATTCTAAAATATAGAGAGAGAGAGAGAGAGAGAAAAAAAATGTCAAATACATACGCTATCGATTGTTCAAATGTAATTGATAATGAACAACAAGGCCATTCATTTTTTTTGCCATTCAATGTTCGATTTTTCCTTTGAATCGTTAAATATATATTCTAAATAAATTGAAATTGAATTTCGGAAGCCAATAATTTTATTTTTTTTTTTTTTTTGTTGAATTTTTGTTTGTTTTTCACGGATATGTATAAAAGAATTCAAACGCCGTCAATAGATGACAGGACAATATATAATTATTTCAGCAATCTATCTGAGCTATGCATCAAAATATATATGCGCTCCATAGCGATGGATTCAACAAATCCTTTCTCATTGCAGACAGCTATATGGATATAAACATTGAGGATAGCAAATGATCGACACATTATTAAATTGATGTTGTTGCTGCAAAATTTCTTATTGTGTATATTATTGTTATTTTGTGATACGAGATTATTATGAACCCCATTGCTACTCTTATTTTATAAACAAATATATTGTAAATTATTCTTAATCAAAACAATTCAATGGATTCTATTATAAAATTTGCATCCGGTTTATCCACCGTCGAAAATTATGCCCATGATGTTTATATCAAATCAAATCTGACCATTGAACTAGATAAAGTGATCAATCAAATCATGGAAGAAAATCGAAACATAAATCATCCATCAGCTGATGATATAAATATTGAAAATAGATATATAACCGAAACACCTACCGTGATGCTATTTTGTGATCTAATCGAAGCAGTACTTTTACATGGCCTTAAAGAAAAATTATCAACAACCGTTTCAAATGTTTTTAGTGCAAAATCACGACCAAAAAATTTGTTCTGTTTAGATTTCTGGCCTATAATAAAGATTTTATCACACAATGAAGAATCAAAACATTTAAAACGATTGACACAGATATCAACTGATGTTGGACGTTGTCGTGCCTGGATTCGTCTTTCTCTTAATGAATGTTTACTACGTAGCTATTTGGATAGTCTAATTTGTGATTCATCCTGTCTGAATTCATTCTATCGTTCATCAGCATATCTTCGTGATTCACAACACACAGATATGATGAAAAACTTATTATCTGAATTAGATCCTTATATTTTTCATCTTAATGCTGATAACGTCACCCTAAACATTTGGTCATCTAGAACTTTGGATTATCTTGGTGTAATGATTCAGAATGAAGATTCATTTATGGTGGCAACAGCTTTGGATGCTATACATTTGATTAGTGATAATAAAATCGATGTAAGTATGAATGGAATCATAGTTTTATTTGTAATAATAATACTAATATAATAATGATTCAACAGAAACCGAATAAAAGAAAAAACAAATCACTGAATATTAAGGAAAAGGCGATAATTAATAGTAACTTGGCAGAATCATCATTTGAAAGCGATGAACCAACGGAAGATGGATTCGAATCAGACAGAATCGCTCAATCATCGTTAGTTAATAATCAAATGGTAATAAAGAATTCCGACACTATCGATATACCGATTCGAAAAATTCAACAAAATGATGAAGAAGAAATACCACAAATCAATGTACAAAATGATGATATGTTTCAAAATGAACGTAATGATTTATATGCTGGCAATTCGCTTTCCATGAGATCTGGCTGGAGCACACAACCGATGATACTTGATGAAAGTTACAATGCACTTCTCGAAAGCTATTCAACACGTGCAGTATTGTCCAGTACTCCAGATATTTCCGAAATTAAAAACTCAATCTTGACAAATGCCAATAATACAGATTGTACTTTAGGCACCTCATTATCGGAAAATGATTTCGAAATTATACCGAAAAATTTGATTGGCAATGATGATACGGAAAATAAGAAATTTTTCGAACAATCAAGCAAACTATCACATGAACATGGATTAGATGAACAGGATTATAAATGCCATCATTGTAGCCGTCCGATCGGAATGATTTACGGAAAATGTATGCTATGTCGTTTAGATGGCCATCTTTACTGTATTGATTGTCATGGTTGCGAAGAATCATTGGTACCGGCACAAATAATCTACAATTGGTGTTTTAAAAAATTTCCTGTCGCTAAACAGAACAAAAATCGTCTAATGGTGATCGAGAATGAGCCTATTTTTGATCTAAAAATTCTTAGCCCAAATCTTTATGCAGCCATACCGGAGATGAAAGAGATTCTAAATTTACGTACACAACTATTCTTTTTACATGCATATCTGTTCACATGTCAAGAACATATAGCGTTGAAGATGCGTAAATTAGTCTGGCCTCGCGAACATTTATTTGAACATATACACCTGTATTCAATTAACGATCTGCAACAAGTATGTCTATTGTTTTTGTTCTAATTAATTGTTTACATGAAATAATTTGTTCATCTATCTCATATAGATATACAATAATGTTCTAGCCACAACACTACGACAAGTGATTACATTTGCAAAGAAACATATTGCTGGCTGTAATCTATGTAAACTAAAAGGATTCTATTGTGAGATTTGCAAAAATTCCGAAATACTTTATCCATTTGATACTGATTCCACGAAACGTTGTGATAAATGTAAAAGTGTTTTCCATATCAAATGTTATGATGAAAAATATGATAAAAATAATTGTTCAAAATGTTTACGTATTGCAAAAAAACGTGGACAACAACAACAACAACAACAACAACTACAACAATCATCATCTCCATCATCATCATCATCATCATCATTGGCCCAAACAACGGCAACAAGAACATAACAATTCTGCTAATATTGTATACTTTTTGACTTATATTTGTTTGTCAACAATTTACTTAAGCATAAATTAATTTTTTTATCTATAATTTTTGCCATTCTTCTCATCTCTTAATGATAAAAACTCCATGTAATTATTATCTCTGAACTAGTTTGTTTGATATATTATCATTGTAATAATTATTTATATATTATAATATGTTTCTTTGTTTGTTATAATCCACATTTGACAAATGAGAGATGATTGTTACATGGTTTTATTATATGTCAAGTAACAATACTCTTGGATCTTCGACGGCAGCTTTGATTTTTCGTAAGAAAGTAACCGCTTCTCTGCCATCTATCAATCGATGATCATAAGTTAAACAAACATACATCATCGGTCGAATTTCGATCTGTGTCATTGTAAAAAATGTAAATTATTAAGAAGTGGTGATCATTTTAAAAGCAGTACCTTTTTATCAATAACTACTGGTCTATCGATAATTGCGTGCATTCCAAGAATGGCCGATTGAGGTGGATTGATGATTGGAGTGCCAAACATAGATCCAAATACACCACCATTGCTAATGGTGAACGTACCACCATCCATATCTTCAATGGCTAATTGATTATTTCTTGCTTTTTCACCCACTTCACTTATAGCTCTTTTCGATTTGGGCATAATTCATCTTTTCAACATTACGGAGCACCGGCACAACTAAACCTTTTGGAGTAGCCACAGCAACGCTAATATCGATATATTCACGATAAACAGTTTCGTTTCCTTCAATGACGGCATTCACAACTGGTTGATCTTGTAATGCAAATGCCGATGCCTTAATGAAAGCCGACATAAAACCCAATTTCAAATTGTGTTTCTTTTGAAAAGTATCTTTATGACGATTTCGCATCTCCATTATATTGCTGCGAAATAATTGAACAAATTAATTAAATTGACAAATTTCAAATTGCTTATACCTCATATCAATCTCATTGAAAGTCGTCAACATTGCATATGTATTTTGAGCATCTTTGAGACGCTGAGCAATCCTTTGACGCATACGATTCATTTTGACTCGAGTTTCTTTTCGTGATGATCCAACGGAAGCTTCGGCAGAGGGACTAGCCATAGTTTGTGTAGTGGATTTTACATCAGAAACAGGTGTGCTTGAAATGGGTCCGGAGCTAGGTTCTGGAGTTGGAGTTGAAGGTGGTGGTGGTGGTGGTGATGGAGATGATGATTCAGGTGTTGGCTCAGATTTAGGAGTTTCGGTTGATTTAGGAGCAGTAGCACCACCACCACTAGCTCCAACACGAATACGAAGTACCACTTTACCCGGCTGAACAGTTGAACCATCTTCCGCTAGAATTTCTTCAATTACACCAGCAACGGGTGAATGAATTGGCACTGAAGTCTGTTTTTTTTTAATTAAAACATTTAAGTTTCATGTCATTTAAAACAAATATGGAAAAAAACCTTATCAGTTTCAACTTCGGCCACAACCTCATCCTCGTTAACTTGATCTCCGACAGCTTTCATCCAACGAATATCTCCTTCGCTTAGAGATTCGGCCAATGCAGGAACAACAACATCACGTATTTCATTATCTTTAAATTGAAATAGAATTCATTATTAAAATGAATTTTACATTATTAAAACGAATTTCACACTTACAGTATCTGGCCGAAACATGAAATGTTCGTCGATTCTTGTTGTTCAATTGGAATAACAAGGCGTTTGTTTCACTAAATCATTGAAATATTTGAAATGGTGAATATCAACAAAAAATAAATTTTAAATTACCAATTGGATGAGCAATTATTATTATTGAAGATATTATTTGAACATAACGATGTTGAACATCGTATAACATTGAAATCAAACAATGATGATTGTGGATTCAATTTCGATTCAATTTGTGGTTTGAACAATCTAGTTGTCGATTGTTTAAAAGTAACTAACCGGGAGGCACGATTAACTGAAATTTTTTAATATTATTCGAAATCAATTCAAAATGATAAAATGAATATTAATTAGACCACTTACTCAATGAATATGAATAAATTTTGGTATATTTAAACATTTTTTTTTTTCATAAATTCAAATAATCAAAATATATCAAAGCCAGAAACGAAAAAATCGAACTACACACACACACACACACACATAGAAATTAACAGAAAAAATCAAGAAACTTGGCAATCCGAAAAAAATTGTGGCCAAATGAAGAACGGCAGACAACATACATATCCACACACAGCCAAACGCAAAAGGGCAATATGCGAACAGGTGAATGGTGGCGTCATCTAATGGTAGCGAAAATTAAAGTTTCAAATATAATCAATTTATTATATATTTTCATTCAAATTTTTCATTTTAATTAAACGATTTTAATTATCATCATCATCATAATTAATTAAAATTATAAAATACAATTTTCGATTTGTTTCAAACATCACTTAGAGAATCAGGATATTGTTTGTTTTGTTGTTGTGGTAATTATAACGAATACAAATTTTTTTTCAAAACCGATTGATGATCTAATCCACTTCAAGATCATTGTCGGTAAGATTTTATTTGTCATAGTCATCATCATTAATTATATTGAATTTACTCTTCTTCTTCTTCTTCATCATCTTCTTCAAGCCAGATAAGCCATTTATTCACCTGAAACAATGCTTTACCTTTTCCTGGATATTCTTCATTAATATCTTCACGCCATTTGAAGAATACTTCGTCATCGACAATTTCCTGTTCATATAGCATGTTGAACCATTTTTCAATCAATCCTTTAGGAAAATTATGATCATGACAATATGTTTGCAATGAATAAAGTACCACCAATTGAAGATCATGTTTGCCAGATAAAAATTTTTGCAAAACTTGACAATATTTTTTCAATTCGTTTTCTTGTTGAACAAACAATGCTGATGTAAAAACGAATGGATTATCCGGATTGTTATGCTTGGCAATAATGTGCTTCAACAGGGTTGAAAAGACAACCGAAATGAATTCCGTACTATTTTGCAGCGTTGTATTAACGTTGTCTTTAAGCCAACGGTAGAGGGAACTGGGTGAACAATCGCTAGTAATCTGTTTAGTTATATCCGATTCAATACGCAACATTGGATATAAAAATGTCAAGTTTCTATCTTCAAGAATATCCGCCATACGTTCCTTGTTACGATCTGGTTCGGGCACCATTTGCATTAGATTTATTTTCGATTCAGAAAATATATCAAACAACCATGATTGACCTTTTGCTTTGTGTAGATTTTGCAATATCAATGGAAACAACGGATAATGTTGACCGCCATCCAACAGGTCGCCAATTTCTTTCAAAATGATCACATTTTCAGTTATAGCATTGGCAATATAGGCAGCTACATATGAACGAGCACGAGGGGTTTCCACTTCCAATTCGTTTATCTTTGAGAACAAATTCTTCAATGATGATAAAAATATCTGATCATTGACCACTTGATCGGACTTAATTTTGTTCAACAATTGATTGGTTAGTTCTCGTTCCTTTTCCGATTTGCCAATGCTGATTCGCATGATTGATAAAAGAATCTCATCGAAATTAGCACTAGTTGTTTTCAAAAACTGAATAATTGGTTCAGATTTTTCGCTATCATAATATTCAGAAAGTAGTTTTTCGATCTCGAAAAATAAGTTAACAGGTTCATCTTTACTACAGGTGTCATCACTGCTGCCACTATTACCACTATTCGGCATATTTGTATCATCTAGTCGCATTTGATTAACATCGTTTGCCAAATCTTTTCCATTCAATTTGGTTGGATTCATGAATTTACTGAAACTATTATTAGGCTTTTGAAATGGATTAGGAGGATTTCGATTAAATGCTTGTCGATTGTTGTTGTCGTTGATCATCGGTGGCTTCATCATTGGCATCATACGATGATCATCATTGTTATTTTGTTGTTGGGGATGCTGTGCTTTCATAAATGGCAAATTCTGAGTTTGTTTCATTTGTTTCTGGAAACGTGGTGGTAAATTTACCGGCGTTTCACGAGGATTATTCATCATATTCGATCCATTAATTGCATTGTTTTGGTTGTTGGCATTGTTTGCCATATTGTAATTGTTTGCATTATTATTACCACTATTGTTATGTTGTGGATAATTTGGACGATAGTTTGGTTGATTATCTCGTTTCATCATCATATTCATTGATGCTGATTGTGGGGGATAATTGTTTCCGGATGAATAAGGGACATTGTTTTTCTGATTATAATTCGGCCGTCGTGGATTATTCCATGAACCAAAATTATGGTCATTAATAGCTCCAGGGCCGGTACCAAGATAAATTGGACCAATTGGCATTGGTGAAAACATGTCATCAACCCTTCCTTGATTCATGAAAGGGCCATGTCTCAAATGATGCATATGATAGAGCGTACCATAAGGTGAAAGCAATCCATTGTTATCCTTTTCAGGCACCTTTTCCGATATACTGCTATGAAGAACATCCTTTTGTCGAGGAATCCACTGAAAAAAAGAATATTTTTTTAAAAATTAAATTTTAAAGATATGTAACATACATTATTCTTTCTCAAGTCAATAACATCAAGCAGCATGAACTTGATCCGTGAATTGATTTCACTACTTTTCGAGTACGTATTCATACGATCAAAATATTGATCCAACAAAACGCTTGCTTTTTCATTCGTTTCAAGTAAGTGGCCAATATTTTTCATTATCTCACATAAACATTCGAGATCTTGCATTTTATCAGCAAAGCTTTGATTCTTTGCCCTCGACAATAATTGTTTAATGCAATCATGCAAAATATTTTTTGGTAACAATTGTTGTTTACCAAGTTCGCAAATAAATTTGATGTTGCAAAGCATTTTTTGCTTTGCCAATGATCGTTTCTCTTCATCATCGACACTAAGTGGTCCATTTTGATTTTCAAATTGTTCAAATGCATTGCAACGATTTTCATATTCTTCTTTACACTTTTTCAGCAATAATATCTTGAAAACCTAAATATTACAAATTTTATGTAATCAAAAAATCAGATTCAATATAAAAATTTGAATAATAATGAAAAATACATACGTTTTTGTTGTAGTTTTGTTCATAGTATTTTGAAACATTATCATTGATAACTTTACATAACTTTGCGTACATACAACTATATTTGTAATCATCAAGTGCTTTGTTGAAGATTAACAAAAGAACGCGAGTAAGCACATCTTCAGATTCGAGGCCAAGATCAAGAAGCTCTTGGCTTAGCTTGTCGAATTTTTCTGGAGTTATTTTATTCAAAATTCTATTATCAAACAAAAGTGATGAATTATTTTTTCATATTTAAAATAGGTAGATAGATGGATAGATTTTTTTACAAAACTTACCCACGAACTTTATAGACGATTTGAGGGTTATCGCATGCATCTCTGGTATTACTCGGAGGAGCCAATCTACGAATTAAAAGCGAGCCACTGTTATTACGGCCATATGATGATGTCGTAGAATGAGTGCTAGGACGCTGAACATCGTCCTTTCCTCCCGAGCATCGAGAAGCTTGACCCTCCAATACTCGCTGGTTGTCCGTTGTGTTGAGTAGAATTTTCGAAATTTAAACTGAAAAATGAGAATGTAGAAGAAAAATCGTGATCTGAATTATGGACTCAAGAATCAGTTCAGTATCTTTTTTTTAAAAATATTCGATGACCAGATTTTCAGTTAAACGTATTTCAATTAAAAAAAATTGAACACTATATCAATGAACAATCTTAATAATTTTCGAACAAGTCTTTTTTTTGCTCACTGACAAAACTACGACGTCAATATAACAAAAAAAACAACAACAATAAAAAAATAACCAGAAAAACAATCCAAATCACAATATAAATGGGATGAGAAATGGTTGTTGCTTTTACATACACACTAATAATATATCTATGGATTGAATTGAAATTTATATATGTAAAAAAAACAACAACAAATTTTTCATTGAATGAAATTTTGTTAATTTTTGTTTTATTTAAATGCTTCGGATCTTTTTTTTGATCCCGATGACAAAAAAAACAAAGCCGAAACAAAATTAGTTGAAAATTTAATTTTTAGTTTTTTTTTGTTGACGATTATGACGATGATGATGATGATGATTCGATCGGTTATTTTTTTCGTCGTCGAGCAAAAAAAACACACAGATTTTTTTTTTTTTTTAATATTAAGAATGAAAATAGACAAAGAGAGTGAGCAATAAGAGAATGTGTGTATGTATGTTGTATATTTAAGAAATATATAATGGAACAACAATATATTTTAGTGGTGGCGTTGGCAAATAAATGGCGAACGCGCAGCAAATAAAAAAAAAATGATGATGATGATGATAGTTGATGAGGAGAATTGTGGGCTGGCTTTTATTTACAACGTAAAGTTGATCGTTCGTTCGCTCATCATCATCATCATTCATCATATAGTGGTTATATCATTGTCATTGACTGTGTTAACAGTTGTTGATAATAATGATAGTTTGGAGGCAGCACTAGCGTTCTTTTAACACCGGTGTGGCTGCTTTTTTTTTTTGCTGTCTCTCACCAATTTTTTGTATATTGGCCTTTATATGCACATTGAAATAATGATGATGAAAAAAAAATGAAAAACCTGGACAGGAAATATCATCATATTGCAATCAAACATTGAAGGTTTTTTTTCACTCTTGTATATATTCTTATTTTTTTTTCATATATCGAATGATTACAATCTATCGACTTATAGATGTTGTATGTATAATACGCATACACACACACACAATTTTGCCCATCCTTGTATATATTCGGTTACGATGATGATGATTATAAATGGGTATTTTTTTTTTTTTTTTCTTGTATCTTTGATAAAACTAATATATAATACCGACCAGGCACTGGGCAAGTACAACGAACCTTGAACGAACATTTGTGCCTTTTTTTTCACAATGATAATTGATGATGATGAATACATTGAATTCTAATTACATGATGATCAATGACATTAAATATTATTTTTAAAAAAAGCCCAATTTAGCCTTATTTTAATTATTTTTAAATTTATGGATGAAATGATTAGGTATTACATATATGATAAATTATTTTATTAACCAAAAATTTCGTCAATTTTTCGTATCAAATGTCTATAATAATAATAAAGGAGTATAATAAAATACAAATTTATAAACTTTAAAATAATTTTCAATTAAAATTCTTACTGAGAATGAATTGGTTGTCCATGTACATAGAATGGATTCGATGTGGTAACATCAACATAAATATTATGAATAGTTTTCAATATAGCACGTGCTTCATTATCACGAATAGATGTATTATTGACCATTAATAAAATTTTACTATTGGTTGCTGAACAAAGGCCATAGATTTTATAGCTATCACTTTGAGATAGAATACCCAAGAATGGTTCACGAGTATTTTGTTTTTCTTCAACAACATCCAATGATGAATGTAATTTGAATAATATATCTACAGAATCTTCATTTCGTGTTCGTATTAGAACAGGTGTATTATGATTGTTGACAATGGCCAATGCTAAAACGGACATTATTATTATTTTTATATCGATTGATAATTACAAGAATTTGAAAGATTGACGATAAAATTAAAATGACAATTTACAATGCATCGATATATCGCATAAATAGTGTACGTCCTATTTGCATGGAAAAGTCTTCAATGGATTTAATTTTTTTTTTTTTGCTTGAGACTGAGCAGACGTCATTGTAGGCGTAAATCCATTTATTATCCATCATATTGAGCAAAAAAATTTTTTTTTTTACCATTCCATTTCTTTATTTTGCATTTCTTTTGATCTGAAAAGCAATAATTATTTATTTCGTTAAAATTATTCTATCGAAGAATCTGAAACAAAATGACTGTCAATGAATGGCTAAATCCAAACGCTGCAAATCGCACTCATGCGATGGCTGTTACTCGTAATTACATTTCACAGCCACGATTAACTTATAAAACAGTGACTGGTGTAAATGGTCCGCTAGTTGTTTTAGATGATGTTAAATTTCCAAAATTTGCTGAAATTGTACATTTAACTCTTAACGATGGTACGGTACGTACTGGACAAGTTCTTGAAGTTAGCGGATCCAAAGCTGTTGTTCAAGTGTTCGAAGGAACATCCGGAATTGATGCCAAACATACCGTTTGTGAATTCACAGGTTTTTATTCTGAAACAACATTTATCAACTGATTGAACTGATTTTCTTATATGAATTTAGGCGATATCTTACGTACACCTGTTTCCGAAGACATGTTAGGACGAGTGTTCAATGGTTCAGGTAAACCAATCGATAATGGCCCCCCTGTATTAGCCGAGGATTACCTTGATATTGAAGGTCAACCCATTAATCCAGAATCTCGTATTTATCCGGAAGAAATGATTCAAACTGGAATTTCGGCAATCGATGTCATGAATTCTATTGCTCGTGGCCAGAAAATTCCAATCTTTTCAGCTGCTGGTTTGCCTCATAATGAAATCGCTGCCCAGATTTGTCGTCAAGGTGGTCTGGTCAAATTGGACGGACGAGGTCGAGAATCAGATGATAATTTTGCCATCGTTTTTGCTGCTATGGGTGTCAACATGGAAACGGCTCGGTTTTTCAAACAGGATTTCGAAGAAAATGGTTCCATGGAAAATGTCTGCTTGTTTTTGAATCTTGCCAATGATCCAACAATTGAACGTATTATCACTCCTCGATTAGCTTTGACTACTGCCGAATTTTTGGCTTATCAATGTGAGAAACACGTATTGGTCATTTTGACTGACATGTCCTCATATGCTGAAGCTTTGCGTGAAGTATCAGCTGCCCGTGAAGAAGTTCCTGGTCGCCGTGGTTTTCCCGGATACATGTACACTGATTTGGCTACCATTTATGAACGTGCTGGTCGTGTTGAAGGACGAAATGGTTCAATCACTCAGATTCCAATTTTAACCATGCCAAACGATGATATCACCCATCCTATTCCCGATCTTACCGGATATATTACCGAAGGCCAAATCTATGTTGATCGTCAATTGTCCAATCGACAAGTATATCCTCCGATCAATGTACTTCCATCGCTTAGTCGTTTGATGAAATCGGCCATTGGTGAAGGAATGACAAGAAAAGACCACGCTGATGTGTCCAACCAATTATATGCATGTTATGCTATCGGTAAAGATGTTCAAGCTATGAAAGCTGTAGTTGGTGAAGAAGCATTGACTGCAGAAGATTTATTGTATCTGGAATTTTTAAGCAAATTTGAAAAAACATTCATTACACAAGGTAGCTATGAAAATCGAACCGTATTTGAATCTTTGGACATTGGATGGAAATTACTACGAATCTTTCCAAAAGAAATGCTCAAACGTATTCCGGCTGATACTTTGGCAGAATTCTATCCACGTCAAGGTGGTGGTGGTGGTGGAGCTCAAGCTACTGGTAAAAATTGAAATGAATTCTATTGATCATCAGTGGTAAAAATCCATATATATTGTTGTTGAATATTCATTCATTCATATCTAGTCTAGATACAATTGCTTTTCTTTAAATGTTAATTCATTCTTTTTTTTTCTTTCTTTCTTTTAAATTCAAAATGTAACATTTATCAATCAAAATGATCATTCCAGTGCAACAGCCAAGATTTTATTTTACAAAAACATAATGATTTTTTTTTTAAATAATAGAATTGAAATTATTTCTGTGTGTGTGTGTGTGTATTGTGTGCGTGCTCGTGATTATCTTGATGTCTTTAAATGATTGAAATGATTATTAAAAAAAAATAATAATGAAAAAAATCAAACTTTGCTTATTCTTTATTTTCTTATAATTTCAATTCTTTTTATATCATACAAATCATCAACATCATCATCATTCACATTCGTTCGAAACCAATCATCAAATTAATCAATTGAATTTTAAGAATATATATCACAGAATCAAGGAAAGAAAAAAAAAGAATTGAAATTTTAAAAAAAAAGAGATTCTTTTTGAAGACCCGATGTTTTGTTTGCTGTATTTATAAATAAGAAGAACGTGATGATGTGATGTATTAGTGAAATAGATGAAATAAAGTGTATGTATGTATGTATGTAATTCGACAAGATGAACAATTTGTGACAAATATATAATTGATATTTGAAAAAAAATGGAAAGAGAAAAAAAAATAATCGAAAAAAAAAGAAATTAAGAATTTAAACTTAATCAGAATTATTATCATCATCGTAATTTTCGGTCGGTATAATTTCATCTCGACAATAAACGACAGCATCGACATCTTCTTCTTCATCATCAACATTATCAATTAAATTATTATTGTGTTTGAAAGAATTATAAGTATGATGATTTTGTGATTGTGGTTGTTGTTGTTGTTGACAATGATTATGATTTAATGTTTGATTATGTTTTGAATAAAGTAATTTTGATTGAGTATGCTGTACTGGTTTCGGTTTTCGATATTCATATACCAATGGATAGATTTTTTCAACGGCTAATTGCACATTTGGGATACTTGGTGCTGTTATCGTAATCGATCCCGTTTGAAATATAGTCAAAACAGCTTTCAATTCTTTTATACGATATGTTGCACCCGGATGTAATTCGGGTTCATAACTATATCAAAATGGATAAATTAATAGAAAATATATCCACATTTTATAATCAAAAAAAAATTAAAAAAAATATTTACCTTGCTATAGGCCTATGTGAATCACTAAATTCATGAATTTTAATACCAAATGGTAGACGACAAGCGCCAAGAACATTTACAATTCTATAATTACGAAATTTGACTGGATAACCTAATTTTTGTAAAGTTCGTGCAACTTTTCTTGAAGCACATTTTGCCGATTCTTCTGTAGTCGCTCCTGTACAAGTTATCTTACCCGATGACCAAATATTGGCCGTTATTAATGGATGTCTTAATTTCATTAAAACAATCTATATAATAATCAATAGTAAAAAAAAATTGAAATTTATAAAGAAAAAATTTGTATTCATTGATCACATCATACCGATCGTTCTCTTCTATAGACAACATTCGATCCTCTTGTGGCTAATTGTCGTAGATTTAGATGGCAACGAACATTAAAATTCGTTACAACATTACTAATGGTTATATCAACAGATTCTTCATTTTGTTGTAGATTATTATCATCAATATTATCATTATTAATATTCTTATCATCATCAATATGATGATTATTATTATGATGATTCATATTATTTACATAATTATCATTATTCTCCATTAATTGTGAATTATAATTTGTTTGAATCGTTACGTTTTCATTGAAACTAATATTATCATTATTATTATTTGATGTTGTTGTTGTTGTAGTGGATGAAGATGTTGTAGATAGATTATTATTATTATTGTTATTATTCACCATCGTAGTACCGTTGTGCATTGGTTGATTGGCAACAAAATTTGAAGCGGCAATCATGTTCTTCAAGTGTTGAGATTATTATTATTATATTGATTTATTGCTATACTATATATGTAAAGAACAAACAGAATGCTGAAACGGTCGTTCAATAAAATCGGTCTCAAGAATTTGAAACAAAAATGATTTGAATTTATATCAAAGAAAGTTTTGACGATTGAACAAGGATATAGCGGCTTCAAGATATATTAATTTATTTAAATCATTTCATTTTTCAATCTGAAAGAATTTTATCGTTTTTTTTCAAACATGAACATAATCATCATCAGCAGAATACACAAGAATATTGTGAAAAAATGTGAATTAAAAATTTTCAATAAACTTAAAAAAAGAGATAATAATTTGATGATGATGATATTGTCGTTGTTGTCGTCGATAAATCGTGGCTTTTTGTATTGTATAATTATAGAAAAAAAATACTCATATGAATCAAATTATGAAAATTTTTTATTCTGTTATTTATGAAACAATGGATATAGAAATTGATTCAAATTGGATATCTGGATGAGAAACAAAAGCAAAAAAAAAAAAATATTTTCGCGTTTTGATCAAAAAAATCTATTTTTTTTTTATAATATAAAAAAAAATACACATACAAACACAAACACAAACACACACACGCACAATGCAATACATTGATGTCTGTCTGTCTGTCTTCTATATTCCAGAAGAGATCAAAAGCATTGACGAATGAAACACAGTTAGCACCCTCTTTTTAAATCCAATCACACACACACATATATATACGTTTATTATGATGAGTAAACGCAAATGATGAAAAGGAGCAAAGGAATTATTAAAAAGAAACGAGATAAATACAGAAAAAAAAAATAAAGTTGAGTGTGCCGGAGAATCCACATATGTTGTTTCATAATTAAGACCACTACTACTACTACTACTATATTTTATACAAACAACAATAAAGGTGGCCGGTATATGTGTGGATCAATACAATCAACTGTGTATACAACACAACAGATAGAATATGAATGAATGAATTGAATGAATGAAATAGCCATGAACATTGTCGTCGTTGTTGTTGTTGTCGAAATAAAATACATTTGGTCACATACTTTATGACTGATCCATTTTTTTTATATATATATTTTTTATAAAATTCTTTGCATATTTTTTTTACGTATATATACGGAAATTCTAATCAATCGATTATCAATTTTTTTTCTGATTGTTTATAAAATTATTATTATTGATTTTAAAATTTTTATTCGACAATTAAATTTTAATTTTTTTTATCTTTTTTTTGGATCATTTAGAGATTTTTACAAGAATTTTTTTTTTTGCATTATTATCACCAGAATTTGATGTGATTTAAGAAAACAGATTTTTTTTTTCATTATCATTTTAATTATGAGACCATTTTTTTTTTTGATTACGGATTCAAAAATGACAGTATTCATGTAAAAGAATTTGTTTCTATATTCGACTACAACAAAAAAATCAACAAAACAATCTGGAAAATCATATGTGCAACATATGATAAAGATTTAATAAAAATATCAAACAATCAACAATTAAATTATATAAAAATGAAAGAGATAAATGGCTATAATGGTAATCAATCAGAATCAATAAGATGGCAAATCATATAAATTATCTATTTGATATGGAAAAAAATTTTATTAAAAGATTTTATTCAAAATTTTTAAAGATTTAAATTCTGTTCAAGAATCAACAGCGCCACAGTAACATTCTTTACTAAAGACCCCCTTTGAATCATTTTATATATAGCAAACACAGTATTTATTGAGCCAATGAGTGAATGTGTGTGTGTGTGTGTGTATACGAAAAAGAGAGAGAGAGAGCGAGTGTTGTTACTGCTGCTGAGCAGTCTATTGCTTTTATTTGCTTCTTCACTTGATGATGGTTGGCTCTCTGTCTCCCTCGTTCTCTTTCTCTCTGGCTGCCTCATTCTGTGGCTGAATCTTATCATCAAAATGGCCGAAGTGTTGTTTTTTCACTCCCAAATGGAGTGAGTGAATCTTATTTGACTCGAATATAATCTTGATTACCGCTTCAACGGTAGAAACATCGACATTTTATTGGTGACGATTATTTGGCCGGCGATTTTTTTCCACGGCCACGCAATCCCCTAAAAAAAGAACGGTTTTTTTCAATACATGTAAAACCTATGGCCCATGAACTCAATTATCAACAACAACAACATCATCAATATATTTACTAGCATCGAATATATTGATATTATTATTATCAACAATATAATATTGAAATTGAAATATATACCATTTATGTGTACCATAATGCATTAGTCTGCTCATTTTTTTTTCGTTGTTCACCATCGTCTTCATTTTGCTTCTTAAAATAAAAAAAAAACATATACAAATAAACATAAATTACTACACACAACACGGCCATTATTTACCACAAACAACAACAACAATTGAATTTATATATGTTTTTGTCTTTCGATTCTTGTGTTTTTTTTTTGTCGATACTTTTTTGTTTTGATTCAGTTTCGACTTTATTAATTATTATACAATAATATAATATTGACAAAAAATATAAAACAATTATCACTAGAATCCGTTTGATCGATTCATCAGAATTTGTTTCCTTCAAACATCGTCATCATCATCATCATAAATTATCACCAATAAACGAATCATTTGTTATTTATTTCTGTGTGTGTGTGTGTGTGTGTGATTGATCAATTCAATATTCAAAAAGAAACAACTTGTGAATATTTAAGATTTTTTTTTTTAAATGTATAAATATTCATAGACAAATTTTTCAATCTCAATGATATTTCAGACTTTTAACAATAAATTAAATGTAAGTATATACATGGAATCATTTCATTTCATTTTTTTTTGTTGTTATAAAATCATTTTGACAATCACTATGATTCTATATCAATTTCATGATTTATTTTTTTTTTTGAATTTATTTATCAAAAAAATTTTAGTATAAATAATTTACATTTTCATCTTGATCTTGATGCTAAGATTATTATTATCAACAACATTCATCATTTATTCGCCAATCATATTATGGGCCATGTGCATTCAATTTTCTCATTATTTATAATAAAAATCAACTATATGAATTTCGAAAAACATCTATTAAAAGATGGATGATGTGACAAATAGTGGATCATCACTATCATCCAATAATAACGGAACAGGTTCAATTGTTCCCCATCAATTTATATTAACTGGTGGTGGTGGTGGTGGAAGCGATGTTGTTGGCGCCAGTGCCGGTGTTACAGCTGGAACCATCAACATGAATTCCGATCAGCAACCAAACAAAAGACTAAAAACAAATGACTCTTCAGATTTTAATTTGCACATGTTTAATAATTTACCTAATGAATTATCATCTAATAATGTTGTCGATAATAATATTATAAGCAATGTTGTTCCAAATATTGTTAACAATCCATCCACAACTGCCACAGTTAACATGCATAGTTCACAGACAACTATGGCTGGCCATCAACAACAACAACAGCAGCAGCAGCCAACAAGTCTGCCACATCTTCAAAAGCCCATACAGAATCCCACTCAATCGCAAATTCAGCGAACAATATTAACAAATTCACCTACTGGCATGACTCTTCAACAACAATTGAGAAATCCTCCTATGCAGCAACAACAACATCGTTATGCATCGCAACAAGGCGCCAATTCTACAATGAATGCACCTCAAGTTCAAATCATGTCTCAACAACAAGCCCTACAACAATTCGGTTTCAATAATAGTCAAGTTGCAACACCAAGAATAGCTCAACAACAACAACCACAACAGCAACAGCAACAATATCGATACATGTCACCGAACCCAAACCAAATCAGTATTTCGCAAATGCAACCGCAAGGATCTCAACAAAATCAGATTCAAAATTCTGGAGGATTCACCACAACAAACCCAACCATTCAACAGAACCATATTAGATATCCTAATCAAGCAACAACAACAACAACAACAGCAGCAGCAAAATCCGAACCAAGGGCCTAATCTGTTGAATGCTGATGCTGAAAAACGTAAATTGATACAACAGCAATTGGTTCTTTTACTTCATGCCCACAAGTGTCAAAGAAAAGAAGAACAACAACGACAAAATGGCACCGAACCTATGCCATGTAATTTGCCGCATTGTCCCACCATGAAACAAGTTCTTGCACATATGAATAAATGTACTGCTGGTAAGTCAATGTTCTTTATAATTTTTTTTTGTTGTTTTTATAGAAATTTTCAATTATTATTAAAACTTTATTTCTCAGGTCGACAATGTACTGTTGCACATTGTTCGAGTTCATATCAAATTATAAATCATTGGAAAAATTGTAATCGAATCGACTGTCCTGTTTGTAATCCCTTGAAACAAGCGAATAATAGAAAACCACAGGTATTTACTAGTCAATTCATAAAAAATGTTTATGGCAAAACTTATATATTGATTATACCATGATTATTTGTCAATAGCAACAGCCTCAAATGTCTCAGAATGCAGCCAACAACCAGAATGTGAATAGTACAAATCACAATTTGGTCATTTCTCAAATGAATACAAATAACAATACCATAAATACACAAGGTCCCCAACAATCTCAAGCCCAGACATCTTTACCTCAACAACAACAACAGCAGCAACAACAACAGCAGCAGCAGCAACAACAACAGATGCAACAGCAATCAGATATGCAAAAAGCATATCAATCACTAGGTCTTCCTTATAATAGTAATTCAATGTTTCAAACAAATTCTCGATCATCAAACGTGAATGCGACACATTACGCTTCTAATGCAAACCCTACAAAAGATTGGCAAAGTAGTGTTAATCTTGAGTTACGTCAACATTTGGTTCAAAAAATTGTTCATGCCATTTTTCCAAACTCTGATCAAAACCTATCTGTTCACGACAAACGATTGCATAACCTTTACTCATATGCAAAAAAGGTCGAATGTGATATGTACGACAAAGCCGATTCTAGAGAAGATTATTATCGTCTTCTTGCGGAAAAAATTTATAAAATTCAAAAAGAATTAGAAGAAAAACGGCAACGAAGAAGAGAACAACAACAACAACCGAATGTATCTGCTCAACAACAGATGAGCAACATGGTTGTACCAAATACTCGATCACCGATGCCCAATAATATACAAGGATTGCAAAGTCCAACCAGAGGGAATATGGTTGTTTCAACCAACAACACAACGATGACAACAAATTTCGTGAGTAATCAGAATCAACCACAATCTGCTGCTGGACAACAACAGCATCAACCAACATCGGTGGGTGGACAATTATCCAATCAATTTTTTATGCCGACCAATGTTAATCAACAACAACAACAACAGCAGCAGCAAGGACAACAAGCATCGCCGATACCACATCAAATAAATCAGACAAACCAATTTAGACATACTCAAAACCACAATCAAAACAATTTTATAAACAATTCGACTTCGAATAATTCCATTGTTCTAATTCATCAGCAACAGCAACCTAATACTCCTCAACAAACCTTTTCGAATCAATCTCAGACAACTCCTCAACGTTCGCAACAACAGCAATCAATGTCAACAGCGACGATCACAACAAATTCTACCAATATATCAACTAATATAACGAATATTCAACAACAACAACAACAACAGCAGCAGCAGCAGCAACAACAACCGTCGCTTATTGGTCAACAACCTAATCATAATCAGTTGCAATTAAATGAATGCAATATTAAGACTGAAATGATGGATGATGCAATGTCAACAACTTGTAATTCACAATTACATGTTGGCACAGATTTATCCAATGAAATGGGTGTTGATAAACTATCTCATTCGAATAATATTTCAAATGTAAAAGCGGAAATTAAAGAGGAAAGAACTCAAATGGATGAACAAAAACCAATTATCGATAATTTTCATTCCCCTGTTGGTTCAAAGAACATTGATAATACGATAATGAATAGTAGCGAAAATAGTGGTGGTAAAGGTTCAGGTAAAAATAATTCAAACCAAACTCCCGTTTCTTCAAACCTTAATGTTTCGTCAATTAAATCGCCTGGTTCTGCCATTTTCAATGCAGATTCAAAAAGTGATATTAGTAAATCTGATCTAGATAGTTCATTAGATACAAGTACAAATCCGTCATTCTCATCCACTTCTACGACTGTAACGACAAAATCATCAATATCATCGTCATCAAGTGCTCCTTCCAAGAAGAAAACTTTTAAACCCGATGAATTACGTCAAGCATTGATGCCAACATTAGAAAAATTATATAAACAAGTACCTGAATCGATGCCATTCAGGCAACCTGTAGATCCAGATGCTTTACAAATACCTGACTATTTTGATATAATCAAACATCCAATGGACTTATCAACCATCAAGCGCAATCTCGATACTGGTCAGTATGAAAATTGATATTTTCAAAAAAAATGACAAAAATATTCTTTATATTTCTTTAGGACAATACACCGATCCTTGGCAATATGTCGATGATGTCTGGCTCATGTTTGATAATGCTTGGCTATACAATCGGAAAACATCTCGTGTATATCGTCATTGTTCTAAGGTGAACATGATATAAAATCAGTTAATATTATGATTTATAACCGATAAAAAAATTGTTCTGTTACAATAGTTGGCCGAAGTTTTTGAACAAGAAATTAATCCAGTGATGAGAAAATTGGGATATTGTTGCGGTCAGAAATACGTATTTCAGCCACAGATTCTTTGTTGTTTTGGTAAACAACTATGCACAATACCTCGTGATGCCAAATATATGCATTATCAAAATAGGTATATTTTCCAGAATAATTATTCAAAGATTATCCTCACAACGAATATTTTCTATATAGATATACATATTGTATGAAGTGCTTTTCCGAAATTTCTGGTGATAATGTCACAGTGGGTGATGTACTTGGCCTAGAGCCCAATTCAACAAATACGCAAACCATTCCAAAAAGTCAATTTGTTGAAAGTAAAAATGATCATCTTGATTTGGAACCATTTCTTGAATGTAAAGAATGTGGTAGAAAATTACATCAAATATGTGTTCTACATTTAGATCAAATTTGGCCTGAAGGGTAAATAACACTGGCTTTTGAATTTTTCAATTTTTCTGATCGATCATTATTGCATTCTCCTTAATTAGATTCACTTGTGAAGGATGCTTACGTCGTGATGGAAGAAAAAGACGGGATAATAAATTTGGTGCGAAACGTTTACCTCAAAGTAAACTGGGAACATTCATTGAAAATCGTGTAAATAATTTTTTGAGGAAAAAAGATTGTGGTGCTGGAGAGGTTTTTATTCGTGTCGTATCTAGTTCGGACAAAATTGTTGAAGTTAAACCTGGAATGAAACAAAGGTGTGATACTCATTTTTTCTTCTGTTGACAATAATATATAAATATATCTGTCTGATTTTCATTCAGATACTGCAACGGTAAAAGCGACTGGCCAGATTCATTCCCTTATCGAGCCAAAGCATTGTTTGCATTTGAAGTCATTGACGGAACCGATGTTTGTTTTTTCGGCATGCACGTTCAAGAATATGGATCCGAGTGTATGCCACCAAATACCAGGTTTGTCATTGTATATCATTTTTTTATTATTATTAAATTGTTCATTAAAATTTTTTTCATTCCTTAGACGAGTTTATCTAGCCTATTTGGATTCTGTATACTTTTTTCGGCCTAAACAATATCGTACGGCAGTCTATCATGAAATATTACTGGGATATTTAGACTATGCCAAACAATTGGGCTATACGATGGCTCATATTTGGGCCTGTCCACCTTCAGAAGGTATTTTTTTTGGAAAGTCTTAATAACATCGAATATACTAATATTTAATTCGTTTTACTTGTGATATTTTTAAGGTGATGATTATATATTCCACTGCCATCCACCTGAACAAAAGATACCGAAACCCAAAAGACTACAGGAATGGTATAAAAAGATGCTTGATAAAGGTATCATCGAACGTATCGTTCTCGATTACAAAGACATTCTAAAACAAGCAACAGAAGATAATCTCAAAAACGCCTCCGAACTTCCTTACTTTGAAGGTATGAATTTATATTTTTGATTTTTAGGTTTTTACCAATTTTTTCGTCTATAGGTGATTTCTGGCCAAATGTCCTGGAAGATTCTATCAAAGAAATCGAAATGGAACACCAGAAACAACAACAATTAATTGATTCAAATAAATCAGATTCGTCTGGCAACGAAAAAATTATGGACGATGATTCAATAGGTTTGTTTAATGTTACTGTATAACGTTACTGTACTTATTAATTAATTGTTGATTAAATGCAGTAGAAATGATCGATTCGGTTGACCAAAAAGACGGCGATGGTAAAATAAGCAAAGACTCTAATAACTCTAAACAACATAAAAAGAATAGTGCCAATAAGAAATCGAATAAGAAACAAAATAATCGAAAGAATAATGTTCATTCACGTCTAAAGTCTGGTCCATTGGCTAATCAACCTCAAACACAGGTAAGGCTTCATTTTCGATTTCATTTCAAAAATCTTATAATTTGTCTTTGAATAAAATTAGCTAACACCTGTGCAACAGTTCGATGCCGAATTAACTTCAAAGATATTTGCTAATATGGAAAAACATAAAGAAGTTTTCTTTGTCGTACGATTACACTCAAGTCAATCGGCAGCAAGTCTCCCACCTGTCAGTGATCCTGATAATCTGATCAACTGTGATCTTATGGATGGACGTGATGCTTTCCTTACTTTAGCACGGGACAAACATTACGAATTTTCTAGCTTACGACGCGCTAAATTCTCTAGTTTGGCCATGCTATACGAATTACATAATTGTAACAATGAACGCTTCCTATATTCGTGCAATAGTTGCAAACGTAGTCTGGTGGAAACAAGATATCATTGTAGCCATTGTGATGATTTTGATCTCTGTGTCCAATGTTACGAAAAAGATGGCCATCAGCATAGAATGGACAAAATCGAATTCGGTGATCTCATGAGTAGCGTTGATGGTGACGTAAGTAATGTGGCTGGCGCATTGAACTCTAGTTCCGGAGGTGATGGGGATGGAAATAATGATCCAAATGCACCTGGTTCTAATGTTGGAACTTCCCCAAGCGAAACACGTCGTCAATCAATACAGCGGTGCATCGAAAGCTTATCACATGCTTGTCAATGTCGTGATGCTAATTGTCGTCGTCCAACTTGTTTGAAAATGAAACGAGTTGTTCAACATGCCAAAAGTTGCAAGAAAAAGAATGTTGCGAATCAATGTCAAATTTGCAAACAGCTTATCGCTCTCTGTTGTTATCATGCCAAACATTGTCAAGAACCGGGCAACAAATGTCTTGTCCCATATTGTCAAAATTTCAAACAAAAAATACAGCAACAACAAATCCAACAAAGATTTCATCAAGCTCAAATTCTTAAACGTCGTATTGCTTCCATGTCTATGGCTATTCATTCTCAAAGTTCTCAATCGACCAGCAGCAATAATGGAACTACGTCCTGTCCTCCCCAGCCGGTAAGACATGTTTTAATAATTCTTGTTTTTCATAATAAAATGTTTTTATGATTTAGTGTCATATGAAACCGGCAACGGCAACGCCTCCTCCTGCTGGAGCTTTACAAGCCGCTGCCGCTGTTCAAGCCGTGGCAAGGCAACAACAAACCACCCAAAATATGTCACCAATGTTGGGAAAAGGTGGAAAACCAATGCTGCCTTACATGTCATCACCTTCACCGCAAATATCTAAACCTCCTTCCATGACTTCGAATCAACCAGTAACGATGCAGCCGAAAATGGGTCCACAATCCGACATGCAACAAAGTTCGCAACAATCTCCACAACAATGGTTCAGTTCTCAATCTCAACAAGCTCGATTTACGCGACCACAAATTAACACAATGCAATCCCAGACACAATTTTCACAATCGCAGATGATGGGCATGCAGCAACAGCAAACCCAAAATATCGGAAGTAACCTGCCATCGTTGTTAATGTCTAATCAAAACATCCAGCAACAACATCCGCAACAAATCGGATTGAATCATCAACAAACACCACAGCAGCAGCAACAACAACAACAGGTAATATGTCAATTAAAATTGTGCTAAATTGTAACCATTAACTTTTGATCAGATGACCAATCCTAATATGTCACAACAATTGAGCAACCAGCCTAACCAAAATAATTATGCTCAATTGATAAAAACTTTCAAGAATTCAACAACCAGCACCAATCAAGAAGTGATGTCATTTATTAAGAATGATCCTAAAATGATGGCAACTCTAATAAGAACACAACAACATCCATCTCAGCAGCAACAAATGTCTATGCAGCAAAATGTAAGTTTTTTTGTTTAAATTTTATTTTAATCAAACATTCAACGATATTTTCAATACGTGTGTACAGATGATCAATCAACAAGGTTCGAATATGGGTTCACAATTATCTCAAAACCAAAATTGGTATGGTCCTTCCCAGGCGCAATCACAACGAATGATGAATCCTGGACAACGACAATTGAATCCTCAAACTAGTCCACGCGCTTCAATGATGATGAATACAGTACAAAATCAGGCACCTTCACAAGCTTCACAACATCAACAAGTTTATCCGAATCAACAACAACAAATTCGTTTCAGCTCAACGAATTGGAGCGGTAATTCTCAACAACAAAGCTCTCAACCACAAAGAATGCCGATGTTACGCGGCAATCCGAGTCAAATGAACCAAATGAATACTGTACGTTTCATTAATGCCCAAAATACCTCAGGCGGAATGATGAATAGCCAAAATGATGCGTCACAGGAAATGTTCTATCAGCAATCAGATTATGGTCAGATGTCTATGAATCAGCAACCGGAATTGACTCCTCAAGAAAAACTTTCAAAATATGTCGAAGACCTATAACAATCATCATCACTTATCTAATCTGTTTGAATATCATTCAAGTGTACATATGCATTTATTTTGAAAAGTAAAATCATGGCCGATTTTATTGAATACGATCCTCATCATTTTTCATTTTATTTGTTCATCATTTTATCTTCATCTGTACACATACCTATTCATCTTTCTTTTTTTTTTTGGTTAATTTATCCATTTTTCTTCCGATGGACTGTTTACATCCATCTGCATTGCAATGATGGTGATGATTATTATTCAGTGAATTGATAAATTTATGATTTTTTTTCAATTCCGACCTAAATTTGAAAAAAAATCACAACTAATTCTTCAATTATACTTCTGTACTTATAAAAAAAACTTTTATCTATCATAAGTGAATTTTAACAAATTGAATTCATTGGTCCTTCATTTCATTTCGCTCTCTCTCTACACATATTGAATTTTTTTTTTCATTCAATCAACACTTTGTAAATAATAATTTAGTCCTATTAAGAGGTTTTTTTTGTTGAAAAAAAAATCACACTCCCACTACAATTGGCCTGCATGAGGAGAGAATATTCTCTCTTTATATGATACAAAAAAAAATAATTACAATGATATCTAAAATGTTATTTTGTACTTATATTTCGTTCATTATTCATACACTTTTTTTTCGTCTATGAATCAATCACACACACACACACACACTAAATCATCATTCAGATATTATTGTAATAATAAGTTTGTTTTTTTTACAGACTTACAAATACACACACACACATACACACCTTATATATATTAATATATTTGGTTTATTATTAATTAATTAATTAATTTTCAATTTCGATTAATAATTTAAAAATGATGATATTAATTATATGTAACAAACAAAACGAAACGAAACGAAACGAAAAATTACAAACACTTATTGTAAAAAATTTTTTTTTTTTTTTGCTAAAAACAAAATATTTTATCGTTTATTATATATCAATAATAATTCACAATAAATTTTGAATTTTAAAAAATAGAAAATACTTTATATATATTATGAAAATATAAATAAAATAATAATAAAGTCTAAACAACAATAGAGAAAACATTTTCTTAATTTTCTTGATGATGATTGAAATAACAAATTGTTTGATGACTATGGTTAAAAATCAAATTGTTGAATCAAACTTGTTCAATCACCCTTCCATTTATATATTCATGTTGTAAATCATCTTTTGTTGTTGTCTCTTGTGATGATGATGATGATGATGATGGTGATGATTGTATTTGTTTTTGTACAACAAAAAATTTATGTTTATTGGTTAATAGTCCCCATATAACGGCAATAATTTCAATGATCGCTTTGAGCGGTATGGTCAGTAAAGCAGCTGCCAATATAATGCTATATTTGATGTATCCGATTTTTTCAATCTCAAATGATTTAAATACACCGAATATATATAAGTAGAATGTTAAAGCACCAACAAATGTTGATATAAAATTACACCAATCACTTGCCGGTAATGGATATATAATGGCAAAGACTAGATTGGCCAATGAAAGCGGCAATGTAGCCCAGGCATATAATGACATTGATAGAAAAAATTTAATCTTTAACGGTATGTTTTTCGAATGAACAACCAAGAATATTCCTTGCAGCCAACGTTTTCTTTGCTGTAGACAATCCATCAAAGTAAAAGGTGATTTTTCCCACATTTCACCTTCAATAAAGTTGAATGTATAGCCTTTTTTAAAGGCAATCATTGAGAAATAACAATCTTCGGCGATGGAACCATCAGGTCCATTATCAAAGCTTACATCCCTTTCGGCTCGACATAGTGTCACCACATAAGAACCTTTTGATGATAAGATCAACGTAATTACGACTGTAACAAATAATCGAATCTTTACCTTTCCAGCTGAAAATTGGCTTATGAAATACGTAAAACTGAAATCTCAATTTTCCCATATCTTCAGCTACGCGAAACGCATCTGATAATGTGGTTAACCAATTTACCACTCCTTCATTTGCGTATGTGATCAATCCTTGACCGAAATGGTATTTACCATCACAAATAAATTTGACTATACCGGCCAATGAACCAGAAGTTAATAATGTCTCTTCATCTAAATGGACAATCCAATCATTGTCATTTAAGCTGTTTACATTATCTTCGAGACAATATTGAAGAGCACGTGCCTGATATAACGAAAAATAGGTCTGATTATAATTTATTTTTGGATTTGAAAATCTCCTACTTTAAATAGAGCACCAGATTTTGTCCGATAAGATGATGGAACAACAGTCAAACGTATACGGGGGTGTTTAGGCAGTTCGAATGATTTATCAGAGACAATTTCAATAATGAAATTTTCAAGGCCACTATCTAGGCAAAGATTAAGATTTCTTTCGACATTTTTTGTAACAAGTTCAGGATAATCGCCCCGAGTCACGGTTCGTATACAAATAAAAGGCATCATCAAAGGTGTTTTATCCAATTTCGGATCTTCAGGAAATGCATTGAAAAATATTAGACCAAAGAAATTGAATAATACTTGTGGTAATGGCAGTAAAGTTAATAGACGAAAAACATAAAGAAACCATGCTAGATATCGTCCATAACGAACAAATGGATCAAAGTCGCCAATATCATCATCGGTGTACCATAATTTCAGGGCACCACTTTGTATTTCAAAATATATGATGATTGAAATTAATAGTAAACAATGAAAAATATGTTTGTGCGTCGAACTAAACTTGAACATTTTATTCTAATATTTCAATCGGGCTTATAAATCGACATGAAAGGTTGAGTAGACAATCACAGATATTATTTGATTCGGTAATGATGAGTTAGCAGATAAATCCATTGATATAGAAAATCATTTGAAATTCATGAAAAAAACCGATTTTTATCCTGAATTTAAAATCTACATATGTTGTAAATCAATTCAACGCCCTAGTAACGTTTATACGATCCAAGTAACAGTTAGAACTATCATTGTTCAAACATTTCTTAATCGCAAAACGCGCGCGAACAATCATCAAAGTTTCAATGTCACATACACACAAACACATCTGTTCCAGAAAATGGGAACCCGCCCATTATTATTTATTATAGCAATTATAATATATTCAAGTTTGCTTCATTCACATCAACAGATGCTAAACACATTGTTCTTATAAATAATGGAATTCATTGTTAAATTGTATCTAAAATGGCAAAACAAACAACCAATATATCAACAGAATTTCAATGTATTTATTGTAAAAATTACTCTTCAAGTGTAGACGAATTAAATGCCTTGACTGATAATCGATTTGCTCCAATTCATGGATCAGATTACGATGATTTAAATCTAGAAATCACCAGATTTATAATTCATGATCAAACAGGTTTATGTTCGTTAGAACATTCTTCATTGGAAAAAGGTGAACAAATTTATGTTTGTGGTTGTTTGAGGAAAATATGTTCAAACGATGGACATGATGATTCAACGATCGTAAAAAAGATTGGCCCGGTGAATGAATGGTGGTTTTCCGGATTCGATGGCTTTTCTTCACTATTGATCGGAATCGAAAGCCAATATGCGTGTTATCTGTTAAAATTTCCACCACATGATAGCTACAAAGAAGTGTTTGAAGAATTAAATTCAAAAATGATGTTGACCAAAAAAATCATTGAAATTATTCAGGAAAATCCAAATTCTGATCTCGATACACTATTATCTACATTGGAAAATCAAACCAATTTCACATCATCTTCCCTGTTGACATCAATCAATTTTATAGTCAATCAGATAAAAAGCTATGATTCTTGTCGAGATTCAGATGAACTTTGTCTCAGTGATACCTCGATATTCAAGATTTTAAATGATATTGTTGATTCAAATTTTTTGTTTAAAGATTTTAGTCTAGATAAATCGATTCAAAGTTTCAGTGATCAAAGTGCCGTTTTAAATATTGTGAATACGAAAATATCGCTACAAATATTCGATCGGATATTCAATAATATTATTCGTCATAGATACAAGTGTTCGGAACAACAAAATGTTTCTAATAAGACGGAACTTTTATCTAATGTAAGTATTTGAGAATCTATAAAAAGTGGAAAGAAAAAATAATATTTCTAATATTTTAGATCGAAATTGGTACTTTCATACGATACAAGATAGACAATCATTATGAATATGGACGAATAATTCGTAAATATCCAGATTCCAAGTCTTTAGTTCATTTTAATCATTATGTGTCTGGAAATAATACTATTCTCGGTGAAACGATATCCAAAAATATTTTATTTGCATCAAGAGATTGTTCGGATATTCATTTACCTTCGTCGGTGGAAATGATTGATGTTAAATTTATCGAATCTTATCTCAATACAACTACAAATGAGTTTAATTATCATCAAATTTATGACCGAAAACGATGTGTTTTTGAAAACCTTACCAAATCTTCATTGGAAATTCATTGTTTTGGTTGTGAAAAAATTTTTGAAACACCATATTCGATTGGCGACTGTGTATTATTGCCTCGTTATGATAATGATATAAAATTGCCTTTATACACTTATTTTGATGATAATAGAAGCCAACAACATTCAAATGATAGACCATTTGATCCACAATTATATCCTGAAAGGCGACGAAAAAAATGCCGATCTGATTTAGATGTTCATAATCCAAATGATTCAATTTTGTATGGTTTCAACGTAGGTTATATTGACGAAATCATTCACAATGAATCTGGTAATCAATTAAAGTTGAATATATTCTATAAACCGGAAAATATTTTTGAAAATTTTGAAGATTATCAAAAAAGTGATTGTAATTTGTTATTTTGGTCAAACCAAACAAATATTGTTCAAGCATCAAAAGTGTATCGAAAATGTCGAGTGATTTTTGCCGAAAATATTACAAACACATTGGATCAAGATGAATTTTTCTACTTCAACCATTGTTATGATCATATAAATGGACAAATTCATGATGTATCAGATTTATTGAAAACGAAATTTTTTTCAAAATCAACCGAATCAAATTCCTCGAAAAATTGTACAATTTTAGATCTATTTTCCGGATGTGGAGGTTTGTCCTATGGATTTGCTTCTTTAGCTTCGAAATTGTATGCTATTGAAAAAGATAGACAAGCAGCACAAACATTTAAATGTAATTACAAAGATTCTATTGTTTTCAACGCTGATGCTAATTTAATTTTACGTATGCTCATTAATAATCAAGATGAATTTCTATCACAAAAATTACCACCACCAGGAAAAATAGACATAATCATTGGCGGTCCACCATGTCAAGGTTTTTCTGAAATGAATCGATTTTCAAACACAGAATATTCATTATTCAAACGTTCTTTGCTTGTGTGTTATCTGAATTTTCTGGAATTCTATCGACCAAAATATTTTCTATTCGAAAATGTTTACAATATGATTTGTTATGGAAAATCATTGATTTTTAAAATTTTCTGCTCTTTTCTCATTCAAATTGGCTATCAAATACGTATTGTAATTTCACAAGCTGGATGTTATGGTTTACCACAAAATCGACGTCGACTTTTCATTGTTGGAGCCAAATCTACGATTAAATTACCGGAATTCCCGTTGCCTACACATATTTTTCAACCAAATAAATCCTCTATGATATTCAGAATAAGTGATGAAAAATTCGATCCATTCAATGGTCATAGCGGCGTATTTAGAATGGTCACAATTGAAGATGCAATCGGTGATCTTATCGCTTTGAATGAAAATGATTATTTTATCGATATGGTCAGAGAATATAAAAGTGATCCTAAATGTCAATATCAGAGAAAAATGAGAAATAATAAATGTAATTTAGTCACCGATCATTATTGCAAACGGTTGAGCGAATTGAATATTGAACGTATCAAAAGAATTCCATTTGAAATTGATGCAGATTGGAGGGATCTCCCGAATATCAGGTAAGCATAATAATTCGGCAATTTTATTTGATTATTTTTTCATTCTCGATATGTAGACTCAAACTATCAAATGGTCAAATTATTGATAAATTGAAATATGAGAAAAATGTTCAAAAATCAAAACAGAAAAATACATTGATACCTTGGTGTTTGGTTCATACGGCTGATAAAAATAACAATTGGCAAGGACAGTATGGTAGACTTTCATGGAGAGAATTTTTTCCCACTATTGTCACTAATCCGGATCCAATCACATCACAAGGCAAAGTTATTCATCCAGATCAACATCGTGTCATTACCATACGTGAAATGGCTCGTTCACAAGGTTTTCCAGATGATTTTGTTTTTCGTGGTTCAGTAACAAATAAATATCGCCAGATCGGTAATGCTGTTCCGCCATTGTTATCACTGAAAATAGCTCGAGAATTTTTCAAATCAATGCAGTAATTAATAAAATTTAAAATACCAACTATAAGTTTTGATGATAGATGGCGCACTTGAAATGACACGATATTTGACCCAGCTGCTGATGTTGCATTCGTCAGTTGATTTTGTTCTTCAAGACATTGAACATTTAACCATTTCAAAATGTTACCATTGCGACAATTTCTTAAGATTTCTAGGCCCATGGTAAAAAATTCTACTCAACGTAATTCCTCACAATAGTATGTAAAATTTATGCTGTCTTATATTTCCACTAATTTTGATCATTTTATCGAAAATGATTTTAGTATCGGTTACAGAGAATTGAATTATGATGCTGCTCGTCCTGCACAAAAACTTGGAGCCGAATTGTGTGCTGGATTTATGTGGTGGTGGATCGGATGGCATTTCATAACCGATTGGCGTCATTTAGTTGGTAAATTATACATTATATTCATCGATTTAAGAACAAAATTCATTTATTGACATTTATTATTTTTATAGGTGAATTCATTTGGCCACAACGTTCAGAATGGACAAACGAAGAGCTTGGAATTCCGGAAGATTAAATGAAACACAATAAAAATAATCTAATTTGATTTGATTACATTGTTTTATTAATGCAAATACATAGTTTCAATTGAAAAAATTAAAAATGAATTAAATACTTTGTGTTTATTAATTGTTAATTATTCAATTGAAAGAAAAAGAATTAATAAAGGAATTAATTTTCTTTTTTAGATGATTCGTCAATTTCTTTAGAATCTTCACTATATCTGTCAATGATGAAATAATTTAACAATTATTATGAGAATTATTCTTATCATATCATCATTATATATTATTACTTACCGGATTAAACGAACAAGATCTCCTTGGAATAAAGCCGATATAAATGGGAAAATAATGCAACATGGTACTAAATAAAGCAAAGCTGGTTGTGCATGCTTCCAATAGACCATCACAGCCATGGTCAAAAATAGACCGAATATATAAGCAATGAAACTGGAATAGAAATAAACATGTCGACCACGATTCAATGAAACATCAAAACGTAATAATAATGCTATGAATATTCCTGGTATGACGATATCACCCAAACCAAGCATTGCAAATTGTGTTCCATTCACTCCATTCTCCAGAAAATCTTGTGGAAATATCAATTTAATTGGAGCATCAAATGATTTGGCCACAGTAACCATTACATCGGTACCGAATACCCAGAAAATGTCATAGACAAACAATCCAGAAAGCAAAATACATCCCGTTACAACATTGTTCAAATTAATGAATTCGATTGCTTTGATTGCAAATGAAAAACCAAACAGATTGTTGGCTATCCAGTGCTATATTAAATTCAAGATAATTATTAAATTGATTTGATCAGTATGATTTTTACCTTTTTCATGATATACCATGCACCAATGCCTGAACATGCCATGAAAGCGCAAATATCTTTGGAATCAAATTCCATGTTCAACATGTCAACGGTATTTTGAGTCAACAATAAATGATATTTGTTCAATCGCAAAAACGATATGTTTCTTGATCTAAGAAAACTTTCAATAAAATCGCTGACAACTGATGCCAAAGAACACACGCCAAGTACGAGAAAATAGATGGACAATAAAAGATTGATGTGCTCTTTGGAAAAATACTAATACATTCGAAATAATTATCATTGTTTGTTTGGAATAAACGTGGACAACACATACCTTGAAAAATAAATATAGACCAAATAATGCACCACTTGCATATAATGGAAACAAAGCGGCTTCTCTACGGGACATAGCTTCTACCTGTTCGCCAGATTCCTATGAATTTTTTCATTGAAAAAAGATTCTGTCCAATCATTTATCATAAAATACTTACTCTCTGTTCACGATGATAGCCTACGGATTTGAAAGATCCATAAAAAATTGGAATCAAAGCCATTATAACCAATGATCCATAGGCCATGGCCATTCCTTCGGGTGTAGCCTTAGGTTTGATGGAGCCATCAGTTTTATTGACAAATTCTGTAACAGTAGAATTGATACTATCAACTAATTCTTTGGCTGTGGACATTTTTATAAATTGAAATATTGAATGAAAAATCGAAAAATGAGTTGGAGAAGAAAAAAAATTACACGTCGATTATTTTCATTGCACAATGAACGTTATGAAAAAAAAATAGAATTTACACATTCACAAACACCATGATCGGGATCAACAAATGCATGCATGCATGTTTCCAATATATTCATTTAAATTCTCAATCAAAATTTTGCAAGAATGTCGGTAGAATTTCCTGATTTTCTTCATTCAATTCAAAAACGTCTACAACAGGCAGAAAATAATTATCTCACGATAAACGAATGCTTGATCAATTTATCCAATTTGATTACAAGTCATGATTCTACAGCGCTCCAGAATTTCCAGTCAGAAGTTGGATCAATTATCAAAATTTTGCGTGATTTTAGCCATTATCATGATCCCAGAGTTCGTTCGACTGCTCTTTCTTCATTGGTATCCAAAAGCAATTTATAATTTTTAAATTTTCCTATACTAATAATAATAAAACTTTGTAACTAGGTAATTTTGCATGAAAACAACATCGAATTGGACATAAGTCTGTATGGCGAATTCAATGATCTTTTAAACGACGAATATGAAACAGCAAGAATTACGGCAATGCGTTTGATTCAGCTATTGAGTTGCCAATATAAGGATTGGTATGATTCAATCATGAATTCGTTTTTTATCTATATTGATTATTAATTAACTTTAATTTTAAAGCCTTGTTTGTCTTGAAGATGGTGAACAGATACGAATCGTTGACGATGCTTTTGCTAAAATCTGTTCTATGATGAATGATTATTCCATTGCTGTTCGTGTTGAAGCTGCTAAATTATTGGTATATGATCAAATTTGAATATGAATAAATTAAACAGTTTAATTTTTTTTGTAGGGAAAATTCAACGATATAAGTTTAAATTTTTTACATCAAACTTTGGACAAAAAATTAATGTCTGATTTGAGAAAGAAAAAATCCGCTCATCAACGTCATCGCGAAACTTTAGAAGCCGGTGAATGGTCGAGTGGTCGTAAATGGACAGACGATTCAGCATCCGAGGTAATCTATCCCGAAACGGTTACATTGATGAGCATAGGTTCGTGTGGTGCTTTTATCCATGGTCTGGAAGATGAATTCTACGGTACGAATTATCAAGATAACTTTTACTTTAATACTAACGTTTCATTTACCAATAGATGTACGTATGGCTTCATTGGAATCATTATGTAAATTAGCTCAAATCTACCCAACTTTTGCCAATCAATCTTTGGATTTTTTGGTTGACATGTTCAACGATGAAATCCAAGAAATACGATTAAAAGCCATTCAATGTTTGACGAAAATTAGTGGTAAAAATATAACTCTCAGAGAAGATCAAATTGATATCATATTGGCTGTTCTCGAAGATTATTCTATTGGAATTCGTGAAGCCTTACATTTGATGCTGTCAAACTGCAAACTTGCATCGAACGTTGCATTACGATCAACAATAAATAGTCTTAAGGAGAATCTCAAACGTTATCCATGTGACCGGGAATCTATATGGAACTGTTTTCGAAAACTTGGCCAAAACAACGTCTACTTAACATTGTCTTTGATTTCCGAGCTTTTATTGACTCACCCATTTTTCAGACTAACTGATAATCCTCTAGATGATCCTGAATGTAAGCATCGAATCTAATGTTAATCCGAAAATCAAACCAAATTTTTGCCTTTATCATAGATGTTGCCATTTTGATATTGATTTTCAATGCTGCCCAAGATTGTCCTATAATGATTGAATTATTGGAAAAACATACCCGAAAACATTATATCTATCTCAAAGGATCTTATCCACATCTGGTACCATCTCTTAGTCATTTATTTGATAAAACTGCTAATAACGATTTGAAAGTTGATATGGAAAATTGTGATCAATTTTTTTTGAAAATTTTTCAACGATTACATAATCTTGTTCGTGTCGATCGATGTTCTGTTAATGTTCAAATGTCAGCTTTATCAAATGCTATTAGGTATTATTTCGATTCAATAAATTCATCAATTATCATCTAATTTTTTTTTATTAGCGATCTTCATAAGCTTTCGTTATTACATTCAAGCATTGAGCCTGCCTGTAAATTCTATTCCACATATCTTCAATGCCAAATATCTTTGCGAAAGGTTTGTTTATTGTTCAATGCAGTATTCAACTCATTACTATTTGATATATAATTTGCTCATCTATTTTTTTTAGATCGTTTCCAATAGCAATTGGATCAATACATTCCTAATGTCGGCTTTACAGTCAAGCGTTTTTCGTTCATCACTGCAACAGGTTACATGATAAATTATCCTTTTTTCTATATCTTTCACAAAAAGTCTTTATTTTTTATATAGCTGTTGAGCTCGACATTTTCAATGCTAAATTGCTTTCATAGATTACAACCGAAGCATATAATTGCTATCCAACAAACACGAATTAAAGCCATGGCATTACAATTGATAGCCATCATCCACGGTTCAAATGTGTCGGCATTGGGTCTCTGTGATGCATTTTTATCAGAGATGACAACGCTGAAGAAATTATCTGCAGAACATAATGTTCAATTGAATGAAATCATCAATAATATGTTTGATGCAATTGCTTCGCTTAATCAGCCTCGGCCAGGGACTGTTGGTCGAATTTTACAACCAATTTTTCTGAATTCATCTACATCGAAAATATGTGATCTAAGCAATATTCTCGATGATAATGTTTTACAGGATTTCAAAAAAATAACGATGACAAAAGCAGAAATCCTTGAACCGATTGAACAAATGAACAGTAGCCTTAAATTCACTGCTGGTCTTGTCTTGGAAGTACCATTCACCGCCAATCTGGAACATGTTAAAGATATTAAAAACATTCGAATAAAAGTTAGTAATCTGATAAGTTTTTTTTTTTAGAAAAATCAAATTTTAATTTTACTCATTTTGGAAAAAAATTAGATTCAATATCCAGATCAACAAATTCAATTGATTCAGCCAAAATTGAATGAATTCAGAATCAAAACAGAACGTGAAGATGATATTAATGATTATAAATTGGTGACAAAAATTTGTATCTCATCCTATGGTGTTTGGTCTGGTCCTTCATTGATTGAGATTAATTTGTTACTTGATTTTCGTGACATTTCATCATCATCATTGGCGACTACACAGATCTATAGCTCATTACTGACTAAAAGTAGTGGAATTAAAAGTACACGATCAGAGGATAATCTTGTGATCGAGATATGTAAACCAGTAAAGCTAATGATACATCCAACGAAACCAAAAAGATGTGTTATTTGAATAGGAAATTTTTTTTAAAGAATGAAAATAAAATAAAAATGTTTGATATTTGTAATTTGTTTCATTTGCCCAGAAAAAGTGTTTATTATTTATTGAGCATCCTCAAATTGACCATTGGTATAATCCATTCGTTCCATTTCATCATCCTGTCGTTGTCGTAGACCATCATTATCTTCTTCTTCATCATCATCATCATCGTTGTCATTAGCACCAAAAAACTCGCCATGTTCATCGCCAAATGGGCTAACATCATCAGGGTCCGGATGCAACAGTTGGCATTCGGACAAAGCCTGATACATTAAATCCAATTTGGATGGATCTCCTGGAACGAAACGTAATTCGCTGACATGATTGTTGCCCTCATCATCATCATCATCCTCATCCTCATTATCATCATTATCTTGATCTATTTAGAATCAACAAAAAAATGATTAACACTCATTTCAACATTTAGTTGTTATAACAAAAGAAGAAAAAAATTAGATTATAGGAAAAAAAGAATAGCCATGCATGCAATTCCGAAACAAAAAATCAAATCAAGTCATTTTTTTTTGGGTTGATAATTTTTTTTTATATATTGCACAAATATAATTTTTTTTTATTTAATTTCACCAATTATCATATCATCATATAACATATAAATCGTCATCATCATTTTGTTTCATTATGATGATAAAATGTGAAATTTGAATAAAAATGAAAAACAAATAACAAAATTTAAGAAAAAAAAACAGTATGATTTAAAAAATGAAATTGTTACTATTGTTTGGTAATGGTGTGGTGGTGATGATGATGATGATAATGATGGATTATCAATAAATTTTGTTGAATAATTTGATGGAATAAAATGAATGTATGAATAAAAATGAGAAAAAAAAGGAACAATAAAGTTTTTCCTCTCATTCTGTGGTCAGCAAGAATGGTTGGCATCTCCACATTGTCACATAATACAAATAACCATTAAAAAAAACAATAAAGGATTTCTTTGAATTCGATAGGTAAATAGCTCGAATGAAAAAAAATGAGCCATCTTATCTGTATTCATGTTTTGCCTCATTCAAAATATATCAACATTTATATTATATTATCAAATATAAATGAACATATCAATGATGTGATCAATTTATGTAAATGAAAAGCGTGCAAACAGGTTGTTCCATATTGGATATATTTTTAGAAAAAAAAAACAAAAACAAAAAGGAAAACCGAAGACAAAAGGATAAATATTTCATCATTAAAAAAAAATTTTCGAATGGAATATTGAAAAAACCTATGTGTGTGTGTGTGTGTTTGTGTGTAATAAAATTTGTTGTTGTTGTTGTTGTTGTTTTAAAGTTTCCCATTATTTTGGTTGATTCGTCAAGTTAATTTTCAAATATTTCATTAATTTTACATAATGTTTGCATTGATTCATTCTTGTGTGTGTGTGTGTGTGATGTATAATTTTATGAATTTGTATGATGGTTTTGCAAAAGAGAAAACGAATAAAAAAAGAGCATTTATCAACGAATAATGAAAAAATGAAAAATGAATTGGAAAAAAAACAGGGCCAGAAAGAGAAAGATAAAAAGTGATAAACATTTCGAAATTGAAAAAACAGAAAAGAAAAAAAATTCTGTATATTTATAACAAATTGAATAATAATAATAATAATAATAATCAAAACGTCTAAATAAACGATTGAAAAGAATGGAAAAACAAGAACAAAAGGAGAAAAAAAATGAAATGAAAAGCGAAAATTGTGAAAAAAAAATTCAAAGCTAGGCTTTTGAAGGCGATTCAGCACGTGGATTTGTAGTTGATATTGAAAATGAGGATTTTGATCGATTACTTCCGCCTGTGCCACTAAAAGTAGTTGTAGTAGATATAGTGGGGCATGATCGAAGATGGTCATTTAATGCGGATGTAGTCGTCGTTGATGATGATGTTGAAGCTGAGGTTGTGTTTGTTGTCGTTGTCGATACATTTGTGAATTGACTGGTAAACTCTTTAGAGTCCATGTCCAGTATATATGGTATGATGCTATCGATTTGAACATTTCCGATCAAACCGGAAAAGAATAGATCCTCAGTCAATGAGGGCACCAATGAACGAAGAGGTATTAGACGTAATATTAGCCTTGAATAGCGATCTAATGAATTATTTTGTCTGGACGATGATGTTGTTCTTGATGAAACGTAATTACGAAGCTCATTAGCACACATTTCTTGAAATCTTTCAATTTGTCTATTGTTTAATCTGATAGCAACATTTTCTGGACTAAACAATATGATTGATTTGAGATAGGCATATTCTCGTTCATCGACTTGAAGTTTTTGAAATGTATTCACAAAATCCTGCAATTTGCATATATGATCTGTCACTTGTTTGATTCTTTGCAACGATAATGTATCTTGCTGTAAGGTAGTCTGTAAATGCGTAATGATTGCCGACAAAATAGTTGCTAAGGACATGACTTGTGAAGTTTGTGCTAAGCCCAACACGAATAGCTGACACCAACATCCTCTAATCAATGAAGTTTGCACATCATGTGACATGTTTTGAAAAGCTGCAATCGATTGTGCCCAATGTACAGACAGGAATAGTAACCGAGATGCAAATTCACAAATATATTGTAACGACATGAACGAATTTGGTGCCATCGGTGGCGCCAAATTGAATACAAAATGTTGATCACTAAGTATAGGTCCTTCGAAATCGATCAAATTATCTTGTTCACCAGTGACGCCACCAAATGCATCTATTGCTCCATATAGGAATAATGATTCTTGATCTGAAGTGATTTTGCTTCCTGAGACAATTTTAGCCATCACATCGAAAGCCGCCTTAGTGATTAATAAATTTTGACCAGAACGTTCATTTGCATCACTAATGGTTTCTTTGGCAGAGCTCTTTTCAGAATGGGATTCTTCAGTGTTAGGATCATCATCAACATCGGCTTTCCATAGCCTATCAAGGGCCGGATTTGATTGTGGATGATGATGAACATGAACATGTTGGTCGGCTGTATTTGTATTAACCTGACTGGGCACATTGACTTGTTTATTAAAGGCAATCAGATTGGACACAACATTGGCCAACGTATTAAGATCACCATTATTTTTATTCGAATTGATGGTCGTATTCTGGTTAACACAAGCGGTTGCTTCGATTATGGACAGGGCTGCTTTATTATCTAGTAAATTATTCATTTCATGAACTGTTGAACAATTTCGCAACATGGCAGCATTTCTTGGTGTTGGTGAATGTGATGACGACGATGATGATTGCTGTTGTTGTTGGTGTTGTTGCTGTTGCTGATGAATCGTCGTCGCTTGTGTCGAACGAGCTTGTGGAGGCATCAATATTGAACTACTGGTCGTCGACGCAAGTGTAACGAAATTTGAAGTAGTCGAATTCTCGAGTACCAATGGTTTACGTTCGGGCTGGCAATGATCGGCACGCATACCCATCTGAATACATTTCTGTAATCGACAATATTGACATCGATTACGATGATGTTTGGTCACCTCACATTCTTGGTTAGCTCGACAGACATAGTTGAGTTGTTTGCGGACACTTCGTTTGAAGAAACCTTTACAACCTTCACAGGAAATAGCTCCATAATGACGACCCGATGCTTTATCTCCACATACTACACAGAATTCGAATGTCTTTCTATCTGTTGATTGGTTGGCGCTTTGGTTATTGTTGTTGGTGGTGTTGACATTATTATTATTGAGGCTAACTATCGAATTGGAGTTGTTATTATGATGTTGTGGTGATCCGAGATCTAAATTATCTTTGTCATCTCCGCTAGGACTACGTCCCATTGGATATTCAGAACCCGAGTTGTATGGTGAATTAGGATAATCGACGCCCATACCAACGACAGCGCTTGGCGATGTTGGTACACTAATAAACTCGGTTTCCGGTTCACCAATACTATTCTCTGCACCACTTGAAGGGCTATCTGGCTCACATTTCATATTTTGAAATGAATTATTATTAAAATTATCATTTGAGCGACTATCATTAAGAATTGAATTGTTGACCATTTCCGAATCGTTCAAAAATTGCGATGATGCCATAATCACAGTCGAGACATTTAAACAAAATCTGGGATGGTGGCGCCTGATGCGATCAAATGATTGAAATGATGGATAACGTTCTATGAGTTGATATCATAGGATATTTGATGAAACAAATGTGAGAGTGAACTTATGACGATGATGAACAAATGAGAATGATGAACAAATGATGACTTGAAGAATTCACCGGGTGATTTCGTGTGTAAGTGTGTGTGTGTGTTTGTATATATAAGATAGGAGGTATGCGTAAATGGGTATTTGCCTGAATTTTATAAAAGGTTTGCTTCAATTCAAGTAGATTATTATTATGATTATCAATCAGGTAGCCGTGTGTATTTCATTTCGTTTACATGAACAATGTAAAAAGATAAATGATAACAATAACATTAATCGAACCAACAATAGACCGGCAAAAAAAAAAATTTTTTTGACAATAGGACATTTGTTTTTTTCGCCACCGTTTTAAAAACAAATCATCAACAACAACAAAAAACAATCGGTAACAATTAACATCAATCAATCAATAATAACGAGTGATAATAACAAACAAAACTTTTGGATTTGTATTCGCAATTCATGAATCAAAAAATGAATTAACCAGATTAAACAAGATTAAGAGGATATATATTATAACGATGAATAAAACTATTTATATGTTGTAGATTTTCTTTTTCTATTGATTGATAACACAGAAGGCATATACAGGCAACCCATACGCACAACAAGATGGAACAATTGAGTAGTATATTAAATGTTGTCGTAGAATCTATATTTTTGTTTTTGTTTCAAAATCAAAAGTGATGTAATATAAATGTGTTGTAAAATAAAAGACGAACGAATGTGATATAGTGTATGGAATTGTCAAATATGCAAAAAACAAAACAAAGAAAAAAAACAGCAAAAAAAAAAAAAAACAGTAGGAAAAAAATCAAGCACAAATTCACAATAATTTTGTCGAATTCTGTAAAGCTGAGAAGTTGTTGTTGATGTTGTAGTTGTTGTGGATGTTGTATGTTTTAACTAAATGAAGAAAAATTGCAAATAACAGAATTAGGAAAAAAAATACACAGGAATTTTCATTGGATATCCAAATTGACAAAGAAGTGGAAAATTAGTATTTCTTGGGTTCAATAATGGAAAATTGTCTTGATATCTTAGGGAAAAAGGGTTAGATTTGTATGTCTATATGTGTGTGTGTGTGTGTGCGAGAAATAGAGATATTTGATGGGAAAAGAGACGGAAAAAATATGAATTGGATCAACTTACCACCTAAAACATTAGCGTTGTATCCATAATCACCATCAATATGTGATTGTATATGTTGTGTTGCATTTTCATTATTATTATCTTCAAACATCAGATAAAGACATTCAGAATGAAAATTGTTCAAATCTCTTGATGTAGCATGTAATGAAATTTGTGGATATTCTAAATTGAAACCTTGTCCGTTTTCTGTTCGCCAGGTGAACCTAAATGAAAATAGTAATGGATTATAAAAAAAAAATATATCGATTTTCGATTATTAATAATAGAAAGAAAAAACAACAAGATTATTGATTTTTATTAATCATTAGTAGATCTAAACTCGTATACGTAGTAGTGATTACAATTGCAAGTAATAAAGAATGTAAGGTAAATATAGTTGAAATAAAATGAAAATATTTACAGTTAAACGAACAAGTGAGCAAAAGTTCAACAAAAAGGCCAAGGTGGAAATGAAAAAAGGTTGCATTGACAAGAAAAAAATATCATGAAACGTTACACAACACAAACACATACTATGTGAGAGCAGATAGAAGCTAACCTCGATATATGTTGTTGGCAATTCACAAAGCTAGTGCACCTCTCGATGACCTTTTCGACAAAGGAGGGCAAAAATTTTTCAAAGACAAAGGATAAAATGCAATTATACATCTTGTGGTAAAGAGGTCATCTTGGAAAAGGCACATACACATACACACACATATGCACATACATAAGTATACATGGATAGATAGATCTACAAACACGCTATAACATTAAAAAAAAGACATTACAACATATATATAAAAAGCACAAAGAGGAAAGGACATGCGCGCGCCCTTAATATCAAAAAAACGGCGTCAATTTGGATATCGAATGACACCACAGGCACCACATATACCTAACAGTTTGGAAGCTAAACATACAATATACACACACACACATACAAATCGAACACTATTTCGGTTATAGGGGAGAAACAACACAAAATGTCTATATCATGCATGCATTTGTAGAGGTCTATTTTGAAGTATATAAAGTTCAACTTATAAAAAAAAAATCATACCTATCTTCACCAATGAATAATGTTCCTTCACCAAGTAATTGATGATTCGGTTGATTTGTATTGTCTTGAAAATAAGCCAAAGTATTTGGCTCGCGATGTTTCACGTGCTCATCATTCGGTATCTCAATCGATGACAAAACAAGCATTTTTCTTTTCTTTATACTCTTTATACATGAACACGATTATGAATGAACACGTCGGGCATTCAAAAAACACACCTTACAATTATAGAATTGATTAAAGATATATATAATAGAGATGGAACAAATAGTGGTAATACCGTTTCACACACACACACACACGCACAGAAGAATCAACAATTAATATTTAGGCACAAAAAGAATGGAACAACTCAAAAACAATATAATAAGCAACAAGAATTTTGAATAAAAAAAAAATTCACTGTTACTTTTCAATGAAATGTAAAAGAAGGATTATTTTTGGATCCTTATAATAGTGATGATGATAGTGATATTTTTTTTTTTGAAAAAATGGCTTTGAATAAATGTATGACCAATGATAGAGTGAATGTTTTCCAATGTTGAATTATATGTTATCAATGTTTTATTATCGATGATGATGATAACGAAGATTATTATAGGAAAAAAAAGACAAAAGAAACAAGTTCGTAGGTCAACATTTACACCCATTAATCATCACATGAATAGAAAAAATCAATTCGAATCAAATATTGAACAAGATATCATTGCATTTTTTTTACCAATTTGACTATTTAGTGATGATGATATATCGTAGCACAAAGATTTATTATTCAAAAAAAAAAAAAAAAAAAAATGAAAAAATGAAACCAAAACTTTTAGCACATCGACCAATACACAAAGTACGCTCATAAAAAAAAGACGAAGCACACACACTCTTTATCATCATACACTCTTTATTGCTTGTGTTGTTGTTGTTGTTGTCGATGATGATGATGATGGGCCAAAATCGGCCAGAAGGCGCCACAATCCCTTTGCTCTTTCGACGACATATATACACACACATACACACACACACACACACACAAAAACATACAAATTCTATTTTGAAGGCTATGCGTGGTTCGCGTATAACGCCATGACATGCATATACACGCAACAGTGTTTCCACCCATAATCAACTCTATTTCTCGTGTTTATTGCAGTTATATGAATAATATACAACACAACAAACAAACAATTTGAAACTAGCCATTATCATCATCATCATTGAATGATGATAGTTGTAATGTTGGGGGCCAAAAAGAGATTCGGCTGCTGCCATATAACGTAACTGAGAATGGATGGGGCAAACGTCCAGCCAAGTTTAGTGAGTAATTTTATTTTTTCGTTTCACGAATTTTTTTCCATGTTACAAAATGATACGTATGTTCGTAAAAAAAAATAACTATAGTCACAATGGTATGCAACAATACACATTTCATTTACGTTATTTCAAAATGCCGAAACATAATGAATGACGTTGCTTCATATTAATCTGTGAATAATGATGTTAATCTTTGGTAATTGGAATCATTGTTTTATGTTTGAGAATTAGCGTTATTTATATTAATGAAAAATGGCCGACTGGTGTTAGTTTTTTTTTCCACATATATTTGGATTAATTCTTGGTCTCTCCGGGTTACTCAAATATAAGTTTGATTGTGACTATTATCGGTTACGTTTGGCCGACCTCATCGCGCTCATTTTACACAACACAAAATATTCGGATTGGGTTACGACGCAAGCGTTCTTGAATACGTTTTTGGATTGTCAAATTTTTTTTTTCGTGTTCACAATGTTGTTGTATGTGTATTTTTTCACACGGGTGTAACTACTACTGGGCGCCATTAAATATTACGCCACAAACATTTTCTTTTTTTTTTCTTTTCCTTTACTTCATCATAATCATCATCATCATCATTGTATGGTTTAGAAATTTATTCATTCAATGACGCCATCTTTCTGACAACATATGACATTTTTTATTTCGTATTCTCATTCATGAATCTGCAGATGGATGCTCAACATTCGTTACAAAAAAAATAATAATTAGTCACTGATTTATTCTGCAGATCTTTTCCTATCAAATAGAATATTCAATGGCTTCATATGTTTTTCAACAATAATGATGATAATGTTTATGTTTAAAGGATTGTTGATTATTATTGTCTTTCCATTTTCTGCCTAAACGTGACAATTTTTTTTTCGAAAAAAAACAAAAAATTCTCTACAATCATGTGGCCTTATATGATTCATTTTCGTTCTCGTACCTTGGCCTATGTAGCCATCATATTGATAGTGATATATTGTTGGCATCATATGTTCAATATTGAAAATGTTGCTCATCTACATTCGTATCATTTATCTCATGTAAATTTTAAACATTTGCTGATCGGTTAGTATGAATAAGAAAATATTTTTTTTGATGAAATTTTTGATCGTTTTTTATTTTGAAATTCTATAGCTTGTGTACTTGCAGCAAAAGAAGGTGGTATAGAAGTGAAAAAAGCTCGTCAATCAACCGATTTAATGATCCATATAAAGGGTAAAACTAGAGAAGGAATCGATGATATTCTCACCATTGGTCAGTTTTTTTTCTTTTAGTTTATGTTGTTGATTTTTAATTTTCATAATCTAAATTGGTATAGGTGATAAAAGGTCAAATGTTGTTATGGTCAATTCATTGCTGTATACTATACCGGGAATAAAAATCGTTTCAGAGGAAACATTCCAAAGTGATGATATGATTGAATTATTAAATGTAGAAAAATATCTACGAAATCCTGAATTTTCAACTATACCAGATGATATTGAACTTAATATTGAAGATTTAACCGTTTGGATTGATCCATTGGATGCTACAAAAGAATATGGTGAAGGTCTTACACATTTTGTCACGACAATGGTTTGTGTTGCTCGTCGTGGTGAACCAATCATCGGTGTGATACATTTACCATTCGAATCAAAAACCTATTGGGCAACTAAATTTGGTATCGATAAAAAATTATTGAGCTCAAAATTTTCATTCAACAAAAATGATCATCCTGATCAGAATTCCTCATTAGCTAGTCTTCATCAAAATGACATTCGTATAATAATATCTCGTTCTCATAAAGGTGATATTGAAAAATGGATACAAGACAGACAACATTTGTACAACAGAAACAGCAGCGGTGGCAATCAAACACTACGAAATAACGTGACATTTATTGAAGCGGCCGGTTCCGGTTATAAAACATTACAATTATTGCAAGGACAGGCCGATATCTATTTGCATAAGACATATATCAAAAAATGGGATGTTTGCGCACCAAACGTCATGGTTAAATATCTATCCATTGGTGGTGGTGGTGGTACGATGACCACATTGAAAGGCGATTTAATTGATTATAGTTTTCATTCGGATGCTCTTATCAAAGATGGTATATTTGCAACAATGAATGCCAATCTAGTCAAATGGCGTGATAATGTCATCAATGAACGTGTTTAGTTATAAAATAATTCTATGAATTATTACATTTTTTTTTCAAATGACTGGCATCATTTTGTTATCCGTTTTTTTTTGTTCATTTACCCATAATGCCTTTCAATTCATTCATTGTTTTTTTTAAATTATTAAAACGTTAATAATTCATATGACAAATATCAATAGATTTTGTCCGTCTGTTTTTTTTTTGCTAATGATGTTGCGATGAATGTGAGTAAGGATTTGCAAAACAAAACAAAAAAAAAATCCAAATTGGAATCATTTTTTAAAGATTAAATATTTATTCAAAAAAAAAAATCCATCTTTTTCATTCATTCATTTTATACTATATAGAATATTCTATCGAAAGTCTGTGTGTGTGTGTGTTGGACACTCATACACACACACACACACATTTATATATACTTTTCATATAACAACAACAAATAAATAAATGGTTCTTGTTCCAAAATTCCGGAATGCGATTGCTCCAAACTTGATCATCATCATCATCATCATCATCATCATCATCATCAAAATCATCATCGTTCTTCACCGTAATGATCTGTATGTATTTATGTGTCTGTGTGTGTGTGTGTGTCTCATAATTTCACTCAATCACATTCATTGTTGAGTTCAAGAGTCAAGGATTCTTCTTCAAAAGATATTGTCCGATTTTTATCCAGTTTGCCTATAAAAATTGTTTTTTGTTATTATTTTCTTGTTTTCATCCAATATTGTTTAGTGATTATTTTTCCATTTGATTAATTTTATCTGATAATATAATTATGATCATCATCTTAATCTATTGTATCGTTGAAATTTAGATATTCATTTTTCAAAAAAAAAACCAACTACATCGCTTCCGGCCATATCATGTGTCTATGATTATGATTCACATCATCATTATCATCGCCATTTCTATTATTTGCATTGGAATTGAAACACTGGAAATAAAAATCCTAAATCCAAAAGCAAATTATTAGCAAAATTTATTGTGATTTCATCTCATCATCATCATTATAATTATTCATTGTATCATCATTGTCATCAACATCATCGTTTTTTTTCATTCATTTTTTTTCTAGTGCATGGCATATAGTCATACTCGTCGACATCTTAAGGCACTTTCGGAGGCCTCAAATTCCGCTGGCAATAATGGTGATGGTTCATCACAAAATGATTCCACTAATCATTGTGAAAATTGGAATCCTAATCAAATCGTTTACAATAAGGTGAGGTTTTTTCCTCATTAAATTTCTTATTATTTAAAAATCTTTTTTTTTGGTGAAATTCAAATCATATCTTTTTTTTTAGATGGAACAAATCATTGACAAAATGCAAGATGAACAAACTGGAGTGCCAGTTCGAACAGTTAAAAGTTTCATGTCCAAAATACCCAGTGTTTTCAATGGTTTGTTTATACGTTAATGAAATACGTTGATATTTAAAAAAAAATTAAACATTGATTCTAATTTCAGGATCTGATTTGATTGCCTGGATGATGCGTGAACTTGATCTTGATGATCAACAAGAAGCATTGCATCTAGCCAATCTAATGGCTTCACATGGCTATTTTTTTCCAATTGATGATCACGTTTTATGGTATATAAAAAAAAGAAATTTTTGTTCAATTCGTATATTTACTTCTTTTTTTTTTGATTTTCATTCATCAGTGTCAAAGCTGATAATACATTCTATCGTTTTCAAACACCATATTTTTGGCCTTCAAATTGTTGGGAACCTGAAAATACCGATTATGCGGTATATCTTTGTAAAAGAACAATGCAGAACAAAACTCGCCTAGAGCTGGCTGATTATGAAGCAGAAAATTTGGCTAGATTACAAAAAATGTTTAGCCGAAAATGGGAATTCATTTTTATGCAAGCTGAAGCTCAAGCCAAGTAAGATACAATTTTAATGTTGAAGAATTTTTAAATTCAATTTCAATTTTTTTTTTATATAACATTCAGAGTCGATAAGAAACGTGATAAATTGGAAAGAAAAGTTCTCGATTCTCAGGAGCGAGCATTTTGGGACGTTCACAGGCCGGTTGTATGATTATTCTAAAATCCATTTAAAGTTCATCAAATTGAAATATATTTTTCTTTTCATCATAATAGCCTGGAAGTGTCAATACTACTGAAATCGATATAAAGAAAGCCTGTCGTATGCACAAACCTTTGAAAAGTTCAAAAGTGAAAATATCAACGGTTAGTATAGTTAAATTAGTAGCCAACTTTTTCCAAAATTTTATGTTCATTAGCATTTGGCATGTTCTGTTGGTGGTGGTCGTATCAGTCCAGTAAACGAAGCAGAAAAGATTGAAATCCTCAAACGTGAATGTGATTCTTTACGTATACGATTGGATCATAGGATTGGCGGTGTAAAGATTAGCAAAATAACCGAATCTTATTCGGCATTTTATGAACAATGGGCCGAATATGATCCATTCGTAACGCCTTTGGAGCCCAGTAAAGGGGTAAATGTTTTTTTTTAATAAAAATAAAATAATGCTTTATTTTAACTGACTGATTCATTTTTGTAATTTTTATAGACTCCACTCAACCCATGGATTAGTGATTCACCCGAATTTTGGGAAATGGAAAGACAAACGTTAGTCATGAAAAAAAATTTCAATTTTTATTCAGTGTTTTTAAATTATTTATTAATAACAAAATAGGAAAGATGTTCCTTGTCGTCGTGTTAGACGTTGGGCATTTTCACTCAAGGAATTACTAAAAGATGCAGCCGGAAGAGAACAATTTTTTAAATTTTTAGAAAAAGAATTTTCTGCCGAAAATCTTAAGTAATTTATTGTCATGAATATATATTATATATTAAAATGAATAAATCTAATTATGAATTTTTTTCAATTCTAGATTCTGGGATGCAGTCCAAGAATTAAAGTGTGTCCATACAAAAGATGTTGCTAGCAAAGTACAAGAAATTTGGAACGAATACTTGGGTTCTGGTAAATATCTCCATTATTATCTATCAATGAATATTTTTTTTTCATTATTCTTCATCATAGATGCCAATTGTCCAATAAACATTGATTCCAAATCATATGAAATTACCAAGAAAAACATGGAAAACAATCCTAATAATCGATGGATATTTGATGAAGCAGCCGGACATGTTTATCAATTAATGAAAAATGATTCATATCCTCGTTATTTACGTTCAGACATGTATAAAGAATATCTGAACGGTACCAAGAAAAAAGTAATATATTAAAATCACAAAATGTTCAATTTTTATTATTTAATCATTTTTTTAAAAAAAATTAGACTTCAGTAAAAGGTTTTCGTGGTGTGATATTCACAGCAAAAAAAGTCAGTGATCAGCTCACAGCAAATTCCAATAATCCTTCATCACTCACATAAAAAAACTATCATAATTAACATCACCATCATCATCATCATTATCATTAATTGTTTTGCGGCCAAAATGTTCATCACTCAAAATAGACAGACTATCTGAATTCCTATTTAAAAAAAAAAATATGAAACAGAAACAAAAAAAAAAAATAATGTTTATTTTTTTTTCGTTTCTTGGTTGGCTGTGATGATGATTTATTCTAATTCAATGATCGACGATGACAAAGCCTGCCGACAAATCGTTTCATTTATTTTAATAAATAATTATCTTCATTTTTCTTCATTATAATTAATTTCCCTTTTCGTTTGTTTTTTTTTGCAAACTCTTGATCATATCCGATTATTATTATTATTATTATATAAATAGAGAAACATTCGATTTTTTAAAACAAACAAACAGAAATGAAACAAAACAAAACAAAAATTGAATCAAAACAAGATCTCTTCATTGAACCTGTGTATGTTGTGTTTACAGCGAAAAATATAGGAACAGAATAAAAAAAACAACCAATGAATTTCCTGTAATTGATATTCAATTCATATAAATTCAATTGTTTTTTTCCATCTGTTTATTTTCAAAATTCTAATCTCTCTTTAAATTATTTCCAAAAAAAAAAAAATTTTTCCTTCCCTTACATTCTGTGGTCATCATCATCATCATCATCATCATTCGTATCGATTTGATTCTGTTCATTTTATATAATCTCAATCAAATGTTGTCAAATATTCTTAATTCTTATTTGCGCACCCATTCACACACACACACACACACACACACACACGGACAAATGCCAACACACAAACATATAAAGATTTAAATGACACAAAATAACACTGAACATGTTAGCAATTATTTTATTATCAATTATAAATTGAATTCATTGATGATTTAAATTGAGAAAAAAAAATTTTAAATATTAATAAAAATTCCTAATTATTATGATTTAAAAAAAAAAATTTGTCTATTATTCATGAATTTCAAGTTTAACTTTTTCAAGTACATATTTTCGATAATCTTGATGGCCCCATAATCGTGCCGCTTGTTGATCCAATGGTGAATCTAGATTCGGTTCACCAAGCAATGATTGTATTGATAATAAAATAGTTCGAACATCGTATAATGCTGACCAATTTTCCTATGAGAAAAAGAAAATTAACAAATAAAAACCACATCAATAACGAAGAAAAAAAAGATGAATTACCTTTAGGATATCCAAACAAATATCGCCCATAGGACTAATATTAGGATGGAAACAATGATTTAAAAATTTTACATTCGGTGCTTTGAATGGATAATGTGCACTAAATTTTATAATCATTCTATACGATAGTTTATCATATACGGTATCTTTTGGTCCATCAATCGTAGCAATCCATCTGAAAAACATAAATATGATTATGAAGAAAAAAAAATCAAATTGATCAAAAATATTGACCTGAAAAGATTTTCACCATCCGGAAATGCCGATATAGATTTATCACCGAAGACCATTAATTCCATTAGTTCTTTTTGTAAACGTTTTACGGCTGCTGATCTATCGACATTCATGTCTTTGGATTTTGGTGAATAAATATCCAGATTAGTTAAACTCATATTTTCGTTGTAAATTGAGAAGCTAAAAAAATTTGATGACAAAATGATGTCGTCTAAAGTTTGTTATACTGATGTTCAATGCAACAATGAAATGACTGATTGAGTGAAAAAAAAACCGTTTTTTTAAATGCTTGCTGCATGCAGCTTGAACAGGGTGTGTGATTTTTCAAATTTTTCCATCGGCCAATCAGAAACGTTTTTTTATTGTCAATTCATAAACAACGTTACAAATTTCAAAGGTCTATGTTTATTTGAATTTGACACGTGTACTCTTTTTAACACATTTCCATTTTCTTTTGACTAATCTAAATTCGTTAACAATGTCAGGCGGTAAAATATATAAATTCATCGATACTTTACAAAAAGTAATTATCAATTTATGATCATCAAAATATTCCTCATTTTTTAAATTTTCAATTATAATAGAGATTACAACAATGGAATTTTCAAAATTCGAAAAAAGGCATCATATTTGGCTATACATCAGCTTTGCAAAATAACTGTTGTTATTGTATGGGTTGTACAGAGAATTTAAATGATATTCCATTCGGAAATAATTTAATTGGAGCCTATTTTCTTGAATCATTTGATGAAGATTCGATTGTCGTTTTCTGCAATGAGCTTAGTAAAAACAAAACATCTGGTAAACTTTTGGTTTATAATTACAATGAAAACATTGAAAAAATTTCATTGTTTGATATAAAATCAAAAAAATTAATCGATTATACTATTGAAATTGTCGATCATCAAGTAGCTTTGGAGCCATTAATACAAATAAAATTGGATGTAAATTTCAAACTTAATATTTCCTTTGAAGATTCGATTCCAACCACTAATATATCTTCTATCATTGAACAATTAAATAGTTGGATTTTTCGTCTTGATATGTCTTCATTTAAAATAAATGGAAAAGAAGAAAATTTGAATGGAATTTGTATTGAAGATCTTTATAATCAAATTGAACAATTTGAAGAATTACAAGATTTACAAATACCGACAAATATGAAGAAGAAAATGATCGAAAAATCTCAACGACAATTACGTAGCCGAAAAAGTATTCTGCAATTTAAATTGGATAATAATATCGAAAAATCTGATAGCCCTGAAAAATTTGAAGAAAATCAAAAATATGATTTCATTTTCAACTTGAAGATGTTTTACTTGTTACAGCTGCAGAATAATTTACAACAATTGTATAAGATATTTATAAATTCTTTGACCAAAATGTTAACATTGATGCAAAAATATTTTGATGACAATCCAGAAAAGAAATGTCCATTACAAATTCCTCGAGTGGTCAATTTTTATGAACCAAACATTTACACTCACATTATCACCATTCTTTATCACGATTTGGATTCAATCGAAATATACAAGGATCAACGAAAATCATTACATCTTAAATATTTAGTGCCAATGTCGAGACCGACATTTAAATTGGCCAATGCCATTGGACGTGATTTTTCTGGAAAAAAATTAATGAACGTCCATGTTGGACTACAATCCAGCATTAAAAATGGTCAATGTTATATAGTTAAAGGAAAATATTCTTACCATCATTACAATCAAGATCATATGGATGATTCTGGCTGGGGCTGTGCATATCGATCATTGCAGACTATTATTTCTTGGTTTCAAATACAAGGCTATATTGATATCGAAACAGTGCCTACTCATAAAGAAATTCAACAGGCTTTAATTGATGTCGGTGATAAACCACCAAACTTTTTAGGTTCATCCAAGTGGATAGGTTCTCAGGAAGTATGCTATGTTTTGAGCCATTTGTATGATATACAATCAAAGATTATTTTTATCAATTCTGCAACCGAATTATTGGATAAGGCTAGAGATTTGATTAAACATTTTTCCACTAATGGAACACCAATAATGATTGGTGGTGGTGTATTGGCACATACTATTATTGGTGTCGATTTTAATGAAGCTACTGGTGATGTAAAATATTTGGTTCTTGATCCTCATTATATAGGTGATGAAAATCTAAATAACATACACAAAAAGGTAAGAAAATCAAATGATCTTTCAATCGTCGAATATTAATTCCAAAATTTTCTAACTTATCAAGGGTGGCTGTGCTTGGAAACCGGTAACATTCTGGGATAAAAATTCATTCTATAATCTTTGTTTGCCACAGGTGTCAGAAGATTTTTAATGAAATTTTTTTAATGGATTATATTCTATTATTATTATCTATTATAGTTATCTAATTTTATTCATTAACAATATTTTTATTTTTTATGAAATAATCTACATTGAAATGAAAGGAAAAATTTCCAGTAAGACTTCGCTTTCGCTTCACAATCAAAATTCATAGAGAATTAACGCCGGGTTTAGCGAGATTTTACTGTACATTGAAAATTAAAAAAAATGCGAAAAATCATTGAAATTTACGTATTATATGAGTGAACCATGAGCAACCAACTAGCAAATTGAAAAAAGTTCGTTGAAAATCTAGCGCGCCACTCGTGAGCTTCAGCAATTTCATTGTGATGAAATCTTTTTGATTTGATTTGATTGTTTATAATTGTACTTCAAATAAAATTATGGATGAACTTCTTGAAACAACTAAAGAAAATGTTCAACCCTTGCGTCAAGGAAGAAAAATAGAAGAATTAAAAGCAACATTGTCCACTGACATAAATGAAAATAATAACCGACGTGAAATGATTAGACAGTAAGTTTGTGGATCACTGAAATGGATTAATCCTTTTTTGATTGAATATTTTATTTGTATAGAAAATTCGAAAAAGATATCAAACAATCAAGCAATGATGATGATGAACATTTCGAAACGTATGCTAAATACATTGAATGGATCCAACAAAATTATCCGCGTGGAGGCAAAGAAATAAAATTCTCGGAGATATTAGAGAAATGTATCAAAACATTTTTCAACAAAAAACAATATCAAAATAATGAGCGGATGCTATCAATTTTTCTTTGTTACACCAACATCGTCGCCAATCCACAGGATGTTTTTAAAGTTTTTTACAAGCAAAATTTTGCAAAAAAATTATCCACTTTTTATATTGAATGGGCCTACCTCTTTGAAATGCAAAATAAATTCAAGCAAGCTATACAAGTTATAAAATTAGGCATTGAAAATGAAGCTGAACCATTGTCCCGTTTGAAGCAAATATTGAATGATCTTGAAGTTAGAACAATGCGTTTTGTTATTTCAAATCCTGAAGAACCTGTGAGTGAGAGAAAAGCATTAAATAAATTGAAAACAATAAAAGATTCAGAAGGCAAATCGTCAGCGCCTGTAAAAAGAACATTAATTGAAGATAATAATGGCATTAATAAAATATTTTCTGATAATATTCCTAAAAATGATAATGTACCAGTTAAAATCTATACAGAAAATGAAACTGCTTCGCACCCACCAGTTGATAATGATAATGAAGAAATGAATAAATTTAATTTCAATCAAAAATTAAAAGAAAATGAGATGAAAACCCATCAATGGAAAGGGAACAAACTCGATATTAAAAAAGCACAAACAAAAAATATCGAAAAATTTGAAATATTTTGTGATTCTAACAATGATATTGCTAAAAATACTCATTCAGATGAACCGAAATTTCCCGTCGCGATTTTTGGTGATAAAGAAAAATTGAAAGGCTGGATCTTGTACGATCGATTCGATGAAATATATCGCAATGGAACAGAATATTCTCTAGAAGAAATCAAGTACCAAAAATGGCTAGAAGACCAAGAATTGAAAAAACAAAAACCAAATGCTCCTGTTGTTGATCTAAAAAATTCTGAACCAGAAACCGCGAAATTATTATTCAGCGATACAAAAAATTTATCGCAAATGATTTCTTCATTATTCAATGGTACATTGTGCAAAACAATGAATCAGACCCATTTAGAAAGATCACCAACTACGCAAGAAAAATTTGAAATATTTCAAGATGATCAAAAAAAATTGGGCTCAACCTTTAACGAAAACAATGAATTAAAATCTTGTTCATCATCTACGCCTTTTCAAAACAAGACTTTAAAATTACAACAAAATCTAGCCATGCTACCATTAAATAATAAACTTAATTATGTTGATGGAATTACAGCCAAATTAAGCCCTATTGTAGAATTAAGTCGTGAAGAATATAGTAAATCATCGTCATCTTCATCATCATCATCATCATCGTCTGGTACCATCATGAGCAGTCTTACCACCAAAAAAGTCCTTCTTTATGATAATATTGATCCATTTGATTCTTATAATCGAAAAAAAATACTATCAGCCATTTCCGATCCTGTCGAATTTCGCATGGGTTATTATAAAAAAAATCAGATACTTCCTGCGTTTAATTTATATCAATTTTTTGAATTTTTTGGCCAAAATTATATTATTGATAGTGGGTGTAAAAGTAATACTAACGAATTCTATGTTTTTGAAAGATTATCAAATGATTTGGATATGATTACGAGCAATTCAAAACGTTTCATAAAATTGTCTCGTTGTCTGGATTATTGGGAATTCTACATCTATGATGAATTGAAACGACGACTATTTCAGAATAATTGCGGCACAGACATTGTAAGATTTTTGAAATATAATTTTAAATTTAAAAAAAAAATTTTCATATTTATTCATTCTTTCGATTATAGGAAATATCAGTGTTATCATTAGATCGGATCATTTTCTATAGTAATGGTTATATAGCTTTTTACAACGATGTCGATTGGAATTTTTCCATCCAAAACTTGATGAAAACACTTGATTGTAAGCAAAGCAAATTTCCTGAAATATTCATAGCACTTGTTGCTTTAGAATTGATATTGATAATCAAAAAATTACATGAATGTGGTATCATTCATGCGAATATTTCAATCGAAAATGTTATTTTATCTTCAATGTAAGTATGCAAAAGTTTGATTTTTTATAGCCTTTCAATTTTGTCATTACTTATGTTTTAAGTGACCAAGACGATATCAATGCGTTGCCGAAACAAACATCTATTAAACTAATAGATTTTTCACAAGCGATCGATATGAAAGTTTTGCCTGATTATGTTACATTCGACATTAATACAATTAAAAATCATGATGATAATGAAGTATTCTGGGAAATTTTACAACCGAAATCTTGGAATTATCAGGTATTATTTTTGTCATTGTTTTGAAAACTTTTTAGTTAATTTCATTAAATTTTCAGATCGATTGGATTGGCTTCTTGAATTGTATCCATATGATGGCATTTGGTTTCCGATTGAAAATCAAAAAACAAAACCAGGTCATAGTAATGGAAAATTCTTTTGATCACAACCTATCTATTCTGAATCCAATATTTAATCAACTTTTAAATTTGGCTGCCAATCAGAAACCAAATCTTGACGTTCATATTACGGAATTGATCAATTTCATCAAATTAAATACCAACAAAGTAGAATGGCAAAAATTTGATTTCAACTTTCTCAGTTAAAAACATTGATTGTAAATTGATTTGTTGTTATTCTTAAAATTAATCAATGACTATTATTATCTTTGAATTTATTCAATGAAAAAATTCATATATCCACATTAATTTCAACACGAGATAGAATTTTCTTTTGATTATTTTCATCTTTGATTTGTTCGTATGTTAATAACGAAACACCAAGTTGATCCTCCTGTATAAATAAAAATTTTTGAAATTTTGTGGAAAAAAAATTTGATTTGATTCTTGACTTACTTTTGAAAATGGTTGTGCCATTTGTTTGAGAAATTTTCTGGTTATCTGTGTAGATTCTTCGATACTCAAATTTAATACTCCTTTGCTCATATTTGATTGAATCCATTTCGGTAATTTTTTTAGCTTATCTTCTCTGGCAAATCTCTGAAAATAAAAGTGACAAAAAAGGTTTAAATTTAGACGTTTTATCCTATATATACATGATATTTATATACCTTATCGGCAAAACACATAATACCATAATCAGTCTTGCCTCGAACTGCTCGACCAACACATTGAGCAGCATGTCGCATAGCATCGAATGTTAAGAAATCGCTTTCTTTTATCTGATAATTATCACATAAATATTCAAGTCGAGCTTTTAAGATTCTCGATTGAGTGTAGACAAATGGAATGCCAAACATAATCACACATCTTCCTTTGTGATGGTCAAAATCGATTCCTTCGGAAATTTTACCACGAGCAACAGAAAGAAGCACCGCACCTCTACCATTTTCACAGGCACGAACATAATTGTTGAGCGCCAAAGATGTTTCTGAAGCATCTTGAGTTTCAATGAAAAGCAGCTTGTTCTTTTGAATAGAATCAATGATACCTTGTTCATACCAAGATGCAATTATCTGTTCCATATAAATATAGCTTGTAAAAAAACAAACGATTCCATCCGGAACAATGGCAGACATTTCGACCAAAAGAATGCCGTAATTACGTATTACTGACATATCATTACGGGTTTCAAATTTGGATGTCATAGGAACTTGATCATTTCCTTTAGTCACAATCAAAGGACAAATACATTGTCGATGTAAGCTCATGGTGAAAGTTGCAGCTACAATAGGATTGAAATCTAGCATTTTAGGATACATTTCAATAGGTGACAAAGTTCCCGATGTAATTATTACAGATTGAAATCTTTCAAAAACTGGCTTAATTGCTAATGAGGCATCCAAACAGCTGAAATGAAGAATAGGGTTCGGCACGTTAGGTGTACGATCTTCGAACGGTTCAATGATGATGGTGAATCCCCTTAAATATGTGCTAACTAAAGTAGCGAAATTACATAATAAAGTTAAAGGAGTAAAATCGGTAATATTATTCACTTCAAGAGTTCGAATTAACGATTGGATGCGTTCGGAACAAAATCTCAAAGGTTTTCGATCAATGGTCATTTTGTTATGAATATCTTTCAAGAATGCGGCTGGACTTTCTTTTACTACATGTTGAATTCTCAGACGTAATTTCATATATTCAAGAAGATATTTAAGGAATCGAATAAAATTTTCCGCTTTACGTATATTTCCAGGTAGGGCTTCATTCAGAATGTCACCAGGTAGAATAGGATTTGCCAAGAATGTATCGGTCTTTTGGGCTATATAAGCTTCACGAAGCCCCTCAACCAATCTATTATATTCGGTTTCAAGTTTGTTTTCATCAACTTCTTTGATCTTTTGGATTTCTTCTTGTAGAGTAGTTATATTAGATTGACACTTTTGCAGAATCTTTTTATTTATGGTAACACTCATCGATTCGATGCATACATTGTCAATATTATGTGCTTCGTCGAAAACGATAACAGAACTTTTTGTTAACTCTTTGGACACGAGTTTGGCGATTTTTGGGTCCAACAGATAATAATAACTGTAGACGATTACATTGGCATAAGATAAGGCCCCGCGAGCCAAGAAATAAGGACAATATCCCATTTTTCTTCCCAAATCTTTAAGATCATCAATGTTGTAAATGCCATTTGGAAAGACGAATTCGCGGCCTTCATTTTCAAATTTTTCAAAAAAACTACACAGTTTACTTGAATCATCGCGGTTCCTCTGTCGTTTATGCGATGCAGTCATACTAAAACATAAACCATCAACAGCTTTTCCTTCTTTTTCTTTGCTAGCGATCGGATGAATGCAAAGATTTTTTCGCGAAGTCAAACACAAACCAACAAGTGCATCATCATTATTAACTTCTATGTAATATTCATGTAATTTTCGTAATTCTTCAACGACCTTTTCGATTTCCGGTATCGTACGCGAACAATATATTAGCTTTTTCAATGAATTTGGATGTTGTTTCAGATATGCCACAATCAATGATAATAATGAAGTAGTTTTACCGGTACCCGAAGGCATTTCCAATACCCCATGGCCTTTGGCGTCCAGACATTTTTTCAGATGACACATATAAGAGTATTGTTCTGGATATATATAATTATAAGGAAAATAAACATCCAATCCATCTATCTTTAGCCTAGGAATATATTGATAATAATAAAGGTTAGATTATGAATTTTCAAAATTATTTACCTCATTTTCGATTTTCAATGATTCAAAATGTCGCGTGCAATATTTTTCACTATATTTGATTAATGGTATATTTGAACGGCATGTATGAGTTAATAGAAAAAATTAACAAAGCATGTGAGAGCTAAAACATTTTATTTAGTTTTGACAAGATACATAAAGTTGAATTTATTTATTTTTTGGGTGATGGTTCAAATCCAAACTGGAATTTTGGTTACTTGTGATCCTGCAATGAAACAATTTTTGCTTCATCTGGATGAGACTAATGCATTAGGTCAACGATTCGTCCTGCAAGATCTCGATGCCACTCATTTGTTGATCACTGCCGAAATATTGACTGTGTTGAAAAATCGAATTGATGATTTGATGGATCATTTTTCGTTTGTTGAAACTAATTAATTTTTATTAAAAATGTATAAAAATAGCGGCAAATCATCATCCAGAATTTCTATTACTCGTAAACAATATAGAATTCTGGATGAAAGTACTAGAAATCGAAGAAACCGGCAACATATTGAACAATTAGAACGAGATAATTTTCATGAAGATCCACATAGTAATTTGGTGATGCATAAAAAAGCACCAAAATTCGAAGATCCTACCGCACTCAATAATAATAGTAGTACAAATATCACTCCCAGACGTGTGAATGCTTACCGATCACGAATATTCACATTAAGCACATTGATCGAAGAAAATTCACGACTTTCAACGCCAAATTATTTATCGATCGCTACACGTTCGCTGAATAATTATCCGAAAAGAAAACACAATTCAAATGATGATAAACGACAATCACAATTATCTAGCACATATTTTCCGCATATTGAAATTCCTTCGATCAAACGGCATTTTTGTAGTGTATGTGGTTTTAAAAGTAGCTACACTTGTATCATATGCGGTTTCCGTTATTGTTCATCGCATTGTTTGCAGTTACATGTCGAAACACGTTGTCTTAAATGGACTGGATGAATAATGATAATATTTTATAATCTAATCTAATATTTGTATAAAAATCTTAATTCTATATTTTCTTTGTTTTTAAATAATAAAAAATAAATAAATAACTATAATTTTGTCATAATTTTTTTTCCTGGGAAATGTATCGTATCGTTTATCATGGATAGACACACACACACACACGAGTTCAATTAGACTCATATTTGTTTTGGATTTTATTCACACAACCGATGGCAAAATTGATTTCGAAAAAATCAATAAAAATGTGCATTTTTTGTGGACACGAAAATTTGTCAATACTATCACAGGTGAGTGTCATTATTTTCGATTAATCAATTTTTATCCTGTCATCATCAATTTTATTTTGTCTATTAGAATGATCAATTTATGTTAATCAAAGATATCAAACCGGCAACAGCTCATCATTATTTGGTCATACCAAAAGAACATTATTCCAATATCAAATATTTGAATCGTCAACAAATACCAATGAGTAATTATCTTATCTAATGAAAAGTGTAACAAAAAAAAAAATTCCATATTTCTTATTTATCATTATAGTTGAAGATATGAAACAAATGGGCTTAGATTTTATGGAAAAAAATGTTCCAGAATTCGATAGAAATAATTTACGGTATATTCATTTACAACAATATTTTTACATTCAATAATTGTATATATTTCTTATAGATTAGGATTCCATTGGGCACCATTCAATTCAATCGACCATATTCATCTTCATCTTCTTTATCCATATGAACAAATGAATTGGTTACAAAATTTAATATTTAGACCGAATTCCTATTGGTTTATTGAAGTATTTTTTTTTTTTTTTTTTTGATTAATAATGAATAATCATCATCATCGTTAATAATTCTACATATATTTATATATAGGTTGATGAAGGAATAAAATATTTACAAAGCAGATAATATAATGGGAGAAAAAAAATATCGCCATATTCTCTTGTGATTCACAATTTATCGCGCATGTTTTTCGATCTATAGTTGGAAAAAATGTTATATTGAATGAAATCATTATTGATTCTCTGGATCATATCATCGCCATGACTCAATTCTTATTCATTACTAGCCGTTAGAATTTTTTTTTGGGTTAGGTCGTGTTTATATATTATTATTATTAGCCGAATGTTTTGAATAATAAAAAAAAATTAAAATTTTGAAAACAAAATTGAAAATGTTATATTCTTGATTTTGTAATTTTCTTTTTTTTTTAAAAATCCTACAATGGTTGTGAATCTTTTTTGGTTGTGATTTCTTTTCTAAATGATCATCAAAATTAAAATTATAACAAAAAAAAAAGTCTTATACTCGAATGGTTGTGTTTTTTTTTATTCTTCATTCATTCATTCATCATTCAAATCAATTAATTCGTTCAATTCAAAAATTCATTCAAATTTATGCAAACAAATAATGATGATGGATTTGTGGCCACAACAAAATGAAATGGTACATCCAAAATTATAATAATAAACAAAAACATGATCAACATGTCGATAGTCTTCTATCTACTATCGATGAACAAGCTATAATCTCTCGATTAATATCCGGTACAAATAAAAATCATCATCATGAATCATTAATCAATAAAAAAATAAGAAAAAATCATTATAATTATCATAATCGAAAGGAAAAACGTTTCTTCACTAGTCTCTGTATTGTTACATTCATATTGATACTTTTAATATTGATTTTGAGTAATAATTTCAATGTGATTTTACATCATCATAAATTCATATGGCACAATCGAAGATGTAATGAAAATAATGAAACCGAAATGATTCATAAAGAAAGCCAAAAAGTGCTTCCACATTGTATAATCGTTGGTGTTCGTAAATGTGGCACTAGAGCTTTATTAGAGTTTCTTGATATTCATCCACTAATCACCAAAGTGGTAAATGAGATACATTTTTTCGATGATGAAAAACGTTTCAATCTAGGTTTAGAATGGTATCGGCAACAGATGCCCGTTACTAATCAATCGAATATTGTGATTGAAAAAACTCCAGCTTATTTTGTTACCGAATCTGTTCCGGAACGGATATATGCTATGAATGCATCTATTAAAATCATTTTGATCGTCAGAGATCCTGTCACACGATTGATTTCTGATTACGCTCAACTAGCCAGTAATAAAGCGAAAAAAGTTCGACATGTAGAAACATTCGAAGAAGCTGTTCTTTATCCTAATGGTAAAGTAAATTCCAGTTACAAAGGAATTAGAATCAGCATGTATGCTGTTTACTTTTCGCGATGGATTAAGGTTTGATTTGATTATTTTTTTTTCTCCTGATAACTCTCTATTATTCATTTTGATTCAATTTTTAATATCTAGCTTTTCTCCAAGAATCAAATACATGTAGTGGATGGCGATCAATTTGTTTATGATCCATTGGCAGAACTGAAAAAAATCGAAACATTTCTTGGCTTACCACATTTAATACGACATGAGGATTTTATCTATAATGTTACCAAAGGATTTTATTGTATACGAATGGATAATAATATGGAAAAATGTCTCAACAAAAACAAAGGTCGTCGACATCCAGACATAAATCCAGTTATAATTAAACGTTTACGGAAATTCTATGAACCATATAATAAATTTTTCTTCAGTTTGGTAGGAAGACGTTTTTATTGGCCAAATCGATGAAAACATGCTCTTCATTCATCATCTTATTCTCAATGCGATTTTCTATGGTTGTGAAATTGTGCTTTATATAAAAAAAAACAAAATTTATTTCGTCGAAATCAATTTGAACAAAAAAAAAAAAAAACAAAATCATCATTTCATTTTTTTTTTTTGCCATTTTCTTTTTATTTTATCATTTCGAGATTGATGAAATGGGGGGAAATGTTTACTAAAATGAATTCTTAAAAATTCAATGTTTTTTTTCTAATTATTATTATTATATCGAATCATTAATCATTCTTTATGTTATAAATTAATAAATAAGTATAGTAGAGCAGTTTGATGATTGTGACAACAACAACAACAACAACAAGGATTTTGAGTCAAGCATTTATATCGATTTGGGATTTGAGGAAAAAAAAATTTTCTTTTTGTTTTAAGCAAAGAGCAAAAAAAAAATTGGAGCAATTATTTGGAGGGAAATATAGTAATATATATTCAATACAGATGGAAACCAATCGCATACTTGATTTGAGACACAGTCTGTTTTTGTTGTGTTTTGGTAAAAAAAAAAAAAATGACATAGATTGGTATCAGTTTGTAAATTTGACAATTGAAGAGGATAATTTTTATATATATAGATAGAATAGATATAAAAACAATAATAATAATAATAATAACAGAAAAAAAATTTGTAAATTTGACATAGAAAAAAAAGAAGAAAAAAGATTCAATGATGAATGAAGCTTGAGCAGAATCGATATACAATCGAACGATAATAAATTCATTTTTTTTGAGAATAATAAATGATGAATCGAATGAACAATCAATAAAACCAACAAATGAACAATATATAGGTTTCAAAATGATAAACAACAAATTAAAAATGGTGGTTGTAAAATCATGTGTATATTATATAGACAAAGGAAAAATTAATATTGAAAAAAAAGTCAAAATCGACAAGAAAGACTGAAGAAAATGAATGAATGATGAATGAATGAAGAATGAAAAAAAAAAATCAAACATTCTTTATATATATATAATCGTGGGATTAAGTGGTATAAGAAAAAAAATAGGTAAAATGGGTAAAGTTAAGTGATTTTAAAATCTTAAAAGTAAACTTTGCTTGAATCAAGAGAGAAAACAAAACAAAAAACTTTTGTATAATCAAGTAAATATTATGATGTTTTGATGTAAAATTAAATTAGACGATATTAAGACTAGTTTCATCGGAAATTTCATAAACAATATCCGATTATCATGATGATGGTGATTATGCATGAATGTTCGTTCACTTTGCGAATTATTATGGATTATTAACGATTAGGCAGTATAGTTATTTAGTGAACGAATAAAAATGTCTTGAGGAACTGATCGTCGACGCTGGTTACCACCACCACGTTGTTTATTAGTAGTCAATAAATATTGATGACAAGTGTTGGCTGCTGTTACCGTTGCTTGGCCATGATTATTGCCGCCAGATATGTCAAATAAACTTGATCGACATGAATGATGCTGCCCAAAGTAACATGATTCCGGTTGATGATGGAACACTCTATTGTTCCGGTTTCTATTGCTTTTGCCTTTGGCATAGTTAATACATGTAGCCGTATTAAACCTGGTTGTCATTGCCGCTGTCATATTACTAATATTTGTTGGCTGCTGTTGTAGACTAGTTTTGAAATGTATATTTCCTTTTGGTATCTTGACATTAGGAAATGATGAACGTCTTTTGACAATATTATTATTATTATTATTATTATTATTTTTGGCTTTCAATGAATTACAAAGCAACAATAAGGCAGTTCCTTTGGCCGTATTCAATTCATTTCTTCGAATCATGTCAATACAACCAGGTGCCGAACCACGTCGATAGAATCCGCTCTGGGGCTGTAAAAAAAATAATGATAATGATAATTAATAAATTTTTCTTCTAAAATATTGTCTTGAAGAAAGAAATCAGAAAAGAATTCCAAAATCATTAAAATGAAACAATAGAAATTTACCTTTTCATAGCAAAAATTTGGCAATATCAATGCCGGTGTAGAAAGTATTGCTCCACAATTGAATTCCGAAATAAAATCATCTTCTTCATCATCGAAATCAACATCATCATTTAATTTGACTTTTTCTTCACTATTTGTCGTCGCCATAATTATTTCTTTCGATGATGGAGGTGTTCCACAACCATTGATACATTCAGGCTTTGAAGATTTTTCCACTGTTTGGCTAGCTTTTAATTTAGTCAATGTATTTTCAAATAATGTAATCGATGAAAGATTGAGTGGAGATAATTTATTGTATGATTTACAACGAATAGTGGATTCAATTTCAAATTTATCCGAAAAAGAAATCAATGAATGACTATGTTTGATTCTTGATTGTTTTACATTCTCCATATTTTTCCACATATATTCATTGAAATTCAAATTATTGATTAATTGACGTGTAAGTTTTGAATCAAGAAATACATTCCATAGCTCGAACAAAGGCCTGACAATGTTTTTGAAAAAATCTGAATATAAAATAATGAAAGAATCATCAAATTTTGTACACATTATATTCACCTATTAATTATATTATATGTTCTTTTTATTTCACTTTTTTTATATACCTGTCTGAGTTTTTGAGATTGTCGTTGAATTCCTATCACACATGGGAGTGACTGGCAGTCCAAGTAATTTTTCAAAATCGCCTTGTCTATAAAATTCATTACAAATCTGTTCACTCCAACGTTGACTAATTTTCCATGGACGGCATGGATTACCAAGATCAGCACATTTAAGAGCAATTTGTAAAATGAAATATTTATGCTCTTTTTTCTCCATTGAAAATGCGTTGCCAAGTTTAATATAATTGTTAAATTGATGAATGAATTCACTTTGTCGACTAATGTCGGTGGCTAAAATTAGATTTTTCAATAAAAATTTTATCTCTTTCCATTGTTTTTCATTAAAATGATCGAATATATGTGATTCGTAAAAACATGACAATGCAAAACGCCAATGATGACTTTCCAAGACGGACAGGTTCTAAAAATAATAAAGTGGATACAAACAAAAAATAATAGAGATAATATAGACAAACAAGCATATTTAAAGTTTATAATAATAAAAATAAGGAAGTAAGATGGCATCTATCTATCATTTATGTTTACATTATGCATAGTTGTCAGATGGCTATTTGTTGCAATTAAAATTGTTGATTAACACCAGGATGGTCTAGATCATGTGATACGGCTGCCAATAACGAACACATTGCTTCCATAGGTGTCAAATATTGTTTAAGTTTTGACTCTTGCAGGAAACAATGCATCGCTTGGGTAACATCAGCTGCATGTACCGAATTATGATAAGGATTCGTATCATGATAACCTAACAGGGGGTTTAGTTGGAAAAAAAATTTTATTATATTCTTCCTGTTCATTAATATAAAGTTAATAATGCTTACCCTTTTCAAGATAATCTAAAATTATAATTAAAAAAAAGTGAATAAAATTATGATATATAAATACTTTAATATTGTAAAACACATTTAATACTTACTGAAACATCGTAAAACATTAATCAAATCAAGATTAAATATTTCGATGAAACGATATTCTTTGAAAAAATACAACAATAGACTAGATAGTGAATGACCGCTAGTCAATACATCGAATGAAAATGTATTGAAACTCCATTGATAAGAATATTTCAAATAACGTTGTGTGATACCATAATAGTATGGATCTAGTAATGGTATCGTTTCAGGATGTATACTTTGTTGAAGACTTTTTCGTCTTCGTAATGCCAATAATAGGTATACACTTCGACGATCGAGCTCATCCGATTGGCTTCCTAAAAATAGCAATTTTGAATTAATAATTATTAATTATATAATATATATATGGATGCATGAATAAGTGCAATTATGTGTTTGTCAACAATTTTTGTTTTGTTTTGTTAATAATTATAGTCATCATTTTTATGATAATTACTTTCTTTCGATGATGCAAGCAATGCATTATTATTATCAACCAGAATACTTTGTTGAGCAGCATTTTGAGATTCTAAGTTCGAATGTTGTTGTTGTTGTTGTTGTAATTGTTGTTATTGATCATGACGATATGCAATAACATGACAATGTTAATTTCATACCAATATAGGATACAAATAACGTTAATGAATATGACAGAAAAAAAATCATTGAATGAATGAATGAATAAATGAATGCAAAAAAAAAAATTATCCAAAACAAACCTATGGCCCATGTAAAACATAATGTTTGGTCATCCTGAGAAGTGACGTTGATGATCGTCGATTCCACTCGCTAAGGAAACATAACAAATACAAAGTATAATGAAATGATGACAATGTAACCAAAATGAAAATGATGATGATGATGATAATAATTCAAGAAAATTATTTGGAACATGGAAAAGAAAGAGAATGAAATGAAAAATTAATAAATGAATAGGATTTTTTGGGCCATACAAATTCAAGTGAATTATTTACATTTATAATAAATTGGAATGAATGAAAATATTATACACACTATACTATACTATTATATATTGTGTTAGATAATGAATGTATGGAATAATCAAAACCATATTATTTGTTTAATTGAATAATGATGAAAATCATTCCATTTTCTTATTATCATCCTAATTATTCATTAATATAATGGACATCTAACCACATCATCATATAGCTAATAATAATAATTTACATTTTCAAACAACAAATTATATAATGATGATGATGGTACATAATAAATCTTATCTTATCATTAACATTTATCAGGAACGAAAAAACTACAAATAAAAAAGATTTATTGCTTATCATTTACCGTATTATGTCCAAAATGTTGAACCAAAGTCCATTCACAAGGACTGAATTTATTGTTGTCATTTTCGAGTGAATGTCGTCGGGTTTGATTGAAACGCATACAAGTACTATATGGTATCATAATAGCAGAACACTTTTTACACTGATGGTGTCTCAGTGATGATGATGATGATGATGATGATGATGATGATGATGATGATGATGATAATGATGATGGATGATAATTTTTTTCTTTTATAAAATTTTTTAAGTCATATGTCGATTTGTATCAAATTGATAAATGATGATTGAATGTAAAATATATATTAGATGTATTACACAATAATCAAATGGTCGATGATTGTATTATCAATATATATCTTTGTTTATAATGATAATTTTTTTTATAATCAATATTCATACATTGATTAAATTATTTCCTTCAAATACACGTGTTAAATTAGAGATTTATTTAATTTATAAATATATATAATCATAATGACAATACTATACAAAACAATGGTCGATAAAGACGACAAATACGACGAAAACAAACAAACGAACGGATGTATGATTAAAAAAAAAATTATTATTATTATGATGATGTTGATGGCCAAAACCAAATCAATTCATTTATTACAAACACACACACACACACATGAACACATTAACAAATTTAATGATTATCAATCAAACAAACAAAAAAATATTGTCATGAAAAAAATGAAAACAAATGTTATTTTCAATTTTTTGTTTTTTTTCTTTTTGATTGATAAAAACCATTTATATTAAAACAACATACATACATACATTATTATGTTGAAACAAAAAGTAAATGAAAAATTTCATTCATCCACGATAAATGGATGGATGAATGGATGGATTTGATTGATGTTGATGATGATGATGATGAAGATCGAACCAAACGCATACACACAATGCACACACACATGCCAAACAAAAAAAAAAACAAGTCTTGTGGTTCAAAATATGTATAAAAGTTATGTTTTTTGTTGTTGTTGTTGTTTTTTCGTTCGTTCGTTCGTTTATTTCATATATATCATTATCAATTACCATTGGTCAGAAGAAAAAAAAAATAAAAGAATTAAAGATGATGATGATGATGATGATAATACCTTCTCACATGTGTGTATTTTGAATGTGTATATTTGAGCAAAATGTTTTTTTTTCAATATATTCCAGTGACGTATATATATAAAACAATGATTCGTTGATGTTTTGTTTCATGTTCTCTCTTCAAAAAATATTAAACAAACACACACACACATACACACCTTTTAATATTTAATTTTTGTTTTTTTATTAAATGAATGGATTAATTGATGTGTACATGTACATATATATAAGATATGAAATGTAATGAAAACTTGATTTATCTTTTTATCGTCATCATCATGATCATCATATTTATACAACGGTGAAATTCTTTACACGTAAAAAAAAGTCAAATATATGTGTGTGTTGTTCACAAATCATATATATATTTTGATGATTTGTGGTTATTAGATTTTGATTGGAATTCTCTTTTTTTTTTGTTTTGTTAATTGCTTTATATCCTGATGATGACGATAATCAATTCGAATCGAATTTCATTAAAAAAAAACACACACACACATACACTGGAGAAAGAGGTAAAAATTTGATGAGCGAAATGGTAAAATTTTGAATAAAAATAGTGTATAAACAAATAAATAGAGCAAATGGAGAGAAGAAAAAAAAATTTGTAAAAGAAAACCAGCAACAACAACAACAAAAAATTCAATCTCAAAAATTTAATTCCAAAAGAGCAGGTATGATGTAAACATCATCAGATAGAATTGAAAATTGATGCCAAAAAAAAAAAATATATACACAACACGATATCATGGGATCATGGAGCACACACAAAACACCAACAACCAGAAAAAAACCTTTAAATGTGAATCTATTCGATTCGATAGACACGAACAGATTTGAGTGAGAAAAGAAAAAAATTTTGTACAATTTCTTTCTTTTTATTTTTTGAAATAAGGCGACAAGTCAAAAAGTCGATGAAATGTGAGTGAACTCGAACTGGAGAAAAAAAAAGAGCTTGAGCTATATCCAGAGAAACATAGGAAAACAAAAAAAAAAAAGGATACAAGGATAGGGATACCATACACATACACACATGCATCCATAGAAGGAAAATAGAGTGAGAGAGAGAGAGAGTGGAATACCCTGTGTGTGTGTGTGTGTGTGGTGATGTTGATGGAAAAAAAATTATCATCATCATCATCATCATCATTATTATTATTATTATTATTATTATTATATACCGTTAGATCGGGTTGATGAGGAGAACCTAATCTATTTTACCGAATTTTTTACATCACGCCCATTATATTATACATGTGCATTCGTTATTTTTATTCGAACATTATATATCTGTGTGTGTGTGTGTGTTTGGGTATACATTGATCTAGTTTTTTTTCCATCCTGCTAACCCACTCTTTCAAATTTTTCTTATATATATTATTATTATTATTATTATTTGAGCATCATCATTCTACAGTATCATTTCTCCATATATCTTGGCAAAAACAATCAAAATCTATTAAACTTCCGTTCGAATCTCTGTTTTAATGTAAATTTTGATTTATATGTTGGTATGTGTATGTGTGTGTGTGTGTGCGTGTGGAAGAATGTCTGTATTTCCGGGTAATATATGATAAAATAAAAATCTAACGGCAATGACTTCAATTCTATCCATTGACAATTCTATAGACGCATGACAATTTTTTTTTCTATCTAGGTTGAATATACTTTTACTTATACACAAATAATATATACAAAAAGCGTCCTAAAAATGTGTTATCCACTTTCTTTACTATTATTTATTGTTTATTTTTCTTTTTTTTTTTGTTGGCCAAATATTCAGTTCAAAGAAATAAGGCGAATAGTTTGGCCAATTCTATAGTTTCTGATAATGCGCTCAATTGCTTGATTCTATGAATCCGAATGTATGAACAGAATAAACGGTCCGGAACCAACGATCATGGACTATGATGATGACGATGACTATGATGAACAAATCTGTTTTTTTCTCTTGTATTTCCCTGTCGGACAAATAACTCGGAATTCCTTCAATAGTTCGTCATCGTCTTTAGTCCGTTATTTGGATGGCCTGTCCCTGACTAATAAAAAAAAATGTAACACCACCACCACCACCACCACTATACTAGCTGACATCGATGATGACAAAAAATGAATGGATCATAAACCTTGGACCGCCGAAGTAAACGAACGAATGTATACAATTATACGATCCAAATCATATATGACGTCGTCCATAACCCACGCGATTCTTGTTTCTTGGTCATGGAACTACGTCATCATGACATGGTTTGCACATGGATAATGAACGATATACATACATGCCGACAAAAAAGATTTCATCGATTCTTTGCTTGATTTTATGATCATTATATTTATTTTTTTTTTTTTTTTGTAGTTCACATACACATACACACCCACATTCAATATATAATATATAGAGTCGTCATATGAATCAGTGTATGTCATGGATTCTGTCCAATGCTATTCTATACACAAAAAAAGAACTATGAAAAGAGAGGTAGAAAGAATTTTTTTTTTTATTCATTGACCTCATTTGATCATTCAGGGATGAATGTGAAAGAGAGAGAAAAAGGAACAAATATTAGTGATGATGACGGTGTTGTTGGTAAATTATGATTAGTATAAGTAACGACCGATAGCGATGATGACGATCACGCTGATGATGATGATGATGAAGAAGAAGAAAAAAAATGAACAAATTCGAAAAAAAGGTCGATGATAGACATTAATGTAAAAAAAAAAAATTTGGAATAATCCTGTCTATAGTCTGTCAAAATAGAAATAATAATAATTCATTCATACATAATATCCGAATTCGAACGTTAATGAATGGAGCTTAATGAATTCAATTTTTTTTTCTCTATTCCACAATTTTTCTTTCGCCCAGTTTCTTTTTCTAATCTGGGCGTTTTCTTCTCACTATTTTCATTATATTCAAAAAAAAAATGTCGAATAAATTTTTCTAAATCTATAATGGAAAAAAAAGAAATTTTTGTTGTCACATTGAATCGTGAAGTGTGTTGAGTAATTAACGAGTGAAAAAAAAATTGGAACATCAAAAGAAAAAATTTAGTGAGAATAAATGTAATAACAAACAAAAAAATCAAAACAAAATCAAAAGCAAAACAAAAAAATGTTCATTTTGCTCCAATTTTTTTTTACTTGCAATTTACAACAATAATTAGGTGAAAATTAAAATTAGGATTTAATTTTATTTTCATCATCATCATTATGAAATATAATATAGACACAGAATATGTTCATATTATATGTAGAAAAATAGATTTTTTTTTCTTTTTTTCTAAAAATAATCAACATCCAAATGGTCGGCTTGAAATTTCAATTTGTTTTCTTTGTCTTTGTTTATTTGTAAGTATATTACTGTTATTGTCATTTCTGCCATTCGATGAAGACCATTTGAATTGTGATGGGTGAGGTATATGATTCTGATGATCAGGATGAACATATGAACAATTGAATGTTTTACAAGCTGATCCATAATGGCAAACAATCTGATAATTAAATTTATTAAATATAACTTTTTCACATTCAATGAGATAGTATGTATGTTACCTTTGGATGAATAAATTCACAATTTGGATTTGCACATTTTGGAAAATATTTACATGTAACATTATTATTATTCGGGTTCATCATCAATTGGCAGCGTTTAATGTTAGCTGTAAACGTATGGAAAAATGGGCAATCTTTCCGAGAACAAACGGAATCATATTTGCATATCGGATGTATGTAAAGACATTTGTCACCAAAACGACATTGAGGAAACATACTTGAAAGTAAAAAAAAGTCATTTGATTCATGATTATTGTTCAATTCAAATTAGAATAATTTATAATAGCCTTACTTGCATTTGATGAATGGATGATGGTAATCACATTTATTACCATTCATACAGGATGGCCAATACCGACAACGTTCGAATTTATTCGAACCAATATCTGCAACGGAAAATTTTTCTTTTTTGTTCATTGATAATTGATCGATATTCGGAAGATCTTCATTCATAAGTTCAGGATCAAGTTCTTCATCCATCAAAAAGAGATCATCATCTACTGTTTTTGTGATGGGAAAAAAAATTGTTAAAATGTTTAAATGAAATTCCATACTGATTCATTCTTCTTACCTTTGAACATATTTTTCACACCATCTAATGTTACAAAGAATTTTGTCTGCATTTCTTTATTGTTATCAATGAGGGTTGGCTTTGTAACAACAGTTTCATATGAAATGGATTTTTTATTTTCTTTCAATATTGAATCATCATCAATTTCATCTTCCGAAATTGAACGTTGTTCCTTGTTATTGGGTGGATATTTTTCCGAATTACTTTTGATGATATTATTAGACACAGCACGTTTACGTAATGCGGGACGAGATTTTTGATTCTCATTCTCATCATTCTCTTGGTTTTCTTCATTGTTAACAAGATTGACAACAGCAGATTTTAATTTTTTCTTCGGTATTCGTTTCGATGGTTCATCAGCATCTGTTATTTTATTAGCTATTTTCCTTTTATTCGTTTCACTTTTCACGTTCGCTTTCTTGCTATCCATTTCACTTGATTTATGATCATTTTCTTTCGATTCATTCTTATCTTCTTTGTTTCCTTTTTTGCCCAATTCTTTGTTACTATTTTTACTCTTTGAATCCCTTTTTTTCTGTTTATCAATATTCAGATCAATACTAGAATCATGATTCGATTGTTTTAACTTTGATAGATGTTCAAATAACCAGTTGACAAAATCATCGGAAATTTTTCCCAAAAACAAGGCAAGATTATGCTTCATTTCATATTTGTTTTTTTGGTTGATCACCATAACGATGATATAATCAATCAATGAACTCCCTACACGTGGAACAATAACAAAATTAGAAAGGAAAACAAACATAAAAATTGAATGGAAAAATTTACCCAATTCAGTATTGTCCGGATCAAGTTCCTTGAGTTTTGCAGTAACGCTGGCCTGTATTTGAAAACGAATGATAAGACAGTGAATAATAATACAATTTTTTCTTACTTTTAATTCATCAATAATTTCACTGCTGGCTTCCATAGTGTTTTTTCTTGTATTTTCGGTAATCGAAGCGACTTTATAAAGAGTTAAATTAATATATAAAAAATCGAAAGTTTTATTTATTTATTTTGTCCAATAGAAAATTCAATTGTTCCAACGGGGATTAAATGTGCGTTTTGCAATTTTTTTTTTTACTTCATAAAACCATAAACGAAAAAATTTCAGCTTTAGTCTCACTCGAATCTTCTCAAGGATGGAAACAAAAAACATCGATTGTTTTATATTTCGCTCAAATAATCGATGTATAAAAATTTTTTCCATTAATCGACGATAGATGTCATTGTAAAGTTATTTTGTGAGCCAATTTTAGTTGTGACGTTATTATGAAATTGTTCCACTAAAATCATCTTGTGGATATTCTTGTGGATATTTATGTACGAAAAAAAAAAATTAGCATTTTAACTGTAAACATCAACAGTTATAACGACCATCCCAATAATTTATGTTTCAATTTTCGAAAAGTAATTCGAATTTCTTCAATAAATCATGTTTAAAAAAATAATCAAAATAATATTCATGATGATTAAATCTGGTTATATTCACTCGAGATGATTATATACTTTGTCGCGAATATGTTGTTCTCAAGGAATTCTTATCGATCCGATTTTGATTCTATCGTCACTGAGAATCGATCGAATTAAATCAAGTGAAAATTAAAATTCTAAATATCGATTAATTACGATGATTACAATCGAAATTGGCAGCTATTTTTGGACGTTGGTTGTGTATACATCTTCATTGTTAATATCGTTGATATTTATCATAATTTGTTGTGTTTGTAATCCTAAATCAAAACGTTTCAATAAACATAAAAGTTTCATCTTATCACATGAATTTCTTGCTGAAAATGATGACCAAATAGTTGATCAAAATGGTCGAAATAATCAGGATTTGACATCTACAACTCGTGTAATCACTAATCAAGATGATATGATAAGCATAGTGAAACATATATCATTAAATCGCGCCTTACCAGACATTCCACAGACAACTAAATCGGATAACGATCACATACAGCCATCAGTTCTGTCAGCTAATTCTTCCGTCATTGAAATCAATGCTGATGCTGATCCAGTTTATACATCAGCAGATAATAATAATATCACCATTGATAATAAAAATGAAGATAATATTCAAAATCATGCTTACGCACGTATTCGAAATCTGATAACCGATTCTTCAACAGAAAATGATACCGATGATTATTCCGATCCGAGTGTAATTGTACAGAATGCCAATCCATATCCATCACCTAATCATTCCCATCAACATCATCATCAGTTAGTTGATCCTGATAATGATAGTTATGAGCATCCTATTTCACCATCCGAACGAATGATTAGGTCTGAAAATGTTGTTGTTGAATCTGTTGTTGAAATGTTGAATAATCAAATCGAACCGAAACGGGAAATTTCATACAATACCATTTCTGTTCGAGAACCATTAGCTAAAGTATTGGCTGAAAGAGAAAATAATAATAATGTTGAACATCACTATAATGAAGTTGAAGATGATTCAGAGAGATTGTCATCATTCTATGAAGAAATCAATGGAGGTGGTTCAGCTACTTATTCAAAAATTAGTGAACCACCATTAATATCAGCATCATCGATTGCTCAAAATAATTGTCAGCCTTCAACGTCATCATCATATCATCAACAACAGACACAACAAAAACCTAACGAAATTAGCATGATGATCAATGATTCAGCAAACAATTTGCCTTTATATGCATTTGTCGATAAAAAGAGTAAAAAACTTGGTAATAATGATTTAAATCCTGTTAGTACATCGATAACTGGAGCCGATGTTTTTGACAATCTCTATACAAAAGTAATGAAACCAAAAAAAGAGACATCATCGGCAAATAAATCGTTACAACGGTATTCACCACCACCACCATTACCTCCACCATTGAATAAAGATCAAACAAAAGTTCAACAACGAAATACAATCATATTCATTGGTGCAACATCGACTACCACGATGTCAACACCATCAGCACAAATCACAATAAGTGATGAAAGAGATCCAGGATATGAAACAGTATACAAAGAAATCAATCAAAATATTATTAGTGATGATCATCAGGATCAAATTGATTATGGTTATGAAGCAATTGCCAATGATCCTGCATATGAAATTGTTTCAACAGCAATGGAGAATGGTTATGAAACTATACAGAATAATTATCATAATGATGAATTAATCGATCAAGGTGATGATCAATCGGATCCTAATTATGAAATTATTTCAAATATAAAATCAACGACAACAACATCAACAACAACAACAATGACAAACAATACGACAACAATTATTATCAATACCGGTTCATCATCAGTACCATCCTCATCATCGACATCAATTACAAATATATTCATGAGCAATAATAATAATAATGAAAACAATAATACTAATAATACTCGATCGACATATTCATCGTCAGATGATAATTTTGTTATTATCGAACATTTATGATGATGTATGATGACCGTCATTGTTTCAGTATTCATTTTTTTTTTAATTTATATCATTAACATATCTTTCATCATCGTTATATTTTTGTCCATTTTCAAACCAATCAATTTTTATCGACATATATTTTACATTTGACCAAATGTATTTCTGCATCATTTTTTATTGTAATTTAAATATTGTTGTACAGCCACATTTAATGAAATGCATTTGTAGTTTTTTTTTCTCCCACTAAAATATAATTTGATTAAAATAAAAAAGTCAATTTTATTTTTGTTATAATCGGGCAATTTTTTTTAGGATTTAAAAGTCTTGATGAATACGTACATTGTGGTTGGTCGTACAAAATAATAATATTGTTGACATCAATATTGATTGTTTCGATTATCGTTTTTCCATTCACATCATCAGTATTCGATATAAAATTCTTTAAAAAAAGTTTTTGATTTAATTTTTTTCCCCATTCATCAATGATGATGTGTTTGTTATTAAATTTTTTTCAAATGAATTATTGAATGAATAACGAGTGAATAAAAAAAATGCCCAAAAAACTCGGTGTAAATACCAAAGCTGTGGAAGCAAAAATTCGTAAAGAATCAGCAAAAAAAGCTAAAGAAGAACAGATTCAAAAACAAAAAGAAGATGAATATTGGCGTGATGATGATAAATTGATTAATCGAAAACTTGAGCGACATCAACAACGTGAATCCAAAAAACATGAACAAGCTCAACGTAAAGCACAGAATCGTGCCGCATATGAAGAAGAAATGAAAAATATTCCAAACACATCGGCCAAGACTAAGGATAATGCGAGTAAAGTGACAAGATCGCAAATACAAATGTTTGTCGATAATAAGAAACAAAAAGAAGCTGATAGTGAATCCAAAGAACGTAATAAAGAACCAACACATCTTGAGGTTCCATTAGAAGAAAATATTAATCGATTACAAATCGAAGGTGATGAAGCCCGAAACATCGATGAAGCCATCACAATTTTAAGGTTTATTATAAATAATAATTTCAACTAGAGATTTCTAATCATGATATTTTTCTTATTATAGTAATAATGAAGCAGAAATTGATCGTCATCCGGAACGACGAATGAAAGCTGCTTGGGCCGCATATGAGGAAAAACATTTGGCTCGCATTAAACAAGAGAATCCTTCGTTGCGATTATCACAACTGAAAGAAATGTTAAGAAAAGAATTCATTAAATCTCCGGAAAATCCAATGAATCAGATAAAGGCAAACTAAAGCAATTTATGATGAGAAATAATAATTTTTAATAAAATTTTATTTCAAAATTTATGACCGGTTGTCGTGTTTGAATCACACATTTTTAGTTCTTTCATCAAATCATCTAATTGAAACATGAGATTTTTTCGTCGATCTTGAAGACAGGTCAAATATGTTTCAAGATCGGTTTTTTTCTGCCGTAGTGATGAAAGTTCAGCAAAAAAATTTTCATCACAATCCTTATTGTTCGAGATGAAATCAGCAACAAAATTTCGATTTTGCTCTTGCGATTTTTTTGATGAGCTTAGTTCCGAAATGTTTAACATTAATTGTCGATTTTTTTGTTCCAATTCTGTGATAATTTTTTCATAGCTTTCACTATCAATACAAGTGAATGTCGTACCATTTTTATTTGATGCTGGTTCATCTCTCAGAATGTTCAGATAATGTTCAATAAGTAAATGTTCGTTTTCAGTTTTGTTTCCATCGATTTGCACTTCTGAATAATTGGAACATAAATCTTCCAGTTTGAATTCATTATTAGCAGTAGGGGCAGTTTTGTTTTTATGATAAACTTGAGGTGAAATGATATTTGACAAATTCAATTTTTTAATAATCAATTTATCATTGTTTTGTAGATTAAAAGCAGATTCATTTTCTTCTGGTTGTTGTTGATGTTTGGGAATAAGTTTGCGAAAAGATCTTCGAAATGATTGACGTAAATGTTTGCGTGTCTTATCAAACAAATATTCTTTACATGGATGGAAATCTGGATCGTGATTTTTTGTGCTCTTACCAGTCCAAAAACAATCTTGACATTGATTATAATTGTGACAGATTTTACATTTATAACGGAAGCCTACCAACGGATTTTTATGGCAAGAATCGCATGTAATATTATGGACAACATTTTCCGAATCAAACAATCGATGATAAACGATTATCCAGGAAATTAAATCATTTTGATTGTCAAAATTTGTCAGGGTTTCAATGAAATGTTTCAAATCAATCAATACGGTAAAATTGAATATGGATTCTTGGACATAGATTTCATCGAAATTGCTATATTCATTTTCAAAATAATTGCAAATATCATTTAAATATTGCATAAATTTGGTAAAACTGAATTCATCAAGAAATCCATTTTCATTAGCCAACAATGTGAAAAAATATTTCAATTTGTTGGAAAGAAGAGATGAACACAATAATGTTAATGCTATTTTGAAGGCCAGAACATTAATATAACCATCGGATGCACTATATATATAGGATAAATCATGATTTGTAATTAATGAAAATATATAATTACAAAGGAAAAAAATTCATTACTCGTTAAACATTTCCAATAGCCAATTATAGATAAGGACAACTGAATAATCAATATCAACATCTTTTGAAGATGATGATCGACGACTTAAATGATGAAAAATTGAATATAAAATTGAATGAATTTTATCATGTGAAATAACTGCATTAAAATCTGATGAATAGCTATTCAGACCGAATTCACGGAATGCCTCGATTGTATTGTATAGATCGATTAGATAAACTGAAAAATTAAATTAAATTAAGTTTGAATAAATATGATTTTTTTTTTAAAAATTAACACTTACATTTAGATTCTTTTTGTAAAAATTTTAATTTTAAAGCAATTCTATATGGTTTAAACCGAATGCTATCATAGTTTGCAACTGTTTTCAATGGTGGTAACAATTAATACAATAAATTGTTAATAAATAAATAAATTACTCTATTACTTACTAGTTTTTTTATATCTTTCAACTCGTATTTGAGTGTTTGAATCGTACATTTTTTCTTTTTTCGTGCACAAAATATGATTATCGTGATTGATGAATCTGAAAAAAAATCTGTAGCAAATAAATGCCGATTTATATATAAATTGATTAGAGCAGCAATATAAATATAAAAATTCCAAAGATAATAGAGTCTCATAGAGAGCGTAATTGTGGACACACCCACACACTAACACATATTAGATCGTGAGTGTAAATAATATACTTGGATTGGATACAGATTTATTTTATTTTATTTTTTTTTTTTTTTGCTGATGTGAATTCATCTTTGTCATGATGGTGATAATCTAGAATTGAATTTTTTTTCAATCAATATCATTATTATTTTATCATATTAAGATTCTTTTTTTTATCCTGATCACATTTTTTTTAAAAAAATGAATCTTTTATCCACTCAATTATTATCATCAATAATTCTTTCATTTTTCTCCTCTATAATATGTATGTCGGAGAGAGAAAGAATCACTTTAAGGTAAATAAAAAACTTTGTTTTTTTTCACAGAATTTTACTAATATAAGCTTTGTCGATTTGTAGAAATGAAGTTCGTGAAATGTTTACACATTCATATGATTCTTATATGAATTATGCTTATCCAGCCGATGAATTGATGCCTTTGTCCTGTAAGGGACGTTTTCGTGGTGTTGAAATCTCTCGTGGAGATGTTGATGATGCCTTAGGAAATTTTTCTCTTACATTGATCGACACATTAGACACTCTAGCGGTAATTGAATAAAATTTCATTCTAGTTAAATTTAAAAATTATAATTATTACAGATAATGGGAAATTATTCGGAGTTTGAAAAAGCCATAAGTCTGGTGATCAATGATGTAACTTTTGATTCCGATATTGTTGTTTCAGTTTTTGAAACGAATATCCGTGTATTAGGTGGATTACTATCAGCCCATGTTCTTGCTCAAGATATTCAAAAGAAACACCATCTTCTCGGATGGTATGATAATCAATTATTATCAATGGCTAAGGATATTGGCCACAGACTAATAGCTGCCTTCAATTCAACTACAGGAATCCCTCATCCTAGAGTAAATTTTATTATAACTATTGTATAACAATTTTAAAATATAAATCTGTGAAATATTTTCTAGGTCAATCTTAAATATGGGATGAATTCTTTCAAAATTGGTCCTCTCAAAGAGACTTGTACAGCTTGTGCTGGATCAATGATTTTAGAATTCGCAGCACTAAGCCGATTGACTGGCGATTCTATTTTTGAGGTATATGATGCGTATTTATCTTAATTCCATTCACAATTTTCAATATAATTCATAACAGATAAAAGCACGAAAAGCAATGGATTATCTTTGGAGTCAACGACATCGTCAATCAGATCTGGTCGGAAACATTATTAATATTGATACTGGAGATTGGATTCGTAAAGAATCTGGCGTAGGAGCAGGCATCGATTCTTACTATGAATATTGTCTTAAAACATACATTTTGCTAGGAGATGAAAAATATTTAGATCGTTTTAATCGCCACTATGCTAGCATTATGAAATATATTAGTAATGGACCTTTTCTTATCGATGTTCATATGCATCGACCACATAATCAAGCAAAGAATTTCATGGATTCTTTATTAGCCTTTTGGCCTGGATTACAAGTGCTAAAAGGAGATCTAAAACCGGCAATTGAAACACATGAAATTTTATATCAAATTACTCAAAAACATAGTTTTCTTCCTGAAGCATTCACAATGGATTTCAATATTCATTGGCCTCATCATCCATTACGACCTGAATTTATTGAAAGTACTTATTTTCTCTATTTAGCTACTAGAGACAATCATTATTTGGATGTTGGAAAAGATGTATTGAAAAACTTGCAAAATTATACTCGTGTCCATTGTGGCTATGCGGCTGTGAACGACGTACGGACTAAAAAAAAGGAAGATCGAATGGATTCTTTTTTTCTGGCTGAAACACTCAAATATTTATATTTATTGTTTAGTGAAAAACATGAAATTGGTAAACAATTATTAATGAATTGTCTATATACAATATTAATTTTCACAATTTCTCCATATAGAATTTAATTTGGATGATTATGTGTTCACAACGGAAGCACATTTTCTACCACTTTCATTGGCCTATGCGAACAATACTTATAAAAGTTTTTCCAAATTTTCACGTAAAAATTATCTATTTTCTGATTCTGATTACAATTGTCCAACAACAAAGGAATCATTGCGAAAAAGCAATCTTTACGACAACAATATGGACAATTTAAGTTATTTTAAAATATTACGAATGCAAGTACGAGATTTAGTCTCGAATCGTGATCCACGTTCATCGAAAACTAAAATTTCCCGTCCACCAAGAATACGAGCCGCACAATTTTCAGCATCAAAAAGTGATCACATAGATCTTGTAAAACAATTGGGCATTAATGTGATAATACTGAAAGATGGTCGTGTTAAATTGATTCATGATTCTACAATGGCTCAATCATTGGAAGCAGCTGAAGAAGGTGTTCATTTTATGCAAGAAATGATCTCACTATCGCAACAACAGCGGCAATATGAACAACGATTGCGTACAGTTTCGTTCATTCTTTCCAAGACCATCAAAGTTTCATTATTGGCTGGACCAGCTCAATTTGGTTACGATTTCAATTCCGATAAAAGCCACATCGAAGGAACGATTATCAAATTGAATCCATTTGATGGCTGCAATATTGACGAAATTACTACCGACATTAAAAATCAAATCGTATTAGTTCAAAGAGGCAATTGTATGTTTATAGAAAAAGCTCGAAATATTCAAAATCTTGGAGCCATTGGTATGATTGTCGTGGATAATGTTGAAAATAGTAGTTCAAAAAATTTGCCAATGTTTTCAATGTCCGGTGATGGAATAAATGACGTTAAAATTCATTCCGTTTTTCTTTATTCGGAAGATGCTAAAATTTTGTTTAATGCAATGGAAGAAAATCCAAACATGAAAGTCAAATTAGATATTCATCATGACGAGGAGATTGTTTCAGTTAATGGATCCAATTCGAATAATGAGGATGAAAATGATTCAACGCAGACTTCCACTGACAGTAACAATTATAATATGCAAGATATGATATCGAATTTGTTTAAAACAGATAAACTTAGATTTGATCTATTATCGGTGATAAATTTTAAAAATTTAAATGCCGATCATTCCAACATGTTCATGTCGTTGTTAAAGAACATTGCTCTTCCCATTGTAACGAAAATGAAAAATGAAAATATTGAACCTGATAATGAAAAGAAAATCAAAAACATGAAATGTTGGAATCCCCACCGAAAATCTAATCACTTTATTCATTTCATGAAGAATTCATTATATACATGTTATTAGAAGATAACACAATGTGATATACAATTTTTTGTTCAAGTGATAATAATTATTAATCAAATCAATCAAGAATTATATTTGCTTTTACAAATATATCTAATATTATTATTATTATTACCAATTAATGTTAATGTCGCTAATCGCTAATATTGAAAAAAACAAATTGTGTACATAAATTTTGTATTTGTATAATCATTAATCAATAATCAATTTTGTATAATATTCACATCATTACGTGATTCTGATTTAAGTTTAACAAATTCTTTTGCTACCTCATCATTAGTTCGTTGTGATAGAATTCTTAATATTGTCCAGCCAGTTTCATCCAGATGAATTCTTTTGGCTAATGGTAGCCAACAAGAACAACTTCCTTGATCAATAATATCTTTCAATTGTATCACAGCGATGCCAACCAAACGATCTTCTCTTGCAAAACAATAATCTTTTACAACGAATTGTAATTCAAAGCCAGAAACTTGATTTTCATTACTAACCAAACTAAATGAAAAAAAAGAATGATGGAATTTTTAGACAATATGATAAAAGAAAGTCATTGATCACTTACAAATAGAATATTTCATTATAAGCCGGAGACCAATTATTATGTTTGGATTTGGTGGCATATCTTCTTTTTTTGTCACTTAAATTGGGTCCAATCATACTAATTTCAACGAATGGCTTGAACATCGTATTGAGTGGCCATTTGAGCTCATTACATGCTATGACTTTAGTTGAGATAGAAAAATATTCAAGATCATCTCATGATTGAAAGAGTCAAATAATAAACCTACTTTTAACCGTAACTTTGTGCTCTCCAGTTCCTGGATGTGTGAATAAATCAATTTGAATCGATATTTCACCGACTGGTCCATCCTCTTGTGTAGCCAAATCTTGTGAACTCTGTGTAGCTATAAAAGTTTTGATCAACGAATCAGTAGTTTGTGTATAAAGTGATAAGGCATATTTCAATGACTGTAATTCTGAACTTTTTTCCAAGTAAGATTTCTTCAAACCATTTCCATTTGCATGGAAATATAGTTTTATCGTTTCCAATGATTCTTCTAAAATTGAACAATGCTTTGGAGATAAACTTTTTGCGCTTTGCATATTCTAGGATAAAAAATATTTCATTATGATAATCAATATTGCTATTGACAAGATATATTACCTCGATGACATTCAATGATGGTAGTTTACTGTTTTTTAATAATCTAGAAACATCTTCAATCTTTGTGTTCGGAAGTGTAGGTAACAAATGACTTTTTTCACTGGGTGGAAGTACAATTCGTTTTTCAATCGCTATGATAACAATTCGCCATAATTGTTTCAGAACTCTTTTTAATACCGTTCGTTCACAATATTCAGCATATGTTGTCAATTTTTTGTCCAGTAAATCCATTAATGGATGCAATATTTGATCGGCACATTGTGATATTTCTGCCGCATTTTTGACGCCTTGTTTTGATTGAGCTGCATTCGTGTTTTTTACTTGAAACAAAAGAACGCCCATTTCCTGAACACTTTGTTTAATGTTATTTTCTAAACTTTTTGAAAAAATTCCACTTAATTCATCCAAGGCAGAATTGAGCGTCTGTTGAAGTTGCGTCAAGATGCTGGCAGTGTCTTGTTCAAGCTGATAATGAAATTAAACACAAATTAAAATAAACTGTGGATTTTTCCAATGTAAAATGTTACCTTTTCTCCTCCCATTGATTCAAATAATTTTTCCAACTGTATCCTCAATTGTTGAATATTGTTCATGAGAATGCAAGCTTTTTTATCTTGTTCAACATATTTGGGAAATTCTTTTTTCAATACATCATTATAACCAATCAATACTTTTACGATGGTTTTAGCAAATCTTTTCATATAACGTTTTACCACTTCTGGATCTGGACATTCTAGTTTATTAATAACATCAAATGATTGTGTTAGATGAGTGAATAGATCGACTACTGAATTTGAAAATAATGAATGGGCAGAACTTTGTTGAAACTAAAATTCACAAAGATGGAAATTTAGTAATATAGAATTTTAAATTAAAAGTATCAACAAACCTCATCATCAGCATCTTTTTGGAAGGCATTTTTCAAATATTCCATTGAAGAATCATCATTTTCGTTGAGCCATTGCATGACAAATGGTTCAAACCAGCTGAAAATAAATAATAATCACTTTTATTAAATGATTACATAACCATACTTAAGATACTCACATTGGATATTCGGGAATGACATCTTTAAAACTCGTCACTTGTTTACAGTAGGTATTGTAAAACCATTTTATCTTGAAATGAAAATTCATATAAACAAGACTATTGCAAAAACGTCGTTGTTCATGTTCTTCCAAAGCATATTTGATATCGATAGAAAACAGACTCCACATTGTTTCAATGCTAAGATGACCGAGATTTAGTTCCTGTGGGAACTGGTTCAAAATAGGGTGTAAATATTTGTATCTTCTTCAATAACCGATACAATCAATGTTATTAATCTGGTCCAAAAATCTAGATTGTATAAACTTGGTCCTTTTTCACTTTCGTCTTCTAATTTTTTCTTTTCCTGATCATTTTGCTGAAATTCTCTGGCAAATAGCTCATAGCAATTATCGAACAAGAATTGATATGTTGATCTAATACACGCTTTTGCACAATCTTTCACAACGGTACTAGCACGAGGTGGACTTGCCAATTCCAAGACTTTCATCCGAAAAAACGTTATACTTGTCAATAAATCTATTGTTGATTTGAGATCTTGAAGTTTTGAAGGTGATGATGATTGAAAATTATTCTGTTTATTATCAGATTTACTCATTGTTAATCTTTATCATCATTGTCATTAGTTACATACCCGATACATGGACAAATCAATCCTCAAAGAATTGTGTAATTGATCCAATAATTTTATAAATTTTTCTTTCTAAATATTATTATAAAATCAAAAAGATTGAGAAAACTAAAATTATTTTATAACTTACCCCAAAATTAGTTGCAGCAAACTGGTCACTTGCAGAAACGGCTGTCGAACCTGAAGTATGGGCATAAAATGCATTGATATTGGCCAACAGCGTGCTCATCACATCTGGAACACCTGGAAACATATATTTTGTCGAAAGACAATGAAAATGTGTCATCGCTTGATAAATTGGTTCAATTCCATAACGCATAGCGAATTCGTACACGATATCCTGTGCTGGTGGCTCATAGAATATTTTCCAACAATCTTCCTGTACCAGAATTTAAAATGAAATTAAATTGACCAATCATAATAAATATAATTATGCACTTACGCCTTTTTGTTTCGGAAGAACAATGATTCCGTTATTTTTTTCGGATAAATGCATGAATGTATTCTGCAAATAATATTAATATGAATTTTTTTTTTTCTTCAATCAATTGAAATTTTACCTCATGCAGGCAAGTATATTGAATATGATATGAAGCAACTTTTTCTTCTCCTTTTATTTCGACATTGATATGCAGACGAACTGCGCCGGAAACAGCTGATTTATCAGTTCTTTTTTCCAAGTTATACCAAACATCCATTTCACCACTTAATGTTCGAACATCTATCAATGTCTGTCCAAGAAAATCGTCTGATTCTCTGGTTAATTTCTGTCTTAATTTTGATTTAAGATCATTATCTTCATCCCAAACGCGGACTTTCATTCGTTCAGATGAATTATGACATTCGAAAAAGAATTTTTCATTCCAAACCGGATTCAAGTCTTGTGTGATCGTACGGGTTCGTTTCTTTGTCTTGCCAACTTGTACCGTTACATACGGATCGCTAGTTCCACTTTTATCTTTTGCAATCAATCCTTGAGCGCAAATTACTGGAAAAAATAATGAAAAAAAATTCAGTTTATTGGTCGGATTCAATGTCGATCAAACCTGTGATTGCAATTTTTGCTGACCATTTTGATGTCCCATCCAATACACTTTGTTTGGCTGCCATCATATGTCCAACATGGTGTTTATTATCAATATTGAATACGCATCTAAGTCGACCAAAATAAAAAATATTCAATTGAAATCTTATAAATGGACAGACCTTATCAATTCAAAAACGTCTGGACATTGTCGCTCTCTGGTCGTCATTCTTTCCCGCATTGCACTGATTATATGATCAGTTTTATCATCGGCACCATGTTTTTTACTCTTTTCAGCCGCTCCTTGAATTAGCAAATTTGATATGATTAACATAATGCTTTTACTTTTATCCACTTACTTTGTAAACAATCAGCATTAAGTAAATCTTTACATTTTTCATGACATTTGACTCCACATTCAGAACAACGAAGTCCTTGACGAAAAAAAACAAACAAATAATATGAAATATTATTCAGAATATATTATCATTATTGTTTATAATATTATTCATTATTTGTTTTTTTTACCTTGACGTGCAATACCCCATAATAAGCCTTCGCATTCATAGCAATAAGTAGGACTTGTTGCAGTCCATAAATGAAAATTATGGGGTGTCGTACTGGAAATCGGGTAAATCAACGCTTGCAATGTCTTTTTGTAGACATGCATTTTCTGTAATAAAATAAATTTTTACAATTATAAAAATGAATAATGGTTTGAAACAAAAAATCCTACCAATTCTTCATCATTTACAATGGTCCTTGGTATCATAGAACTCAATCCAGAATTTCTTTTGGTCGCTTCCATAGTCTAAATGATGTAAAAAGAATGTCATTAATCAATTTAAAACATTTAATCCAATAGCTCACTTTCAATACTAATTCGCTGACCAAAGGTATTGACTTTTTTCTTGGATTTATATCTGGCGTTGCATCTATGGCACTGAAAAATGGATTGCTGTTGCAAAAATTGTGATTAAAACAAACAGACAATCATTACGTTCATATTTCCGTCCAATAATTTTTTTTTCATACAATAAAACGAACCTCTCCTTCATCCATAAATTTTTACATGAATCTACACTTCCTTGTCGAGCACCACTCTTTTGTTGAATTAAAAAAATAATAAATCGCATTTGTTGATTTTAAAAAAAATTGACATAACACTTACCACTGCTGCGATCCATTTTGTTCGGCTTCTTTTATTTTTTCGACTTTGATTAATATCGGATAAAATATCCTGATTTTCGTGTATCATTTGTTCTGATTCAGATTCATCCAATGAAACTGAAAACGATTTTCTCGTTTCTCTAGTTGGACTTGATTCATGATCAGTAATCGATGGTTCAAAGCTTACACGACGGCTAGAACTTTTGGATTGGTCATCCACATTTACATCCAATGTTTGAAACGGTTGTTGATATTTTTCTTCATTAGAAATTTCCTTTTGTTCTATAATTGATGGTGAATCATCAATTGATTTAATTTGTTCATCTTGTGCTTGTTCGATTTGATTTGAATAATTTTTTTCAAAATTCTCAGTATCATCAATTATCATGGCAATAGTATTCGATTCATCTGAATATCTTTTTTCCAATTTGTTTCGGCTATGATCATTGTTTTTTACTGTTGGTTCAACAATTAATGTATCCATCATTGTATTTGCCTCTTGCATTGTTTGAGCACGGCTGGTTAATTTTAAAATTTTACCACTCATTTTTCTTTCACCGATAGCTTCTTCAGTTTTTGGTTCTAATTTTGGCCCTAGTTCATTAGTTTTTCGATCAACGATTGTATTCGGAGTTTCAAATTCTGGTAATGAAAATTGATGATTTTTTACCATGACTTTATCATCTTTATTTCCGACACTCATTGATTCTTGCAATGATTTGAAACCACCAAAAATATTTTTTATCGAACTTTTGATATTATCATTTGGTTGTATTTTATGAATTGGTGATTGTTGTGGTGATGGTGATTCTTTTTTGAAAATTGATCTATTGAATACATTTTGATAACCTTGGAAAACCGAATTCGTTATGGATGTTAGTATATTGCTTTCTATCACAACATCTGGCTTCATAGTTCTGGCAGTTGGAATATCGTTTTGCATTTTTACAGCGATATTTTGAGACTGTGGCACAATATGTGTAGTGATCGATTTCTTTTCTTCTGTTTGTATAGGATCCAATTTTTTCACTTTTTGTTCTAAGATATCTTCGGTCATTTTTTCTTCCTCAATAAATTCTTTGTTATCAAAAGAATCTAAATAAATTGTTGCTTCTTTAACCAATGATGGTCGATGTTCGTAATCTTTTTTGACAGATAAATAATCATTCTCATCATTAGCTTTCAATTTTCGATTATCGTTGTCATTGGGCTGTAATCGAAAATTATTGAAATTTTCTTCCTGAACATTCAAATCTGAAGATTTTGATTGAACAATAGGATCGGGAAAAATATTTGTTATCAAACTTGATTTACGTAATCGTACGGGATCAGACTCTTCAGTCGTGTTGGGAAAAATATTTGTCGCCAGACTTGTTCGTCGTGATTCAGAATCAATTCGCTGAATTTTTTCGGGAAAAATGTTTGTCACCAGGCTAGGCCTACGTGATTCTACAGATTCCACTGTTTTGTTTGATTCTTGATTGGTAGTTTTGGCTGAAATCTGATTCTGATAATCAAAATATGTGTTGATTTGATTCAGATTTTCAAAATCATTTTGTGTAATGATAGGACTGGAATCATCACGAAATTGTACATAATCATCTGAGGTGAAAATTAAATTCTGTTCTTCATCTGGCTCTTCTTCAGGGACAACGACTTTATCATAAACATGCTCTTCACTTCGATCATATTTAATCTCATTCTTTTCGTTATTGATATGCAATTCTTCATCTAGAATTTCGATCGATTCTTTTATTCCATCTAGATCATCAAAATCTTCTTCATTTTCTTCTCTTACATTATCATCATTGATATTGTCGTTCGATTCGTCGACATGAGCTTCTTCAAACTCTTCATCGTCTTCTACATCTTCTTCTTCTTCTTCTTCATCCTCGATTTCTTCATATGAATCTTCACCATATTCTTCATATTTTTCACTTTTTTCATCAACATTCTCTTCCGATTCAAGAACAGCTGATAATAGTTGTGAAATAACATTTTGTTGTTGATACAGCACTAGTTCCAATTTATCAAGCTTATCCCACATGTAATTGTATTCATTTGAAATCAAATTTAACGTATTCCATGCGACTTGTATGTCATATTCAACATTTGAATCCATGATAAAGATAAAAATTCGAACGCGAATTGTCTGTCAAAAATCGGTCAAGTAAACACTATTTGAAAGAATCAACAAATTAGTATGAAATGAATGACAATTTCTAACTTTAATGAGCCAAGGATAAAATATGCGCTATATATATTTTTTCCTGTTCCATAATAAAACTAGCGAAGAGAATGCAGTATATAGAAATAGAATACAGAATTCATATGCAATGAATAAGACTACCACTTTTAATTCATAAAGATTGATTGAATTTTTAAAATTCATACAAAGATACAAATTAAATTTTTTTTAAAACATTAAATTTAATCCACCATCTACGACCATAATGGTTCCCGTAATAAATGATGATGTACCAAGAAAATAGACGGCGTTGGCCACTTCTTCTGCTGAGCCAATTCTTTGCAATGGAATTATTTTTTCATAATTTTGTATCTGTTCAGCTTTCATACTCAAATTAGTCATATCAGTATTGATGAATCCTTTTTCATAAAAAATAGATTAGTTATTGATATAGATTTGAATTTTTGTTTAAATTACCTGGCGAAATCATATTGACACGGACATTTTTTGCACTCAATTCTTTAGCGAATGATTTGGTGAATCCAATAAGTCCAGCTTTGGAAGCGGAATAGACAGTCTGGCCAATGTTTCCATGAGAACCAACTATACTGCCTATATGTTTATCATAACTTGAATATAATCATCATTAAAATTTTCATCTATCAATTACCAATATTGATGATTGAACCATTTTTTTGTCTAACCATTTGTTTGCTTAATAATTTTGTGATTAGAATGGCACTAATTAAATTTGTATTTATCACATTATAAATATCGTCAAGTTTCGTTGAAAATAATAATTTGTTTAATGTTATACCGGCCGAATTGACTAGAACATCAATTTGTTCATTTCTTTTATTCACCATCTCATTCAACGTTTGACATGTTCGAATGACATTGTTTTCATTGGATACATCACAAATCTGATAATCAATACAAACATCATTCGAATGATTCTGTTTATGGAAATATTTTTTTAAGGTTGCTGCACTTTTGACTAAATTTTCTTCATTTTTCGATACAAGTGTTACATTGAATGAATTTTCCTATTTTCCATCATAACAATAACATATAATGAAGAGTTTAACGAATTATTAATTTAGGAATAAATTTACCAGAAATTTTTTACCAATAGCAAATCCAATGCCACGAGATCCTCCGATTATAATAGCATTCGGTGCCATATGAGGTTGGATTGATTAATTTTTAATTGAGAAATTAATTTCAATGATGATGATGATAATAATAAATATAATTAGAAAATAGTTTGTCAGGAATTGGGTATCATAATTTATGAACAAGCCATTAAAATTCGATATTCGGCTTTGCCATTGTGTGCTCGCGCCACTCAATTTTGCTTTGAAGCATTGTTTCAAAAGAGGAGGCCGCACACACAATTACAACACACACACACAGTGTTGTGTTTGACAATATAGAATATCTATTTCGATTCACCATAATTTGGTTTCATTGTGAAAATCATTTGTCATTAGAAAATTCATCAGATTAACACCTAGATCAACGATGACATCTTCAGCCGGTCAATCAAAAAAACGTGTTTGCTATTATTATGATGGTGATATTGGAAATTATTATTATGGCCAAGGACATCCAATGAAACCACATCGAATTCGTATGGCTCATAATTTGATTCTTAATTATGGTCTTTATAGAAAAATGGAAATATATGTATGTTTATAGTGAAATGAATCGATTTTTATTTGTAAATTATTGTAAATCATTTTTTTATATTAATATAGCGGCCGCATAAAGCGACTCAAGAGGAAATGACCAAATACCATAGCGATGATTACATCCGATTTTTAAAAAGCATTCGTCCGGATAACATGAGCGAATATAATAAACAGATGCAAAGATGTGAGAATTTTGTTGAATTTTATTTTATTTTGTAAGAATAACGTAATTTTTTTATTTTTCATCAACAATTATAGTCAATGTCGGTGAGGATTGTCCTGTTTTTGATGGTCTCTATGAATTCTGTCAACTTTCGGCCGGTGGCTCGGTTGCTGGAGCGGTAAAACTCAATAAACAAGCAACTGATATTGCTATAAATTGGGGCGGTGGATTGCATCACGCGAAAAAATCTGAAGCTTCTGGATTTTGCTATGTAAACGATATTGTATTAGCCATATTGGAATTGCTTAAATATCATCAACGTGTACTTTACATTGATATCGATATTCATCATGGTGATGGAGTTGAAGAGGCATTCTATACCACTGATCGTGTCATGACAGCTTCTTTTCATAAGTATGGTGAATATTTTCCTGGAACTGGCGATCTTCGCGACATTGGTGCTGGTAAAGGCAAATATTATGCTGTCAATTTTCCACTACGCGATGGCATCGATGACGAAGCCTATGAAGGAATTTTCAAACCTTTGATCTCAAAAGTTAGCTCATTTTTATATACTCGAATTATAATGTTTTAAAATGATATTCCTTATCAATTAGGTTATCGAAATGTTTCAACCAAGCGCCATTGTTTTGCAATGTGGCGCCGATTCTCTTTCTGGAGATCGTTTAGGTTGCTTTAATCTTACGTTAAAAGGTCATGGCAAATGTGTTGAATTTGTTAAAAAATTCAATTTGCCTCTTTTATTGGTCGGTGGTGGTGGCTATACTATACGTAATGTTGCACGCTGTTGGACCTATGAAACGGCAGTAGCTTTGGATACAGAAGTATCTAATGGTTTGTTTATTTGATGTTTATGACAAATCTTTGATCTAATGACTATTTTCCTACAGAATTACCTTACAATGATTACTTTGAATATTTTGGTCCAGATTTCAAACTTCATATCAGTTCATCAAATATGACTAATGCAAATTCTCCGGATTACCTGGAAAAGATAAAGTAATTTGAAATGAATTTCAAATTATAATTAGTTATTACTTATTATTGTTTTCTTGTAGAACTCGTTTATTCGAGAATCTTCGTATGTTGCCTCATGCCCCTGGTGTACAATCACAAGCTATTCCTGAAGATGCTGTTGATGTTGAAATGGAAGATGAGGATGAAAAACAGAACCCAGAGGAACGTATCAGCATTAGAGCATCGGAAAAAAGAATCTCGAATGAAAATGAACATTCCGATAGCGAAGATGAAGGTGACAATCGAAAAGATTCACGAAATTATAAAAAATCCAAGAAAGTAAAAACCGAAAGCAATTCCAATAATGAAAAGGATAAAAAAGAATCGAATGAGAGTAATGAAAAATCTGCTACGAATACTGCTTCTTCTACTGGTTCGGGTGCAACAAACTCTGAAACTACACCTGCTACCATTGTAATCAACACCGAAAATACTGAAGATAAAAAATGAGCCAATTCCTATTAAATAAATTATTCATTTTTTAGCATCAAAAAACCCAATTTCTACATATATTACACATTTCTGATAATTTTAAATTAAATTTCATTTTATTTCGAATATTTTCTCTCTCATTTTCACATATAATTTTTTTCGATTTTTACTTGATTTTTATGGAAAAATGGTGTTTCACCTTGAAATTTGAGTAGACGATATCTTTTTTCTATTTTCCGTAAATAGATTGCAACACAAATCATAACAATGGATAGATAAATAATGCTTATGATAATCACAATGTTCGATTTGCTCATGTAAACTTGTTCAGTGTTTTCATCATTTTTCATTCTAAAAGATACTAATGATGGTTTTGGACGATTTAGCCAAATTTCTACTCGATTTAACAAGGTTAATGTTTGATCAGTTCTCATGAGTGGTACATTGATTTTTTGCTGTATTTTAAATGATGAACAAATTCCTTGTTTGATTGGTCCGTTTACTTTTACATCGTTCAAACCAGATCTGATTCCAAATGCCGATTCAAAAGGATCGATTTTTATTTCATCCAATATAATGTTTATGTCTAAAGAATCCAATAAAATAGATGAAACTAAATGATCATGAACAAATGTATTTAGACTAACTTGATATACAGCCACGAAAACTGGGCATTGAACTGAAGTTTTGATTATTGATCCGGCTAGAACCAATAACTATGATATTCTCATCAGTGTTTGTAATGGGTTTCTGTAATTCTTTGTAATGTTCGTCCATCACAAAAATTATACTGTCCACCTATAGAATCGAATCGAATGTTATAAATTGAAAATATATATATGTTTAAGCTTTTCAATAATCATTTACTATTATCTGGGCGGATTTGTCATCTCTTGTATATCGAACCCAATGTCGATATGAATCGGAAAAATTGTCCTCTTCACTCTCTATAATTTTTGAATCTTAATATTGCCAAATTATTAATAAAGAAATTTAATCAGATATACATAGAAACTTACAAATTTCATGTCCATCATCTTCTTCCACAAACATTTTTCCATTAGGCAATAGTGCAATATGTAAAAATCGTGTGCTATTAGCGTACCGGATCATGAACAAAGTTGCTCCTTCCATATTCGGTGAAGAGAATGCAAATGATATATCGATGTGATTGAAATCCATGATTTTATTGTCAAGATAATAGATAACACTGGAATCTTTTTCAAAATGAGCTCCAATATCAATATCACATGCTTCGCCACGATATGATGTGTAATCACAATCACAAATGGTTGATTCATGTTCCCAGTCTTCAGTACATGTACCACCATTGTTGCAAGGTAGATTATCACAGAGCATTTTACATCCAACTTTGATGAGATCACTTCTAGTAGCATTTTGTTCCTTTATATCGGTAGCCAATTGTTCGAGATCAAAAAGTTTTCCACCAATCTTCAGGCCTTGAATACAGCCCACGAAACCTGGAATCGAATTAATTAGCTCCGAAGATTCGATGCTTCCGATGAAAATCTCATTTTTGCTGGCTGTTGAATTGAATCTGATCATATGATCAGTTTCGATATCGAACAATGATAAATCAGTTGATTCATGATTGTCTTTTATCAATTTCACCACGTATGGTATAATTATAGAATTTTTATTCACAGTGAATACAGTATGATTCTGAAGACGTGCAATCTGGATTTGAACAGGATGACCATTGGTTAAAATATTTCCGATATCAATTTTACGAGTAATAATTTTTTGATGAAAATTATAAATCAACACGACACTTGTTCCATCGGCAATATGAATTTGTATAAAGTTTTTATAAACATCATGAATGAAAAGTAACAATGCAAATGATTTATGCGTCCGAAAGCTGAGAATAATATCATTTTTTAAAATAGATTTGATTTCATCCGAAGAAAATTCTTTCTGAAGATATGTTGCCGATTTTATAGTGATAGCTATCATAAAATTAGATTATTATAATTACATTGATTTATTGATCAATTACCATTCGTATTGAGATTGTTTTCACAATTTGTACCGCTATGTGCGATAGGATTAGCACATCGACATCGATATGAGCCCCATAATTCCACACATATTGCTTGATTTTGACATAAATTTGGTTTACAATAGGGTCGACAACCTGATTCGATACTAGGATACCTGTTTCAAATTATATAATTAATAATTGAATTGATTAAATTTTTTTTAATTACTAACCTAGCAACGCTAAGATATTGATGAAGATTAATGATGTTATCGTCAAGCACCAACCCCCGTAGACATCCGATAAAACCAAGCGTTATTTTTAATCCACGAAAATATCTGATAGGTGCTCCACCAACATATAGTTTACCATCAAAATCGATAAATTGATCATTTTCATTTAGATAGAGTATTCTAAAATTTTGATTTATCGAAACTCTAAATATTTATGGGAAAAAAATATATAAGATTTCGTATCATCATTAGACATTAATTTTTTTTTCACCTCATTTGAGTTTCATCTCGTTCAATTAGTACATGTTGCCATTGACCACAATTCAAACATCGGCTTGATGAGACGGTTACATTAAATTTTCGATTTCGTAGACAATATTCAAAGCTGATTTCATTTTCACTGATTATGGTTGCTTTGAAATAAGTAGAAGTTGTTTCCAAATGTGACTGAAAAAATATAACTGCCTCATTGGCCGTTGTCTTGAAACTAATTGCCATTTCTTTGCCTTTCCATCCGGGAACTTCTAAATAGGATTGTTTTGTTTTGAATGTAATTTCATACTTTTGGGTATCTATTTGAAAAAAAGGTTACTGCTCCAATGTTACCATTGAAATTCATTTGAATCACATACCTAAATCTTTACAAGATAAATTTCCCAAATAAAGATGTGCTTCCGAATCCCAGCTTGAATTTGGAAACTGAAGAAAAAACATTTTCGTTATGCCAACATCATCTTTTTCAGTCAAATATCCGTCGTCATGTTTCCATCCAGGTATATTAATTGCATCACAATTACAATCAAGATCTTGATCAGCACATTGGTTTTCTCTTCGACTTTTAGCATTGCATTGGCAACCCTTGGATCTACCACTATCTAAACGAATTAATTTATGTTCTGGTTTGATTGCATATAGCAACGTATAAGTCGACAAACTAATTTGAAATTAGTTTCATTTTTAAAATTTTCAAAACAACCATAGATACCTTAATGGAGCATTATTACATTCATATCGAATATATTGTTTGCATCTATCTGATCGTTGAACAAATAAACGCAACATTTCTCGATTAAAATCACGATAGAATACATCCATATAATGATTGCCTTTCTGTCCTTTCTCTCGAACAATCTATTGGTTTGAAAAAAAATTAATGTTAATTAAAACTCATTCTGAATGTATGACATAAAAAAAATACCAACCACTTGATGTTGAATATTATGTTCGATTACCGTATTAATAATCGTTGATGTTTTATTAGGTCCATTTGAAACATTACAGTAAACATGAGCTGGTGGTGTTGGTCCATTACGATCAATGTCAATCATATAAATTCCTGAATTTTGTTTATCCATCAAATAAATCTCTTCACAGCTTTTTCTATACAAAGAAAAATGACATGTCTTTCCAATATATCCGGTATTTGAACAATCACATGAATATGTTCCATTATCCATCGAAGGTATACAAAGACCATCATGTTCACAAGCTTTCGGTTTATTACAAGGATTGATTAATTGACAATTGTCAAGAGTGATTCTACCAAACACTGTGGTTTGTTCGCGCAATGTACGAGGTTCAATATCGTTTTCATTGATGACAATATCTTTTACACATCCTATGAATTTCATTTGATCATCGATAGATCCGAATAAGATTTCTTCATGGAAAAAATCTACTTGAGAATCATATCTTCCTTTGACATTGATTTGATTGACAATCATTTCGATAAGACCATCACTTTTGAAAATTATATCCACATAATTCCAGGTAGTTATATTGAGCGAATCATCATTGCTTAATGTCCATTTCAATTCATTGGCTTTTATTTTATCTTCTTCGATAATTAGCTTAACATCTTCATTGCGTATCATTAATGACCATTTTTTTGTTTCAAGATTTTGTGTCTGAAACATACCTTTTACTATTCGAAATTTATTCATAAATGCTTTGAATTGAAATTTTAATGAAAATGATTTTGTTTGATTGAAATTGTTTGCTTTAAAAAATGATTTACTATGAAATGTCATCGGAACAGAATCAGTATGATGACAACCAAGTTCTTTTGGTAGTGCACTATAATATTTGGCTTTTTTCGAATTCATATTCAAATCGTATAGTATATCGAATCGATTGAAATAGACATGTTTCAAGCAACCGACAAATTTTTTGTTTGGCAAATAAAAAGGTAAATCAAGTTGTGAAACATTCACATTAGCAGGTAGGCCAGCCACATACATTTCAGGATCGAAATAAAAATATGGTTCAACGGCATCAATTTTTATATCTTGTATTTTAATATTATCAATGTAAACATACATTTTTCGATATAAATGATGTACAGTGACATTATGCCATTCATTATCAGTCAATCGGTGATTATTGAAAATGTAATTCTTTGGATTATTATTGCCCATATCGAATAACAGATTAAGAAATCCATTTTTAATATTGATTATCAAATAACTTTTCATCGTTTCTGATAGTGCAATGAACAATAATCCATTATGAACAGTTTTCAAATGTAAGCTAATTAAATTATCATCTGAATAGTATTTGTCGACAAATGAATATATTTTATATGAAAGAGATGAATAGCCACGAAATGTCATTACGGTATAATTGAAACTGCGACAATGTCGATCTTCTAATTCGGTACCGAAACAATTACATTTTTTTGTATCATAAAAATTGATACAAGTGGCACGTCTGGAACATAAATTTTTCTTACATTGATCAACACATCCATCAGTGACATTAACGAAATTCAATTGACTGGATGATAATGTATCAAAATTATTGACATTAGAACGGGAGATAACATTGAAATTTCCCATACATCCGATGAAATGTTGAACATTACTCAATGAGCTTCCTACATTCGATTCAACTGAATGGCTACCAAGAATCAGATGAAAATTGCATCGTTTATCGTATTGTTGTTTGATGACCGTTGCATTGAAATACAATGATTTATAATACTTATTATGAGTAGATGAATTTATTCGAACGTTAAAGAATCCCAGTTCTAAATTCATCGATATTTTCACTGTATGAAGATCATCACGATGAATGCCATAACCAATGACTAATTCTTGAGGCAATGTTTTTGTTGATTGTTTTGTTTGTTGATTGATATCATCACTATTCACAATCACTGCTTTGAATCTACCATTCTGAATGAATAGAAATAATTCAAAAATAACATTTTTCTGATCGTTGGATAGATAATAACTTTCATAAAATAACATTCCATTTGGATAACGTGTTCTATAATTGAATACAATGCAAATAAAAACCATCACCATTAAAAGAACCATAAGAAACTTGAACAAATAAATAAATAATAAAAAAACAAACATCTCGTTAGCAAAAACGAAATACACTTACCTGAAATCAAAAGATATTTCTTTCTTGGAATGTATAAGCTTATCGGTGATATTTTTATTGGCACTTAATCTAATATGAGAATTTAATTTAGTGAATGTATAATAATCTGGAAGCATTAAATTTGCTGTGGTGAAATTTTCAATAGTTTGACCTTTGGCTATCATTATTTTCATTGGACCATATTGAAAATCATTTTTAATGATAGCAATTATAATGAATGCAATTATGAATGATAAATGAACAGAATAAATGGTTGAAAAATTAATTTTTATTGATCGCATAATTTAATTTAATTCTGTTTTTCTTTTTCTTTTATCGATGATTACCATAGTCGATTCGAATGTTACAATTACTTGAAATTAAATGAATGAATACTGGCGCGCGCGTATAAGTATGATACAAACGATGTAATAATCATCATAGATTAAGAGTAAGAAAATGATTTGATTCAATTTTCTTCATGTCGCAGCAACAAGTGGTTAGCAAAAAAAAAAAAAAAAAAAAAATGAAGTATCAACAATCTATGGGAAAATCAGTATCATCATCTATACGCAATTTTATTTGAAGCTGCCGTCAATCCATGAATGATGGAAATTTTTTTTTATTTACACAACACACTTTATCTCGGTCGTCGAGGCTACATTTATTAATGTTAAATGACGATGATAATAATAATAATAATATTTATACCGGCTGATTGTTATGAATATTTTTTATTTTCATTATTACCTTCGACATTATTTGCATTATTCTTGACAATCAAAGAATGATATATTGTAGTTAATTATATTAAATAATATCCACAATAATCATTACGATTCTATATGAAATAGATTCATAATATAATGAAGAATAAAGCTATAAGAAACTAGTTATAAACTGCAATTCTGATGAATAATTTTTGTCAATGCCATTTGCATCGTTGTTGGTGGTCATAATTGAAATTGATTGATGATAAATGATAAATCATCATTCATATATATAAATGACAACAAAAAAAACGATAATAAATAATAGTATGCCGAATTTCTTGAAAAAAAACGTTAATCTTTCTTATTATACTGATGGGATGAACTTTCTATTCATGACTTGTCATTTAAGAAAATCTTTTGCGGCAAAACAATCTTGTCATCATCATCATCAATCGTACATCATTGACGGTCGATTAAATGAATCTATTTTTAAAACAACATATTTATCATGCCGACAATAACCGTATATGATAATGAGTTCAATATGATATCGATCAATTTCAAAGGCAAAATTGAACAATCATTTTGATCAATAAATTCATGATGATTGTTTGTTTGAGAAAAACGAACTAGATTTAAACAAAATTTAGTATGTATGTATGATGATGATGATGATAACAATGAAAGTTATTCTCTTGTCTTGAACAACAACAACAACAACAAAAAAGAAGTGTGTGTTGACAAGTGATGGTCGAAAAAACGGAAATAACATATAAACACACTGTATAGCATGATAAAAACATGTCAAAATTGAGTATTGCAACAGTATTATCATTTATTGCAGAAAAAAACCCAAGTTACAATTTTGTTGTTTTCATCTAAATACATTCGTATTCGGTTTGATATATACAAATTAATTTGTATAATATTAGGTCGGATAATAAATATAAATAAATAAAAAAAACACGTGCAATTTATATTGTATCATTGAGATTCTTATCTGATTAGGTGACCGTAATTTTGTGATGGTTAAAAAAGGAAATAACAATTTTAACATGAACAACCATTATATAGTGGCATAATTTTCGAATATTAAATAAATCTCTGTATCATTGCTCGAAGAATGGAACCGGGAATCGTTTGATTTGCTTTTATTATCTCTTCAAGTTTGTTTGCGGTCTGTTTGTAAATAAGGAAAAAAATTCATAATGAAAACAATTATAATTTAAATGAATGAAAATAATACCATTTCGGCAATTTCTTCCACTGTACAATCGGAAGAAAAATGAATTGGTTTACCAACAATGGTTTTTAATTTGACAGGAAAGCCACCATAAATTAGCATCAATGGAAGTTTATATGAATCATAGATTTTTCTAAAGAAATTTGGAAATATTTGTACAGTACGAAAAGCTTCGCGAATATTCTGAGTAAACACCGGTATTATAGGTACATTTGCCTGTTTGGCCACTTTAGCGAATCCAACACGTCCAGCCCAAATAAGATTGTAATTATGGTTACCAAATTGAGCTAACAAAGTATATAATAAAAATTTAATTTTTTGGATTTAGTTTTAAAACAATTTGACAATTTACCTTCTCGTACACCACCCGGTGCAATAGCTATTAGATTTCCTTCATTTAACAGTTTAACACAGCTGCTCACGGAACCAGGAAATAGTTTTAGTACTCTGACCATTAGAGACCAACCTTAACATGAATAAATGAGTTAAAACAATGGATATCTCAATCTAAAAAAAAAATGATAAAGCAAACCTGGAATATGGAAGAAAAAACGATCGACAACGGAATGAAGTAAACGTTTTTTATGGAGAAAGCACTTCGAAACAAGATAATAATAATCAATAGGCAGTGCACCATGATAATAAACAATCAAAGCCGGTCCGGTTTCCGGTATATTTTCAAAGCCTTCAATTTCGTAACCATACCAAATGTGACCATGAGCGTCCCACATGACTAAATATATAAAAAAAATTAGAAAAAAGAAAGACGATAATGATTTGAATAATGATCATCATTATTGTTATCATACTTGCAATGGCATGCATAGCACCATCCCAATATCTTCGATGTTCAAGATCATCCAATAATTGATCAATTGCTAATTGATGTCTATGTCGATAAATGTAGACAATTATGGCTGATATGTAGAAAAGAAGTATGATAAACACAGGAAATAAGAATGTAATCTATATTCCATATAATACAAAATGAAAAAAAAAAAAATTAATCAAAAAACAATAGAAAATGAATAAGAACTAGATTTGATACAAAAAAAAATTTCATACCAATAATGGAGTGAAAAGCCATATTAACCAACGAATAAGATGAACATCAACATAATCTTGAATGGAAAAATTCCAATCCATTGAAATGATCAATTTATGATGATGGTGATGAATTTAGCAGATGATGGTCAAAAAAAAAAAATGATGAATTCGGTAATCGTAATCACAAACAACTAATTTCAATAATCGAATAAAAACAATCTTTTTCATCACAACAATGATAAACAACGATAATCAGGGAAAAAATTTTTTTTTTCAATTAATCAATCGAGTTTCCTCTATCCGAAAAAAATATACAACGTTTCAAGTTGAATAAAATCATCATCATCATCATCTTTATTTTTCTGTCATGAGTATTACTTCACTTCATTACATATATACAAACACAACTTTGGATCGAGTGAATCCACGATATAATAAAAACGGGAGAGTAAAAAAAAAACATGAGTGCATTTTGCATTTGATGTTTATACTCTCGATATATCGATTATTATTATTATACTTCATTTATGGATGAAATGGCCATAAATTCATTTAAAAAAAATATAAATATTCTGCCAAATGATGAATGGTTTATTATCATAATTTAATGTGTAATTGAAATTTTTTTTAAATTCATGACGAATTCGATAATGTACATAATGTAATTCCAGTAATGACTAGAAATAAACCAATGATAATTTCTATTTTGGAAATAAAATAAGGAAATTTGGATAAATTAAGAATAATCATTGATCAACATCAAAAGTTAATGATTCGTGACACACTATATACCTGTATTGATGATTATATTTTCCTTGAAACATCCAAATAATACTACCAATGTTAAATTGATTGAATTGCTAAATGGTACGGCAACATTGATCGGTGTATAGGACAATGAATATGTATATAAAATTGAGCCAAGTTGATTGATGAAAAAGAATGTGATAAACTATTTAAAGCCATGAAAGTTACCATATAATTAGAAATATTCTGTGAATGGATTTGGAAAAAAATACTACATTATTATCAAATAAATAAATACCAACCTTCCAATTAGATGACAACATTTTGATTATTGGCCATACATTGGAAAGAATATTTTGTGACGAACGAACATTCCAAGCTAAATGTCCAGAATGTTGTTTCATGAATGGTGTTGACAATCCCCATAATATACCACTCATCATTGTAAGTAAATATCCAAATGAACGATCATTGAACATTTTGTGGTTAGAAAAAATAATGGAATGAGTAAAAGTGAATGTAATTTTTTGTTTTGTTTACAACAATTGAGAGGTGGATGGATGGACGACCATGCCTATTTTCACTTATTTGTCACCGTTAAAAAATTTTTTTTTCAAAACAATAAAAGCATGAGATATGTAATGAAATTCATAATTCCATTTATCATCATCTTCAACACACACACACATGTACTGATTTATTAATCATCATGGTCATTGTCTACTCCTACTCATCACATTATACATATCATGGACAATTAGGAAATGAAGAACGGAAATTTCCTTCAAAAAAAAAATAAATTAAAATTGAAAAATTTTTTTTACAAATATAACAGGATATATTTTTTCCGGTTCATAAAAAGGCTCAAAAAAAAAAATTTTTTTTTTGTTTTGTTTTAATATTAAATTTCATCAACATTTAGTGATAATATTGTGTTTACCTTATTAGTGATAATTCATTTTTTTCCATCACTATGAATGAAAATGTGTAATTAAACAAATACCATTTATTTATATATACGACGACAGGTAAACAAAACAAAAAAAAAGCAAAGCAAACATTCAGTTTTTTCATATACACACATTTTCATTTTATATTCACTCTTCCTTTTTTTAAAATTCATTAAAAAAGCTGTGCCATAATCAATGGTACATATATCAAACAAATTGTCCTTGAACAATTTTTTTTTTAAATATGATTGTTTTTGTTTTCGGTGTATGTTGCCGCCATTATTGGATTGTTGTTGTTGTTGTTGTTGTTGTTGTTCAAATGTATATTCCTGTGCTTGTAGCAACAACAAAAAAAGATTGTAGGCGTTGAAATAATATATTCATCTATGGCCATTGGTGATGATTGTTTCTCTGTTGTATTTTTTTTTCATCATTAAAATGTTGATGTTGATGATGATGCTCGGTAACAGTAATCAAGTAATAACATCATTGATTTGGCAAAAATTTCTCTTTTCACTTTTTTTTTCTACCAATTATCATTGTATATGTGATGTCCTTTTTTGGAGTTATGGCAACAAGTTGTGTTCGCCATTTTATTTTTTTCACTGTTTGTTCCAATTGTTGTATTTGGAATAATGAACACATGAATACATACATGAATGGATGAATGAAAGAATGAAATGCACACCTTTGTGTAAAAAAAAAGTTTACTTTGATTTTTTTTTATCATATGTGTGTTGATTCATTTATTTATTCGTCAAAAAACGCTGTTTGCTTTCCTATACATTCCATACATTTTATTTTATTTTCATTGAAAAAAAAATTTATAGAATGAACCGCTTTAAATTCATTGATTTTGGCTACCACGCACCTGTATCATTATCATTAACATCATTATAATCCGGTTGTAGAATAACCATCTACAAATAGTTTTTTTTTCTTTCCAATGATTCCTACGTTTCAAATTATTTTTTTATTTCGATGTTTACTTCAAAAAAAAAACAACAACAACAACAACAACAATGACGAAGACAAGATCACATCCTCCCATTCTTAATATAGTCAAATTGCTTTATTTGGTTCATTTTATTTGTTAATTTTGATGAAAGCCAAAAAGGTGAAAACGATCTCATCACTCATCGTTTTTTTTAATGTTCGCACATAGCATTTGGTCATCATAATGATCATCATCTTATCCAAATTCGTAAAATTTTCATCAAATAAGTTTTTTTTCAAAACCTGAACGAAAATTTACAAGTGCTGTGTTTATTGAAGTGAATTTTTCTACTCACAAATAACCAGTTGTTTAGTTGAATGAATGAACCTGAACTATTTTTTTTTGTTGTTATAAACCAGAATAGCAACGATGATGCGTACTAATGAAAAACCATCAAAACATCATATGACAACATCATCGTTTAGGGCACCATCAAGAGATGCCAATAATCAATATGATAGTAATTACCAGCAGCAACAACATCATTTTGGAAGTATCAATCGATCTCGTTCCAATTTTGGTGAAATCTGTGATGAAACATGGCCACTTGATGAAGTGATCAATAAAATTGAATTAAAATCCGATAGTGATGATGAAAGTGGCATCAATCAACCATACAATGTAGAATCAAATATTTGGCGTAGTGGACCACAGCTTGTTTCACATAATTTTGATTCTGGTCGTGATATTAAACGTTTACCTGGAAATGGTGCCATGTTTTCATCTTGGAATCAAGGATCAAAAACCTGGAAAGATAAATCAGTACAACATCGTAAATATAAAGTCAAGAAAAATCCATCCACAACATCAAGCTTAGAAAAATCTGGTTCCTTATCCTATGGTGAGTTTGATTGATGCAAAGAATGAAAGAATTTACATTACATTCATTAAATTTATATCCATAAATAGATGCGAACAATAATTATTTGGACATGGATATAACCTATGATGATGAATTAAATTTTTCTGATGATTATTCATCGACTTTGTTACGAGACGTAGGCATTCAATGTAATTTGAAAAAATATCAGAATTTCGATTTTTTCAAAAATGAGTCACCAGCTCCAGTTGTTAAAAATAAACCACCAATCAAAATAATTAAATCTTCAAACAATGGCATTGTTTCTACATTTAGTGATGTTCCTAAATTATCGTCTCCAAGTCCAACTCCAAATTCACCAGATTTTCGACGGGATTTAGATTTAGATCAATCTTCATCGATAAGAAGTACGGATGTTATCTACAGTCAAATTGATAAAAGTCATAAAAGCAATCGAAACATTAACAATCCTAGTGGCAATATCAACATTGTTTATAAACAGCCATTAAATGAAAGCAAACAGCAACAGACATCAACATTCGATGATAGCAGCACGTATGATATTAAAACTAAAGAGTTTGGATTCAATGTAAATAATCCAAATTTCCGGAAAATTCCTTTGCCAAATCCAAATGAAAATCTTTGGTCAGGATCATCGATAAAAAAGCCAAAAAATCAATATGATAAAGAAGTGCTCGAGGAAACAATTTCAATATCAAATTCATCGACAGATGAATCTTATATTCACAACAATCATTCAATGAAATCATCAAACCGTAAAAATGATTCACCAATGCGTCAATCATATAATGAAGATGATAATCACAGCTTTAGCAAATTACGTAAAATGAAAAAAAATAATTTGATTATTCATCATAATAAAAATGATGAAAACAATGAAAATGTGTTACTTGAAAATAATTCCTTACGATTGAAATCATCAAAATCACCATATTCGGAACGATTGCATAAAAGTAATGCCGATTTGCGTGAACAATTTTTAAAGGATGAAACTAGAGGTGGCTTAGCTGCTGCTTACAAGAATCGACAACAGCAAAAAAATCATCAACAAAATCGTCACAGAACTTTATCATTGAATCGAATGAATGCGGTTATCAGTGATGAAGGACGTCAACAACAGCAACAAAATCCTCAACATCCATCAGTGAAACCAAATCGTCATCTAAGCCAAAGTCATTTAAGTTCACGATATTCGGATCTGGGTGTTGAAAATCATCATCCACCACGATCATTATCATCATCACGATCACGATCCATTCAACATGAAAGAGATCCGATCGTCATGTATATTCCACCGGTGAATCCTCAAATAATCAATGAATCACCCAAATTGACAAGTATATTACGAAACAATTCGACTAAAAGCAATGTTACTGTACAATCGAAAGCAAAAAAATTAAAACAACCTCAACTTAAAAGTCAAAGCAAAATTAATTTAAAAGATGCTGTTGTTGTTGGAGAAAATGGTAAAAAAAATAATAATGAAAAACGTGCCGATCTAAATCGACGTTATTCGATGCCAAAAGATACTAAATTCAATTGGCTCAGTAAATTTAAGCTGAAAAAATGAATGAAAATTAATTAAATCCGGAAATTAAACATTAGAAAACAACGACCATAATGAATACAACGCAATTTCTCATCAAATCCGATGCTGATAACAATATAAACATTTATTTTGGAAAATTAAAAAAATGCATTATACACACACACACATACACTCAAACAAAACACACTTTTTTCTCTACGATTTGTTATCTTTTAATTTTTTAACGATAAATTATGATTATGGAAAAAAATACCAAACCATTCAAACAAAACAAAAAAAATGAAATGAAATCCTAAATAAATTGCAATGGTATATAATGGCGAATGAAACCGATGCTATGCAACAAACCACAGCAATCATCATTATAATGATCGGTCAACGTTGACAACTATAAATACTTGTTACATTTGATATATTTATAATGATTATAACCTTAGTTACCGGGGCGATGGCTAAACAAATCAGGCAACAGCAAGAAAAATAATAATCCTTATGGTGTTAGTCATTCTTTTCGTTGATTTTTTATGAATCGGTCGATTATCAATTTGTGTATATCTGAAAAAACCGCAACAAAAAAAATGGCAATTTCTAAAACCTGTATGACCATGTTAATTACGGTGTTCAATATATTGATCATCATATTGGCTATTATAATTTGTTTTTTAAGTTTAAACGCTTGGAATGATTATACAACTTGTGCTTTTACCATTTTGGTCGCATTATTATGGATGTGTTGTCTTTGTTCCGAAAGCAATGTGGCTATTGGCGCCTATACCATATTGATGTTTATTGATCTATTATTGTTATTGTCAAATGCACTTTACCATTCCGTTATGACAGCTAAATATTCAGATTTTTGTTTCCATAATAATGTTAATGGTATTTCACCAGAATGGGGCTGTCATGATTGGAGATTCAGTGGTTACTATGAACGAGCTATTGGTGTTACCGTTTGTTATTACATTGCATTCATTTTTCGTTTATTGAATATTGTCGGTTCCTGTTCGTTGACCTATAAAATTTTCCATGAAAAAAAAAAAAAAAAAAAAAAATAAAACCACTCTATACTATTATTCTGATAGATCCATTTATTATAATAATTTCATTTTATTTTTTTTCAAATCATATACATTAAAGATACAAAATTTAAACAGAATCAAATGATTCTATTGATCACTAAAATATGTGGCTATTTTTTTTTTTTTTTGATTTTAAACAATAAAAATCAATCATTAATTATAGAATGGACCGGATTGATAAGCATCTCTAGGCGGTTTAATTGGATCGAACACTTCCATTGGTTTTCGTTCTCCTCTCATCACCTGTTTCAATCTTTCTCTTTTCATTAAGAAATTACGTTCTCTCTGTTTCAAATAAATGAACAATTTATGTTATCGATCAAAAAGTTTAAACAATTATGCAATAAACTTACCTGCATGGTTTGCAGCATACATTCTTTATAATCTTCGAGAAAATCGTTGCAAAGTTTTTTACCTCGCCGTACGCCATATGCTTCTAAACATTCCAAAGTATCTTGCTCCAAATCACCACATTCTTGTTGCTTTTGAAGAGTTTTCGATGAAATGTCAACACTATCAGCATTGGTTCGAACAACCCGGTCGATAAACCGAAGATGAGGATCATAAGGCATTGTTTTCAAATGAAAAATACAATAAATCAATTGAAAAAAAAATTAAATTCCAATCGATCGACTTTGACCGCAAAATTGAGTCAACAAAATTACATTCATAAAAGACGTATAATAGCGTCTTAAATGAATGGCCCAGAATAGCTCATATTTCAGGGCAAAAACTTAAAAAATACGAAATGGGTAGAGCTAGAGAGATTGGAAGTGGTATATAATTATGAAAAGCATCATATTTTGTGTGATGTTTATATTCTTCGATATCGATGATTATGATAAATGACGACATTTCTCATCACAGTTGATGCAAATGATTTAATTTGGTCAGGAAATGTTTTGATTATTGTTTTTTGTTAATGTTTTGTAGAAAAAAAAATCATTAAATGAGATAATAATAATATATATTGTTGAGATAAAATCTTGAATTAATTATGGATTCATTTGATGATACCGCCACTGTTCAAAAAATCATTGCCGAAAAATCATGCCATTTTGATGTGGAAAATATTGAATTAAAATTGAAAAATTTAATAATTGATAAAAAATGTTCAAAGTTCAAATTTAATAGTCATAATATTTTATCGAATCCCTTTTGTAAACGAAAATGGTAAAGTTATTCTATTTCATTTGCATATATTTTTTTTAATATTTTTATCTTTCTTTTTAAATATAGTTTAAAGAATAAGAAAAATTTCACTTCTAAAACCAAGTCAACCAATCAAACAAAGAAACATGTTCCACTTAATTTGGATGATGCCAATGATGTGATTCAAACTAGCGATAGTTGTCAAACAGATATAGTGGGCAACAAACTCATGGCCGATATTAATGATAAAATGGCTTCATTGTGGACCGAAAATGGTTACCGAAATACAAATAGTGATGATGGTCATTGTGGTCAGAAAAATAATAAACATCAATCAAAAGAGATAAATTTGACGAAAAACAACATCAATAATAATAATAATAATAATGAAAATTATACGGAAACATCAACTTTATCTTCAAGTCAGCAACAACAAACTTGTGCTCAACAAGCAACATTATATGATAATTGTGATTCATCATTGGTTATAGAATTGGCAGCCTATCTTGACGAAACCTTGTATATACCAAAAAAGATGTCATTCATGGCTGAAATGATGTACACTTGATTATTATGTTCGAAATGATATATGGATATAATATATTATAAACTGCTAATAATAATTCTCATTTTTTTCCTTTCATTTGATTGTAATGATGTAAATAAAATTTGATTATAAATAATTTATCAATGTGAGACAATTTTCATTGTGTATTATTATGAATTATAAATCGCGCGCATTTTTTTTCCTTATTGTTTTCACTATACTTTGATTTTCATAGTAGTGATAGCAACACCAAGCAGTAGGGTAGTCAAGCACACACCAACAAGTCAGCCAGGTAAAAACGTATACACTGGCAAGGTGTGTGTGTGTATACAACACAACTGCGAAAAAAAATTCTACAAACGAGAATTAGAGTAGATGCATCTTCAACATCTATCATCAGTGTTTTTTTTTTTTTGAAAAATTATCGCTCATTTGAAAAAAATAAAATGTTTTTAAAATTCATTTTAATCCTTTTTCTCATCAATGGATTCTCAATTTATTCGGGTATGTATGAAAAGTTTAATTTAATTTAATCATCAATATTTAATGATTTTAAAATTTTAATCATTTTATTTAGCAATGGCAATCGAATGTTTCCAATGTGACAGTAATGTTGATTTAGAATGTAGCGAATTGTTCGATTCTGATATGACCAGTTTACGGCCAAAATCATGTGATAATGTTTATGAAGCACGATTCTGTATCAAAACTACTGGAATGTATGGTGGTATGTTTGTATTGATAATATTACCATGAATTGATCATTGAAAATGATCAATAATAAACGGAATGGTTTTTTTATTCTATTGAATCTACAGGTGTTATTGGAACCATTCGAAATTGTTCATCAAGAGATTTAGGTGATCGTTGTTCATATCTAAGACGTCCTGGTGATCAACGTTATGTTCGTAGCTGTGTTTATACTTGTTCATCTGATGGCTGTAATCATGCCAGTTTTATTCATCATCCATTCAATGCATCATTACTATTTATCATATTAATTGCATCAATTTCTTATTATTTATTATCATTAAATTAGTTTGATGTGTGTATACTAAAATGATAAAACAATCAAAAAAAAAAAAAAAATCCCGATCAATTGTCACACATTACCAACTCATTTTTGGTTAATATACATTTTATTTACAGTTCCAATTTTTGTTTTTTTGTAAAAAAAATCCACATCAATCAACTTTAAATAAGCATCTTTTTTTTATGAATCATCAATTTTTTTTGTAAAAACTTATTCACGTCGTTGTCGATATGAGTGAATGTGTATCTGTGAAAATGATCGTCAGTTGTTGCAATTATAAACAAACATTTCATAAACAAAAAAAAAATGGCCCTTGTTTCATACAAAATCATTCCTAGATGAAGCAGGATTCCTACTCTGAATATTCGATTCGAATTCAGTGCTTTTCGAGAATTTCGTTATAGAATAACCGAGAAACAATAGACTAAACGTTTGAATCGGATGAACTGGCTGTACCATACAACAAATTTTGATGATGTAAATGAGCAGTAGCCACAGTTGATGGAATTTTTTGATTCACATTTGTTATGAATTCAGCGGCGGTGGAAACGTTCGTCATTGGAGTTGTTGATGTCGTTGCCGTATTTATATTCGGATCATTTGTTTGCTGTCCCAAAGATGGTTGGAAATGATTCTGTGAGAATGATGGATGCTGATCTATAAAAGGTTTCGATGATAATTCATGATCATCAACATTTTGTTGTGACATTTCGTTCGAATGATGATTATTATTAGAAACCAATTCAACTGGCCTAGATACATTCGTTTCAACCATGACGAATCTATCGGCTAAAAGATCACATTTTTCATTATTAGTATTCTGTGCCATCGAATTCTGTTGACAAACATCGGGTTGCTGTTGAATGACAAATATTTGTGCGGGAGAATTGGCTGTTGTTTGTGGTAATAAATTTGAAGAATCGTGCTTTATTGAATTGTTAATAATGGAAGCATGGTTCTTATTCTGGAGCTGTAATGACTTTTCACGGAATGCCATATGGTTGGCATCATTCGAAATGTTTCTTTCGGTCATTGCTTCCAAAAGGATTTGTGCAACATTCTCTTTATCATCCTATGTCATTCGAATAAATTCATTTGAATAAATTGAAAAAAACTAGCGATCATATCTTACTTTATTGATGAAACCATAATAGACAAGCTCTTGGGAGATAGTAGGAGGAATTAGTTGATCTTTTGAAATTTCACAAGTAAGTTGACGATTTATCTTATCATCTAATTTGATCACAATTTTAATATCATAACAGGTTGGATCCGAAGCCATTGGTTGTATTGAACAATTTATGTAAACGATTCGACGCGTTTCCTCATCATAAGGATTATCAGGTGTGTTGATTAGTTTATGAGCTTCGTCGATCACCTCTGGTGAAATGGTACGCTGTCGACATACTAACGGTGATCTTGTTGTAGGCATGACGGCGGTCAATGGATAGGCTCCATTTTTAACTTCATCTAAAAGTTTCTCTAGTTCACGATTTGGAAAATCCGATTGTTTAAATAAAATTGATGGCTGTTCAACACGTCTAATCTCGGCCACTATACGATCATTTTGATTTTGAAGACACAAAAAGCGAGAGATGGCTTCTTCGGTCAACTGTTCGGGCTGTAATGAAGGATTATTCAAAATCGAATGAGCACAGAATAATCGCAATGTGGGCACTTCGAATATGATCGGATGAAATAGTAGATCACGGGCAGTTGGTCTCAGGACTGGATCTTTTCGTAAACATTGTTGAATAAAATCACGTTGAGGAGCATTGTCTAACGATTCGATAGTCTTGTGAATGATGTCTTCAGTGATGTGATGTGGTGAATCATTATCACTGGGAATTTCCAGAGCGGCCATCTCTAAGGCACACATTCCAAATGAATATATGTCCACCGATGGTGATAACACAGGAAAATCTTGAACATTGCCTAGTTCGGGCGCTATAAAATGAAGATTCGATTTTGCATCGGCTCGAACTGTTTTTACATGTCGGTGAATAGCATCTGGCGCAATTGCACCAATCTTAATCAAGCCATTATAACTAATAAAAATTGTATCACAATTAATATTTCCATGGACGATTGAAGGCTGAGAAGAGTGCAAATAACACAATGCCGATAACGTTTGAGTGCACCATCTTCGCCAAACCTATATTTTCATGATGAAAAAAGTTTAATTTAAATTTATTATTATCACATCATGAATATTGTTTACCTGTAACGATATTTTTATGTCGTGTCGTTTAGTTTTTTCGAAATAATGTCGAAGAGAACCACTAGACATGTATTCAGTGATGAATACCACTTTTGGTACATCCGTATCTTTATGTATCCAATATTTATGTAATTTAACAATATTCGGATGTTCCAATTGAATTAATCGATCAAATACTTCACTAATAGTTTCTTCTTTGGCTCTGAAAAATTTCCGTTCGGAAAATCGTACTTCATTCCAAACAACTTCCACACCTTCTTCAGTATCCATTGCCAGATAGGTAGCATCGATACCAGGTATATTGTTCTGTTCGACCTATGATTTAAATGAAAATTTAAAAAGAAAAATCAGCAACAAATATAATTAATTATAAACATACCTCTTCTCGTCGTTTATGCCATCTTCCACATGGACTTTCTTCCAATATCTCATTTTCTTCTTCTTCCGAATCTTCTACGGCTGATTGACTAGTTTTTAAATCTTTATCAGTATGTTTAATTTCCATTGGAATTCAAGGGGATTGTTGTTGTTTCTTTATAATGTTCGTCGAATTGTTGTTTTCTACTTAAAGATATCGTAATATGGTATGACCAAGGTTTAATTTTAATCATGAAGGGCCAGAATCGCATATAGAATCTAATAGAATACAATTGTTTCAATATATGAATGAGAAAAAAAAACAAATCAGAAAATATGAGCAAATGAATGAATGATTGAATAGTATTCTTATGCGTTTATTTGGGCGAGTTTATCAAAAAATAAAAGAAAAAAAAATGAGAGATAAATATAATGAATTTCAAATAATCAGAATAAAAAAGAATTAATTGTAAAATAGATGAAAGTCGAACATGAATAAATATCCAATTCATATACACAGACACACACACACACAAACAGAGAGAGAGAGAAAAAAAACATATACAATCCACTGAGTACAGTATGAGTATGTATATTTTTCCTGTATTGTGTATATACAAAAATTTCATATCACATTTTCATTGCTATAAAAAAAACGACCAGAATGTCACCATACTACACACACACACTATCTACTCTGTACAATAATAATATACACGACGACGACGGCGACGACGATGATGATGTTGTTAATGATGATGATGATGATGACAACAACTACAGTATTATAACAGCAAAATCAATGGACAACAATCATCTTGTGTTCAAATAATGATCACAACACAATTGACTTGGGTATTTGAATGGGAAAAAGGAATAAGGACAAAGTTATGATCATGAGAATGATGATAATGATGATTGTTATTATTATTATTATAAATTAAGAATCAAATGATTGATATTTATGTCAATGTATGATAAATTATTTTTCTTTCTAACAATGTTCAATGCTACGTTATATAAATATAATTTGATCATTTTTTTTAAATGAAAAATTTCCGGTCATTGAGCAGGCTTTATTTGTGTGTATTTAGAGTACATTTTAATTTATAATATATATAAATTCATTGTCTCTTTTCCCTTTTAACAACATACAAACAAACAAACAAAAAAAGATATAACTCGAAAAAAATAAATTTCTCTTACCTTGATGACAATTTCAACCTTTTAATAATGTTTATATTTTCACTGAAATAAATCTGAATTTAAGATTCAGATCCAAATATTTATTTAAATGGCTGGTTTATATATATATGATATTGCTTTTATGCCTGCCTCTGACTTAGTTGATATATATGTGGTTTTTAGTGTCTGTCTGTATAAATTTTGTGTCCGTAAATGTTGTTTGTTATTGTTAAGATGTTATAATGATTGAGTGACGACGACGACGACGTAGTTGATGATGATAATAGTAAAGATGATAATGATGAACTAAAACAACATACAGACACACACACACACATTCGATGTTCGAACATCGACAATCAAGAGTGAATCATTTTACAAATCAATCAATCAATGTGTAATATATATCACAAAATGAAATTGGTCACAAATAAATTAATGATTGATATAATTATAATTAAAAATGTAATAAAAATAATAATGAAAATTGATAGATAGATTGATGTAATAATCTAATAATCTATTATTGAAAAACTATATTAATTTAAAAAAATCAATAAAAATTCATGATGATTATATCATGGCTTTTAGACAGACACACCAACGCCAATATTTGTTGTTCCACAAAACAAAATAAAACAAAAAAGGCCAGACCCGAATATAAATGACTTGCTGCAATTGCTGATGATGATGATGATGATGCTGTAAAAAATTCGGCTCACTCAAAATGTGATGATTCTATATCGACATTATAACTAAAAAAAAAAATCCATTGCAATACCTGCAGACGAGACACAAGATGATGCAACGTATGCGCACGCATATTTACACAAACAATTTTTCTTTTTACAAAAAAAAAAAATTCCTTCATTCAAAAAAAATTGGATCATAGAATTTTATTTTATCCATTATTATGATTTTGACAATTATTATTATTATTATTCTGTATCCTATTGACGATATTATCCACATCATTATAAAATTGTTCTTCTGTCATCGTGAAATTCTGTTTAGCCCATGTCATACGAATTTGTTCGAGTATAATACCCATTTCTTTTTTATTACGAATTTTATCCATTATCATTGTTCCATTGAATGGAAATACAGGTATCGACCATTGTTGTAATTCGTTGATGAAATTTTCATCTTTTCCTTCATAGATAAGAAATTGTATCATGAATTCTTTTAAATTTTTCTGATTAGGTTTAGGTGCTAATGCTAATCGTGTTCGTAGATTATGTAGATGATGATCATAGCTCATAGTTTCATTATTGGTAGTTCGATTCGTTATAATATAAGCTATGGTATCACGTTCAATATTGGATAATTTTAGTCTCAAAGTAATGGATGATAATTCATCAATATCACTGATTAATGATGCAAATAATGTTTGCACTTTCCAAATCATCGTTGTTTGGTTTAGATTTTCTTGAACTTTAAAAAATTCGGTCAAATCAATTTCATTAGTGAAACCCAAATATTTGCCAATTTTCAATCGATTGAACATCATTTCAATGGAATCAGAACATTTTATGTGCATCAAAATTCGTTTCATTTCGGACCAAATTCTTTCACCACTGATTGTCTTCAAACCGTCGATATTATTTTGTATTATATCAATAACTTGTGGTTCATGTGAACCAGCCATACCAAATCGTGTATGAAAACGAAAATATCTAAATATTCGAAGATAATCTTCTTTGATACGTTTATCGGCATCACCAACAAATCGAATTAATCTATTTTTTAGATCAGATTCTCCATTAAAATAATCATAAAGTATTCCATTCAAATCGATAAACATGGAATTGATAGTTAAATCTCTTCGAGATGCATCTAATTGAAAATTAATTTTTCATAATATATCATATATTACAAACATGACCAATCGAATAAAAAATCAATTTACCTAGCTTCCAATCATTGATAAATTCAACTTCTGCATGACGACCATCAGTATTTCTATCGATTCGTAAGGTTGTAATCTCATATTGTGAAATATCTCTTATTCGTGCCGTAACAGTTCCATGCTTCGTACCCGATGTGGTCGTTATTAAACGTATATCAGGTTTATCACTGAAATTAATTTCACTTATTACAATTCATTTTTATGGCTCAAAAAAATTTATACCTCAATATATTAATCATTTCATCCGGTTTAGCATCCGAAGCAAAATCAATATCATTCGGAACAATATTGCATAATATATCACGTACAGCACCTCCAGCCATTCGCTTTAGTAATGAAAAAAAAAATTTGACAAATAAAAAAATTAATAGAAATTGAATCATTTTATAATATAGTAATGATTATATATAATATTCATACAATTTCAAAACCATTTGAATGAAAAATATTATTCAAATATTGAATTTCTTCGGCCTGAATTAATCGTTCAAATAAATAGAATGCTGATTTGTTTAAATCTTTTAGATGAGTACATTTTAAATTAGACATTGCTGCTGTTTCAATCTGTGTAGTTTTTGTGTACAGATTGGTGGCTATAATTCTATTTAAATAATGGAAATTAATAAAACGGAATAATTGCATGTCAAGTTGTTTAAAAAAAAAGAAAAAAAAATTCCATCACATCAATTGCATGTAATCAATTATAATAAATCATCATCATACATGCCACTTCATTTTGTAATGTCATACATGAACATGATAGCCATTGACTCAATGTGCACATTTTTTTGTGAGGCCGGTTTTTTTTCATGATTTGTTTTTTTGAAAAAAAAATCTATTGTATGAAAAATTTTATTTTTTTATCATTCAATTTTTGATACAACAATCTGATCATCATGGGCTCTTATTTATCGAAACCGCTTACCAAAATTGATAGTTCTATTTGTGAGAATGATCATTTCATTTATTGTACAGCCGAAATGCAAGGATGGCGCAAAACTCAAGAGGTAATAATAAAAATATTTAAATTCATTCATGATACATAAGAAATTTTTTCTATTCTATTATATCATTATAATTGGACAGGATGCACATGTCGCTATATTAAATTACGACGATAAAGATTCAGTATTTTTCGCTGTTTTTGATGGCCATGGTGGTGATGAAGTATCCAAATATTGTGCACTAAAATTACCGAATTTTGTGAAAAATTCTTCGCTTTACAAAGAAGACAAAATTGTTGAGGCATTGGAAGATTCTTTCTTAAAATTCGATAATACACTCAAAGAATCTGCTGTAGTATCTGAGCTAAAAAAATTAGCAAATATTGACGAAGCCAATGAAATTGATGAGAATGAAACATCTGATCTAAGAAAAGAGGCTTCCATACCGATCGAAGAAATAATAAACAAAAATTTCAAATGTTATGAAAATGACAAAGACAATGAAAACGTTCAAAATGGAAACAGCGATAATTCCGATGAACAGGAAAGTTCATCAACATCATCATCATTGGACATTTCTTTGAAGAAAAAAAGTCTATTACTTAGATCAGAAACTTTGAAAGCTTTCTTGGAAGATTATCTCAATGAGGAGGAAGATGATGAAGAAGATGATGAAAGTGATGAAGAGAATGGCGAATTTTCAGATTCATCATCAAATGATGATGAAGAAAACGATGAAGAAAATGATGAAGAAGATGATGATAATGATGAAGATCTCGATGATGACGATAAGAATGATGATGGCGAAGATGTTGCAACTGGCTTAAAAAATTTTTTCAATCTTGATTATGAACCAGGAAAAGGAAGCGGTTGCACGGCAATTGTTGCCGTGATTCGCGATAACATGCTTCATGTAGCCAATGTTGGTGATTCACGTTGTGTTCTATCACGAGAAGGCAAAGCTCTCGACATGTCAGAAGATCATAAACCAGAAGATGATAAAGAAAAGGAACGAATTATCAATGCTGGTGGTGAAATAACACATGATGGCCGTGTGAATGGTGGTCTCAATTTGTCTCGTGCCATTGGTGATCACATGTATAAGAATAATACCAAGCTTTCTGATCGTGAACAAATGATAACAGCATTGCCTGACATTCGTACTTGTTCGATTGATGTCGAAAAAGATGATTTCCTTTTCCTCGCTTGTGATGGAATATGGTAAACCGAAAAAATTGTTGATTTATAAATTATTAAAATTTAATTTTTTTCTTTACTATAGGAATTCTATGAATAGTCAAGAAGTGGTTGATTTCATTAAAGAACGTCTGAATAATAACGTCGATTTGAAAGTAATATGCGAAGAGGTGTGTATCAACTTTACAGAAATTGAATCTTGATTAATTTTTGCTGTTTTATGCAGTTATTCAAAGCCTGTTTGGCACCAAGCACAGATGGTGATGGATCTGGATGCGATAATATGACATGTATATTGGTTCGATTTAAAAAGCCTTCAGAGAATTCTACTAATAACGGAAACAGCAGTAAACGATCTCTTGAAGATGATTCAACTAACCACAGTAGCACATCAACATTAAATGACGAGCATTCCGAATCAAACAATAAACGAATTAGAAATAATGATGATGATGAAACAATTAATGACGATCTTTATAAACCAGGTTCTTCTCGAGACTAAAACATCATTCAAGACATTCGGAAGATTTATTTTAAGAAATTTTGTAAACAAAAAAAAATCCGAATGACTTTATTCATATTAGATATTCAAATCAAATAGTTTTTCAAGCAATTCATAATGATCAGTATGCATTATTCTTCTCACTTCATTCAAATCAGTCAAAATGTTCGACGAATATTCTATGTTTGGTGAAAAAATAATCAACGAATAACATGACGAAAAATATTTCAAATTCATACCTTTATGTTTGATCTTCATTACAGAATCATTGGATTTTCCCTCATTTGATTGTCCATCATCATCCAGTATGTCATTCTTTTTTTCCTTTTCATTTGATCGATTAACATTAATTTCACCATTCACATCCTCCTTTCGATTCGCTTTAGCCGATCGTTTTTGTTTCATTTCTTTTTTCTCATTATTCATGACCATCTTTGGTCCAGTAATAAAATCCATTTTTTTTCTTTCTTCTAAATATTCAAAATACATTGCCAATCGTTGTTGAGCAATTTTATTCTCTAAACTTTTCTCCTTATTTTTGATATGTTCTTCTTGTTTCTTTTTCGATTTTTTCTTATCTTCAATTTGTTTCAATAAATCTCTACGATATTTTTCCATTTTTTCTTGTGATGGTGTCGGTGATTTTGTTCTTTGTTTCATTGATCGTACATTGTCTTTAATTTTTTTCATTCGTTCAAAATCAATGGATTCGGTTTTCGTTTTTGTTTCATCGTTTTCATTTTGATCAGCTGATTCGTCAATTTTATCTTCAACAATCGTATCGGACGATGATTTGTTGGACAACATTTGTTTTTTGTCACAAGCAGCATCTTGATCAATTATCAATTTTGTTTTTTGGTGTGATTTTTTTTCCAAATTCTTTAGAATTTTATCCAATCGATCAAAATATTTAAATTGTTCGTTAACATCTTTATTTTCTTTGGCAATATATTCATTTAAACTAGTCATTTTTTTTCATTAGTTTAAAGTTGATGTTTTTTTTTCTTAGGATAAAACAATGACTAGAAATTGTGTGGTCAAATGTTTGAATTTTGAAGCAATGGTCAGTTTCCATGGTTATGCAATTGAATTGAATTGAAATGACACTCCAGTGTGTGTGTGTGTGTATAGAATATGCACATATGTGTGTACACACAGCTGACTTGATCATCATGAATGTACAATATATATATTGTAATTGTGATTTATTATTTATTAATCACATGAATGAATGAATGAAAATTATTATTTCCTATACAATTTACTATCGTTTACGTCGTCGCCACAATTTATATTATATTGTGTAATAACATCATCGTTTACATTCATATGGTATACAACAATACCATGTAATTGTGATATATTATTTATTAATCACATGAATGAATGAATGAAAATTATTATTTCCTATACAATTTACTATCGTTTACGTCGTCGCCACAATTTATATATATTGTGTAATAACATCATCATTTACGTTCATATGGTATACAACAATCCACATGTATGTATGTAGCAAATGTACTTTTAATTTAAAAAAAAATTCCATTATCATTTTGAAAATCTATCTTGAGTATAAAACAGTCAGTAATTTTTTTTTTTTTTTTTTGGCATAGAATTTTATTTTTCTTGTCTAATGACACCCCATAAAGATATATAGTTGTGTTTATTTATCTGATTGATATATGCCACAATCATTTATTTTTTGTTGAATAAAAAAAAAAAATTATATTATACATACACACACACACATGATAAACCAATTTATTCGTGCCTGTTTTGTTGATAATAGTCAAAAATGTATTTTCTTTTATCAAATAATAATAATAATCATCATATAATCATTCAATATTATATTGTGAAAGGTAAATTGTACGAAAATTTTTTTTTTGTTTTGTTTTGTTTTGAACAAGTCCATCATCATTGGATTTATATCGATGTACTTGATTTTTATGCACAAAAACAAACATGTACAGATTCGAATTGATCTACATTATTAGCATATATAACTAATATAATATATACTAGTTGCTCTTTCGCTTTGTCTCTATCCTCTCCTTTTCTCTATTCATCAACCTTTGCTTCATATCTTTTTTGCCAATTTAAAGTTGGATACACAACATGATGATGATTATTTTTTCGTACTATTGATTCACATTCAATTATTGGTTAATCATTGAAGATAAGAAATTGACGAAATAATAATTCGATCACCAAAATGAAGATAAATAGTCGAATCAAAATGTTTACATGATGATTCTCTCCTGATGACGGTGATGGCCATTTATTATTTTGATAAAGTTATTTTCATTTATTTTCAACCTTGTGTTTTGATCGTCAAATTCGACATCTCGAATCCTGTGTTGAAAAACATTTTATTTTTTTTTTTTTTTGCCATTGATCTTTTCAAACTAACGATATTTTGTACCCAAAAGGAAAAGCTTATGATTTTAAAATTTTATATATTTTCTATTTTCTATCTTGATTTCAAAAACATCATTCGAACATTTAGATGCATATTGTCAATGACCAATTGAATTCAGGTTTGCTGTTTGCATCATTGGCATCGTTTCGTTGTGGTTTTCTATTAATTCTACATAAAATACTTCAAAATGTCTCGCATCTTATATCATCGTAATTTTCTGAAGAATAACTTTTTCATTGTACAGAAACATTTGTACAATCAACGAAATTTAAATTTTCGTTATTTTTCATCAGAAATAAATCCAATTAAAAAGGTTTTAGTTGCCAATCGAGGTTAGATTATAAAACAATTTTAATGTTAATGTTTTTTTTAAAAAACAAAATACTTTAATGATTTTTTAAACATTTAGGAGAGATTGCCATTCGTATATTTCGAGCATGTACAGAATTGGGAATCCGTTCGGTGGCCATTTACTCAGAACAGGATAAAATGCACATGCATAGGCTTAAAGCTGATGAAGCCTATTTGATTGGAGCTGGATTAGCTCCAGTTCAAGCTTATCTAAACATTCCTGAAATTGTACGTACAGCAAAAGAAAATAATGTTGACGCCATTCATCCTGGCTATGGTTTTCTTTCGGAACGATCCGATTTTTGTCGTGCCTGTATTGATAACAATATTAAATTTATCGGTCCCAGTCCGGATATTATGGCTAGAATGGGTGATAAAGTTGAAGCTCGTAAAGCTGCCATTGAAGCTGGTGTGCAAGTTGTTCCTGGTACTGATAATCCAATTACGACAGTGGATGAAGCTATGGAATTTGTTGAAAAATATAAATTGCCAATCATTTTTAAAGCAGCGTATGGTGGTGGCGGAAGAGGTATGTTGCAGCAAAAATTTATTGATTGATTTCTAATTTATTAATTTAATTATAAAGGTATGCGTGTGGTGCGCAAAGAAAGTGAATTGAAAGAAAATTTCGAACGTGCTTCCTCTGAAGCATTGTCTGCATTCGGAAATGGAGCACTTTTTATTGAAAAATTCATTGAACATCCCCGACATATTGAGGTTCAAATATTAGGTGATAAATATGGTGATATCGTACACCTTTATGAACGTGATTGTAGTATTCAACGACGTCATCAGAAAATAATTGAAATGGCACCTTCGCCATCAATTGATCCTACAGTGAGAGAGAAAATTCTTAAAGATGCTGTCAAAATCACCAAACACGTGGGCTATCAAAATGCCGGAACTGTTGAATTTCTGCTTGATTCGGATGGATCACATTATTTTATAGAAGTAAATGCTAGGCTTCAAGTTGAGCATACGGTAACTGAAGAGATTACTGGAATCGACATTGTACAAAAACAGATTCGAATTGCTGAAGGAAATTCTCTAGCCAGTCTTGGCTTGAATCAAGACAAAATTCGAATTGATGGAACGGCCATTCAATGTCGAGTTACTACAGAAGATCCAGCTAAAAATTTTCAACCTGATTTTGGAAGAATCGAAGTTTTCCGTAGTGGTGAAGGTTTTGGTATTCGTCTCGATGGTGCATCTGCATTTTCCGGTGCTATCATATCGCCTTATTATGACTCGTTGTTAGTTAAAGTGATAGCCAAAGCTCCAAATATTGAATCTGCATCTCGTAAGATGACTCGAGCTTTGAGAGAATTCAGAGTTCGAGGAGTAAAGACTAACATACCGTTTTTATTGAATGTGTTGAATAATGAACGTTTTTTGAAGAATGATTATGACACAAATTTTATCGATACACATCCACAATTGTTTCACTTTGAACCAAGTCAAAATCGTGCACAAAAACTTCTTTATTATCTTGCCAATGTAATGGTCAACGGTCCATCTACGCCTTTAGCAACTAAATTAAAGCCTGCAGAAATAACACCAGAAGTTCCTATAAATGATACATCACAAGAAATATTTTCCGGTTGGAAAGATATACTCGATCGAGAAGGTCCTAAAGCTTTTGCCAAGGCTGTTCGTGAACATAAGAATCTTTTGTTGATGGATACAACTTTTCGTGATGCCCATCAATCTTTATTGGCAACACGAGTACGAACATACGATTTACTTCGCATAAGTCCTTATGTTTCTCAAAATTTCAACAAATTATTCAGTTTAGAGAATTGGGGTGGTGCAACCTTTGATGTGGCAATGCGTTTTCTTCATGAAGATCCATGGGAAAGATTGCAACAAATGAGACAATTAATACCAAATATTCCTTTTCAAATGTTATTGAGAGGTGCCAATGCTGTTGGTTATACATCATATCCGGATAATTTGGTCTACAAATTCTGCGAACTTGCCAAACAAGTAATTCTAAATAATTTTTTCGATTTATTATAACAATTTTATTTTATTTAGAATGGAATGGATATCTTCAGGGTGTTTGATTCATTGAATTATGTGCCAAACATTTTGGTCGGAATGGAAGCAGCAGGTCAAGCAGGTGGTGTAGTTGAAGCAGCCATTTCATATACTGGTGATGTTTCCGATCCAAATCGGACTAAATATAATCTCGATTATTATCTGAAAATTGCCGATGAGCTTGTCAAAGCTGGAGCACATGTTTTATGTATCAAAGATATGGCTGGTTTACTAAAACCGCAAGCTGCAAAAATTTTAGTTTCAGCACTTCGATCACGTTATCCGGATTTACCGATTCACATTCATACACATGATACTGCCGGTGCTGCCGTCGCTTCCATGATAGAATGTGCCAAAGCTGGAGCTGACATTGTCGATGTTGCAGTCGATTCAATGTCTGGTCAGTTTGAACTAATAGATTCATTTGATGATATGTTTTTGATTTGATTTATATTTCATTTTTAGGAATGACCTCCCAACCAAGTATGGGAGCCGTTACAGCTTCATTGGAACGAACTCCTTATGACACGGAATTAGATTTAAGCCATGTCAGTGCCTATTCAGCCTTTTGGGAACAAACTCGCACATTATATGCTCCATTTGAATGTACAACGACAATGAAAAGTGGAAACTCTGATGTCTATTTGAATGAAATTCCAGGTGGTCAATACACTAATCTTCAATTTCAGGCTTATTCATTGGGGCTTGAATCGCGATTTCAACAAGTCAAAAAAGCATATGCCGAAGCTAACAAACTGTTGGGTGATTTAATAAAAGTCACGCCATCATCAAAAGTTGTTGGTGACTTTGCACAATTTATGGTTCAAAATAATCTTACTGCAAGCGACATCGAACAAAAAGCAGAAGAATTAAGTTTTCCAAGTTCGGTTGTTGAATTCATGCAAGGTTTTATTGGTGAGTGAAATTAAAAATTTTATCATACATGTTGATATAATAATTGTGATGAATTTGATTTTTTTTAATGATGAAAAAGGTGAACCACATGGAGGCTTTCCCGAACCATTGCGTAGTAAAATTCTTAAAGGCCTTTCCCCTATAAGTGGCCGTCCAGGACAACATTTAGCACCATTGAATTTCATTCAACTTAAAGATGAATTGATCGAAAAACATACATCGCCTATAACAGATACTGATGTTATTAGTGCCGCCATGTATCCCAAAGTTTGTGATGATTATATCAAATTTCGAGAAGAATTTGGTCCTGTTGCTTTACTTGATACAAGAATTTTTTTGACCGGTCCCAAAGTTGGCGAAGAATTCGAGGTAAATCATTATAGTTGCCATTCTTAGATGTTGTTAATGATTAATTTTGAATTTGAACCTCAGGTTGTTTTAGAAAAAGGAAAAACCCTTCATATCAAAACTTTGGCAGTTTCCGAAATCAGATCAAAAACCGGCGAAAGAGAAGTCTTTTTTGAATTAAATGGACAATTACGAACTGTATTGGTCAAAGATAAAACCGTTAAACAGGTAAAGATTGAATTTTTTTTAATTTTTCAATACGTAAAATTGGTTATATTATGTTTGATTCATAGGAAATCGTTTCGAATCCTAAAGCATTAAAAGGAGTGAAAGGATCTGTTGGATCACCGATGCCTGGAAGTGTAATAAGTGTCAAAGTTAAAGTTGGCGATAAAGTTGCAAAAGGTCAACCATTGATCGTATTGAGTGCAATGAAAATGGAAATGGTGGTTCAATCACCAGTTAGTGGAACAGTCAAACGTATTCTTGCACAAAAAGATATGAAATTAGAGGGTGATGATCTCATCATGGACATTGAAGTTGATAATTGATAATTGTTTTTTATTCATGTGTTATTGTTTAATTTTGAAAAAAATGCTCTAAATACAAAATATTTGTTACTTTTTTAGTTGTAACATGGATTAAATGTAACCCAATGTGCTTTCGGCCTATTTTTGGCGCTTTCATGAGATGTGAATAGTGATTTATATGCCTCGCTAGCATTTGGATCTTTATTAACAGAATAATTTTTCGATGCCTTTTCCGAAAGAACTGATAGTGAAGATGTTTTCACCACGTTATCTGATTGTGTTGATGATGATGTTGAAGCAACAGGTTCATCCGATTTAGCCATTTTAGCTTTACCATTTATTGAATCTTCATTTTTCATTCTTTTTCGTTTTTTTTCTTCTTTAAGCTTATTGCGTCTGATTGTCATGCGATTTTTAAGATCATCGATTTCGTCATCATCACCATTGAGAACAATTAAATCATCATCAGTGAATGGTTTATTACATGATAAACAGACTTGACTTTTCACTTCTTTAATGGCTCTTTCTGAAACGACACAGCCACAGGTTCGAAAATACATGAATTTATATTTGCCATTCATTTCCAAACCAACGATTGGACAAACAAATTTATAATCATTGGTTCCGTTTGATTCTGTCGAAGCTTTTTCATCATTTGATTTTGGTGTCAATTTCAATGTAACCACATCTTTAAGATTACGAATATGACTTAACAAGGATGAGTTTGGTGCCTCTTTATTCAACAAATATTCGATGACTGCATCTTTGTTATAAAGTCGACCAAGTTCACAAGAAACAATTGGTTTGGTCAAATCTTTCGATGATATAGCACAATATTTCCATTTAGCAGCTATTTCAGCTTCTTTATCTTTAGCTTCTTTTTTCTTTTTGGTTCGAACGAGTTCATCACGACGTGGAATGGTTCCGCCATCACAACCCATTTTAAAAAAAGTTTAGAAATAAAAAATTTGACACAAAATGGATTCAATCGTTTTAAATCAAAAAATAAACAACTCATATAAATAATTGTGAAATTAGTATCGATAGTATCGATTTTTATTCGAAAAAAATGTAGATTTTATTTTTAATTTAAATTAAAATTATTTTATGGTTACAGAATTGAATTTGTTGAACAAAAAACATCTTATATTGAATGGAACATAATACAAAAAATAGATCAATAGTTTATATGTAAATTTTGCGCTAATTATATGAGTTCGAGGATTCACAGCATAGACAGCTTCTTCAAAATCATCAAACAATGATGATGAAGCAAAGCTTTTCGGACTGAACATTCCAAAATTTTTCATTACAGATTCATGATATTTTTAAAATAGCCATCGTACAATTGTCGTTTTGATTCATCGAAACTTTCCAGTTGATCTTGCATAATTTTTTTGTGATTGACCATAATATTGGTTAGCTTAGCATAATCACCCAATCGTAAGCAAACAGTTTTTATATTAAATTTTTTCAATTCAATCGATAATGATTCGGTGAATGTTTCGATTGCTTTTTTAGTGGCTGAATAAACACTAACACCAGGAAATGGTACAATGGCATTCACTGAGCTTAAATTGATAATACGACCTTGTGATTTGATAATGATTGGCAATAAATATTTTATCAGATTGATAGTACCAAGAAAATTTACATTAATTTGTTTTTCGATTTGTTTGAATGTTTGAAAATCAAATTCTCCGACAACACATATACCGGCATTGTTGATTAATGCATGAAGTTCTACAGGAAAAAAAGTAATACTAAATGTTAATCAACATTAAATATACAAATTATTATTATTAATACATACCATATTTTCGATCATCAAGAAATTTTTGGATTTTTTTAATCGGTCTATCCGAATCAGTAATGTCATCCAAATCAAGTTCAATCAAACAGATTCGATCATCATTGAACTTGGTTTTCAATTCCAATGCACCGGGGCTTGATATCGAAAGAACTGTTGCAATTATAATCGAACCTTTTGAATGTAAATATTTAGCTGCTTCCAATCCGATACCGGAATCACACCCTGTAATTAGAATTACTTTGCCAACTGGTGTCAACCATTGAGTAGGCAAAAATAAGGCAGAAAAAAAGCTCCAAAATAGTGCGATAACACTGATGAGCAAAAGTAAAAAACTTAGTCCATAATAAAATGTTGAATCGTCCATCGTTAGCTTATGAAGGTCAGTACATCGAATGAAACTTTTTTTTACTTTTCATGGTCATCATCGTTGTCATATGTATTCATGAAAAAAAAAAAAATGATCATGAGAAATTTATGTGTATAGGGTAAAAACCAGTTTTAATGGGTCATTCATTCATTCATTCCATTGTTTTCAATGGCAAAGAGAATTTTAATAGCAATATATATGGATTTCATGAAAAAAAACAAAAACAAAAAATTGTTGATGCTAAATAAAGATGGATCAAAATCATATGGATAATCTTGTCTTGAATTTATGATGAATATTTTCAAGTTTCAAAATGAATTTTTTTTCACTTCTTTCTTGATCATCCATCGATCATAATTAACCATTGAAAAAAAAACAGGATTAAATATAGTGTATGACATGTCATTATGATTCTTATTTTGCACCCATAAAATAATGTGTCACACATAGGTATGGTTACAACATCAAACAAAAAAAAATTTAGAACATGTGACATTGAATATATCATACTGATTAATGATAATGATGATATTGGCGTGACAAATCAAAACGAATTCTAGACGATTTTTTTTTTCTTACTTTTTTTTGCCATCATTCAAAGAAATGCCAAATTTAGATGTCATAATCGTTAAAGATTATTACAATGATGATGATGATGATAACCCATCATTCAACAATTGACAATTGGAAAATTATCTTTCATGATGATGATGATAATGGCTGAATGAAGAGTAGTCGGAAAAAAAATTGGCATTTCATTCTCAATTCCAAGGTATAATTTTGTGGTTGGGGAAAAAAAACAGAAAAATCATTTTTTTTTCTTGTTCAAATCATCATTAACAATGATATAATGATGACAACAAGGACAAAGTCCACAGACATTGTACCTGTGTGATTGAGTTTTTTTTTTGTTCACCTGATTTCTCAAAAAGATTTGGTCAATTATCCATTGAATATATATGAATAGTTATTGCTATTATATAATAATCATCATCATCATCACACATCATGATTGACTATTTTGAATTTTATTTTATTTTTACCAGATTCTAGTAAATTTTCGATAATTTTTTTATTTATGGAATTTTAATCATTTGATCAGACACATTTCTTGTTAATGTCTTGTTGTTGTGGTTGTTCAATGTCAAGAAAAAAAAAAAAATACAAACAATAGATATGCTTCATTGAATTTTATAAAGTTTTTTTTTACTGTTTTGTTATTCGAATGAATAAATAAATTCTTTGATGATGATTTTGTTGAAATTTTATTTTTTTTTGGCAATAAAGTTTTTTCATTTCTTTTTTTTTTTTTTTTTTTTTTGATCTACATTCAACAAATTATATACCACACATTGGGAGATTGTTGTTATGAATTTCGAATGGCTATATATTTTGGCATATATACGCCTTAAATTGCAAAAAATATCATCATACACAAAACATACAAGATAGCCGGATTCAAACAAGTGAATCCGTGTGAAAGATGTTATTGCATATGCATGTTATTTGGGCAAGGTTCATAGTACTACCGTATTTTCATGTTTATATCCTTGAGATTTTATTGCACTTGTATTGAAAAATGAAAATAATAAGCGTATTATATACTGACTTTTATATGTTGAATTATTATAGTAAACATATATAAACCTGTGAAAAAACGGTAAATATAGAATGGAAGCGACGTAGTAGTAGCATGAAGATTTATAGATTTATATCAAAAGACCCACACAACAATTGTGATGATGATAGTTTGTAAAAAATAAAAAAAGGTGGTGGCTATTTCATTTGTTTTCTCCCATCGCTATATGTGGTTGCGTAGTTGTGTTTGACGACGACGACGACGACGACGACGACAACGACAACGATTACGAAGTTGAAAAGTGATGTACACACAGAATTGAATATTGTTGATAATGATGGTGATATAAGCAAACAACTTCTTAAACATCCATCAATCATCACCAAACAATTGATTGATTAATATTATGAAATCATCTTATCAATATATTACCTGACAGCTGTGTGTCATAAATCTAGTGTATATTGTGGCAATAAACAAGAATTTTATTAAAAAAGTTTCTTCATATCAATCGTGTGTATCACTATATCATCAGGTGGTGTTTGTCATCATCAAAGAATTGAATTTGAATCCGAAATTCATCTTCATATACATCGTTGTCTCCAAGCATTCTTTTTATTTATTTATTAATTCTAGGTTAGAACATTATGAGCTTCATCATTGTCGTCCTTGTGCCTTTTATTTGATTTTAACACAAGTAATGTCTACGGTTTTTTCTTCTATTATTATTCATTGTCACACACAAATAAAAAAAAATTTTTAAATATCAAAAAGACAGAAAATTTCTTGACGAAAAACAGAAATTCATTTATTCAAAACCTACGCGACATATGTATGTTACCAAATTTGGCTTCAATACATTGACATGTGAATAGTTGTGGGACATTTTTTTCAGATTGATCCTGGAAAAAAAAATGTTTGAAATTTCTCCGTAAACATTCGAAAAGGTAAACAATATTCATCGTCACACCCAACAACAAAAAATAGTTTGCTCTATTGAATTTTGTTGTAGTGGAGTGCAACAATTTTTAAATTTTGTTTTTTCATTTATTAACAAGTGTGTTTTTTTTATATCAGTGTGTGTGTGTGTGTGGTTTGTGTCCATAAATCTCTGCTGCCCATACAAATCATTTTGTTGCTTCTTCATTACAAAGCTGCCATTATAGAGATAGGTTTTTTTTCAAAATTTAATTTAAATTAACAATAGCCACCGAATATAAAATGGCTACTTTATCACCGTTTATCAAAACGGTACCATCTTCATCATCAACATCGATGATTACGAACCATAGTGGAACCATTACGAAAACATCACCATCAGGTTGTCTTTCATTATTATCAAGCGATATTGAAGAAGATTTAGGCATACTTGATTTAAATGCACGGGAATTTAATTATATTTGTCGCCAAGAATATTGGCTATTAAATGATGATGAATATAATCCTGAAACAAATTTTTCCTATGATATTGTACTCGAATGGATTGATGGTTATACACCAATGAAATCTGATGAAGATTATAAGAAATTTTTTCATGTTACCAATAATGATAATAATCATCATCGTTTTCAACATAATTTATCAATAAATGGACATAATTCTCATAGAAACCATTTGACGCCAAGTATGTTTTACATTTTAATAATTTATATTGTTTAATCAGAGAATTTTTCTTTTTTTCGATATCTAGTAAATGGCTATAATCGTTTCGATTATCTTACAAAATCTTCGGCTATATCACGTACAGCAACCATAACGAAAAGAAAAATTGAGAATATCAATAATAATAATGATAATCAATTAAATACTCCTACCGATTCTTCGTCGATGAATACTACGGTACGTTATGGTACTATAACAAAAGGAATGATAGCACGTCCATTTTTGACTAATAATATTCATACTCGAGAAATAAATCGAACGTTTGATATATTCGAATCAAAAGTTGAATTCAATGAATCGCCCACAATATCAAGTTCGGATGATAATGAACAAATAAGTACATTGAATATTAATACTCCTAGCAATAATCATAACCCAATAAATACGAATACGATAACAAGAACTAATCGTCGCGTATTAAATGTTTCTTTGGATGTTGTTGGACGTAACCATTCAAATATACAACAACGTCTAGAATGTGATCTTAGCAATTTATCAACATCCGAAACAGATCACGGTAGTGATTCAAATCAGGTCAATAATCTAATGACAACATCGGACGATGTAGTCGAAGAATTTGGCCTTTCATCAGACAGTGGCCTTACAGACAATAATGATCTAAAACGACCATCATTGAATCGTACGTTTGACAGAAACAATGATGATGATGATGATAGCCAAATTGTCAATAATTATAGCCAAACATTGGATGCATCTGATCGAAATTATCCAACAATTTCTCGAAATACTTCTAGTACTTTGTTTTTACGACGTGAAGCAAGTCAAGGACAGATTAATAACAATAGAATTAATAATATAAATAACCGAACTATAAGCAGAACACCACAACCAATGAAACAAGTATATCTGGTATCATCTAATGACGATCTTCTTAGTTCCGACTGTTCAACATTATCCTTAAGATCATCAACAATGTCTGGTGGTCGTAGTGAACCGAATTTATTGGATGCACAAAAACGTACAACAAATGGCTCGGCTCAATTATCGATCCATAATAAAAATCAACAACAACAGCCAAAACCTCGACTATCACAGATACAAGTGATCCAAGCACCGAAATTTCAAAGTCGCCTAATGGGTCCGACTGGTATAGCGGTACCTGCTACTAATGGTAATCGAATATCACGAATTGCACTACCATCGACAAATGGTGTTTCATCACAACCATCATTGGTAAACATTCGTAGCAGTGGCATTCCTGGAAATAAAACTACATCCATAAGATCTACCAATAGCTTTGGTAGTATGGGTTCAATACGTGATCAACAACTTCGTCAGAATCATCCATCTCAACAACAATCAAATCAATTTCAAATGCCACGAGCTGTTAGCCAGGTATGTTCAACTTGATGGAAAACTAATTATATGCTTTTATTGATCTATAATGTTTGCACGGGATGCATGATACTTTCCTTTACATTATATATAGCATGAATGAGTCTATACGTTTTTTCCTCTGTTTTTCTTATTTCTATTCTCGAATAAAGCACTAATTGAAAATTTTCTCTCAATAATCTTGCTTCCTGTTGTTGTATCTTGTTTGTGTGTTTGTTTGTCTGTTTCCTATTCCCTTTATCCAAATTGTTTTCCCATTCTTCATTAAAATAAAAATCTACATATATAAATCTATGGCGCACAAATTAATATATTGAAAAGATTGAAATGAACAATGATGATGATGGTCAACAACAAGATTTTAATGGTAACAATGTTCAACAACAACGATTCGGAATGGGATTGGATCGAAAATCTACATTTCGTGTAACTAATCGGACATCGTCATCGCCATCATCATCATCGACATTGATGGCCATGACAACAATGCTTGATGGACAACAATATCTGAATCAAAAACCAGTTATGAATAATCAACAAACAAATGATCATTTTTATATTTCAAATTGGAATGGAAATCATCATACCTCAAATGGTAGTCGAAAGCAACAGGAGGTAGATGATGTAATTGCAATTCAAAGTATGCCTTACTTATCGTCAAATAATAATAATAATCATCGATCGTCATCACCATCATCATTGTCTCGAAATAAGAAATTACCACATTCTAAACAATCATCGATTGTGGCCACTAAATCTGCCATTGCTTATCGCTCATTGATGCCTAATGAATGCTCTAACCATAACGATGATAATATTACTTCTATTTGTTCTGATCATACTAACAACAATAATATCAGCAATGCAGCAGCTAAAAGCATCGTTTTATCATCTCGTATACCTGGATTAATGAACAATAGGTGATGCGCTTAATTATTTTCCTCTTTTAATCTTTTACTTTTTTCACTACAATCACATGTGTATCTATTATGATATATAAATGAACGATGAAATCTAATGAAAATTCTTATGTTTTATATTTTTATCAACAATAGATTAAGCATCCCAGTTTATGGAAACAACAAGGGACAATTACAACGGCCAAATTTAATCAACAATTACGAACAAATGCCAAATCAAATAAAAGACAGCCGAATGCTCAACAATTGCATGGAATCGGCGGCACACGTTATGGTAATGCCAGTGGTGAACATAGATAAATCAACAAATCTATGTCGACAGCAGCAGCAACAACAACAGCAACAACATCAACAACAACAAAAACAATTGAATCGTACAATAATCACCGCCACTGCACATCATCAACCATCGAGAGGTTTCAAGATTAATAGTTGTGACGGCTACGAAGATAATTCATGGCAAGATGATTGTTATTGAATAAAAATCAATAATCATTCTAGTCTTTCTAAATTTAAACCAACAAAAAAAAACAAATGCAATTGGTGATGTGATTGATGTTCGAATTTATGAAATGTCTACTAAACATCTGAATGTCTACTATTATTTAACTATTAAATACTGATATTGTAATAATTGTTTTATTATCATCCTAATATTTCAAAGAATGATGATGATTCATCAATTGAAATGAATAGCAATATTTTTATTTTTTCTAATTATAAATTTTTTTCTTTTAATTTGTTGAATCATCATTACAAACATAATGATGATGATGATCAAAATTGACCTAAAAAAACATCTCATTCTCCCCCTTCTCTCTCTCTCTCTCTCTCTTTCTATGTTTAATGATCGTGATGATGATGATGATGAACCATAATAATGATGGCCGATATAATCTAATTATCAATGGACAAAAATGTTTTAGCCATTTGGGCGCCATCATCATCAAGTTAGTAAGTTAGTCAGTCAGTCAGCTCTTGTAATCATCATCGTTGAAATTGGTGGTTTAATCCTGATTTCTTTTTTTCAATGGCTTGTTCAATAATCAATGATGATAGTATATTGAGAAAAAGGTTTTATCGTTTTAATCAAATCACAACAATATAACAATGATATATAATTATTGCAAAATAAATATATTTTCTGTGTAGGTAGGTGAAAAGGAAAAAAAATGGAGTGTAACATTAAATATAGTTTGTTGTTCATCTGATTAAACATCAAAGTCAAAGGTTTGCAAACATTGGATAATTGTATATGTGTGTGTGTGTGTGTGGGTAAGGGGAAGAATTAGTGTGAACACAATATGAATTTGCACACAGTAAGGAAGGGATAAAATATATATGGGGATAGAAAACAAACAAACAAACATTGATAAATATATAATATATATAGTGTAAAACAATCCGAATGTAAATTGGTGCTTATTCATGTGATGATGTTTCATGAGATTTTATATGAGGTGCTTCATTATCATAATGTTAATAGATTTTTTTTTTAGGCAGTTGAATCATCATCAATTCATTTATGATTCATAACCGATGATTTCAATTTTGATGTTAATGTTGATATCAATGCCGGTTGTGTTGGTGAATGTTGTGGTGTTGAACGATCACTGCCACCATCACCTAAATGATTAAATTTAGTAAACAATGAACGATATTCATCCTGGCAATAGATCCAATCGAATACATCATAGGCAATGTCTAATGGTAATGGAATCTTATCCGGTTGTTTGCCGAATTCTACTAATCTCAATAAAAGTTCTTCATCCGATTCATAGATATATTGTGCTATTATTCGAAATAGAAATATTTGATTAAACAATGAAAATCTTCATGTCTTTGTGTGTATGTTTTTTTTACCTGGAAATATCTCTGGATAGACTAGACGTGATGGACATAATGGATAACAACCACAGTAGGCAGCTTCAAGCCTAATAATAAAATGAAACAAAAATAAAACCAGACAATCATTTGATAAAACTCCAGTTACTACCAGAACATCGATATTTTGGTCAAATTAGATCAATCAAAATTTAAATGACTACCAAATGGACATTGACCGACATTCGTGATTGAACGACGGTCAATTTTTTTTTTTTTTTTTTTTGATAGAAAATAAATACTAACATGGAAATGCCGAAAAATTCATGCAATGCTGTCGATATGCAACAATTACCACTGGCCAATACTTCGTAATAATCTTGTTTGGATTCAACATAACCCCAATGAACAATCTGTTCGGCTAAACGTGTTTTAGCTTCAACAAATATTTCTGTTTAAATTGAATGCCAAGATTAATATAAAATCGATATCAGTGAATAGAATCAATCAATACGAAATTTCTCACGAATTTTTTTTATCAATTTCGATAGAAATTCGATTGGAAAAATTGATGGATGGATAATAATAAATTTATACTAACTTGGTACTTCGGAATAGTTTTCACCAAGAACTGATAATTTAAATGGTATTTGCCGTTCTTCTTTCAATCGATAAAGAATGTTGAAAAATGCTTCCGGATTTTTATCATGCTCCCTTATCATCATAATTATAAAGAAAATTTGGATTATTTTGTGGGAAAAAAAATGAAAAATTTTTCTTTAAATACTACCATCGATGTGGCCAAATGATATGCAAAATTTTTTTCTCACGACGCTGTGCATGCATCAATGGTATGTTATTGAAACGAATTGGATAATAAAGTATACGTGATTTTTGTTCAATACTGGCAATCATTTGATCAATATCCGGTGGACGATAATCAGGCATCATTTTTAAAAATGTTCTTATATTGCCAATGAATGATGTACGATTATATTTTGAATTGAACACGATCTTATCGGCAACCAAACTAATAATGAATGAATTATATCAATTATTTTATTACGTGAGCCAAAATGATTTTATACCTTGAAAGGATCTGATTATAACCATATTGAAAATCTCGTTCCTTATGATGTTGTATTGGATATGCTAATTGATTCTCATGAAAATAAATAATTTTCCATGCAATACGAGCAATGTCCGGCCGTAAGGCAATCAATTCGGCAAGATTTAAAATTGATGATGTAAATAAAACATCAAAATGTTGATCAGCATTATCGATGATTACACGAGATAAATACAGTGCACTAGTTCTTGATCGCCAATGCCATTTTTTAGCCGACATTTCGACTAATGTAAATTTGAAACGTGGCCATTTTGATGACGATGATGATTTTGAACCTAATGGAAGTTTTGATGGTTTATTTGACGAAAAATTTGCCGATATTTTTGATGAATGATGATTCAATTGTTGTTGATTTTTATCATTATTAATTTCATTATTATGATTCGAACGAGGCAATGTATGAGCCAACACTGAATCATAATCCACTGATAATGGAAGCAATGTTTCAATGAATCGTTTATGTGATCCACCATAGAATGGTTCAATTATAAGAATTCGTCTTTCATTCATCGGTGATGGCTGTTGTTTTTTATTGGTCATTTTTTTTCGCAAAATAAATATAAAAAACAATTAAATCTGATTTTCAATGATTAAAATATTTGAAACATCCGGGTTAGTTTGACTGTCAATCACACACAGTGGCGTCGTATACGATTTGATGGTAAAACAAAAGAAAAAAGCCAAACAAAAAATTCGTACTTGAACTTGATATACTATTATAATTCAATAAACATATTTGATGAGATGATGACAAAGAAAATCTGCTTTTGCTTATTCACTATTATCATTATCTTTTTCTTCTTCATATCATCATTGTCGTTTTTTTTTCAAAATTGTGACATTCAATCTTCAAGTTGTTGTTTGTTATTTGTAAGCCAGATCAAAACCACTGTTTGATGATGATGATGATGATGATATTAAAATAATTTTTCTTGTTCAGTAATTGAACAGAAGAAAAAAAAACCTCACACCATGTTAAAAAAAAATAACGATAATAAATCTTAACGTATCATCTTTGTTTTTGTTGGCGGATTATTTTTTTTTTCTTCTGGTTGAATACTCCAAAGAAAAGAATCAAAGAAGAATCGAATCTATAGAATAACGGATAAGGAACAGAATGATAATTATGAAGAGAAAAAATAAAATAACAAAGCCACACACACACACTCATATCAAAGACAAAAGCATCGATTCGATGCCAAAGTTTAATGGCTACATACCATGAATTTGAACATAAACGATTTTTAACAACGGTTATATTTAGAAATTTAGAAAACAACTGCAGTTGATTAAGAATTTCAATACATTAAAATTTACATACATTCATTTAATTGAAGGCCGTGATTGTGTTGGTAAAAAATATGAGGCAAATTTCGTTTTTTTTATTCTGGAAATTTTCGATTCAGATACACACACACACAAACAAACAAACAAAGACATTTGATTTTTATATTTGTTTAATGATTATTTTAACTTATCAATTAAATAGATTATGGAATGTGTTAAATTGAAATTTATTCATTTTTTTTAGTTCTGTTAAAAATATTTGTTTTTTTTTTGTTCTTGTTCCAAAATTTTTTTCCAAGTTTAAACGGTCATATATATATTCGATTGTGGGTTAAAATAGCCAAAATGAAAATAGCCAAGACTGAAAATAGCCAAATACTGAAAATAGCCAAATACTGAAAACAGCCAAATCTGAAAATAGCCGAAGCAGAAAATAGCCAAGGCTGAAAATAGCCAAACCCTAAAAATATCAAAATACTGAAAATAGCCAAGGCAGAAAATAGCCAAATACTGAAAATAGCCAAAAAAAAACAAAAACAGCGAAATTAATTGGCGCAAAATGAATCGTATTCGAACATAAAATACATATACATTCAACCGATGAACCGATTTATAGTATTTTAGACTTTGATCTCTATTCTAGATTGTTTGTCAATACAATAGTTTTCTCCAAACCTCACCTTCGGTGAGGTTTGGAGAAAACTAATGAACCGAGACCACCTAACCTAACCTAACCTAAACTAAACTAAATTAAATTAAACTACTCATTTTTGATTCGTCAATATTCGTTCGACAATCCACCGGTGCAGTTCATCCCCCTAACCTAAACTACCTTAATAAAGTAAAGTTCGGACAAAATCTTTTTGTTGCATTCCACATGCAATGATCAAATTAAAATTCAGAATTGAATGATTTATTTATTATATACATTTATCAATGATCAATCAAACAAATACATCTCGGACAGCAAGTTTAGTGAACAATCAACAACAACATTCACAAGTATCAAAGCCATTATTATTAATAATGGAGCAAAATCAAATGATTTATTTATTTCGGTATTTAATGAGTAATTTAATGAGTTCGTTTTTTTCATTTGAACATAAAAAGAAAAATGGAAATGTATAAGTAAAAAAATTAATTTCATCAACATACACACTCATCGAGCACAAATCACAGGAACAAATGTGTGTGTGTTTGTTGTGACATAACCTTTCATATATAACGTGTTATTTTTCGCTAATTTTTATTGCGCTAATTTATTTAGCTATCTTTTATCATTGGCTCATTTTTGGCCCATTTTAATGATTGGCTATTTTTCATTTGGCTATTTTCTGCCTTGGCTATTTTCAGTATTTTGATATTTTTAGGGTTTGGCTATTTTCAGCCTTGGCTATTTTCTGCTTCGGCTATTTCCAGTTTTGGCTATTTTTAGTATTTTGATATTTTCAGTATTTGGCTATTTTCTGCCTTGGCTATTTTTTATTTGGCTATTCCATATCACAACCTATATATTCTCTGATGATTGGACTGAATTGATTGACTTGTGTTTGTATATTCGCGAATCGGCTATTTGGACCAGTTTATGACCGTATGATATGGAAATAGTGGGCTTTTCGTTGAATATTTTCGTACAATGCATAATGATGCAATTATTTTCTTTTTGATAGAGCAATTGTTTTCATTCTACATTTATATGATTAAATATTTTGTCTCACTTTTATATATATATCCATTTTATTTATAAAATAAATTCATCACAATAATTTATGTGTTTACCATTGTTTCATCTTACTGGATTACGATTACGATACATGTTTGTATATGAAATTTAATTTATTAATTATTTGCCAATTAAAATATGAGAAACAATAGTGATGAAGATTTGATTGATTTCGATGGTAATCAGCATCCGAAAAACGAAAATAGCCAACAATCAATCACTCAAATTGATATAAATATTTTTGAAAGAATTTTTGATGAATCTATTGAAGATCTGAAACGATTGGGTTGTCTTAATCATAATCAAAAATACACTGGCATAGAAGTTGAAGAATTATTGAGTTTTCTCAAAATACCGCTCATATCTCGAATTTCTATGAATTCATTGAATTTAGTTATATCAAACAACGATATTGACACTGCCAAGCCATCATCTATTGCTGCCACGGTTTCAAAAGATAATAATTCTTTCAAGAATAAACAAAAGAAACCATGGGATCCTGGTGAGCCATGTTGTTCACGTTCAATCGAAGAACCGAACCCTAATGTACAAAATTCTAGTGGCAATATATTTACATTAGATGTTGATGAAGTTCTTAAGACGCATCTTTCAGACGAGATTGAAAATGGATTCCTAACCGAAAATGATTCTGATCACGATGCGAATTCTGGACCAGAATTTAAAAAAGTATCGAACAAATTGGCTCATGAAAGATCAACAGATTCTCCTCCCTTAGTCATTCCAAATCTAGACAAATTACTTGATAAAAATAAAACCATCGAAAATGATGATGACATGAATCAATCGAGTGACAATGATGTTGAACAACCAAAATCGAAAATTATTCAGTCTACCAAAATTTTCGATGAAGCAGATGATGATATCGATGAACTTGATCACAATGATGATCTCAATATCCGTGAAATTTCTTCTATTTATGATGATGAAGGCCTAATACCTCAAAATTTGACAACAGTAATCGAAAATGTTGAGGAACTATTTAATAATGATCACCATGAATACGACAACGAAGATGATGAACGATCGATACAAAAAGTGAAATCGGATAAGACAATTTATCTTTCTGTAGAGGACAATGAAAATGATGATAATGATTTTGTAAAAGACGACAATACAAATAAAAAATCATCGGAATTTGCCAAAATTGATACTCTATTGAAAAAATTCAATTCAATCGATTCAAGCGGCACTGATGATGATAATGATGGATCACCATCAAATAATCTTACCAAGAAACGTATAAATAATCCGAAATCTTTAAGAAGCTATGTTGATGATGATGATCAATCAAATAATGATATAATGACCGATGAAGAATTCCCCCCTCCGCCATTCGATGATAATGATGAAGAAATGATAACAATTAAGAGGAAAAAAAGAAAATTAATTTCCTCTGAAGATGAAGAAGAGGATATATCAACGGTAGACAATTCGGATGAAAATCAACAATCAATAGAACCTATGCTGAATGATACAGATAAAAAAACGTCAACATCGAAAAATGATTCTCAACTACTAAATTCAACCGAAATGAAGAAAAAACGCCGTAAACGACGAAAAAGAATAGTAATAGATGATGATAGTTCACATAGTGATGATAACAGCGATGATGGTGATGATGATGATGAATGTCCGGATAAAGATTCAACACGAAAAAAGATTCGAAAAATGCTCAAAGGTAAAAGTCTTCGTGATGAAACGAAAAATGCCGAAAAAGCTGAACGTGAACGCCGTAAACGTATTGAAGAGAAACAAAAACTTTACAATTCAATTAGCGAAGAGATCATTGATCCAATTGGAAAAGAAAATGAAGAATGTAAACGTTTAATATTGGACATTGATAAAAAAACCAAAGAAATATTGGTCGAAGTGGATAAAAATTTCGTTCAAATGCTCAAACCACATCAAATCGAAGGCATCAAGTTTATGTTCGATTCGACTATCGAATCGGTAGAACGTCTCAAAGAACATGCACATGAATCCGGTTGTATACTGGCACATTCAATGGGCTTGGGTAAAACATTGCAAGTGATTGCTTTTCTTCATACGATCATGACCAATTTACATATCCGTGATATCATCAAACATGTACTCATAATTGTACCATTGAATGTAGCAAAAAATTGGATAATGGAATTCATTAAATGGCTTGAATTCGATAGTTTTAGTATAACAATATATGAGACAACAACGACTAAAAATCTTTCAGAACGTATCAAAATATTGCAAAATTGGCGAAGAAACGGCGGTGTTATGATCATAACAATCACATTGTTCTCTCAGCTGATATCTGGAAAAAAATTTACCAAAAAACAAAAAGCTCAAGATTTTCCTGTGGTTCGTAAATGTTTATTGGATCCGGGTCCTGATATTGTCATAGTGGATGAAGGACATTTGCTTAAAAATGAAAAAACCATATTTAATTGTACAATTTCACAAATACGCACATTACGACGTGTCATCCTCACTGGTACACCTTTGCAGAATAATCTATCAGAATATTTTATTATGGTAGATTTTGTTAAACCAAATCTTCTTGGTACAAAACGGGAATTCAAAAATCGTTTTGAAAATCCAATCAGCAATGGTCAACATATTGATTCGACTGATAACGATGTTAGATATATGAAACGTCGTGTGCATGTATTACATCAAAAACTTAAGGATGTCATTAATCGTCATGATTATAATGTTTTGGTTCCATATCTCAAACCTAAATTTGAATTCGCTTTGACAATTAAATTGACACAAATCCAGATTGATCTTTATAAGAATTATTTGGATAATTTCACTTCTGCCAGTAATGGCAAAAATCTTCTCAACGATTTTACTGTATTACGATACATATGGAATCATCCGGCTACATTGGTCGATCAATGTCGACAAAAAATGGAAAAAGCCGAAGAAGATCCGTTAAAAGATTTTATTGTCAACGATTATGATGACGATATAGTCGAGAATATTAAAACAGAATCGAATGGTGTCGAAGATAATAATGATGGAAAATCTGCTGATGAATCAGATATCGAATGTGTGTTTGATAATTTAGAAGAATTACATAAATCACGCCGTTTATTACGAAGTAAAGGACAAGCACCCGATATTCCAAAAAATCATGAAAATCTCAATGGATTAATCGATGATGGTGATGGTGGTCAGAAATTAAATTGGTGGAAAAATGTTCTCAAAGATTATGATGATGATGATATCTATCGTATTGAATTAAGTTCTAAATTCATCTTACTATTCTCCATACTGGAAGAATGTGAAAAAGTTGGTGATAAAATTTTGGTATTCTCACAGAGTTTACATAATCTGGATCTTATAGAAACATTACTGTCCGAAAAGAATTGCGAAACAAATGAAAAATTTGGCGAAAATATTGACTATAATGAATTGGCACAAAAAAATGACGGTGTAAGTAACCGTTGGATTCGTGATATTGATTATTTTCGTATTGATGGAAAAGTTAATTGTGATAATCGTGCGAATATGATTAAAAATTTTAACGATAACGATGATCATCGTTTACGATTGATGCTCATATCAACGAAAGCCGGTGGTCTTGGTATTAATCTAATCGGTGCAAATCGATGCATTATTTTTGATGCATCTTGGAATCCTACCCATGACATACAAGCTATCTATCGTATTTTTCGTTATGGCCAAGAAAAACCTGTTTATATCTATCGTTTTATATCATATGGTACCATGGAACAGAAAATTTATGATCGTCAAATTATCAAACAATCGATGGCATTACGTGTAATTGATGAACATCAAATTACACGTTACTTTAAACAAGCAGAATTAGCCGAAATGTATACGTTCATAGCGGACCCACCAAAATCGGCATATAAATGTCCGCCTGTTGAAGCTAAAAATGATCGCTTAATTTGTGATATTTATGAAAAACACAAAGATCTTATCGTATCATTTCATCAACATGATTCATTATTGGAAAATCGACCAGAAGAAAATCTAACCGAAGAGGAACGTCTTGCTGCTTGGGAAGAATTTCAACGTGAATCGGAACCTGTTCCGACAAATATTTTACCAACGGTAAGTTATATATTCATTGTTTAATTTTGTTTATTAACATTTTACCAATTTCACACGATGATTTATGTAGAATACACCCAATTTATTGGTGAACAGCCCTCCACAATTAAACATACCAATGATGACATCCTTATTGCAGCAACGATATAATAAATCTATGTTAACTGGTACAATCATACCGACACATGAGTTTTATGCTCAGTCAAATGAAGCTCAATATTATAATAGCCAATATGCTCAATCACAACCACAATTACAACGACAAGAATATATTGCTCCATCATCATACAATATGTCCTTGTTACAAAAACCAATAAATGATCAGATGTTGATAAGATATTTTAATCAAATGACTGAATGGATGCAACAGTATCCTATTAATGACCATCTACGTTATAGAAATCTAACAGTGGATGCAATTAGAAATGAATTTCATCAACAATTCATTCACCTGATCGGCTCGAAAGATGAATATTTTATTAAATTCTACCTGTATGTAAATTATATCAATCTTTTTCTACGTCGTAAACTTGATCGTTCTCAAGTTATGAATAATGAAATAATTAATAATCTGGCTCGAATTAAAGATGAGGTAATTCATGTCTATTCGTTATGTACAATCTTTCTAAAAATTTAATTTATTTTTTTTTTTTTTATTAAAGGTGATCCAAAATTGTAAATTGGAACGAATCGCATTTCGATTAAATGAAATTATACATAAAACTGGCCGATCTCTTCGCGGTAAGTTAATCATATCGGTTATTTTAATTTTATATTTTAAATTTTTTTTTTTTGACTAGCTCAACAACAACAACAACAACAACATCAGTCATTAATTAAATTACCAGTTCAAAATGAAAATATTGAATGTATACATTTGGATTCCGATTGATATTCGCTCATCACAGAATGAATTTCACAGTATTATTATTGTAATTATGATATGTTAATAATAATTCGAATTAAAAACGTTATTGTCTTACAAATCCTACTATAGAAACATTATAAAATTGTTGTATTTCGATAAAACTAAAGAAAATTTGACAATTTACACATCTGTAAATTTTTTTTATTATTATTATTCATCCATTCAATAAACAAACGAACAAATTGTAATAAAACATTAATCAAATCACTAAATAAAATTGAACATTTACATGGCTGTCATGTTTTTCATTCAAAAGAAAAGCGAAAATATATTTTTGTCAGTTGTCAAACAATTATTTTTATTTTATAAATATTGATCTAACCCTGTATATATGTTCATATATTTTGTATTGATCCAAAATATAAATCATTGTTCCCATTGGATAAAATCAGAATTTCGTTCATTTATGTAGAATGTCCAATATGCCATGTTGAGTATGAAAAATACGAATGGAAATAGTATTCGGCTTACTTTGTCGATCATTGAAACACTATTTACTGCACACATTTCTTGTGCTTTTGTACGTCGTTTGATCATCTCTTTTTTGAATTGTTCATTGGCCGTAAAACAATACCAGAATTGTATACAACATTGAGAAAATGGATGAATGATTCGTGTCCATAGCCAAAAGCTTAAAGAATCAGATTCAATACTATTGGAATCAATATTAGATCCACCATCATCGCCATGGTCGTTGTGTTGGCTATCAGCAATATCATCATCATCATCATCACCATTGTTGTTGAGTGCAATCATTTTTTCACTAAAATTATCTCCATATCGATGATTAAGAAATTCAGTGGAATAATTTTCGAATAATTCATTTGGCCGTAAATTTTGATTATTCAGACCTAATGAAGGCCAGCTTGAATTTAGTTTTAATGAGAAAGAATTTTGATCACGAACACCACCATTATTGAACAAAGGCGAACAATATGACGTCCAATCGATATTCTCTTGTGTTCTTGTTTGTTGTTGCTGATATCTTGGACAATGTGGCATATGAACAATCGATCCAATACTTTCAATATGATCAGGAATGTTTTCCAATTGATGGGGTAAATTTTGAAACTATCAGAACAATAAAAAAAAAGAATTATAAATTTTCTTGGAACATGAAATAAGAAGAAATTTTCCGGAAAATTGTTTATTCGATTCTTTGTTCCTGTTCATGAGTTTCACTCAACAATGGAAACTGATTCTGCTACAGCCACAAATCTATTGCTCAATATGATTGATAATAGTGGTTCAACACCTGATTCATTAAATTTGAAACAAACTTTAAGTGAATTAGATCGATCAGAAGGTTTTCAAAATGAATTGGCCAAAGCATATGATGTGATAAAAATTGAATGTTCTGTAGAAGAAACAATTGATGAAAAGCTAAAAGAAGAACTTGAAAAAAGAATAATTTTTCTTGATAATGATCTCGATGGTCAAATTTCATCGATATTCATTGTGAATGATCAGCCAAAAATACAGCAAGATTCATCACCGATTCAATCATATTCGATGAAAATAGATCACCGTCGCAATCCTAGCAGAAAGAAAAATGATGACAAATATTTTCCCCGAATTCTATGGCGATTGATTAATGAATGTACGAACGATGCTATAAAATGGTCATCAGATGGTACAGCTATCCTAATTGATTATGAAAAATTTCAACAACATTATCTAGACACTAATCATTTCAAGACGAAAAAAATCATTTCATTTGTTCGCCAATTGAATCTTTATGGATTCAATAAAGTTAATGCAAATAGTAAACAAAGTACTCAAAATGAACAAATGAAAAAATATCATGAATTTTGGAATGTAAATTTCAAACGTGATTGTCCACATTTACTAAAATCAATTCGACGACGAACTTCCGGTGCTGGCAAACAACAAATGAAAGATAAAGAAAATGTTATTGTTAATCATCATTACATTGATTGTAATAATTTCAAATCTATCCGAATCAAACATTGCAATACATGATTATCTAAATACCTAATAGAAATATGTTAAAATAATTTTATAATTATATACTATTCCCTAATTGGTTAAATAAACAATTTGTTTACCTGATTATTCAATTCATTTTGTTGATCAATAATATCGGGATAATGATGATCCAGTTGATAGGATTTTGACATTCGAACATAAGGTTTAAAATGGCTAGCATCCATTGATAATGAATGATCGATATGTCGTTTATTATTATTAAGCCAATCTTGACGTTGTTGGACCATTCGTCGAGATCGATAATTTTGTCCAGATGTAATTATCGGTTTACGTCGTAGCGTCGTCGTCGTCGTCGTCGTCGCGGAAGCCGTTGTCGATATGATCGTTGAAATTTTTCATTAAATCCATGATCAATGATTTCATCTACATTTTTATCAACATCATAATTATCATCATCATCATCATCATCATTGGTATCCGAATCATCTGAACTTTTTACCCAATCATCATCGATTTCGATAACAGGTACTTCACCGGTACCAACTTTAGTGAAATAATGTACACCAGCAAATTCTAATAATGTAAATACAACAAACAGAAAACACATGACCGTATACCAATCTAATGCTGTTGCATAACTAACACGTGGTAGATCACTACGTGAATCCAAACCGAATGTAGACAATGTAAGAACGGCCGTTACACCAAGACCAACACGATCAGATGTAGCTTCACGATTGATCCAGAATGAAACCCATGACAATACGACAATCAATGAACATGGTACATAGATTTGTATGAGAAAATAGCCAACATGACGTCTTAGATTGAAATTTACTTGAAGCATTGAATGATTACCACGTTTGAATAGAAATGTTCCATTACGATAAATAGTTTTAACAATATCAAATTGTGATAATGTAAAATCTTTCTGATTGAATGTGACTGGTTTTTTATCCCAACTATAAACAAGTTGATCGCTTGGAAATCCATCTTTGGTGTTTGGAACAAGTAAAAAGAAAAAAGAAATTATCAACCACACATATACAAGCAAAAAAAAAACCACTTACAACTTCCAAGAATCAATGGACAGCTTTGTTTATCCATAGGAAAACTGTGTAAATCCATCGGACATAGAGATTTAATTGTCAATCTTGTGAACAAAAAAAACGAGGAAAAAAAATGATAATAATTAGCCCATGTGAATATGGAAAAAAACAAAACTTTTAAAAACATGATTATTTTGCTATCGAATCGAATAAAAATTAATGATATCGTTCATCACTTTTTTTTAAAAAAAATTGTTAGATTCCACTAACTGCAATTTTTCTGTGTGACAGATAGAGAATGAGAAAAAAAAATTAATCGCCTATTTTTTAAGTGTAAAGAATAAATCGAATTATAGTTTATGAGGGCGTTATTCCAAAATGATGATGATGATGATCTAAATTATTTATGCAAATAATTTAAAAGCAAACGTTTTTTTGCCATAATAGTTAGAGTGAGTAAATAGGATTCAATTTCCATTTTTTTCCCCATTATTATATTGCTGAGAATGAGCAGATTTTTTTTTTTTTTGGTATTGTATGAGAAAAAATGAGAACAAATGAACCAGAAAAAACAGTGAAAGAGTAATTTAAATGTGTTTGATGATCATGATCATTTCCGTTTTTTTTTTGATCTTCACAGTCGGCATCATGAATATGGAATAATTTACTGTTCTTTTTGAATTTTGTTTTCTCTTTTTTTTTGAAATTCACCAGATTTTTACTACATTTTTCCAGTTGGAAACATTTCATTCATTTGTATGAGAGTGTCTTGCAATAGATAATTGGATAGTAGTGGAAAATTTGTCGTCATTGTTGATCATTTTCATCGTTATTCATTCAAATCAGACAAATCATCATCATCATCATTGATGATATTTCCGTTTTTTGGCTTATTTATTCAAGCATCAATATGATTTTTGCAAATTTTGAATTTTTCTCTTTTTTTTGCCGTTCGGGTATTTGATATTATTTAGATATTTATCGTATTTGTCGATAATAATAGTGGCTTTGTCATCATTTTTTTCAAACTTTTTTTTTGTTGATTTCCAAAATCAATGATGAATGAATGAATGAAAAAAGGAATTGAAAATTTCTATTTGAAAGATAAAAAAAAAATTATAAGAATATACTTACCTCATAGAATAGAGGACAAGACCATCTTTGAATATTCGTAAGAATTTATTTGGCGTTGTAATCATGTGTAGATGTGATGCTTTACCCGTATGGAAATATGTGTCTGGCTAAAAAAAAAAGAAGAGATGAGAAAAAAAAAACAAATGATAAAATATATGGAAAATATATCTCGAGGGGCTAGGATATAGGCTAAAACAGATTTATTTTTTTGATAATCAATGATGGTTTTGGGTATCGATTTTCCCCAGAAAAAAATTTCTTTATGAATATATCGTACACACGGAATAATGTTTCCTTAAAAAATGGATAAATTATTAATAATAATAATTTGTTCTGACTAATAATAATGACTTTTTTTTTTTTTTTTTTTCATCGTCCTCACTATAGATTTTATTCATTGATTGTAGAGATAATTATCATCATCATCATCGTTATGGCCGTGTTATCATCATTATTCTAATGTAACTAATTAATACTCAATATTATAATGATCATGATGATGATGAAGGAGAAAAGAATTATCATTTTTTTTTGCAAATCAGAAAAACCATAGATGCAAATATTCATGTAACATGATGATGATGATGATGATGATTATGGTCTAATTAAGTAAGTCTTTTCTTCGGATATGATGATGACCAAAATGAATTCTTTCAAGAAAATTTTCTAAACACATATAATGACACGATTATGAGAAAGTGGGAAAAAAAACCAAAGAATGAAATTCAATCCAACTTTCAATGAATAAATTGGCTGAAAACAATCACTGATAACAGAATGATTTTTTTTCAAACAAAAAAAAACCATTCCATTAGCTGCATTGATTTTTAGAATTCTTATAAATTTTTCAAACAGAAAATTTCTTTTCTCAACAAATTTAGTCAAATGAATTTGCCTTTTGGCCATTTTTTTATCGGCCTCTTCTTTTCAAGTTTACTTGTTTTTACATTCACAGCACAGCACAGAGATCAAAATGATTGAATAAAACAAAAAACAATACAGAAAAAAACGAAAAAGAAATCTTCAATTTGAATCTAATTTCATTACTTGTATAAAGCTTTTCAAATAAATTGAAGAATCAAAACTAAATTTCGATACACACACACATACACACACCATAATCTAATTTCAATTTATCCTTCAATCTAATTGCCATCATCATCATCATCATTATAATCAATTCTATAAACCAGAAGATCATGATCATCAGATCATTTCAAGATGTTACTATTATGATCGAATTTTTTTTTGTTTTCATTTTCTCATTTTTATTTCATAATGATTGACAGTTTTTTGTTTTGTTTATTTTGTTTTGTTTTGTTTTGTTTGTATTTTCTAATCATCATAAACAAAAAGTTTTTTCGTTGTCTAGTGATGATATAATTATTATGCATACAAAATTCTATCCAACTTATTGTTGTATATTGTGTCAGTGTGTGTGTGTGTGTGTGTGTGTTGTGAATATGTCAATTATTTTCATTCTTAATTAAATAAGAGATTTATTCTTGAAAATTCTATAGAATTTCATATATATTCGGTTGAGTGACAATCATCATCATTACAATTTTTTTTTCTCTGTCCAACACATTAGATTAACAGTAAAGAAAAAACTAACACACACACACACTTACACACAGAATTACACTTACCTTCCAAATTTTATCCAACATTTTTATATTCAATGAAAGAAAATCAGCATTACCAGTAAAACGTAATCGTTCATCTTGCCATTTTTGTCGAAAATAACAATCAAGAGAATATTCCTATTGATTGATGAAATGAAATGAAAGATATGAAATAATTGATTCATTCATTCATTGGTGACTATATTCATACACATTTAAATGATAAAAGAAAAACGTTTATTAATATCTACCTATAGAATTTCTCGTTCTCTCTCTCTATTTCTGAATAATTATGATATCTTCTTCAAGCAGAAAAAAAAATCATAAAAAGGTAATATTACTTTTTTTATCGAAGAAAAAAGAAGCAAGAAAAAAAAACACGATAACAATTTATAATAAGAATCGATTGATTGCATTATAGACTGATGATGAATATGAACATCATCATAAGTCGAGTATACTTTTAGATATTTCCATTTCCATTTCCTTTTTTTTTTTGTTTCAAGAATCATAAAAAGCATTAATAATATTATATTGCAGAAAAAAAGGTAATATTTCTGCTCTAAAGTAAATATATTGTGTTGGCTTAATTAAAAAAAAAGGCTTCAAATGTTCATGTTTGTTTGACTATCTTTTGAATGATGATGATGATGATCATAATGGTACTTATGGGATGAAATTTCTCGTTTTTTTTTCTTTCTTCTACAAATTCTCCATATACAAATAATATGAATATATAATTCATTTATTTATGAAATCACAATCTTCAATGTCTCTGAGATTGTGTGTGTGTGTGTGTGTGTCATCATTATTAATGAATGAAGAATGAGAAATCATTCTTGAGCCACAGTGACTACTACTGAATGATTGTCCCAAAATGTTTTTAGAGTTTTTTTTTGTTGTTGTTGTTGTCGTCGTAGTCGTAATTCTTGATTCTTGTTTGCTTTGTTTTTGTTGTTTTTCTACATCTAAATCTGTTTTTTTTCAGTTTCATAACATCATATCATTAGGATCATCATCATCATAAAAATGGGTTATCAAAAGGTTAAATTTTGATGTAGAAAAACAAAAAATTTATCCAAACAAATTAATCATTAGTAAGTCTTGTCACATACATTTGGGAGGAAAAAAAAAGTTTTTTTCTTTCATTTTTTTTGTCGTCAAACATCTTACCATATCTAATTCGGATATTGGTCCCATACTACGTATCTCAAGATTAGTTGTTATCACAGCTGGTGGTCCACCATAATCCGGACGTTGATTATGATCATAATGATCTAACAATTTAGCCAATACCATACTAATGTTACCGAATTTTTCATTATCAAATTCGGATTGTTCATCATTTGAAGTGGTCATCATTGATGATAATGATGATGATGATTTGCTATGATGTGTTTGATGTGTTTGAAGTTTAGGTGTTTTTGGCATACGTTGTATAAAACGTTTACTTCGTGGTAGAATTTTTGAATCATGCATCATTTTATGATTATCTAATCGGTTGATTGGTGATAATGTTGTTGTTGTTGTCGATATAATTATCGAATGGTTTTGATTAATTATCCAAGATGATGATGATGATGATGATGATACATTATAATTCTGATCATCAACAACATTGTCTAAATGACTTATTGAATAGATGATTCTATATTATTAGTGTTGATTGAAATATTGCAAACAAACATGAATGTGAATAAAAGAGATTAATAATCAATCATTAGAAATGTAGATAATTTATGTGATCAGAATGAATGAATCGATGAACATTGAATCTAACATAATTATTGTAAATGATAACATAGCATATATACTACTATTTTGATTCGTTGTCGATTCTGTTGATTAAATTCACATCATTCAAAAAGACTTTGTCGCTTCATATTCGCTTCTAGCGAGCAAACAAACAAACAAACATTCTTTATTTATTTTTTTTTTCTGTCGACGTCGACAAGATTTTTTCATTCTTTTCGTTCTTTTCATCATTGCATAGAGTATGTCATCATATATTTTATTTATAGATTCAATATTTGTATCTGGCCATTGGTTTTTTTTCATCTTTTCATTTTTTCTCTCTCTCTCTCATTGATACACACTTTTTCTGACATGCTGTTGGTTAAAACGTAGATGATTGTTTGTTTGTTTTTCTATTTGGTTGACTGTTTTTTTTTTTCGTTCTTTGTGCAAACAAACTAATGTCGGAATCAGTATAAAAAAAATAAGATGAAATCAAATCATTGTCCAACGGAAATGGTCATATGACCAGGGATTGATAATTTGTCTCTATTTGTAAGAGTTGGATATTTTTTTTTTTTTTAGTGACTTTTGTAAATCTGATTGGGTCAATATTTTTTTTGCAAATGTTGATTTTGTATTTATCGTATTTTTTTCATTCTCAAATCAGAATCGTTTGAATTTTTTTTTCTGTTATCCATGGATGTAGTGGATAAATGGAAACATTTAGGATCAGAGAGAGAGAGAAAAAAAAATTTTCTTTTGTCAAATCTTTCAAGTGGAAGCAATTCGTGATGTGAAAGAAAAGAAAAAAAAATTTTTTTTCGTTTTGTTTAAAAAATCTCAACAAAAAAAACCGGAACACAAAATCCAAAATGAATCAAGTGATTAGGAGGAGAAAAGAATTTTAATTTTTTCGGCAAAAAAAAATGAGCAAATTGCCTCACTTGATGATGAACTCATCTGCATCATTCTTTTTTGTCGTTCCAGAAGAGGAACGGGACGGCTGTTATACATTTGATAGTCGATAGTCACGAATTATTCTTTCTTTAAAAACAAAACAGAAAAAAAATATTTAAATTCAGATTTAGATAGAAATAAATTTATCAAAAAAAAAAAGAAAGAAAGAAATTCTATGCATGTGAGTGTATTATAAATTTAATTATTATCGTCGTCATGATCATCACCACACATATCATTATTATTGAATTCGATCGACAGTGCAAGATCGTTATTTTTTTTTTTTTGATTATTGGCCGCAAAATTGTAATGGTTCACATGGTTCTAAATGTATGGAACACAAGTCAAATCAATCATACAATCATGTCATTTCTGTGGTCTTTGCTTAACCCATTATATAATATGGTGATGTTGAAAATAAAAAAAATTTTTCCATTCAAATTCAATATCACACATAACCCTATTATAGATATTAATGAATTTATTAGTTCATTCACACACACACACACAAGGATTGTAAGAAAATTGATTTTTTTTCTTGTATCAAATTTTTCATCTTTCTTTTTCAGTGAGAAGAAAAAAAAATGAAAGACAAAAAAAATAATTATGCCGAAAGCAGGCTGGAAACAAAAATCTTTCATTATTGTGTGTCATATCATCATTATTACTTGATTACTGATCATGATGATGATGATGATGGGATGAGAAAAAGGGGCAATGAAAAATTAATTGCAATTTTTTTTTTGGCTGTCCCAAACGTTCTTCATCAAAATCATCGATCATCAATTTATCGTATTTTGATTATTTAATATAGTGGCATGGTTATATTATCCAACGAACCATGGTATGTTAGTCTCATTAGTCTTATGTTGTTGTTGTTGTTTTTTTTGGCGCGGAACTCAAATTATTGAAAACCAATCAATAAACGATGCTAATTATGAATGAATGAATGAATGAATTATTGACATCGATGGATGGATTTTTTCAAAGAGAAAAAAATTCCGATTTAAATAAGGTACCACACAAATAAAGGAAAAAAAATCATTGTTTTTTTTCCGTTTCGTTTGTATGAAAGAGGCCTATTACAAGTTCAAGTAACAAACTTAAAGTAAAAAAAAAATGAAAACAAAGATTCAAATTTCAGGAAATGAAATTTTGGCAAACGAAAAAAAAATCCATCTTGTTTGTTGTTGTTCAGCAAATATACAACAACAACAACAACAAACATAAAACGGTAATCACAACATGGTAGCTTGATTCGTTTTTTTTCTATTTCTCGACCCGATTCTCGTTTTGATGAAATAAAATGACACATATAACATATAATGTATATGTGTTGTTTTTACATGCTTTTAACATGACGGGGCATCAGTGTGTGTGTGTTTTTGTCGGTAAAAATGTATACAATAAATTCTATAATCATCAGATTCAAGAAAATTACAAATTTTTGAGCCCTATAAAACAAAATTTTTTTTTCTTTTGGAGATTAAAAAAAGAACAGAACTAATAATAACATACACATGTGTTACACATTTATTCTGTTAATAACTTGATGTTAACAAAACAAAACAAAAAAAATAGAAACAAATTATGTCCTGTCTAGAGGCTGAAATAATTTTTTTTCACACGAAATGAATGAAAAAAAAACGTCAGGTTTTTTTGACTGTTTTTGGTTTTCCAAAAAAAAATTTCAAAGATTAAAAAACGAGCTGTCTATTTATTTCCCAGTGAACAATATCCGCTATTAATCGATTCATTCGAACAAAAAAAAATTCTATTTCTCTGTATAAGGATCGGCATATACCTTTGTGAAATTATAGTTGAAATAATCGATGATATAATTAACAATGATAATAGACAGGACCAGTAGGAAGCAAATGATAATGATGATGATGGTGATGACATTGTGAATTGATCAACACATAATTTTATCATTCAATATGAATGAATTGACAATAAATATCACTCAGTTGTTACAATCATTCATTTTGACACATTGGATGGATCATCAAAAAAAAACAAAACTGTGTCGGATATAATTCAACGATTCGATAGAGCTTTTATGAGAGACAAAAAAAATGATTTCAACCATTTTATATACAAGCATCACTTCATATGAATGAGTGGTTGCCATTTTCATCGGTCCATTTCTCAGGATTTTCCGCGCGCTCTAGCTCAATTCTCGAGTATGCGTGCGATCAAGTAATCATCATCATCATAATGAAAACTGTTTGAAATGTTGTGGCTGGATTTTCAAACCGCTACATTTTGATTAATCGATAATAACATTGTTCATGATCCTTGTTAATCCTTTTAAGTGATCATACGATGAATGAAAAAAAACGATCAATCTAAAATGAGCTAGTTGAGCTGCTATTTTGTGGAAAAAAATAAACTTAATAGATATACAAGACAAAACAAATTAAAATAATCAATTATTGAACAGTTTACCTTCTGTTGTGTTAATACCAAAACGAATTTAGATTGAGAATAGAAATTTTTCGCTTTTAAACACCAATTTATTTTTGAAACAACTTCTACAATAGGAAGTGTAAACAATTGTTTTCAAAAATTTAGAATCGATAGTATCGATAATTGACATACTGCTGCTGTTCATCACAAATAAAGAGTGATCAATTTGTTTACAAATTTTTTTCGGCTTTTCGAATATTCTTTTAATTCAAAAAATAAATAAATTTTCCATTCTAATCCACCAAAAAAAAATGTCACAAAATTTGGATGAATGGATTGCCAATATCAATAAAATGAATATTAAACGTAGTGAAATTAATTTATTGATTATGGAATATCTCATTTCCGAAGGCTGTAAAGAAGCGGCCGAAAGTTTCAAGACCGAAGCAAACATTGATTTTGATATGAATGAAAATGAAGAAACTGAAGAACAAATCGATCGAAGGATAGCGGTTCGTAGTGCAATTGAAAGTGGAAAAATTCAAACAGCATTGGAATTGATCAATAATTATTATCCAGAATTGATTGACAACCATAGGCATCTTTACTTTAAACTACAGGTTAGTAGTATTCATATTTTATGTAATTGTGAATTGAGATCAATCATTTCATCTTTCAACAATAGCAACAACAATTGATTGAATTGATACGAAATCACGAAGTGGAAAAAGCATTACAATTTGCACAAGGACAACTTGGCGTCGATAATGGCTATCTACATCTGAATGAACTCGAACGTACATTGTCATTGTTGGCATTTGAAAACCCGGAAAATTCACCATATGCTGATCTATTACAACCTGCACATCGACAACATTTAGCATCAAGAATCAATGAAACATTGCTTAAGGAACAGACTGGTCGCAGTGAAACGCCTACACCTAAATTGGTTACATTGCTCAAATTGTTGCCATACACACAGAATGAATTGGAAACGAAAAAAGTTAAATTCATTAAACTTGTTGATCTGCCGCAAGGAACATTTGCTCCAAATGGTAATTAGAAAAAAATATAGTATTTTATTATTTTTAAAAAAATGACATTTTATCATATGAGATGTGAAAAAATAAATCATGAAATATCGATTGTGTAGAAAATTAGAATCTGCATTTTTCTGACTCCATCTTATTCTAAACCATCATCAAGTACTGGAAAATCGCCAACCTTCACAAGATTCGGTTTGACAAAACTTCCATAATTTGGTGCACATTCAAAATATCTGTATTTAAAATTATAAGTTATGTATGAATAAAATTCTTTTAATTAACAAACAAACCTAATGTTCTCGAATGTTCCATCATTTTTACCCCATGGTTCATCATAACGAACACCGACAAATGTGCCGGGTTTAGTGCCCAATTTCCCAATAAACATAATACAACCACGTCTTGGTGGCATATTTTTGACGGTCACTTCACAACGATTACCCAATTTCATTTGTTTTACATATTCATCATCATTACCATCGTCACCGGCTGTTGTGGCCGAGAAACGTCCTAATTTATTTTTCATCTTGAATGCTCGCATTGAATCGCTACGTTTGGCGTATTCTTCATCATCCAATTCGTATTTTTGAACACCGGATAAATCATCAAATTTAACAACACTGGAATCTTTTACATGTAATCGAAGACGAAGTTCACCTGCTGGTACAAGATAATCGCCAAGACATTTCGAATCATCACTTGGTCCTAGTAGATTTCCAGATGAATCTCGAAATGTCAATTCCATCGTAGCAGCTGATGCTCCTGTAATTAATTCTAGACGATTTTTCAGATCAGGTATAGTCATGTCGGATGCGAATCGACGTTCGATGAGATTATCATCATTGTTGGTTTGTATTTCCAAAACGATTTGTGACATTTTTAATGAATTGTGATTTTAAAAATCAAATTGTATGCACGAAATTTATTATTGGCAATGGCAACAATCCAAAATATTGGCCACAATCGATATTCGATGTTGAGTCTTTCATCACATGTATTTACAGCACAATTGTGTGCACGGCTTTTTTGTTGTAGGTCATCATCATATTGGCCAAAAAAATTCACTGTTTTTTTTCTGTTTTTGTTTTGGTCAATCATTTTGTGACCGATACATTTATTTCTAAAAATGCCACGAGAAGGTGATCGAGATGTTAATAATTTCGGCCTTATACCGTTGGATGAACAAGTGCAAAGTCCTATCGTTAAAGCGATAAAATTTCTTGGCAAAATTTTCGATAGTCCGGTCACATGGTTCAGAGGTTTGTTTTTATCATAATTACCTGGATAATTACATTATTTATTGTCATTTTTTTCTGATATGCAGTGAATGTTTCGGAAAAATTCAAAGGACCATCTTATCCTTATTATCATAAGAAATTTCGTCCAGTAACACCAATCAGTGAATGTTATTCGGATGATATGTCTTGCATCTATGAAGCACAATCTGCCTATCTTCGACAAAAGTAACAAAAAATTAACAGAATTCATTTACACATGATGATGATTTTTTTTATTATTTAAAATGAATAGAAAAGTGGATTTCGAAATATTGAAAATAATCAAACAACGTTATTATAATTGTTCTTATTGGGAGCGAACAATCAATGAATTTCATGATTTGGATAAAATTTGTCTGAAAGAAAGACAGGATCTAAAAGATACTGAAATCAACTTATTCATTAAATGTATGTCATTTTCTAATTTTTCATTGATTTTTTTTTAATTTTAATCTCAATCCATCTTTTGGACAGATGGTGAACTTGGACCGTTTGCTACCGTAATCGATGCATTCATGAAACAAAAACATCGACTTATTTGGGAACGAAGACAGATAGAAGGCGGACAAGATATGGCTGCCCATTAGATTAAATATTCAAAAAGAAAAGAAAAATTTATTCTATAGAATCAATTGATTTATTATTATGAAATTTAAAATTGTACAAATAAATTCTCAAATTGCTTAGAATATTATAATGATCATATGATTCAATTTAATAATAAAAATAAAATTTGAAAACTAAAGTTGGTGTTTAGCTTTTAAATTTTTTATTTACATTATATCGTTGATTTTTCATAATCATCGTCGATTTTGTTGGCCGTTCTTTTTTGAATTGAACTTTAGCTTTGTTTTTAATTTTATCGACTAAATTATTCAGATTCACACTTTTTGTATTGCCAATATTCGATTTGTTCATCATAAATTCCGATTCATTTTCAACCATACGACGTGCTTTCTGTTTTTGCTTTGCCAATATCTGTTCAAATGCTTTAGTTCGTTTAAATTGTGGATCTGATTGATCAACATTGTATAAATGTGATTCATATATCGAACTAAATCGATTATCATCCGGATTAAACTAGAAAAAAATGATTCAATTAAACATTCGAAAGCAGAAAAAAAAACTGAAACATACTTTGAATCCATCATCATCATCATCATCATCATCATCATCAACGGAATCGGTCTTGGTTTTAGCATTGTATTTCTCAACAATATTTTTGTAATTAAAATGTTTACGTTTTTGTTCGCTCGAATTATTATTCGTTTCATCCACATCCATCATTAATAATTCTAAATTTGCATCATTTTCTGGATTTTGTGGTTCCACTTCATTCACATCAAATTTATTTTTTTGTCGTTTTTTATTACGTTTTGAATTTTCAATTTTCGGAAAATCAATCTCTTCCTTCTCGTCATCTAATTCGGAAACCGATTCTTCAAGATTTATTTCATCACTATCATTAGATTCCGTACGTTTATTAAGTAGATTTTCCGTTTTTGATTTAAGTTTTGGATCCCACGTTACTTCCATATCAAAATCTTCTTTTTCATTTTCTTTTTCTAATGACAGAAGTAAATCTTTATATTTGTTAATTTTGTCATTTTCTTGCATATTTTCATCAATGTTGATCGTAGTTGTATCATTTTCATCATCATCATCATCGGAAGAAGTTGCCAAATAGGTTTTGATATCATTTTCATTATTTTCTTCGAATGCTTTATTGAATGCTTCTTTACGACGTGGATCGGTTTCATCCCATGTAATCTTTACAGTACTTTGTTGCAATGCTGTATTGGTGAATGATGGTGCTTTATATGTCGAACTTGTGGGCATAGTCGTACATTCCTCTTTCAATCGAACATCATCAAAATCCATATCATCCGGTATGAAACGTATATCCAACAAGGTCGAACTACTTTCATATTCGAGACCATCCAATTCATTGCAAATACTTTCGGCCGTTTCTGCACTATCACATTCAATAACAGCATAAAAATATTTTAATCTTTCCAGCTGATATTTTCGTAGCTTTTCGACAGTGTTTGGATCTTTAATTTCTTCATCTTCATTTTCATCTTCACCATCATCATTATCGTCAAGTTGATCTATTTGTTGTTCATTATCATCATCATCATCATCATCGATTTCAGCCACTTTCTGACCTTTGCCGAATATGAAGTCAGAAGGTCCTTTTTCCTCTTCAACTTGAAGTCGTTCTTCACCAAATTTTGAATAATAGATTCTTACACTATGAATGGTTCCAGTATTACGTTTAAATGAATTTAAAAGGATATATAAATCTTGTGCATTTATACGATCCCAATCGGCATTACAGATGGCAATCCTTGATGTAGAATGATCAATCTGTTGGGCATCTTTGTCAAGCTCGCCCCAATCATGTTCGAGTTCTTCATCATCAACATCATCTTCGGATTCACTACTACTGCTGCTACTTTCGTCCTCCTCCCCTTCCTGATCATCATCATCATCGTTGTCATTAGTTTTAATTTTTAAACCTCGATGATAACCAAATTCATGGGCCATTTTGAAATCATTTTTTCGATCAATAATGTCTTCAGTTTTTTCGTCAATTTTTTCTTGTTCTTTCGGCTCATCAATACCTTCATCATCTAATTGATAAAATTCTTTATAATCTTCAGCAATAAGATGATTTTTTGGTTTTCCGCGTTTGTCCATAGAATACTTCAACGTAAATTTATCATCGGTAAACATACTCTTGAAACGTTTATCAATCTTGAGCATTTTATCTTTTTTTCTCAACGTTCGAAAACGTGGATCCTGATAAACTTTGGCGAAACGGTCATCAATTTCATCTTTTTTGTTTTTATTGGCCATTTTGAGATGATAAAAATTCGGACGAAAATTGGAATGAAACAATCGTAACACGTGTTGTAAATTATGTTATTATTGATCCCAACGCCATCTGTCATAATCATCTGTTTATTCGAAAAATTTTCTTTATTTCATCTCAATTGATCTAAAATGATTGTTTATACTTTTAATTTTAATAAAAAAAATAGACAGCAAATGAAACACAAAATAAATTATGTTTTATTATCTGAATCATCAGAATTAATTAATTTTTCTAGTTCATCACGCCAACCAAGCTTTTCGGCTAGTTCTAAACATGCACTATCGGTTTCAGATTTGATGAAAACATCGCGATTATTACGAGAAAAATGGCCACTACTTGGTCGAGTTTTATTGATCATTAAACGTGGTATATGTGGTCCAACCAATTCGACAAGACTAGCAAACGGCTGCACAGTCAATGATGTTCCCATTATGATGAGTAGATCACAATTGATGAAATCTCTTTGATATAATCGATAAAATCTTTCGGGTAAAACTTCACCATAGAATATAATATCTGGTTTAACATAGGAACCACAATCTTCACAGTAAACAACATTGTCTTCGCGATCATTGTCTAATACGATTTCTAGAAAAAAATAGTCAGTATAGCAAACATTAATTACAATTATTAAATCGCATACTTTTCATCGATTCAAATGAATATTCTTTACGACATTCTTTGTTGATACAATGACCGGTATGAAATGAACCATGAGCTTCAACCAATTTATCTGCCGGTATACCTGCAATTCGTTCCAATGAATCAATGTTCTGCGTGTATAAACGTAGCATTTGATTTTTATCATGAATTAAACGCATAAAATAATGGCACGGTGTTGCCTTAAATTTGTCTGGCAGAAGATTTTTGGCAAGATGATAAAATGGTTTTGGATTAGACTAAATATTATAAAACGAGGTTAATATTTTGCTTTATTCCTAATAAAGATGAATATATTCATACGCTAAAGAATTGTACATCAAATACAGCTTCTGGATATGGTAGATTATATTTTTCCAATTGATGAAATAATCCAGTTTTTGGTGAACGAAAATCCGGTATACCAGCAGCTGTTTTTAGAATTTAATGAAAATTCACTGATTATCAATTGAATCAAATAAAAAACAATTTTAAACATACAAGTGGAAATGCCAGCACCACACATGAATATGATATGATCATATTTACGATTTTTAATTCCATTCACAATGTTTTCAATGGATATACCATCAACATTTTCATGAACATTATCATTATCACTGCTTGAACCTGAGAAAAGATTGAAAAATTTAGATGGAATAAAATTTGCTAGAAATCTTGGCATAATGATCTGAGATTTGGGTGATTTTTCAACGATAATTTTAAACATAATATATTCGTTTCATATCACTGGAATCAATCAACCAATTAAATTAAATTAAATTAAATTGAATCAACAAAAAGAAACGTTACTGCTACTCGATGATGATGATGATGATGATGATGAATCTTCGGTATCGGAATTTTCTTCACTTTTTTTCTTATTGTCATCCTTTACAGATGACATGATGATGATGATGATGCGAATTGTTTGTTAATATTAGCTGTTTTTTTTTGTTGATGAAAATCAGATGCCAATAATTTTTTTCACACTATAATATGATTACGTTTACATAAAAAAGTTATTTAATCGAATGTGAATGAATGAATGAATGGATTCATTTCAACAATCCGAGAATACTAGCATCGTATGAATTTTTTTTGTTTGATATATTTTATTCAATTTTTATTTTTCATGTTATGAATATTGATTGAAAACAAATTTCAATTACATTATCGACAACAACAACAACAACAACAAGTTCAATGTATTTTAAAATTGAAATATTTATGATCTCTTGTGGTGAGAAATCGATGAAAATCTGCTTGATTTTTAAATTTAACTGTCATGTTTAGTTCGATTGGTTCATTTTCGATTAATCGAACATTACCATCTTGTTGACAATGAAAATATTTAACCATTGGTTTATCGTTATCTTCGATCATTAATTTTACATTGAAATTTTTATCTGTACCTAGAAAGGTTTTATATTGATCGAAAAATGTTTGCACCACAGCAATCAATTGATATTCCATTAAACTTGAACTTTTATCCATTGTTTCGTCAGAAACAGTTTGTGGTGATTGATCGTTAATCAATGATGATTGTTGAAGATTATCAAACATATTGAATAAGCATGAAAAATCTCCCGATGATTGTGGATTTGATGATTGCTCTGATGGATCATTGTCTAATAATTTTTGCAATTTCTTTTTGATTGGATTTATTGGATCGGCACGATCAATAACAGTAATTCGTGGCTGTTCTATCATAGTGATGGCATAACCCCATCGTTTCATGAATTGATTCATTTTTTCTTCAAATTCTTTCAATATAAAATCTAATTTATTTTCCAAATCTTCAACATGTTTTGATCGTATAAGGTTAGTGAATGATATCTGAAGAAAATTCTTAACATTTACATTATTAATCTTCAATGTAGTTAACAATGCATCTGTAACATTCAATGTTGCATGACATGGTTTAACCACAATAATTGAACCATCACCAGTCATAAATTGTTGTTCATTTTCAATCAAATCAAAACGACTTTCATAAAGATCAATAATGGAAATTTTATCGATAAATGGTAGTAAAAGAATAAAACCCGGTCCTTTTAACGGTAATCGACGGCCTAAACGATAAATTAAACATCTTTTCAATGATGGTATTCTACGGACACAGAAAAATGCTGCTATTGGAAATGTTAATATCAGAAACAATACTGTTATGATTATGATGAACATATAGATTGATCGTTGAAATAGACCATCTCTGGTTGAAACTTCAGAATCATAATCATCATCATCGACATCTCTAACACGTTTATAGGTGAATGGTGATGAATAATCAAATACCGGTATCGAATCATATCGGTTGTAATCATTGATAGCCATTTTTTTTATTTATTGTTATTCAAATGTAGAATATGAGATCATCATGACTGACTGTTGTTAACAACAACAACAACGAAAATTGAACCAGAAAAAAAATTTGGGCGAAGCAATTCTAAAAATAACCAATTTTTTTGAGATGGCGCCATGTATATAATACGACAGTCTCTCGCGCGCGGACCATGATTATTACAGCTAATTATGAAGAATGAAGAATCCATCGAGCTCAAGGCTTTTTTTATTTGGTTTTAATGTTTAAGTTTACAATTTGCTTGCAAATGATAATTTCGCTCTTTTTTTGAACAACAAAATAAATTCATTGTTTGTTTTTAATGTCATTGCATTTTAATGTGTTTGTGATAAATTTTCATTTCAGAATTATGCGATTGATGAGAATATCGTATTACAATTCTCCTGTAGCCGATGTATCCACCGGTGGACAGATACATGATTCACGTTGAGCATCCTTGAATGTTTTACAACCAAATGATAATATTCCCATCAACAATAATTTTGTTGCCGTTTCACAAACTATATTTTGGGAATAAAAGATAAAAATTTAAATGTCATGAATCAATTTGACGATTTGAAAAATTTATCAAATTTTCATCCTTACCGACCACCTGTTTATTATCATGACTTATTTCAATACATTGATCATGTAGACATTTTTGAAATCCATTATCACATTCGATTTTAGTCGAATTACAACGATGATAGCATATTTGTTGTTGATCACAACATATTTTCATACTTTTCGATGGTAAATCTTCTGCTTTTACCTTTTTTAATGATTAAATCTTTAATCAATGATTTATTAATAAAAAAAAAATTCAATCTAATCAAACCTGCATTCCGAATGTAACGCAACCGATTGGTGTATGTGTATAGTTCGGTTTGGGAATCGGATCCTGACCTTTTGGACAAATGTAAAAACATTCTTCAGTTTTTGCATTGTCCAGTACTTTATCTGCCCATGAATCGACGCTTTCTTGTAGACCTTCCATAAATTTCGTCAATTGTTCATTCATCTGACTTATGGAATGAGCAAAACCTTCGAGAAAAGCTTCACCAGGAATAATTTGATTGAATGATAATAAAGTCACAATGAATAAGCTGAATTTTTCCATTGTTGTTCCAATTATGTTCCAATCATCCAACAATGTTGTTTCGATGAATGAATTGTGAACAAAATGAGGTTGACGTTTTTATCTCATTTATTTTGAAATTCATGTTTGTTTTTGACAAATTTAAAATTGGTTTTTTTTCAAAAAATTTTTCGTATCCAAGACGACGGATAATTAGGTTGGTGAAACAGAAGAAAATCGATGATTTTTTCTAATGTACGATTGTGAAAAATTTTCTGACTCAGATGATTTATGAGTTTTATTTCGTTATAATTTGTTATAACCGCGATTCTTGAAAACACAATAAAATTCGAATCATAAATCAAAAAATTTTGAATTTTTTTTTCATGTACATTCTATAATGACAACCCTTGTTTCTTGTTTTGGTGCCATCTATGGTGGTTTTTTTAAACTTTTAAGCATGTGGCTTTTGTGGCTGTTGCAGGCAGTTTCCTTTTTCCTTTAGCTGTGTGTTTTGTATTCGAAATTTTTTTTTTCGTTAATTTTTGACAATTAAATCAATTCAAAATGGTAAATAAATTTGATTTTTTCATGAGATATTTTTCCTAAATAAAATTTAATTTGTTTAGACTAAAAAACGCCGTAATAATGGACGATCAAAGAAAGGCCGTGGTCATGTAAAATCGGTTCGATGTACGAATTGTGCTCGATGTGTGCCGAAGGATAAAGCGATCAAAAAATTTGTTGTTAAAAACATTGTTGAAGCGGCTGCCGTTCGAGATATAACTGAAGCATCAGTATATGATTGTAAGTTTTTGATTTTAATTCTTATTTGAAAAAAAATTCACTAAATATTGCTTTTATTTTAGCTTATCCATTGCCGAAATTATATGCAAAACTTCAATACTGTGTATCGTGTGCTATCCATTCGAAAATTGTTCGTAATCGATCCAAAGAAGATCGTAAGATCCGTACACCACCAACACGTTTTGGTATGCAAAAATCGAATGATGCTGCTCGTAATGCACCTCGACAGCAAAAATGAGTTTTTTTTTGTATTCTAAAAATAAATGATTGACAAAATTTGAATAAAAAAAAATTTTTAATTACGCCATGAGTTTATTGAAAAAATAATCACTAAACAAATGAAATAGATGATTACAAGAGTGAAAGAAAAATATGAATCAATGAACCAAGATGGTCCATCACCACCACAACATGAACTTATGTCAACCATTGCAATATGGATCGTGAACGTTCACGAATCGATTCTTCAATGGATGTATCATCAATCATTAGTTGTGCTTCTTGTTTGAGTCTTGATAAAGCCTGACTTTGGCTATTTTGTGCATGAAGATATTTAAGAAAAATTTTAAATCGTTTATCTGGAAATTTATCCACATTTTTCCAATTTTTCATTAACCAAACATGTAGGATTTTCTTAAATTTCCAATCATCATGATGTTTTTTCCATTGTTTTAGATAGGCAAGTGCTTTGTCTGATTTTCGTTCCTTATTCGTCGATTCGGAAACTTGCTCTTCATGTTCCTTTTGCTGCTGTTGTTGTTGTTTTTTGAATTGTTTCTTGGATTTTTTCAAACTTTTCTGTCGTTGTTTTTGTATTCCATCGAATTCGTCTAATACTTCTACAGCTTGTTGTTGTACATGTTGATCCGATTGTTCTTTATTATTGTTATTCAGAATTGAAGATAATTCTTGAGAACGATGAAATTTATCTAGCACAGCATTTTCTACAGATTCTTTCATATCGTCTGATGTTTACTGTATTGAAAAATCAGGCAAAATAAAACACATGCATGCATGCATGTAATTTGTGTTGTCCATAGATATCATTATTATTTTGTGCACAAACAAGAATCACATGTATTATTCTCTTTCTTGGAACAATAATGGCTTGTCGATTATTTTTTTCAAAAAATGCTTCCAATCTAATGCATATATCAAGACCAACAGTCATATATTTGCAACAGATTCGTGGTCGAAAGATGTGGCGAACAGTATCGGATTTTTCTCGTATGTTTCTTTTTGTTGTATTGTATAGGATGTCAATGATTTGATTTAATTATTTTCAGATATTCCAATGCCTCCGATTGAAGAACGTACACTAATACAGATGAGTCCAGTACCAAACTGGCATGGTATCGAACCACGAAAATCTTCACGTCGTTATGCTGATATTCGTGGTCCTGAATTAATCAATAATGATCTTATTTATGGCCAATTTGGTATTATGGTATTTGATTTCAATTTTTTTTTTTTTAAAGAATTAATACAAATTTCCATTACCTTAATCATTATTTCTAGGCTGTTTCCGGTGTTCATCTGACCATCAATCATATTAATCTTATTCGTGATGTTATTAACAAACATTTGGATGTTAAGAAAATGTTTGCCGTATGGCGTATAGAATCGCCTTGGAAACCAATATCAAAAAAGGTCTTTTTCTTTTCAGGAAAAAAAATTCAATTCATAGTTATAATGGTTAATTTTTTTTTTGTTGATCATTAGGCTCAAGGAAAACGAATGGGTGGTGGTAAATCACCTATTCATCATTATGTGACTCCTGTTAGAGCCGGATCAGTTATTGTCGAAGTTGGTGGTCACATTGAATTGGATGATTGTGCCTATTTTCTTGAGTCGATTGTCTCTCGATTACCATGCGATGCTTTTGTTATATCAAAAGAAATTTTGGAAAAATGGAAACAAGAAGAGGATGAAATTGAAAGAAAAAACATAAATCCAATTAATTATGAACGAGTAGTTAAATTAAATATGAATGGTTGCCATGGATGGATCAGCCCATACGATCATAGATGGTTCAATAAGTATACCTAATCATTATATAAATTTTTGTACAAATATTATGATCATCATTATTATTAGTTTAATTGTGTTATCAATTTATGATTAAAAATACAATTTTGAAAATTTGATTTTTTTTTTAAATTTGTCCTCTACTATATGAAAGGTCTTGAAAATATTTCTGTAGAAAAAATCGTAGTGGCAAGTAAATTTATTGCTATAGCATTCAGAGGTAGGACGAGTGTGAGTGCGTCACATTCTCAGCGAAAGGACAGTTTCGAAGCTCTCGATCAAAAAACAGAATTTTAACCAGATTTAATTAATTTTGCCCAGGAAAATTGTTCCAAATCGCTTTCAACTAAAGGTTGGTACCGTTATAATTTTTTAATATTGATATTGTTATTTGTTAGGACATTAATTCAATCATTTAAACGATTCAAAGCATTGGCAATAGGCCGACTGTGATCATTGTGTACTCAAATGAACAATAAGAAGCATGTTAATTGTTTATTTTACATATTTAATAAATTGCATTTAATCAAACATTCAAGGTTGACAATTGCACATAAATTGTCATCATTCGAATGATCAATCCATATGTCAAATGATTGTTCCATCAAAATCAACAAAGTTGAATTCATATACAATAGGGCGAAGAATAAATTTTTTCGAGGGTCGTTCATGAACTATGTGATTTCACTATGGCGTCTCATGGCTCATTCTGTGTTGTGTGCTCATTGTGCGTTCGGGCTTACATTTATGATTTGCATGAAACAACAACCATGCAGTTGCTGCCAACAGCCAGCCCCCCTAGCATTGGCGCGCTCTCGATTTATCACAACGGCTTTGATCGGCAAAATCCACAAATTCTATGTTGTCCTTATATTATATTTCTATATCTGCCGTTCATCGTGATATTTTGAATTTGTTTTTCGTTTCGACAACGTACATACTATCGATTGTCGGTATCAGTTGTCATTATCGATAGTTCATACATATATGTTTGAATGTTCAATATTATATTGCCCTCGAATTTTGAATTTTTTTATTGATGTCTATAAATCATTTTAATTCATTTGAAATTTATCTGACATTTTTTTAAAATTAAAATTTCAAATAGACATGCCTCGTGCGAAACCTCGAGGAAAGGTAAGCCGCCCTGGTTTGCGAGCTAGCCCACGTAAACGTAATCCTGAAATCTCTGATGTGAACAGTGATGATAATAAAAATGAAGATATCACTATAAATGATGAAGAAATGGATGAAGAAACCGGTAAAGGCAGTGGTGATACTTCACAATCGGATACAAACGAACCGATGGATTCTAAAGGTGAAGATGATGAATCATCATCGACTGGACATCGAAAACGTGGCCGTAAACGAAAATCAGAAATACCACAGGAAGAAAAATATGTACCGACTCAAGATCCAACCCAACGAGGAATTATGGCTCAAGGTGGTTCATTACGTCGCCGTGATACATTAAAACCATCTTGGCGTTATTCACCACCACCAGTAGCCACAAGACGTATAAAAGGTGATGATAATAAAATTACAAAAATGGATAATCGAAAGAAACTTGCTATAATGAAATCGCAGCCAGCGATTCTACTTGATGACAAGAATCAATCCGATATGAATGATGATAAGAAAATGATTGTCAATATGCCCGATGGTTTTCCCATAAAAGTAGAACCACCAAAGAAAAAAATCACGATAACAACTAACACCAGCCCCAAAGTAGCAACAACAGCGGCTAAACCAAAAACTGTAGTTATAGTTGACACACCTGCAGTAAAAGCTACTGATAAAGATTCTTCTATAACGGCTATCGTTGAAGATGTTTCACAAGATAATGAAGTTGAAATAATTGATAAAGTATCCGAAAAAAATGATAAGACCAATGAAACAACGGAACAACCGCCAACAGCAAGAGGAGCACGTGTAGCAGCAAGAAGAAAATCGGCCGAACCTGTAGTTGCAGTTACAACTACTAGCGTCACCGCTACAACTATAGCTAGTGTAACGGAGACTTCGAAATCGCCCGTTAAAGTCACTCTTACATCGGCCGGATCGGCGGAAAAAACAGCAGCCGTAGTTGTCACGCGATCATCATCCGCCATGCATCATCCAATAGGAATGTCGAAAACGCAAACCATCACTATATCGACGAATACACCACCGATAACAGTGACAACAACAAAAAATCAAGTATCCAATACCTCAACAACATCCGTAACAACGGCTCCGTCTGTGACGACTACAACCACCACAACCGCTACCGGTTCAGTTAAAGTTCCAACCATATTGAAGCCAACCATCACTGCTACACAGGTGGCTAATGTATCAAATGTGTCGAAAGGTCCACCGATAAAGAAACCAGTTTCTTTAAGTAAATATCTCGATACATTACCAGAAATCGAAGATTGCATTCATAATGATGGTATTCAGGATGTCCATATGGAAAAATTGCCGGATAAAATTCTTTTGGTTCATTCGGAGCTTCCACTTCCATTGGCTATTTCGGTTGATAAAGAAGAAGAAAATTATTTGTTTAGGTAATAGATATATTTCATTATAGTTAGTTCGAAATTATTAACTGAGTAAAATTCGATTTTCTTTCAATCAGGCAAATAATTTCACCCGTCAATGCTACCCGATTCGTTTGTTTGCTATGCAAAGGAATCGATGTTAATTTTGGTACAAAAGAAGAAAAAGATATTCTTTTACATTATCAATCATTGCATGAATTAGACGTAGACATTGGTCATGCCAAATTTTCCGAAGATATTGTTTTCATTTGTCTACCTAAAATGATCCTTAATCAATTTAACAATTCAAGTTCGCTTAGCTTGAATTCACCATGTCAATACTGTGAAACACGTCTTAGCGATATTGGTGAAATGAAAGAACATTATTCACAGGAACATAATAAAGAGGTAGGATAGGATTTTTATTAAATGAGATATGGTCGATAGTTTAATATTTGTACTTGGGACAGGTTATCATGATGGAACAAGAAGAAATCATGCAGATGCATCATTTTTTCTATTGCAGTAAATGCAAAGAACAATCGTCAGATTTTGATACCCATCATAAACATATGAAAAACAAACATAATTTGAAAACCTATCGTTGCAAATCTTGTGTATTGGTCACCAAAGACGAGAATCGTCTCCGAACACATTTCAAAGCAAAACACATGTTACATAGCTCTGGACAGAATTATCAATGTTACTATTGTCATGGCCTATTGATTGGCGTTGAACGTTTGCAGAAACATATTCAACAATCGCATATGGTGCAAACAGGACCGGCAAATTATTCCTGTGTAGCTTGTCGACAAAGCTGTGGTAAAGGTAAAGAATTGCTTACACATGCACAGAATTGTGCCGTTGCCGGTATTAAGCCGGAGAAATCGGATCTTCGTTTTGTACCGAATTTGGATTGTTCGTCACTTTTAGAAGGAGAATGTTTGTGTTATTTTTGTAATGCGAAATTGGAAAGTCAAGAAGCGTATGATCTACATCTTCATCATGAGCACAAGCAATGGGTACCAACCGAAACGGCGGCTAATGATGAATCAAATAAAAACAATTCAGATGATACAGGCACAAACAGTTTATTGACCATCAACGATGTCATAAACGATGATGATCTAAAACGAGCACAGATTAAAACCTATGTTGGTCATTGGTGCCGAATATGTGACCAGATGGTCAAAGTTTATCAACTATTTTATCTACATATGGTCAATCATCACAAGATGGAAAAAATGTATCAATGCGTCATAACTTCATGTAAAATGAATTTTAAAGAATTTGACGATTTTATGGTATGTATTATCTATTATTTAATTGATCAATACGAAATTATTATATCAATTGAATTTTTCATATTATTCTAGGAACATATAAGTGAAACTGGCCATAGCCAGAAGACGGTTATTTCTCATCCTGACGAGGTATTCGTCTGTGCATATTGTGACATTTATTTTGCGAGCGATGAAGAACTAATTTCACATTTGATTACTGATCAACATATTAATAAATTCACTGCTTCTGGACATTTTCATCGTACTGAACCGCGAAATTTTAAATGCAAAGCATGTCATACGTTTTTCGGCATGAAAGAATCTTATGTTCATCATTTGGAAACTGAATCTCACCAATATGTATGCACATATTGTGGTATAACTACTGCGACGCCAAGTATGTTTTTCAATTTTTATGAATTTTTATGATTTAATTCCGTCATGGTTTGTGTAGGTTCTCGACGAGCGCATATTCAGAATTCTCATGCTGAAAAACTTTTACTTTGCGAGGATTGTGGTGAATGTCAGAATGATATAATGGCTCATTTTGTTCTACATGGCTATACGTTTGAATGCAAAAATGTGTCAAAAAATTTTATAATCGTGAACGATTAAATGCTCACATGGAAGTTCATCAGGATCCAATCGAATGTAATTGGTCCGATTGTAATCGTATGATTGCCACACGTTCAATGTTGGTCACACATTATCGTGGACATAAAAGTGAACATAAATGCACCGTCTGTGGACAAGGTTAGTTTAAAAAAATATGCTTTCATTTTTTTTGAATAATTTACATGATCATTGTGTTTTAGCATTCTGGAATTTTGCTATGCTTACCTCACATCTTCGTTCACATCAGCCGATGCCCAGAAATCCACATGCTGTTTCTCGAACAAACCAATTGAGCCGGGCAACAATCCAATATCAGAATCAAGCTCGCCCCAGTCCAAGTGTTTTACAGCGTTCTAAATCTACAGCACAACCAATGCTATCGAACAGTGTAATCAAATGTGGTCATTGTAACAATCTGTTCCGTTCGACCAAAGATTTGAGCCTACATAAATGCGCACCAAAATATCCGAATAATGGTGATCAAAATAAACTATTGGAATTGGCTTCAAAAGCTACAGCACAGGCTAAAGCTGCGACTTCTGCCAATAAAACGCCTGCACGAAGACGTGCATCGCCGAAAAAACCACAACAACAAATTGAACAGCAAATGATCGATTTGCCTGCATTCCATGGTCAACAAGCTGTTGATGATGATACACAATTAATCATGATATTGAATCAATCAACTGGTGAATTGATGGAAATAACAGCTCCGAAAGGCATGGAAGTACAAGATGTAATCAATTCGTTAAATTTTACACCGGCTGTTGAAGATGTACAAATGGAAGTTATTGATGAACAATCACAACAATCGGCATTTGCTAACATCGTAGATGTTGCACAACCAGAACAACAAGAATCGACCAACGATATGAAACAGGAGCATAAAATCGTACCTACAAATGAACAAGAAGAGACAGCCGCTGCCATTGAAGTAATTGAACAGGTGAATGATCAAACTGCTTCATCAGTTGAACATGTGGTCGAAGAGAATCAACAACCTGTATCATCGACTGATAATCATGAAGCTGAAGTGGTCGTGGCTACTAATCAAGAAACGGAAACAACGACCGTACTAATACAGCAAGATGGTGATGATGATCATCAGGTAACACATCAGATTATTGAATCAGATGATCCAAATGGCTCACAGGCAATTGTATTGCCACCGGAATGTATCAACGAAGATGGATCATTAATATTGGATGCCGAGACATTGCAAAGGCTAAATTTGGCTATTTCCGTCGATGAAAATGGTACAATTACAACACCGGATGGTAACACTACATTCATCATCGATACATCGAAAGAATAATGTGAACATTTACGAATTAATCATTTCACATATTTCATACACATGTCATTTCTATTTTTTTTTCATTTTCATTATATCTACAATTTTTCATTCATTCAACAATCTAATTCATATTTTCAATTTCATTCACTTCACACAATATATTTAGATTTATTTGCACCATCATCATGGTATATTTAAATTTCGACAAAATTTTATTCCCAAAAAACAAGAAGAAAGATAACATCCAATTCAGCTGAACTGTTTGTGAGTCAACATTAACTATTTAGCTTTGTTCTTAGTTTCAAATCTTTTTTTAAGATTTGACTTAAACATACACAATATATACTACACATTAATGTTAACTGTTTATGATTTGCTCATGTCTAAAAATTTTGAGCAAAATCAAAATTGAGTAAAGAAAAAAAAATTTGTCACAATGCCCATAAAATGAAATTCATGAAGAATTTTCAAAAACAGTTTTGAATAAACTTTTATTTTTTAGTAATGACAATATTGGTGGTGATTCCATAATACTATAGATTGAAATTCAAAAAAAAAAAAAAAAATATTCCTAACGTAAATCGATAATATCAACACACAATTTATCATTAATAATCGTATGATTAGCAGAATGATAAAGACTTTGTTCATTTGTATGTGGATGGAATCCTTTTTCACGACATTTTAATATAAATTCTAGGCCATGTTCGGTGAGTGAATACATTTGAATCTCTGATGTTGTAGGTGCAACAACGATAGCGATTGCTTCCGGTAACATTTTCTGATATAATGCATGTGTATGAAGATCGATTGATGATAAGAAACTACGTTGTGTTGGATGTGTATGTATCCATCCCATTGTTATTAGATTATGTCGTTCTTGTTCGATTAATAATTCTTCTTCATTAATAGATGTACATGAATCTGATGTTCCAGTTTGTTTTGGTATTAATATATGTGTTATGGTAAAATTATCATTTTTTAATTGGCCACATAATATTCCACAGGTTTCAATATTACGATCTAAAGTAAGAAAGATGATCCAATGGAATGATTTATTCAAATAATAAATATAAATAATTTAAGAGTAACAAACCTGTATTTTGCTGAGCAATTTTGACGAATTTTTTAGTAAGCACTTGAAATGGTACAATCATCGAACGTAATGTATCAAGATCGACATCATCTAACAATGACATCGATGGTTTTGTTGAACGATCAATCACCGGTTTATGATGGGATTGAGTCTTTATTGGCTGATCTGTCGAAATTGACGAAGAATCTTCATCATCACTGATGACCTCATTCTTATCTTCGAAATTTTCATTCTTTTTATCGGCAAGTTCACGTTTTTTCTTATCAATCTGTGATTGTAAATCGGTAACATAATCTTGTCTTTTTTTATCCTCAAGATTTTGTTGATCTTTTTGTCGCTGTTCGATCAATGCTTTTTGAGCTTTGGTCAATTTTTCATCATAAATTTTCTAATAAAGTAAACAAAAAAGTTATCAATATTTGATCAATGTCATATATACCTTTTGGGTGAGATAATTTTCATATTCTTCTTTATATTTATTTTGTATTCGAATTTTAATCACTTCGGCAATTCCGAACAATGGTTTAAGTTTAGATCGAATGGATCGTTTATCCTCTTCATTGATTTCATCATATTGTGGATGTGAAGGTAAATTTTCAAAAAAAAGTCTAAATTTTTTATTTAAAATAAATATCAATCAATATTAATTTTAGGGTTTTTTTCATCAAAAGATTACATACGTTATATATCGCATGTATAAAACGAATGCTTGTTCCATATTCATTTCATCAAGATAAGTATTGGCCATTTGTAATAATTGACGACCGGACGAAATATATAAACGAATTGGAATTGAATGTTCGACGACAAAATTTTTGGATTTTTCTACTAAAAATTTCATTCGTTCTTCAGGATTTTTAACAATGGCCGGTGGCCGTAAATCATCGATGTTAAGTTCAATCGACATTTTCAAAACTAATAATGATAAAATTAATTTGTCTTTCAACGTTTGTGACGATGATGTATGTTTCTGGCTAATATGATTGAATATCGTTCTATATTCAATGGAAAATTTTGTTTATTATCAATATTTGATTTTAATGTGTTCTTGTTTATTATTGTATATATCAATGATTAAATGTGAATTAAATGAATCATCATCATTATGCATTTTAATAAAGATAAATAATAATAAATAAATAATAGAATAGATTGTTATATTGTTATAACAGTCCATATGGCATTGAGCAACAATCATTACATTACAAAACAAACAGGATTAAAATACGCAAACGCAAAATTATTTCGATGGAAAAAAACAACAATTCGAATCTATCCATCACCATCATCATGCATTCATGAAAGCTTTGTCATTATGAGATCATGTGAACTTCATCCACTCTTAACAGTAAAAGTGTTAACTTTAACGTATCAATTTTTTTATTATTTGGGGAAATTCTTCACATGCATTCATGTTCAAGTGTGTGGAAAAATATTTAACACTTTGTTAGATGAAAGTGGAGAAAATTCATATGATGATCCTCATTATGTATGTTTGAAATTTGATAAATGAGATAAAAATGATGATTTCTTTGATGGTTTCGGGTGCACCGATATAAAACAACTCATCCCTTATCATGGATGAGTGATGCTATTGACCATGAACGTTTGAAATTTAAAAAGTTTGGCCTTCATAACATTCAACAATATAAATATCTTTTTTCTTTGTTTGGCCCCTACTCTTGCCGACTGGAAATGTCTGGAATATTGAACATCATCATCATATTATATAATTTGATATTCCATGATCATGAGCTAGAACTTTTGTGTTGTCAGAAAAAAGCGCGATGAAAAATTTTCATTTATATATAGGATGCTTGTAAAGAGAATTTGGATATCCAATCCAAATAGAAAAAAAAATTGTCGGAAGTTAATTTCAAGGGCTTCATTTTTGTTTCATATATACTAAGTCACATATATTCAATGTTTCATTGCCATTTTCCATCTAAGAAAAAAATACACACACATTACAGCGGTAACTCGGTTAACGATGATGATGGTCACTATATTTTTTGTTATGATGAAGTCGTCACTATCATCATTCATTTCTATATCTATGTTTGTGTATTATTACGCAACCGATTTAAAAAACAGATAACAACTGTTCCGGAAACTATTGAATCGACCACGCAGCCACCCACACAAACACCAACCAACACGCATGAATTCAGTTTGCCATTCTAGATTCGATTACGTAAACATGCCGCTAACAAAATATCATTATATTATATACGGTCTGTCGTCATATATGATCGATGATGAGTAATAATTATTTCTGAAAACAAGAATTTGATGATAAAAATAGCTTACAAATCAATTCATCCATGGTTCCAATCATCATGATCATCAATAAAATAATCATTTTTTCCGGCTACATAATTAATCAAAGTTAGAATGAAAAAATATTGATGACCTGTGTTTTGATGATGAAAATAATAATGATGATCAGATTACATTTCTTTTCAAATTATTATTATTTCGTTCCAAAATTGAATTAACTAGATTCGGTAAAAAGAATTTTTCCAAATTTTTTTTTATTGATATGTTTTCTACACAATTTGTAATTAGTTTTCTTCCTTACTCTATTCTATACAGCCTCTTTTGATTCAAATATTAATAGAATCATCAATCGAATTTTCGAGTAGTTTTAAGGCGGAGAAATGTCGAATTTTTGTCCTCATCTAATTTATCGAATCATTAACTATCCAGAATGCTTAAAGGCACGTTCATCAGAAAATAAAAATCAAATTAATCGACTTGATTTCACATATACTAAATGGCTATTTCGTGATTTACATGATGATTGTGGTTGTTTTACATTATTATCAATCACACACACACACACACCATAACCGTTGCATATTATTTTTCCAGTATTCTGAAAAATCAATTTAAAACGGACGCCACCTCATAAAATTACCGATTAAAATCCAGAAAAAAAACAAAAAATTAAAGGGTTGAAATAAATTAACATAACAGCTGTGTTTATACGATGAAAGTATATCCAGAAATTTTTTCGTTTACGGTTAAAAAAAAGTAGTGGTATAGTTTTTTTTTCCCCATCAAATAAACAGTTGATTATTAGTCGTTTTTTTTATTCATTCTTTACATTCTTGTATTACAAAATATATATATTCGTCGTTGTGTATAAACATAGTCATTAGGGAATTTATTTTTTTTTTTGTCTTGCTTTTAACATCATTTCGGATGAATGGGATAAAACAAAATCCTCATCAAAATCATTTTGTTGGGGGGATTAAATCGACTCATCGGTATATGTGTGTGTGTGTGTGTGTGAATGCGCATATAAAATCCATAAGCAATGTATGCAATCTTGTGTTTGTGTTCAAAAAAAAAAGTAATAAATAGAATTGACAACAAAAAAAAAAAAAAAACCTGAATGAATTAACTTGAATGTCAGCTGATTATTTACAATTACCAACTGAAAATGTGTGTGTATTTTTCATTTGTTTGATGTTCATCAAACAAACAAACAAAAAAAAAATACCAATACTTTGTGTTTGAAATTTCCATAATCAGGTATGTTTTTTTTTCATTATTATTATTCGCTTTTTATGTTGGATTGTTGTTGTCGTTGTTTAGATGATATCAAATGATATTCATATGCTTCATTGACAAATACAATCATAATGTGATGAGTTTTTAGATTTGTTTGATATTATAACCACCATTAATAACTATATGATCATCATCACATTAAACAAAACAGACAGATCAAACAAAAATCAACAAAACAAAACAAAACAAAAAAAACAAGAAAAAGAATAATGGATGCTCATCGTTGTTGTTGACATGGAAATAATGACATGGCTATCTTTGTTTATTCGTTGTTTGAGAACGGTTTACCGATCTATCTATCTATATAATATAATTTTCTAAAGAAAAGAAAAAATAGACATAAATGAATCGAAAAAGAAGATGAAGAAGAAGAAAAAAAATTTAACTGATCCACTTTAAGTGTATCCAATATAGCACACATAGATAGATAGCCATATAATATGTCCTTGTGTTTTTTTTTGGAACAAGAAGTAGTATTAAAATGAATATATGTGAAAAAAAATGTGAAATTCCTATTTTGAACGTTTTTCTTGATTTTCATATATATATATTATGGTGGTTTTTTTTCTTTGTCTGTGTGCATGCATATGGACAGAATTTTTTTTTTGTTTCGTTCTTCCATTTCATTTCATTTTTGGCATTGACGATTCCTATCTTCCCATGAATGTGTATATTGGTGTGTGTGTGTTACTCTCTCGTTTGGCATTGACTTAATTTCCTTTGGGTTTTTCTCTTTTTTTCTTTCCCAATGACGATCCAAAAAATGTTGAAACACCATACGGACATACCCACACACACACACACACACACACAGACCAGACAAGATACATTCCATTGTTGATTGCTGCTAAAAGTGTCATTCTGTCCTGTGTTTTAGTTTCATCATCAGAATAGAATCAGAATCAAATACAAAAAAAATCATCATTCTCTTTATATATTCTATGAGAAATGAGTGGGAGAATCAAACGACATTCAATCACATCACATAACAATAAAGCAATTGGTCAATTGTGGTGTTTTTTTTTTTTTCTCTTTCTCATTTTTTTTGTTAATCATCACTACAACCAAATCATCATCATCATCATTATAATTAATAATAATAATAATCATATATATCGCCCATAGTGATGTTTGTTGTGTTTGTATAACTGACAATCTGATTGTTTTTGAAACCATAACATAATTTTTGATAAATTTTTTTTTTTTTTTTGGATAATTCTTGAGAGCCACGGCAACAACAACAACTAACTGTAACAATTTGATTGATCATCACCAACATTTTATGTATTTGATGATATTTTAATCAAAATAAAAATCTTTTTTTTCTCCCCTTGAAACAGAAAACAAAATATTAACGTCAACATAGTAAAGACCAAAAAATCTATCATCATCATCATCATCATCATCGCATCTATCACTATTTTCAAGCAATAAATAAAAAATAAAACTAAAGTCAATGTAATAATATATATTGTGAATTATTTGCAAGCTCATTCTTCACTTCTACATTCATTCATTCATTCATTTTTCATTTTTATTCATCGTCATCATATATACAAAAGCCCTATAGGCGACAAATTGATGAAAAACAACAACAACAGCAGCAGCAGCAGCGACAACCACCAATAGTTCATTGAAAACATAAATTTTCATTTTTTTTCTCGATTTGTTTTTCCATCTCTTTCTCTATCACAAAAACAAATCTGTATGTGTGTGTGTGTGTTATATACTTGAAAGAATTGAATGCAAAAAAAAACTTCAAGAATCAAGAACAGAATCTTATGAGCAGAACATTTTTTTTTGTCATTACAATTTTTTTTTTTGCATAAGTGTGCAGATATTTTATTAATAGAACGTCATCATCAACATCAGCTTGCCTCTCAAACCTCTCAGCGTATTGTTATCATTGTTAGACGTTGTACAAAAACAGAGGGAAAGAAAAATTTTTTTTTTCTCTCTCAAAACCATCATCACTAGACGACAACATTCCATCATAGAGGAGAATATTCTTCATTATTTTTATTCATTTTTTTCGTCGTCTTCTTCTTCCGTTTGTAAAAAAAAAAAAAAAAAAAATTGAAATCTAGTACACAGACTACTTTTTTTTCTAATTTGAATAAGTAGAAAAGAATCTGTTTCAATCATTTATGTTTTATAATTGTGAAAAACAAGTGAAGAAAAAGACGAAAAAGTGAATGAAAAGAAATAAATCAAAGTGATCTTCACCGAATTAGAATTTTTTTTTAATTCAAATAAATGTGAGACAAAATTTGTTTGTGTCATCATCATTAAAAGGACCAAATTAATTTATTCGATTGCCAGACGATCAATTTTTTTCAAAATTTATCAAAAAAAAATTTCAAATTTAACTAAAGAATTATATTTAATTAATCAAGAACAAGAACATCAACATCTGTCTTTATCATATATTCGTGGGGCCGTAACTGTATTTGGAATAAATAAATATACATCCAGGATAAAACGCCCAACAAAAAAAAACTCTTGCAGCTTTTTTTTCATCGATGTTTAATTTGTTTTGTGCATTTGTAACTCTCATTCTTCTCTCGAATCATTATCATTATCATCATCATCATCATTGACAAACGAAAACAATCTTTTCATTGTGAATTTTTTTTTTTTTGTTTTGTTTCTGTTGTTTGTCCAAAGTTTTGTTTTAATTTATCATATTCGAAAACAAAAATAATAAAAGCTCGATTTAATTCGGCATTCATTTTTTTTATAACAACAACAAAAAATTGAAATAAAATTCATAATTACTCGCCTCCGTCCTAACAACAACAACAACAATGGCATTAGCAGGATTGAAAAAACAATTCAACAAAGCCAATCAGGTAGGTGTTTTTTGGATTCGTTGTTTTTTTTCTCTTGAATGATCTATTTATAGAATGCTATCCATTACTATATGATTTAAAAAAAAAAAAAATAAATTCAGTTTATAGAATCGGAAATAAGGCAAAAAAATGTTTTAGTTTTTCTTTGTTGGCTGATTTCAGTTATATATTGAACCAATTGTATTGGAAATCGTATCGATTCGGATTGTATACAAAAAAAAATATATTATTCAGTCTCTGCATAGAAATTACAATTTAATAGGATTTTTTTTTCAAGAATGGAATTCTCATGTGAATTTTATGGCTTTAAAATAAGCTGATGATGATGATGATGATGACTTTTTGATATTATTTTGTTCTATGATTCATATTGTATCAAATCAGGAATCTCATTTCTTTTTATTTGATTTTTACTTTTTTTTCAAATATGAAAACTAAATCCATTTTGATTCCATTATTTTTGTTTTCATTATACCCACAGTACATGAATGAAAAGATTGGTGGCGTTGAAGGAACAAAATTTACCGATGAATTCACTCAACTTGAAAGGGTATTGTTGTTTGTGTGGTTACCTATATTATTTCGGTTATTTATTTTTGTTGATGATTTTCATTTAAATAGAGGACCGATCTTACCTATGAATTGGTAGATGAATTGATCAATCGGACCAAAGAATATTTGCAGCCCAATCCAGGTATGATGACTTAATTTTTTTTGGGTTTATCAATTTTTTTAAACCCCGTCTATTCTCAGCTTCACGAACAAAGCTGATGGTCAGTTCAAAACTGAAAGGTGCACCCGGTAAACCGCATTCATATCCACAACCAGAAGGCATTTTGGCCGATGCCATGTGCAAATATGGAAAAGAGGTTAATGATGATTCCAATTTCGGTATGTTCAATCAATTCTTTTCATTTTGTTTATCAATGAAATAAAAACATTCATTTTTTAAAAATGTAGCTAAAAGTTTGGCTGAAATGGGTGAAGCTTTACGTGAAATGGCCGAAGTTAAATATGCACTTGAAGATAATGTTAAACAGAATTTTCTGGAACCATTGACACATTTGCAAGCAAAAGATTTAAAAGATGTTCTGGTATGTTAATAAATGTTTCCCTTTTGTTAATATTCAATTTTATTCAATAAATCAATTGTGTGTTTTCTTTTCTCTATTCTAGTTTCATCGTAAAAAATTAGAAGGACGACGATTAGATTATGATTGTAAGAAACGTAAACGACAAAAAGGTACACATTTCAGTGAAGACGAAATACGTATGGCTGAAGAAAAATTGGAAGAATCATATAATTTGGCATCGATGGGCATGCACAATCTATTGCAAAATGAGATTGAACAATTGTCACAGATTTGTGTACTATCCGAAGCATTGTATGAATATCATAGTCAATGTGCAAACATTTTGGAATCATTAAATGCTCGATTAATGGAAATGTAAGTGAAGTTTTTATTTTTATTTTTCATTTAATAATATGTTATTATTATTATATCAAAAAAAAAAAAATAGAAAAAATGGAGCAGCCCAGCGTACATTTCAGCCATATATACCGAAAAAATTACATGAATTGAATCTCAATGTAACAAGCATTGGCCATGATGATCTATCACCCGGTGACGCACAAATGATGAATGGTTCGAAATTTTTTATTAATTCCTGTGATTTTTTAAACAATAATAATAAAAGACATACTGTTGCTGCTGCTGCTGCATCCACCACAATCAACAATCATACGACAACGAAAAAAGCTTCATCCTCAACCCATTCATCCCCATTGTCAATTAAATCGGGAAAATTTTCCGATGGTTTTAGCTCGAATAGCAACAGTAATAATAATAACAGTACAACAGCCTATCTATTGAGAGAAAAAACTGGTCAACATAAAACTTTGTCACATAGTAAAAGTTTATTAAATGTATCGAATAGCAATAATAATACCTATGGTGGTGGTGGTGGCCTAAATTCTGTTTGGGCCAGTTGGGATGATAATGATCCACCATCACAAACTAGGAATGATAATCATACAAATAGTGGTAAATAGTGGTAGTAATAAATATGATCTATTAACATCGGGAATCAATTTTAATACGACCAGTATCGATTGGAATCAATGTAAAACAAATGACAATAAACAAACGACAATGAACAACAGCAACAATCTTTCATATAGGAATTCTTCATATCATCCATCAACTACAAGTAATAATGATTATATATCTCTTATATATACACTTTCTTTCACTGAATATTCTTTTTTCTTCTTCTTATTCTTATTTATCTTCATGATCATATAATCCATTTATTACTTTTCGCTTACACATTTTTTTACATTTTCAATTTTTCTTTTGATGAACGAGACATTAGGGAATATTTTTTGATGTGAATTTATAATGGCGATGACTGTGGTTGGGCAGCTTTTATATGAACCAAAAAAAAAAAAAAAATCTAACTACCACTATCCTACTATCCTTGTTTTCATCTTTGACTAACTAGAAATTGATTTTTCATCTTTTCTATTTTTTCTTTTCTTTTTTTTCTACATTCTTTCATAAATTTCAAATAACAACAATAATGATAAAAATGAATGAAAACAATAATAGCCACTTCTCCATCTGTGGAGAGTCCGCCAACCAAACCGACAAATCTTTTTCTGGACACTTCAAAAGCCAATGCAAATGGTATTTCAGCTAAATTATATTCATTATTAGGTCTTTGGTTTGGTTTTATTTTTTCAGTTGTTTTTTTGTTTCACCCATTATTATCATTAGATTGCTATAATTAACGCTTTTTAAATGATAACTATAAATTAATGCATTTTGCCTTTTTTTATGAATCATTTTTCCCTTTATTCCCAATCGGAAACACTCTCGTTCATTTTACAACAAATCAACACGCTTTTCTGTTAATGTGTCTTGTTGCTTGTCCATTATGAATGTCTTCATCGTTTTCTCTCACTATCTATCTCTATCTCTATCTCTGTCTTGTTGTCATAAATAATTTTCCTTCATTCATATTCACTTCTAAACAAAAACAAAAAAAAAACAATCAATATTATCAATCAAAAGCCTCACCTCTTCCTTCTCCTGTTCGTTCTCCAGCTCGTACACCGACCGATTCACGTGGGCCATGTTGTCAAGCTCTTTATGATTTTGATGCTGAAAATGAAAATGAAATTAGTTTCAAAGAAGGCGATATCATACAATTGGTTACACAGGTGGATGAAAATTGGTATGAAGGTTCAGTTAATGGTCGTACTGGCCTATTTCCAGTATCATATGTTCAAGTATTGGTCCCCATAAACAACAACAACAACAACAACAACAACAGCAACAATAACAATCAACCCAATTAACATCATTTCAAAACAAAATTAATTGTTATAAAACCATCAGAATTGATTCGAAAAAAAGAGAATTGTATTTACTTGTTGTTTTTACAATTGTCATTCAAACAACAACAACAACAACAAAATTAATTTAAATCTTATCTACTATTAAAAATAATTATCTTGTTGATTAATTTATCGATTTATTATCTGGTAAGTACAATATTCTTATTGACTATTCGGTATTAACTTTTACTTTTTTTTCCTGAAACAGATTTTTTCTCCATCACTTTTCCACCCCATCCCCCACCGCAACAATTTAAACCTTTCCTCATTTGATCTGTTTATGTGTGTGTGTAAGATTCGTGTTTTTTTCTTTGTGTGTGTGTGTGTGTGTGCAAGCAAAACAATCCGAGTGAAATTCTACACATTCGAATCTATTTTATATTTTTTTTTCAAACCATTGAAATACTCATCATCAATATATATTTATTGATTGGCAACAAAAAAAAACTTGTGAATTGCACAGCAACAAATATTATAAATAATAAATTTAAATTGTAGTTGAATTTTTTTTTCTATTGAAATTTTTCTTGATAAATTCAATAACACACACACACACACACATACTTACACTGACAATACAGATTTCTCTTATATACCCGCGTTTTTTGTTAGAAAAAAAAAAAATGTAAATGGTTATTCTTTTCCCGTATGTTTCCCGGATTGATATGTTTTTTTTTCTGTTGTTTGGTTTTGTTTCATTGAACAGATAGATAGATCATATAGTATATCAGGTCGGTTATAGATTTATATCAATGAAACATTTTTTGTTTTGACTTTAACCATCTCATTACAACCACAACAGATTCCTCAAAACCATCAACTTGTGTTCGGATTTGATTTCATGATATTCTTGCAACAACAACAACAACAACAATTTTAATTGAGATTATAGTTTGTGTATTCTTGTTCTCTCTCTGTGTGTGTGTGTTTATTTGTGTGATCTTTCAATTCTGATGATAATGATATTGGAAATGCATATCTGAAATAATTTTAGAAGAAAAAATGTTTTCAACTAGTCATTCGAAAAAAAACATGCCCGATAATTTTTTTCTTTCTCCTTGGATTCAAAATCCAAAATATATTCTATTTGATTCTTTTAACGCGTGCGCACCAAAAAAAAAAAATTTTTGTTTGTCCATAAAATTCAAATATTTTTTGAAATTTTTTCCGTTTGTTTGAAATCTAATTAATTAATACAAAAATGTAAAAAAAATGTCCGTGTCATAATTGTCAAAGAAAATATTACAAAATTTAAATTAAACACCTACATACCATTCATCATATATTAAAAATAACATCTTAAGATTCTATATAATGGCAATAATAATTTTTCATCAATCATCACTATCATCATCATTATCGTCAAAATCAAACACAATTATGATGATCATGAATCAAAAACGAAAACCCTTAATGGAACGTTCTAACGCGGTTACAATTACATTACTTTGTTGATATAATAAGATGAACAACAAAATTTACAATTGACATAATGTCACATTTGTCACACACACACACACACACACACACCACAGACAAAAACATTGCTCGAATTTTTCACACTAAATACATTGTGCACACATCAATCATTTTACATACAAACACACGCACCAATGAATGTTTGAACAATTTGATTTTTTTTTTTGCTCTTCAGTCAATGACAATTATCATCAGTATAAGAAAAACATCATCGATTGTCATCTCATGGATCTCATTACCATTACCAGTCATTCAATCCAACAATCAATCAATCAATTAACAAACAAAAATGGAAATTTGGAAAAAAAACGTCAATTCGATCCTTCAATCTCATCATGGTTTCATTCATCATCCAATGGATGAGAGACAAAAATTTGCTAAAAAATTCTAGTTATTTAGATTCACACATCAACTAAAAATATTTTTTGTTTTCTCGACTTTGAATTAATTTTGGCCAATCATTGATAACAAGAAATTATTTTCATTATTTTTTCATTTTGTTTGCTTGCATTCTTTATGGATTTCTTCTTCTTTTTTCGGAATTTGTTGTTTCATTTCTTCTTTATCATAATCATCATCAACATCATCTTCATCATGGATAATATTGTGATCTTGTCGTTTGGATTTTTTCTTTTTGCTGTTCTTTATTTGTCAAACTAATTCCAAAAACAAATGCTAATTCTATCTAAAAAAAATCTTAATCTGTATTCATTAATTATATAATTTTCTGATTCTGAATGATTGAAACACAACACGACATACACGATAAACAAAACAAAAAAATCTATTGAATTGATTGATAATAATAAAAACAGAATTTATTTGAGTGTTTTTATAACAGCAGTAATATTTTGTTGTTGTTGTTGTTGTTGTTAATTATCATGTTTAGTCGTCACCCATGCTAATGCCCATTTAAGATTGGTAAGCATAAATTTTAATGCTTTTGTCCAATTTTCTTCAGTGTTAATAGAGATCCTATTGAATTTTGAATGAAATGAATGGATGAAAACAGGAAAAAAATTTATGAACAGGGACTTACTTGATCGAATATCGAACGTTATTGGTTTTTTCATATATTTCTCCTTTCGAATGCATTCTATAAAAAAATTCAATGATCAATATGACCAAATAAATTATTCAGTTTAGTTTGTCTTACTCATATGGTAATTTAAAATTTCGATCTTGAAGTCGTATTTCATCGTAAAATTCTTGTAAACAATCAAGAAAGGCGACCATTGCTTGATCGAATTTTTGATGAAAATAATATTTAATACCACCGGCTGTATATAACGGTAATTGTTTCGATTTATCATCCAATGATTCGATGAACGAGAAATTTCCGTAAGGCACAATTTTATATCGTTGAAAAGTGAATCCAAGTTTTTTAGCTAACGATACTAACAATAATGCACATTGTCCCCAGGCAGCATTGATTTCTTGCCATTCAACCTGAATGTTGGGCAGACGCCCTAAACGAAATCCATTTATCGTACCGAATGGACCAGTATGCCATATACAGAATGTCAGATTGAAAACACTGGTACGTTTAAGTCGGGCAAAATATTCCTTGGCATCACGAATTTTATTCTCCAATGTTCTATATTCTTCTTCACATTGAAAATAATTAAATTTCAATGCATTATATTCTTGAAAATATCTTTCGGTAGCAATTTCCGATTGTTTCAATTCATTTTTTGACTGCTTCAATTGTTTATCCAACGATTGTTGTTGCTCATTGAGATCTTTCAATTCGACAATCAAATCTGATTGTGTCTGGTATAATTCTTTCAATCTAGCTTGTAGATTGTTCACTTCTTCATCGGTGGTGATCGATGATATATCTTGTTCGATTTTTTTCTTATATTCACTGAATTCATTACATTCCTGTTCTAATATCATCAGCTGTTTGTCCATTTGTTCGATAACAAAATCAGCACATTCTTCACATAATGGATGATCAATATCCGATTGATCAGATAATATATCGAACAATTGAATTTGTAATTTAAGATCTTTACTACTTTTACTATGTGTATTTGATGATTGATCAAAACCGGAAAGCAATGTTGATGTGACCAGCGTGGATGGTAATGAACCATTATTGGAATCAGTAACCGGATTGATTAAACTATAATCACAGTCGTTGAGTTTTTTATTTCGAAATGAATGTATTGTTTTATATATGACATGTGAATCGGATTTGGGCCCATCATTGGAACCGGATGGATTATCGTCATCGATTCGTATTCCCGTCGTTTTATCTTCGGATGATGATGAATCTCGATTTCTTGAAATTAGATCTTGAAACGTTTCCTTGGTTATATTATTCAAAGTTTGATGTAGTCGTAATGGCTGACAACATCGTTGACAACTGAAATTCACATCAATCGATAAGGGTTTTTTATCTTGATGATTTTCCATTGTATTTCATCGGAATAATTGCCAAATGATCCAGATGAAAGAATTTCGTCGTAAATGGATGTTTGGTAAACAAATCCCATAGAAAAACAGAGTAAATTGAAGACTACTCTCTAAATTTAAGGATTTTACTTGACAGTAACGGCATCTATCGGTAGGAAGTACAAAATTTAATCTCTATTTTCACTTGTATGCAGCTGTTTAATTTATTGTAAAAATAGTGGTCACTTTGTTGCACACGTTTTTATTTGGTCCATCAATCGATATATGATATAATTGTTTCGTGATATTGAAAAATTTTCTTGATTTATTCTGAAAAAAATGCCACCAAAAAAGAAGCCTGATACAAGTAAAAAAGCCGATCAAAAGAAAAAGGAGAAAATAATTGAGGTTTGTTGATGCTTTATCAATTTGATTCAAATAATAATTGAGTCGTGTTCAATATTGTGTTTAGGATAAAACATTTGGTTTGAAAAATAAAAAAGGTGCCAAAACACAGAAATATATCCAACAGGTTCAACATCAAGTGAAATATGGCAACGCACCGAAAAAAGTTTGTTATTCCATTACAACATTTATGTTTGTTGAACATAGATTCATGATTTTTTCTTTTAGCATCAAGATCAACCAACTTTATCGAAAAAAGATGAAAAGAAAAAAGAGCTCGAAGAATTGAATCAAATTTTTCGACCAGTAGCATCGCAAAAAATCGACAAAGGTGTTGATCCAAAATCGGTGTTATGTGCCTTCTATAAATCGGGGCAATGTTCGAAAGGTGATAAATGTAAATTTTCACATGATTTAACCATCGAACGTAAAAGTGAAAAGAAAAGCCTATATTTCGATGCACGAAACGAAGATGACAATATGGAAAATTGGGATGAAGATAAGCTGAAAGAGGTGGTCGAAAAGAAACATGGTGAACGGGAGAAAAAACTACCATCCACGGAGATCATCTGCAAATATTTCCTCGAAGGTATGATGATAATGATGATTATGAATAATGGAAAATTATCTCAAACAAAAGTTGGATAATTTTCTTCTCGAGTAGCTATCGAATCGAATAAATATGGTTGGTTTTGGACTTGTCCAAATGGTGGTGATAATTGCCATTATCGACATGCGTTACCGCCTGGATTCGTGCTGAAAAAGGATAAAAAGAAAGAGAAAAAAGAGGATATCACCATTGAAGAATTGGTCGAAATTGAACGCAGCAAATTGGGCTATAATCTTGCAAAAATAACGCTTGAAAGTTTTAACGAATGGAAAAAGAAGAAAAGGAAGGAGAAACAAGAAAAAGATCGTTGTGAAATGGATAGGAAAAAAGCTGAATATAAAGCGGGCAAGAATATTGGACTCAGTGGTCGTGAAATGTTTACATTCAATCCGGATCTGGCCGCTGATAATGATATGGATGAAGGTGAAGCAGCCATGGATATTGTACGCGAACAAGAGGATAATGATGATAATGACATTGTCAAAGAGATCGATATCGAGGAGATTACACATATGGCCAAAGAATCTGATAATTCTGGTACACAATGTGCGGATATGAAACGAAATTTTACACAATCCGATGATGATACTGATAAGCAACAACAAAGGATAACTAACAATGAATCAAATGATAAAACTAATGTCCAACAACAACAAAAACAATGATGATGATGATAATGGTGATGATATAATCAATGAACCAATCGATGAATCATTATTTGCCGAAGAAGCCGAACTATTGGAAGATCTAGAAAATGAACTAGAAGCTGTCAAAATTTAAAATTAAAAAAAAAATTATTTAAAATTTTCCTTTTCGCCCTAAATCTTTACATTTGTCTTTGACACATGATCAAATTGAAAACATTTTTAAAATGTAAATTATTCTTTCCTTCTTCCTCCTACACCGAATACATGTACGTTTGTTTGGTATGATGAAATATGAATCACAAATGATTATCATTTCCCTAAAATAAAATAAAAAATTTTTATGTGAAAAATGGAACAAAAAAAAGTGTGAATACCATTAATGATGATGATGATGATGATATACATCATCTTGTTTCTTTATTTTTGGTGACATCATTTCCATGTCATCATCATCATCATCATTATTATTATGGAACATTGTATGTGTGATCGAGCATTTTGGAACAGTTTTTTCCATTAGAGACACAGATTTATATTTTGAATAAATTCATTATCTAATTTTCATTATTATATTATATCATAATAAATGTACTGTGCTGGATATGGAAGATAATTTTTCGAGTTTTTTTTTCCTCTCATTCTTATTAACGTGGGTTTTTTTTTCTTAATGTTTCAATGATGATTGAATTTGTTGTTCATTTGTGTTCGTCGTCGCTTTCTTGTGACAATTTGTAACTTTAGAAATTTGCAATTCACTTTTTTTCGTATTCGTCAATTATTTTAATTATTATTATGGTGATATATTTTGTGTCCATAATTTGGTCCACAATTTTCTGTTGGATCAGAAACAAAAAAAAAATATTCTCATATTTAGAACGTAGTTGATTAACATGATTAAAAGATTCGGTCGAATGAATCATTCATCAACGACAACAACAACAACAACAACAGAATCTAAATCAAACCTAATTATGAGCCAAAAAGAAAAGAAACAGATATAATTTGATCAAATCAAATTGTCCATATGTTGTGTGTGTGTGTGTGTTCTAATTAGGTAAATGAAATTACAATTTACAATCACCGATTATTCATTCAACAATGAATCTTATGATATTGGTTCACTATCACCGAAAGAAATTGAATGAAACTATCGTTTGAATGTGGCAAAAAAAAGTTGCAAAAATTTTTGTCGACCTCGAATACAGTAGACATAAACACGCAACAGAACACTGGTTATGGTTTTCAATGGTTGTCTATGTTGTATTTTTTTTTATGTCGAAAAATATTATATAATCATTTTAAAATTGTCACGAAATTCAAATCGAATGAAAAGAAAGAATAAAAAAGATTAAGGCTGAATGAATTTTTTTTTTCAGGGTAAAAAAAAAAGATCGACCATCGAAGAAAATTGTTTCAACAATTTTTTCCACATACAAACACAGAATCTAATGATGATGATGATGATGATGACAAGTATTTCTAAGTAAAAAATTTGAAACGTGATTGTGCCGTATATGACATTAATCATTCGAATTCGAACAATAACATATCAAGATGGTTATATAAGTAATGAACGTGGACGTACGAATGAACAAATGAACGTGATGAATCAACGTTCCATAAAATATAATAATCCAACCTTCAAAATATCTAAATCCACTATAAATATTAGACACACACACACACACACACACACAGTAATAGCATGATGAAAAAAAAATTTCAAGAGCTAAATTTATCTGTTAATTTTTTTTTTCATTCGAAATTCAATGACAATTCTTAATTCTTTGATAATTGATCACAATGATCATCATCATCAATTGATGGTGATGACCTAACAATTGTTTGACCATCATCATCATCATTATTATGAGAATTACGTGCAATATTATTGGCCATCATCATCATCATCATCATCATCATCAAAAAGGCAATAATCAAACATTAAGGTGTTAAAATCCTGTTAATAATGATGATGATGATGATCGTTTTGTTCCATAGTTATAATTGTTTCCAATTGTTTTAAAAACGATCATCGAACATCCATAATTATTATTATAAATTTAATTGGTCAATCAAAACAATAGCGAAAAAAAAACAATAAAAATTTTCAATGATGATGTGATCACGATAATCATGATAACCTTCAATTTGGGAATTACATCATCCCGAAAAAAAATGGATTAGAACTATTTTTTTTCTGTTTAGATTGGTAGATTTTGTTTGGTAAAAAATACCATCCTATTGTTGATCAATGATGAAATATTTGAAAACTTAAAACATCCACATAATTTCTACCATTCATCATCATCATCATCAATCGTTTGAAATGGTCATCACCAGTTTAAGAGAGTTTCTTCGATCAATTGAAATAAAAATTGTCTGTCGATTATTTATTATTATTATTATTATTGCTCAATGGATTTTTATCGACATGATCCAAATTGATGGGTATAATGATGATACATTGGTTATAAAAGTTATGGATGGACATTAATTTATTTTGAACAAAAAAAAACGGATGTCAGTTAGTATAATTCTTAATAATACATGTGGGAGATAGTTTGATTCTTTTGATTGATGTCGATTTTTATCATCATCATCATCATCATCACCAGTAACTAAATAGACAAAAGAAAAATCAATCAAAAAAGGAAATTGCTCGTTTTCTCGCATGCGACACACACACACATTATTATCATTTCATACAGAATTATTTCTACAGCATTCAGCCAATTAAATCAATAATCAATTCACACATTCACAGGCACGAGATAGCTAAGATTCATGCTTACTCGAATATAATAAATTATGACATTAATATATCAATTCCGGATACAATGGGAAAAAAAATGTTGGCCATTTTTATCATCACATAATTCGATGAATGAAACATAGAAATTCCAAAAAGTTTCTAAAAAAAAATTTTTTTTTCATCTCAAAACAAACTGAAATGTAATTTTCTTTTTTGTTTTTGTTTCCTCTATGTGCTCTACACACACACACACACACACACACACACACACGCACTGAGTTATTTTCGAATCAAAAACCAATATTCGAGAATATTCTGCTCGAAGGCTGTTTCATCATCATCATCATCGTCGTCGAATTTTGACATTATAAATTTTGTTATTTCCGCCACACCATCACCACCACCACCAAAACAGAAACAAAAAACTTAATCAGCGTTTTTTTCACATTTCAAATACGAATCAACTATCAAAATTTTAGTGACGGAACCAAAAAAAAAAAATCATTGGAAAATAAAATAAAAATGAAATTATCGCCTACACTGGGCACCAAAAAACATATAATTAGACTATTCATATATATTCTTGTTTTTTTTCAAAATTCAAAAATAGATAGTGTCGTGCCAACAAGACAATTTTTTTTCTGTTTCTAACTACCAGAATATCAGTAGTCAGTCCTTTTTTTGTACCAAATGAAAAAAAAATTTAATTTAGTCCAAAAAAAAAAATTTCCTTCCAAAAAATTTTCTTTAAACATTGAAAAAAGAATTTCAAAAAACTGTCACACTTGTGATTTCAAAAAATGTCTATGTATAATTTGATTTGAATACTTTTCGTCGTTGTTGTTGTTGTTGTTGTTGTTTCAATTTTGATTTTGAAGCTAAAATTCCAAAAAGAGAAAAAAAAATTCGAAAAAAATGGCGCAAAAAAATTCATCTCACAGATTTCTAAATTTATTCATATTTTTATCATTCCAATAATAATGATAAGATTGCCTGTCACAGCAATAATCATTTGTTGTTGTCAATTATCAATACATATCAAATGGCCGATTATTATTATTTATCACATCGTTCTTCATTAATAATCATATTTTGATTTTATCAAAGAACAACAGAAATAACATTGAAAAATGGTCAAAACATCGAAAAAAAAGAAGTTATTTTTGTTTATACCCATTATTAATGGTCGTAGTGATGATGATAATAATGGATGAAAACAAAACATTTATATATCAATTCAATTTTTTATTGGTTATTTAATGGTTTCATTTTTTTCCTGAAAAAATTTCCATCATCGAAAGTTGTTATTGTTGTTGTTGTTTTTTGCCCACCCATTATCAATGAGTAAATATTAAATTGTTTTTCTCATGAAAAAAAATAATATCAAAAATTCATTCATTTACAATAATAACATGATGATGATGATGGTGTTTTTTTTTTCTCTCCATTTCTCACACAATTTTAAATGTTGTTTTTTTACCACCAATTCAACGAAATCATCATCACCATCATTGAAATTCATAACGAAACAAAACAAAAATGAAAATAAAAAAGGAACGGTTTCGTTTTCACACACACACACACACAAACACAAACAATATTTACTCCCACACACACACACACACACACAGAGACCAAAATATGAATAAATGAATGAAAATAAAGCCAAGACCCTAAAGAAAGGACTGAAAAAGAAAGAATGAAAAAAAAAATTTTTTTGATGATGATAATAATCATGGTCGAGAATCATCACTCACAGCAAATAAACGGCAAATGACGGCAGTGGTATCAACAACAACAAATAAACTAAATTTAGTTTACTTTTTAGATGAAATGAATGGAAAATTTTCCTTTTCATTCATTGATATTTCTGGATCACACTCGTAGCCAAACATCAACAATGGCCGAATCAAAAAAAAAAACGAAAAAATCATTGGAAAAACTGATGAATTCAATTCAATTTTCATTCGTTGATGAATCTGTGAAAGTACATACGAACACACACACACACACACACAAATGGCGATCATCATCATCATCATCATCACTCTAACTAAATTTTCATTTATTTTTCACAATTGAAAAGAAAAATTGACAATAAAAGCAAAAAAAAACCATTATCTCCATTGGTGATGATGATGATGATGATGATAGACCATATTAAGATGGTGATGGTGCTATGTGTGTGACAATTATGGTGAAAACAATATTTGATTTTGGTTTTCTAATATTTGAAAGGAAAAAAAATCTGTGTGTGTGAATTGGATTTTCGAGAAAAGAAATTTTTTTCGATGATAATAACGTTTTTTTTTTTGGTAAAAATTATTTTAAATTTACAAAAATTGGCTACAGGTGGCTGATATTGATCCAATATGTCCACATTATTTTATCTGGCCACTTGTGAATTGGTTGTGTGTGTGTGTGAATATTTTTTTTTTCACATTCATCTCCACTTTAAGTTTGTTTATTCAATCATCATCTGCTACTACTCTTACTGTATTCACATAAATGCTACACTTATGGATCTATATTGATGATGATGATCTTGATCGGCCAAAAGTGTTTCTAATGAAAAAAAAAAATTTTCGGTAAATAACATCATCATTTTTTTTTTTTTTTTTTTTGAATAGCGTCATCGAAAATAAAATAAGCCACCACTTTTGAAGTTTTTTTTTCTGAAGAAAACGATATTCAAATTCAGGGAGAAGGAGATTTTGTTGTTTACCGTACTTTACTTATGCTAATGGCTGCTACTGTGATAATCGTTTTTTCATTTTCCATTTTGGTGGAAATTTTTTTTTTTTTTTATATCTCTTGACCGTCAACGAATTATATTTGATCAAATATTCTACTTCACAGTTACCATTTTTTCAATTTTACCTTTTTTTACAATTTCATTTTTAAATTATAATTTGAATCAATCAATGTAATTTTCGTTTGAATCAATAAAATCGATGATGATGATCAATAAATAAAAAAAAACACACACACACACACACGATCAAATGAATCAAATTTATTTTTATTGAATTGAATCGAATTTATTTCATTTCATCTAATTTCATTTCAATATTTTTATTCACCATTCACAATGTGTTATGCACTGTTTAAAAATATCATGACAATTTTCATATATATTATTGATACAATGATACAATAATAAGAAAAAAAATCGAATCAAATCAAATCAATCAATATATATAAATGTGAATTCAATGAATATCGATTGGCCATACACATATTCAATATATATAAATATATTGATGAATAATATAAAAATCGATTGGTTGAAATCTTTGGATGAATAAATATATGAAATGTTTATGGTGTATGTAATATTTTTTTTTTTTTTTCATTTTTTGTTTCATTTGAAAATAAGCCGGCTCGTTCAATGTTCAATGGTCTAGATAGAGAGATGAATGAATGAATGAATGAATCACCATTTGAAATCACAATTGTTAATGGTTTGCTTTTGTTATTGTCGTTGTCGTTGTTGTTGGTGTTGTTGTCGATGATGTTGGATCGACCAATCATGGCTGAATAGATAGATAGATAGATAGATACATACATGCAGAAAGCTAGTTTTCTTTTTCGGTTTTGTTAAACCAAGAATTGAAATTTATTTGTGCGAAATGAAGCGAAACAACAACAACAACAACAAAAATTCGTTTGTTCCATAGAATCATTAAGAATTAGTCTTGTTATTTGTCGACACATTGTCGGATTGTATAAGAACCAATACATCATATATTCAATAAATAATAATTACCCAATCGATTAACGATTAAAAAAAAAATTCTGGTTTCAATGTTTTCATCTTTTTTTTTTCATCTATGTTTTAAATGATGATGACACAAACAATCGATTAATGATAGCATCATTGTTGATATTATACAAAGTCAGGCGATCATAAACATTAATGTTTTTGAACGAAAAAAAAGGTGAAAATGGATCATAAAATGAGGATCATCATTTAGTTTGATATAGTTAAAAATTCGAATTGAATAAAAGTTTTTTTTGTTTGCGTAATAAACACATTGATAATGGTGATGATGATGATGCTGTTCAAATGGTGAACGATTATGAATTTTTTTTTTGCTCAATTTAATTCATCGTTCATATTTGCTATTGCTGCTTTGCTGCTTCAATGTTGTATACATCGTCATGTTTAGCGTGAAACAGTTTACAGTAAATTAACTTGAATGAAAATTTTCGTTTTTGATTTTGGCTTGACTTGTCTTGACTTGACTTGATCATCATCAATATCATTATGGTAAGATATATTCACTATAGTTCATTTCATAGTAAATTTGTCGACTTTTTCATCATTTGACTTTACACGTTTGTTTTGTCGTTTGTTGTTGTTGTTGTTGCTTTTACCATTGGCATTATCATAATTATAATGCGATTTCATTGGGATTTGATTGTATGTGTGTGTCTGTCTGTCTGTTATTCGATACTTGTATATTTCACAATGATTGACATTCAATTCAACATTGTGAGACTGGATTCGGTGGAAAATAAAACACCAATTTTCACGCGTAACCTGTCTTTTGGAATTTATTTATTTTTTTCTTTGTTGTCCTCCGGTGCTTTCATTGGAATTTCTTCAATGAATCTCAGAATTTTTGATCATCATCATCATCATCAACATGGGAGAGAGAGAAGCCGATTAAAGTTATTAATTTGATGTTACGATGTGGAAAAATTAACCAAGTCAGCCAACCAGCTAGACAATTCTAACCCGATCCAATGTTGTTGTTGTTGTTGTTTTTTTTTCTTGAAACATTATTTTTCGATGATTTATTTTTTGACTTTCTCGTTTGCTTTCCCCTGTGTGTGAGTATCTGTGTGAAAAAGGCCATTTATTTATCTCAAAAATTTTTCTTTTCATTCTCATTGTTTACTTACTTGCTCGGTTCGACGCTTACAGAATACAAAAATTTTTTTTTTCACCCATTTTTTATTGCCTCATCCTGACTATGACTAGTTTACTTTGAATAACGTAGAATGATCAATGTCTTGAATGTGAGAAAGAAAAATGGAAGAAACCAAATGAAAATTGAAGGCTTTCTCAAAACAAAACAAAACAAAAAAAAGTAGAATAAACTAAAAACAAAATGACAAAAAAAATGATCAGAAAAGACAAGACACACAATAAGAAATTACAGATGTTCACAATCGAACGGTATCGTACGTTGTATGTGGGTGAGTTTGTATGACTCGTCTCATTGATCCACTGTCATCATCATCGAATCAATGGAATTTCAAAGATAAACTACCATCTATATGGCCATACAAGGTCAAGTTTTTGATGAATCAAGATCACTAATCATCAGTTACCAACAAACAAAAATGTGTGTGTGTGTGTGTGTGTGAAAAAAAAAAATGTATGATGGATTTGGGCCACACATTACATTTCATTCTAATATTTTATGATTTAGTTTTCGTTGTTGTTAATCAAACAAAACACACATACACACACACGCAACACCATGTATTTTTTTTCCTGTGAAACGACGACCTTTGGAGCATCATTATTATGATGATATTTTTGTGTGTTTGTTTGAATTTGGTTTATACCTGAAAATAAGAAAACAAAAATTCATTCATATGAGATATGAGCAATTTTTTTTTTTCATGGCCATAGTTGAAAAGGAATTCATTCATAAACTGTCAACACAAATTATCATCATAATCATCTTTAAAAAATGGCATCACGTTTTTCTCCTTCATTGCCTCTCTTTCTCTCTTTCACACACACACACACACACACACATCTCTGACATTTGACTTGACTTTTGGTTATTTAATAAAAGTTGGTATATAATAATACCCAACAATTTTATTATATTTAGGATCTTCTGGACATAACGCAAAAATGAAATTGACAATTGTCATTTTTGTTTTAAATATCTTTTGATCTATGAATATTATTACAAAAAATTTTATAATTTGGAACGGAATTCAGAATATACCAGAATAATATACACAAATAGGGTTGAAATAGAAATGCTTAACTATTATATGAAATTAAGATAATTCTAGTAGCAATAGTAGTAGTAGTAGTAGTATTTTAGTTATAATAAAGAAAATGTAGATGTTCATCATTTTCAAATGTAGTATAGTAGTATTACAATTATTTTCAGGATTCTCTTCTTTCTCTTTTTTTTACCCATCTCCTCAATCTCTTTCTTTTATCGTCTCTTTTCGTTGAAGAATGGATCACATCATACACACACACAGTCTCTTTTCGGTGAAACTAAATCAATAGCAAACAGAGTGCAGACAGAGAAAAAATTTCGAATCGATCGTTCTGTGTTTGATACACACACACAACCACACACCATCATCAGTCATCATATATATATGTGATGTGTTTTTTTTCCATTCGGCTACAAGAAATACCGACCACTACCGTGACTGAAAAGATATCGACCGACTGACGCGAATAAGGCCCGTGCGCGTAAAAAAAAAACGTTCACTTTCATCACGATTCTGGTCATTCGTTGTCGTTGTCGATTCTCTTTGTGTTTTCATTCATGCTGTGTATGTGCATTTTCTTTATTTTACCGCCAAAAATTTGGCTCACTGGCTGGCTATAACCAATTCAAATTGAAATGATGATAATCAAATCATTGTTCATTCGATCATCAGTGATGATAATGATGACTTCGATGATTCATCAAGCTTGACAGATATTTTTCAATTGTTTTTTTTAATGATGAAAAGAATTTCATATTCAACTTTGTTTCAAGAAAAAAAAACAAAAAATCAGAATTGTGCGCGTATGTGTGTGTGTGTGTGTTTTCGTAACCGACGATTATCTCCATCCTATGATCAATTCTTGTCCACATTAACTAACCATCAATAACATTGGTCTTCTTCAAATTTAAAAGTATGTACTGTTTTTTTCTGTTTTCAATCTATCATTTTTAAAAAAAAATAACCATAAATAAATCGATTTGATTCGAAAAAATTTTCAATCATGGTCTATGTCATTGTTATCAGGATAATTGACCATTTTTTTTTAATTGAAAATCTGGTTTTTTTTTCTCTTTCATTCTAAATCAATCCATATTGGCCATTGAATGTGTATGGGCTAAATCTCATTTCATAATTGAATTGAATCAAATCCGATATCGGTCATCTGACCGTATCCTCATTTTTAATTTTGACCAAAATATTAAAAAATGATTTTAAATTTCAATGATGATTATCACACTGTGAACAACAACAACAACAACAAAAAAAACTAGGCAAGGCCATGAATAAATTTTTTTTTTTTTGGTTGTTGAAACATTATCAATATAAGAATTCGAATGGTTTTTATATTGTATTTGTTGTAGACTAATTATGATGATGATGCCTAATAACTAGCCATAGCTTTTTGATTCTTTTGTTTTTTTTCTCATTCATCTATATTGAATGATGATGATTTTGACACACACACACACACTAAATAAGAAATTGAATTGTGATTATATTCAATGATATTATTTATCTTAAGGCTATTTACTTATTATCATTAAAATAATCTTAATGATGACACACAATGATGATGATGATCATCATTCATTTATTATTACGACAACTGATTCAATGATTCATCAGTATTAGGATTTATCTGGTGATGATGAAAATAAAAAATTTTATAAGATTTGAAAATTTTTTTTTTTCAAACGAGTTTCATTCATTCATCCGATTTCACATCTGAATAATGATATTGTAATCATTTCGTAATAATAATCATATCGTCATTCTGGTTTGATTTTTTTTTCTTAATACTTTTCTTATTGTTGTTGAGCTAATAAATCCTATTTCACATTTTCAGATCATTTATCTTTAGAATTGAATCCAATGAGATGAATAAAAATATCATTTTTGATTAGTTTGAACAAAAAAAAAAAAAAAAAATTTCCGTCGTTGTTATTTTTTGCCCCATCATCATCTTGATCATCATGTATGTGTTGTCGGTCAACAAATTCTTCGACAATATCACGATATATACATACATACATGTGTGTGTGTGTATGTTTCTTTCCGTGCCTATCGATCGAAACGAAATGAAATCCATAGATTTTTCATCATCATCATCATCATCATTGTGTATACTGAATTTTTTCAATATTAAATTGTTGGATGTTTTTTTTTCGAACAACAACTTGAACTTGTTTTTTTTTCTCGTAACTAAACTAAACTGACTTATAAGATGGTTTAAACAAGGCTCAACAACAACAACAACAAAAAACTCAGGTGTATTTGTTGGTGGTTTATTTTCTTTTCCATTTAATCTCCTTTTTGGCTATTATTTATCTCTACTTAAAAAAAAACGATATCATCAGCATCGCAAGTAACAGAACGGAGAATAAAAAAAACTGTATTATGGTCAAAAAAAAAAATATATATGACCTCGAGCAATTTCTGAAGAAAAAAAAATGCCGTTTATATATTAATATATTTGCCTTTGTCCGGTCAACATTATTATAAGCTATTTTAGTACATTGGGTAAATGAGACCTGTCTGTTGTTTACATTAATCACAATGTCCAATTTAAAGAATGTTTAGATAATTTTTTTTCAGGGTAGTTTCCACCTTGACTTGAAAATTAACAAAAATCATTAATGATGATCCATAACTTTTGATATTAATGATAATGAATGATATTTTCATCTCTTTTTTTTATTTCATATTTCAAATAAAACCACCAATCAATCGATATATGGCTCACGAATGAATCCTGTTCGTTTTTTGGGTAATAATTACCGTTCATCATATATGATGAGACTTTGCCCATAGTCAATATATCTGTTGTTGTTGTATTTTTAGCTAAAGGCTAGATTTTTGAATTTTTTTTTATTCATTATTTTGTTATTGTTATCTAATAATAATGATAAGAAATGAATAACAGTTTTATCCGCAGGGTTTTTTTCCGAAGAAAAAAAAAAACAAAACAAAACAATTGAATATTGGGTGGTGGCAACTATTTTTTTCATTCATTTCATTCATTTCTGGTTCATTCAATTGTAAAATAAATAAATTTGGCCACTGTGTTTTGTTTCTTTGTTCTGAAAAAAATTCATTAAAATAAACAATTATCTGTTATAATTATGATGATGATGATTAATTGGAATACGAAAAAAAACAACAACAACAACAATAATTTCCATATTCATAATTTCATCTAATGTTAATCGTTGATCGATTATATATCTCCCATACACACACACAGATAAAAAACAAAATTCTTGGTCGTTTCCATTCCTTTTCTTGTTTCACAACCAGATTTCGATGATAATGAATTATGATGATGATCACATCACATTCCCATTATTGATAACTAAAACAAATTATTGAACATCATTTTTGTTGTTGTTGTTGTGTAAAATATATTGATATTCGAATGGAATATTTGTGTCTGGCTAAACAATGAACAACAACAACAAAAAAGAGGGAAAATTCTGTGTGTGTGTGTGTGCGTGAAACACGTCACATAACTTATCTTTGGAAAATGGGGATGTAAATAAAAAACAAATGAATCGATGTGATGATTAATTGACGAATGTGAGTGCAGAATTTTTTTTTTTTTTTGTTTTGTTTTGCTATTTATCAAAAATGCTTTATATAATAAAAGCCAATAGATGATGATGATGATGATGAATCGAGAATCAAGAAAAAAAACAAACATCAAGCATTAATGAAAAATTTTTCTCTGCCGCTACTGAATTGCGATCGATGATGATGATGATGATGATGATCAAACCATTGTTGTTGTTTTTTTGGTTGTGTCCAAATGTTTTAAATGTCAAATGATCAATGATACCAGGTATCATCAACATTTCACAATCGATTAATCTAATTTGATTGCTTGATTCATTCATTCATTCACATTTATCGATCAATCGATCACGATCTATTTATCGATTGATTGATTACTTTAATCTATATAAATTTAACGTTTTTTTTTATTTGTCATAATTATCCATTGATAGATAATGATGATGGTAATATCTGAATAAATAAATAATAGTTAGATTGATTGATTGATTGATTGATAAATTGATCCGATCGGATCGGATCTCTATACATTCATATTGTCCGGGAAAATTATAAAACACGCAAAACACACACACACACACTGAGAGAGAGAGATAGAAAAGAAGGAAACAAGAAAACAAACAACATTCATTCAACCATATATAGAACACGCACACAAGAAATTATTATTTGCCATATATTTTATAGAATAATAAATAAAGTAAAGTCAGTGAAAAAAAAAAACAAAATTCTATATTTCATACTCTGAATACAAACATATTTTCCCCGGAGAGATTCGATCATCATGATGATGATGATGGTGATGATGATGATGATGTTGAATGAAGTGAATAGTGTAAAATAGAGGAAATTTTTTTACTCCCGAATAGGAAAAAAAAATCGTTTCCAATTAGAATTTGCGACGACAAAGTCGTCCACACAATGGCGTTTGAATGGTGATTCTTTCGTTTGGGTATTCTTTCTTTTTTTTTTTTTTTTGATTGTCGACAAAACTAAACTAAAACTTTTGTGATGTGGCTGCAATTTTGTTTTCATTTCCCTCTCTCTCTCTCTCTCTCTCGCTCTGGTCTCGTTGTTACTTACTAATATTTTTTCATTTTTTCATTTCTTTCATCACTATATTCTTGTTTTCTTCTTGTTCCTTTCAACATTTATTCAAGCAAAATTTTCAATGAGTAGCAGTAGTTACTAGTTGTTATTCGGTTGGTAGTGAGAATGATGAAAAATTTTCACTGATCGTTATTATTATTATTATCATCATCATCAACATTTTTTTCCAACCATTATTTTTGATACAAATTCTCATTTGTTCACAATTGGTTACAATTGTTGTTGTCCGCTTCCTTCCTCCCTCACCCAAAATCATTATCAAAAGCATCTTTTTTTTGTTGTTGTTGTTGTTGTTGTTGAGAAAATAAGAATTTTTCAAACAATTTTGGATTGTAATAATATATGAAAGAAAAAAAAATTCTTCATTTCATCATAACCACCATCATCATTTTTTTTTTTTTTTTTTGCCACCACCACCATAATAATAATAATAATGGCATTGGATATATTCTTGAACAAAAAAAAGGAAGCAAAGTTTCATCATATTGTTGAATAATATTTGCCTTTCATTCATTAGTCTATCTTTGTGTGTGTGTGTGTGTGTGTATGTATCGTTTAGAATCAAATAGAATCATTGGCATTCAATATACAATTATAGAATTTGATGATCAAGTTTTTTTTCGAGCCTCTTGTTGTTGTTGATGTTGTTGTTGTTCACATATGAATTCTGGACCTTCTAAATAAATACAGAAAGAGACAATATATATATATCGATGATGATGGGCATTAAAAAGAAAGCGACAGAGAGAGAGAGAGAGAGAGTTATTATTTCGTGATCTGAATGACTTATTAAACGAGAGAGAGAGAGAAAATTTGTGTGTTTGTGTGTGTGTTGATTATAATGAATGGAATGGAATGGAGAATGAAACTAAAAAAGTCCAAAATAGAATGTCATGTCGTTTGTTTGTTTGATTAGGATTGGTCCAAACCATTTTTATTTTCCATTGAATTCAATAATGAATGGACAGTGGAATATTTTTTTTTTTATTTTTATTTTTTACACACAAATCACACAGAAAAATGAGTCATGAAATAGTCTGATTTTAATCGAAAAAATCATGAAATAGCATGATTTTTTTCTAAAAATCAAGAAATAGTTAGACCTAGGTGCAATTGAGAAATAGCTCGACTTTTAGTCAAACTATTTCATGACTATTTTTCACATTCGAATTATTTCATGACTGATGGTCAAGAAATTTCTTGACTTTTTTTAGAATTATTTTCAGTCTAAATATTTCCAGACTTTTTTACACAGTCAGCTTATTTCTTGACTTTTCTACCCAGTCAACTTATTTCATGACGGGTGATCAAGAAATTTCTTGACTTTTATTAGAATTATTTTCAGTCAAAATATTTTGTGACTATTTTCACAGTCAACTTATTACATGACTGATGGTCAAGAAATTTCTTGACTTTTATTAGAATTATTTTCAGTCATACACACAACAAAATGAGTCATGAAATAGTCTGACTAAAAGTCAAGCTATTTCTCGTTTGATACTAGGTCTAACTATTTCATGAATATTCAAAATCAAAAATAGCTTTTCTACCCATTCAAATTTTGAATCCATGCATTTTTTGAATTTCTAATTGAATTTTTCCAAGTCAAAAAATAGCTTAACTTAGTGTCAAATTTATTATTTATGCAATATAATACGATGAACTTTACATTATCATCGTAATATGTTCGCAGCTACGATTGGGGATTGGACACTATTGATAAATTTCAAAATAAAGCTTTATTGATCAAGTATACGCAGATCATAGATCCAACATACTCGATGGATAACGATAATTTAGGATGGGTTTAAATACTAGATTATAATCAATTAGAAACATTAATCAGGTTATAACATTCATCAAATCAAAGTCAAATATTCCATTTATGATATTCAAACAATTATGTTTGGATTTCAAATTTTTCATTTATATTATTAAATAAATGAGAAAATTATAAATTTTTATTGAATCCTGAATGATCCCCGTGTTGTGAAACGGTAGCGCTGATGGCAAATACACGTCCAACATTCAGTTAATCGAATTAAATCTCAAATTCTATATTTCATGTATTTTAATGTTCAATGTTCGATTATATTATTCATATTTGTGATTAGTCGATGTAATATACCATTGATTAATAAACAACGCAATTTTATCCGTTTTTACTAAACTTTGTTAGTCTTTGGTTGTTTGGTAATTTCAGAAGATAGATATTGTCACATTTATTATTTAACGGATTTTTGGTTTTGTGATACATCGACTAAAGTAAGATTATGAATCTGATTCCTGAAGACTTGAAACAGTGAGTAAAACAAAAACACTTACATCCTATTTTCATTCTAATTGTTTGTCTTAGAAATGCATCCAGAAAAAGATTCGAAACAGATATTCTGTTCTGGCGAGGAAATACAGGAGCCAACACAATAATTTGGAAAGAAAAAAACAAAAAAATGTCAATAATAAAATGCAAAAAAACACATCGAATGCTATTATAATTTTTACTATTTTATTATTATTATTATTATTTTATCATTATTAAAATTTGGTATTATTTTTATTAAAATTGTCTGAACATTTTATGACTTGATTAGTCAAAATATTTCATGATAAAAAGTCAAGCTATTTGATAATTGGGGTAGTCAATTTATTTCATGACTTCTAGTCCAGCTATTTCATGATTAAGGTAGTCAACTTATTTCATGACTTCTAGTCCAGCTATTTCATGATTGGGGTAGTCAACTTATTTCATGATAAAAAGTCAAGCTATTTTTTGATTATGAATAGTCATGAAATAGCTTGAAGTAGGTGCAAACGAGAAATAGCTTGACTTTTAGTCAAACTATTTCATGACTCATTTTCCTGTGTGATATATTATGAATAGAAATCTAAATCTGCTTGCAGTATAAAACTCAGTATGCTCATTTGTCGTTTTGGATGCTAATTATTTTTTTTTTCTTTCTCTTTTTTTTCGATTTTGCACAAATCGGATCATGGATGATGATGATGATGATGATGATGATAAAGATTCTGTTATCATAAGCAGATTTTTTTTCTCATATATCGTCCTTTGACTTTGTATCATTATCCAAATGTATCCAATCGTATATATGTTTTTTTTCATTAATAACGATATCAATTATTGATCATAACCATAGTATATGATGGCATAGGTCAGGATTATGGATTCAGAATTAATTTCACGAATTTCTTGTTTCCGAAATTCCAAAAATGCGAATCATCAAATAAAAAGAATGACGTCAGAAAAAAGAACCTTTTTTCATTTCAAATGTCCGATGAATTCACTCTTTTTTTTCTCCACAATATCCATGAAATTAGTTTCCATTAAGATTTTTTTTTTCTTATTCTTCATAAGAAAAAAAAATTCAAACTTTGATGCAAAAGTTTCATGTTGAATTTGTGTTTGGAAAAAAATCGAAATTCTCGAATTGTTCATACAAAATCCAAATACATTACATTTCACTGAATTTGATTGCTGTTCATTATTTTTTAATCAACATCACCATCATCATCATCATCGATGATTGGTAGTATTAATTATTGAAAATAGAAATCAAAATAGAACGAATTTTCCGATCTGTCGATTGTGTGTGTGTGTGTGTGTTAATTATTGATTGAATTTAGTTCGATCAATTTTCAAAAAAAAAACCAAACGGATTGTGATATTGATGATTCTACATTGACATTTGTAATATATTATATTGGCCAGGTGATGATGATGATGATGATGATAGCACGATTCGTTTTGAGATTGAAATAGAAATCATCATCAAAAGATTTATAATCATATTTATTTTCTATCAATTACAATTATCTCATTCATCATGTTGAATACATGATTTGTTTGTGTGTGTGTGTGTAGAAATGGATTTTTTGAAATTTTTTTTCCCTGTTCCTTTTATTTTAGTGAAACAAGTGGATATATGTGTTTTTAAATGTTTCGTCGATGATCTAGAGTGAATGGTGAGAAGGGAGACAGGAATACTTTTTTTATAAGGATAATTTATCACTTCATTCAATCAATGTTGTTAATCAACAATTTTCAATTTTACCATTTGTATCAATACACATACATACATACATACACACATGCTTTATTGAACTCTTTAATTCGTTCAATAGATAATTAGATGGTTTGATTTATAACTAAAAAAAATTATTGAATTTAACAGAACCAAAGATGTTGTTGTGATGAAAAATCAAAATGACCAAAATAGCTTGATTACCAATCATTCTATTTACTTGTCGCCAAAATAGAATGTTGTGTGTATTGAATTTCATTTGTTGAATTGAAAGTGGCATGAATGAATGAGAATGGCCATGATTACATTCTCTCTCTCTGTTTGTTGTTTCATTGAAATTTTCGATAATTTAAATTTGTTTTTTCACAGATTTTGTTTGTTTGTTTGTTTATTTGTTATTGCTGCTACTACTACCACTACTATACATGTCATTGATTTAATAAAATTTTTTTTTCTTCTAAATTTAATTCAATTTTCCACGTATTTAGAAACCATAAAAAATCATTTTGGGATTTTTCTTTAATTAATTAATCGTTTATTTATTTATTTTTTTTACAGGTTTTTGTTTGAATCGATTTATTATTGATATCATATTGGTTAAACACGATCATCAGCGAAAGAATACAAAACTGTTTTTGTCATTCTATTGTTTTTGACGAAGAAGAAGAAAATTTCTTGGAAGATTTTTTCTTTCTATTATTAACGTCATCATCGTTTACGTCGTTTTCTTTTATTTTATTTTTTTTTGATTTATGATAACGGTGGCCACAAACGCCCAAACAATCCATATTGTAAATGTACCAATGTATTTTTGTTGTTTTCTTCGTCGAATGCGTTTAAAAGAACGTATTCTAGTACTATTGATTGGTGTAACATGTTGTCTTGTATGTACATTTTTGGTATTGACAACAAATTCACAGATCAATAATAATGATCTAACCAACAATAATAATAATAATGATGATGATCAACTTAACGGTCCAGCAGCGGCTTCGGTTATGGCCGTATCAAATTATGACAGTGGTGGTGGTGGTGGTGGTGGTGGTGCTGGCAGTGATACCGATCTATCAAGGTATGTTTATATGATTTCTGTATATTTAAAAATCGACTAATCCTTATCGATCTATCGATCTTTATTTTTCGTTTATTTTTAAATTTACTTTATAGATTATCGATTCAACAACAATTAGGGCATAATTTTAATAATGTTGCCATTGGAAATAATCAACTAGCAGCTGCAAGTATTGCATCTTCATCATCATCAGCAGCAGCATCGTCGAGGTTAATCAATTCATTGCCATCAATAGCGGCAGTTACCAAGACAATTACAGCAACGCCAAAATCTAAATATTCATCATCAAAACAGCAAGATAGAACGATACGACGAAGTAAACATCGAAGACGATTTTTATATCAACGACAACAATTATCAGAACAATCATCATCATCACCATCACCATCACCACCAGCACAACAAAAACAATCGAATGGAAAAATTATTGATGAAAATAATACAAATTATTGGAAAAATAAATGGAGGCAACAATTGGCCGTTGCAGCTGCTGAATCCATTGTCAATCAAGATAATGAAAATCAAAATGATATTTATTTAGGTGGAGATGTTCCAATTAATTCATTGAATGGTGATGTTAGAACAAAATCTATCACTACAAATCAATTAGCTGCTGCTGGTGGTGGTGGTGGTGGTTTGAATACATTCTATGATGATGGTGAAGATGTCATCGATGGTGAGAATAATCATATAATAGGAGGTGGTGATGGCACCACTATCACAAAAACCAATTCAAAAGGTTAGTAATGTAATAGTTTTTTCGGCTGTTATTTTGAAGGTTATAAAAAGAATATTCTAAAAATATCACAGTCACAGTAAAAAAAATGTCATAAACTCAAATATATAACTGTGTGCTGAGTAGATTATTTGATATTTTTCTGTTTTTGATACACAAAAACATGAAAGGATTGTCAACAAATCGAACGCCAGTATCATCATCATCATCATCATCATCGTCAAATGGATCGATGATGATGGTACCATATGTTCGAATATCAAAAAATTCTAGATTACAAAAATCTAATCAAATTCATATCAGACAATCACGATCATCTACTATGATGATATATAATGATTCGAATACCAATAATATTAACTCAACATTCATACAACAACAACAGCAACGATGCAATCGATTATTTTGTTTGATGATTATAATTTTAACCTGTTTATTATTTCTATTATTAACTTCTTCCTATTCATCTTCACAACATCTAGCCAATCGTTATAATATAGATAATTCACCAAATAATATGGATGGTGATCTAAGTCATGCTGTCGATGTATTAGGTAGTAGTGCTACAGCAGTAGCAGCAGCAGCAGCAGGAGCCATCATCAAAAATCATCATGATGATGATCAACAACATCAAACAAAATCAATGATAAATAGTAATAATAAATCACGAACTGTCGATATGACGGCTAGTCATCAACATCAACAACAACAACAACAACCGAATGATCGATCAAATAGATTAAGATCCAGAACACATGATGATGGTTATCATAATCAAAACAATGAGCTTATTGAATCGGTAAAACAATTTTCTCATTTCAAACAACAACAACAACAACATCATCATCAACCACAACAAACATCAAACATCAGTTTATTATCAAAAGAATCATTTTGGCATCAACAGCACCAATCAACACAATCACAAATGAAAGATAGATTTATTGATCTACAACAAATGCTTCGTTTTGTATTGGAAGAACAATTAAATCGAACGGAACGAATACGACGAAAACACCGTAAACATCATCAACAACAGCAACAACAACAGCAACAACAACAATTTAGTTTACCCGATACTGCAATGGTCAATAATGATGATGATTATAATACAATCAACGATGACGACAACAACAACGACGACGACAATGATGATGAAAATGATAATAAAATTAATCGATTGATTCCAACATCAAGCATCTCGACTAATAGCCTAGATTCATTACGGTAAGTGTGATCAAAAAAAATTTTTTTTTTTTTCGTTCTTTATTATTATACATACAGAATATTCTATTCTATTCGATAATCAAAATCAATTTACATGGGTACAAATAGAGAATATGTGTGTGTATATATAGTCGTTGCAAAAAAAATACCATTTTCTTTCTTTATTTCTTTCTTAACTTTTGATCTTTTTGGCACTTTTTTCCCATATATGAAAAAAACTTAAAGTTTCAATAATAATAACGAAATATAATATAATGATTCGTCGATTCGTTGATGATGATGATGATGATGATTGTCATCATCATCAACGATGATGATGATGGAGGCAATTTAGGAATAAATATTCTGGAACTTGTTCCAGTATTTTTTTTCTCTCTGGATATGGAACAAAAAAAAACGTAAGATAATGGAGAAAATTATGTTATGTTGGTGGTGGAGTTTAAATAGTCATGGATATGTTATTATTAAATAGCTTGGTCTTGTCTTCGTTGTTGTTGTTGTTGTTTGGAATAGAAAAGAAAATTATTGCCATGATGAGAGATGAGAGTGTGTATTCTTGAAAAATTCTAAATTGATCTTTATGAGAAAAAAAAACAAAACCGAGAAAAAAAACTCATCTCGTAACGGTTTATTTTTTTTTGTTTCCGAAAAAAAATTTCATTTTATTCTGCCCAAAACATCTTAGAGATATGATCATGATGATTATTTAAATTGAAACCGTTTTTTGTTTTGTTGCTTGAAATCGATTGAGATTTTAAATTTTATGATGATGATGATGATCGGTTGATAAGAGATGCTGATTTTCTTTATTTTTTCCATCGTTTTATGTGCGTGAGTGTGTGTCTCACAAAACATATTCATTCATCTTATTACCGTCGAATTCGTAGCTTATTTCACTAGTTTTGTTCCATTTGTGTGCAGCATTTTTTTTTGTCTCTCTATGGGGTTGAAATGAATGTGAAAAAATAGAAATGGTGGAAATTGGTTTGAGTTTTTAAAATTTTAAATTCTTCCTAAAAAAAATAAATATACCCAAGTGATAAATAGAGTCAACCAAATTTTTTTTTTATTTTTGTATTTCACTTCGACCCTTTTGATACTTTTGAAAACAAAATTGTGAAAAAAAAAGTTCAGTTGTGAAAAAGTGGAAGTGGGAGAGGGTTAATTTAATCAAATTGAATCCTGTCAAATATCGAATCTGTTGCCAATGTGATTCGTCAGTCAATCAAAAAAAAAAAAAAAAAAAATTCAGACAAGTCAAATCAGCGTGTGTGTGTGTGTGTGTTTACACAGTGTGTTAGTTTATTTTATTCTATTTTTTGAAGTGGAATTTTTTTTTTTGCATTTTATTTTTCATTTTTGTTTGCTTAAATTTTAAAAAGCAACAACAATATTCTAATCTGTCACCCAAAAAGTGTCAGTAGATGATCAAATATACATCACATCACATACAAACATTAAATCTCACAAAATAAAAGGTTATTTTTGGGTTAGTTTTGTAGCTGCTGCTGCTGTGTGTGTGTGTATGTGTGAAACAAGGTTATTGGTTTGCTGAATTCATCCGATTTTTTGGCGACTTTATTACGACTTTTTTTTTACTACGGTTTATTTTTCCTTCTTTTTCTTTTGAAAAATGGTGGTGTGATGGCCACGAAAAAAAAATCCATCCATTGATTGCGACCTTGTTTTCATAATCAAAAAAAAAAAAAAAAAATTATCATTATTATTGACTAACTAAAAAAAAGATGTGATGTTTTACATGGCAAAGGTGAGAGAGAGAGAGAGAAAGATGGATAGTTTGAAAAATTAGAATGAATGAGAATGGTCATTTCTCTGGTGTGTTGCCCAGTTCATTTTTCACACACACAACATCATCATCATATGAATTAATTTATTTTATTTTTGGTCAAGTTCAATATGTCAATCTTGACTCATGTTTGGCTTGGTTTTTTTGGATTTTTGGCTGCCTACACACACAAAAAAAAACAAAAATAACCACCATGTGTATGTATGAAGAGACACACAAGTCCTGTCAGTGAATTATAATCATAATAATTATGGATTAACCGGTGCTGTGTTGATGATGATGATGATGATGATGCTACTGTTGAAAAAAAAACAAAAAAAAAATCCGAAAATATTCATGTTCTGAATATGTCACAATCTATCGCCTCTGATGATTGTGAATTGTGAATGGAGAAATTCACTGAAAATGAGAAATTTTTGTCTGAAAAAAAATATTTATTCCAGAACACTACGTCTGTCTTTTTTTCGTTTTTCGTTTTTTTTTTTTTTTTGATAAAAACACACCGGGAGGAGATTGTGAATGAATCGTATGCTGTGAACAACAAATTGTTCAATCATTCAATACACGTTTGATTTTTTTTTTACTACATTTTAACATTTGTTGATGATGGCGATGATGATAACATAATAATAATAGTAAATGAAGGCAACACTGTGAAACAAATTGAATTCCAAATTGCAAATTTGAATTTTTAATCAAAACAACAGCAACAGAAAAAAAGGAATAAAAATAATGATAAGTTATGCTTTGGTTGTTAAACATATTGGTTGTTATTCAAGTTTCATTCATCATCATCATCACCATTTTCTATCTAGATTTTTTGATCTCTAATAAGAACAAGATAAATGGATAGGATATATGATAATGATGATGATGATCACTGAATACCAATTATGGATTTAAAAAAATGGATCTGGATTTTTTCATTTCTATTTCTCTTCTTTTTTTTCTCGCCGGTGTATAATCAAATGTATATTCGAAATAATTTTTGGTTTGTTTCAATTTTTTTTCTCTTTCTCTCTACCTCACAACATTCACATATATATGTGATCATCATCAATATCATCGACATCACTTATGGCTTATAATGATAATCATGTAATAGTTTTTTTCTTCTTGATGTGTGTGTGTGGTGTGTACATTTTATCACCATCATCATCATCATCAAACATTATTATTATGCAAAGCCATTATTATTATCATAATAAATATATATACACAAGACAAAGATAAACGTAATATTCAAAAGAATTGAATCAATATGTGTGTAAGTGTATTCATTGTCATTTTCGAAAATAGACAGTGAATATTCAATATATAAAAAAATGAATAATAAGATTCTGTCGAATTGTGATTTTTTTTTAAATAAAGATATTCTGATTTTTTTAAAAAAGAATTTTCGTTAATGATGATCACATCAATATGAATATTATATTGAGTGTGTGAATAAGAGAAGAAAAAACCACACAGAATAAATGATTAAATAGAAGCTGAGGTTTTTTGGATCGAAACGAAACAAAAAAAAAATAATTCCAATATATTCATAATGCTAACGCCCTGCATTTTTTCGTCATTCCGTTTTTTTTTGCAATCAAAGTTTGACGATTATATAATGAAAATGATGATGATGACTAGATTAATTAGAATTTTTTTTTCTGGTAGAATTTTTTCGATTAATTTTTTTTCTTGTTTGCTGCTGCTGCTGATTCTGGTTTTCTTCTTTCTTCAGATTCAGTGTGGTTGTTCATTAGTGTGTGTGTGTGTAGTTAATAATACCTAAGCATTTCTTCGAATCAAGATTGATGAGATCATTTTGCATATAATAATGTAGTTTTAGATTTTACTTTTTTTGTTCATTTTCTCATTTTGCCTTCAGATAAATTCTCGATTCTATATTGTATGTGTTCAATTACGGTTTTTTTTTTGTTGGTCACATAATATTTTAGCAAACGAATAATATAATATTCTTGCCTTGGTATGCCATTTAAGCCGATTTTCTTTGTGTGTGGCTGCATTATAAATCTTAGAATTTTGTAATTTTGTGTATGGTGATACAACCGCGTGCTTGGTGTGTTGATAGCAGTGTTATATAATAATCTAAATTCAGTGAAAAAAAAGGAAAAATAATTGAGAGAAAATTAATCTTTTTGTTGTTGTTATTCTTTCAGATTCTTAAATGACCATCGAGTAAAATATATGGCTGCTGTTGTTGTTGTTGCTGTTGAATAATAAAAAAGAACAATTTTTTTTTATTTTACTTCTGGAACAACAACATAGCACAAGTTTTTCCTAGAATTTTTTTGTTCTCGTTGCACCCGGTGTCTATATGGGAAGAGAGAGAGAAAGGGAATATGTGATATGTAATTTACATGTTTGTACCATTCATAAACAACACTTTTTTTGCATTCAACAAGAAAAATTGACGCTGCCACGTCCATATGCATAGTCGAAAAAACAAACAAAACTAAATCAAAGGAAGTTTTTTACTTTCTCGTTTTCTCTCTCTGTGTGTGTGTGTGTGTTATCCCTAGATTTTCGTTTCTGTATGTTGTGTTTATATTTACCCGAAAAAAAAATTTCGGTATTTACAACAAATGGAAAAGATTTTTTTTTCTTGTTTTTATTTTGAAGAAATCAAATGTTGTTGTTGATGTGTGTGTGTGGAAAAGTTTAGAATTGACAGCACAGCATCAAGCGGCAAATACTATTAATATAATAGTGTGTGTATGTGATGAATGTACGAATTTGTTATTTTTAATAGGTTTTTTTTCTCCATTTTGTTTGTTCCTGTCCGTAGTCGTGGTGGTGGTGGTGATGATGATGATGACGATATCGCAAACTTTGTCTCAAAATTCGTTGTTGTTGTTGTTGTCGTTTTTTTTCATCATTAGGATATAGATAAGATGTTTGAATTCTGGCTTTACACACAAACAACAACAACAACACACACACACATAAGGTCAATATCACAAAAAAAAAATACTTAGAGTGAAGAAAACTTTTACATTTTTGTATGTATTTGAAATAAAACTTTTTTTTTGCACATTTTTGTTGTTGCCAACAAAAATTTTTTGATTCAATGTTTGTTTTGTGTTTGGATATTTAAGATTTCATTGATGGTGGTGGGGTGATGGGGGCGAAAGGAAAGAAAAAAAGAAAAAATGATGATGATGATGATGATGATGAAAGAAAA